GAGGATGATAGTGGACGCGTCGAGGAGACGCGTAAAGTGGGTGGGGTGGTAACAGACTTTTGGAACCCCACTGTAGTACGGATACTTAAGTTGCTCCCACTATCTAGCCTTATCCTTATCTATCGTACCAGGTAGGCATCACTTCAACTCGTCGGTGAACAGAGCTGGAAATTACAACTTCAAAACCACCAACCATCAACCCGCGAAACTTTCTCCCTACCTGGCTACCCAGTCACGTTTCCAACCTCTCTTCAAGAAAACCGCTTCCACGTCAACCTCTCAAAACCACCACCATGTCCCGAAGAGCGCCTCCCGGCGCGCGCACCGCTGCCGCCGCCAGCAGCGGCTCGACCTCTTCCTCCGCGCTCGCCGCCATCAACACCGAAGACATGTGCCCCGTCTGCAAAACAATCCGGTACCTCAACAAGGATATGGAATTCCTCATCAACCCGGAGTGCTACCACTCCATGTGCTCCAACTGCGTCAACCGGCTCTTCAACGATGGGCCCAACCAATGCCCCTACGCGGGCTGCCACCGCACGCTGCGGCGCAAGGGCTTCCGCAGCGCCTTCTTCGGCGACCTGGCCGTTGAGCGCGAGGTCGACATCCGCCGGCGCGTCGCCGCCGTCTTCAACCAGGTCGAGGACGACTTCGAGACGTTGCGCGACTACAACAACTACTTGCAGATGGTCGAGGACCTGACGTTCGACCTGGTCTCGGGCACCGACGCGCAGCGGCGCGCTGCCGAGGCGACGCTGCAGCAGTGGGAGGCGGAGCACAAGGCCGACATTGAGCGGAACCGCAAAGCCGGCAAGGAGGCCGACGAGCAGTCGCGGCGGCGGCTGGCGGCGGAGCGTGAGGCCGCGCGGCAGAGGAGGTTCGAGGCGCTGCGCGAGGCCGAGGAGGAGAAGCGCGAGCGGGCAAGGAGCCGCGAGGAGGAGCTGGATAGCCTGGCGCAGGGCGAGGCCGGGGCAGCTGGTGGTGCGCAGAGGGTGCAGCTGAAAAAGCGGGGGCAGGCGGCTGCGAGCCGGGCGGTCGAGGCGGCGGTAAAATCGGACGTGGCCGCGGCGGACGTGGGCCGGTTGTCGATTCGCGGTCTGAAGGAGAAGAAGAAGGCTCCTCCGCCCGACGGCCCGTACGATCCTTTTGGAGGGCTCGACTTCATGCCGAGCAGGTACAAGCTGCGCCCTGGACTTACGCATCCGGGGGTTGAGAAGTACAAAGTCGATCCGGCGCACATCACTGGCGGGTACAACTTTGATGAGTACGCTGCCCGGGCCATGTTTGAGGCGTTTGCCGGGCTGGGAGTCTTTATTGAGGATGAGAAAGAGGTCGGCATCGGGCTGTCCGCCGGAGAGGTGGCTACCATGAGCGCTGGCATTGCCGCCGTAGGCGACAAGATGGAGCTGGACTAAGTGACAGGAATTGAGGGCAGCTATCTTCTCGGCGAGTCTCTGCAAAGCATAGCGTCGGCGTTCTGTTTGGGACATGGAATCGAATTTGAAAAGGGGGTAATACAGGTTTGGTTCGAGTATATTACCAGAACGGTGCTTTAATGCCGAGTGGGACAAGGTTGGGCTAACCCATGCGGTTGCTGCTCTTCGTTACTAACTTGCTTGCGGCAGCAGCCACAAAAAAGAGCAGATTATTAGGTCTTACAGCACTGCTGAGCTGGCTAAGTAAGCGTCGGGGCCCTTACCGTTGTTTTTCGAAGCAAGATTGCGGCTATCTGAGACAGCGAAGGGCAACAGTCGCGGGCCGCAGAGCTGGTAGACCAGACTGCTCCCAACGCGACAAGGTGCAACAGACCCTATCCCCTATGAAATGGATACAGCCAGACCAAAAACATATTGCAAACCTGCTGAACGCCGCGCTAGATGCTGTGCCAAACGGACGAACACTGGGTGTCATCAGATCACCACTTTTGTGATCTTTTCACTGAACATTCCAAGCCTTCCTCCCCCTAATGTGATCCTGTTTGAAACTTGTCCAGACGACCCTATTGCTGCCAAGGCGTCTGTTGCGCAGGCCGGGGGAAAACAGGGATCGCCTCGAGCTGGTCCAGCCCTCCACCTATGGGCTGCTGGTTATGCTGCCAGCCCATCCCGGTACTGTGGTTGACAAAAGCACCCTGCCGGAACGGGTTTGTGCTGCCGGTGGGCTGGGAGACAATGCCACCCGCTGTGACTGGCCGTTGTTGTTGAGTCGATTGGGCTGGCTGAGCGACACCAAAGTTCTTGGCGAACGGATTGGTGCCCGTCTGCAGCGGTTGCATGGGCGCAGGCGGTGACGGGGTCTGTTGAGCCGGTTGAGATTGGAACGGAGAGTTTGAGGCCGGAACACCGAACAGCTGGGCTGCCTGGGGGGAGGAGCGGGCAAACGGGTTGGTGGACTGGCTAGTGGCGGGACGCTGCTGGGTACTTGCAGGCGCAGCTGCCGGCGCGAAAGGTGTGCCTGTCTGCTGGTTCATGAGCATGGATTGACGGAATGGATTCGTGCTCTGCTGCGGCACCTGAAGGCCCTGCAACGCAGGCGTCGTGGCGTTTTGAAACGTGGCAACGGCGTCTTGGGGTATCGGAGACAGAGGGCTGCCCTGGAAGCTGGGCTGCGGCTGGGGAGAGAACCCTCCATAGCCAGCTCCCGTGAAAGCCGACTGCATCTGCTGAGGAGTCTGCTGGGTAGGAGAGAACGCGGGCTGGGTCTGCTGCGGGAAAGCTAGACCGGAGGTGAGGCCGGTGGGTTGAGAGACAAAACCGGTTTGAAGCTGAGGTAGTGGCTGCGGTTGAAACGGAGCCGGACCCCATGACGGCATATCCATCTGTATCTGTATTTGGGGTTGGGCTTGCTGCTGCGGTTGCTGCTGCGGCTGAACAGCCATGGTTGTCTGATTCTGTTCGATAGACTCAAAGAAGTCAATGAGATCGGCATCCGGACCCTTTGCAGGCTCTGGTTTGGCGGGTGGTCGCGGCTGCGCTCCGTTTGCGTCTGTGTTAGAGGAAGGTTTTAGGAATTCAGACTTTGCCGCCTTGGAAGCTCCAGACACTCCGCCCTTGGCTTTCTTCGCCTCCTGCTCCGCCAGGTACTGCCTCCGATGTATCTCAAAATCGGGGTCCTTCAGGTACTCCTCGAGCTGACGCCCGAGGTTCACTGGCGCGTGCTTTAACTTGGGAACCTCTACTCTTGTGTGGTGCTCGTATTGCCTTGCAACACTCAGGTACTGCACCACATAGTCCGTCTGTCTCGTAAACGTGCGGTAAATTTCCATAGCCCTCTCCGCATCCGTCTTGGACAATTCGAAGAAATGACCTAGCAGACCGTCAGGAGGAGGAGGGCCACACGATGCTTCTGTACCAAGACTCACCGAGAATGTTGATCAGGGCCTGGTTCAGAACCTGAAAGAGGGCCAACAGATCCAGCACTAACAGCCGAAAGACGGTAATTGTAATCTCGTTCTCGGGCTCAGTCTCCATGACATCGCACTTGAGGAGAGCGGTGAGCTGGTGCTGCACAACCTCGGTCTCGCGCAGCAAGCCTTTTTCCACCGAGAGCTTCTCCAGGCGGGGTTCCTTATATCGCACCCAGTCAATCTTGGTTTCCCTGTATGCACGCGCTCGTTCCGAGAGGTAGGCTGAGTAGTGACGGATGTTTCGGCCTTGGGTTTGTGCTGCACGCGGCAAGGTCAGCTATGGCTGGGCGTCAGGGGCAGCCGAGTCCAGGACTGACCGTCAGAGAAGACGCTCACGGCCAGCATGTTCCTATGCTTAGCCAGGTACGCCAGTGTAACATCCGGTGAACCCTCCCGGATCATCAGGTGGACTGTGATCAAGCTCTTGAAGACAATGGTCCATGTCGAGTCACGAAGCCTGTATTGCAATGCTCTGAACACCTCTCCAACGCCTGCCTCTCCGGCGTGTGTTGCAACCAGAATGTGCTCGATGTACTTTGTCTTTGGCGGGGCGGCCTGGAGGAGCAGTATCGGTCAGCGGCCTGTTGCAGTGTATCCCCAGGACAGAACAGAGAAGAGCGGCGAGCCCATACCTTGACTTTGGTCGCGCCCTTGACTGATTTTTCGAAAGAGCTTGCCATGGTTACGCAATTTTCCAGTAAGCAGAGGGCAGGCGGGGGTTGTGGCTGGCAGTTCGGCCTCGCGGGATGTCCGGTCTCGTGGAAACGGACTTGAATAGGCGGAGAGACTCGCTAACTCGCTTGTAGAACACCCGCGACTGGTTTCGTCGATGATTGTGATGCTCCCAATGAGCGCGCAAATAACGATGCGCCGTCGGGGGTTGAGGTCGCGATCGGGCAGCGGGCGGCGGCAGTGCTGAGCACAGTGAGGTGTTGCAGCTCAGCCAGTCGCGCGCAGTTTGGCAGCAGCTTTCTTGCGGTCGGACAAATGCGCTGGAGTAGCCCAAAATGCGGTCCGCCCGCTCGAACAGGGGCTACAGAGACGGATACCACACGGTAATCGATAAGTTGCAAGAGGCCCCAAGTAGATCCCTGTCAACAGGAAACGGCCGCGGGTAAGACAGATGCAAAGTCCTGGTAAGCTGGCAACCTGGAGGCGTGAATACCATCAAGCAGCAGTGGGAGTCTTTGAAGAAGCATGTTCTCTGGTTGATGCGTTTGTTCCTAAGTTACCGACACGTGACAGTTGCCAATTCACAAGGTCTCACGAACAATGTCAATAGAGCACAGTTGACGCACGTCTTTTGAGTCAGAACGATGAAGTGTTCATTGTCGTAGAGACATAGCTAAACCTACAGTCACACTTCTTTCCGCGTTCAAGAAGGAAAAGGAAAAAGGGCGAAGTAATCCGTAAACAAAATGGAAAGGGAATACCCGAAACCGGAACATCCACGTTGGAGAACGCGGAAATCCTTCAAATGAATTCGGCCGGACTGAATGTCTCGTTGTACTCCTGAAGATCCTCCATGCTGTACCTCACAAATTGCGCCTCCCATTGTCAAATCCTAACAACTTCCAGGTTATCAGAGGCGGGCTGTACGTGCCTCAGAACCCATCGGCGAGGGTCTAAGGTGGGTGTGCTGCCACGCGAGGTACCGGAGAAATTCCACTTGGAAACCGCGTCCGCCACCATGCGCCACGAACCCGTCCGCGGAACACGCCCACTTAGGCGGCTGCAGGGCCCTACCCATTCAGAGTAATCAGAGATGCCGTCTTCGCGTCCGATGAGTAACAAGGTCGGTGTGCCGAACGCTTATTTCATGCTCCCATCCTTCTATCACAGCCAAACCACTTGAGCCCCGCGAGGGGAGAGTTTGGAAGTTCCAAAAGGAAGGAGTTTCATCATATGAGCACGCTGGCTTTCATCATCTGCACATTGTTAGCTTAGATCTGGTGTCGGTCGATTGAACGTGGTAGGAACACTCACTTTGTTTTGAATGGAAGGGATGGAGAAGAAAAGAAGAAAAGTTCAAAATTCCCGAGGCTGCGAACTGTTTTTGAAGCTGGCTGGACCCACACGAGCGCTCGGACCATTCATCAGCTGTGGAAAAGTGGGTCACAAGTCGTCCCTCAGCCTCGAGCCTTCAACTCATCGCGGTCTCCTCTCACTTGAGGTACCGAAACCTCGTGACTGAAGCTGGCCAAGCTGGGAGTCGAGGTTGGCCTAAGACGAATGGCACTGCCCCGCATTCAGCTGCGGCGCCTTTGCGGCTTCGGGCAACGACACCTGAGGTTTCTTCGTCACAGCACATCGACTCACGCTCACAGATTTCAAGTCTGCAATCGGCTTACACACAGCGCTGCCCGGTCCCCAATCTCAGAAGGTGTGTTGAGCCACGAGCATCAGCAGCAGAACAGGAGTGTTGGCCAGCAACTACGTGAAGAGTGGGCCAGATACAGTAGGCAATGCATCCTTTCGTCAACATACCTTGACCTAAGCCACCCCAATGCTGACCCAACTGCCAAAGATGCCTTCCCAAGGGCGTCCGCCGCTGAGGACTTCACCGAGGGCCAGACTGTCACAGTTCACGGATTTCTTGCCAGAAAACGAGTAAAGCACGCAAAGCTCGTGTTCGCAGACGTACAAATCGACAATGGCCCTGCCGTCCAGATCACCTCGAGTTTCCAAACGCCCGGCGGTCCAGGGCACGATGCAAACCAGGCTCTCAGGGGCATCCCGTTGTACAGCCCAGTGGCCGTTACGGGCAGAGTTGCTCAGATTCACAACAACTTGCTGTCGAGAGACGCCGTGTCTTCAACGGACACGGTGCATAGCCAGAGAGAGCTGTCAGCACCATTGTCAAGACCCGGGAGTTTTCCCAACAATGTATCCCGTGTCGACCTCGACCTCGAGAGCATCCAGCCCCTCAACGTCTTCCCAAAAGATATCATTGTTTCCAAAGGCGTCCAGTTCCCTCCCTCGGCCCGGCACCTGCAGATTCGCTTCTCAGATCCTCTCCGGTCCCGTCTGCTCATCCGCCCGCAAATCGCTTTCCAGCTGAGGAAATCCCTCAATAATCTCGCCTTCACTGAAGTCGAGACTCCCGTCCTGTTCAAATCTACCCCCGAAGGCGCACGAGAATTCTTGGTTCCTACGAGACGCCAGGGCCTCGCATACGCCTTGCCGCAGAGCCCTCAGCAATACAAGCAGATGCTCATGGCCAGCGGGATCCGGGGATACTACCAGTTCGCTCGCTGTTTCCGGGACGAAGATTTGCGGGCGGATCGACAGCCCGAGTTCACACAGGCATGGCACGACCGTCACTGCAGTTCTAGCTTTGTATTGGTCGACTAACCCTACGCAGCTAGACTTGGAGATGTCATTTGCCACGGGCGAGGATGTCATGCGGACAGTTGAGGTCATCATCTCGGACTTGACACGTTTGCTGAATTCCGATTACTCTGTCGCCCAGAACGGTGAAGATATCTATCTGGCGCCCAACAAGAGCTCGGTATGTTGATCAGCAGCCGTTCAAAAAATGTTACATCTCACAATTTGATCAGATAGCGGAAACACAACAAGGAATGATTCCACGTTATCGTACAGCACCTTTCCCCCGCATATCATACAAAGAGGCTATGACCAGATTCGGTATTGACAAGCCGGATCTGCGGATTCCATTCGAGGCGAGCCCACACATGCGTCTATTCCCGGGACCAGCTACTAACTGTGACAGATCCGCCGTGTTGACCACGTTCTATCCCGGTCATTCGTGTCGATGATCACTCATCTCGACAATCCTGTTGTGGAAGCCTTCAAATTCCGCCCAAAACCGGTTGAAGAAGAGAAACAGCCTCTTGCATTGAATCTGGTTGACGAGCTGATGAGAGCGCTTCCCCCCGCTCTCGCCCAGAACCCAGACGGTGCGCCAGTCGCACTCGTGGTCGACTCGTCGAAGCCACTCCGCAGCCTTTCCCCTCTTGGATTTGAGGGGGCCGGCGCCTTGCAGAGCGGTGGGGCTGGCCTCGAAGATTTCGCCGACCTGGAAGATGGCGATGTGCTTGTTTTCCAGGCGCGCGAGAACAAGCCATTCCAAGGGGGTTCGACAGCATTGGGCACGTTCAGAACTCTTGTATATCAGTCAGCCGTGTCCAAGGGTTTGCTGCCCCGTGACCTGAGTTTCCACTTCCTCTGGGTCACCAACTTCCCCATGTTCACGCCCGACAATGAGGCGGATCCCGGCCAGGGCGGAACCGCAGGGTTTTCGGCGACTCATCACCCATTTACCGCGCCGCTGACGGATGACGACGTGGAGCTTCTTGCGACAGATCCCCTGAAGGCTAGGGCCGACCACTATGACTTAGTTGTCAACGGCGTTGAGCTGGGCGGGGGTAGCCGGCGTATCCACGTGGCTAGGATGCAAGAGTACATTATGCGGGACATCCTCAAGATGACGGATGAAGGGGTGGCTCAATTCTCCCACCTCCTCGAGGCGCTCCGTGCTGGCTGCCCGCCTCATGCTGGCTTTGCCCTGGGATTTGACCGCCTTGTCGCCGTCCTCACGTATACCGATTCGGTCCGCGACGTCATTGCCTTCCCCAAGTCGATGAAGGGCGAGGACCTCACCGTCAAGAGCCCCGGGCGTATCACCAAGGAGCAGCTGGAGACATATCACCTTGCTTTTCCTGGCAAGAAATAATTGGTTGCTCTGGGCATCCTCACCTTGAATTATTACTTGTACAGCTTCCGAATGTATATTACCACTGATGGTTTACACTAGATCACAAATGGGATAGAAGGCAGGTCCTTGCAGTGAACAATACCATGTTTTCTCCTATGTTCATCTTCCTAGTACATCACACTCCCTCACTACTCACCCAACAAACACGGTTACTCTTATCAAAGTTCAAGACACTTCCTCATCCCTTCCGTCTCGGACAAACCCATTCATAAACATAGAAGATAACGAAAAGGGGCACAAAATCCCATTACAGTATCGCCAAAGCAACGACCATCGCAACAAGACAGGTGGCCGCAACCCCGTCGCTGTGCCCCTCGGAAACCGCAACGCCGTTGCCACTGGACGTCTGGCTGGTTGGCGTCCTCGAAGCGTTGGTGGATGTCGCGTCGGTGGAAGGCGGGTTGGTCGCAGAGTCGGCCTTGGAATTAGACTCGTCACCGTCGGAGTCGTCGATACTGGACGTGGAGCTGGACATGGCGCTGGTCGTGACCAAGGTGCTGGTGAAAGTTGTGTTGAAGGAAGCCGTGCTGGTGAAAGTAGTGCTGGTGAAAGTAGTGTTGGTGAAAGTAGTGCTGGTGAAAGCGGTGCCGCTGGTAAAAGCCGTGCTGGAAGAAGCCGTGCTAGTTGCAGAGCCGGCCTCGAAGTCAAAGTTGTCATTCTCCCCGTCGTCGATAGTGGAGGTGGGGCTGGTCACAACCGAGGTGCTAGTGGAAGTCATGTTGAAGGAAGTCGTGGTGGAGAAAGTCGTGTTGAAGGTAGCCGTGCTGGTAAAAGGCGTGCTGGTGAGAGCCGTGCTGGTGAAATTCATGCTGATCGCAGAGCCGGCCCCGAAAGCAGGGTCGTCATCCTCACAGTCGTTGGCGCTGGACGTTGGGCTAGATGAGGCCAAGGCGCTGGTAAAAGTTGTGTTGAAGGAAGTCGTGGTGGAGGAAATCGTGTTGGACGCGGAGCCAGCCTTGGACACAAACTCGTCATCGTCCCAGTCGTTGTCCCAGCCGTCATCCTCCACCTCCGGTACCACGGTCTCAGTAGCCGCCACTGCCGACGATGAGATCGCCGAAGCTCTCGACTCGTACACCGAGGCCACCGACTCGTGCGCCGAGGCCTCCCACTCGTGCGCCGAGGCCGACAACTCGTACGCCGAGGCCTCCAACTCGTACGAAGAGGCGACAGACCTGGCTGAAGAGGCGACATACCTGGCCGAAGAGGCGACAGATCTGGCCGAAGAAGCAGCCGACTGGGCCGAAGCGACGTCGTACTCCCAACCACGCTTGACGATAGCCGCGGCCGGAACGCGCTGCGCGCCTCCGCCGCCCTGGCCTCCCTGCTGGCCTCCGTTCGCCGCCTGCTTTCCCTTGTCCTGGCCGTTCTTTGCCTTCTTCCTGCCGTTCTTCGCCGCCTGCTTCGCCTTGGAGACGCCGGCCTTCCGTTTCGATTCCCAATTATCATCGCTATAATATCCCTCATCTTGCTGTTGGCGGGCTTGGAACATGGCCCGCGCCGTGATGACTGGGGAAGGGATGACGGTCGGCCACGCGCTCATGACAGAGGAAGCTGGGTACACGACTTGGCTGATCTTTGTCACAGTGGTGTCTTGTGTGGCGCAAGGTGTCCTGAGAAAGGAGGCCATGATGGTTAGCATGGTGAGGTGGTGTGGCAAGGAGAGGGTGTTGGTTACTCACTCATACTCTTGAGAGTCGGCGGCCTGGACGAGACCGAACGTGGCAAGAGCCACGGTAAGCAGTGTGCCGGAATGCATTGTGAATGGTGTTGTAGAGAGAAAGTATGCTTGATAGACTACGTGTTGGAGCTAGTGAGTGACTGAGTGGTTGGTGGTTAATAAACATCGGATGTCTGATGGAAAAGGATTGGGGTGCAATGGGAGCAACAGGGACCTGGTCTTTATACCTGACAAAGAACAGAGAGAAGCAGACGATCTGCAAACAAGTGGTAAACGATGCGTGAGTGATTCTAGGTCTAATTCCGCAAACCTAAAAGGTGCGTACTACTGCATGACATGACTTTGACGGCGGAGCCGGAGAGCAGCATGTTGCAGACGTTGGGTCAATATGTTGGATCAGCGGCAGTAGACACCATCAACATGATGTCACTTATGTTGCAGGTGCAGGAATGATGTCTGGAAAACTTCACCGGTGATGGGGGTTGACACTGTGCACATGCACCCTGGGAAACGCATAGGAAGAGTCAGGAGTCATGGTAAAGAAGAGAAACGAAAAGAGACGATAGAACCAACAATTACCAGACAAACACGCGTATGAGGTAATGGAGTAACTCATGCAATCAGCGGCCATTGCCACGCGTGAGCGAAGGTTCCAGGTCAGGAAGGCGCGACTCGTGTCTCTATCCCCCTTCTCGACTCCCTCCCCTCTATCGTCTTGTATCGCTACCATCATACCTTCATTCTCTTCTTGACAGTACCAGGGACAGGAGGGGAGTAACCAGTTTTCCCAATACCAACGAACGACGATACCAAAGCCAAAATGCGTTCTGTCATACTTTTCGTTCTATTCCTCATACTCCCGGGACCCTTCCATGCGTTGCCCACACCTGCCGACGAAGCCACAGTCCCAGACATGCCCCTCCCCGAGGCCATTTTGGCCATCCAGTCGACAGTCCAGGCCGCCTCAACTCAGGGTTCCATCGACATTGGCGATCTCCAGAGGCTCCTGGATATTGTTGCAGGCCATGTCGAGCGCATGCGCGAGGCCACCCACGGGGGCGGAAAGCCCGACAGCGCCACTCCTCAGTCCAAGGGTCGGGTTCAGAACGGCGGAGGAGGAGAAGACGACGGCTACCGCGACTCGTACGCCAATGGCAACGACGACAGCTACGGCAACCGCAACAACAACGGCAATAGTTACGGTAGCAGCAACAGCTACGGGAATGTCAACGCTTACGGAAACGGCAATGCCTACGGCAACGGCAGAGGCAACGCGGCCAACGCAAACACTCAAGGGGGAGGCGGACTCTGGGGAGACGAGAACGGCGGACTCGTCAACATCACCTGCAAGGGCATCAGCGTGTGCAACCCCGTGACCATCTACAACGAGGACGGCGGAAAGACAATCGATAGGTTGGGCAAAGCAGAGAAGAAGGCCGATGTAGAGGGTAGTAAGAATGCTGGGAAAGTCATGCGCGGCAGATTTCGACACTAGGAATGTTATTGCCAGCATCAGTGCTGCTGCCAACATTGATGCTATAGCCAACGACAGCGCTCGCATCTCGGATAATTCTCGTGGTTATCTCTTCGTTGGGAAGAAAGAATTGAAAAGGAAACCTGGAGGAGAACAGAAGGGAGATGCACTGGCGGAGTGCCATCCGGCCTTCGTTGTGTCCTTGGAAGGATCATGAACGGGACTCTGGAAAAGCCCCCCCTGGCGGTGCAAGACGGCTCAAGTGTATGATATGACAATAGTAATAGAGAGTACACCCATGGCTGGTAGATCAAAGTCTGCCACTTGTTGCGTCTCTTTTGCCCAGTGATCAGTATGAGGTCGAGAAATTCACCGAGCTGGTGAGAGTCGCCGGTGTATTTCATCAGTAGTGATCCATGTGAACAACAGGGCTAATATCAATGTTGAGATTCGGCGAGTATGACTTCAACAAAATGGCGACAGAGCAAAGGAGCGTTTCTGCCGTAAGCAGGATGGCCCTGATTGATTAATCTGGCAGGCTTGATGATCTTGCATTATTAGATGACAATTTCTGCAGTTCTCAAGTTCACCAATTAAGATTTAACACAACGCAGCAGAGACGGCTCAGTGTCAGGAGACCTCTATCTTCGTTGCGCTCACATGTATCTTCGACCTCAGTATCTGCATGAATGAACAGCAACCATAGGCATCCCAGGCAGCCGCTTAACACAGCAAACAACCCCATTAAGACACATATATGTCCAATCCTTTACATCCACAAATAAGAGATTTACCATGTCTCCAAGACAGGCTTGCACTTGACTGTCACACCATACTTGGGCCGGAGCACAAGGCGCCACATCTTCCAGTCTTCCGGGTCGGGCGTGCTGTCGTCACGCACAAACTCCCACCGGCTCAAAAAGCAGCAGAGCAAGACCTTCATCTCGACCTCGGCAAACTTGCGGCCGATGCACCCACGGGGACCCTGCAAAAAGGTCATGAACGCGTTGGGCACGGCCGACTTGGGCAGGTTGTCCCAGCGGTCCGGGTCGAACTCGTCGGCGTCTTCACCCCAGAACCACTCCATGCGGTTGATGGCGTTGGACAGCATGTACGTGACGGTCTTGGCGGGCACGTGGTAGCCGCTGATGCAGTCGTCCTCCACCGACTCGCGCACCGTCATGGGGATGGGCGGGATGAAGCGCAGCGACTCGCGGCAGACCTTGTCGAGGTACGGCAGCTGGTCCGGGTCGGGGAGCGCCATCGTGTCCGGGTCGTACGTCCACGACCGGTCGAACAGGAACGGCATGTACTCCCGGATCTCGTTCCGCACCCGCTCCTGGATGTCGGGGTGAATCGACAGCAGATGGATGGTCCAGGTGGCTCCGGTGGCCGTCGTGTCGTGGCCGGCCCCGAGGAACGTCATGATCTGGTCGCGCATCGTCTCGAACGACAGACCCGGCTCGCCCTTCTCACGGAGGGCCATATCTTCTTGGGTAATGAGCGACAGGACGTCCTTGGCGTTGGGGTCGACTCCGGAGCGGCTCCTCCGCTCGGTGAGGATCTCTGTCGCCTTGTTGATGATGATTGCGCGGGCCTTATTGATGTCATCGTTCATCTTAGAGGGGAGATACTGCGTTTTCGGGAAGAAGGCTTGGACGCCGTGGAGCAAGCGCGACTCAAAGTCGAAGTTGAAGCACAGCCGGTAAGCCTCGCGGAGGGGCAGCGTTTCGTCCTCGAGCGAGCCGATGTCGTAACCAAAACCAGCCTTGCCAATAATGTCAAGGGTGGCGCGGTTGAACCACTCGAGCACCTCAATCGTCCGCTCAGACGCGTTATTCCAAATCACCTCGCGCTCCTGAAGGTCGACCATCCGAAGGCCCTTCTGCCAGAAAATGGGCACGAACGAGTGGATGGCCCTGATCGAGAACCCGGGGTTGACCGTCTTGCGCTGGTATGCGTGTTCATGCCCTTCGGCGAGGAGCACACCGTTGCCGAGAATGCGCGTCATCCACAGCTTTGCGCGCAGAGGCTTGGGGAAGTTGTAGGGGTTCTTGCTCGTGACGTGCTTGATGCCCCGGTTATCGGCGATTGACAACCGCTCGGTACCCAGGGGGAAGCAGTAGCGAATGATGCCGCCGTACTTACGGTGCCACTTGCGCTGTGGCACGCCGCACTCCTCCGTGACGATGGGTATGAACTGGCCCCATAGTGGGAAGCCACGGACCGTCGGAATATGGCGCAGCTCCGAGAAGTACCTGGGGAAGATCCAAGATCGCCAGAATGCCCAGTAGATCAATATGCCTGTCACTACCCAGAGTGGGACCGTCTGACAAGTTGGGTGCCCGTACTTCCTCGCATAGCAGAAAGACACTGCTACCGACAGGGCGAAGACAGGAAAAGGAGTGTTGACTTTGGTTCGGGAGCTGTCCTTGGGAGGGTCGATGATCCTAGGAGCCATGTCTGCAAGATGGTGTTGTGCTAACCGAGTCGTGTGGGTGCCTTTAGGATAGGTGCTGTTCGAGGCCTGGGTTCCGAGATAAGTATGAGATCTGTGGAGATTGATGGGAGCAGAGACATCACTGCGGCAGACCAGAGTTATATAAATCCCACTGTCTTGATCTTTCGGCAGTTGCTGATTACATCAACCTTGATAGACCACCGTCTTGATCTCCGGGGCAGTAGCTGATTAGAAGGGGTTTCCCTCTGTCTGGATTGAACCTTGGGGGGGTCTGACCGCGCCATATGCGGGCGGGGGCCGTATATGACATGCATATCGCATCATAACCGGCGACTGCCGCAGATCTGAGAGGCGAGAGGATTCTATGTCCATACTTCTGCAGCTGCAGAAAGTTACACTCAAAACATGCCGCTGCGTGCATTGGCTCTCCAAAACCAGGGCCCCGACTAGGTTCAGCCTTGTCCGTGAGGTGATGTTTCTGCCACCACAACAGACCGCGGCTCCAGCGTCCTGTGAGTTGATGTGATCGCGCGTCTTATATGAAGAAGTCTCCACGGCACCAGCTGGTTTGCTGACGCCATTCTCTTCTGCCAGTGTCAGCCAACGCGTCCACCAGAGATGACGTGTAGCAGAAATAGGTGATTTTTGCGTCAGAGATGACCGAATACCGGAGAGTCGCCATCAGAAACATCTCCCCACAAGATTCGCCTGTGAGAACCGGCCACCGACTTAACACCCCGTCCACACTTCCTCCTTAATCAGCCTTCACTGTTCATGGAAGCAGTCAGACGGTTCAGCAAAGCAATCCAACGCGGAACCAAACTCCCACACACAAAGCCACAGACGGGCCCCTTCCAACGACGTCCTCCTTGTTTTGGTCAACCTGTACGCATCATTCTCGACCTCGTCTCTCCCCAACCGCAAGACAATGGGCCAGACGGCGCAGACAGCGGCAGGGGACTGCCACCCGGAGATGCGTGTCGCACCTCCCGTGAGACGATTGAGCATCCCCGTCCTTCCTGAGTTGCATTTGACGAACAACCGTGACGAGGACTGGTTTGAACTGAAGATGCTGACACGAGAGATGCTCGACCGTAAACGGTCCCCTGACGCAGCTCGGTTGTCGGATACCACCACGTTTCCGGACCGACAGTCATCTCTGGATCTGGAGGAAGATGAAATTCCGGAAGAATCGCCTGGCCCGCCCCCAACACCGCAGGCGAGCCAGTCTTCAGACCTTCAGGGAATCCTATCCGCAGAGCAGCCCGGTTTCGTCACCGGATTCCCTCTCGTCTGCCTGACGGTTGGCCTTATGCTTGCCCAATTTCTGGTCTCGATTGACCGGACGATCATTTCCACGGTAAAGGCGAGAGTGATGCTCAAGAAGCTTTCCCGCTTGCTGACTTGTTTCCGTCCAGGCCATCCCATACATCACGCATGAATTCAGATCCACGCCGGACATTGGCTGGTATGGCTCAGCGTACTTGCTCACAGCGTGTGCATTTCAGCCCATGTTTGGCCGGATCTTCACGCTATTCTCGGTCAAGAAGGCGTATCTGTTTGCTCTTTTCTTGTTCGAGGCTGGATCGCTGCTTTGCGGCGTTGCACCGAATTCGATCACCCTGATTATTGGACGAGCTATCGCAGGCCTCGGTAGCGCGGGCATCCTGACGGGGAGCTTTGTGATTGCAGGAGCGGCTGTGCCGCTCCAGAGGCTTCCGATCTACATGGCGGTGGTTGGCACCATGTAGGTGACCCTCGTTTCCGCTTCTCCCAATGGCTTTCGGCTGCTGACCATGTCAGGTTCGGTGTCGGGGCCACAACAGGGCCTCTGCTTGGCGGCGTCTTCACAGATCTTGTGGTATGTAGTCCCTTGTAGCTGACTTCCTGAGAGACCCATCTGCTGACGATGGGCAGTCATGGCGCTGGTGCTTTTACGTCAACCTCCCAGTAGGAGGCGTAACGGTCGCGGCCATGGTCTTCTGTTTCAAACCCAAGAAGTGCGGGAACTCCGATCGCGGGTTCGTCGAACTGTTGCTGGACCTGGACTTGTTCGGGAATGTGTTGATCATTGGGGCCGCCGTCATGTTGTTCCTGGCGCTTGAATTCACCACACAGGGGATCGAGTGGTCCGACAAAAAGGTAATCGGCCTCCTCGCCGGCTCCGGGATCGATACCATCGTCTTCGTCGTTTGGCAATGGAAGAAAGGGGAAGCGGCTCTGATTCCGCCACGGATCGCGACACAGCGCACTGTGGCGGCGTCGTGTGGAATGTCCTTCATGGTCTACGGGGCGCTAATCAACCTGACATTCTTCTTACCCGTGTGGTTTCAGGCGATTCAGGGCGTGAGCGCCCTGCAGTCCGGCATTGACACGATCCCATACTTTGTGGTCAACGCCGTCTTCGCACTGCTGGCGGGCGTTTTCGTGTCAAAGATCGGATACGCGACACCCCCGGCGGTGATCGGGAGCGTTATCGGCACCGTCGGCCTTGGAACGTTGACTCTACTTCGGGTCGACTCGACGACGGCGCAATGGGCGGGCTACCAGGTGCTGACAAGCGCGGGCTTTGGGATCGCGATCCAGCAGGGCTTCACGGCGGTGCAGACCGTGCTCTGCGACGAGGACATGGCCATCGCCACAGCGGCCGTGGTGGCAGCGCAGTCGCTCGGTGGTGCCGTGTTCCTCTCGGTGGGGAACAGCGTGTTCCAGCACCGGCTCCTTCATGCGACGGCATCGCACGCCCTGGGCAGCGTCGACATCAAGAAGGTCATCGACAGCGGCGCGGCCTCGTTCCGGCACGTCGTGCCTGCCGAGGACCTGCCCGTCATGCTGGAGATATACAACAAGGCGCTCACTGCAGTTTTCACGGTGGCGGTTCCGGTCGGAGGGCTGGCTGCCATCATTTCGTGCTTCATCGAGTGGAAGTCGGTCAGGGCGGATAAGGCGGGTGGAGCGAATGAGGAGGGGGGAAATTCAGACGAGAGCTTGTCAACGGCAGTCGATGAGGAAAACTTGAAGGACAAGTTGGATGATGCCGATTCCACGACTGTGGCTGCAACTGAGACCACAGCCGATGGGCGCCATGCATTGGCTTGACTTCGTCAGGGTAAGAAATGTACAAAGGTCTTACACTGGATATGAGGGAGAGGTGCGTATAAGATGATCAGGTCTGAAAATTGATGCATTCATTGCTGGCATTTGCGGTTTTGAGATAATCAAAAATTGCGGCTTCCGAGTCAAGGAATCGACGATGACTTGGACTGGCGACCGCTGCCTGCATGTAAGAGTACTAGCTATTCGATGTTCAAGTTAATGAGGTCAATTTCAGAAGATGGTTACAGGTACCCAGGTAATATTACGAAGACGGGACTCCTGTTCCCAGAGAATTTCCAGTTGGTTGTGATCCAAGAGGGCACCGCATCATCAAACATGCTCTTTCCTCCTCGTGAAAAGACGTGTGAGGTTCTGAAACTTTCTCAAGGCGCTGACTAATCCGGATAAGCTTCGGATCAGCGCCTGGAGGCTCTGGTGGGGCATGGCACGCGATCGTGGCTACAACATTAACCGTGAACTTCAAGTCAACGCAATCGGGCTCCTTTGAGTTCTCGAACTCTGCAAAGGTCGGCCATTTTGTTCTGGGAAGCCGCCTCTCCTTCAGCACCGCTGCCTCCGGATTAACCGCCTCTATCTTGTTCCTGTCCCTCGCACTCTTTTGCTTTGCAGTCTGGCTTTGGATTTCATCGATTATTGCCTCCATCCTCCCGCATTGGAGATATCTAGATCTCCTCTCTTAAAACATAAAGTCGGAGGATCGCGCTGCCATCTACATCTCCCTCCTTGCGCCGCCCATATCACCCCAAAACGAAGCTTCCCTGGCCACGCACCTGACAACTACAATGGACGACCAAGCACTTAGCAAGCGGATTAAGACGTTGGCCAAGGCTGTGGCTTCCGATCCGCCGTCTGTCGTCATCGAGTTGCTCGAGGAGTTGAAGAGGGAGAAAGCGCCAACTGAGGATCAGCTCCGTGTAGGTTTGACCGAGCTCGGCGCTTGAGTTGACGGGATGGAATTGCTCATTTGCCGTACTGCAGTCCACTAAGGCTGGTGTCGCAGTCGGCAAGCTGCGTAACAACGCGAACAAGGACATTGCCCGACTGGCTAGCGAGATTGTCTCAAAGTGGCGGAAGAACGTGGATGCGGCCAAGGAGTCCAAGAAGCGCAAGATGGAGCAGAGCAAGTCGCCAACTCCCAAGGACTCGCCCGCCCCGCCCTCCACCTCCTACAGCACCCCATACGAAGGCGACCCCGAGAAGCGGCATTTCAAAGTCGACAAAGTCGACATTGTCCGGACGGGCAACAAGATGCGCGATGGTAGTATTGGAGTGCTCTACAATGGCCTGGCCTACCGCTGCACTGTGTCAATCGAGGAGGTGATGCAGCGCGCCATGGAGGTTGAGGCGGCAGCCTTTGCTGTGTACAAGGACACGCCAGAATACGGCAAAAAGATCCGGGGCCTCATGACGAGCCTCAAGCGCAAAGACAACCCCGAGTTGGGCCGCAGGGTCATGAGGGGCGACATCTCGGCCGATAAGTTCGTCCGCATGTCGGACGAAGAGCTGGCATCGGAGGCCCAGCGCGCCCGAGATCGCGAGCTGGAGCGCGAAAACATGCTCAGTGCACAGGTTCCCATGGCCAAGAAGTCCATCAGTGAGGATTTGCAGTGCAGCAAGTGTCATCAGAAAAAGGTCTCGTACAGTCAGGCCCAAACCCGCTCGGCCGATGAGCCCATGACGACGTTCTGCGAGTGCACCGTTTGCGGGCACCGGTGGAAGGTGAGAATGCCATTGTGTGGTGAGTCGGCTTGGCTGCCTTCGCTAATATCATGATTAGTTTTCGTAAGCCGGTACGATGGGCTGCGGTAGTTCTTTCTTCGCCGTTTTCCCCGTCTTTCCCCGCTTCCTTTGCCATTATCTTCCTGCATCGAGGTACGATACACCGATAGCCACCGCCGTTTAGTAGAGGCAGGTCAGGAGCGTATCGAGACGCCAGAATGTGGTGCGCTTGGCAACATGATCCGTGGGCCACCGTGATGGAGGTGAGGTTTTGTAGTTGCAGAGGCATGGACCTAAACACGCCGAGACGGCCTCTCCAGTTCTTTCTCTAGGGTCATGGGCGGTCATGGAGTTTCCGGTTATGGAGTTTGAGGAAACCCCTTGGAAGTTCATGATACATACCGAAGCAGCGGGGGATGCCCGCCTTGGGAATACGATTTTCGACCCGGTTTACAACGGGCGAGCAGTGAGGCAGTTTGTACAAGGAATATATCTGGCAGCAGGTCACCTGCTGAAATCGCAGAGATACCAAAGTGCATTGAGTTTAACAAGAATCAATACCCCAGGTTCCCAAAGCTCTTTGCCCGTGTTGAGAACTTCAGGCATTGATCTAGTATCTCGTCAGGCTGTCCAGCCACCTTAACCAGGTTTCCGACCACTACCTCCGGAGACCTTGGAGGCCCAGCACAGCAAGCAAGTCCTCGTCCTGCTCGTGGGTTTCATCCTCCAGTCCCATTGCAGCAATGTGCTTCCAAAACTTGCTCAGATGCCTCGTCCCTGAATCGCACAAAATCGTGACGACCCGGCTCCCCTTGGGCATCTTGAGTGCCGTCACCACAGCGGCCACGCAATTCACCGCGCTGCTACTCCCAATGAATATCCCATCGTGCTCCACAAGCCACCTCGCCATCCGACACGCTTGCTCGTCCGTGACCTTGACCGCATCGTCAATCAGGACCCGCCCGGCCTCAAAGTTCTCGGTAATCCGGTTAATCCCGATGCCCTCCACCATTGTGTCCACCTGCTGCCGCCGGCGGGTGCCCTCTCGCTCGGTCGACGAATACATGACGCCGTGCCGGATCTTGTTGTACAGCCCGCTGCCTTGCGGGTCGGCGAGCACCACCCTCAAGGATGTCAGATCCCTCTCCTCCTTGAGGTACTTGGTCACGCCGGCAATGGTGCCGCCGGTGCCGGCGCCCGCGACAAAGGCGTCTAGCTGGCCATCGGTCTGCGCGTAGATCTCCGGGCCCGTGGTCTTCATGTGCGCCGTGTAGTTGGCCAGGGACTCGAACTGGTCCGCAAAGAAGCCGCGCGAGGGCGTGTCGGATGCTGCCGTGTGCTCCTTGGCGCGGGTCCGGGCGAGGTTGACAAAATGGCCCGGATCCGTGATGGGCGTGACGGGAACCCGCTCGACAGTTGCGCCCAGGTGGTGCAGCAGGTCGGATTTTTCAATAGCCATGTCGTCGGGCATGCAGATGTGGGCCTTGTAGCCGCGGGCGCGGGCCAGGACGGCGAGCGAGATGCCCGTGCTGCCCACGGTGCCCTCGTAGATGGTGTCGCCGCGCCCGGGTGAGAGCAGGCCCTGATCCTCAGCGACCTGGATCATGTTGAGGGCGACGCGGTCCTTGGGGCTTCCGCCAGCGCCATTGAGGTACTCGGCTTTGGCCAGGATTAAGCAGCCAGTTGCCTCGGAGAGACTGCGGATTTTGATGAGCGGCGTGTTTCCGATTGTGCCCTCGACGCCATCCACGATGCCGTTGCCGCGGTCGAAACTGCTCACGGAGGATGTTTCGCGGTCCTCGAGGCTGACAGGCCCAAAGAAGATGCTGCCCCGTCGTGAGCGTTTCTTCCGCCGCTCATACCGTGCTTCCAGCTCTGGATAGAGGTCTTTGAACCCCAATGTCATAAAGACGCCGGCAATGAAGGCAACCGCCAAAGCGGCCGAGCCATAGACTCGGGGATGGTCGCTCAACGACATCATGCGCCCATGCTGGTTTTCTGTTACGATTGCTTCTTCCTAAGCGCCACAAGGAATAAAAGATTATCAACAATACCGAATTGGGAAGAACGTATACACAGGCAGAATATAAAGCTCTGATATCGAAATCCAGCAACAGACGGGAATACCTGATCTCAAAGGAAAGTAATTCTCAAGATCGTTGAAGCTTTCTGCGGCTTTGATGTCATCATACCTTACAGCGCTAATGAGCCCCAGCAGCTGCGCCAAGGCCGATCAGACCCCTGCCCTGAATTCGGGCTTGTGGGGCCGGACCCCGGGCGCTTGCTTGCTCGCGTGCTGCTCTCAGGGAGCTCGGGCCATCTGAAAAATGGCGATCCCGAGTTGCGATTGCTGGAGCTGACAGCGTCTTGCATCCTCAGGCTGTCCAGAGTCATTGGACCCTCCCGACAGCCAACGCCTGCTCGGCACCATGGACTCTCCCATCGTGACCCAGTTGTTCCGACAACTGTTTCGACACCATCCTGCTTGCCAATCGCGACGGAATCTGGCAGCCCTTGCGAATGCGCTTCGAGATGTGCGCCAACAACACCTCCGAGAGCAGCAGCTGCGGCACCAGCACTACAATCACCATCAGCACCGCTCCTATGTGACGCGCGGACGTGGCGGCTTGGGCGCCGGCACGCCCCAGGCCGAGAGCAACTGGCAGCAGCGGACCGATATCTTCCAGCACGACATGTCCGAGGAATTTCAGAAATTCCCCATGGTCACTGCCATGGATCTCCGTGGGCGAACAGAGAGGCCCCGCCGGGTCAAGATGTTCATGCGGGACTTCATAGAAGGTTGGTCTTTGGATGCTGCATCAAGGGAGTCAATCGATAACCTGGTGCCGACTACGGCTGACCTCGATTGCTTTGTCCTTCCCAGACAGTCTCTACAACCCAAACTACGGCTACTTCTCCAAGCAGGTGGTCATCTTTACCCCCGGTGAACCTTTCGATTTCCATTCCTTGTACGATGAGCTCGATTTCCACGCCCTGCTGTCCCGTCGATATGTCGAGTTCGAGGATGCTCTAGACGCCATATCCCCGAGCGACACCCGCCAGCTCTGGTACACGCCCACCGAGCTCTTTCGCCCATATTATGGCGAATCCATCGCACGCTATCTTGTCGCCAACTACAAACTCACCACCTACCCCTACCATGACTTGATCATCTATGAGATGGGCGCCGGCCGCGGCACCCTCATGCTCAATATCCTCGATTACATTCGCGACGTCGATCCCGCCGTGTACAACCGAACCAAATACAAGATCATTGAGATCAGCGCGCAGCTCGCGACCCTGCAGACCTCGCAATTGATGCAGAGTAGCGCGGCGCGGGGCCACGCCGACAAGGTGGAAATCATCAATCAGTCCATCTTCGATTGGACCAACCCCGTCCCATCTCCCTGCTTCTTCCTCGCCTTCGAAGTCTTCGACAACTTCGCCCACGACGTCCTCCGCTACGACATGACGACCCAGAAGCCGCTGCAGGGTATGGTTCTCATTGACGAGAACGGCGATTTCTACGAGTTTTACACTCCAAACCTAGACCCTGTCGCAGCTCGCTACCTCCGTGTGCGGGACGCAGCTACGGGAGGGCGGCACAAGGTTCCTTATCCGACCACCCGCCTCGGCCGATGGCTTGCGATGCAGAAGCCGCTGGCGGCCAACCTCAGCCCGCCGGAGTACATACCTACGCGGCTGATGCAGTTCTTTGATGTGCTGGGGCAGTACTTCCCTGCCCACCGGTTGCTGACGAGTGATTTCCACTCGTTGCCGGGCGCAGTCAAGGGCCTGAACGCCCCGATCGTGCAAACGCGGTTTCAAAGACAGCCGGTACCCGTGACTACACCATTGGTAAGTTTGCCTGGGAGCCAGATTGGTGGTGACACCCCGGGCGCCGTGACTGACATGAATGCACAGGTTCATCAGGGGTACTTCGACATCATGTTTCCCACCGACTTCCAGACTGCGGAGGCCACGTACCAAGCCGTTACGGGCAAGCTGACTCGTGTGCTCACCCACGAGGAGTTTATGCGCCGGTGGGCGTACGTCGAGGAAACGGAGACCCAGAGCGGCGAGAACCCGTTGTTGACATGGTACAAGAATGCCAGTGTGCTATATACTGTATGATAAATACATACACACACAACGCTTGTAACAAATGCAATGCCGCCAGCCCGTCGGATTGTCTTAACAGCTTCTGTCTTAGGCGAGGACACGTACAGTCACTCCAGGATTGCTCCAAATTCTATGATATTTCACCGGACTATATCCCCTGAAACTAAAAAAGGCCAGGTTATCATGAGATCTGCAACATAGGATATATGGTCCGCCCCGCCCACATAACCAGTTGAAGCCGCCACAGCGACATAACCACATTACCCCTTTCCGCCCGCTCGTCAGAGAATCAGATATTGAGCTCCTTCAACTTTTCGACCAGCCATTGCTCCGCCTTGGCCACAGCCTCGTCGAGTTTCGCAGGCTCGGCGCCAGCACCCTGCCGGCTCGGCTCCTTGCCGCCGGTCTTGCCGCCAATGACCTCTGTCACAGCAGCGGTCCACTGCTCGGCCGTGATGCCCTTGGACGAGAGGTGCTACGACATATCAGCCAGTGTTCGTCCACAATCTAGGCCAGAGAGTGAAGTAGTTTCAACTTACCGTGCCAACATAGACACCGTGCATAACCGCGTCGTCCTTGCTGCCTGCAAACACATACACGGTCCTCTCCTTGTCCTTGGACTTGTAGTAGGTCATGACATCGGCGATGGCCTTGGCATTCGCCGAGATGGGGAGGTGGCCGACGAAGAACTTGGAGTCCTTGTTCTCCTCCTTGGCGAAGTGACCCTGCACGGTGTCGAGTGCCGTTTTGCTCTCGGCCTTCTGGCGCTTCTTTTGCTCGTCGACAACCTCCTTCTGGATCTTGGTGAACCGCTGCCGCAACTCCTCCTTGGTCAGGGCAGAGATGGTAAGGGCATCAAGCTCGACCGCGGCGGCCTTGATCTCGGCAGCCTTTTGCGGGCCGAACTCGAGTGCCTGGATGTGGTCAAGCTTTTCGCTGAAGACCTTGGCGTCCCGCTGGGCCTGATGCGCACCGTCGCCCGTGTAGGCGACGATACGCCGGATGCCCTTGGCGATACCGCTCTCTTCAACGATGATCAGGTCCTTAATCAGACCAGTCGACTCGACGTGGGTACCGCCGCAGAACTCGACGCTGACCTTGCGCCACTCGGGGTTCTTGGGGTTCTTGAGGAGCTCGTCAACGTCCACGCCGATCGACACGACACGTACAGGGTTGGGGTATGTCTCGCCAAACACGGCGCGGACACCATTGATCTCGCGCGCGAAATCCAGGTCGACATCCTTGGCGTAGGTCTTCAGATCCCTCCGAATATCCTCATTCGACATTTCCTCGATCTTCTTGATCTCCTCCAATGTAACTTGGCTCTTGTGGCTGAAGTCAAAGCGCAACTTCTCCTGGTCGACCAGCGACCCCTTCTGGTGGACATCCTCTCCTAGCACCTCCCTCAGCGCATGGTTGAGAATATGTGTGCCCGTGTGGTTGTTCCGGATGGGCTGACGCCGCAGTTCGTCATATTCGCAGATGACTTCATCTCCGGCAGTGAGCTCTCCATACTCAAGGTATCCGTTGTGCACGATGTAGCCGCCGTACTCTTGGACGTCGAGCACCTTGAACTCGGCGACGCCATCGATAATGATCCTGCCGGTATCTGCGACTTGACCACCAGACTCGGCATAGAAATTCGTCCTGTCGAGCAGCAGACCGAGAGGAGTCTTGGGCGGGAGCTCCTTGCTGGTTGTGCGGAACTCGCTGCCCGTGAAGACCAACTGAACCTTGCCCGTAGTGTCACCCTTCTGGTACTTGGCGTCGGAATCTGGCCGAGGCAGCTGGATGGTGGTCTCCAACTCGGCAATTTGGTGCACGTTGAGCTTGGGGAAAGTCTGAACTGCTTCCTTGACAGCCTTGCTAGCCTCTCTCGCCTTCTCCCGAGCAATTTCAACCTCAGCCTCGTCAATAGTGAGGCCACGCTCCTCCGCCATCAGCTTTGTAAGATCCTCAGGGAACCCAAAAGTGTCGTACAGCCGCCAGACATCAGCGCCGGAGAGCTTGTTACTCTCGGCTTTTACCGCAAGCGCTGCATACTTCTCAAACTGCTTCTCGCCCCTGTCCAGCGTGACGGCAAATGCCACTTCCTCCTCGTCCAGGATCTCCTTAATGTCCTCTTGCTTTTTCTTCAACTCCGGGAACTGCTCGCCCATTTGTTCGACAAGCGCCGGCAGAATGCTTGAGAAGAAGGAGCCAATCTCGGCCTGGAAGTATTTCCTGGCATACCGCACGCCTCTCCGGAGCACACGCCTGACAACATAGCCCCGACCAATGTTGTTGGGGACAGCGCCATCAGCGATCGCAAACGCGAGGAGACGAATATGATCGGCAGCCACACGGTAGGCGGTATCGATTCCATCAACGTCGTCCTTTCCGTACTTGTCAGTATAGGGCCGAGCGCCCGTCACCTCCTGTATCCTGGTGAAGAGTGGGGTGAAAATATCAGTGGCGTAATTGGACGTCTTGTCCTGGAGAGCAGACACAAGACGCTCGAACCCCATGCCGGTATCGATGTGTTTCGCGGGCAATGGCTTGAGCGACTTGTCCTTCTGGCGATCGAACTGCATGAAGACGTTGTTCCAGACCTCTACCACCAACGGGTCATCCTGGTTGACAAGATGCGCGGCGTTCCGCCCCCCAACCTTGTCGTAGTGAATCTCGCTGCAAGGACCGCAAGGCCCTTGGTCGCCCATCTCCCAGAAGTTGTCCTTCATGTTGCCCGGCAGGATATGGTCCTCGGGGACGCCCACTTCGAGCCACAACTGCTTCGCCTCGAGGTCCGGCTCGAGACCCATGTCAGGGTTGCCTTCGAAGTATGTGACGTAAAGTCGGTTGGGGTCCAGGCCGTAAACCTTGGTGAGAAGTTCCCATGACCATTGAATTGCCTCCTTCTTGAAGTAGTCGCCGAAGGACCAATTCCCCAACATTTCGAAGAATGTCTGTCACCGCATGTTAGCCGAGCATCGCTATCGGGGTTGATCACAAACGGCAGGGCTCACGTGGTGGTAGCTGTCCTTGCCAACGTCGTCGAGATCATTGTGTTTGCCACCGGCGCGGATGCACTTCTGTGTGTCGACCGCACGCTTCAACTGGGCCATAGGCTCAGTCTTGCCGATTGTCCCCAGGAAAATTGGCTTGAACTGGTTCATGCCCGCATTCGTGAAGAGCAATGTGGGATCATTGTGAGGGACGACCGACGATGAGGGCACTGTAAGGAAGTCCGGTCAGTAAGAATGAAGACAATCTTCAAAGGGAGCGCATGTCTCCCAATTGGCGATTTCGAAATCTCAGGAACGTCCTGTTGCGCAGCAGCGAGACGCGTGCGGCGCAAGGGCAGAGGAGGTGCTGATGATGGTGCCTTACCGATCGAATGGCCCCTCTCCGCGAAGTAGTCGAGGAAGGTCTTGCGGACGAGGGGCCCAGTCCACTTGACTTCGGCCATGCTGGGCAGGGTTGAAAATCGAGAATAGAATTGATGGCCGCCGTTGATGGAAGCTGACGCGATCTGTAGGTGCACGCTGACCAAGGCGGGGTAAAAGATCAAGGGGTTGTGTGTTGAGAACGCGGTGGCTACTCGAAAGTTCTCGAGTACGGAATTAGATAGCGGGGCAATGGGGCGGCTTTTGTGGTGGAAGCTTCGCGACCCATGACTCAAAGGCTCAAAAGCCGGGCGATAGCAGCCGGGCCCACCCCAGCTTCTGGACCGGCGCAACCACAAGGTCTTGTCCAAGCGCAATGCTCGCGACATTTTCCTCCTTTCCCCTCGCGATATCAGCCGCTTCTGTACTCCGAACAGATACTCAGATCCCCGCAGCGATTGGGTAACATCCACAGCATTTCAGCCCTCTGCAGCTGGCGGCGCGGCAGAGGGGTCAGTTGGCGAGGAGAGCGAGCGATAAGGAGTGGCGAGGCGGAAGGAAAAAAGAGCAATTGCTGGCGAACTTTGCGACGACCACCCCTGGAGATGGATGGACTCGGCATTGACCACCGCTATCACCACCAACACCAACACCAACACTTTGGCCATGCGCCATTCGCACCACAGCAATTGCCATCACAGCCTACGCGCAAGCGCAAGGCCGAAGTGCCACCAGAGAACAATGAACGTCTATCCAAACGGATGAGTTTATTGAATCTCGGTAAGTTTTCTTGGTCCAATAGAAGTCGGCACATCCGACCGCTCTCCCATGCACCACTTACAGCCGACTAATTCGCATCAGAACACTCCGGCCAAAAGCTTTACGTTCCAGTCGAAAGCCCCGACGCTCACTATGTAGACGCCAGCGCGGCCACCAAATCCCAGAAAACTCGGCGCCACAAACAACCCATCGATGACTCGCAAATGCAGCTCGACGATTCTAAGTACAAAGTCTACATCTACAACATCGACGACGAGCTCTCCTCATCCGACAACGAGAGCGAAAGCGCCGACGGCAAGCTCGTCTTCCTCCCCGACATTGAGAAGCACCTGCTCGCCAGCCGCATCCCGACGCGCGTGCTGGACCCGAGGCCCGACCCGTGCGCCGAGCTGGCGGGAAAGGAGCTCGTGTTGTACAGCGTGCCGAGTTCCATCTCGATTCCCGAGGAGCAAGACAGCGTACGCAAGGCTATTATTGAAGCGAGAGCCAGGGCGAGGGAGAAGCAGCGGGCTGGGATGCTGCAGGCTGCTGCTCGCCAGGCGCTCGTGCCTGTGCCGGCGATGTCATCATCGCCATTATTGACGGTTGGGCCGATGGAGGCTGAGCCATTGGTTGGGTTCGAGGAGGACCCAGATGCGATGGAGCTTGATTAAAGGCACAAGCGGAGGGAGAGCTCAACGCTGTATTGCGGTGATGCCCATGTTCGGCGCTCAACGAAGAATTTACGACACATTATGATGGTTGGGTGGTTGCTTTCAGCCAGGTGTTTATGGGGCGGTGCAGGTGCAAGTTTAGCAGGCCGATGGCACTGGGATCTTGGTATCAATTAACGAGTTTGATGTTTATTTTTACTCCTCCTAGGACTGGTCGGACGATTCTAGGTTGCGCGGGCTGTGTATGCAAAGCAAACGCAAGATACAGCCCAAACGCCAAGCTCTACTACCATTAACGCCAGAAGATGATCCTGTGGCCTTCTACCGCCTTCAGCGAACTTCGTTCCTCATCAGCGAATTACTATTACGACGCCCTCGACCCCGTCAGGTGAAGCTTTCTGCTTGATGTACGGCACTGATTTCTCAGTTGCGGAAGGTGTCGGTGTTGCCCGTACCCTGTGCCCACATGGAACTCGCTGGAGGACCTGGAGGTGGTGCATATGTGGCTTGCGGTCTGCTGGAAGACGGAGGAGGTGAACCGGGCGGCGGCGCATACTCGAATCGCTCCTCGTTCTGTTGCTGACTCTGCTGTCCCTGCTGACTCTGCCCGGCTTCGGCCTGGTGAGTGGACCTTACCTTTGTCGAGCCGGCAGGGGGCTCGTACTTGGGCGGCCGTGGCGCATTGGGGTCGTATACAGGTGGAGGCGTGGCATGCATGTCGTAGTAGTGCCGTTCAGGGGTATACGGGTAGAAGCTTGCGGGCTGAGGAGGCCGATAGTGAGGGTCGACTGGGGCAAGAGTTGCGTGGGACACCAGGAACTTCACAGCGTGTTAGTACTTGTACTTTGGGAGAGAGAGAAGCAACCTGGCGAGACATACTCGGTGATAGCTCAGGGGCGGCAGGCCCTTCTGTATCCTGTTTTGCGCGTGTATGTAGCCTATCAAAAGGTACAAGCAGAGTACGACTACTATGCCGAGGAAGAGCGACCATTTCAGGATGGATCCCGTCTGCTGCCAAGTCAGCTTCGTGTCTTGCTGATCGCGACCAAGATCACCGCATACCCTTGTGCTCCAGAATGGCACATAACAAGTGCTGTCATCAGGGAATCCATCTTCGGTGAATGTGCAGTTCTCAAAAGCCCCAGCTAAGAGGACTGGGTCCCCAGGAGCCATGGTGTTCGCGGTACCTGAAATCCCTGAAGCTCGGTCGAGACGAACGATAAGGGTGTGACCGGATGACGATGAATCACGCACAGCGAAAGGTAAGAGGCACGAAAGGGACCAGGAGACGCTATAAAACGGATGAAGTTCTTGTGGATGAGAAAGAGTGGTATCCCGCGGAACTTGAGAAGATGTGCCAAGGCTGGAATCAATATGAAGTGAGTGAGCTCTTGGCTTGGGTTTTTGGGTGTAAAAGTAACTACGTGTGCAATTTGAGGGCAACCGCGTCGGTAATAGAAGGTCGCACCTTTCATTCGCACTGCAATTGATAAGTGAAGTCGGGGCGGGACTCGGATGTCTGGATGAGATGGCAGTGGCGCTGGGCAGAAGAGTACAAAACCGAAGGGAGGTTTTCATGACGAAACAGCATTTCATCTACTTCCGAGACGAAGGTAAGGGTTGCGAAACCCCTCTCTCGCCTCCAACAGCAATTCGATGAAATTTGAGGTCAATTAATGTATGTATGTACAATATGAGAGTTACGGAGTACATGGCATACCTTCCAGGGTCCTTCTGATGGAGGCCCGTGACTCGACGGAGTGCTAAGACCTTGGACTTGATCCCACTGAAACACCAGCTCAACCCCACTTTTATCTCGCCGCCACCCCTTCTTCCAAGAATCGGGCAGTTGGCCCAGAGAGCCCAAAACAGGAATCCCCTATTGTAAGCCACATAAGACATACATACGCATACGCGGCGACTACTAGAGGTAGTAAATAAAATTGAGGCTCCCAAATACAATTTATAACTCAATTAATGATGTGGGTGATACGCCTAGAGTTGTTGATAAATTTCCTTTTCCCCTTTCCTCTCGAGGTTAAAGCTCAGATCTGAACTCTTTCCCTCAGCATTTTTTGGCATTTCTTAACAAGCTTACGGATCCGTAGAGGAAAATCTTGCTCGAGTCCTAGAGAAGAGCTTGAAAAAGAAAATTCACCAAGACCTCTACGCGTATCGCCAATATCATCAATCGCGTTATAGAATCGGATTCAGGAGGCTTATATGTACTATATTCTATATCGTCCGCGTACGTGTATGTGCTGTATAGGCCTGTAATGGTTGGATTCCATCTTGGTCCTTCTGGCCAACATTGGCTCAACTGGCCGCTTTTAAGATGGTTGGTAGGCCAGATTTAAAATGGCGTTGACTTGGTGTTTAGAGAAAGCAGAGCAACGGCGGCGCGTCGGCAATCTGCCGGTGATGCACGGGCCAGGCCGCTCCAGCCGATCCAAACCGGGATGGCGGCGAATCTCCACATCTGCAGGCGAAATCTCGCCCGCAGCAGTGTCTCGATTTCCGCATCGGCAAGGTGACATAATAGCGCAGCAACAACCTGATAGGGATTGGACGTCAATTCCACCCTCATTCGGGGCTGCACACAAGGCCCGAAAAACACAACTTCGATCCCTATCCTAGACCGACAGACCCGATGAGGTGGATCACTTAGTCCGTCTTGAACTCATATCTCAATTGCGACAGCCAAACACTTCCGTGATGCTCTGGCAAAGGAATCTGTACACTTAGCCTCCATTCTCTGCCGGGCCAGACAAGGCCGCGCAGAAACAAACCTTTTCCCTCCATCCATCGCGAAATGGCGGGCACTCTTCGCGCGGCCAAGTTGCTCCCACTGCCATGCCATCGCGCAACAACCACATCGGTGGTGAGGCCCATGGCTGGGACGGAAAGCTCTTACGGCACTTCCCGCACTACTCACTTTAGCACGACACCGACTGTTCCGCCACAAGTGTCTGCGTGCTTGTCGAAAGCCGTTGACACCACAGCGGCGTTTCGGCGACAAAAACCCGGTCTCCCTCTGGTATCTTTTCCATTGATGCGCCCACGCGTCGCCTATTCAACCCACGCACCGTCGCCAAGCAACAAGTTCGTCTACAATGTCGCCGCGTCATATATTGCCAAAGGCCGCGTCTATGACCCCTCGACCCACGTTTTCCAATTCAACCCATACAATCGCGTGCAACCACCAAAGGGCGGCCGCGGGAAGGCCCCGCGCCCCGAGTCAGGACAGGACGCGTTCTTCGTGAGCCGACTTGGCGCCGTTCCCGGCGAAGTTGCCCTTGGCGTAGCCGACGGCGTGGGCGGGTGGATGGATAGCGGCGTCGACCCGGCCGACTTCTCGCACGCCTTCTGCGACTACATGGCTGCGGCGGCCGTGGCGGCCGCAGCCACAATGCGAGGGACGGGCCGGCCACTTACGGCGCGCCAGCTTATGCAGCTGGGCTACGAAGCTGTGTGCCACGACCCCGCCATTAAAGCAGGCGGTAGTACCGCTGTTGTCGGCCTGCTCACGGCCGAAGGCCTCCTTGAGGTAGCCAACCTGGGCGACAGCGGCTTCATCCTGCTGCGTCTCAACGGCGTACACGCTTCCAGCGAGCCGCAGACGCACGCCTTCAACACCCCTTACCAGCTCAGCGTGGTGCCGCCGAGCATGCTCTTGCGGGCGGCAACTTTTGGCGGAGCGCAGCTCATGGACCAGCCGCGCGACGCCGAGGTGACGCGCCACCGGCTCCGCCACGGCGACGTCATCGTCTTTGCGAGCGATGGCCTCTGGGACAACCTTTTCAACCAGGACGTGCTGCGAATCGTCAGCCGGACAATGGCCCAGAACGGCGCATGGGCAAGCACTGAGCGGGGCGTGCAGGTGGCGCCGGATCTGAGGCCGTATACTACTCAAGGAGAGAATACCACGTCAGGGGCTCCTTGCCCTACGCTACAGAGCCTGCTGGCGACAGAGATCGTCAGCGCGGCTAAGTCCGCCAGTGTCAACAGGAAACTGGACGGCCCTTTTGCGAAGGAAGTCAAGAAGTACTATCCGCAGGAGATTTGGCGCGGGGGAAAGGAGGACGACATTTGCGCTGTCGTTGTGCTCGTGTCCGAAGAAGAGGCGCCCGTGAAGGCTAAGCTCTGAACACACGCGCGACGCATCTCGGGACCGGAACTTTACCCCGCTCAAAGCAGAAGACCTTGAAGGTTGATGGTCAGACACCAACAACCTTGATGGGGAGATATGACTGCCAAAAGGCGAAGCGATTCATTCATATGTACTCCTGAGCATTGCCGAGGCCTTCCCATAGAAGCCTTCAGCTGGCGTCCATCAGGAAAACCGCAAAGGGGAGCAAGCTTGTTCAACTTGGATCTTATGTCGAAGCATACGTTCCCAGTTAGGATAGACATGGTTGTCAGAGAGCGCGTTCGTGATGGATCTGGGGACCGAACCATCCGGATGTTCAGATGGCCCGGGTTCATTAAAGGGCAGGAGGATCAGCAACCATACATAGTTACATCAGAGTATTATCATTTGAGCGCAGAGTCGCCGATAGAAAGACATTCCAAGCAGTCAAACGATACTTGCTAGAGAATCCGATCTGAAAACTCATGTTACCTCAAGTCGCTGTGCCTAATTACGCAGCCCTTGGACCCGAATAGCCTGTCGGAAAGTCCATGTTCGGATGTATGCTGCCTTACGTATATCTTGTCCCACCTACCTGACTCAAACACCCAACCCACAGAAGCCACCGCCACATTTCTCAACGGCTTTGTATTAACATCATAACGCTTCGTTGCCGAAGATCGAGTGGATAGCGTCCGCGGGATATTACTGGCAGCTGCAGCCCACAGAGCCTCATGTACGGATCCGTACGCTCCCGCTGATCCAAGCCGCAACAACACGTCTGCAGTGTAGGACAACGTCAACTCGGCCTGTTAGCTGCATCAGCAATGTAATCAGCCGAAACCCACTGCACGCGCCCTGCGAGTTGCCGACTAAACTAGCATGTTACTAAAGGGATTCAAACCACTAAGAACCGGCACAGCAGCGCTAGTCACGATAACAACGGCATCCATCAACAATACCGAGAATTAATTCCCAGGGCACACATCGGGCATTGGCATGCCGTCCGCTCTACCCTAATAAACTCCTAAGGCTGGTAGTGTAGCAAGCCAGTATTGACATAACCGCCACTAAAAACACACGCGCTTGAAAGCGCATACGTCCAGTAAAAACGACATGGCAAACCCCTAGAAATTCGCGCCAATGCAAGGACCTAGTTTTCAACACCATGATCCGAACTCCACCGCTGCGCACTCGTCCCATGACCAACCTACCACCCTCCAAGGTCATGCTGAGATCCTGACCCAGTTACTGAGACCGACCCGCTTCGCGCGAGTCCGGCCGCGGCGCCCGGTCACGGCATTTTCAAGAACAATGTATGTACGAGAAGACGATGGTACCAGAAACGGTATTCCGTCTCGGAAACCGACAACGCCGAAACACCGCGCGGTGGTTTTTTAGTTGAAGAAGACGAGGGCGGCCACGGTGACCAGGACGAAAGCGAGGGGCGAAGCGAAGCGCTGGCCGCCATTCGTGTTGGGCGGAGCGGTCGCCGAGGTGGTGGCAGCCGCGCGGGTGCTCGACGGACGCTCGCTAGACGTGGTGGTGAAGGCTGCAGAGGAAAGGTGTCAGTCATCCAGACAGGACGTAACAGAGTAGCCTTGATTGGAGTGTAACTTACAGGAGGAGGCAGAGCTGCTAGCGCTAGAGGTGGTGCTGCTAGTCTCGCTCTCACTGCCAGTGCTGCTGCTACTGCTGCTAGAAGTGGTGCTCGAGACCGTGGTCCTGCTGCTAGAACGGGTCGCGGACTCCGAGGCGGAGCTGGAGGAAAGGCTGCCGGTGCCGGAATAGCTGAACAGTTTGCCGTAGTTAGGCTCGCCAGACCCGTCGGTGATCCTGATGGCATAGTTGCCCGACGGGATGCCGCTGAGCGTGAAAGTGTACTCGCTGCCCGTCACACCGCCTGTGGTCAATTAGCGATTGGCCCGTCTTCGTGAGAGACATGTCGCGCTTGCTTACTGGCAATGTCGGAAACCACTTTCAGGTTTCCTGGGTCGCCCGTCATAAGGGTGATGGTAATAGGCCCTTGGGCGTTGTTCCACTTCAGAGTGAACGGCTCACCCTCCTCAATGTCGTAGTTGCTGTTGAGGAGAACCGGCTTGGCGAGCACAGCGGCCGCGAAGGCGAGAACGGTGCCGACGGAGAACTTCATTGTGACTGAATTGAAGTATGAATATTCAGATTAAGCGATGGTCAGGAGACAGCGTAACTATCGACGAGCGATATGATCAGTCAGAGTACTGAGGAAACAGAATGTGATGTTGATCCGTGCAACTCGGAGTTTGGGAGAGTCGAAGTTGGTGCTCGAGACGCGGAATGTGGTTGCCGGGAGCGACCTACCAAGCTGTTTAGAATGCGGTTTGGTGTAATTAAGTGAGACTTGCGCCGAAGATGGCAATTGAGTATTAATGGAATGGAAAGTGGATGGTGAACGACCGTGGAGGAGCGAGGATATTATTACGGCAAAATAAAAGCCAGTTGTGAGTGACAGGCACGAAGATGGCAGTGCAGAAGCAGGAAGGAAGGAGGAAGAGAGAGGAAGAACACTCGGCGGCTCCCAGGGGCCAAAATACCTCGACAGCCGAAGGACGATGCCTTGGAGTGACGACTCACGCACTGGGGTCACTACACCCAATAGGAGGGGAGGAAAGAAATATCATTCGCTTGATGCACCCCGGAACATGCTTGAAATGGGGAAGCGGCACGGGAAACCTGGGCAACCAGGGGCAGACAGGGGGAAGGTACAGACCAGGGTTTGGATCGGACGGAACGTCGAAGAATAGGCTGCCGTTCCCCTCTCGGCAGCTTTCTCTCATTGACCATGCAAGGCAGGCATAGGTAAGGTTAACTGAGAAGGACCGGAGTTTCCAACGGCGCTGCGGAAGGCGCAGAGTTTCGGACACGTCTTTTGCGGCGAAGGGCTCCTTCACGTCTCGGACCCTGGGGCAACGATTTCTTCAGCGCGGCTCTTCACCGTCTAGAGTCTCGGCTTCCGTTCCTGGACTAGTGTTTGTGGTGTTGAATTAATGTGGAAATTGCATGCAGTTCGATTCAGCCCTGCAAAAGTGCTCCGCAGCAGCAAGTCGCCGTGCCGTCCGTCGATGATGCTAGAACGGGACTGGAATGGTACGGGTAGCAGTCCGATACGGAGGACTTTTAGGTCTTTCCGTTCTGCCTCTCCTGTTCAGCAGACTTTGCCAAAGAGGATGATTGAGGTGTCGCGCGCCGGAGCAAGTTGACAGGCACATCTCACATGGATGCATGCAGGTGGACCTTCATCTCGCTGGTCACGGATCCACAGCGTTTCCTCCATGTTATTGGCGGCAGTGATTCCATAATTCATATTGAGAGATCTCGAAGGACTGCGTCGCTGCGAATGTTCGATCCCCATGAATGCTCGAGGTAGGTTGCTCAGGTGCTTACGCGGAAATGGAGTACTGGACAAGAAGTGACGAAGTGACGAAACACCAACCTGATGCTGGCTCAAGACAAATTGGCGGAAACGGCCAATGGATTGTCGCGCTGTAAACAGCACATAGAACTGTTCGCTGCTCCAGTGCTTTGCAAAGATCACCATGCCGATTTTGAACAATGACGAAATTGACTGCCACACAAGATCTGGCACCCACCCTCCGCTAGATGCGCTTGGCTTTCCAGCTGAGGTGATCACAGCTAGGAAGGCGGTTGGATACTCGCGTCGCACAGCAGAAAGTCAACAGCCTTCATGTCGTGTAAGATGTGATCCTGGTCGTCCGAGCTGAAGCTCGTGGCCAAACTCGGCACCCATGCCTTTGGGCATTGAATTGCTGCGCCTACGCGCTTTCGCGTCCTTTACCCCCCCAATGCCTCATCAGGTTTCCCAGAATTGTCTCGGGAAGCAGCGTGCTGGACGCTGAGACATCTTCCGACAAGCACATTGTTGCGGCGCATGCCGTAGGTAAGACAGCGAAACGGAGTTGCAAGTTGTACTTGTACGGTTGTCGTGTCGTAACATACCGTCTCGAGCATCACTGTCGGCACAGAGCCGAATCACCTGACGAGACCAGGTGCATGTCCTCCCGCGTGACAATCTTTTGACCGATGCTGAAGGGTCCTGAAGATCGAGGTTCAGCCCCTCTGTGCAAGGCCTGTTCCAATGCTGCGGCGCAGAAACACTTTCGGCTCGGGTAAAAGGAGTATATGCGGGATCTGCGGACAGTGCCCTCATAACAGGAGACAGAACCACGCAGCGAAAGGATGAAACACCCTTTTGCCTCAAGGAATCTGCCGCAAGCACTGTCGTTCGGGCCGTCGCACGCCGTGTCTCGTCACCAGCTGCGTCCGATGGCAACAAAGGCGTTATTGATAACCAGCAGATATAACACTATGGTGCTCGAAATGTCCTCAATTGTGCTCAGGAGAGAAGACATTCGACGACGCCACGGTGCACCCCCTGCGTCTCCTCAAACAGCGTTCTGACGGAGGTGCCAAGTCCCCTCATCTTGTCGACGAAGTCGTCTAGGGAACCACCGACGCCAAAGTACAGCCTCTTGGCGGCAATGAGAGCCCTGGCATTGCCACTTGAGCGCTCGCGGCGCTCACGCCGCAGGATCGAACGCAGCGTGCTGCTGAAGCTTTCGAGAGCAAACGGAGAGTAGATGGTTTCGGACCCCAGCAACAGTGTCTTTGTGGTGTCTGGGAGGTTCGCAGGTACGCCGGAGCGGTAAAGGAGGTCAACGAACTCGGAAGACCATGCTCCTGAGAGGAAAGATAGGGTGATCCGATCGCAGGAAAGGGTCTGTCTAAAGGCTTCGAGCACTCCTGGTGTTAATTCCAGCTCCCCGTCAAGGCTGAAAGCCTCGTCGAGCTTGGTGTCTCCGCTCCGCCGCTGCAGGGCCCAGGCAAGAATCAGGTTGGGCAGAGTCACGAGATAGAGCACAGAAGGGTTGTAGTCTGCGAGGGCAAGCACGAGTGGATGCCTCTGGTCGGATTTCCTCTCACCCAAAGCCCATTGAAATAGAGCAAGTGAAGGCAACGCTGTGCCGCAACCAAGCTGCAGAACAAATCAGCAAACGAGCAGTCTAACCTGGCATCCAAGTATAGGGCACATCACCGCACCTCAATCAGGACACATGGGTCTTGCAGCAGAACATCGGTGACGTTCTCGCGTGCAAGCACCCTGACCAAGTCGACGCTGCTCTCCCAGCTCTTGAAGCCGCCCTCGTAAATGCCCGTCTTGACATCGTGGTCCCCGAGTCCAGCTTCCGACTCGGAAAGGTTGTCGGTGTTCTCCTCAGCCATCAGCTGGACACGCACATCCCACAGCTCACGCCGGGGTAGCTGAAGGATGCGGCTACCCCCGAGATGGATATCAAGCAAACTGAAGGCGATCCTGGAGGGCAACCGCGAGAGGAGATCATCCAGGGAATGCTGGGTCGGCGGAAGCAACGGCTTGCCTTGTACAGGGAACGCGCCTGCCGCCGAAGGAGAGGATGATGTTGTCGCCGTGTTATTGGTCTGGGTCTGTACAGGAGCTTGGACGTCCTCCTCTATGTCGTCCCCAGCGAAGGAGAATGAAAACGCCATGTTCCCCTGCCCGATGTCCAGAGAAAGATCGGAATGTTGTTTCTGTCAACCTGTCCGGTGGCCTAATCTCGAGCAGAGTGCGCCAAATACGAGAAATAGTTTGCCGCTTCAGGTGCACCAGCTTTGCTTTGCCGTCAAGAAGGATGCGTTGTTGAGAGCCTGCCCGGCTGACCTGACGATTGAGGTGATACAATCGGATCGACCGAATCGCCGATGAGTTTCTTGTGGGCGACCGTGCACTGTGGGGCCACCGTAGGGTTCCACTACGGCAGGGCAATTCCGCCGAGCGCCCAGATCCATTTGTTTGACAGCCGCACCCCGCTGACCCAAACATCATCTCATTCGCCTGCATCAGCAACTTCCCGAATGCAACCTACGGCTGCAGGTGTTGTGGTTGGACAAAATACGGATTCCATCGGGATGCAATTATCGAGTTACGCAGCTTGCTTCGGCTCCTGTTGCTTGCAACGCCTAGACCTGCGCAACGCCCAAAAATCTTCCACGAAACCGGCACCAATGCGCGTGCGAGGCCCATGCCCGATGGTCTCTCGCCCCCGACAACAGCCTGGAGAGTTGGCACGTCTGTCTGCCGATGCCGCATGCTGACTAGTCCTTTGACCAAATTCCTTTGCGACTTTGGCGAGCCTTGCTGTGGGATATGTATTATCGGGAGGCTATGTGGCTCCATGGCGAAGTCTGGCCCGCCGTAAATGGACCAACTGTGCAGGTGCTTCCTCTGGCCGGCCCCTCCACCCCGTCAAGCTGAACCAGGGCATGAGTTCGGGTTGGGTCGTGATTCTTTGAGGGCTCTCCATGTTTGCTCGGTCATCATGGTCAAGTCGGACACTAGTTTGCGGCATACCTGGCCAACCCGGTATGAAAGACGGCTTGGAATACTTCGAAGCACTTGCCTATCGTGGAAAACATATCCAGCTACAGACGAAGGCCAAGTTTGGCTGCGGGGGCATTCCTCCATCCTACGAAACGAGACAACTTAGGCCCGCTCCTGTACCGTGAACCCATGCTTCAGCCAGGTCACTCCGATCCTTCTCTGGCCGGGATATAAGCCCGGCCCTCCTGGATCCCAAACTGCTTGCTCCAGCCCAGCCGGTTCAGCAACAAGCTCGGCTTTGTTAACCACCGTCAACTTCTCCTTCTTTCTGTCCATCAGAGTCGACGCCGGACGCTCACACCGAACTCATGTCGCAAGTCAACGGTCATGCCGAGGCAGTCGAACCCCAGCCTCCCCTTGCTGCTTACACGGTGCAGGAACAGCCCCTCGGTTCCACGCGGCACATCCGTATTGTTGTCATTGGAGCCGGAGCGAGCGGCCTAAACCTGGTCCGGACGCTGCGGCTCAATCTCAGCGACTTTGAAGTTGCCGTCTACGAGAAGAACGCCGATGTGGGAGGCACTTGGTTCGAGAACCGCTATCCCGGGTGCAGATGCGACGTCCCCAGTCACAGCTACCAGTTCTCATGGCGGCAAAAAAAGGACTGGACCAACTTCTTCTCGACTGCAGAGGAGATTGGAGAGTATCTGTGCCGGGTTTGTGACGAGGAGGGCATGAGGGAGTCGATCAGGACTTCGCACCAAGTGGTCTCGGCGCAGTGGAGCGAGAAGGATGGGCAGTGGGAGTTGGTTATCCGGAACTTGGAGTCCGGGGAGGAGTTCAGCGACTACGCAACCTTCCTCGTGAACGGGACGGGCATCTTGAAGTAAGTAGAGATATGAACCCTACTTCTTGCAGCACTCTGACTGGAAACAGCAATTGGAAGTGGCCGGATCTTGATGGGCTTGATTCATTCCAAGGGCGCCTGATTCACACTGCCCGGTGGCCAAAGAATTTCGACCACACGGGCAAGACCATTGCCGTTATCGGCAACGGATCCAGCGGAATCCAGGTGCTGCCAGAGCTCCAACCGGGTAAGACTTTCACACTCCGGTTACACTCAGAAGATCTGACAAGGGCCAGGTGCCGAGAAACTGTATCACGTATTCCGGACGCCCACATGGGTTCTTCCTCCGAGGATCCAGGCGTGGAAAGTCATGGGCCAAGCCGGCCAGATTCTGAGCCAGATCCAGATGGACGCCCAGGAGAACTTCTCGCAGGAGACCATCGAGAGGTTCCAGTCTGACCCCGACTTCTACCGCGCGTTTGTGAAGAAGATCGAAGTGGAAGTGAACAACGCTTTCCCGGTCGTAAGATGATCCCGCTCTTTGGTCCTTTGACCATGGCTAATGTCATTGTTCAGGTGCTCGCAAACAGCCCGGTACAAGCCTTTGCCAGAGCGAAGGTCACGGAATACATGACGCTCATGCTCGGGGGGAACCAGGAGCTTTGCAAGGCACTGATACCCGACTTCCCGCTTGGATGCAGGAGAATGACCCCCGGCCACGGATACCTCCAAGCCCTGACACAACCCAATGTGGAAGTTAGGCGATCAATGATCAAGCGGTTTGTGCCGGAGGGTATCGAGCTGGAATCCGGGGAAATCTTGAAGGTCGACGCGATCGTCTGCGCGACAGGTTACGATACGTCTTTCCGCCCGCGCTTCCCGATTATCGGCTGCGACGGAAACCTTCAAGACAGATGGAGAAACGAAACCCCAAAGGCCTACATGTCGTGCGCCGTGGCCGGGCTACCAAACTACTTCAGTACGTCCACCCTCCGCCCGCGCATCTTTTTTCACAGCTCCCGACTAACCCCATCCCCCAGTGTTCCTCGGCCCCAACGGGCCAATTGGCCATGGAAGTGTCTTCACTCTCACGGAACACATCGCAAAGTACATTACTTCTGTTATCAAGAAATGCCAGACCGAGTCCATCAAGGCCATCGTCCCGTCTGCGGCAGCAGTCGACGACTACTTTGAGCACATCACGGCCTTCATGCCGCGCACCACGTGGGCTACGCCCCGGGGAAGGTCGTGGTTCAAGAATGGGCGTGAGGACGGGCCTGTCACGGCGCTGCATCCTGGCAGCCGGATCCATTTTTTCCACATGCTGGAAAGGTTTAGGGGTGAGGATTGGGAGTATGTGTATATGGGGGGAAGGAGGAATCGGTTTGGGTACCTGGGCAATGGATTCTCCACAAAGGAGCTGGATCCGCAAGGGGATACGACCTGGTATCTTGATGAAGGGGCGGTTGTGCGATAAATGGGATTCCAATTGTGGCTGGGGCGAGTTGGCACGGTTGGTTGGGTGTTGGGTTGAGGGTGCCTCGGGGTTTACCTCGCGGGTTTGTGCATTATCTTTCAGATGATGAGGACCGGGTGATGATTTCAGACATACGAGGATGGGAGATAATTTGAGTAACCAGCCTTGTGGCTAGTCAAAGTCGCCTTCGCACGGCTGCTTATGCTTCTAGCTTGGGATCGCGAGTCCCTTGCTCGAAGGCGTGCAATGATCAGATGACCAGCGGCTGTGTTATCATTTCTCATAACCTGACGGGTGCGGTACTTACTGCCATCCTCTACCTGCAGTGAAACGGCACTTTCTTATGCGGTTGGATGGTCCGGTCGGCTCGACAGAAGCATCCGGGGGTCTCTGAGCCCCACAACGGCCCGGAAGCGCCCCGTGAGAGGCCTGAAGGTCCGCTCCGCCCACACACAGCCTCAACACCCGGCCAACAGTAGCCTTTATCGCATTTCGACGCGGTGGAACACATTGGCGTCGAATTGAAAAGACAGGCCAGAAGTATTGGTAATTTTGCTCAAACCTGACAGCAGCTGTCGCCCGGTTTCTTTGCCCCCCATTTTTGACAGTCCTTCGTTTGGTACGCAGGGCCGCGCAGCTCTTCGTTCTTGGCCTGGAACGCCAGCTTCACCTCCAAAACGACATCGTCCCGTGTCCCCTCAACTGGACCTCAGTTGTGGCTGACTCTTTTACGATGTTGGGCACGATGCTACCCGGCTTTTGGTCGCTTATGGCGTTTCCATCAACCTCATTATTGGGTATTGGCCTTTTCAGCGACCGTCAGCCACCAGTCGATCCTCTGGTCAAGCCTGCTGTCTGTCCGAAACATACCTGCAGCAAGGTTTGAGGTGGATATTGTGGATTACAGGTCTGGAACTTGCACTGGGACTTACAGGTTGACCTACAGCGGCATGAAGGTAGTGGCCAGAAGACCCCGGCGCTTCTGGATGGCTTGTCATTGGAGGGCCGCAAGGCGGCCAGGCAAAGGCCATCGTGAAACTGATGGCCACCATCTTCGGTATATCCTGGTCGCTGGGCACTTCGGGTGATCTTGATCTGTTTCTCACGCACCGAAACCTGGCATCGCTCGCTGCATTGCTGGAAAGTGGCTGAGAAGGCATGCTTGAGAGAGTCAATCGAACCCGGAAACCATGTCGCCTGGAGACTTCGACGAGAATGAGGCCATCAATCTTCTCTCTCTGGGTGAGTTGCTCGTTGTTCTCCACACGGAATCCATGACTTACCCAACGCAGACGGCGGAGGTGTCCGTGGAGTTTCTTCTCTGGTCATCCTCGACCAGATCATGACGAAGATCAAGGATATGTACAAACTCTCCGAAGAGCCCAAGCCCTGTGACTTCTTTCACATGATTGCAGGTACCAGCACGGGAGGGTAAGCATCAGACGCGGGACAGAATCTCTGACGAGATCGGGCTCGGTGGCTGACACATCTAAGACTCATCGCGATCATGCTCGGGAGACTGCGGATGTCGACCAAAGAGGCCCTACAGGCGTATGACAACTGTGCCGCCAAAATCTTCGCACGAGACAACCGGAAGACTTGGAGCTTGTCGGACAAGTTTCAGGCCACTGCGCTTCGGGAAGTTGTTGAGAGCATTGTTAAGGAACGCGGCTTGGGCGAGTATATGCGGGATCCCGAGTTCCCCAAGAAAGGGAAGGCGATTGTGTGCGTCATGCCCGCGGGCAACATTGGGAAGCCCCGTTTCGCGCGCTCCTTCTATGGTGACCAGGGCACTGAGGAAAATTGGGATGAGGGTGTCTTGATATGGGAGGCTGCCAGGGCGACCACCGCCGCTTCTTCGTTCTTTAAGCCTCAAACACTGGGCCGCGGCAAGTCAGCACAGCCATACATTGACGCAGCAATTGGCGTGAATAACCCTGTGGACTATCTCCTGACGGAGGCTGTCAATGAGTTTGGATCCGCGAAACGGCTCGGCTGCATCGTTAGCATCGGCACTGGCACCAGGGATGTCAAACTGGAGAGAGGATGGCTCGGTCTTGCGAACCTGCTCCGGATCATCGGCATTTTGAAAAATACCGCCACGGACGGCCAGGAAACCCATCGACGACTCCAAGCAAGACTGTCACCCTTCCCTGGTTCATACTATCGCTTCACCGTTCCTAATGCGGCCGAGCAAGTTGGCCTGCATCACTACAAGAAAATACCCCTGCTGAAATCTTCGACTGCCGAATACCTCACCGAGCCGGAAGTCAGCAGGCAAATCTGTCAAATTGCTGAGGGGCTGAAAACGGACTGTTTTGAGCATGGTCTTACTCTTGGCCACGTCTGTATGAAAGCCGGCCTCGTTCTCCCTTTTCCCTTGACACTTATGTGCTAATCAAGAATAGCCGGCCTTGATAAAGAGCAAGTATTTCTTTCGACGAAGGCTCAGTCCATGGGGATTACGAGTTCCTTTTTCACGGGAAGGCAAGACATATTACAGAGGCTTGATTCCTTTTTCTCACCACGCAATACTGGAGGGAAACCTCGGCGAGAATTCCTGCTGCACGGGCTGCCCGGCGTTGGAAAGACCGAGGTGGCCATAAAGTTCTCTGAGGTTTTCGAAGACAGGCTCGTGCATATCCCCCTCCCAGTTCATGGAGTGTGCTAATACCTTGTCAGGTTTAAATACATCTTCTACATCGATGGTTCGATGCCTGCCACAATCACTCAAAGTTATGCCCAGATCGCCAAGCGGTACGACCTCGGAATATCTGGGACTACCGAAGGCATGAAGAACCTCGCAATGCGCTGGATGGAAGAGTTGGCGGATGAGTGGCTCCTGATCTTTGACGACTGCAAGCCTGACGACCGGCGAGCCCATCTTCCTGGCAGAGGCAAGGGCAACGTCATCTACACATCTCGTTCCACCGAGTTGAGAAATGATCTTCCCCACGACTGTTTGCTCGAAGTCCCCCCGTTCACAGAGGCGGATGCGGTACACCTCCTGTTGAAAGTGTCTGGCCGCCAACAGGGGTCCGTAGGTTCGTTCGAAGACATGGAAGCGGCTCGAGCTATTGTTCGTGAGTTGGGCTCCTTGCCACTCGCCATTGACAAGGCGGCAGCGTCCATCCGGGATCGGAGGCTAGCATTCCACGACTACCTCAAACAAATCCGCGATCGCAAGGTTGGCATACTCTCCGACCCCCGTTACAGAAACAGGAAGGTTGAGAATCCCACAGTCTACGCCACCTTAGAGCTCTCGGCCGAAGCCATCATGGCCCGAAGAAAACGCGAGGGGAGGAATGGACGAGGGCTTGGAGCATCCATGGCTCTAAAAGTCCTGAGCCTGTTGTCCTTCTACCACCACCAAGATTTCCCAGCCGTCAGGGTATTCAGTCGTGCAGCCAAAGAGCGGTTTAAACGAAATGCCCACGTTGCTGTGCCTTTGCGCGAGGTCATGGAACCTCCAGACAGGGATTTCGACTCCATGCTGCAAGTTGGCACTGATGGGGAATGGGACCAGCACTACTTCGGTGTCGGATTGTCCGTCCTGGAAAACTTCTCCCTTGTCAAGGTGGACGGCCGCCGTGGGACCGTGTCGATGCACGTTCTGGTTCATCGCTGGGCACGGCACAGATTGGGTGAGAAATCGAGGGCTTACATTCAATACAGTCACCTAACGAGGATTATGGTCACGGAAGCAATCCTGATATCGTGGAAATGGAACGAGGCATTCATTACCCGCGAACTGGACCCTCATCTTTACCTTTGTCACGCGAGAGGCAAGCTCGCATCCCCCGACGATAACTACTTGGCTGGGCTACTTCTCAAACTCGGCTGGTACTATAAATTGGTCAAGAACTTCTCCGCGGCCGAGGAGGCGCTTTCCCGTTGCCTGCGTCTGTGGAGGTTGGAGAGCGGTGGCTACAGTTGGAACGTTATCAACGCCCTGACTGCTCTGGGTGAGCTTTACCACGAAATGGGACGTTTGGGGGAAGCGGAGCTTGCGTACCTGGAGATCATCGACAGGATTATGGGGAGAATCAAAGAGCTGGGGGGTGTCATGGGACAGGGGCAGAAACAACGAAAATTGCATCCTCGCTGGAGGAGGGCTTCGAATCTCTACTTCAAGCGGCCACGAAAGACGGTTCCAAAGAGCCTGTCGGAGTCTAGACTGCACGAAGGCCTCGAATGCGCGCTCGAGGACCAAGCTGATGAACAGTCACAGACAGCAGGCAAACCGATAGCCGCAATATCGGACTCTGAGGAGGGTCAAGAGGATGCCGAAGACTTTTGGATCTACCATCGTCTCTACCACGCGGACTTGGCAAGAGTGTACATGGACCAGGACAGATATGGGGTGGGTAAACGCATGCTTATGAACTCCCTACAATTCCTCGACGAGGAAGGTCACATACCGAAAGACCACGTCGATTACATGCGGTTGGAGCACGAGGTCAAGGCTCTGACGGAACCGGGCAACCTGCAGTACTGGAACAAACGCGCCAACGAGATGTGCGACCTCATCGACAAAGGAAACCTGTCTTTCGTGGAGAGCGACGCGTATTTTCAACTCATGGTTGCCCACGCCAACTGTGTCCTGAAGAACGGCATGTGGGATCTGGCGTACAAACACTACTCCGGTGCATACGAGAGCTTTGAGAAGGTTTGGGGAGCTTGCGACCGAAGGATGCTTGAGATATTGCGCCGCATGGTTGACTGCCTTGTGGAGGGAGACAGGTGCGATGAGGCTGTGGAGGTGGCAAGAAAGTGCGTCCGGCGGGCACGGCATGTTTATGGACAGTTCCATCGAGAGATGGTGCTGGCGCTGGAGAAACTCTACGAGGCGCTGTTCTTCGAGAAGCTTGAGGACGACGAGGAGGGAGACAATATTCTACGGGAGGCCTTGTTTAGCGCTGAGGAAGGCCTTGGACCGATTCATTCAATAACGCTTCGCATTCGACATCGGATGCAGCGGCGGAAACGAGCAATGAAGCAACCGCAGAGGCCATTTCGACAAGGTCCCGGGGAGGCTGAGGCCAGCTCTCGCTGGGAAGATGCAAAGGCGAGACTAGAGCAGATGAAGCGCGATCTTGGCTCGAATCACATCATCGTCAGGCGTTTTGCGCGCACAGTTGGGGACCGTCCGCCGAAGACAAAGGAGGAACATCTTACGAGAGTACTTGCCTGTTTTGGACCTAATAGTTCGTTGACGAACAGGCTCCAAGAGGAGCTCGAAATGAAACGATCCGGGTTGGTCGGGGATACAGAGAGTGGCGGACAAGGCAGCTCTCCAGGAGTCCGCAGCGGTGAGACCCCATTTGACCTTTGTGCTTGCAATGAACCGCTCCATGCCGAGGGGTCGAAGGGATATGCGGCCATGGAGAGCAACGACATATCTGGCTCTGACGGACGGCAAAGAGACACTGCAAAGACGAGTGCCGAGACTGTGAGGCAACCCAGGATACTAGCAAGACCGCTGCCCGTAAAAGCTGCCTTCAATGCTGTTGAAATGTCCAGGGACATCCGAGAGATTCCGGATTCGGCGATTCAGGGGTTTAATGCTCCCAGCATGTTTGACGAGTTCAAGAACGAGCCGGTATACATGTGTGGCTTTTACACGGGCAGTATGTTTGGAGAGTGTTCTTAGCAACGGTTGGATGGAGGAAAACAGTAGTAGATGCTGTGATTGGAAGACGGCGGGAAGCTAAAGCGTGGATATATCCATGGAAGTCGGGAAGTCTGGACAGGGCACGTATGTTCATTGAATCAATTGCTGGGGAGGGACAGCCGCGCTGGCGTCGCCTCAGGGCGAGACGACCACCAGCTCCTGCTCCAGCCCCCGATCGAAGCAGTCGAAGGGGTTTTATGAGTTTAACATTAAATGGCCGGACAATGGATGTACCCCGTCATACAATGCTCCAGAACTCATTCCCTCAAGACTGTTATTCTGACTCATGCCCCTCTGTGCCGCGCTTCTGTATCGTCTTCATCAGTTCGTACAACTGGGCCAGTTGCTCATCTGAATTCTTCGGTCAGCACAACGCTGCGCATCGATGTCCAGGATAGCAGAACGATACCGCTCATCTTCTCAATTTTGGCCTCATCAAGCTTCCGCCCCCGCCACGAATCGCCCTCAATGTCCTGCGCATAGAGCTGCCACTCAGTGAGAAAGCCAATCTGCACAGCGCCCCGCCCGTTTAGCGCCGCGTCCGATCGTTCGTCGTCAACAAAACCATGATTAAATACTGGGACACTCACCAGATGTACAGGGTTCTCGACATCCCGATGTTTCCTAAACTCTGCTTTGACGTACTCATCGCCCAGCAGTCGCTCTTCGGGATCGAGGTGTTTCCTGTGGGCCCGGAGGAGACGCCGATAGAGGTAGATCGGTGGGAGGAGCGCCATTGGGCCGGGTGTCAGGCCCTTTGTTGTGGACATGGCCGAGGCCAAGAGACGGAGGGATGGTCTCATGGTGAGATAGAGACTGCGTTCATGTATTCAGTCGTCTTTGGTCGCTTCCAAGTTGCCACTGTCTTCTGGCACAGAGTTGTACAGGTGCTGACTTCCAATAGAAGCCCAGATAATCCCACGTCTGGTAAATCGATATTTCTGCGTGGAAACGTTGTCACTATTAACGGTCATCCAGATACTTGCACATGTGGCTTCGAAGACTTCAATAATCACTGGCACAAGAAGTCAACCTAAGAAGACTCGGATGACAGTGGTTAACTGCGGTTAGCCCACACAGTGTAGAACATATATCGCACACTATCCCGTCATGTGACTTGAGGCCAAGAGGTTCAGATATCAGTCAACGGAGAAGGAGAGGCTTACGGCATGATGAGTCTCTTAATGTAGGAAGCAATATGCGAGTTGGTGCTTGTGTGGGAACAGACTCTGAGATGCCGCCTGTAGAGCTACTAACTGAACGTATCTGTTGACTAGGTATTGAGTTCTACTGCTCCAGAGCTTCGGCTATCCATACAGCCTGGATGGCGCTGACCTTCTTTGCGTAATTTTTCTGGGTATACACATGCTCAAGGAACATGATGGCCTCCTTCTTCTGCCCGTGCAAAACGCTTGAGGGATGTATCGCCACAATGTGTTTGCCATGAGAAGTGACGTAGCTGTTATCCGGCGCCAGCATGGCCGTCTTTAGCGCGAATCCCTTTAGGAAGCACTTGAGAATGACAGCTGCCTGGTCGGGCGAGGTTGGCATGAACGGTTGGGGATCCGGCAGTGGCTGCTCCATCATGCCCTGTCGCACACACAGGCCTCGAAGTTGCTTCCGGATGTTCCACGCTTGTTTCATGTTTCTAATGTTGATCTTGCGGTTCTTGCACCACTGCACTCGGTCGGCATTCTCGGCTGCATAGAGTTGCATTGTCGTCAGGTATGTCAGAAGGTCTCCTTCGCGACGGGAGAGCTCTTTGCGGTACTCCTCGACTTCCTCTTTCGTCTCTTCCGACCGGAGTTGAAGGAAAATGTCCTCGCCAGCTGTGATGCAAGAGATGATATCGATCGCCTCCAGCAAGCAGTCGTATTTGTGATCCGCCGCGGCCAGAAGCACTCGAGCATAGGGCGGCGTGACGGGGAAGGCCACCATCTTGCGCCCCGTTTCCGTGATAGACCCGTCGTCACCGAGAGCGCCGAGAATGTGAAGGTGTAATAGAGCCTTTTCGACAGACTCAACTTCTGGTGGGTCCATCAGAGGGAAAGACAGGACGTCGTCAATCCCCTTCGCTTTCATGGTTAGAATGGCGCTCAGAATGTCGGTTCGCAAGATTTCCGGAAGGTCCGTCTTTGGTAACGTCTCGTACGTCTCCTTGGTATAAAGTCTGAAGCACTTGCCCGGCCCTTCACGACCTGCTCGGCCAGCCCTCTGGACGGCAGATGACTGCGAGATAGGTTTTGCCAGCAAAGATTCCATGCCCAGCCTCGGCCGAAACTGCTTCACCTTCGACTTCCCGCAGTCAATGACGTAGCGCACCCCAGGGACAGTGACAGATGTCTCGGCGATGTTGGTAGCCAGGACGACTTTCCTCGTAAAGCTCCCTTTGACCGGCTGAAAGGCTTCGTGTTGAGCCTCTATGGAGAGCTGGCCAAACAGAGGGAAGACTTTGATCTTTGGCAGCTTGGGGTCAAGCGTTGAAGCGTATTCTTCGATAAGTCTCTGAGCCGATTCGATCTCCTCCTGGCCGGTGAGGAAAGCCAGGATGTCTTTTCTGCCATGTCTGTCCGAAAGAGCCTCTTCGGTGTGTAGCTTGAATATCGTCTTGAGAAGAGTCTCCTGGATATCTGGAACTGGTTTTGGCGTATGGACAATGTCAACAGGAAATTGCCGCCCTTCGACTTGCAGAGACTCAACCGAGGTTTCCGACGTGGGCGCAGGGGCAGGGTTCTCAGGTTTCGTCTCAGAGAAGAAGCGCTTGATGCTCTCAACGTTAGCTGTAGCGCTCATGATGACCACTTTTAGCGGGATCCCGCCACGACCAGCCTTGTTTCCCGAAATGATTTGTTTGAGAAACCCAGAAAGCAGATCAACATCCACACTCCGCTCATGGATCTCGTCCACGATGATGGCGCTGTACTGCCTGAGATGAGGGTCGCGAAGCAATTCTTGAAGAAGCATGCCTTCCGTCAGAAACTTGATCCTGGTTCCGGGGGGAACACGGTGGTCGAAGCGGACCGAGTAGCCCACAAGACCCTTCGAGACACGGCCGTTGCTGCTCTCGCCCTCTTTTTGCCCATCGAGCGGTGTGCCCGCTTCTCGCGAAACACGATGAGCAAGCGTCGTCGCCGCGACCCGCCGCGGCTGAGTGATGGCAATCATGCCTCCCACGCTGACTTCTTGAACACCCTCGCCGGCCTTGACCTTCACCCTCCTCTTCTGACACCACCTTTCTTGGTAGAGGAATTGCGGCACCTGGGTGCTCTTGCCAGAGCCTGTTTCGCCCACGAGGATGAGGACATCCTTCTGTCGCAGAATACGGCGGATATCATCTTGTCGCGTCCATAATGGCAGGGCTTGCCGGGCACTGAAATATTGAGGATCACCCGCTGGCGGTCGTGAATGCGCAGACCTCGCAGAACCCTCGCCCTCACCTCGAGGAATTGAGTTTAGGGAGTGTGGTAGTGGCACTAGCGTTGACTGTTGATGGTTTGGATCTTCGTTATTTGGCGCCGACGAGCTGGTATCAGTCTTCGTTTTTTTGCACAAATATCCGTCCAGGGATATCGTTTTATTGCCAATTCTGAGAACGCCTGGGTCGTCATCGCCCTTCCTCTTTTTCGCCATGAGTCCTCAAGCTTCTGGGCCGCAGTTTTGTCGGATTTCTGGAATGAATTCGAAACGGGGGAGTCTGCAAAGAGTTTTGTTACGAAGTACAGATGCGGTAAAGAGGCCCGCGCCAGCATAACGTGTACAATACAGTAACACACCAAGCGATACCGTAAATAAATTACAAAGGCTTTCAAAAACCCACTCACTTTCGCTGCCATGGCCCCTTAACTAAGGGATTACCACAATCATGGCAGGGGGTTTGACCCGGGCCAGCCGTTGAACAGTGAAGCTGTAAAAACAAACTTTCCGAAGTGGCCCACAGTCCCTTTGTTGAGTTTTGTGAATCAGTTGAAAATATGGTCCCGTTGTTACACTGCTACCTCAGAGTCGATTCTTTTGGGAAGAAATGAAACCATAGGCACACAGCCTTAAGACCTTGTGTTGTCTGCAATTAGAAGGCTTCTTAACAACTTGGAATGATCAAAGTAACAAACCGCGGCAAGAGCACGCCCACAAACCACCCGTTTCCAACCTAGAAACCACACTGCCCAATAAGCCTTCCGAGAGTGGTAATCGATACCAGAATATTTCAGCGCCTGTTGTATCTGGTATCGAGACGCATCTGATTCTTCACGACATGATCACTAACGGTTTCGGCCTTAATGGTATCATGTTAGTAAATCTGACGCGCTCAAACGACAAGCCGACCGAGGTGACTACTTACCCTGACCGTCATATCTTCAATCAACTTATTCTGTCTGGTAAGCATGAACTCTTGGAACTGTGCCCGTTCTAACAGCTTCCCCGACTCTTTCTCGATTTCCCCAACGAGTCCATCGTACTCGTCGTCCAACGCTTGTTGCTCGCCAGTGTCGTCTTCAAATTGGAACCTACTGGCATCGGTCTTCTGGGCAGAACCACCGAGGACTTTGGGCTTGGTAGCTTGGAGCTTTTGCCGTTCCATTTCCCATTCCCGACCGATCTCGTCCGCTCCCATGCTGATGTCCTGCTCCATAAGCTTTTGCTGCCGCTGGATTACCATTTTCTTCTCATGGCGCTGCATAACCCGTGCTTTGCTGTTTGCTACGAGATTGAACATCGACGTATTGGCTGCGTCCAGATCGTCTATGTTCACACCGCCGACTTTCGCTTGGCCATCTATAATATCTGATCAGTGACTGTTTAACGATGACTCGGGAGGGGAAGAAGTACCTGAGTTGTTAATGTTCTTCTCCGCGTTCTTCAGCATTTCCCATTCTCGGACCAACTGCTCGTTCATAGCGTCGAACTGCTCATTGGCGGCCGCCAATCTGCTAACATTGCGACGAGCAACCTCGTTCGTTGCCACTTTCGTTCCCACAATCTCGGCCTTCGTCCATTCCAGCTCTTCGTCCTCTGTCATCTGTTGGGAATCGCCGTACTGTCCAGGGGCCCCAGAGAACGGACCAACCTGATCAGAGCTCTGATCAGCGAACCGTTGGCTGGGTGGTTTGTAGTTGTCGAACAATCCCCCGTTCTCTGTACCCAACCCGCCATAGCCTCCCTGGCGTTGAGAGGGGAGTCCAGGGGAGCGGTCATAGGGCGATGTGCTCGATGACCCGAATCTGTTCCCTCCAAAGCCGTCTCGGGCGCCGTACTTCTCCCTGGGAAACGCGTTGCCAACCGATGGGCTCGTTCTGTTGGAAGGGAGCGCAGGGCTTGCCGTGTTGGAAGACAGAGCAGGACTCAAAGCAGGGCTCCTTCCGCCGGAGAAAGGGGCGGGGCTTCCTTTATACGAGGGAGGTGGGGAGCTGGTCCCACGCTGCTCAGAATACACTGGCGGAGCGGTATAAGACGGTTTGTTGCTCTCCCAGGTGTCGGTGCGTGGAGGGCCGGCAGCTACTCGACTAGGAAGACCGCTGGGGCGGGGACCAGCCGGCAAGCCGGATGAGGCCCCCTGAGAGATGTGACGGTTGTCATTGAATTGACTCTGGTTGTATTGGCTATATTGCGGAGGAGGCGAGCTCTGGCTGACGGGCTGCTGAGCGTAGGGGTTCTCAGCTTTCGACTTGTCTGACTTCTTGAACAGTTCGCCGAACTTCCCCATGATGGAGCGCTGTGACAAAATCTTTAGCTTCGATCAGAGGAGGTGTTTGAACAGGAGCAGACAAAATCAACAGAGCTTCAAAATGAATAAGAGGAAAATTCATAGAAGCCTCAGGGGCACAGGAGGTGTTTAGAGAACGAGACAGGCGGGGTTCGGGTGGAACTTGGGCACTGGGCACTGGGCAGCTGCATCCCTGGTCGAGCCCGTGTCTTGGGTCTGTTCCAGATGCGCTCCACCCGTGCCTTCGCAATGCTGACGACCCTTGGTCTCAGCCCCTAGCCGCAAGCCGAGGCGTGGACAGGCGCTGTGGCACTGCCGGCCTCTAATCAATTGTCTGGCTCTCGAACAGACGGGTTAGGAGCCGTGACGGTGATTCGCCACTTCTGAACAGCGCCCTGCACTCGGCGCGAAAGTTGCATCTGCTCACCTTCGTCTTTCCTCTGGCTTCTGGCGAATCCTCTTTTCTGGACCGCCATCGCAGGCATCTTGGCCACCTCCTCTTCTGTGTTTCCTTTTTATGTTTCGTCGCCGGTTGTGCCTGCTCGATTGTGTCCGTCTCCGATTCTTGGGCCGAAGGCGGATTGATGATGCCAAGCTCAACTCCAGGCGGTGGGGGCGGAGACGGATCTTCGGGCGGGTACACCGCCATCTTTGGCTCTTCCCTAGCTCGGTCAGGTTTGTGGTTCGGTAACTGCAGTCGCTCGCTGATGTGGTTGACGGCAGGAAATGTGATGCAACAGGTATACCGACTCGAAGTCTTTGGTGTGAAGCAACTTGAAATTGTTGTTTGGATTGATTGATTTCAAGGCCGGCGCAGGTTTGCTTCGGTCATTCTTTGTGCGGTTGGTGTTAGAATCGCGTTAAGCCACAACATTCAGTTTTGCGGCAGAGCCAGCCAATAACCAGTTTCGGTACGTAGCTTGTTATCTGGGCTTAGCAGTTGTTGACAGCTGCCTCCAGATGGGCATGACGGGCAGTTCCTCAAACAGGACAGCGCACTGTCTCGTTCCATCATCAGCTGGGAGTCATCGCCGCCTGTTCCTCGTCAACATACCTAAGGTACAGCTCACTCCTCCACCAAAATTCTGATTCCCGGAACCTGAAACGGCACTCCTCAAGATGGCTTCTTCTCACTAAGACACCGTGCTTGTTCCGTGACTGCAGTTGGGGCATCTGATATTACTCTTGCCCTTCATCTGTCTCTTATTGAGCTTGACCGCTCCAGAAATTCCAAGATGATACCACGAATACACCGGCTCTCCCTTGTAATGACAACCGACTGTGCAATACCTGGATTCCTACCGTCTCATTGATCTCACATATTGACGTTTCAACCACGTCTCTCTGCACTCAATTCCCCGCCGCCACCTCTTGCAGAGGCGGGAGGATCAACACCTAAAGCCAACCCCCGGTTGACGGACGTCCGATGTCAGTCTTCACGTTTGACCCGGACCCGCCGAGGGTTGCTTCTCCTTGGCTCCGGCCGGGGGGTGCCGAGAAGTCTGCAACACCAGGCCGGTTAGCGAGGCGGAAGGGACCGGTTGGCGTCGGGCTGCTCTCCGACTACGGCGTCACCAAACTAGAGCCGGAGCCGCAGAATGGGCCGACCGAATACAAGCTCCATTTGCTCCTAAGACCACGGAGGAAGTACGAGCGAATCAGCACGGCGACTCGGCTCTGCGGGTCGACCCAGTCTCGGCAGCCTTTCGACCCGAGGATGTTGAAGTCAGCCCCGGTCAGCCCTGGACCCTCTATTACTTCGACGCAGACTCGCCAGGATCGTCTCGAGCATCTCACCACTCAGCTTCTGTGGAGGCTGCAGCAATCATGCCCCTACCATGCCAGTACTGCCACTCCTGCGCTGGTCATCCCGCAACTACCCGAGGAGAGCGAGGCGCTCAATGCCCCCGTCAAGCTGGGCAAGCTGCTGCCCGGGCTGGAGGCATCGAGGGGAGCGCTGTATGAGATAGGTGTGGCGGACGATGGCACGCTCGCGGGCTTGACCGAGGACGAGATGGACGAGAGTCTTACCACCCTCCGCATTATGGCTGCCAGCCTCGGCTGCAACGTGGAAGTGCTCCGTAGGTTGGCTGTTGGAGAGTGCGAATGGGTCGAGTCGAACGGTGCCGAAGACTCTGCCGGGCCAGATTTCGAGGGAGTGTCTCACCAGGCGAAGCTCTGGGTTGCTGAGGCCTTGGTCACGCCCGATCTGCGTCCCAAAGATGACGCCCAATCACCGGCAAAGACATCGGCCGGAGCGGCGCGGTCGGCTGAGACCCTTCCAGACGCAAAACAAGGGCCTCTCACCACGGATCAATTGCGTGTTACACTCACAGGCCCGACAACGTCAGGGAAATCCACTCTCCTAGGCACTCTCTCGACCGGGAACCTGGACAATGGCCGTGGAAAAGGCCGCCTTGGCTTACTGAAGCACCTCCACGAGGTCGCGTCTGGCATCACGTCGTCTGTCACGCAGGAACTTGTTGGCTACAATGGCGGCGATATCATCAACTACGCTCACAGTGGGGTTGAGTCCTGGATTGATATTCATGACTTCGCGAAAGATGGCCGGTTAGTTTACATGGTGGATTCTGCTGGCCACCCACGCTACCGGCGGACGATCCTCCGTGGCATCATCGGTTGGGCGCCCCACTGGACTCTGCTCTGCATCGCTGCCGACAGCGCTGAGTTCACTTCGACCACGGGAGCCACGTCCGCCGCTCTGGACGTGCTGGGCCGTAATGGCGTTGGTGTTGACCTGGCATCGGCTCACCTCGATCTTTGTCTCCGGCTCGGTCTTCCTCTGGTCGTCGTCATCACCAAACTGGATCTCGCCAATAAGTCGAGCCTATCCACCACACTCAGCAAGATCCTCTCTAGCGTGAAGCGGGCTGGTCGTGTGCCCAAAATGGTGAAAGGTGGGTCGGTCCAGTCCGACTCCGATCGCGTATCCGAGTTCGACAAAGAAGCAGTAAGAGAAGCTCTGGACAGCATGATGATGAAAGACGACCCGGCCTCTGTCGTTCCTATCTTGTTGACCAGTGCAGTCGATGGGCGAGGGATTGGCGCACTGCATGCCCTGCTTCAAGGCCTCCCGTTGCCTCCAACACCGACATCTCACGACTACATCGGTGCGGCTTTAAACCCGGAGCAGCCGGCATGTCTATTCCACATCGAAGATAAATTCAGCCTCCCCGCGTCCTACTCCCTAGCCATAAGCGACGCAGACCAGCAGACCGACCTCGGCACCGTCGTCGCCGGGTATCTCCGTTTTGGCAGCCTCTCGATTGGGGACAAGGTCGTCGTCGGTCCCTTCCCCTCGGATGAAGATGACTTTCACGGTACCCCTCCAGACGAGCGCGGGGGGGTTGCCAACAGCTACGGCCTCTCGGTTTCGCACCCCTCCTCGGGCGAACTCAGCCGCATCGCGTCGAAAAACGCAGTGACGGCCTCTGCCACTAGCGGAGAGTGGCACATTGCCTCCATCGTCAGCATCCGCAACCTGCGTCTGCCCGTGCAGACCCTCACGGCAGGCCAGGTAGGGTCCATTGGGATGGTCTTCGACCCGCCGCCGACGCCAAAGCACAACGAGAACGCGAACAGCAGCGCGGTGGGCCAAGCCTCGACCGTCACCAAGACTCCGCGACTGCGCAAAGGCATGGTCCTGGCCGTGCCGAGCCAGCACATGGTCTCGTCTGGCCTGTCTCTGCAGGCAGTCAGCGGGCTGACGGCCGTGTTTGACAAGGACAACCAGGGAGTTGGCTCGTTAACGGTGGGCAGCTTGGTCAATGTCTATGTTGCGAGTGTCCGGTCTGCTGCGCGGGTGTTGCGCGTGTCGAGGATGAGGGAGGCTGAGGATGGCGGAGGTGGCAAGGTGGCGGCCGACCTGATGGATGACCTGTTCGGCCTTGCCGGGGACATGGACGTGGAGAGTACGCAGGTGCCGGATCTCGCGGTGGACGGTAGCGTCGAGGTGCAGTTGGAGCTGCTGTCGACGAGGGAGTGGATCGAGCTGGGGTCGCGGATATTGGTGCTCGAGGGAGGGAGCAAAGACAGATCTGGACTGGAGGGGTTCGTGGGGAAGATTGTTGAGATCGTGGAATGAGGGGGGAGTGGCGATTTCTTCCTTTGCTCTCGCGTGTTTTGTTTCCCTGTCAGCGTTTAGTCCGTTGGCATTTGTACCGAGCTGTCAAGAGTGAGTGAGCTTGCGTTCGTTTGGTTAGATGTATTTTTCAATATAGCTGATGATATTGGTTTGTTAGGGGACAGCGCTGATTGTTGATCGCATGCTGCGGAGTGCGACAGCTGTCCTCGGCATGTCCCCAGACAGAGATGCTTTCTCGAACCGGGTGCTAAGAGGGGTAGTCGAGAGGATGATGTTGAATACGTATCTGGCCGCAACAACAATTAATAAATCGCTAGCGGTGTTTCTTTCCTTGACTCTCTGTTTCTTGCAACCGAAGGTTGAAAGAAATCAGGCAACTCGTTGACCTGATAGGCCTGTAATACCCAAGTCGGACAAGACGCACACTGTTTCCTCCCTTGACGGACACACAAATCCCACAAACGCCGTGACGCCTCTTTTCTCCATTAATGTCACCTCTACGCACCTCCCTTCCAATTATGCCCTCACCAACCCATAAAACAGCGTCCAGGTTAAGATGTAACCCGCCAGCCCATTCATCAACCCGCCCGTCCAGAATTCAAACGGACTCCTGAAGTATCTGCTTGTGTCGAGCGGAGGCTTCCCGCCAGCGAGCGAGGTGGGCGCTACGCGGAGCACGTAAACGAGCACGGCCGTCAGCAGCGAGAAGACCAGGTAGAAGAGGAAGCCGCTGTATGACTCAAGGCCCAGGATGCCGGCGGACACGCCGAAGAGGGAGGCGGTGAGGGATTGCAGGTTGTAGAGGGTCTGTGAGGTCATCGAGGTGGTGTGGTTAGCGGGCTGTGTAAACGAGAGAGGCTGGGTCAAATCTTGAAAGACCGGGTTCGGTGAGATCTAAGTTCGCGGGTCTGGAGGGGACGGCCAGAGTCGGGTTACGCATCTGTTTCCATGCATTGAGGAGGTATGGCCGATCCGGCAACCGGTTTAGATGGGCGGGAGGAGACTAAAGGGGTGGACGAACCCGTGAGTTGTGCATCACCGACTCCTGCACAATGGGAGATATTTGGAGTTCTTGTTCTGAAGGCATGGTTGTGGTGATGTGTCGTTGGATACGGCTTGACGGAAGTGGTCGCGTTGGTTGTCTGCTGCGGCGGTCAAAATCACATGCAGGATAGCTAAGTTGGGTAGGCGCTTTCGATGTGCTCACACCTCGAATCAACAGCTGTCGTTGTCGTCATGAACTGGGCCGCTGCGGGAGCTTTTGCAGCCGCCAATGCAGCGGCTCCGCTTAGGAGATCGACCCGACAAGCCACATGGCTTGGAGCTCCTGTGGGGTGATGTGTGGATACGGTATTATTACGGCATTCGTTTCAGTCCTGCCTTCCGAGATTGGAAGAGCTGACCCTTGCAAGCTGATCAATTGCACACCTTCATTACGTCGAGTATCACAAGACTGCCGAGCCTTGCTGCACCTGTCATACAGAGACCCAACCATGGCTTTTCTGAGTCGTAGATACTTTTTGTTGTTAAAGGACACATGTCAGTTTGTGCATGGCGTTGCTCCATGCGTGTGAGAAAGACGGGATGAAAGACCCCTGAAGGATGTATTACCGTATTCCCAGTCGACCGTTTAATGACGGCGGTCAAGCGATCTAACAAAGGCCCGCCTTGGGGTAACGTTGACATTCAACACTTAAATGAGCTTTTAGCGGGTGTGATCTACAGTTTAATTATCCTGTCACTGATCAAGAGGGCGCCCAATCTTCCTCTCTCTTCTTCGTCCGGCCGCGCGCTTACGACCCCGAAACCGAAACATGCAAAGCGGCCGCCGGGACGACCACCCAGAACGCTAGCAACCTACACTGTCCCGATCCTCTCCCATCGTGGCCATTGCCAGAGGCCTCGCTTGCGCCAACTCGGGCTCTGTGTGTCGCGTCGAATTGCTGTGAGACGCCACTGACAAATCGGTTAAGAAACGGGCTGTCTCTGGTGCGCGTCGGCGGGCGGACGGGGGACTGGTGCCATTGGCGCGGGACCTTCCAGCAGCAGCAACGTTCATGGAGACCGTCATCCAAGACCACACGCCGCTTGCCGAGTATCTAAAGGGTTGGTCCGCTCCCGTCCAGCTGCTCGAGCGCAACACGACCTTCCAGAAATGCCATCTTGGACGCTAACAGCTGTTATGGCGGCAGATGAAGGCGAAGAACAGCAGGCCTGGGCTACGCCATCAGTCTCGCATCGTCACGATGAGTCGCCACCGTCGAGCCCATCATTTGCGCCGGTAGGGCGTCCGATGGTCAGAAAGCGTTTCCGGGCCAAGCTTCCAGACCCGCTGCACCTGGACCTGCCAGGGGTGAACCGATTCAGCACGCTGCGGAACTCATACTCGGTGAGCATACTCCTGCGGCGACATGCATTTCGACAGAACGTACTGATACTGACCTTTCGCGCGCCTTCTTGCGCAACAGAAAGCCGTGGCATCGAGGATAGACCGTTCCGACAACCTCAAGTTCATCGAGCAGTTCCGGTACACGATCGTCGCATCGCAATTGTTGAGTGGGCACTCGATAGCTGGGCAGCAGAACTACCACAACCGGCCGAAGGACGCACCAGAGGCCACTTTGACCGGTGTCACTCCAACTTCGACAACAGGGCTGTTAGCGACGGCGGCCGCCGCGCTTGTTGTTGCATGGATGGTAAAATGGGTCTATTCGGGGGGATATTCGCACCTGACGAAGAAGCGCGTGGCGTTCTCGGCAGCCTTCATGGTTGCGGTTGCTGTGGTCTCGCAGGCTTACTTCCGCCAGCAGTGGCTTCGGTATCTGAGGGACCAGGCGCTAGACGAGGTGACCACTTTCGTCTCCAAGTCGCAAGATTTTGACAGTGCCTGCAGTGCGGCACTGGCACTCATCCAGGAAGTTGAGCTCGTTTCCCGTGGTTACAGGATGTGAGTCCATTACCCTCTGAGAGGTTTATCAACCCATCAACGCTGACGCCCTTGTAGAAGTGCGCCTCTCCCTCCCATTAGCCGCATCGAGGACCGATCCCAGACGCGCCGTTGCAGCAGGCTGCGAAAGGCGTTGAGGGGAGAATTCTTAGATATCATCGAGAGTTACATGCAGGTATCCTCGGCGATCAAAGGGTTCGCCGAGCAGGTGGACCTGGAGAAATACCATGATATCTACGACATCAGTGATTTCGACATCTCAGATGCGATGCAAGGCTTCTCCTACACAGAGTTCGACGATCGCGAGTCTCTGCGGTCCTTGAAGATCGCCGCCGCCCGCTTCCACATCATTCGCAAGCTTCTGCTGTGCTCCCTCCTTGCCTATGAGGCAGCGGGCGACAACACCGACTTCTTGCGATGGTCAACGGCGGTGGAGGGCCTGAGGACGCTCAATGACGCTACAGCCCAGAGCTTCGAGAGAGTTCGCCAGATCCTCGCGGAAGAGGAGAGTAAGCGAGTCTTGTTGTTCGGATTGCGGTCGCTGTTGCTAACCTGACCAGCTTTCCCTGTCATTCTCGAGACGAAACTGCCATTATCTCCCAACCGGGAGAAACGACGGTCGCAGTTCATGAAACTGAACTCTTTATCGATGGGTATTCGAGGCCTTCAAGCGAAATTTGCGCTTTTGCGAGAGGAGTCGGAAAGGACTCTCAACGAGGCAGAGGACGTGTCGGAACTGGGACCCAACCTGATGGCGCAGTACGAATCCATTGGACAAGACCTGAAGATGCTCACACAAGCATGGGAAGAGGGCAAAGCCGCCCTAGCGTCGGGCATTGACCGGAACGAGAAGAGGCTGTCGTCCATCAGCACTCTGCTTTCACCTGCATCATCATTAAGCGGGCTCACGACTGTTGAGGAGGGAGGGGCGCTCGAGGCACTCCGAGCCTTGACTGGAGAGTCGCCCAGGAACTCGAGCTGTGGAAGCCAAAAGGGAGATTCGGACGAAGCAGAAGTGTTCGAGGCAGTGTCTCTGCCGTCCCGTCCTCGCAGTCTCTTGACGAGGGAGGAGCGGATCGCCAAAATGAAGGAAGATCGGGAGAGGAGAGAATCTGCCAGGGAGAAGTCGGAGGCCAGCCGCGGGATGCTCCGAGAACTCGAGACGGTCATCAACCTGCGGCCGAAGCGCGCTACCATGCCAGCACCATCGCGCAACTCGTTATGACAGTGACGACGATCTACCAAACCTAGTCAGGCTGACATGCTTCAGCTTTCTTTTGTTACCTTTGCATCCTGTCCACTCGTACCTTATAGACGTGGCGCTCCTTTCTCCGACTGGATCGGTTACCATCTCATCCAACATCAAAAACATCGAATTTCTACTGGATCAACGGGACAGGCGTTTGTTGGAGGGACTGTTGCTCGCAATTGAACTGGCGGAATTGCCAGCCGCATTGGCTTGTAATTAGACTTTGGCAGCGCATGTGCAGTGTTATCAATTGTTGTACAGAACAAATGCTTGTTTGAGCGCTGTTAGGTTCTCCAAATTATAGAACTGCTGTGCCTTGGAAACGGTGTCCAGGGTTTGAACTTGGAACTGGAGGCGGCATCGACTCCCCACCCGACTCCAAGCGTGTCCCCAACAGCTGGAGCTAGCGGAGCTAACCGTTAAAGGAAATCAATCTAACGCCTGTCGCGTGTTTGCGAAAGCGCGTCGCGTGCCAGCTCCATCTTCCCCTACCGTTCCAAATTCTGCTGAACATCATCCAAATCCGACTCAACTCTGCAACTCAAATCAAAAAGCCATACTCCTTAAACCACCCACCGCGAGCACCCAAGAACCCCTTTGGAACCGGTTTCGCCAGACAGCCACGTACATACATCAGTGAGAATTTCCACCTTGCACCACTGACAAACTCCGCATTTGCATTGCAGACTTTCGAAACTGACAGACGCAGCCATGTTGGAAGCACGGTTGGAGCAGGCGAGCATCCTGAAGAAGGTACGCCAAATCAACATATCTTTTTCTATTGGGAGCGGCTATCTCTGATTTTCGCTTTCCTCGCACAGGTTGTCGACGCCATCAAGGATCTGGTGCAGGACTGCAACTTCGACTGCAATGACAGCGGCATCGCCTTGCAGGCAATGGACAACAGCCATGTCGCACTTGTGTCTATGATGCTCAAGGCTGAGGGCTTCTCACCTTTCCGCTGCGACCGCAACATTGCCCTCGGTGTAAACCTCACCTCCCTCACCAAGGTGCTACGGGCGGCGCAGAACGAGGATATCCTCACGCTCAAGGCCGAGGATGCGCCCGATGTTCTCAACCTTGTCTTTGAGAGCTCAGAGTCTGACAGGATCTCCGAGTACGACCTCAAGCTCATGGACATTGACCAGGAGCACCTGGGTATTCCCGAGACCGAGTACGCGGCGACAATTACCATGCCTGCCTCCGAGTTCAAGCGCATCACAACAGATCTGATAGCCATGTCTGAATCGGGTATGCTAGCCGCAGTTCCGCTCTGAGAAGAATATCATCTGTTAAACTCACGCGGCGCAGTGACCATCGAGGCGACCAAGGACGGCGTCAAGTTCTCGTGCCAGGGTGACATCGGCAACGGCTCCGTCACGCTGCGGCAACACTCCAACGTCGATAAACCGGCCGAGTCGATCGATATCGAGCTCAGCGAACCCGTCTCGCTCACCTTTTCCCTGAAGTACCTCGTCAACTTCTGCAAGGCCTCGGCCTTGTCCAACACCGTCAAGATTTGCCTCTCCAACGAGGTGCCGCTGCTGGTTGAGTACAGCCTGGCGGGAAGCAGTTACTTGCGCTTCTATCTGGCGCCAAAGGTATGTACACGCTACGCTTGTGATCTTTGGATATGTGCTGACTAAATTTGTGTAGATTGGCGATGAGGAGTAGACAGAACCGAAAATCTCTGATATGACGACTGATACGACGGTCACGACAGATTTGGCTCTGTGCATGGATGGGCACCACTACTAGCACCGGAACGGTGTTTGCGGGAGTGGGTATAGCATTGGCCGGGTGTCGTGCTTAGAAGTCTTCGGCGAGACTTGCGGCATTGAAACTATCTGCAACCGTCACACACACCAAATAATCGTGCCCGGCTCACTGCAAATCTAGCCTTGATCTAATTGCTTTGACATGAGGGATGTCCATGCGATTCTTCTTCTCTCCAAGTCAATCTCCTGAATCTCGCATTTGCTCCCGCGCGCCTTTGGGAATGGCGGGGTAATTCCATGACAAACCCGCAGTGGAGCGTGGCTTCAAGCAGCCTGAGCGCATTACGGACATACAGCCCCGATTTTCCAGGCCTTTCCATGAGAAGTAGACGAGAAAGAGTCATCCAGTGTGTCAGACCTCGTATCGACACATCGGACAGTGTTCGGTCAATACTGCTAGTTTCACAGCATAGACGGTGACACTTTATTAGATCGGCATCTCGTCTCATATCTTTCGTCCAACTACCCCGTAGATCGAGTCCTTCCCTTCACACACGTCATTATCAACTTTGCTCTCACACACTTCGGTCGCCCCGTCTTCGAATCTCGCAACTCTCAGCATCCAAACAATGAGTGACGGTTCGCCGATTCCTGAAACTCGCGTATTGGCGGTCGCCAGTCATGTAGGGCGAATCACTCGAATCCATCTGTTGCTTCGCCATGCTAATTGAGTGTTGAAGGTGGTCTCCGGGTGAGTCTGACCGGGCCGCCTCCTCTCGCAAGTCACGATGCTGACAGTCTTCCCCAAGATATGTCGGCAATAAGATCGCCGTGTTTAGCCTTCAGTCACTGGGGTGCGACGTGGCCGCGCTGAATACCGTGCAATTTAGTACGTGTGTCTGCCACAGTTGCAGCTCTCCTTATACGCCATTGGGGCGTCCCTAAGCACTCTGCGATCTTCTCCTGACTCACCGGGACAGGTAATCATACCGGATACAAACAATGGACCGGGTCGAAGGTCTCTGCACAGGAGATTACTGATCTATACCAGGGGCTGAAGCAGTCATACCTCGATGACTTCGACATGATGCTCTCCGGCTACGTCCCTGGCGCCCCGGCGCTCGAAGCGGTCGGACAAATAGGACAGGAGCTCAAGCGCAAGGCAAAATCGAAACCTGGGAGCTTCTTTTGGGTACTGGATCCGGTCATGGGTGACAATGGCAGCCTCTATGTAGCCCCCGACGTCGTACCCGTGTACAAGAGCCTAGTTCCCTATGCAAATCTGGTCCTCCCGAACCAGTTCGAAGCCGAGTAAGCCAGCGCCTTTCCACACTCACACACCTCCTTCCGAACCCCGACCTTCAACCTCACTTAAACCTAACAACCCGGATATCAGACTGCTCTCCGAAGTACAAATAACCGACATGCCATCCATCGCCCGCGCTATCCAGGTCATGCACGAGCGCTACGGCATCCCGCACATCGTCATCACGTCCGTCTCGCTGCCGCACCCGGACCACCCCGTCTCCTCGCTGTCGGTCGTCGGCTCGACCATGACCTCGGACCGTAAGGCGCGCGCCTTCAAGATCGTCTTCCCCGCCATTGACTGCTATTTCAGTGGGACGGGCGACATGTTTGCCGCGCTCATGGCTGTGCGCATGCGTGAGGCCGTTTACAACAGGGGGAAAGACAGTCAACAACAGCAACAACAAGGGTCAGCATTGATGGAGCGGGAGTCGTGGCTGAGCGAGGATAGCGTCGACGCGCTGGACCTGCCGCTTGCGAGGGCTGCCGAGAAGGTGCTTGCCAGCATGCACGAGGTACTGACCAAGACTGCCGAGCGGATGGAGGGGGCGATGAGAAAGGCGGGGGAGGCCGGGATGAATGCGGATGGTGTTGGGAGCGGGACGGGAGCGGAGGAGAAGAAGATGCACTTGCTGAAGAGCAAGGCGGCCGAGTTGAGGCTTGTCCGGCATCTTGATAGTCTAAGGTTTCCGCAGGTAGAATTCCGTGCCACGAGGCTGTACATGGGTTAGAGGAGGTTTGGTTCGGTATAGACGCATTGCATATGGACGGATATAATGGTAGAGCGCGATAGACCTTGTCTATGACAATACTAATAATGCCCAGTTTTCTCGTGAGGAACGCTGGCTCATATATGCCGTCACGACTACGCTGAATGCCGAAAAGTTGCCTTGGTAAACCGTTTGCCAGATACCGAATCCCATGCCTTATCCGATCTCGCGCCGTCCCGAAACAAATACATCCGCGCTTAGTTAGTCGTTGTGGTGCCAAACCCGCCTGTGCTGCCAAACCCGCCTGTGCTGCCAAACCCGCCAGCGCCCCTCACGCTCGCCTCCAACTCCTGCACCTCCACTACCTCGGGCGTGTAGATCCTCTCAATTACCAGCTGCGCAACTCGATCCCCTTCCTTCACCTCAAAGTCGGAGTCGGCGTGGTTGAACAGTAGCACCTTGAGAGGTCCCCGATAATCAGCGTCAATGACGCCCGCGCCCGTATCGATGAAGTGCTTCGCGGCAAGCCCAGAGCGGGGGGCAATTCTACCGTCTATAATACGTCAATTTCCGTTCAGTACTCTCATCCCTGTGGAAGCCACGGGCTGAAGCGGTCGACTTACAAGTCCCCACCGGAATGGACATGCTGATATCTGTGTCGACCAACCCCTTCCCCCGAGCGGGGATGGTTGCGTCGCGCGCCGCGTAGAGGTCGTAGCCTGCTGCAAAGGCGCTGCCGCGGGTCGGAAGACGGGCCTTGTCGGAGAGCTTCTTGATGAGGAGCGGGGGTCCTTGCAGGTCCTGCTGTTGCTTGGCCGTGCCGTTGGATGAATCCATGGTTTCGTTGGCTGTGTCGGTCTTGAGGCGCTTGGCTGGGGGCAACGTCGGGGCAAGAGGCTCGTTTGGGGTGATTGTAGTCTCGGCAGTCATACTTTTCGGCGTGAAAAGGCTGTCGTCGTTGATGGTGGTTGTAGAGAGGTTTGCGACGTGCGACACGATAGGCCCTGTGAGAGCGTTTTACTAGAGTGTGACGCGCCGGCACGCGTAAACTGGGTGGAGTGCCCCACGGCCAGAATATCAGGCTAATTGGCCAGCGGCCCTGGCGGTGCCAAGCGGCCTCGATACTCGCGTTGGTTTCCCCGGCGAACGCCATGACAGCCATCTGCCGATCCGACTGTGAAAGGTCGGGGTATCTGGGGAACGATGGTCTGGTGTTGAAACAAACAGCCAAGATGACCGAGCTTTCACCTGTTCTCCTTGCTAGGGGGATCACCAGACACAGTATGATTGTCTGCATTACGCAGCAGCGTGAGGATGGCTCTTGGAAGGCTTAGCAACTCGTCCCGTCTGTGCTTTCAAGGCTCTATCTAGTCCTCCAAGTCCCGCGCAAAGTCGACGAGCCGTAACCTGCGCGCATTTTTGGGATGGAACACTGCGACCTTGGATCGAACGAGGAATCTCGCTGCCGCGGATTCCCTGGGTATCTCCACATACGACCCTGAGGTCTCGCCCCCTGCCTCCATCAGTTTGTTCATAAGCTGCTCCATCAGATCCCGCATTTCTGCGCTTGCTGCCGCAGCTTCATCCCCTTCACGCCTCCTCTTGTTTGTCTGGCCCTGCTGGTCCTGAGGGCCCCAAATATCGTCAATCCGTCGTTGCCGCCCGTCTTGGTCGGGCTGGTCTCTGGTCTTCTTCAATTTGCCTTGTGCGGTGAAACCGGCGCTGAGGTCGTCTGGGTCGATTTCCATCAACTCCCCGACCACCGGGCCCCCCAACTCCTCGGCTGCCAGCATCGGCCCGAGGTGCTCGCCAATGAACCAGTCCAAGTCCTTCATGAGGCTCGAGGTCTGCTTGTCCCAGTGGTCTTTTTGGTGCCTCAATTCAGCCATCCGCTCCTTGGCGAACTGTTCCCCAGTCTTCTCCTCTCTGTTCTCGAGGCCTTCGCGTAATGCCCGGATTCGGCTCCTGAGCGCTGCCTGCAGTGCTTGCTGTTCACGCAAGCTGACTTGCTCTGCCTCTGTCCTCCGCTTAACCTGCTCCAAGGAGGCCGATTGCGAGTCGGTGTACTCGGTAGTCTCAGCGATGATCTGCTGAGCTCGCCGCATTGCTAGTAGCGCAGGCAGTACCGACCCTCGCGGTGGTAGGAGTGGCTCTCCCTCAGCCATGTCCAGGTACGCCTTTGTCATGATCTCCAACGAGTCTTGTGGCGACGGCGCAGCGCCAGAAGCCACAGCCGAAGCTCTCAACTGCTGAGGGTTTAGCAAAGCAGCTTCTGGCTGACATGGCTTTGAAACGCACCTCGTGCACCGCATCCTCCAGCTCTTTCTTCCTCTTTTTAAGCTCCTGCATGGTCCGTTCGAGCTCGGCCTCGTAAGGGCCATCCACGCGAACTGGGCCATGAATCGCGTCCATTTGTCTTCACCAAAATCCCCGTTGATGTCAATCGGCTGGCTCTAAGAGGATGATCGTACAAATCGTACAGTCCCGAGCTTGGAGAAACTGAGAGTCTCGATTCTTACAAGTCCTTTGCATCAGAGCGGGAGAATGCTTTTTGACCAGTTGAAGATCGAGACCGATTTTCAGCGGACCAAGTACACAGTACCTGGACACTGTATCGGGCAGCCCAAGATTTCCAGAGATAGTGCGCACGGCGCAGTTCATGGACAGCCCAAATTTTCGCCAGCTCTAGGAAGCACAAAAACCAACAACATGTACTTACGTGGCACAAAGGATGACAATGCACCACGACAATGGATGTAGGAGGATCCATCCTTCAAGTTTGTTGGACTTGGAAGTGTCTCAAACCCCGGGGCGCCTCGAAGTTGGAAGGCCGGCCCCAATCGACACAATCCAACCCTGATTTGTTCGTTAGCCTGGCACATGGTGGGGCACTGGACATGAAATGGGATAAAAGAAACCAATGAACGAAAGAAAACAAGAGAAAAAAATAAGTAGAATGTGAAGACAAAAGGTAAGAGGAGGAAAAAGAGAAAGGCGAAGATAGAGAGGAAGAGAAAAAATAGGTTAAGAGGAAAAGGAAGCAAGAAAGAAAGGATATAAAAAGGTTAAGATGAAGGAAGACGAGGTTAATCCCTACTACGTAAGTTCGACGCTAACTAGTGTACCAGATGGAATTGTAAGTAAAAAGTGGATATTTTTCGCTATATCATTGGTCAACTGTTTGTGGCTCGTGCTCCTCCAGATGGGTCAAGCAAGGCTGCAGCCCCGGATCTCGCAGTTTCAACCTTCTCTCTTTCCACAACCCACAACCACTTCGAGACATCCTCAACCTCTCACGGCTTACCGGACGACGGAGAGATTGATCATCGTGCATGTCGCTTTTCGCGTCAACCTGACCTTTCAGGAATTCAAAGGTCTGTCCGATTGTCGCCGCGACCCGACTTTGTCAATTCGCCAACGCGCAAACCTCCTCTCGTCCCAGCAATCCTCCCAACCGGGCTTTGGCTCTTTCCAATTCGAGGGAGCCGCATCGCATTGCCGAACAGCAGTAACCGGCCATCTTGACAACCTCGGTCATACCGCGAAGAAGTTTGAGCAGGGAAGCCGGGCAGTGTTGCTGGCTTGAAGGCAAAGGTTTGAGCTACCTGGCTGCTTTCGAAACACAGTTGCCCTCATTTTAGCGATCCTGCCTCTCAATTCACCACTCTGCTGTTCAGCGTATCTCTGCAACTCTCGTCCGACATACCACCTCGTCTTCCCCCTTTCTCCTCCGCCCGCCTCACCTTCATCTCACACCCACCACGACTTTGCCTGGACAAGTCGTCATCACCGGTGCTCTGCACACTGCGCAGCAGCACTTCGATCGGGATTTGGACATTCTCCATTACCACAGCGTTCCGTCTCTGCACCGTCACTACTCGTTCCTTGGCCCGAAGCTTCTCTCAGTTCCTCGACCTACCCGCGCATAACTCTTCAACTCCACCCGACCCAGCCAAGCACAATCACCCTACTCGGCCCAACCACTACACCAGCACGTTTTCTTTCGAAAACCCCCAAGGTGTAGATAATCACGATAATACCAATTGAGAAAATCAAGTATCACGTCGACTGGACAGACAATTTCGCTCAGCTCGAGACGTGAAAGCCTTCTCACATTCAGCCAAAATGTCCGCTTCACCACAGCCGACACACTCGGCCAAGCGGCCCCTCGAGGACACTTCCTCCCCGTCCGTTGCCGGCCAACCCGAGGCCAAGCGACCGGCTCTCGACAAGGTTGTCAAGGATGAGGAAGAGATCAAGGAGCCTATCTCTGCTGGTAACGCCGAGGCTGCCCCGGCCGCTTCTTCCCCTCCTTCGGAGGCAAACGGCATAACAAAGACGAACGGGGAGAAGTCTGAGGTCAAGGACGCTCAGGGCGATACTGTCGTCCCAGATGCTCCCGAGACAAAGCCCATCACCAGCACCGCCAGTGGCGACGCCGCCCAAGGCCAGTCAAACCCGCCTCCAGGCGCCCACGATGAAACGGCGTGGATCCACGTTCGCGCTGTGATCTCGAGTCCCGAGGCTGCAACCATTATCGGAAAGGGCGGCGAGAATGTGTCCAAGATTAGGCAGATGTCTGGTGCCAAGTGCACTGTCAGCGATTACCAGAAGGGCGCCGTGGAACGCATCCTCACTGTGAGCGGCATCGTCGATGCCGTTGCCAAGGTAAGCGCCAAAGCTCTCGCTAGTGACAACTTGACGCTAATTTGATTTGCAGGCTTTTGGCCTGATCATTCGGACGCTCAACAATGAGCCCCTGAATGAGCCCTCGAACCAGCATTCCAAGACATACCCCCTTCGCCTGCTCGTTCCTCACATCTTGATCGGCTCCATCATCGGCAAGGGCGGCGCCCGCATCAAGGAGATCCAGGAGGCGTCTGGCGCTCGCCTGAATGCCTCCGACTCGTGCCTCCCCTTATCTACCGAGCGCTCGTTGGTCGTCATGGGCGTCGCTGATGCTGTTCACATTGCCACTTACTATGTTGGCAGCACACTGCTCGAACAGCTCAACGAGCGGTTTGGCGGAGCTGCAGCCTCTGCCTATGCGACGCGCAGCGGCGGCCCGGCTGGTGCGGTTCCGGGTGGAATGCAGGTGATCCCCTACAATCCTCAGCCTGCCGGCGGTAACTATGGCAACCGTGATAACTATCATCGCGGCCGTGCTGACCCCAGGGCCCACCACATGCCGCCCCACTCGTATGCGCCGCAATACGGCCACCCCGTTGCGGCTCACCCACATGCTGCTGCTCCAATGCCCTATGGAGGCCATGCGGCCGCTGGCTACGGAGCTGGCCCACACGTGCCACCTCACCCGGCTGGCGCTGCTGGACCTCATGCTCCTGCCGGGCCCCATGGACCGCCGCTGGCTGGTGGCGCAGGCATGCCTGGAGCGCCTCTTACCCAACAGATCTACATTCCCAACGACATGGTTGGCGCCATCATTGGAAAGGGCGGCCAGAAGATCAACGAGATCCGTCAGATCAGTGGCAGCGTGATTAAGATTAATGAACCACAGGACAACAGCAACGAACGTCTCGTCACGATTACTGGCACGGAGGAGTGCAACCGGATGGCGCTCTATCTGCTCTACACTCGGCTCGGTAAGCTCCGGGAGCAGCATACCAACCCGGCTCAAGCCCAGCACCGCTAATAAGCTCTTCTCACACAATAGAAAACGAGAAACACCGGATTTAGTCGGTCCCCTCGCGGGCTCACCCTCGTGTCACGGTATTCTCCCATCTTCCGGTGATTGATGGCGTTGGGGTGGTTTTAGGAGATCGAGGCAGGAAAGATTCATGGCTGCCTGAGACAGGTTATGGGTGGTATTTCCGGGTTCTTAGCATTCAACTTCGAGGCTTTTCTATCAATACCTCACCTCCACTTCTGTACCTGCCCTGGTCTTTGCACGCTCGCACCACACACCTGCCCTTTCCCGTGATGCCTGTCCTGCCCAACCACATCTGCGTGCCGACGCTGCATCTGAACTCGTCGATATCCGTCACCCATCCGTTCTCACACCCCTTGACTGCTTCTGTCTTCTTGGATTGTGCCTCTAGCAGGATTATAGGGCTTGTTACAACCTGTACAAGTTACCTTGGATATTCAATGTTGGCTGATGATGTGACATTCTAGGTACATCAAGTGCGGGCGGATTACGTTGGAGAGCCAGCCAATACAAGGCATGCCGGACGCTTGACCCGTCACCAGGTGAATATCAAGAAGAACCCACAATTTGCTGACCATAGGTACAGGAATACGTGACAGACATAAACGCAAAACCCCATCTTGCTGTTATCCTGTTCCGGCGTCGACAAAGCACGTTCTTCGCCGAGTGGTGTTTGACGTTGTTCTTCCCTTGAATCTCGCATGAAACTCCGAATGTCAACGACGCCTCGTTGGATCTCGACCTTCCCACTGAAGTTACATTTATGTTTACTTTGTTCTTGTGATAGCAAACACCCCTTTCGTTCCCGTCAAAGTCCGATCATTTGTCGCCACGCACCCAGCTGCCATCCAATCCGGCGGGTATTAGCCAACTGTCTGGGACGCAAGCGTGCTGTTCAGGACGAGGTGGACGGCCTAGAGAAAAGTAGAGATTCAATACCAAAAAAAGAACCGAACATACCTGTTCCACATCTGGCCGATGAAGCCCGGCGGGGGCCGCTGCTCGTTAAAGCTCTGGCGGCGGGCGACCGACTCGGGATCGCCCTTGCGCTTCTGGGCTGTCAGACCCTCGAAGAGAACGTGGGAGGACTTGCGGCGAGCGTTCTGCTGCTGCTCCTTGGAACTGCCGCCGGCCCACGAGGGCACCGGCACCTTGGTGGCGAAGGGAGGCGGCAGAGGCATCTCGCGAGGCAGCTCGCGATCCGACACCGGGGGTCCGCTTGTTGCTGAGCTGGCCGAGGCGGTCGAGTCGGACCGAGTGGCGCGCGGCTCGTTGCCTGAGGGCATTTTGTCTGCCATGGTCGGGTTGATGAAGTGCTAATTCAGGTGAGTTTCTTGATGCTAGTGTAACGCTTTTGCTACGTTATACACTACTGGTGGCGAAGTAGAGGCTGTAGTGGTATAATATGTGATGGTTCGGTGCAGAGAAGGGCGGGGCTTCGTGAGTTATATATAGGACAAAGAAAACGGGGTCTCGGCCACCCTCCCTTAAGGTACTTTGGTAGAGCTGCTTGGAAATCCAACCCGGCAGTGTTCCGAACTCCACAACCCCTACTGTGATATGTCGATCGGGAAGGGAGTGCGTGGGTGTCTGCAGCGATCTGAGCCCGTGATGGATGCACTGGGAGGCCTACATCATCATGACCTCACCAATGAGAGAGCATTCTGTGTCAGACAGCTTCATGCTACTCGAGCTCGTCGAGGTTCTAGACGCAAAATGGAATGCGGGGAACCGGGGGTGGTACTCAAGTCGTCTGCACAAGAAGCTACCATCGTCTCTGCCCTGTTTGCTCCAGCTTTACGAGTCCCTGGAGGTTGTATCTTCAGCTGGGAGTACTCAGGCCGGTGACTGGCTTGGGAGTTTGAGCTCCCGCGGCGGGCAATGAGAACGCTCCCCGTGTAATCAGATAAGAGTCTATAAGAAGTACCATGTAGAGGCTTGAAGGGTTATCAAAGCTTGACATGACGAGGCGTCACCAGGCGACGGCAAAAGAGCGGGGTGAATGTCCCTAGCTAAGAGAGCGACCAGAAGGGCACTCGCGCCCCAAAGGCACTTGCTACTTCAATCTGTTGCATCTTTAAGTTCGTTGCCGCACGCGACTGACATGGGACAGGAGTAGTTCGGTACCATTGTTATCCGTGACGTCATCCCCCAATATTCCAGATGTTTGAGCGCCTTGGAGAAGATAGAACATCGAATGTCAGCCAGCGCTTTCAGGACAGCGCAAGGTAGTTCGTTTGAATGCCAGCCTGCTCTCGCTTGTACTGCCATAGGTACCTGGGTCGATTGACATGTGAGGTGGGAGAGGGTGGTCAGTCAAGCAGCTGTCGTGTGTCAGTCCTGATTTGGCAGGTGGGGATCGAAGCGCGCCAAGCCTCCTTCAAGCACTCAACTTCTAGCCCGTCGACGACCGATGGAGCCCTTTCCATCACCAAATACCTATTTCAGACTTTATGCAGGGGTTAATTGGTGCATCTCCAGCATTAGACTGCCATTCTACTAAGCGAGACACATCTCAAGATCAATCCAATGTTACAGGGCTTCGCAATGGGTTGGACAAGGGCAAATCGTTATACAAATGCAGCGTACCCGAAACACTTGATGACTCCTTCCTGCACATATACCCCGCAAGCAGGCAGGCAAACGCCCGCGTCAACCCGATTTTTGACATGAAGAAAAGGGTTGGAAATCATAAAGTGGTCCGGCGCTGCAACCAGGAAGTTCTCATCGACCGAGGAAGCCCACCCTGACAAGAGAACGGACAAGACCGTGAACAACTGAAGGCGAAACAACATGGCAAAAAAACACGTCACCATGCTCGGTGAGAACTAGCGCTGCGGACATTTGTACTGTTCTGACTAACCACTCGCGGTACCCGAAGAGAACAATCCCGAGGTGATGAACGCCTTGGCCAAGAAGTTGGGTCTCTCCGGCGACCTGGCCTTCTACGACGTCTACTCGCTCGATGAACCCGACCTCCTAGCCCACATCCCACGCCCCGCCTACGCTCTACTTGTCATCGTCCCCATGACCCCCGCATGGAAGCAAGACCGCGAAGCAGAGGACGCCGCGCTCGGCGACCCGGCCGGCTACTACCACGGCGGACCAGCCGGTGCCGGGGAGCAGCCCATCATCTGGTTCAAGCAGACTATCCCCGATGCTTGCGGCTCGTACGGCTTGTTGCACTGCGCCATTAACGGCCCGGCCGCGAGATTCATTCTCCCTGGCACCCTCCTCGAGCAGCTGCGCAACGACGCCATTCCGCTGCCCAAGGACGAGCGGGCACAAATGCTCTACGACAACACGGCATTCGAGGAGGCCCACCAGTCCGTCGCCGCCCTGGGCGATACCCCTGAGCCCCCGGTCGGGAAGAGCGAGCATAAGGGCCATTTTATTGCCTATGTCAAGGCGAACGGGCACCTTTGGGAATTGGAGGGTGGACGGGATGGGCCGCTGGACCGAGGCGAGCTTGGGGAAGACGAGGATGTCTTGAGCTCGACGGCGCTGGAGCTGGGCATGAAGCGGATTATCAAGCTGGATTCGGACGCTGGCGGGAATGATCCTCGCTTTAGCTGCATCGCACTTGCCCCGAGCTCGGCCTGAGGCCTATCTGGTGGGAACAGGTTCATGGAGGGAGCAAGGGGCGGCGTCCAACTGGGCATGCACAATGCTTTCGGTCTACGGGTACTTGGTCAGGGTCGCATGGGTACGCTGGCATCGTAAAATGCTCGGCACGCGCTCGAGGATTGAACCGTTCCCGGCCGAGAGTGTTGTTGGCTCGCGCAGGACAGCCGGAGGCTGAGGCATGCCGAATAGCTCCAGCTTCCAAGAAGTCCTGTGGACCTCTGAAGTGTTGGGTCGTTTTTGTACCGGGAATGGATGTGCAGTCCGACCGATGTGCCCTGGTCGACTTCGAGATGTGATGGTGGGTTGCAGACCAATGTTCGTCTCAGAGGCGTGTCCGCACCGTTCCACCCGCCACACTGAATCGGAAACTGGCCTCGGAGAATGCTGGTGTCCTAATAGCGCTGCTGACCTGTTCGCGTCGATAGCATGTCGTGGCAGCTTCGCGATGTTGAGACAGTGGCGATCGCTTCCCACATTCCAGTCGACCCTGACCCTCGGACGAACGACTGAGACGCCTCCTCGGCGACAATTCTTTCAACAGCATTTCAATGCCGTGTTTTCTAGCTCACAGGCGTGCAGATTCAAGGAAAAGCGGCACATCTCACTCTCATCGCCATCAAGACAGCCGAGAGTCACTCCGAGGCATAGCAACCATGAAGGTCCACAGGCTTTCGGTCTTTTTGCCTCCTCGCCGGCGTCCTCGCGCCGCCCATCGAGCAGGCTCAGAAGTCGCAGGTCCAGCCTCACGCTGGCCAGGACTCTGCCGCACCCGCAGACCAATTCGATGACGTCCCCCTGCCGGAAGACTCCTGGAGCCCCGAGGATGAGCACGGCTGATGTTGTGCCCGGGGGCGCCACAGATATTCCCAAAGTGAAGGTGAGGGTGTCCTACAGGGGGAATCTTTGGTCCCCTCAGCCCCTTCCACTAGACCACTGACCTGTTGGAAAAGGCGTTGGCTAGAGAAACTTAGACCTAATACATATATGGTGGGACGGTGCGTGTCCTTGCGGGCCTAAATTGGGATGGAAGTGCGGGATGATCGTCTCATTCCTCAGAGCAGAGCAGTTGTCAGATTGGCAGCGCCCCTAGCCATGATCGCCATCTGCATTCCAAAAATCCCTCTGGACTCATTCGTCCACTTCCATTACACTCTCTCATCGCTCCATTTTCCTTCCTCGTATACCCCATCATTCCTTCCAATTCCTCCTCTTCGCAAACCACTTCACACCATACACCAACCCCAGCAACACTGGCACCTCAATCAGCGGCCCAACCGTCGCCGCGAGCGCCTGATCCGACTGCGGCCCGTACGCAGCAACGGCCACGGCAATCGCCAGCTCAAAGTTGTTGCTGGCGGCCGTGAAGCTCTGGGTGACGGCATACCCGTACCGGAATCCCATCCGCCGCGCCACGAGCAGCGTCAAAAAGAAGATGAGGGCAAAGTAGACGATCAGTGGGGCGGCGACACGCACGACTGACACGATCTGGTCCACAACCTGCTTGCCCTGAGACGCAAACAAGACGAGGATGGTGAAGAGCAGGCCGATGAGGGACCAGGGCGCCGCGAACCGGAGGAAGTAAGACTTGTAGCGATCCGGGCCGAGGAGGCGGAGCAGCACGAGGCGGGTGAGGATGGCTGCGCCGAGGGGGATGCCGAGGAACACGCCGACCGAGGTGGCGACGGTCGAGTACGAGATGTCGATGGCCGAGTGGCTGTGCGGGTTGAAGACGCGGATGAAGAGGAGGGAGATGGGCGCGAACAGGACGATCTGCAAGAGCGAGTTAATGGCGACGAGGATGGCGCAGTAATCGCCGTTGCCGCCGGCAAGGTTGTTCCAGATCAAGACCATGGCGATGCACCGGGCGATGCCGACTAGGATGAGACCTTCGCGGAGGCCCTGCTTGTCGGGGAGGAATGCCCACGCAAGGCCGAGCTGTGAGCAGTCAGCCCCTGATTCTCACCTCCGGGAAGTCCCTATGGTAGGGAGCGTGTGGGTACATGCCATGACCAGGGGCGCAACAATCCAGTTAATGATGATGCTGAACCCCATCTGAACCCAAATCTCCCTTGACTTGAACACCACGTGCAGCTTCTCGTACTGAACCTTGCAGAGGATTGGATACATCATGACAAGCAAGCCGATTGCTGGATCACAGTCAGCACGTACGAATCATAGATGTGCTGACGCAGTAGGGGGCTGCTGGCTTACCGATAGGCACCGACACGTTAACGAATTTCCCCTTTTGCAACGCTGGCTCGACATCGTCGACAAAGTTACCAAGGAGGATGCCGACAAGCATGGCCAGAAAGATCCACAAGGCCAGGAAGCGGTTGATGAAGCCGAGGGCGCTGAAGGCTGAGAGCCTGGCCTGCGCTGTCTCGGCGCATGGCGGGCACGGGGGGTCCTGCTCCTGCTTCTCAAGATCACTGTTTGTCGCTTTTGCATCTGTGGAAGATTTGTCTTGGACTTTCATATCGCCCTCGGTCTGTGTAGGAACAGGGCCTGTAGCTGTCATTATTGACGCCCCTGAGTCAAGTTGCGGGGGCCCTGCGAATTCAAAATGGCGAAAAGAGTTCTGCGGGGAATGGTCAGATGTTGGAGAGACCGTATTGATGTTTGCCGCTGGGATGGAAGGCAAATGGAAAATTGCTGGGATATTCACAAAATAAGTACCATCCCCTAGACGTTTGGAGTTGCAGACGGTGACAAATTTCGCCATGGTCAACAAGGTTCTCATTCTCAACCGTACGAGGAGAATGCCCAGAGCTAAGGTTGCCAATCAGAACATGGCAGTGACATCCCATGCCAAGAACCATCTCAACGACTTCGGCACGACACAATGAGAATCGATGGGCAATTCTCGCCTGGAACATGGGGCAACGCCACATAAGCAGTGATTATGGTTTAGAAGTCCTCCTCTTGTCCTAAAGCTCGGCCATCGAAGGGTCCGCAGTTGTCCTGCAGTCGCCGGACTCGTGTATTCGCCACGAGCTTGCGCCCAAGATAAACAAGAACCTTTGGGCGCTTGGTATTGACTCTTCACAGGTGGAGAGTTGGAAACAATTTGATGGTCATTTCACCTGACTGCTACCCTTGAGCGAAGAAGAACACAGGCGATTTTGAGGGATTCCGGTACCGTAATGGATCGTAGACGTCGGCGCCTCCTTGTAGACACCAGAACAGTACCGGTGAACAGAAGAAGGCGTAGTAGAGTGTGGAGTCGGGTCGTTTGCAAGTCCGTCTAAACAGAACGGAAATCAACGATGACGGCAGCTTTGTAAAGTAAGTGGGAAGTGAAGGCTCGCATCGAGCTAAGTGTGCTGCCTGTCACACGGGTCGGCTTCCTTCTAGCCCCTAAACCCTCCATGGGCCCCAACCTTGGGTGTGATTTATGACGGGGTATGAGCAGCTCCTTGATGTTAGCCCGCTTGGAATATTTGAGCAGGTACGGATATGACGACACGCCTCGCAGATTGAAACAATTAGAGGCGCCTCCGAAACCCGGCATGCCGTGATGCTCGAGTGAGACATCCGGAAATATTCGAGGTATTTCGCTTCTTCCTTCTTCCCTTTCGGTCGGTGCTTCTAGCGTAGGCCTTGTCTCACCTTCCCACGCCCCAAGAGCCGTGCTGGGAGAGAGCGGGGCCAGCGAGGCTACACCGCAGACGGCTTGCTACAACATGCCGTACAAATACCGGCTTCGTCCGAGACCCTGCACTAAAGAAATTGCTCAGCGTATACGCAAGCTCATGCTTGAAGCGGCGGAACTCCCCACGCCATACCGGCTTTGTGCTGTCCATCCTGAGCGGTTCCTGACAGGAGTTCTCTCTCGCATGAGCGGCGAGAGAAAGATCGTTTTTGCTGGCGGCGGTTGGTTGCGGGCAGGATTTTATGCAGGAGAACCGTCGGAGCTGATGACCGCTCGCACTTTCTGTTGCCCTTTTGGTGCGGCCACCCTGATCCAGGACCCCTCATACACACAACAGGGTCTTGATGTCGAGAAGACTTGCTGCCGCAAGGCTGGAAAGACGAACAGTCAGTGCTGAGTCGGAGAAGGAAAGAAATCGAATGACCATAGTAGCGGGTGGTTGTTCTGTAGCGAATGAGGGCTTTGTGGTGCCGCTGTTGCCCGCACTTGAGCGAAGTCCACAGCGTGGTATGCCGCGTCTGCCAGCACATCCTGCGCCTCACCCCGGACATGCAGCAGCCATCATCAGCTGGGCTGATTCGAATGAGGAACCTGCAGACATCGAGAGTCGTCACGCCGTCCCATACTACCAGCGCAGATTTTTCCATGGCACACTGTGTGCTGTTCATCGGTTATGTTGGGATTGGAATTTCTGGGGCAGAAGTCTGTGGTCTGTTGGTGTAGCTTTCTTCCTGGGGATCGCCCGGAGCGAAGAATTGCCCAGGCCGGGACCCCACTTCTTCACGGCCATGCCGAATGACCGGCGCCGGTGCCCGTAGTCTCGGATCGGCATGTTGGACAGGCCTCCATCCGCCTGTTCAACATCTCGAGCAACTGGCTTTCGAGAGGCTTGCATGTCGTGATACGGGTACTGTCCTCTCTTGCGTATCACGGTCTCAGCTCCGTCTGTAAAGAAGACCAAAGCTGCGCGGCTGCCACGTTCGGCGTGGTCGAGCGAACCGCACAGCGCTAAACGCCCAGCCAGCTATTTGCTTTGGCGATGCGGCTGCAGGACGGTGGAGCAGGTTGGGTTCCGCTTGGAGTGTGGTAATGAAATTTTCCAATTTCCGATTTCAAGCCATGCGATTGAAGTGTCTCATTTCCTAGGGCCCCTTAAATCCAATGAAATGGGCGACTAAGCTAGAATTAGCTGGCATTTCCTAAGGGCTGCATAGCCAAAATATCTAGAGATTCAGTCAATTTACTTACGAAGACAGCTTAGCAAAACAGGCCTTTGATTGTACTTGAAGCCATTCGCAGTAGCTGCTGGACCAATGTTAAGGTGCAAAGTGGGAAAATATATGACCAGGGTGGACGGCTTGGCAGTACATGACCCACTAGGCTGCTCAAAAATGTGGGTAGCTGTAGGGCAAGGAGTGTGTTTTGTTCTTATGTAACACTAAGCTGAAGCCCACTATTTCTCTAACTGGCTAGCTGTACGGATGTAAACTCTGAAAATTTCACATTTTTAAAATGCCAGCTCCTATTTCACGTTTCAAGGCAGTCCTTAATATTACCACACCCTAGTTCAGCTTGACCAGCATCCGCACCTTGGTATCGAGCCAACTGTCAAGAAAAGGGAAGGCGGTCGCTCTCTCGGTCGTAGGGTACCTTTTTTAGTAACACTCAATGTTTTGATTCCGCGCCGCTGGTTCCAAGTTGTCGCCATCTATCTGGAAAGCTCTGGGGGATGAAAGCGTGTTGCGCGTCGGTCTGGGCCTGCTGGGACTGGCTATTAGGGTCCGGTTTCTCCTGCAAGCTGCGGCCTGTGTGCGACCTGGTCGGCGAGCGGCAGCTTCGCGCCATCCAAAAACGTTGCAGACTTCACTTGCTTCTGCAACGCACCCCTGGCACCATCGTCCATCTTGATTCTTGACTTCCATTACAAGGAACCTGTTTCTCACCGCCCAAATGCTGTATCCCCGGCATGCCGCCGTATCACAGCCCCGCTTGCGGCCCTAGAATTTCCCGATCGGCAATCGCCTGTTCGTCCTGGATCTCGCTCGATGCCGCTGTTTCCGAGTATCTCTAGCTCTCTCCACGAGTTCCGCCAGGCTGCAAAAGGCAGCAGGCCCGACATAAGGTAGGGTTACCTATGGGTTGTCAACGTTACTGTGTAGGATACCGCGCACACCGCCCTATTCTCGGGGGCCTGCACGCCTTGTCTCTCAGTAAATCAAGTCGTGAAAAGATCGTCGCAATCGACTACCCATGTGGGATCAGTGTGCCTGAGAGAGGAGGATTGCACTAAACTCGTAGCGCCCGCACTGCCGCATCGAGCGCTGGCCTTCGGCGTCGAAATTTCCAGGCTGGAACTCGTCAACTTTGCCAAGCCAGCAACAAAGTCGGAAAGCGCGACCGCCGATGCATCTCCACCTGCGCACGAACACGAGTCAAGCTCCTCGGGGGCCAGGGCTGAGATTCCCGTCCTGCCCGGCCTTCCATGTCGATGGGACTCGCTCGGATATTAAACTTGGAGGCCCGCCATGATTCTGACCCTGTCCGAGCAAGTTCGGCCCTCCCTTTGTTGTTGAGCGACCGCGCCAAGTCAATTACAGGCACACCGGATTACAGGGATTGAGCTGGCTTTTTCTGCCCATGCATTGCACCACTTCGTCATCAACAAGGTCGCTTTTACCATTGTTACCAGCCCCCGCGGGGGCTTGTTCCAGAAAAATGCGCTCATGAGCTGTGTGGATCAAGCCAGCGTCGTAGCAACTCTGGGAACAATTCCCTGATTGCTATCCGGTATCCAGCTGAGGCGGGCAGGTCTACGTTGCACCCAAGCACCGCAACCTCAAAGCGCACATCAACATCCTTGTCTCAAGGGGCTCTGTGCTGCAACGCCCCAACCTGCAACCTGCTCCGCCTTGGGCCCAACCCGGCGCTCTGAAGTTCCTGGCTGCCGGCAGGCTGAGGGGAACAGCGAACCAGTGCTGACCACGACGGCCGACAGCTGTGCTGTGTCTGCCATGAGATGACTGGCTCTAGTGTTGCCGTGGCCACCCGGCCCGCTGAGTCCAGGACGCCATTGCCGATGGCTTTTCATGGCTCGCACTCAACGCCGGATCTGTTCATAAATCCATCATCTGGCCGTGCGCTCTCCAACCCCCCGTCCTCCAGCTTGGACGCCGCCCCGGTCGATCGATCCCCCGGTTTCAAGACCCTGCCGCTGCTGCCGGCCCTGGCGGCCCTTGACATCCCCTCTTTCGACCTGGTCGGCGAGTTTGAGAAGTCCTTCAGCCTCACCACCACAATCGAGGACCTCTCCCCACGACCCGCCACGGCAACGGACAGGACCCTTCGAGTGGAATCTCAAGACAACCGCGATAACGAGAACAAGACGGCGGCCGGTGCCAGGGTGTTGGACGGTCACGCCCGCACCAGGAGCAAATCAATGGTCGACCGTCCGCTCTCGTGGCTTCCGAGCTCAAAATCCAGTCCCAACGTCCGAGCCAGCAATCATGAGCACCGCTCCAAGAGGTTGAGCAGACAGAATGTAGTAGGCGCCTCTGCTAAAAGCACCCCTCCGGGGAAACCCTTGGAGAGGTCACGAACCGTCGAGTCGTTTGCCGATTTTGCGAAACGGTCGTGGATATCCAAGCCGAGATCTCCCTCGCCGCCCAGCAAGCCAGAGAAACCGCGGGACGCTGGCGGCGCTGTTTCCATTGAAACTTCCAAGACAAAGGCAGCACCAAGTAGTCAGGCGGCCGCCGATTCCTCAGTCCCTGACGAACCGTCGACCAGCAAAAGGAGTGCCTTGAACCGTGCCAGCATATATCTAACAAGGATTAAGCAAAAACCGCAAAACCTTCTGTCGAGGAGCTCTCCATCCGTCACCCTCAAAGCCTCACTCGGACCAAGCGTGTCATCGAACGATTCCGACTGCCGGAGCCGGAGGTCCTCAACGCTGAACTCCGTCAGCGCGCCTGGCTCCCTGACGGCGGCGAAGAATGCTTCCTACAACAGTGTCAGCTCGGCCACATCGCGCGCTTCGTCCCAGAAAGCCGCGTCCGTTGAAACCGATTTAGATACCGACACAGCTACGGCGAGCAGCGCGTCCGAGAACACGTCCCAGTCCACCGTCGAAACGAGCGTGACGATGCCGCACCCGACCTCCCGCGACCCTCTGTGGGCGACATACCGTACCCTCGACATCGAATTCTCCCGGTTCGCCGCGAAGGGCTCGACGGCTGGGAGGATGAGCGTTGTCCGGTCCATTTTGGTGCCATTCCTGCACAGCACGGCATATCACCCTTCAAACTCCAACCGGTCCATCTTATCTGCCGAGGACATCGATCGCAGAGCTACCGTTCTAAATAAGTGGTGGAACGGCCTCTTGGGGATGCTGGTGGGCACGAGTTCGAGGCTGCCGGCTGGCATGGGCCAAGGCATTGCCGACCTGGGTGTCAATTTTCCGGTTCTGCAACCGGTCGCAGGCGTGGATCGGCCGATACTGCTGGAAGCAACCACCATGATAATGATGCGTCCAGAGTGGAGGGCCTGCAGCAGCCAGTTTCAGCCTCTGGCTGAGCGTTGCCCGGGGGAAAGGGTCCGGCCGAGGTCAGGGACTAGTTCGACCGTGGCGAGCGATGTCGACTCGTTGCTGCTTGCCGAGTCGGCCGAGCACAACGTCCGGACCATGTTTGTTACCAACCTGACGGCCCAAATGGCGCTGGTTGTCGAGAAGCTGTCGCTGCGACACGCCCCGCTGAGTCTGGTCAACTGGTGCGGCAAGGCATGTGCCTATGCCTTCTTCTTTGTGCCCGGCATTTCCGACGTGCTTGTTCGTCTGTGGGGCTTGAACGTGGACCTGCTGCGCAGAGTAGCCGAGGAGTTCGGGCTGCCAAAGAGAAGCAACGGCGAAAGCGACGACATCGTCGCGTTGTTCCCGCAGCACTTGCACAAGCTGGGGTGGTCGTCCGCAAAATCACTCGGGGACAAGCTGCGGGTGGCGGCGAAGCTCCCTCTGACCATGGCCAAAATTCACTGGCACGGTCCTTGGGTATCGAGATGGCGCGGCGGGGATACGGACCTGGTCTTCATCTTCTGCAAATACTTCCACATCCTTGCACAAGAGTTTATGCCAGAAGGGCTTCCGCTGGTTGAAAAGGCACGGGCGCCAGCGTTCGTGCTAGTCCACGCCCAGCTCTTGTCTGTTTTGGACAGCACCATCCACCGCCAGGCCTCCCTCGATGCCATGCTAGGTCCGCCGCTTTCCGACGTCATCCACGGCGCTGACGCCGCCTTGACGGCTCCCCAGCTCTCGAGCAACCTCCTCAGGGGCATGGATGAGAATCGGCTGGTTGTCTTGCTCAAGGACATGCTGGCCGAGAACTCGTTTGGCGTCGCCCCGGAAATCAAGCATACTTTTGCGCATGCATTTGTAGCAGTTGCGAAGGCAGCCACGAAGCGGACCCCGCGTTTCCAACAGGCCTCGTGCTTCATGCTCTGCGATTTCCTTGAGGAGGCGCTGGTCGCACTCGACACGTTCCAGACCACGGCGAATGCCAGCATCGCCACCTCGCCGACGGAGAACACACCGTCTAGTTATTTCGAGCCCGCTCGACCCGCTAACTACACGGATTGGCCATTCTGGTTCGAGGTGGGCAAAATGATCATGGACTCCAACAATACCATGTCCGAAATCCGCATGTTGTCCTTCCTTTTCTCGATCTGGGATACCATCGCAGCGGACCCTTCCCGCAAGGAGGCCGTGTGCTTGGATTGGCTTTTGTCCGAGGACGTCTTTGCGAAGTTTTTCAACCACTGGTGCCCGATGGTTCGTGCCTACTACATGCGCTTGCTATGCTGGCGAATATGCAGGGACTCCGGCAGCGCCAACGAGCTAGATGTGTAAGGGATGCCCTCGCTGTATGCCGATGAATGCGCAAAGCTAACAGTTCGACAGAAAAATCTTTCTTGTAGTGTCTCAGAGGCTGAAGACGGTCTGGTCACACTACCTCTGGCTCAAGCAGGATGCCGAGGCCAAAGGACGGATGCAGCCGTCGACAGCGCCTTGTTATCCTGCCCCCGGCAAGCGGTTTCTGATCATCAGGACCGAGGTGCAACCGCCACAACACTCCATCCAACTTGGGTTCGACTCGTTTTCGAACGCATTTCCTTATCCATATCCGGCGCTTGACTACCGCAGTCCCGTCGCCGGGACTGGAGACAGCGCTATTGGCAACGCTAAGACGGATGGCAACTTGTCTTTCAAGAAGAGGTGGTCTCTCCTGGGCAAGGTGCTTCCGTTTGGGCCGTCGCAGGACAACCCAACTTTCGAGGGGAAACGTACCTGGGAGGAGGAGTTGGAACAGGCTCGCCGAGACACAGCTGCATCGCGTCTTGCAGGCCGCAGAGGGAAAGCCCATCCTCCAGAGTCGCCGGGCCCGCCAACTCCGCCGAAGCAGGCACCTTCGAGCGCCGTCACGCCCGGGTCTGACTCCGGCTCCTCCACCGGCTCCGCCCCAATTTTCGAGGCCGCCTCATTCGTCTTCCGTTTCACCCTCACGTGGCAGACAGGCCCTGGCGGTGCGCCGATGCCGTGTCCGCCTACACGTGACCGGATCCTGACGCGGCCTCGACTTCCGGCGCCCGCACAGGCTAGAGTCAGCGCTCGCTTGGCCGGCATGAGCAGCCCGAGCGCGAACGGAGTGCCACTCTTGCGCAGCGACAGCCCGCCTCCTATCGCGCCCGGTCTCCCGCCTGAGACCCGGAGGGTGAGCGGGCTTTTCCAGACGGGACTCATCAGCGAAGCCCGGAACGCCAGGCCGCTAACCGTTGATGACGAGCCACGTAGACTATCTCTCACCAAGGATGCCGAGAAGCGGCTCTCACTGAACATCAGTATTGCACCACTCCGACTACTTGACGGCGAGGACAAGGACGATGGTAGGCTGGACGTACAGTCGCCGATCTGGGTATCTGGGTTCACTGGCCTAGACCCGGAGCGCGGCAGGTCGCTTGAAATTGGTGCGGCGCCGGGACCTCCCCCTGCGGCGGCCACCATCCGACCGGAACGGCCGACCGGTGTCTACGCGGCTGGCGCTGTCTACGCTGGACGGGCTCTGGCGGAATGGAGCATCGTGGTTGGCGAGTGCAATAGCTTTGTCGACCGTCGGCGGGACGAAGGCGTCTTGGGGCTGAGCGAGGTTGAGGTGCCGATTCTCGGGATGGAAGGACTCGGGATGCGAGCGCGAGGCTAGGCTGCCTGGATTTTGCCTGAGCCTTGGGCCAGCCTCGGCAAGTCAAACTCCACGGCGTCAGAAGGAATAGCAAAGTATCTTGGCGACACACACGTACACACCGTCGCCGTCAGCGCCATTATCAAATCTGGCTTCATCCGTCAAGTTGTTTTCGGCCTGCCCCAATCACACTCGACGAGGATCCTCATTCTTCAGTTCCAGCATCTGCACCTGCATCTGCAGCGAGTTACTGGTCCATTTCTTGCGGCTACATGTTGCATTTATACCACAAGGACATATTTGACACGTATATAACAGCCAATTTGCTGTTGTTTCACATACGGATGCAAGGCGTTGTTGGTTGGCCTGGATTGGCCTTTGGGGCGCGGGGGTTTGGAGAGGAAACCTAGAATGGAAGGTTACGGCTCGCTTCCAGTCGGTATTTTTACTTGGGCAATGATAGCTAGTACCTAAAACAATTAATGTTATTGGTTGTACTGCTGGTTCGGCTACCATCCATACTTTCGGTCGTTGCATGTTAAGTTGTTGGATGGGGTTCGTGTTTCTTTTGATCAAGGTACTTTGTTGTTGTTTGGGGTTATACCCGGTAAGGTTTTCTGGACTACAAGACCGAATTTGAAGATGGATTGATTCCTCGACGATATCCGTACTGAATGGACATTTGCATGTCCAGCTCCGGTCGAGTGGCGTTGGCCCGACCTTGTGGTGTCTTGCCGTGTTGTCTACTAAGGCACTCCGTCGCTCCCTCTGACTGCACTGAGCTGTTCGGTGCGTCTATCCGCTCTTGCTTTCGGTGAGCACTTTAGATGTAGACCGGCAAATGGGGATCGACAGGAGGGAGTTGCAAATTTGGTCATCGTCCAGGAACAGCAATCAATCAATTGGAACTTGCAATAAGGTTGCATTCAAGGCTTGTAAACGTGAAGAGAGCAAGGCTGCAGTTCCTGCCATATCTGGAAGGTGGGGATGGGAATGACAGGCTTTGGGTCGCTTCGCCGTTTCAAGGTGACATCCGGCAACCGGGAAGGCTCTACCGGGCCGTGGAACGGGATCGGGTGGGACGGGCTCCAAGGAGCTCAGCTTGGTGACGACGGGGAGTATCGAAAAGAGGCACTGCCTCATGACTTTGGTTTTGAAAGGAGCTTTCGTCTCAACTTCAGCCTCTGGCAAATACCCGAGTTGAACTAGCACGGTAGCAGTTGTGTGGTCAACATTCTACGAGCATCCCTCAAGATAAGTCTCAGCTCTTTGTCAGCCCTGTTGTCCTCTTGGTGGTCTTCCTAGCCCGTTCTATCCGTAACTAATTTGTGTTGGAATTTCGAGCTTAGTGGATTTCGGTACTCCTCAGTAAAAAAAGTAGAGCAAGCCGAGCCCACTACCAGTCCACGCGTATAGGAATTGTAACAATAAGTGTCTTATATGAGGAGGGATAAACTGCAGAGATCGCTCGAATAAAGTGAAGACCAAAGAGTCCGCAGCCTGGAAGCTACAACGAGGCGCGGAGAAGGGAGCAAGCATAAAAGTGCAAGCAGACGAGACTGCATCATTAGGGTTCAGGGCTTCCATGACTCTAAGCGTGCTATATATCCACCTGTCAATGTCAGAGTCTTAGCAAACTGTGAATGCTATCTATTGCCAACGAGGGCCCCTGGACATATAACACCACCTGTATACCTATGCGAAATGTGAGACGCTCAAGCCGTTCCAACCCTAACCCAGACACCGACACAGAAAGTAAGACAAGCAGCGCCACGCCATCTATCGCCAGTGGAGAGTTATCCCGCGACGCCAGAACTCAAAGGAAAACAAAACTTTTTGACCCCCCTTAGTACCCGTTAACCCCATTCGTCCTATCAATGCCATTCCCAACCTTGCCCTCCGCCTCGGCAACCGCCCGCTCCAGCGCCTGAAGCACGTCCTTCTTGAGGTCCTCAGCATCCTCGACACCGCAGCTGATGCGTACCAGATCGTCAAAGACGCCGACCGCCTCGCGCTGGTCCCGCGGGATACCCGCGTGCGTCATGCTGCTGGGCACCTCGCAGAGCGACTCGACGCCGCCCAGCGACTCGGCGAGCGTGAAGATCTTGGTCAGCTGGCAGAACCTTTCGGCGGCCGCGTGGCCGCCCCGGATGCGGAAGGACAGCATGCCGCCGCCCATGCCGTTGCGGTGCTGCTTCTTAGCGATTGCGCGGTGCGGGTGGGAGTCGAGGCCGGGGTAGTTGACGGCGATGACGTGGGGACTGGCCTCGAGAGCGTGGGCGACGGCGGTGGCGTTGGTGGTGGCCTCGCGGGCGCGCAGGTGCAGCGTCTTGGCGCCGCGGTGGGCCAGCCACGAGTCAAAGGCCGACGGGACGGCGCCCAGGGCGTTCTGCAGGAAGGATAGCCGCTTGTGGAGGTCGTCGCTGTTGAAGGCCGCCACGCCCATGACCACGTCGCTGTGCCCGTTGATGTATTTTGTGACGCTATGCACGACAATGTCGGCGCCGTAGTCTAGCGGGTTCTGGATGTAGGGGCTCATAAAGGTGTTGTCGACTACCACCATGATGCCGTGCTCGTGCGCCTGACTCGCGACGGCGCGGATGTCGACGAGCCGGAGCGTCGGGTTGCTGGGCGTCTCAATCCACACCAGCTTGGTCGATTCTGTGATGTGTTCCCGGATGTCGACCTCGATCTCGGGCGTGAAGGTGACCTTGACGCCATGGGCCTTTGCGACCTGGGTGAAGTACCTGTGGGTGCCGCCGTAGACGTCCGAAACGGAAATGACGTGGGAGCCGGCAGCCAGGGACTGCAGGATAACGGTGGTGGCAGCGCTGCCGGACGAGAATGCAAGGGCGTACTTGGCATGCTCGAGGGCAGCCACCATGGTCTCGAAGTTGTTCCGATTGGGGTTGCTGCTGCGGCTGTATTCGAACTCGCCGACAGGCTTGCCGACGGCCGTTTGGGCGAACGTGGTGGATAGCGAGATTGCTTCGATGACGGCGCCCGTCGCGGGATCATGCGGCGATCCCGCATGCACGGCTAGCGTACCGAATCCATGGATGGGCGACGGGGCGCGGGGCGGCGTCGCTATGGGGTGGTCGGTATGGGCTGTCATGGCGCGGGAGTGGCTGTCAGCGACAGGAACGTGCGCGAGGGGACTGAGACCGTGTGACAAGGTGCAGGCGAAGGCAGCGCCTCTGTTTGGTCAACTGCAGTCGTGGGCGTTTTCCGTGACACTGATATCTACAGAATCGAAATATATTCGCAAGAGAGGTCGGTGTTGGAGGGGTTCGCGCAATTTTTGCCGAGGTGGTGCAATCTGAGTAATGGCCGAATGCCTCGACAACCGTTTTGCCTTTTGTCTCCGCTTCATCCACAACGGCGCGCCCTTGTTTTAAATCGACTTTACGCCCTGGACGGTAACACGCAATTTGGGAGCCCGCTCCAGGGTTTGTCTGGTCTTGCTTCGATGGAATTCGGATGGCGAGCGCTGGATGGCTGATTGCTCATCTGGATTTCAAATCGGCATCCGGTTGAGAGGTTCGGCGACGAGAAAGGGGCAGCTCCGCCGCCCGGTCATGTCATGTGCGCATTTTCGTAGCTATCTGTTACCTACGTTGATTCATTCCGACTGGGTGGGTTTCGTCGCACAGGATTGGGCATCTTTACCGTCTTGCCCGGAACGAACGCCCTTAAGTCCTGTTGGGGAAGTTGCGAGCAGAAAATGCGAGACCTACCTGCGCATGTTGCGGAGCTGCATGCAGCAGTCTTGCTGGCCGCGGATGCAAATCTCAGGTATGAAACCCGTTGTGGTGACCTCCACTACGGTAATGACGACGAACGTTGTGAGCCGTGGCAAGCCGCAGGCAGAGCTCGCGTGGTGAGATCATCGCACCGTCGCGTTCAGAGGAACTGGTGGATTTGGGCGGTGAGCGGATGACAAAGTTCGTGTTGGAGCTAAAAATAAGCACCTTCCTGGATTTATTACTGCAGAGAGAAACCTCTCAATAACTTCCATATCATCTGTGTCTAGGCTACGGGGCGACGGAGTATGTACAATACATATGGTATTTGAGGGATTGTGAGGTTGCAGGTCCAAAAAATTTCTTCCAGCGTCTCAAACTAAGTCTTGATTTTCTCCAATGTTGAGGACCTTAAAGCGCGTGGACGCAACGCAAATAAACGACGTAGCCTATCAGGCATGCTCCGGAGATTGCATCGGAAGACGCCGTAACTCAGCAACCCGGAGCCAAGGGCCGGGGCCTTTGTAAGTTTGTTCGGGCCCGGCCCTCACATGCCTGGTTTATCCGCTGGCTCCACAACGGGCCGCGCGCTGGTATGGTAAGCATCGGGCGAACCGCAGCATGAGGACACTTGCTGTATGTCAAGTTAGTAATGATTCGCTCTTTGGTATGCTAACAAATTATTACCATTCTTGCGAAAAGAGTCCTCGAGCCGGTCTTAGCACACGGAATGACACGAGAACGGGAGTAAACTTCGTTACCCTTGCCTTTCATCCGTATCGTATTCTGTAATTCCGGGCCAATGTTCGATCCCGCTTGGCCCCTCCTCGGTGACGGGACCCCACCTGCGGGCACCAGCGATTGGCTGTCATTGGGCGCCATCCATGAACTCGTCGACACAGCCTCGAGTTTAACGTCGGCCAGACGCCACGGCGAGAACTGTCGCAGCCAGGAAACACGCCGCAACTGGACACCCGACCTGCTGTGCATCGAGCGACTAGTATGGAAGCGGCGTGCCGCAAGTGTCGGCAGAGAGCGCCGCACAGCAGCGAGGTAGCTACGATAGCACGACCAGGCAGCCACAGAACAAGATACCCCCCGGCAATTACCGAATAATCCTCGGCCGCTAGCTGACCACTAGCAGCGACAAAGTATGCCGCCTCGTCGCTCTCACAAAAAGTCCAGGGCCGGCTGCCGGCGATGCAAGTCTCGCAAGATCAAGGTGCGTCCTGGTCCAAGTGGTTAGGAGGTACACAACTGACATAACTCGCGACAGTGCGACGAGGTTCATCCGCGCTGCGGCAACTGCGTCAAGCACGGCGTCCATTGCGACTTTGAGCATCCCGAGGTGCTCGCCGAGCTTCAGGCTGCCGCTGCTGCCACACCCGGTGCTGCCGATACTCCATCCACGCCCGCTACATCCTTCAACTTCGCGTCGCCTGTCCCCCATGCTTCAACCCCAGGATCCGCCATACCCGGCGTTGCCGACACGGCGCCGCGGTTATGTCGACAGCCACCGGCCCCCGCCCTCTCGCCGACTACGCCTCCGGGTCACCGGTTACTCGAGCTTAGATTGATGCACCAATACACGGCTATGACATGCAAGACATTCACCTTCACGGCACCGCTGACCGAGGACATTTGGAAGATCACGGTGCCGAACCTCGCCTTCTCCGGGTCGCAGCACCTAGCCGACGCCATACTCGCTGTCGCAGCGCTTCATCTCCGAAGCATCATGCCGAACGACAAGGAGTTGGTTCGCGCGTCACACGCGTACATGGCGGCGTCTCTCGCCGAATACAGCGCCGCCCTCACGAAAGGCATCGACCATACCAACGCGGAGTCCCTTTTTCTGACTTCGGCCCTGATCGCGTTCCAATCTACAGCCACCAGAGTGTTCATGAAGGACGAGGGAATGGTTGGTGCAGGAAGCGAGATGGACACAGACGCCGGCAAACTCCGCAATCAGCCATCCGGATGCTACTCCATCCCCTTCTCATGGTTCCACTCGTTCCAGGGCGTCAAGGCTATCACGGCCGCCTCGTGGCAGTACCTGCGCGTCAGCCCCGTGGTAACACAGGTCATCAATTCACAAGCTGCACTTCAACTCGACCTCAGCACCGGCCCAGAAACATTTTTCGGGCACTTACTCGAAGGTATAGAGGAGGAACTCGCCGCCATGGGCGGTGGCACAGACGATCCCTCCATCATGCCGCGCGCAGCATCTCTCGCCGGGAGCAACAGCAGTTACGGGCTAAACAGCGCCTGTTCTCCCGCCGTAGCCACCCCTGCCCACCTTCATCAAACCCAACCATCCAACCCCGCCGCCACCCCCGAACTAGTAGCCTCCACCCGGCAAGCCTACCACCACGCCGTCGCCGTCCTAAACTGGGCGCACAAAATCCCGCACAAGGGCGCGCCGCTCGCCTTCCCGGCTACCGTCTCCCGCCGATTCATCGAGCTGCTTGAGGAGCGCCGGCCGCGCGCCCTCGCCATCCTGGCCTGCTTCTTCGCCCTGCTCAAGTCGATGGACTCAGTCTGGTGGCTGCAGGGCATGGCGCGGCGCGAGGTGCTCGGCGTGGTCTCGCTCTTCAACAGCGACTTCTTCGGGCCCGACGCCTACCGCACCTGGTGGCCCCACCTCGAGTGGGCGATGCGCATCGCGCTGTACGAGCCCTCCCCGAGCGGCGGCGGCGGCGGTGGGGAGCCGGCGGCGCCAATCCCGCCCGAGATTTGGGGCGCCGACTGGTATGCCGAGGAGAGGACGCTCGCGGAGGGGCAGGCGCGGCATGGCGGGTATGTGAGGCACATTGAGCTGCTGAGCCAGATGGGTAGTGGGCTGCAGGGGGCCATGCCGAGCGTGCCGGAGTTTGTGCCGGTTATGGGGTCGCAGAGGTGACCATGGAAGATCGGTCGGGGAGAGAGAAAGAGGACTTAAACGGCGGGTTGAATGGACACTCGCCGTGGCCTAGAGGGTCACTTCATTTGCACCAAAGGAAGACTCTGAGCTATGCTCTGGCAGTCGTCGACCGGGAAGCATACGAGTCATGGGACCGAAGGTAACTACAGCCGTGATGATGATGGAAGCCGCTGTGGAAAGCAAAGCCGTTAGGGGTCTTGAGTGTGGACAGCATACAGCTAGGTCCAGCTTCCTGGAAACTTCGCGAATGGCAGACCAGGAGAACGTACTTGATGAGGTATGCCACAACAGTACCTCGAGCGGTACAAGGAGTGATTTGGAGATAATCCCACCACAGACAGAAGGGCATCAGATGCCTTGCCAGGACCAGAAGGTTGAGCACATAGCAGTTCGGCACAACAGAGGCAAGTGCTGCTAGAAGTGTACGCACAGTATATACGGTATAGATGACCATACAAAAGACAAGCACAAACATCAATTGACGCCGTTTTCCGTCCCTCCTGCTGTATCAGTGCGCCAGAACGCCTGCCTGCCTTCGGAGCGAAAAAGACCACCTACTGTCATAGTCCAGCCACCCAACTACGCGCTTCCTTTCCTCTTCCGCTTCGGCAGCTCATCAGCAACGACGGTTTCCTCCTCGTCATCCTCGTCGTGCTGATCCCTCGACCGCTTCAAGCCCTTCATCTTTCTTGTTTGCAGCTCGCTCAAATCCAGCTTGCCCGTGTGGATGCGGCCGATCTTGTCGCCCATGATGTCGGTCGAGATGTTCTTCTTGGTGCGCTCCTCGGTCGTCTTGGGCTTGCGCATCGCCTCCTTGAGCATGGCCTCGTCGGGCTCCTGGATGCGGCCCAGGCGGAAGTCCATGCGCGGGCCGTGCTCCTCGAGCTCGACGCGGGGCAGTTTCTGGCCGGAGCGCTTCGTCCGGATGGTGTAGACGCGCAGGCGGAGAACGGGCTTCGCGGCCGGGTCGTCGCCGCTGGCTGTCTCAGAGGCGGTGGGCTCGTCGGCGGTCACCACGACGCAGTACCGCAGGCCTTCGACGTCAATCTTGTCCGACGTCTCGCCGCGGAAGAAGTCGATGAGCATGGATTTGGCCATTGTAAAGGCATTGGGTACAGGAGATTCGCTGCTTGCTGTTAGCGCATGGGGTCTGCAAGAGAAGCAGGGTGTGTGATCGCGTACAATGCTGTCCCCGCGAATACCATCAACGGCCGCGTTCCAACGGGTACCTTCTCATTCTTGAATTGGGCTATGCTCCGGAAGGTCTCGGCATCGAGGTAGAACTCGAGCATGTCGAGGATTTTATAGTCGAAGGTGCGGACAAAGGTGATGGTGTGGGGGCGCTTCTTGCTGCTGCTGCCAAAGAGAAGCAGGCTGCAGTCGTTCTTCTCGGAGAAGAAAGCTAGTGAGCTGGCGTCTTCAAAGGGGTGGACTGCGGAGAGTAAAAAACGTCAGCAACTATCTGGAGAGGAAGTGTCGCAACACAGGGACAGCCGCGCATACCTGGATTCTTCTTCTGGAAGCGCTTGGAGTACACCTGTCTCAGGGCATAGAGATCCCCAAGAGCATCCTGGGTCTGTGGGGTTTAGTCTCAGCATCCTAATCACTCATGAAACAACAGAGTATGGGCTTGGTGTGTCGTACAATCTGGCTGCACGAGGTGCCTCGCAGGAAAAGAGCCGTCTTAGGGTTCTCGACGGCCTTTGGCGCCCGCTTCTCCAGAGCCCGCTTGGAGCGAGCATTACGGGGTTTTCTGCGTCGTTCGTGGTTAGATCTCGGGTACCGTACGTCCGAAGCCGAAATCACTTACATCTGGCGTAGCATGTTTGCGACGATGAAGTTGTTGACGATTTAGTGCTTGTCGCTTCGCAGAATGCAGCACTCAAGAAAATCAAAGCCGTATCGATAAGAAAAGCTAACGTGGGGGATGATGGATCTAGGGCATGCGCCTCATTTGTGTTCGAGCCTCACCAGCCATAGTGACTTGCAACAAGCCACACTGGGAACATAGCATTTCTTTGTTTTAATCTGCACGGGCCACCCTCAATTCTCCTGACGTTCCTGGTCTGCTGGATGCTTCGCTATACTGTCAAGAATCTTGTTGTACGTTTCAGGTCCTGTATTTCTTCAAGAATCTATGCAATTGTTCTTCAGAACTCACGGCTCTTCCATGGGGCGCCACATCCACGACTGACGACACCCAAAGGTCCAGTCTTATATCTTTGGGAGTCGGCTGATGTATATCCTGCCTCCAGCTTTACGCTGATGCCTTGCTCTTTGCTGTGCCTTCAAGGTCCCCACCTCAGTAAGCTCACAGCTGTCCACGGGTGTCATGGACGCTTCAGCTCCCGCTTACAGCAATCAAGTTCGCCCGTCCAAGTCGACTGTGAACCAGACTCGCTCTAACTCGTCTGCACCATCTTCAGCTTCACATTATTTTGCTCAATGTTGAATGTCTTCGAGACCGTCTCTCTGTTGCACAGAAGCCATGATGCTTCAGGGGCCCTGGGGCAGTCGCGCCGTTCATGGGGGACGAACAGGATGGCAGGCTTGCCGCCTGTCTTACCGCGGGCCTGGTCACTCACTCTCCGTCACAGATCCGACTGCTTTTCAACTGGGAGGCTGGGTTGCTCTTTGGTTGGCAGTCCACCCAATGAAGAGGGAGCGTCAGCGTGTACAATAGGGAATTCCACCGCGGTGTTGCGGGTCGCTCCCTTCTCGGTCGATGGCAGACTGCGAGGTGAAAGCTTGTATACGGTGACCTCCTCGTCCTGGGGCATCTGGTGCGTCCGGTCTTGAGCTGTTCTTCCTTGCCTGGCGAAACATTGATGCTCCTCTCTCGCTTTCGACCTGACGAGCTGGCCTGGGGGATGACGCTAGCGTCGCATGCTTGGATAGCTTAGGAATGGTGCATCTCCCGCTCATTTATACCCGTCCTGCATGTTAATAAAATCTAAACGACCTGTGTCAATGGGTCGCGAGGCGCAGGTACGGGAAGCAGGCCGCCGTCAGCTAGGATATAGCTAGCCGCTTGAGTGAGCTGGACCTCGACGAGGTCTACGTGACCAAGGGTGCCGCCGCCAAGAGGGAGGGGGGTTCCAATGTTCTGGGCCGAGTACAATGAGGAAGATGGGCGCGTCTCTCGCAAGCGTGACGTAGCCGTACAGATGGGACAAAAACGGCGCCAGGAACAGGCTGGTCGCTTTCAATCCTGACTTTGTGAGATTGAACATTGCGGTGGGTCTCACTGCATCGTTATGGTCCTGGTTGATGGGAAGGCTGCTCTGAAGACGATGATGCTTAATTGCGCAAGATGTGAATGACTATTCCAATCTGAACCTGGCAGTGTAGGACTTGTCGTTGCTTAATGTCAATTTTGCTGAGTCCGTCACAGTACCTGGGAAGTACTCGCCATACTTATGGAATGACATAGTCATGATAAGGCTAGCGGTATAGATGGCCTCTTCAGCGCTATTGCCGTCATTGCCGTCGTCATCACCGCTCCTATTGTCGCTGTGGTGGACATCGATGTCGATATAAAGCATGGTGGAGGCTGCTTGGCGAGAAGTAGTAGGTGTCGTTGACCGCACAGCCGGGCGCTGCGGTAGTGGTTACGCTAGGGCTGGGGTTTGTGGATGTGCTGCTACTCGTTGACTTGGTGGCTCCGCTGTTGTTGGCCTTGCTCATTCCTGATGTTCTCGCGCACAAAAGAATGCACTGAGAGAACTCACTTCGTCATTGCACTCCCACCATTGCCCGGCATTGGCGTCCCTGTTCCCGCGGATTTCTTCAGCATTCCCCGGACCGCAGCGGGCCCTCAGCGCTGTGCAGCGACATCACCTCTTCCTTCACAACAACGCCCGCCTCAACATGATCAGGGAGAAGAGCCTCACCGCATGACCCAGGATTACCAACTTTGTTTCATGTGGCACCCCCATGTTTAAGGTTTTGACCAAGGGTATAAGCCTTCAGGTACATACACTGTATGCATAGATAGGTATGCTCATGCTAGGTAAGGTCGTCATGAGGTTTTCTCTACCGCCCAATGCTATATGTCATTATCCAAACACAAGAACGCCAAGCCAATGATTGACCCAAGCCGCTATACATGAACCGCCCAAGAGTGCCCAACGGAAAAAGTACTGAACTCATCACAAGCAAACTGATCATCGCCCGCCAACCTGACCCTTAGGCAAAGGCGGGATCCAGCAGACCCCGACAGCCACAACCAGGTTGATGACCCCAATGACCCAGAACCCTTTGGCATAGTTGGTCCCGCTGTCCATGAAGCGAAACACGATCGAGAACAGCACCCCTCCAAGGTTTCCACCCGCCCCAGTGAACCCAGACAGCACACCGTTCCGCGTGGGATGGACATGCGGCAGTAGACTAAAATTGGCCCCATTTCCGGCCTGCACAAACATCGCCACAAGCGCCGTAAGGCCGAACATAACCCCCTGGTCATGCGGATCTAACCGCCCAACGACGATCATCACCACGCCCGCGGCGCCGACACACGCGACGAGCCAGGCCTTCTTGGCCCACAGCGACCCCCCGAAGGCGCCGTACAGCAGGTCGCTCACGACACCGCCGAGTGGGCGCGTGACAAAGTTGAGGAAGCCGAACATGGCCGCCCAGTTGGCCGCCGCCGTCTGGCCGAGCATGGGGAAGTTCTTGGCGTAGTAGGACGACAGGACCATGTTGACCGCCAGCTCGGTGCCGAAGGAACAGAGGTAGGTCAGCGTGTGGAAGGCCGTCTGCGGGGAGCAGGCTATCCGGACGAGGTCGCGTGCGGTGGGGGGCTGGATGACTTCGTTTTGGGCGGCTGCTATTGTTGAAGGGATTGTCGTCGGGGAGGGCTTATCTGGTGGAGGTAGTTGGTGCCCGGCTTCGAGGTCGGGTGTCTCGATGGCGCGAGAAGTATTCTTCCATTTGGTAGGGCTCGGAGTGGGCTTGTCGGTTATCTGTCCCGGGATGTCCACAACGCTGGTCTTCTCCGCGTCCGTCTCCGTCTCAGGTTCAGTGTTGGTCTGACCGTGGAGGTGACGCTCGCTCCACTTGCCTGTCGGGCTATCGGGACAGAGGACGATGAGGGCGACGCCTGTCGTAATGGCCATGGCAAGCGGCACGAGGAAGGTGAGACGCCAGGCTTGGCCCGAGGTGTGACCGCTTCCGATAAGGGCGTCATAGACGGCCGGCATGATGAAGTAGGTGATGCCCCCGCCTGCCGTGCCGAAGCCCCCAGTGAGGGCGTTGGCGGTGCCTACAACATTCTTGTCGAAGAAACCAGTCGACCAGACTTGGCAGGGAACTAGCGAGCCGCCGAGGATGCCGATGAAGAAGCGGCTGACGTAGAGACCTGTGGCGTTGTGGACAAGCGGAGCGAGGCCGAGCGGGATGGCCCCGACCAGGAGCAAGCCTCCAAAGACCTTGCGAGGGCCGAATTGATCGCACAGGGGGCCAGCAACAAGGCGGACGAGCAGGCTATGGTTTGTTGATGTTAGTGGTTTCCCGTGTAGTTGCTGTTGTTTCAGGGGACGTGTACATACGTAGCGACGGGGGATACGATGTTGGAGTTGGCAACCTCAGCTGGGGTCAGGTGAAGGTCGTCTTTGATGGCGCGGGCCAGCTGCCAGAAGTGTCAGCGCCACAATATTCTTCAAATTGACGCTGTCCGGGTCCCGTCGGCACCATACCAATGGCGGAAACGTATACCATGCCCAGAAGGCGATCATGAAGCCGAACCAAGAGAAAAAGAAGACGCGCCCGTAGACATCTCGTGGGTTGAAGAACGGTATTGATCGGGCCTTGAAAGTAACAGGGTTGACCTCTGGGGGGGTGTACAGGTGCGAGAATTTGAAACCCATTTTTGATATTTCTTTGAAGGCTGAGCTAAGGTACTCTCTGACCGGTGCTCTGCGAGATCGTTTAGGGATGGCTCCTTCAGAAAGAGCTCCTATCCCTTGTTATAAACAAGCCATCCTCCCCGTGTATCTTCGCAGATACAACAAATACGTAGTAGTCATTGCTCGGAATGCCACCGCCGGCAGTACTCCATATTGCCTACTACTCTAAACTCGCGTCCTATCTCGGGATTGTGTGTCATAACCCATGAGAACGATGAGAAAAACGGATGCTATGACATATTTCAACACTGCAGACACAGATTGCGCCGATGCTCATTGTAGTAGGGGCGGTTGAGCTGTACCGATACACAGTAGTCGATGGCTGATAAGGAGGAGCAAGGATCCACGGGGACCGGAAATGCGCGACTGAGATAGCGCTCAGCGCCTCGGAGATGCACGAATGCTGTCCGTACTGGATGAGAAGGCCATTCTCTATATCCGTACAAAGAGAGTCTGACAGCGCGGGCTGAATGTACGGATATAAAGCGCGACGACAGGTACGTACTCCGTAGAGATGCAGGTGGTGATCTCATAAGTACACCCTCGCATCTAAAGGCCACCCCCAGAGTCGCAGACACCGCGAGTGCCATGATGTGGGGAATGTCGACGACTGCGATGCTGGGGAATCGGTCTGCTTTAAGTAGCCAACGCCAGAGGGCCATACCTCTCTCTCCCCTTCATGAAAAAGCAACAACTTGGGTCTCGGCGGCGGCGTCAGCAACCACATCGTTATCACGTCTCGTGTACCCGGGGAGTGCAGAACATACCTCCGTACGGATGAAGATACTTTAGCTTAGGTAGGTAGCCGATAGCATCCTTATCTTCCCTCGCCGCGTCCCCAGCGCTCAGCCCGCCCTGGTGGTTGCAGTCCGGAGATCTCTCCGTTGGCCAAGTTCAAGTACTGTGGATAGGGAGATAGGAAGATAGGGAGATAGGGAGATAGGGAGATAAGCCTGATAAGCAGACTTGTGATTGACGTGAGGGACGGGCCGCATGGCGGCTGCTGATCTCCGCGGCGTCTTGTGGCCAGGAACTGGCGTGGGTGAGAACTGTTGAGCATCCGGTTCTCGATGCAACACAAAATGGTTTGTCGATGACTTGCATGAGGGTGTTGGAAACCGGAAGTTTGTGACGCTGGAAGGCTGAAGGGTGGTAGGTTCACCCCCACGCCAAGCCCATCCTGCCCCACGTGTACCTTTTTGCCTTGACTTCCAGAAGGTGGTGCCTGATGAGCTTTCGAACCAAAATTTGTGTCTGTTCCATTGTTGACTTCTCACCGAGAACCAAGCTGTCCAGTTCAAATCATGTCGTTGGGGATTGCGGCCTTTCTCCGTCGGATGGTTCCCTTCCAGATATCTTGGATTGGCTGCTCTGGTAGTCGAAATTGTGCATACCGCGGAGTTGCCAAGACCAAGCGGCTCGGATCGCCGGATTGGAGCGTTGTGCAATCAACGTCGACGTCTTCGACGTCTTCAAGTTCTTGACGGAATAGTGCGGGCGGCTTCGACGGCATTTCCTGAACTGCCTGAATTGCGCTCGGTCGGTCACCAGGGTCCTCGCGACTTTTCTTCACATTTCCATCTGGTTGCAGCGCCGAATTGTGGCCGCAGCGTGGCGCCTCTGCTCTTTTCGACACTTTGCCCTCTTGTCGCTCGTCTGATCCCAAACCAGCGGTGAGACGATAAGCAACGCCAGACCAGGACCTTTACCCGACATCCCCCTTTTTTAGGCCGGTCGGCAAACATTGGAAGCAACGGATAGCTCACCCTGGCTGGAACCAGATCAGAACATTTGTGTTGGCGCCGGGCTCGGTTTGCTCACACACGAACCCCGGCTCTCGGCGGGTATCGGCAACGCCCGGTGACCCAAACATGAAGCCACCAACCTGGCCCGGCGAGCCAGGGCAATGACGCGATATAACGCCTAACCTGACGTAAGTTTATAAGTATCATGGCCGGCCGAATACGCTGACATTCGTGGAGTTCTCAGACCAGCGCTGCGGATGGCTTTGCTCCGGAGACGGGCCCGGCCCATTTCTCTTACGGAATGAATCCAGAGACCGGCCGGAGGCCCGACTGCCGAATAGTGGGTCCGACACGCCCCACTTTTACCGAGCATCACCGGCCCAGCCTCCGGTCTCAGGACTTCCCACTTCCGAAGACTGATGTCACATGAATAACTCCGCCACTGAAAACGGCTCCCAGGGGTCCTGACTTTGGCCAGACAGGTGCGACAATGCAATCACGGCGCTACCCATTCCGTCATTGCCCGTCCCCGCCAACGCCTTCATAAGCCTGTCGTTCAGCTACCGCAACTCATCAGGTGGACGATTGGTCGATGTCAAACTGTCGAACCGCTCGTCGCTATTTCAAACGCAGCGCCTCTTCGAACAGCTTTGGAACTCTCGGGTGTTTTTTTAAGACCCCACAACTTTATCATCTTTGTCGTTCGGAAACGAGCGACCGGGTGTCGGCGTGGATCCATCGGCGTAGCCAAGGCGGCAGAAGGACCTGTGAGGGCTCATACGGTGAAGATTTCGGTCGGGACTAGCGGGCCACTGTCGGTTAGGTTCTGAATGTTGGCCACAATTTGGCAAGATATCATCCCTGTTCCGCCTTTCGCTGCTTCCAGGGCCGGTTCCATGCCGCCTGTACCACAGACCGCGGCAGTACATATATAACCATTTACGCTGTGATGCTGTTCAGCTAGGCTTTGATTTTGACAGTCAACGGAAATAATCCTGAAAATCTGCTGGTTCTTCATCACTGTGAAACGTTCCCCAGCGTAAGGCACCAGTAGTGTTGGTATATGGTTGCGTTCTTTGATGTTGAGCACCTACACCATGCCGTCGCAAGACAGAGAGTCCAGAGCGGCCTCCTTCTCGAGTCGAGACGCCTACGACATTCCTCCGCACGACTGCTCAAAGACTGATGATACTCAACCATCAACTCTCTCGAAAACATGGCGCTACCTTTGCGAGGATGTGCGCCCCTCCGGCCTCGCCGAGCTCGAACTTTGCCTCCTCACCTTCTGCGTCGGCCTTCAAGGCAAGCAATCAACCTACGTCCGCTTCCTCGTCTCTTCGGCCCTACTAACACACTCCGCCAGACGCCGTCTCCTTCCCCGATTTTCACTGCTTCGCCTCCAACCAAACAGGCAACACCGTCTTTCTGGTCCTCGCCATCGTCATCCCGGAAGCCAACGGCGACATGTTCGTCACGGCCAACATTGGCATCGCCCTCGGCTTCTTCGTCGCCGCCGCCTGGCTGACGGGCCAGCTCGGCCACATCATCGGCGCCCGTCGCCGCGGCTGGCTGCTCCTTTGCAATTTCGTCCAGACCTGCCTCGTCTTCGCGGCCGCCGCCCTGCAGTACGCCTACCGGTCACCCACCACCGGCCAACTTGCGCTCGACGGCGCCCAGGCCCCGAGCACCCTGTGGGCCATCGGCCTGCTGGCAACCGCGGCGGGCAGCCAGGTGGTGCAGTCGCGGTCGCTGCGAATGACCGAGATCTCGACGGCCATGGCGACGGCCGCTTGGGTGGACCTGATGATTGATCCGGATCTGTTCGCGCTGAGGAACCGGTCGAGGAACCGCCGGGTCGGATTCCTGGGCTCGCTGGTGCTGGGTACGCTGGCGGGCGCGTTCATATTTAGGCGGCTTGGGTCGCCGGCCGCGTTGGTGGTCTCGGCGGCTGGCAAGGTCTTGGTGACGGTCATGTTCTTGTTTAATGGCGCGGATACAACCAAGGTGGAGACTCCTGGGGATTCTGTTTGATCGGATGGCATGATGGTATTTACGGTGGTTAACCGACTCTAGGTGTTAGAGATACTTGGTTTGGTTGCGTTGATTTTGGGTACAAATCATGGCGTTTGGTGGTTCTAGATACCAGGGTTTGGACTCAAAAGAAGAAAGGAGGCGCTCAAGAAGGGCTACTGTGGATACTAGGGCTATAGAACTGTAAGAGATCCAGACTACCCAAAGTCAAGATTACGGGAAAGGTATAAGGTTCTTGAATTAGGTGGTCAGACACACATGTGTACAAGTCAGGTAGAGAAGCATTCCTCCCAAGTTTCGCTGATGAAGAGACACCTCTTCGATGGTCGTTTCTACGTACGGCTAACTGTGTACCGAATGCTGAAGTCCACTTGCAGGCTTCCAAAACCTTGCTTGCTCTTGGAAGAGTTGTTATTTCTCCCATATTTCCACTTACCTGCTTTCTCAGTGCCCTCAACCTCTGTGCCTGACGATACACGACAATGGTTCACTATCCCTACTGCCTCTGCAAAAACCAAAGAATCTAGTTCATCATACACATTGTGTAAGGCCCCTTCATCCTGCTACATGTCAGAAGACTGGAGACGTCGCATCTCTTACTGCTAGGTGTTCGTTCCGGACTTCCCGTTGCGATAGCAGATACGACTCGGAAGAACCGATCCCTTGATCAGGTCTTCGGTCTATGATGACTTTTGTCACTAACCATTTACTACCCGCTACCCTCATTTGGTCGATTTCTCCTGCAACTAAGAAATTGAGTCATAGCAAACATGGAGAATACCTGCCTCGTACCTTAGGGCTTTATCCTGGATGAGACTGGCTCCATTCGATGTACCATGCCTTCACCACGGCCTGAACCAACCATGTGCAAAGCGCTTTCCATATTCGCCAACCTCAACCTGTTCATTCGGAGCCAATGCCCAATTGCTAGCAGACGGTGCTAAACGATTGGCTGAACACACCTTGGCCTCCGCCTTGCCAAACACTCGCCCATCCCAACCAGAGCGAGAACGGAGCAGGCGACTTTGCACACCTCGGGTACATCTCACATCAAGCCGATCAATCGCATTTCTTCACGAGCGTTTTGATATCCAATCATCAATGCCGTCAATTCAAAAACCGTCATCTTCATCATCTTCCGGCCGTCGGTAGTTGTATGTGTGTGTGCCCAGCATTGGTCGTCCAAGCAACCTTACCTGATAGGTAAGTTACATCCATTCCTACCTTATCTGACCTTGTTCGAGCTGTTTGAGCCCTGTCCCACCTGAGCTGGACCCCTGCAATGCCACACCAGTGCACCTGACGCCGCGTTTCTGCTCGACGCGTCTCTGCCTGCCCCATGAACTGGGCCCCACTCCTCCAAACACGGCGGTTGCTGCACGCGCTTCTTCCCAACTACGTTTCTATCTCGCCCAGGAATTCACTGGCGCTCCAAGACCCGGATGCCCGTGGTCCGAGTTTGGGACACTTGTTCCGATTCGACTCCATGACCCGCAACAACCTCGCGGAGCATCTGGGTTGGCTCCTGGACAAGATCAAGCGGGAGCCGCCGACGGCACCACAGCTGCCTGCGGCCAGTCCCCCTTCCGTCCCATCGTCACTCGTGTCTGCTGGCCCCAATCTGCGCTCGCAACAGCGCCCGGTCTCCCATCTCCTTACTCCAACTTCAGTTTCTACCTCTACTTCGACCTCCAACCTTAACAACAACAGTAACTCCAATGCTCCTCAACCTCCACCTCCTCGTCTGGCCACCACCACAGCACAATCTTCAGGTCTTCCAAATGACGCTCGACCTGCCTTGCATGCCCGGAACACTAACAGGCTAGTGGCAATGGAAAGGCCGGGAGACCGACTCCCCTCCACTGCTGCTATGGCCAGCAACCAGCAGCGATTACCGTCCCCAGCATCCACCACGGGCGCAACCTCAATCGGCCCATTGCAACGCGCTTACTCGGCCTCGCTCGCTCACGAAACTCCCTCAACTACGGTCCAACGGAAAAGGTCGCGTTCGCCAACCGCTGTCAACAGCATCGCCTGCGACTCCCGTGCCACGCCTCGCAGAGTTGGAATCACCGAGTTCATTGAGGATGATGTGCTTTCCGACCCCCTCGACCTGACCGAGATAGACAACCACGACGGCTCCAGCTCAATCTTGGATTTTGGCGAGAATAAGCGGCTATGCCCCGAGGACTTTGCCGAGCGCCCTGAGCCTGTGTCGACTCGCGCCCGGAGGACGGGGATGGATGCTTTGTCGCAGCGGTCCAACCCACCGCCGAAGAAGGAGACGACCGGTGACGAAGACGAGTACCCGGATATTGACGACCTTATTCCTCCTTCTTCAGTTCTGAGATCGGTCGCCAAACAACGCACCGCATCGCTACCGGCCGAGGACGACTGCCCTTGCTCCCAGCTCACAACAGAGTTTGCTTCCCTCGGCAATGACACCTTTGTGATGGATTCGGATAACAGGATAGGCCGCGATGCCGGCAACGACACCCGGCAACGCGACTATGACCTGCCTCGAGCTCTGATCGCAACGGGAACTCCGCCGCCGCTCCACGCGTCCAACCATGCGACTTCCAGCCGAAAGCGCAAGTCATCCTCATCGCCAAGTCCCGATTCCGAGGTTTCGTTCGGCGTGGAACCAACCCCTTGCATGCAAACCAGCAGGCCAAAGAGGACAAGGCGCGATATCATTTTAGACTCCGAGGACGACTTCATGACGGGTGCTGAAGCCAGCCCTGACCGAAACGTGAACCACCAGACCGCTAGCGAGGAGCCATCTAGGGACGTAGACATGCCGTGTCCTACCGTCGAGATTCCATCAAATGCGTCATCATGTTTTGAGGATCCTTCTTTTGTGGCCCAAGGAAAGAGCACGGCGGCCGTGTCCGGCGGTCGCCCCGCGGAAGTTCGGTCAGTCAGCACACTGCCATCCCTGGACAGTCATCGGCAGAAGCAGGGCTCGCAAGGATCCGTCGATCATGACACAGGGGGAGAGAGGAAGATTTTGAAGCTGTTCCTGGAACGGCCATCGGTGCTGGAAACCAAGATGGCTTTCTACAACGAGCTCCTGCGCCGAAGCAAAGAGGACTATACCAAGTGTCTCCGCGACAATGCGCCAAAGGAGCAACGGGAGCGCGTGCGCAATACTCGGGACATCTGGGTGCAGAAGCAGAAGGCGTTGGGCGCTGTCAAGGCGCAGCACGACGCCTTCAAGGAACTCAGCAAAAGGAAAGAGGAGCTCTTGGCCGAGCTTGAAAAGGCATTCGAAACTTACGCTGACAACTCCGAAGACGAAGCCCGGTTGGACGAGCTATCTGAGCAGATCGTGGCCAAGGAGGAGGCCCTCCTAAGCAGCCTTGCCGCAGCCGGCATTGATGACCTTGATTTCCTCAAGGACCCGAATGATTCGATTGCGGCCCCAGACTCGCCGACCAGTCCGGTTGTGTTGGCCACTCAGCCCCCTCACAAGCCCGGCTCCAAAGTCCTTCCCAAAGAGAACAGCGCGATTTCGGAATACAACTCACAAGTCGTGTTGCAGACCCAACCGTCACAGGACCGAACCGAGGACACAGCGACCGCCACGCTCGTCGCAACGCCTAGGCTGGCCGCCGCGCCTTCTTTCTCCCACGCCCCTAGCACGGCACGAAACAAGGAGTGCCGCACAGACAACCCGTGTATCGAACTTATCGATGACGAGGAAGAGGACTTTGTTATTCAAGCTGTTGAGAGCCGGACGGCATTGAGAGATCATGCCACGGTGCCGCCGTCATTATCGCCCGCTCTTGCCAGATCCCGCGCACACACTAGGACGCCTGGCAAGGCATCAGCCACCCTAAGCCCTGATTGCTTTGACGATTTCAGCGACGACGAGGAGATGCTGGCCGCTGCCGACAGCTTTGAACAGCAACAGTTGCAGTTCACCACGAGCTCAGGCGCGGCCCGAGCTCGATCAGTCTTGTCAGAGGCTTCAGGCAATGCCGGCCCCGCGCCGAGAAAGCGGTCCGCTGCCAAGAGCACGCCTCTGCTACGACAGCCGAAGGCTTCCATCAACCCGGAGCTCATGAAGTATCCCTGGTCTAAAGATGTCCTTCGGGCGCTGAAGGATCGTTTCCGGATGACGGGATTTCGTCACAACCAGTTAGAGGCCATCAACGCCACCTTGGCCGGAAAGGACGCGTTTGTGTTGATGCCCACGGGAGGGGGCAAGTCTCTTTGCTACCAGCTCCCGGCCATGGTCAATTCGGGCAAGACCCGTGGCGTCACGCTGGTCATTTCCCCTCTGCTCAGTCTCATGATCGACCAAGTGGCCCATTTGGCGCGTCTCAACATTCTCGCTGCTACCTTCAACGGCTCTATCAACAATGCCCTCCGCAGCCACATCTTGGGGTCCTTCCACCAGGAGAACCCAGAGCATTACGTCCAGCTGCTCTATGTCACTCCCGAAATGCTCACCAGCAGTCCCACGTTCCGAAACGGAATTGAGTTGCTCTACCGCAAGAAGAAGCTCGCCCGCATCGTCATTGACGAGGCCCATTGTGTCAGCCATTGGGGCCATGACTTCCGACCCGATTACAAGGCCCTTGGGTCGTTCCGCCGTGCGTTTCCCGGTGTCCCCGTCATGGCGCTGACCGCCACGGCGACCAAGAATGTCATGGCCGATATCAAGCACAACCTCGGCATGGAAAACTGCGAGATCTTCTCGCAGAGCTTTAACCGTCCCAATCTTTATTATGAAGTCATCCCCAAGCAGGCCCGGTTCATCCAGGGCATGGGACAGCTCATCACCAACAAGTATGGTGGGCAGACCGGCATCGTCTACACCCTGTCTCGCAAATCCGCCGAAGGGACTGCAAACACGCTCTCGACCAAACACGGAATCAAAGCTCACCACTACCATGCCCAGATGGACCCCGAGACCAAGCGCGAGGTGCAGGAGAAGTGGCAGCGTGGTGAGATCCACGTCGTTGTCGCCACGATTGCCTTTGGCATGGGGATTGATAAGCCGGACGTCCGTTTCGTCATCCATCAGAACATGCCCAAAAGCCTCGAGGGCTACTACCAGGAAACGGGACGTGCAGGACGAGACGGGAAGCGCTCCGACTGCTACCTCTATTTCTCCTACAGCGACATTCCGACCCTGAGACGAATGATCAATGAGGACAAGGACAAGCACGACGACGAAAAGGAGAGACAGCACGCCATGGTCAACCGCATGGTGGCATATTGCGAGAGCTCCCATACGTGTCGCCGAGTTCAAATCCTGCAATATTTTGGCGAGAATTTCGACCCCGCCGAGTGCAACGACATGTGCGACAACTGCAGAAGCGGGCAGACGAACGAACCCCCCATTGTTCAAGATTACACCGAGTGCGCTGTGGCTCTCCTCATGGCCGTCCGTGCCCTACACCAGGTGACCCTGGGCAAGCTGGTCGAAATTGTGACGGCCAGCAAGAACATTGGGCAACACAGGCACCTCCCTGGCTTTGCGCTCTGCAAGGGCATGAAGAGCCACGAAGTCCAGCGCGTCGTCATGGCCCTCCATGCCCAGGGCGCTTTGGTCGACATGCAGGAGGTTTGCCAGAGCAACGGCATCCCTATTACCAATTTTGAAGTAAGATTCACTCCTCGCCTGTTCCTTCTGCAAAAGCGCTTTGGTAATAACAAATCTCTGGATAGCTTGGAAGAGCTGCCAAAGAATACTTGGAAGGCGACGGCAGCAAAAGGCTACGCTTAGAGGTGAGAAGGGCGGACGCAATATCGGCGGCACCGGCCAGGAAAAAGAGCCGGACTGCAAAGCTCGACCCTCCACTGCCTTCGAACTCATCCAAGGAGCCACGGCGGGCAAGGGCCCCGCCGTCTACCAATGTCTCATCGCCCGTTGCTGCCCTGTCGAGACACCGGAAAGGCAATTCCGCCTTGGCGACGTTGATGGACGAGGACGACGAGGATGATGCTGATCTGGAGCTCCATGCGAACGGCTACGAAAAGGACAACTTCGTGGTCTCTGACGAGGAAGGCGAAGAGGACGCATTCGACCCGCCTCGTTCCCACCACCGCCCCCAACCTCATCGCCGGCAACAGACTCTCGATGGACTGGGGCCCCCTATATCTCGCGACGCGCGCCTCGATGAAGCTGGCTTGGACGAGGTCCACCAGGATATTGTCCAGGCCTTTGTAGAGGCGGCGCATGAGGTGGAAGAGAACCTGCGCAACAAGCACGGGCTGCGCCGTGCACTCTTCACGGAACAGCAGTACCGGGAGATGGCAATCCGATGGACCACAACCGTCGCCCAGATGTACACGATCCGTGGAGTCGACAAGTCCAGGGTGGATTCATATGGCGCTAAGTTCGCCTCGCTCGTCCAACAATTCTACACTCAATACAGAGAGATGATGGGTCGTGCCTCCCTGCCATTCTCGGCTGCCGAGATTGCGCCAAAGAAGAAGAAGCGCGAGGTCGTCGACCTCATCAGCGACGACGAAGACTGCGCGCGCCGCATTACTCCTCACCACCGCTTCGGGAGGGCAGAGGAGGAGGATGCGGACGATGAGTACGGGGAACCGGACGAGGATGAGGAGAACCTCGAATTCTCACGCTACTTTGCCGAGGCCGCTCACCGGGCCGCGTCGCCGAACCAGGCCGGGTCTGCCGCTGTCGCGCAGTGGCACAAGCGCTTCGAGGAACTGAAGAAGGCGAGCAACGACCAAGCCAAGACCTTATACAACAACGACGGCGGCAACCGGTCTGCGGGTTCGAACTGGAGGGGCGGGAAGAAGTCATTTTATCCCAAAAATCGGGCCGGAAGGGGTGGACCTCCGCGCGGCGGCGGCTCCTTCGCTGGCTCCAGCACAGCGGGTGGCATATCGAAGCGAAAAGGGTCGGCCAGCCGACAGCTTGGAAGGGGGCTTGGCTCGGCGGGCAGCTCGCTGAGCAGGCCTGCACCTGGACCAAGGAGGTCTGGCGGCGGGGGAAGCAGCATACCCAGCATGCCTTACTGAGACCCATGGCGGGTCTTCCACTCGCGCCCTTACGAAGCCGCGTGGATGGATTTCTGGTTGGCGTGGTTGCTACTGCGGGGTGGTCATTTCGGCGAGAGGGTATCGGTTGATGCTCTCTCACTTAATTTTCTCTGGACTTGGTTGGATCAATGGGCGATCCCCACTCACTATTTTCAGCCCGTCGAGACTTTCACGACGTTGAGATCCTATCAATCCGGCCCGAAGAGAGTTTGCGTTACGCGGAGCCGCAATCTCAACGTTTCTCACGCGGTCTGATCGCCTCACGTGCGATTTGATCTCCAATTTCACGGTATGCGAGACCGAGATCCCAACTATCCTTGCGCGATTTGAGCCTTCCTCTTTCTCCAGAGATCGCACCCTTGCGCTTCCGCCCTGCCCTGGCATTCTGATTTTAGAGGTTCTGCATTGGTGAAGCGGGCGGCATTATTTAGTACTCTCACTGCATTGGCGCGGCGCATTCGGACACAGAAGAACGGGCGGTTATATATAAGGGGAGTTCAGAGGCACTCGGCGGAAGAGGTCGGAGTTTTTGGAGCGGCGGCGTGTTCTCTTTATCTTAGCAATTTGCTTTCTTTTGCATGCGTCAGCACAAGAGGCGAGGAGCTCTGGCTCAGGGGCGGGCAGGGACATGAGCATGATGGAGCGCAGGGAGGTGATCTATCACCAGTCATGAAATGGCATGCTATGTGTATATATGGCCATTGATGAAGACCGTTGACTCTTTCCTCTGCGTTACCAAGAAACGGACCCTGCAAACAGAGCAAGCAAGCAGCGCATAGGATCCACATAGTTCTCTCGCATGCAAGCCATGATCCTTCAACATCCATATCACCAAATCAGCAAGAGCATTGCCGTTTAGGAAACACTCAAAGAGCATCACAAATCCGAAAGCTAAATGCTATTCAGTCAAGGTGTGCAAGCTTGTGGCGTGTAACAGGGCGAATTAATCAATTTACTTTGTCTACCTACTTCCTCCTTCCTCCTACCTAACTGGCCGCCTTCCATTTCAGAATTTATCGATTATTCCAAGAACCATTACGCCTCTTCTCCCAAAGGGGAACGATGCTAGGGGTATATGTGGAGTTATATAGGGGGTTTGGTGTGAAATGTAAACGTATGTGAGTAAATGATAAGGTGGGCAACAAAAGAAGTGAAAGTAACATGAGTCTAAAACGAAGAGAAAAGAGACTGGTAAATTCAATCAGTCTGGAAAGATGCGAAACATCGGTTTTTAGTGAATGATCCATGTTGCGCTCCATGCAAATGCAAAATTGATGTAGCACTCAGAGGGGGAAACAGAGGAAGTTGTGAACAAAACTTCGAGGTTGAAGGGGTTGCACGACGGAGCCCGATTCCGCCAGAGAAGGGAACTTGAAATGTAAGAACTGAGAATCAGGGAAAGGTGCCAATGAGCCTGCCTGTCCCATGAAAGGGTCATAACATCTTTCCAGTCATGAGATAACCACAGTCTTTCTGCTTCCCACAAACTGCCCGGGTCCCCATTTGTGTGTTTGGAGAATCGTAATCATGCAGGTGTCGCGGCGGTCGCCGCCTCCACCTCCCGCAGCTCCGCGGCAATTTCCTCGCGCACCTTGCGGCACCACTGCAACACGGCGTCCTCAAACTCAACCCACAGCGCCGGGCTGGTGTTGTACTGCAGGCCGAGCGGGTCGGCCTTGAGCAGAACCTCCCAGCGGAGCTCGGCCGCCTTGAGCCAGTAGCGCAGGTTATCCGCGGCGCGGTACGGCTTTTGCGTGTCGGCGTAAAAGGTGGGGATGGCGCCGAATCGCCTGCGAGACTTGCGGACTGCGCAATTGTGCAGCTGGACCAGGCGCTGCCCGTTTGAAAGTGCGGCAAGGAACGGGGTTGGGAGGGTTTGTGATTCTAACGGCTGCGTCAGGTCGATGGGTATCCACGCGGGGATGGTTGGCATGTTTTCGATGGGGTCGGGACAGCCCTTGAGCATGGCGCGCATGAATGCTTCTTCGCGCTCAAACTCGCGACCCTCCCAGCCTTCGGGCCTGAGCCAGGTCCACGATGACCGCTCGGCGACTTCTTGTGCCTCTATGGCGTCCTCGGCGACCAGCATGGCGCGCAGGCCGGCAATCCAGCCATCCATGGTGCGGAATTCGTCGTCTCGCATGCCGCCAGCAAAACCCCTAGTCGCCATGCGCTTCAGAATGTCCATGACGGATAGCAACTCGCCGCGCAGCTCCTTTTCCGACTTGATCGCATCCAGACGGTCGGGCCTGTCGTGAGATGTGTAGTAGATCTTGGCGGCCCGGATGGCTAGCGTCATGACATCGAGGATGTTCATCCCTTGGATCTCATACCAGCCGGCGGTCGAAATTGAGGGCCGCCGCGAGTCGGAGGGCTGCGGCTCCTCGGAGCTTTGCTGTGCATCTGCCGACTCAATGTTGATGGTGAGCCCGGCCGGTATTTTCGCGTTTCTAATCTCGCGCAAAGTCTTTTCGGCAACGTCCATAGAGCTCGTCAGGTCGCGCCTCAGCTCGGCGACTGATGGCGGTTTGGGCACCGGCTTCTCGCGATGCTTGTAGGTGCTCGCAGTGGGCGGTGGCATGTTCGGGTCTACTTCAAAATCGTCCGAAAAATAATCTTCATCTTGCTGGTCCGGCTGGTACTCCTCCACAGGCGATTCCACCATTGAGCCGGCGCCCAGGCCAACAACACTGGAGAAGCCATTGTATGCCGTCAAGTCCGGGCTGCTCCCCATGGATGCGTAGCTCGAATCGTGGTCGCTGCCAGGCTTCGGTGTCAAAAATACGCTCGGATCCAGGGCGGATAAGTCCAGAGTGTGGGCCTTGTTGTCCCGTCTTCGGGCTAGGCGCCCCCCTTTGCCATCAAGCAAGCCTGTGCGGGCAAAGTAATACTGCAGATGGGCGATGCTGCCCAAGCTGAGCACACTCTCCCGAGCGCGAGCGCTGGCGGCAAAGTCGGTGCCCTGTGGCCGCATGTAGCCCCGACGCCTGCTTGAGCTCCTCGCAGTGTTCGGTGTTTCTAAGCTGCCGGTCGAATCCCTCGGACGCAGTCGATCTCCGCTGGTATCGATGTCGGCGGGGCGATAGCTGGCGGATGAATGTCGGGAGAAAGAAGAGACGTCGCTGCCGAGGGATTCGCGGAAATTGGAAGATTCAGTGGTTGCAGAACCGTGCGACACGGTCGAGCCCGTCGAAAAGCAGCGGGACATGGCCGTGGCACCGAGAGCCGGTCTGGGGAGGGAGTCGGGCGCAGGCGAGCCTCTCCGGGGAATGGCGGGGTGTGGTGAGGGCGCAGCCATTCTGTCCGATACGAGCAGATGCGGTACGGCCGGGAGAGGGCGACGATTTCGCGGCAATGTAGCGTACACTTCAAGTTCTAGACACGGCTATCGGCTTGGGAAAGGGCGCAGGACCAGATGCAGACGGCGCAAGTAAACAATGACAGCCCACGGCTGATCGCAGTAATAGATTGCCAAGAAGACGGACGGCAACGATGCACGCACCCAGCAGCCTCCTGTAGTGTAACTTTGCGCTTTGTTCTCGAATGATCTGCCGTGGCGCCACTAGGGAGAGAGACGGTATGGGGTGGGCAAAGACAACAGCACAACCAAGCCGGAGAGTTGGCGTTCTGGAGTTGTGAAGGGAGGAGTCGTGTGCAGGAGAAATGAGAGATTTTGGACTGGGCTAGTTCAGGCGGAAGAATTGCTCAGACAGATGGGGTTGGCGGGAAAGTTTCCCGGGGTTGATGGATGTTGTTGCATTGACGAAGGTCAATTCGGGCCAGGGGTTCGAGTGGGTTCAGCAATCACACAAATGGTTCCAGAAGGGACGCGATGGCCCGCTTGTGGGGAGAACACGGACGCGTTAAGCACCGGCCCACCCGGGTCAGGGGCAGGAGTTGCCGACGGCAATGCATCCATGACTTCCCCCTTGAATTAAACGGGGCTGTCAATGGTAAGGTAAAGTACCGGATTGTACGAATACAAGTTAATCCAAAAGCGCAGCAAAGACTATACCTTACCTTGGTATCTGAGGATGGCACTCTTTGCACTGATAGGCACCCCATCCCGTAGATCGGCCTAGAAAAACCTTCTTTGATGTCTACCTGCGCAACAGCGAGAGAATGCGAGTGCGTGCCTTGCCCTGGTTGAAGAGGTTCACTTTGCTGAACAATGGTGATTGGCTCCCAGCGATACAGCAACCCCCGTCGTCATTACAATACGGAGTACGGGCCATCGTCCCTTGCGTCCTTACGGCAAAATCAGTCCAGGGCAGCATGGATGTTCCGAACCTTTGTCTTCTGTTGCTCCTCCAGTTGGAACCTACAAGCATCTGACGGACGTCATCCTTCATCACCAAAGATCAGGCACAGCTTCGCAACGACCTTGCCCTACAACGTGTATAAATGGGGACATTCCCACTGCAGCGCATCATCCCTGTCAGGGCTGAGCTAACTGCCGGGGCATGGCACTCACATCCGTGGTTTTGGGTCAGTGTCCCCTGTCAACGCTCATGACACAGCAGGATTGGAAGGCCCAACCTGGGAGTTCAGTCGACACCATGCACTGTGAGAGCCCTGCACAAGGTCATCGGTCCGCAGGCCTCTGGGGTTGACAGTGGAGCTTCCGGACACTCGCGGCTCTTAGATGCCATCCGATGCTTATGACGGAGACTCTGATGTGCCAAATCAACTTCTCTCACTCACTTTGAGATGACATTGGCGCCAGCCACATGAGGGCACTTGCCAGGGCTTGCCTGCGGCACAGTCACTGTCAGGAAACTCAAACTTCCAGGACCTCAAATTCCACATTGAGGTTGATTCAAACTTGCCACTTCCTGTGGCTGATCCAGGCCTTTCTTCTCTCGCCATTTTTGCCCAAGTTCACAGTGTGGTACCTCCGTAGCCGTGACCTCACCAACCCGTAGCACCATCATTTTTCCTTCTCGAAAGAGGTCTCTTTTTCTGGCAACTTTGGCTCGCGGCGGATCAACAAATCTAAATTCTGGTTGCCCCCCTGGCTTGGCTCATCTTACTCGGCGAGCCTGCCCACTCTGCCCGCCTGTCGATCGTCGCATGCATTAGCCGACCACTGCTGCGAACCGCAAGCTTTGGTTTTCAATCACTACCGACAACCTCCCGGCTGTACTGCGTCATGTTGTTTCTCTGGCTAGTCGTTGAGCGCGGTCAGTAAAGCAGCCTGTTGACAACGTGGAAACCAGTTGGACGCGCAACCGGAAGACGCTAACCTGTCCCTGCCCGAATTTTATGGGGCATGTCCCATTTGGACCGGGACCCTCTGCAACCGAACCCGCAGCCCTGGAGGAGCAAACGACCAACAACTGGAGCCCTGCCACGCAGGCCAAGCTCCCGTCGCCCGCAGTGGTCGGAGAGTGTCGCATCCCACTCGCAGCGCAGCACTGGCACCTTGCAGTTCGGCGCTCACTGCAGTCAGAAAGCCACTAAATGACAACTCTAGCTGCTGCTGCTCCAGGCAGTGGCCATAACAACCATGAGAATCTTGATATAGCAGCCCAACAACACGCCGACCACGTTGCGCGTCATCATGGCGTCGTGCTGACCCTCTCCGACGTCTTCGACTCGCCCCATCGACCACCACAACACCACGAGACCGACGAACGGAGCTCAGCCCGCAGCTGCAGTGTTGACCCGCCAAAAACTTCACCCTCATCACCACAACAACACCTCCAACAACACCTCCAACAAGGACAACAGCCGGCACTCTCGAATGAACCATCGGCGGTCGGCGCGAAAACCACAACCTCGGCACCAACTCATCGCGTACGAAAACCGTCGCCGGGACTTGCAGCGCGATTAAAGGCACTCGGCTTTGGCACGGCTCGCAAATCCACCTCACCACCGCCACCACCGTCGAGCCATCTCGAGCCCGTTGGCCGCCTTCCGGAAGAGCAACTCAGACGACTTGACCAAGGTCACCTCACCAACTCGGGAATTACAGCTATCGAGCGGCGGGGCCGCCCCTGGAGGGGTGCCATCGCACGCATCCCTTCCATTTCGAGCCTCAAGTCGGACAAGTCGCAGCCGCGGACCGAACCCGACGAGCCTGCGCCCGAGCTTCCCATTGTTGCAGCGCCGAAGCCAGGCTTTCTCCCGGAGATTGTCACCTCGGAGCCGCTGGAAATGGACACCAACAAATACCGCCTTCCGGACCACACAAACGGAAACGGCGTCAAAGCTCAACCGGGGACAAGGGAAGAACACATCGCACGGGACACCCGGCCGCCCCAGGCACCCCAGACCCCCGACATCCCGCCGCCGCCTCTCCCGAAAGATACACCACCACCAACCCGACGCGCCACGAACCCAACCACACCAACCGCGCGCGATGTTTTCAACCCGGACTCGGTCACCTTCAACCCACTGGGCCTCCAGCGGCCCGGTTCCATCTACACCCTGTCGCGAGCGTCATTCGCGAACCAACTTGCCCAGCTCACTTCCATACAACTTCCGGACGCTGACTCGTTGTCCAACAAGATCTCTGCAATCCCCACAGCACAGGCTGCTACAAGAGCGCTGATAGGTGCAGCTGAGCAGATTCGCGGTTGGATATACAAGGCATCAGAAGTCATTGGAGGGTTGGAGAGCGATGACGATGTGGAGTGGGCCGCTGCCGGTGGACGCGAGGGCGTCGAGGACGTCGAGAATGCCATTGTTCGCTTTGAAGAGCTGATCAAGGTCTATGTTGGCGCCATTGAGGAGCTGCAGGCCCGACAAGACATTGCTGACGTCTTGGCCGATGACCTCCGCAGAGCCGTCGCTCAGATGGAGGCCATCCTCGAGGAGTGGGCAAAGATGCGTAATACGCTGCACAATGTCAAGTCGCAGGTCGAAATCGCAATGGAATGGGAGGAGTTGTGGAATAATGTGCTTGGGGACATAGAGAACGAGATGGATGAGCTCGCCAGATTGGTCTTTGAGATGGAGGAAAGACGCCACAAGTCCATGCTCCCTGTCGCAACAGGCGACAGCATAGACATTGGCGACATGGACACCATCGACGACGACACGCCCCGAGCGCCGGCACGGTTGCAGCCGACCAACAACCGCTTCAGCCTTCCGGCATTCCCTGTCAGCCCTACCTCGCCCACTCCCAGCGCGCCGGGCATTTCCTTGGATGACTCCAGCTTGTTGGCCCTGTTCGCAAGGATGCAGCCCCTCCGCGCCTCTCTGGATTTCCTGCCCATGAGACTCTCCGTCTTCGAGGCTAGGGCCGAGAGCATATTCCCCACGGCTTGCGAAGAGCTAGAACTGCGGAGGTCAGAGCTGGACGCTAGTTACAAGAAGCTGGAGAAAGATGCCGAGTCACTGCGTAAAGAATTGGGCGAAGATCGCTGGATCCTGGTGTTCCGCGGAGCCGGAAGGCAGGCCCAGAAGATGTACGACTCAGTCGAGCGGAGCGTAGCCAAGCTACGCGAGGCCATTGACACGGGGATGCAACTGACAAATCAGCCGATAATGAGCAAGAAGCTGGAGAACTACGAGGCGAAGAAGACGCACTACGGCCCGGCCATCGAGCGGGTGTTGTCCATCATTGACAGGGGGGTTAAGGACCGGCTGACGGTCAACGGCGAGATTCTCCGTCTGCATGCCGAGATGCAGAGCAAGTGGGAGGAGCTCAAAGAAGCCATGGCGGACCTGGACGCTTCCGTCGAGGAGCTCCACGCTGAGAGGAGGGAGCAACAGTTGCGAGATTCTGTCTCAAGCATGTTATCCAACGACATGTCCACCGTTACGAGCGGAACCGAGACGCCTCAAAGCTCGCCACCGTCTTCGGTCATCATGTCGTCGATGGGCCTGAGCAGTTCGACCCAGCTCAAGGCTCCGAAACAGCGCTCGGCAAGCGCTCTGGGCGACACGCCTGCTAACCGAAGACAATCGTCCTTGCCAACGCCGACAAGCCAGGTGACCCGAAAACCGGTGGCGTCAAGGATGTCGACACTCTCGGTAGCCGGCGCGCCGTCGAGAGACGGCTCGGCGACACCCACTGCCGACAGGCCATCACGGCCGTCGTCTTCCTTGGCAGCCCGGCCAAAGTGGAACGCCTCAACCAACACGTCCGACATCGACACGGGCCACAACTTCAAACCCCTCACCCTCACCACCCCAAGCCCCTATGCCAAGAAAATTCCCACCCCAGTCCGCTCCGTCTTCGCCATGACACCTTCCTCAGCATCCAAACTGCCCACCCTCGCGCGCAGCCCCCTCTCCCGCGCGGGATCCGCCTCGCCAATCCCCGAGAACACACCATCCAAGCTCCTCTCCTTCCGCGAGCGCCTCGCTTCTCCGGGCCCGCCACCCGCACAGCGCTCCGTTTCCAGACCGCGCCTCGCCTCCCAACCCTCGGCACCGCCTGCCTTTCCAACCCAAACAACCAACAGCCGGCGGGCCTCCCTACAACCCCCACGATCGAGACCGGCCGAGGTCCCAGCCGCCGCTCCAACACCGCGCAGGCCCACCAGCTCGCTCGCGGCTTCCAGGCGGACTAGCTTGCTGCCCCAGCCGAGGACGACTACTGCTGGTCCTGCTGGTGCTGGTGTTGGTGCTGCTCCGGCTAGGCGTACCAGCGTCACGGGCAGGGAGAGCCCGCAGGCGGTGGCGGGCGCGAGGTTCGCCATGCGCAAGGAGAGCAGTAGCTCCGCGGCGGCGGAGAAACCCAAGGATGTGAGGCCGCGGTGGCGGGGCTAGGTGCAGCGCCGCTCTGCTATGGTGTCTTAAGGCGATGGAAGGTCTTCTCTTATTTCGCTATTTGCCCTTTCTTTCTAAAAGGGTTTAGTTTTCTTTTCATCGGTTGGGTATGTGATATCCCTCCGCAGCACCGGCGCCCAGCACACGGGGTTGGTGGGGTGTTAGTTTGGGTTTCAAAGTTTATCTTCGACATCGCGAGACCTCGGTTTTCGGGAAGGCACCGCGCATGCCACCCAGCGTTTGTCATTTCAACGCGCACACTGTTTTTGTAACCCCTTTATTCAGGGCCTCCGGAACCTCAGCGAGCATTGACCGGTTCAAGGCTTCGAGGGTTTTGGTTCAGAATCCTCCGGGTTTTCTTCTGGGACAGTGAGATGCGAGTCAGGGAAGAACATCTTCCTCTTTTTCTTTTCGGGCTGCTCACATTTCGGAGTCTGGCCCGAACCAGCGGAGACCCGTCAGGGCCTTTTGAAATCTGAGTTGTTTTATCTAGGTGGGACTACAGCGAGATACCATACTGAGACCATGCGTGGCGAATCTGGGGTTGGTGCATACCGAGTGTGAATGGATCTTTTCTTGGCCTGTTGTGCGTGCCATCATGTCTTTTATATCATGCGTGCATCGTACCCCCAAAGCCTGTATCTACCTCTCTTGCTGCCTGCTTTCATGTAAATTAGCACATGTGGCCCGTTCTAAATGCCAGTCAGATGAGTGTAACTGCGATTGGGCTCAAGGCATATGTGCAGAGCGGCCAGGTGAAATAATGGGACCGCGGAACTGTGTCAAGGTGGAACAGAGATAGATGGTTGCTGTGCGAGACTCATTGGGGTGCCCGTCCAGGGGGAAGACAAATATGCAAGGTTCTGTCTGCTGCGGAAGAACTGGTTCCGGTCCATAGTGCAGCATGTTACATGGTCAATACCTCTGTGTTCCATTGTATTTCTTACTACGAAATGATGGATGAGAGCATTCATCCGTACCGGGCAGAACCCTAACCACAGCTCGAAACTGGCCCTTGGCTAGCATTCAAAATATCAAGAAGCTCTCCGGGTCGCATCGCGTGATGACTCTGTGCTTCCTATGCCATGATCCATGCCATATACCTGTCTGCCTTGCCTTAACACTTTCTGGGTTTCTTTACGGAGTAAGCGATGAACTCTTGACGGCTATTCAGCTCGAGAGCCAACTTTACGTGAGCATCGCAAACCTCCAGTTCCCGCTCGAGTCGCCAGCAGTCAATCGCTCTGTTCATAAAATCAATAATCCTCCTCTTTTAGGCATCCCCAGGCACCAGCAAGCGCAGAGTCATAAATGTTCGCATCTGTTGAGCAATCACGGGATTGCGCGTCGACTTCGCGTGGACAACCCCGGCTCAGTCTAGGCAGAAGAGCGCGCTACTGCGTCGGTAACCGCGCCACGACCCATCAACTAACGGCGTCTTTTGGGGGGAATCCAATGTCCACGGTCGTTCTTCCCGGGTTGTTATAAAGGCTATGCCTAGTTCCTCTCTTTCTGCAAGTCCGATTCGTTTTCTGATTGCCTGGTCCTCCAAGACGGTCAAGTTGCAATTGAACTTTGCAACCGCCCGTCATTCTTCGTGCTTCTTCCTTCATTCTCGAAAGCGACATCACCCTTTTTTCACAGTTCGGCTAGACCCTGCTCCTCCGTCAGCATGGCAGCTGAGGCTCTCCCAACCGTCCCGGTGCCCCTGCCCGGCCTGGTCAAGCACATTGCCCAGCACCCCAAGACACCGATGATGGAACTGCTGGAGCCGTACCGAAAATACGAGGCCCATCTTCGCCAGGCCTTCGCCCAGGACACTGGTAATGAGCTGCTCAGGGACCCCTACGTCAACGTCCTGCCACTATTCACCGAAGACACCCAGGACATCAAAATCAGGGCCCGCAATATAGAGTCCGAGTCGAAGGAGGAGAAATCCAGATACATCATGCCTCTCCCTGCCGAGATTCGCCGGCCAGACGGCTCGCCCGCCATCGTCCAGTCTTTGAAGGAATTCCAGCGTAACTTCAGTGTCTTCTCCGAGTCATCGCTCGCCGAACTCAACTGGTATGTGGCCATGCTTCCCTCTGACTGATGAACATGGAAGTTGACATGGCTCTTCAGGGATAACGTGGTTGCAGCGGGATCCTCTGTCGTCAACACTCTGCTTCCTGTTCCGGATGAGTACAACCGTTCCAAGCGTGGCCTTCGCGAGTTCTACCACGAGAAGTTCAGCCCTGCATCAGACGTCGATCTGTTTCTGTACGATCTCACCGAAGAGCAGGCCATTGAGAAGATCAAAGAGATCGAAACTCGGGTTCGCGACGCTCTTCTCAGCGAGATTACCGTCGTCAGGACCAAGCATGCCGTCACGATCTGTAAGGCCCTATTTCAGCAATTTGAACCGAGTGAGACATGTTGCGGACTAACTTCCTCCCTCAGGCAGCCAGTATCCAACCCGTCACATCCAGGTATTTGGGACATCACCTCGGCCAGGTAGCAGTCTTCTTGGCTCTGTCTTACCGTTCGTCTTAGATCGTGCTCCGCATCTACAAATCTGTTTCGGAAATCCTTACCGGCTTCGATATTGACTGTTCAGGGGCCGCCTACGACGGCAAACAGGTGTATTGCACTCCACGCGCCCTGCAGTCGTACATGACGCAGATCAACCACATTGACTTGTCTCGCCGGAGCCCGTCATACGAGAACCGACTCTCAAAGTACAGCCATAGAGGCTTTGAGGTGTATTGGCCCGATCTCGACCGTTCTCGAATCGACCCCACCATCTTTGAACGGAGCTTTCAGCGAACCCTGGGGCTTGCAAGACTCTTGGTCTTGGAAAGGCTTCCCACCTCGAACGCGCGGGACGCCTACCTGGACAAGCGTCGCGAGGAGAGGGGCCGTCCTCGTCTTGATCGCTATCATCGCCGGCTTCGGGCCCTTGCGGGCAACATCAAGGAGGACTACGAAGATGAGGTGGCGGACTGGTTCACGGAGGAGGAGGTTTCCAACTACCACACCTTCACCATTCCTTACGGGCCAAAGTTTCACGCGAAACGGATCGAGAAGCTTTGCTACACCAGAGACCTTTGTGAGTCATGTGCCCTCGGCGTTGTGCAGACCAGCTCAGACTGACATGGTGTCGCAGTGCTCAACGCGGAGTGGAATCAGCCTGGCGACAGAGAAGTCTACCTCCATCGTCATCCAGCATTCGTGAGACCATACAGGCCCGCTTTCTCGTAGATGAAGGATGCTGATCAATCAAGTTTGGCCGGTTCGAGGACGTCGCCAACGATTGCTGCGGATATTGCCCTGTTCCTGAGACCGAGGAGGAGAAGGAGGTCGCAAAGGAGGAAGAGAAGGTCTATGTCTCAGGCGGGATCTCCTTCATGAAGGATGATCCGGGCAGACAGGCAAATGATCCCCCATCATACGCAGTGGTTCGCGGTAGCGGCTGACCCTGAGTTAGGAAATCGGCTCATTCAACCCCCTGACGGAGGATGATTGGACTGAGATGGCATACATCGGCAACACTGCTCGACTATGCCAGGCTATCGTCGATGGAGACCTTGAGCATGTCGCAGACTGGCTCGCCCAGGAAGGAGCCGACCCCAATACCCGTGATCATACCGGCAGAACTCCTTGTCATCTTGCCGCCATGAGCTCCACGCCCGAGATTGTTCGTGCACTAGTCGATGCTGGGGCCCGGCTGGTTGCCCGTTTGGCGGACGGCAGAACGGCCCTCCATCTTGCAGCCGCCCGTGGAGACGTAGAGATTGTCAAGGTTCTCCTGGAGAAGAGTGCCGCCAATGAGGCCGAGTACGAAGAAAAACAAGATCAGCGCCGCCGAGAGAAGCATGCCACGAAGACCGACGATGGCAAGACCGCAACCAAAGAAGCAGAGGACAGTGAAGAATCAGACGGTGAGCTCGTCGACGAGTCCGAGTCCGACGACGAGGTCCAGAGCATGGCAACGGGTTCCTTCGTCAAGGTCCCGGTAAAGGAGGTCGAGCCACTTGATGAATCAGCGCTGGACGACGACGGAGAGGAGCCCGACTTTTACGACATCAATGTGGTTGCCTGGGACATGCCTTGTTCGGCTTTGCACTTTGCGATTATTGACGGACATGTGGAAGTTGTCCAGACGCTGGTTCAGGTATGCAAGGCCCACCTGTTTACGCCGAGTCGAACACGCACACTAACGATATGCTACGTAGGAATACGGCGCTGACGTCCTCTTACCCGTCAAGTTCACCAACCCTAATGGCGCGCTCCTCACGCTCGTGCTCGCTCTGGCGCTCCCCGTGGAGAAGGCAAAGGAGATGGCCAAAACGCTTCTTGCCCTGGGCGCCACATCAGCGCAAGCGGATATGAACGGGGTCACCGCCTGTAGGCAACAATTTTCTTTGTTGGCGGATTGTTCTTACCCCTTCATGGCTGTCTCAGGAGCTATCCTGCTTCCCGAGACAGCGCATTAGCTCCCAAAACACCCTCCAGACATTTCCGAAATAGGAAGTTCACACCTGACATTGTTGGTAGTTCACCGCTACGTTGAGGCGAACGCTGAGACGCTCCTTGAATCTCTCTGGGAAACCGACCCAGCCGGGGCCAAGGCAGCCATCAATCATATCGCCTTCCCCAACGGATCCAGCTGCGAGACGCCGTTGCAAGTCGCGGTCAGGGAAGGGAACCTCGCACTGGTCTTGAAGCTCCTTGACCGTGGCGCTGTTGCGCATATTGATTTTGAGACCTGGTACGTTTTCATGTTTTATGTTCCTGGTTCTCAGGCCCCATCGAAGCTAGCCCATGGGACGATGCTACATGAAGCCCCCAACCAGAGGCCCGGCTAACGAGATTCTCATCAGGCTGAAATCGGCCAAACAATCTGCGAACATGGAAAACCAGTTGCGCACCTTTGAGGACAACCAGAAGCGGTACGAGCAGATGGTGGAGCAACCCTTGATCATCGCACTCAAGTCCTCTCACCCCGAGACAGCCATTCAGCTCTTGGAGCAAGGAGTAGATCCCAACGTCGTCACCAGTGCGTCGAGATACTACATGCAGGCGTCTTGGTCTCCGCGATTTACGGGCGAGACAGCCTTGGACGTCGCGGACAATCAGCTCAAGGCTCTCCTCCGTTATGTTGAAGAATCCGAGACTGCGTCTCCTCCCCGCCAACCACAAGAGATGAATCTTTACCTCAAGAAGTTCAAAGAGGGAACATATGAGCACTGGGCTGTCTCCGAGGAGATTGAAAGGCTCCAGAAGTCGTATCGCCGGGATCTCAACATTTACGAAATGAAGAAGAGCACGCTCAGCGGCGCTTCTGGAGTCAAAGAGAAAAACACCGCCGTTGCAGCCGCCATCCAGACAATGAGAAGGGTCAAGGACGCTCTCCTTGCTAAGCGAGGCAAGACATTCGCAGAGCTCCATCCCGAGCTCAAGGACCGGTTGGAGCCCTCGAGGAGCTCGTGGCTCTACACTGGCATGGGTCCAGCGAAGACCTGGCCTTCTATGTACACCTTCTCCTTCCAGAACGTCAACGACGTGACTGAGAAAAGGAAAAAGGCCTACTTGCAGCTGTAAGCCGTCGTCACCCATTCCAAAGGCTTCATGATCTGCTAACATTGCGCAGTTTCAATGCTGCATGGAGGGGCGATCTCGAGACGATCAAGACACTCACACTGACCTCTTGGGATGACGCCAAAGAAGAAGCGCCACTCAAGATCGCTGTTCACGAACACGGCAACAATCCGTTCTCGCTTGCCTTTTCCCGCGGCCACTTCAATGTGGCGAAGGCAGTTCTGGAGATTGCGCAGGCGCAGTATGCTCCCGAAGAGAAGCCCAAGGCGCGCTACAGGATGCAGGCCGCCGATGAGCAGTTGGAATACTCCGATTATGACTCGGAGTGTTCCGATGACGAATCAGTGCAGAGTGGTGATTCTGGTCCCAGAATCTACCGCGAAATCCTCGGCGGGCAGTTGACGATTGACAACGTGGGCCAGGTGTCGATGAAGGTGAACAGCCGCACCCGACCCCTGGAGATGATCGGATGGACAAACCCCTTCCAAAGTGAGTAGCACCTCTGAGCCGATTTGCCTTGGACAGAGCTGACTGGATCATGTAGCCGTTATTTCGAAGAATGACATGCAAGGATTGAAGTTCCTCCTGGACGTTGGCGAGCGCTGGAGCACCCAGAAGCTTGAACCAGATGACGAGGTCTCCGGTTTCTATTCCTTTCCAGACCACGCCTTCAAGCATGCGGTCGAGCTGGGCCGTGTCGAGCTGCTTGGAGAGATCATCAAACGCACTGGCGCAGGCTTGCCTTTGGAGCACCTAGTCAAGGACACGGGCATTGAACTCAAAGAAAAGCCTCGCTACTATCAAGGGCTGACCGTATACGGAAAGAAGAGGTATGCTTTCTCCAACATACAGTGTCCGCTCAGGTCTTGCAGCGCAGATCATTAACCACGCAATGCAGGAAGGATTGGGCAAACGCTGGCCGCAACATAGCCAGCAGACCGACTGGCACCGAAACCTCGCCTCTTCTGCTCGCTGCTTTTGCCGGTCGAATCGAGACTGTGGAGTGGTTCTTTAGTGATACTCCACTGAGGCAGTACCTTGCCTTCGCTAAATCCAAGGCGGCCCGGGACGACGTGAGGTTGAAACACCTGGCTCAAGCCTCAGGGGGAATCGACGCTGCGATCTCCAAATGGCTCGATGATCAAAGTAAGCCTGCCTTGGAAAACGCACAGGATTCTGTCACAGGAACTAACGAAACATATCCAGGTGACCTCGTCCTACATGCCGCAATCTACGCACCGCCGAGCAGCAGGGCCACTGAATTGGTGGCATATCTCATCAAAACCCAGCCGTCCTTGCTTCATGTCAGGGCTGCGAATGGTGCAACTCCGCTCCTGCTCGCCTACCAACTGGGTCGACTGGATGCCGCGAAGATTCTGATCGAGGCCGGCGCCGACCAGAGCACCAAGGACCAGGGGCGGAACAACCTCTTGCACGCCGCTCTCCAGGGCACTCCGGACGTGAAGAAGCTGAAGCCCATGCTCGATTTCCTCGACCGTGGCGCTCTTGTAGCCATGTTGAAGGAGCGGAACAAGCTTGATGCCGGTCGTACACCAATTCACCAGTACTGCTTCGCCGTAGCGAACTCTAGCTACTATGATGAGGCCGCAAAACCTGCAATCCGCATGGTTAAGATGCTCATCAGTATCTCGCCCGAGACTGCCAAACAAGCGTTAAAAATGCTTGACGGCACAGGAGACAGCCCTTTGCATACGCTCCTCGCTAAGGACGCAGATCCCGCCATCGTCCGCACGGTGATCAAATTCGACCAAAGCCTCTTGTGCTGCGAAAACGCTGTTGGCCGGACGCCGGCCGAGGTCGCCCACGACCGCTACCTTGCCGACAATATCAAATCCCCAAACACTTGGCGCTACCAACAGGACGAGTCGGTCAGCTCGTTGGTTTCCAGACCGGCGGCGCAATTCGTCAAGAAAAACGCCGACAGCAAGCCCAAGGAGCACGAGGCGAAGACGGTCGTTGCCAGAAACTGGCGCTTGTGCGCCGAAATCATGGCTCTCAACGGACAATCCAAGCGGACCCTAGTGAGCCTCCATTCGGCCAATTTAGTCGCCCAGCGGTTGGGCGAGCAGCACACGCGGGCTCGCTACCGGTTCGAGATCGTCAAGAAGGACGAGGGTGTGTCAACCGCTTCTCAAGACGGTGGCAGCGAGGCTGGCGAGGTTGAAAGTGCCGAGGTCAAGCCCGCTGCTCCCGTTGAGAAGACCAAGCGCCGGCGGACGGACGTCATCTCCTCGAGATCCTCAGCCAACAATCATGCGTGGGCGCGGCCGAAGAAGGACGAGGTTGACGGCCAGGACAATGACGACGATCAGTTCGGTTCGGGTAATGACGAAGACACGGATGAGGGGGATGATAACCCGCTCTGGGTATTTTCTGCCACCGTCGCTACTGAGGCCGAGATCGTCGTCGCTAGAGAAGGAGGCATAACGAAGGAAGAGAGTTAGACGGTTGGCGCGCCTCCGGGTTCAGAAGGCGAGGCTGGTTCTACATGATATGAGGTAGACTGTGTTTGACATTGGGAGTGGTGGTGTCTTGGGATAATTAGCAAACTGCAACTTGGCTACGACGAATCTCGGAAGACTGTCGGCATTGCAATGAAAGGCAAGGTAGCATTGAATACATTGGAACACAGAGGCATTTGAAGCGAGCAATCCGAACCATGTAACGTGCTGAGCCATGGGCCCGAATCATTGCAGCCCTTCCGCAGCGGACAAAACAATCCGACCCTGGTTTGTTCATTAGCGTAGCACATGGCGAGGTACTAGATATATAATAGGCAAAAGAAAAGCAAGGAACATAAGAAAACAAGATAAGAGGGAAAAAATGTTAGAATGTAAAAGAAAAAAAGTAATAGGAGGAAAGAGAGGAAAATGAAGATAGAGGAGAAGAGAAAGAGAAAGATAAATTAAAAGAGGAAGAGAAAAGAAAAAAAGAATATGAAAAGATTAAAGTAAAGGAAGATAAAAGAAGAGAAGGTAAAGATAGAGCGAGGAGAAGAGAAGATAAAGATAGGAGAAGAGAAGATAAAGATAGGAGAAGAGAAGATAAAGATTGGAGAAGAGAAGATAAAGATTGGGAGGAAGAGGAAGATAAAGGAGAAGATAAAGATGAAGAGGAAGAGGAAAGAAAGAAAAAAAGAATATAGAAAGATTGAAGCGAAGGAAAGAGAAGAGAAACAGAAAGAGGAATATAGAGAGGAAGAGGAAAGAAAAGAAGGAAGGAGATAATGTGAATGAAGATGAGGTGTACTCCGTGATACCTGCCACGTAAGTTCCGCGCTAACAAACACAACTAGGGTTGAATTAAAGTTGCACGTTTGTTTGCCCCCTGAACCTGCACCCCAATGAGTCTCGTACAGCAGCCATCAATCTCTGTTTCACTTTGGCACACTTCCACGGTTAGGCGAGTCCCCAATGCTTCACCTGACCTCTCTGCACAGATACCTTCAGACCGCAGACAGGCATATGGCATGGACCAAGGCCTAGGAAGCACAGCTGCTGCACGAGATGCAACCCGGAGAGCTGTTTGATGTTTTGAAATGCTAAGATAGACAACGGCCAGTTTCGAGCTGTGGTTCGGGTTCTACCCCGTACGGACAGAATGCTCTCATCTATCACTTCGCAGTAGCCCGAAGATGTGTCGCTCACCTTCTGGAGTTTGTCACGTCGCAACCTCTTGTCAAGATCAAGTCCATGTCGTCAGGATCATCCGTAACCTTCATCTACGGTAGCAAGGCTCAATGGCCGCAGACTTTCTCTTCATTCCCGAGTTTGAGTCTTGGTACAGCCCGGGTGGGGATTGTGTCGTGTGGCACCGCGAAGAGGAAGAAAGTCGATGCAACACTTGTCTGTTCCGAGTCAATCGCTAGCCTCTCCAAACGCCCAATTTGATCCATGCCACATGGTACAGTACCCGCCCTGGACGAGGGAAAGCCATCACAAAACGCCTTGAGCCTCTAACGCCATATTCCGCAATTTCAGAGCCCGTTGTTTTCCCCTTATAGTGCGATCGAGCCTCTCCGATTCTCGCGTATATGCAATAGACCCTGGAAACCGCAAAAGATGAGGAAGCCCTGGAACACCGAGCGTCAGCCACGTCCAAGGGCATACCGCATCCTCCGTCAAGCAGCGCTTATGAAAGGCTTGGGAACAACGTACAGCGTAAATAATGACAGCAGTGAAGACCGTGGCTGCAACTGCTGGTCCGTCTTCGGGGTCTTCCTCGCCGCCAACAAGCTCAGGATGGTTACCCCTGAAGAGGATACCGAGCACCGACAATATGACAATGGCAAAACATGAAATGACAAAGCTGTCAAGGCGTCAGCCAAAAACCATCACGGCGCGTTCCAGCAATCCAGAGGAGAGGAGAGGACGACGTAACTTACCAAGACCATGCCTGCACCGCGCTCACAATGGGCTTCATTTTGGGCTGCAGAACGCAGAAGAACGTAGACTGCTTCAGCAGACAGCGCAGAATGTCCAGTGATATTAGTCTCGACTTGTCGCGCGCATGAAGGAGTCTTTGGGTTGGCTTGGCGCACAATTGATGGTTTGGTGGTTGGAGTGCTCCCAACAAGGCACGCCAGAGTCGGCCCACTATAGATCCGAAACCACCGAGTTCTTGCCTGACGATTCAGGCATAAAATCTGTCCAATGTGGGGTACGCGATTTATGTTGCCGTACGGAGTATCTTGCCGTCCTCAAGTTGCTCATGACGGATATTTCGTCGCCTTTCCTTCAGAACGTCGTCATTTCGCAGTAAGCCTTGTCCCGCCCGAAAGGGCATACACGACAACGCGGTGCCCCGGATGCAGGCTGCCGGTCCTCAAGACTCGCCGGGCTGCAAGACGGCGAAGTGCCATCCGCCGCTGTGGGTTGCACGGGCATCGGACCCTCCCTTATTATCCGATGCAGTAACTCCTCCCCATCGGACTGGAGGTGCTCAACTTATCCTCCCGGGCCTGAGAGTTCCGTGTTTGACCACTCATCATCAGCGAAGTGAATCTGGTTGTCTCACTACGTATATATTTCAATTGAATGGCTGGAGAAGCAAAGCCCAAGCAACTTTGGCAGATTCCATCAACTTGAAACGAGCATCTGCGAGCGGTTACCAACCAAGTCCAGCGGCGAGCACCCGGACCTTGCATCTTCCAGTGAGGGACCGCCGGCATGCACGAGCTGCCTGAGATGAGAGCAATCAGCTTTTTGACAAATGGGACGAATGGATCCCTCAATAATGGAAGTCTGTCACAGAATGCCTGCTATGTGGTACAATTTGAGAAAGTGGTTGTTGGCTTGCATGCCGGTTCGCTTTATGCCCTTGGCTTCCCATACCTGCCAATGCTTGTCAACCCGAGGCCACATGGAAGCCCCATCCGGAGATCAGCGTCCAAGTCAATATCGCCATTTTTAACCGTCCTTTCGTCACCAGCTAAGGGTGCTTTTTCTAGGTAATCCGTACGCTAGACGCATCCAACTAGTACTCTTGATGGTCGATCCAAGTCAGTTCTTCAACCCATCAACAAAACTCAGACTTCGTGGATCGACAACGCATGACAGTTGGCTCAACAAAGCAGGTGCGTAGCCGCGCAAGTTTGCTTGGCCGGCTAGTGAGCCAACCAGCACATTGTTCTAAACTCAGTCGGCTGTGCCCCTTCCATGTCACCACCGGATTTGTCGATCACGATGGACCGACCAGGCAACTGCACAAACAGAAAGAGGTGTCGATCTGTCCATACCTCAGCTTGGGGTCCCCGCGACACGCTCGACTGCCAGCTTCCGAGCCGAAGCTCACTCTGAACTGAGGTGGTGAGACACAGGGCTGCGCCGGCGTGGCGTAGCGGTCTTAGTACTGGTCTTGCTGCATGCGGCCAGGTTGCCAGAGTGTGCTATTTGCAGGGTCGCATGGAAGCGGGTTGGTAATTTCCAGTGATTTATCCTGCACAGGACAACAGTCGGCTCCTGGCGGCTGCACCAAGCTCCAGAGTCGCACACGTTGCATCGCGGCCATGCTCAACGGCCTTTGTTTACCGTGCCGTAGCGCAGCGCCTCACAAATCCCCTGTTCATCCCCGGTTCTTCCAGGTAGGATGGACTGGGGAAACTTACCATTGTTGGACCGATCTGCATCTGTACGGAGTACTCACGTTATATAACCTGCAGTGCCGAACCTGTCCTGTAGTGGACAAGAAGCAGAAGAAGAAGATGCATTGCTAACTTCAGGCAATCTCCCCATACCCTCCCTAACAAACCTATAACTCACCGTGGCCTCTCTACCTTATCCCATCGCTCATCCGGCTTGCAACTTCCCGGTGAAACTTTGCTCCTAGCACAGAGCCTGAATCCACTGGATTGTACACGTACAACCCACCAAATTCGATTCCAGACTTACAACAGCGCAGTCCGCCTTGCCCACCAAGGTCCAACATCGGCCTGCACATCTTGCACGTCTCTGGTGCATATACACCCTAGACAGTGCCAGCACAAATAGCACTTTTTTTGCAATCCGAACCTACCTTACGGAACATCATCAGGATGCGCGTGTCGGGCAAGCTGTCAGTGCTGCTGGCTGTGGCCAGCACCCACGTTTCCGCTCAATCAACTGGTACCTCAAGCGCGAGCCCGGCCAGCATAACTACAAGCGGCAAGGTGACCGGCGTAAGTGACGAACTCGACAGCCAGTCTTTCCATCTCTCGAGGTCGTACTCTAACTGTCAGCAACAGAAACTCGGCGACGCCCCACAAGTGATCGACAACCCTATTGGCGTCGTATACAAGGCGGTCCTGCCCGAGTCCGCTTTCTTTAAGCCGGCCTATCCCGAGGGCGGCAACATCAAGGGCGAAGTCACGGCTGTTGCGAACGACGATGGGCTTGGTGTGCGGTTCACCATCAAGCTGAGCAATCTGCCCAAGATCGGCGCTCCTCTCCGTAAGTCCAACTTCAACCATCGGCAACTCACTGCCAAAGCACCTGAGTCTAACCCGTTTCCTCTTAGCCTACCACATCCACGACAAACCCGTGCCCGAGAACGGCAACTGCACGGCGACGGCGGCTCATCTGGATCCCTACCTTCGCGGCCAGGAACCGCCGTGCGACGCGTCGGAGCCCGAAACCTGCGAGGTGGGCGACCTGAGCGGCAAGCACGGCGACATCCCGGCGGACCAAGACACGTGGGAGACGTCGTACCTGGAGCTGTACGCGTCCACGGTCGAGACAATCTCTCACTTCCTCGGCAACCGCAGTATCGTCTTCCACTACCCGAACAAGACGCGCATCACCTGCGCCAACTTTTTCAAGGTCGAGGGCGGCGCCGAGCTGCCTGACATCAGCAGTGGTACCAGCAATACAAAGGGCACTGTCACCTCTACTACGACGAGCCGGCCCTCGCATGAAACCAATCCGACGTCGACCATCACCGGCGGCGTGTCGACTACTTCTCGGCAGGTGTCGACGCCCACCGCCACGACCAGCATCGTCACTGCCGCTGCGTCGGGGCTGGGGGCAGGCCTCGTCAGCATCGCCATGGCCGGGGCCGCGGTCGTGTTCATGTTCTGATTGCTCAAGATGGTGCTAAGATGGGGCTGGGTTTGGCGTTTAGGAAGTTGGGGTTCGCGGAACTTGGCAACGCCCTCCGGGCCTTTGTCGTTAGCGATTCTGCTCCATGAGGAAAGCGGGAACATGGAAGGCAATTGGGCTAATAGGTGGTTAATGTGTGCCTTGGTTTGGGTCATGGACCATGGACAAATATGAGAGCGGTTCTCTAGCCGGAATAAATTGGTTTTCTTGCCAACTCCAGAGGGGGGAGAGATTTGGGCGATGATGAAGTGGTCGCTGCCTGAAACGGCCAAATCTTGATTTGGTCATGATACATCAGGGCACAGAGATCCCAGCGAATCAGTGACTGCTGTCAGCATGAGAGTTCGTCCATTTTCCGTTCTTCAAGCACCACGATGAGCGCATTGCGTGAATGAGCCATGCAATGACAGAAGGAAAGCGTCGACCGCTCTCCCCCCATCGTACTTACACTACGGATTACAGCGCCGACGGCCCCGCACCCGACTCCGCAATGGAAATTCTAACGCCGAACAGCAGCTGGCCCAGAACAGACGGTTTCCTGAGCAACCTGGAACCTCCTTTTCCATCCAATGTAAATAAAAGACCAGTCCCATGGTCTTTGAAACTTTTAGCCAAGTCAGGACACGGCGATATGAAACTCCCAATTCAGGGTATTTTGCAAAGCGCTGAACGCGCTGCTTCTTGCATGGTGGCCCACAACTTCCAGAAACAAACAACTCGCGATTTCCTGTACTCTACTAGTCAAGTCAGAATATGTCTGACGGGAAGGAGCATCGGTTCATGAATCGCGAGAAAGGAAGGCACGAAATTCTATAAGGGCCCCCCCAACCCTCTTTTCTTCTCCTCAATTCCCGTAATGTCTCCTCCTTCTCCACGAGTCAAGTCGGATGGATTTTTCTGGAGTGAGGGAGTCGTGCACTAAGGGTGCCGAAATGGTGGGCTCGCGCCTTTCGGCTGGCCTGCGGTGAAGGACGCATGCAGTGAATATTCATCTGACGACGACAGGAGAGTCAGCATGGCGACTCGGTCTCACACTTCTCTTAAGGTACTGAGAAAATGGGGTTTGGCAACTCTAGATTTTCTACTGGGCTGGAGCCCGGAACTTGGGGTGCTGTTGACGATGATCATGGCTGTACCGAAGATGACGGCTTGGAGGACGAAACGTCGTCGGTTTGATGTATCTCCTCCCTCAGCCTCAGATGAAGTCACCATCGTGCATGCGGAGCGATAACGTCTCGACGCATCCCACCGCGTTGGCCACGAGGCTTTACTTCGGCATGGTGAGGCTGGAATCTGCGAACGAGCAGCCTCGAATGGAGTGTACAGTTAGGAGGAGAGACACTCGGGGATTCCAGGGGTCAAGGGGCTACCATGCATTCAACCTGCTCGGAGAAGATGCAAGTCACGCGTTGTATGCGACGGTGGAGCGATGAGCTACATGCACCTGAAAGAGAGGAATATTTGTGTACGGTCAAGGGTGGTCGACGCTTCGTCCCCTAACATCCGAAGGGGGCACCGTCGTCCGCGGCGTCCTCGCGGTTACGCGTCTCGGAACTCAACTTCCCTGCCATCGACTTTCGATTCCGTCTATTCAATGTTGCTATTGTTCTTAGGACACCAGGCCTCTTGAACGAAAGTTCTCCGTCCCCCAACATCAACCCTCTCTTAACAGGCCACGACCTATTCGAAGGGGCGCAGTGGCCAGAAATCCCCTCCCAAGGCGCGGGCTGTGGCCTCTTGAGGCCACCAGCTTGAACCCTTCCCAAAGCAAAATCCTAGGGTTTGTAGCCGACCGCCTCCCTTCGACCAGCGAAGGGAGCTGGTCGGCGAGCGTTTTATTCCAGTATCACAGTCCATGGCCCAAACCGGCGCCACCTTCAGAAATTGGAACAGAGGTGAGGCATCTCCAGCTGCATGGCAGCAACCTAAAGCACACCTAGGCACGAATACAACTGCTTATTTGACCCAATGCCCGCCGTCATGAGTGGATACACATATGACTCATATTGATCGCAGAACCCAGCAGAGTCTGGCAAGTAACATACTTCTTACCGCCCTGGGTAAGCCACCCGTTACTTCGAGTTCTCTCACAATCATCCCCGGTTACAAGTTCGAATAGCGACGTACGGCAAGCTTCGGCCCCGTGAGCAAAGTCGAGATGTCGCCAGGTTCTAGACGTTTCGGGAACAAACCGTTCCTGGGCGAAGAGACCAATGCTCGAAGCAAAAGAAATACAAATATTCTGCTGCATTGGATACGCCCGAGTATCAGTAGAGGTACCTGCTGAGCGATGCGAGACTTCCAAAGGTACATGTGGCTCGCGATATGAGGAGTGAAAGGGTTTACCGGCGCCCTGCCACGTCGTAACCTTGACAGATGCTCCGGCTTGTTTTCCGGATTTATCAGAAGCTTGACTCCGGTGGGTCAAAGGACTGTTGATGAAATGGTATATTGGTCTTCATTGCCCTCCTAGAGAACATGTAGGCCAGTGGATGAACCATCCCAAAAAATGACAAGCAGTCATGGTCAAAAACTGCAGTACCGCATCATGAAGCGAGCCAACTGGTATGAGACAGATATATTTGAGTCGGCGAAATATCATTCTCCGCATCTGATCGAATCAGGCTCGTACCAAGGTCTAAGGTAGTCAGTGATGCTACGATTCAGGACGCCTTGAACTGTGAAGTGATGAACTTCGCGAGGCCTCGCTCTCGAAATGTTGCGGTTGTTTATCTTCTCTCGAAGATCACTCAAATGGGATGTTGGGCGTAGCACTATAACTGTCCACAGTCCAGAATGGGAGGTGATGGGAAAAGGGAAACAATGGGAGGCATGCGGCCCCACTGCCAAATCTCAACGGTAGGAATGCGACGTCGGTTGCCAACAAGGTTCGGGAATGACCGCGTAGGAAACGGCCCGGCTTCGAGATTTTCGGCCGGTCTATGCCGACGGAAGATCTCTCCCCATCATCCCAATACGGGTCGGCTGCCCAGAGCCAGAGCTTCTTCGCTCTTTTCATTCCCGGCCTAGTGCTCGGCGAATTTCGTTTGACTTGCAGAGCGAAATGCATCACCAGGTCGCCTATTTGGTGGTTGAATGTTCAGTCTTTTCCTCCTTGGGCAAGTAGCAGTCATCACCAGCCAAGACAACCGGCCCGGTTGTGCCTGTGTGGTGGGACAATACCATACGACGCAATCAACAGATCCAGGATTCGCGAGTCGATGTCGAGAGCGAGAATAAAACAGTTAATGCGACTGGTTGCCACTGTTCCACCTGCAAGCAGATAGCGTTCCATCCACAGATCCGAGACCTGCGATGGCAAGATGCGATGCAACAGCCGACGCTCAGGCTCATTACACTACTCAAAACTGTGCATCAATTCCGCCGGCCTTGAGTCATCGTCCTTGAAGACAAGAGGAGTGTGTTCCCTGATAACCGTCGCTTGATTGTTAGCAGGGCTGCCTGAATGAAGGTAAATGCGCTGCGAAATCAGGAAGAGATTACCGAATGATTCGCCGGCTTAATTTTCGGTGTCGTCTAGCCACGGGGAAATTCCATGTCCGTTCAGACATGCCGGCGAAGAGGTCGCTCGCCTTCAGATTTTAAACTGTATTCCTTGTCACCTTCTAGTAGTGGAAGATCTTATACCCTCAGCTCGTCTATCCGACCTGACAAGCGAGCAAACGAGCCGACCATCAACTATGCCAGAATTCCGTATCTGGAGAGAATTTTTGAGGATACTTATTGCAACGATATTCTGGTTAATCAAGGACGATGGGAGCCGCAGAGGCGCCAGTGGATATGTCGGTCCTTTATGGGCACTGTGAGACGATTCAGACAAAGATCAGCAGGGGTGGCAAGTGAGAATGAATAGAAAGCGTCTCATAGCGAGATAGGCTGCCGACATCGCTTGGAACGTCGTAGCAATGACAAATTCAGGGGCCAGACGTACAGGATCCTGACCACGACTGACATTCGAAGTTAGTAGGTAGAGGATGCTTCCATTGTGGTTACCCTGGCGCACGATCTGGCCGCATGTCCACCCTAAGGATGTCCATCCGAAGATCCGAAACCACCTGGCAGGTAGGCTTCCTCTGAGGGTAATGCTTGCTGATGCTGCCATACATACTCCGTACAAGACAGCTAATAGAACGTAGCTGCAAGACGGTTATAGAGTGCCATTATACATCCGTTGAGGAGGGAAGCGAGCCGGATACGACGCTGTCGAGATCCGTCAACAAACGGCTCACCGGGCCCGCCGAGAATCGAAAAAGTCAACCACATTATGAGGGGTCCACTAGTCCCTATCTAGGAATTTGTGCCAGTGCATGTCAAGCTGCTCGGGCGTCCGAGCATGTCCGTATGTCGGATCGAATTTGAGACGTGCCGAGTGCTGAACGACGAGAAATCGAGCAGCCCGAGCGGTAATGACCGAGTGATACCAAGACATCCATGATTTCCATGCTTTATGTGCGCCAAACAGGACCTGCAGGTTGAATATGCCCGCTGCAAGACATGCATTAGCCGGTTATGATGCGAAGGTAACTGATGAACGAAAGGCGTGCAGTTTCAACAACTATTTTTCTGCAACAGCAAGGCGTAGATGAATGGAGCAAAGCATGATTGATCAGATCAATCCAGCAGGCGTAACCACTCTCTCTCCGCTGTGATTTGGATCTGATGAAGTTCAGGTACATGTAGATACTCCGTACGCCCGGGCCTTGCATCAGGAACATTACCTTTACATGGTACTGCCCAAACGATAACGTTACTACGGCCCCATAAAAATTTATCCGAGCCGGCCTTTCTAACTCAGCCAATCGGAACTTATCTCGTCAGTGGCACATGCACCCGTGAACCCCGGTCAACAGCCTGGAAGAGGAGCAATCCCGGGCTTGGCAGGAGATCTGTCGAAGCCTGGGTTCTGTTGAGATGTCTCGAGGATGTTTATCGGGATTGCGGAGGTGTATTGCCGCTAGCAACCTCGCATACTATCGCACCATTTCATTATCGGTTGGTTGACAACTCCAACTCGACGCGAGGATCCAATGCTGGGCCAGGTTTGGGTGTTAACACTGTCGTTATAGAACTAGGATTGGGGTCATGGTCACAGCCATGTCGTCATCTCAATCCTTGCACGTCTTGGCGCACCTTTCGGCCCTTGATTCCGGAAACCCGTAACAGTGTCATTAACTAACCCGTTAGGCTGACGCGATTTTCATATCACATGGGGAGAATACTTCGACCTGTGTTGGAGGTTTGTCCCTGACGGAGCACAGGTACCAGGTAGTCTTGGCACGACCTTTGTCGTTTGATCGCCGAAGCTCGACATCAATCATATCGGCGCTCCCGGCTGAAGATGTCAGGGTCTATCTCTCGACTCGGCCATTCCGGCATACTAGAGCAGATCAGTCCTTTGACACCATGCGCTACTCCGAATTCGTTGTCGGATCTGGTGCATCCACCGACCCACGTCAATTTCTCTGTCGGCTGTTCCTTCTAGAAGCCTTCGAACACCTTGGCCGTGGAGCCAGCCGTTTGAGCCCCGTTGTCCATGTACGGAGTACGTAACGGTGTTGTGTACTGTAACTTTAATATTGTCTCGGGCCACAACGGCTGGTCCACTGCGCCGGGCTGTCTGCCAGGTCGGTTGACGTGCGGACGTTCGTCATGCCAATCCACAGGACTTGACCTCGTTTGATAGGTGTCCCATGATGCTACTGGAGATAGATGGATGCGGACCATTCGCACATAGACCCTGCTCGGACCTTGGTAACAGCTCAACGGACATGGGGGCTAACACATGACCGTCCTTGACGGATACCGGAGAAAGATACGGATAGATCTGACGATACTGCTCTCTCCATTCGTCTATATGATAGACAATACGTAGTTTTGCGCCTCGACTGTGTTACAGAAGGCCCGGAGCACGACATCAGTCCCACCGGCATTCTCCCCGTCTAAATGGGTGTGTCGAGAGATCTCTGACTGCCCCCGTAATCCGAAATAGCCAATATCGAATCTGCACGGGCAGTGCGTCGTACTGCATGCTGGAGAAACGGATCAAAGAAATGAAGGGGTTGAAAGTTGTAGTGGCTTGCTGGAACCGGACCAATCCATTGATTCCATTCCCGCCCAATGCGACTGCGATCAACTCTTCCTTCGAACCTCAAGGGCAGCGCCAGCGCTCAACCAACCAAGTCTGAGTGTATGCAAGGTACCCGATACACACGCCAAACCTGGTTTGCCTGCGAGGACGAGGGGCTCCTCGCTGGTGAGTGCACCACAGCGCTTATTGGCGTTACATTGCACCGTGCCCTCAAGTGGCAGCCCTCCGTTCAATGGCCGCCCAAGTTCGTCGCTGAGTCTTTCTGGAAGCCCTCGGCAGCCTCCTGTTAGCGCGCTCCTCGTTCCTTCCCCACCAACAAGCGCCGTTCTAACAGACGGCGGGAAGCACCAACGTTAGTACACCAAATCATCTTCTTCGTGCTGTGTGCGAGACAGCTGGCGGACAGTACGGACTAATAAATGTCCTTATCCACCTAAAAGTAACAAAGTAGGTACATATGTGAAACCGCGACGGAGTCGCAAGCAGCCCTACAAAAGAGGACCCTGGTTGTATCAGGCGTCTCGTGTGGCTGGAAGGAGGTTAGGGTCCAGGGATGGAACCTTCGCAGGGATCCTGAGCTCCATTCACCGGAATTCGACCAGAAACACCCCAGACTCGCCAGGCCCTCGGCAGGGGATTATTTTTTGAGGCTCGACGGCCGCACACAGCCAGCCCAAGCCAAGCTCGACGCGGCGGAACTGTTCATGCCTGTTCTCCCAATTGGCCGGCAGCGAGAGTCCGCATCGACCAGCGGGTATTGATGTTGCACTTATTATCACAACTCTGCAATGTGGCCTCATTTGGGACCGGTCCGCAATGCGCCTGGACCCCGGAAGACATTCCAGGCTTCCTGATCGCCTTCCATGCCCGCTCCTCAGATTCCAAGATCAGATCTCGCTCATGGGGTCGTTCCCGGCCGGATACCACCCTTTTGCGCATGAGCCACTGCCAGCCCTGGACAAGGATGCTACGCTCATACTCTCGGCGACTTCCCTAGACTCGGCTTAGGGCGACAAAGAATGTCTCTCTGTCGTAAGCAACGAACAACATGGGCTCGCTCTCTGGCTGTCTACGGATACCCCTCCAGGCCCGGCCCGCCAACCACGGATTGCCGGCACCCGACACCTCCCACGCGCGGATATTTGAAGAGATTGTCTGTGTCGTCGGTTGGCGCCGAAATCAAGCCGGGGATGATTTGGGGTGGTCAAACGGGCGAACGGGGAGGTCCATTGGCAGGTTTGTCCACTCCTGGGAAAAGCGCATGCCTAAGGTCTTGCCCTGATTACCAGATCGGTTAATCGTCAAAACTAGCAAGGGTCTCTCGCCTTGGGAGCCATGGAAGGAAATCCTGACGTCTTTCCGGGAGCCAAATGCTGGAAACGGTGTTTCAGCCTTTGGCAATGATCAAAGGTTGAATTAACCCCATGTCCCTGGACTGGTAACAGCCATTTTTCCATGTTAGCCTCTCCGGGCCCGGCTTCGCATGGGAGCACTCGATGCGCACTCGACCGGCCTTGACCGTCGAGGGTTCTTATTCACCGGTTTAATTTCTGTTCCAGTTTCTTAAAGACCACGTTGTTTTGCTCAGTCCCGGTATCCAAGGTCCGAAGTTGGCTTCGCTCTGGCTCCTGACTGCACACGGTACCTTCCATGTCCGGCAGCGCTCATTGTCTCTCCGTGGCTGCTCCTGCCTGCAGAATAAAGAGCGACGAGGAAGTCGCAGCTTTTAATCTATGCCCTTCCTTTAATTGATGTGACTTCCATTGTCACTTGCCCGGTCTTCCATTGCCACCCCTCCCCTCGCACTCGGCACACCCCGGCCTTTGAGTTGTGCCGCCAATCTACGTCGGCTTCCCTCCCAACTCCTCTTATGCTCGCTCCTCCCCAGGACAGACCTGAGAAGAGCTGCTATCACAACAGCCTCACGATAATAGCCCAGTGTTGCATGTGACTGGCATCCAGACACCGGGTCTGGCACCAAATCATTTTCCCTCGCCCCATTGTCGCCTAAACCGATCGCATCTTGGGCCCTTTGGGCAGCCGTTCCACGTCTAAGCCATCGGGTTCCGGGGCAAAAACGCACGCATCAGCCAGCCAGGGAGCAGAGGGAGTTTGAAGAACAACCGAAAAACGAATAATTCCCAGCATCAGAAAAGCATCGTCCAGCTTGACTCTCTCTACCCCTCGCCGATTCATCATCAGCAAGCCCGTCTCGCCCTGCAGCCGAAGACTCGCCAACCTCCAAAGTCCACTCCTATTGTATGGGCAAGCCAGTCGTTTCCGACACGTCAGCTCTTGCTTGTGGTCGATGCCCGTTGTCGCCGCGTCGTTCGTTACCACAGCCTGGCATCGCGTCACTAAGTTTCGCCTTGCGCTGCAGGTGGAAGGAGCTGAGCCCTCTCTACAGCTGAATGGCCACGTCTCGTCTTGTTCTCTCCGTCGGTTCGGCGATTAAAATAAACCCCTTGGGAGCTCAATATCAGCTCATCCCACTTCCTTCGTCTGCCTGGAAGCGGCCAACCATATCTTAGCGAGCCCCGTGGACTGGACACCTCACATGGATAAAGGCCGTTAGAGTGCAGCTTTGTAACCCAGCCTCGAGGGAACACACGATTGTCGACCACGAGGAACGAATTCCCTTTACAGGTTCAACTTGGAGAATTTCAACGCATACGCGCCTGGCCACAGCCCCTAGAAACGCTTTTCCATCCTCACTCTTCTGCACCCGACGGGCGTGATCTTTGAACCGTCGCTGGCGCCTCTAACAGACGCCCGCGTCAAATCAGGCGGAAGGTTGCACAGGGGCTTCCAAAAACAGTAGCCGCGGGATCCCCCTGTTCTCGCAGCCAGCAGAACCGCACCTCGATCAAGGCCAACAAATCTGGGGTGTAAGCCGCGCCCGGAACGCGGGTATCACACTTCCTCTCACCCTCCGGTTCCATTCCTGTTGACTCTCGGTTCAACTGGTCGTGCGCTGCAGGAATCTCCCCACACAGCATCCCCGTACTCCAACATCCAATTGTTTGTTGAGCACTCTCACAGCCACTCAACCCAGGGAGACACTCCCAAACAACGTCTCGATTATCTTGCTCGGCATTGGGCCTGAGCGCGAGTACAGGCAGCATATAGGGCGAGCTTCCTCCTGCGGTGTGGCCCTTTGCAGAAAGCTGCTGTCGTTGCCTGCCAGGTCGAATCAGGGCAGCCGGAACCAAACGGTGCGGATTTGGTCGCCAGTCATAAATCCAGGATTCTGCTCGCCAAAGCGCTGCAAATCGCAGAAGCGTCATACCGATTGGCCCCCACGCCCCTCGCTACCTGTTCATCGGCACGTCTACCGCCCTTGTCGCTAAACCTGCCGGCGCGACATCTGAGCCACGGCTGCCTGTGGTCTGCCTTGGTACCCAGACGGCGATCAAGAGACTTCGAAGTCCAGCTCGATTTCCGGGCAGCAATTGGACCGCTTTAGCTTCTTCCGACATTCGGGTCTGCGACTGCTCGTCAGCATCACCTATTTTGAGTGTTAGTCGACGCTGTCACCTGGGATCGAACTGACTCTCCGCCATATCCAATCCGGTCGGCTCCACCGGCCCGTGCTGTACGCCTTTGAGGCTACCTCCTGATATCTTCTGGGGTGTCGGCCGGCTGTGCCATAGCAATCTTATTACGTGACAGTTGTTTCTCAACCGTCCCTCAGGAGTCGACTTGAACCCCTTAGCATCAAGCCGTTTTGCAATCTGCCTTGCCCTCTTCACAAGACGAGCCCATGACAGACATCATGTCATATCAATACCCTCCGCCGCCTCTGAACGGCGCCGACATGGACATTCCGCAATCGGGCTACTTGCCTGGATACTCTGCGTCTTCAGACTTGGACCCGGATTCGAGCATTCCGTCCAGAGAACGCCTGGAATTGAAACGGTCAATCTCGACGCCCATGGTTGGGCCGTCGCAATCCCAGGGGCTGCCACCCCAGCCATCCACGCCGCAGCAGTCGAGCGCTACCGGTCAGGACTCAGCCGCCGAAAGGCGAAGAAACAAGTTGGGCTACCATCGGACGTCGGTTGCATGTGGTAAGTAGTGATTTGAAGGCCATTCTCTCGAGATTGCGTTTGTACTCATTCAATCTAGGCCACTGCCGTCGCCGCAAGATTAGGTGTGTCCCATCGCAGAACGATGTTCAGGGGCGCTGCATAAACTGCATCCGCTTGAAAAAGGAATGCAGCTTCTACCCCGTAGACCAACAGCCGCCTGTGGACACGCGACAGAAATCGGGATCGCGGTCCTCCGTCGGCCCGAAAGTTTCTTCTGCCTCTTCATCGCCGGCCATGCAGGCAGGACTTCCTTCCGATGTTCACGGCCAGCAGCCGTATCCTCAGCTGGCGATGCCGCCCATCCAAATTATGGCGCCACCAATGAAATCTTCGGGGAGCGACAGCTACTCCACTGATTCCAAGAGTAAGTCCATCGGCCTTCACCAAGCCCAAGACCTTACCATGTCGCAGGACAAGTTGCTAAGCATCCTTAGTACCTTCGAGCGCATACGGGCAGCATGGGGTGACTAATTGGATGTCGGCGGATGCCAGCCCAAGCTCATCCAAGCCTGGCGATATGAATGCGTCTTGGAGGTCGTATCCGGGTGATTCTCCCATCACGCCCGCCTTCTCCCCTTACACACCGCATGCGCCTCAGCCGTCGGCCCCATGGTCGACATCCGTGGGCTCGGAGTCGTCCACGAGGGACGACATCGCTTGGTCGCCCTACCCTGGGCCACCGCCGCGGTCCATGTCCTTCGGCACCGAGAGCATGGCCGGTCATCAGCCGTACCCGCCGATGTCGCAAGTTGGTGCTCATTCAAGTCGCGAGTACGATCGCAAATCGAGCTCCGTGTCGGCCGATATGTATCCGCCGCCCATTGCAACCACCATTCCGGGAATCGAGACAGTCCCGGGCACCACCCTCGATCAGAATGTTTCGCTGTCCGCAGGAGCCGTTCCTCCGGCAAGTTACGCATCTTGGCAGCAATCGTACTCGTACTCAAAACCTAGCGAAAGCTACGGCGGATGGTACGGAGATGCGGCAGACCAGCATTCGTCAGGACATGGACATTCGTACTATGGGCGGTGACTGAAGGAGGAGGTCAGTTTGGTACGCTAAATCCGCATGCGTCCGCGGTGGAACCTTGCACCCCCTTATATCGAGAGTCCAAGACTGCGGTTACCGTGGATCCTCCGGCGTGTTTCATTGGCGAGGACCCGGCAATGGGAAGGACCGACGCCCATTTCAGCATTCCGGTCTTTTGATGTGATGGTCGGTTGAGTCCACGGCGGTTCCCAACCGGTCGAGACACGCACGACGCAGGACTGCCAATCTGGCTGAGCGCAAGGTTGCCGAATGACCGAATTGGGCGATTTGCGACACAAGGCGCAACACTCGATACTTCGGTTGTGGCCTGGTGTGTGGTCGATCGCAAGCCGCCCATAACGACCATTGACTTCCTCTTGGTTGGCATATCTGGTCAGTGGCTCGGAAGGGTTGTCCCGTCAGTGACGCGGAGTCGGTAATAGCACAGAACGCAGAATTCGTCAACAATACGACGGGGACCGAAGGTGCTTTGACGAAAGCACTTGTAGTTGGCCGGAAAGCAGCGGGGAAATTTCCCAGCTCTGTACACACAACCACCAGAGCCCTGATTTCATCAGAGCTAAGACCGAAGCTTAGCCGCAACGGTTATTTCCGCGTTTCTTGTTCCGTTACTTTTTTTTCTTTCTCCCTCTTCACTGTCAAGACGGCAAGGAATGGGATGCGGAATCATTCCATTATGGGTATTGGTTAGCATGGGAGGCTCAGTGACCTACAGAAAACTAGACAGGGTGGCACGGCACGGCACGGCACGGCAGAGGAACGGAGTACCTTTCCTGCCCCGCAAACGGATGGGGACTCCGACTTCAGCCGGCCAAGCGGGGATAAGCCGGTCCCCACAATGGCGGAAAGCCACAAGACGGAGCCCTCCGTGTGGAAATGTCACCGCCGACGCTGCACGGAATGATAACATACTGTGCGTATGTAATTGGCGGGATCATCTCTAAAGATATGATGGGTCGGTCGGCCCGGATAGAATGTGGATTGGTTGGTCATCATGAGCGTCTGGTGAGATGTAAGCGGGATACATTTGGCATATTTCCCATTTACGGATCGGTACCTACATTTTCTCTCTTTTCTCGTCTTTCTGTGTCACTTCACTTCTTCCTGCGTCTCTGCGTTCTTGGCTGGGAAGTAGGAAGCTTCGGTGAAATGGGCGGAAGTTTGTCCCCGTTTCAGCAGCGGCTTGTGTTTGCTTCTATCGTTTGCCATTCTCTGCATGCTCTGTATTCAACTGTACAATACTCTAAACTTTCTTTTTGGGCTGAATCGACTTTGGAAAGAATGGCGGCCGGGGTGGAACCGGTCGATGACCTCGGCTGGGAGTCGCATTGGAGGCATAGACAGCTATGCGGAAGGGAGGCGGCGTATGTTGCGAGAACAGTGAAAAATGTATTCTGTCCATGCTACTTGGATGGCTAGGCTAGGCCTGTGGTGTCGGTACGTGACCATGTTTCATCATGATTGCATTCATGCTGTTGAGTGCTGGGAGGCGGTGGCATAAGGTACCTGGCTCTGGGGAATGGGTTTGCACGCTCTCGGCCTCCAAATGCATACAGACTATACATCTCGCGGCTTCAGGGCTCTGACTCGTCAGTGATTAGACGGAGTCGTTGATAAGGCAATTAAGCTCCGGCAGCGGGCCTCCGTCCCAAGTCTTGTCCGCATCCCTCGGCGACCATCAGATACTTCGTGTCCGGTAAATGCCGTCAACGACGCCCAACAGCAGCACATGCATGCCTACAATGAAATCCATTTGACGCAGGTAAGCGTCCATCCCGTTCCTTGCAGCGCGCCAGGCCGCGCCGTTTGTCCCGGTAAGTGGGATGATATCCCACAGCTTCCCCGCAAACCATCCCGTCCCGTCCTTCTTTCGGAGCGTCTTTGCCGTACCGGGCACGCTAGCGTAGCCCCGAGGGCGGGATGGCATGCATCTCCATTTCTTTGATCCCGTCTTGGGACCGTCTGTGCCCACTACTAAGAGGTAGTGTTGGAGCGTAAGGAAGGGTAGCCATGCAACGGAGGAGTTGCACCCCTGCACGTCGGTCTTTTGCTTACCTCAACCCGACTACCTGATGCAAACAGACCTATGCATGCGCATGCATAGGCAAACGTTCGACGTGGCGTTCTGAAACGGATGACGGATCGTGGCCCGTCTTTCGGGACTGGCGTGCTCCGAGCTGGGGTCGTGCGGTGCAGGCGGGTTGGGTTATCGTCCGTTTCATGCTACGTAGGGAAAGTTCCAGCGGCAAAGCTGGGTTTATTCAGGGCGTCAAGATGTCGGAGCGCTAATAAGCAAGGTTAAAAGGGCACATGAATGACGCTCAGGGTTCGTTTCGAGGTCGGATTGAGATTAGGGGTGTGGTGCAGTTGGGTCTTTGGTGACTATTTTGAAGTGAGTCCGACTTTCATGTTTCCTAACATGAGTTGTCGGGTTATCCCTTTCTTAGTCGCCAGCAGGCCGGGCCTCCGGAACCCGCTCTCAGAGTCATACGATGAAGATGGCTCGAGAAAAGAAGCATCGCAGGTTATAGGACGACTTGAACCAAAGTCAACCGGAGTGGGATGCAGGGACAATCTGGAGGTTGCAAAGCTTTTATAAGTCCAGTCTGGGAAGGAGCGGCGCACCCCTTTTCAGGCAGCATTCTCACAAGTACCGTTCTCTTCCGTCTGTTAGTGCAGTCAAAGTAATGTAAAAATCGTCATCTCGACCACCCCTCTTAACAGGTCGTTCAGGCGATCTACATCAGTTACGGCAGCACCGAGCACGCAGGACAGTTGCCCGGATACTCAAAGAAGGAAAAGAGTGACTGTTGTTCAACGAATGAACTGAAAGGGACAGGGCTCACCCAACCAATTTCCACAACAGCACTATCATGGCGCCATAGCTCACCAGACTCAACCCGACCAACAAGCCCACGCTATTCCCACTCGTCCTAAACTTCTTCTTCACCACGACCTGCCTTGCATTCCCCATCCCATCCGTCTGGTCGTCAATACTCCCCATTCCCCATCGACCCTCCCCCCCTCTCCTCCCTCTCCCAACCGAGGATGAAGAAGACTCTTCCTCTTCTTCGCAGTCAAAAAACTGTCTGTTGCCCTCGTACCGCCGGTACACGGCCACCAACAGCACGGCAGCGCCATAACATGCCAGCAGGGCGCCGATGGGGTAGAACTCGGAGGTGAAGATGCGAAGGACGACGAGGGCGAAGGAAAACTGGGAGAGGGCGGTGCGCATGTAGGCGCCTTCGAAGGTGCGTTGAGCAGCGCGAATCTCCACGAGTCTTTTGAAAAGTGCTTTGTGTTAGTCAAGGTGAGGTGAATTGTTGCAAAGATTTAGATGAATGGACTCGAGGCGATCGGATCAGACGAGGTGTGACGGGATTTGAGACGGGGTCGTGATGAGTGGGACTCGGAAGATGAAGTGGACGCGGTCGGCTTCGGAAGGCATCCCGGCGCCGGTGCCGGCAACCCAGGTAATTTTGAAGCAGGCCATCAGAAGGCATCTTGGAGACGGAGATGACGGTGGGGGATAGTTTCCTGGATCACCGCCAACAAACACTCACTCCTGGCTTGTCAAAATGACTGAGCGTGCGCGGTGTAGTCGGAGATGGAGGCGGTCTTCTGGATGCGGTTGCAGCGCCTACAACAAACGCCGCATGTCAGTGTGCTACTTGTCAGCTGGATGCTGGTATCCGGCGGCTGCCAATTGGGACGCTGCGCACCTCCAACATGGTCGCCATGGCGTCAGACTGAGGAAGCTGTAAATGGCAGACAGTTTTTTGTGTGATGCTATCATATAAAGTATGGATGAGCTCGAGAACTGCTGATGAGTGATGTCAGATACCTTATAATTCTAAGCTTGAATACGGAGATGTTCAAGGGTACGGTACCTAACTGGGTATTTGCGTATTGTACTGTATCAGGAATGAGCTTGTCATAACCGGCTCCTGTCCCTAGGCCCGTGCGTAATCCCATGCGTGTGCAAGATCAGGCAGCTTGTGATTGAAGCTTCGTGGCCGCTTCAGCTCTGGAGCTGCCATCAACAAATCCGCCAGAACACCAACCTCAACAACTGGCCATTCCACAAACGACGACCACGAAATCCATAACCACCAATTTCCAGCTGGCCGGACTAATTACGTCGTCTGTGAACGGCCCGCATATCCAAACCCCTCGACCCCTCGAAAACAACATGGCGCCCAAACAACGAAACGCCGCGGCGCAGACACCTCCCCCCTCCAGCACCGCACCCCCTACCCGGGCGCCAGCATGGACACCATCACCGCCGACCACAACACCAAAACCGAGCTTGTCCAAGCCCACCACCACCACCACCACAGGGGCCGGCGGCGGCGTCCAGACGTGGGACAAGATCATCAACAACGTGCTCTCGCACTACCTCGACACCACCCCGCAGCGTACCAAGCTGCTGGACGCTTTCATGGTATTCTTGGTGGCGGTGGGTGCGCTGCAGTTTGTATATTGCGTTCTGGCGGGGAACTACGTATGTGAACCACTCGCTGGGGCTTTTCTCCTTCGACAGTGGTGGTACTGACGGGAATTGTGGGACAGCCCTTCAATGCATTCTTATCCGGATTTGCGGCGACGGTGGGGCAGTTTGTTCTGACGGGTAAGTGGGGAGGATGGTGTGATCGGGAAGAACAGGAGTCATGCTGATGGAGGTGGCAGCGTCGTTGAGGATCCAGACTACGGAGGCGAACAAGGGGGATTTTCCTTGTGTGTCGCCTGAGAGGTAAGACAACCCCCCGGCTTGGCCTTCACCTAGAGGGCGATGCTGATGATGAGCCAGGGCGTTTGCCGACTACGTCGTGTGCAGTTTGATCTTGCACTTTTTCTGCGTCAATTTCATCAACTAGGGGATGCTGGCTGCGGGAGGGTGGTTTCCGAGGAGGGTGGGATACGTGGCTGCTTGTCTGCTTGGTTCCTGTCATACACTAGGACTGTATAAAGACTTGGCAGGCTTCCTGATCGGCGCAACCTCCAGAAAGCAATTCTGCTAGAGACAAGGGGTTTTTGAACTACGACATTCTAGTCCCCGGACAGTTACTCTACCCCTGCCTCCTTGGGTGGGACGCTCCCAGCTTGAGGTGGCCCTCCCTTCGGCGGCCGTCCTTTGGGTGGTGGCGGCAACGGCGAATTCCTCCCACCCGGCGCATTGTCAAGCTCTCGGCTCTTCTTCTCCTGCTCTTTGAAATAGTCGTCCATGAGATTTGGCGCCCCAAGGTGCGCTCTCTCCTTCTTTTTACTCCTTGGAGGGGCACCGACCGGCGCGGCTTGCGCGTCCACCATCTGGGCCGGCACCAGGATATCTGTTGATGCTGATGGCGGCGGCGGCGTCCCAACCGCTGCTCCGGCGAAACTCGTCGGTGACGCCGCACCTCGCCCCGCCGGCACAAAACCAGCCTGACCCGCGACAGCCGCAGAGTCCCCGTCAAACATGGTCTCCCCTGGAGCATGCACCGGCTCGCTCAGCGGCGCCGGCAACCTGTGCAGCGCCCCGTACCCTAGCACACAACCCAGCGCACCCTGGCCGCCCCAGTCGCGGCTTGGCTGGATCGTCACCTCGCGCGTCACATTGTACTCGTTGTTGTAGACGTACAGCCGCAAGGGCCGACCGATGTGGTCCTCGACGAGCTCGCTCAGGCCGCCCTCGCCGTGCAGCACGCCCTCGGGGGTGCCCAGGATGTAGTCGCTGTAGGGGAGCAGGCCGGCGGCGTCGGCGGGAGAGTTGACGGGCACGTCGAGGACGTGCCAGATGTTGGAAACGACTGAGAGGGGTGTCCATTGAAGCGTCAGGCCGAGCGAGGCGGTGTCGGCGGGGACGGGGATGTGCAAGGCGCGTGTCCTTTGACCCTGTGGGAGTCGGTTTGTTAGGTGTGGTGACTAGGATAGAGAGGGGCGAAAGTGCATACCTTTGCGCTCCAGATGCCCAGCATGACGGTGCTGCCGGCGCAGTTGCGCACCTCTTGGGCAAACAGTACGGGGTCTGAGTCGTCCTGATGAGCTCCAGTTAGACTCCGAATCAAACACTGTGGGGAATTCACCAAGCATGTCATACGATCATGCGACTGTTGATGCCAACGACAAAGTCGAACCACGGCTCAATCGCAAGCTGCAGGTTGGTGTTGCGCAGCACTTGAAACCCAAACGCCCCGTGGTTCTCCTTAGCTGAAGGCGCCGGCTCGCCATCGAGGCGCGATATGAATCGATTAAGAGCGTTGAACATGGTGCCGCTGATCAAACCTAGAGGTTTGTATGTGTGTTGTGGTATGTTGATGGTCTCCCTGAGCTAACGTGTCGAAACGGTCGTATGTGCAACTAGTAGCTTGGAGTTACACGAATCGCAGCTGGAGTACTTGTATTTACATCACAATACACTAGTATGTATTAAGACACAAGCAACTTACGGTACTCCGTACCTGAAATAACTTCAGGCAAACATGGAATTGCACTGTCGCACGGGCCCTGGCGGGGGTGTGGAGTTACCTTCCATTAGTGCAGCCAGCCTTTCTCTTAGCGCGCATCTGACTGTAATTTACAAACTTCACCTCCAGTGATTTGAACTGCAGTTCGCTCCGACCAAGTGAAGTACCACTGGGCACGCTTTTCTGTCTTCATATACACCTTAGCGCCAAGAGGGAAAGATAGAACCTGATTGCGGATCCGTATACTACTCAGTCCGTCTAGACAGACATCTTTTACGCCGTTGTTGCACTTGAAGTCGATAGTTCCAAACTTCGAGATGACACGCTGGCCCGTTGAAGGGACACTGCCTCTGACTGAGCAATGTCACCACTACGAAGATATCAATGAAGTCCCTTCAGATCTTCAAAAGTAAGGCCCCATACCCATCAAACACATGTTCAAGCAGCCGTACTAACTTGAATAGATACTGGCATCAACGCTACTCAATATTCAACTTCTACGACTACGACATCCGCATGACAGACGCCGCCTGGTTCGGCGTGACCCCCGAGCCGGTGGCTACGTAAGTCTCCCATCCACTCCCTGCTGCTCTCCTACTGACTCCCTCCCCCCCAGACAAATCGCCAAGGACATCCCCTCTCACAACCATTCCACCCCGCGCAAAGACACCATCATTGACCTGTTCGCCGGCGCAGGCGGCAACACTATCGCTTTCGCCCTCTCCGAGAAGTGGAAGCGCGTCATTGCCATCGAGAAGGACGCGGCGACCCTGGCTTGCGCGCAGCACAACGCCGCCATCTACGGCGTCGCAGACGCCATCACCTGGGTGCACGGCGACAGTCTCGACTTTCTTGCCCGTCTTAAGATCCCAGGCAGCGGTAAGTCCAAGGGCAAAGGGAAAGCACTCGAACTTGATCCATCCCTGTGGGTCGATTTCTCGAGGACCGTCCTCTTCGCCTCGCCGCCCTGGGGAGGCGTGAGTTACCGCGGCCAAGACGTGTTTGACCTCAGCACCATGGAGCCGTACAACCTCGAGACGCTGCACGAGGCCTGCCGGCCGATGGAGCACGCGCTGTATCTGCCGCGGACGAGCGATCTGAGGCAGATCGCCGAGCTGGTACCGGATGGCACAAAGATCGAGGTGGTACAGTACTGCATGGAGGGCGCAAGCAAGGCCATGGTGGCGTATATGCCCGCTGAATGAAGCAATTCCATCAAACTCAATCCTTACGACCCGATTGCCGCCGATTTTCTCTATTCCTAATGCTTACAGACAAGCCGGCCAGCTACAGCCCCTTGACGATGCTCCGCTCATCAAACACATCCTTCACCAGCCCGGCAACACATCCCTCCCGATCCACCGGCGCCATGGCGTACGTCGACTCAAAAGCATGGATACTCAGCTGCCCAAAGAAGGGCCTCAGCACCTTGGCCACTAGTTCATCCTTCCGCTCCATGCTGACCTCATCACTAATCCCGCCCGGCGTCCCAAGCAACGGCCGTCGGTGACCGCTAGACGATCCCACAGCAGAAGCTTGCACCGTCGGAGCACCCTCCACGCCCCCAACAAACCCCAACCCAACCGCTCCCAGCTCCTCACAGACCTCATCCACCAACGCCGCGGGCTGGTACCCGCCGCTGCCCCCGAACTGCGGCCTGTACACGGCATCAATGGTATCCGTGACAAACAGCCACTCATGCAGCTGGAACTCGTCCGGCGCTACACACACCAGCAGGTCCAGCAATTTGCACGCCTGCATGACCGACGCATTGCCGTACGTATCCGACGCGGTTGAGTGGTCCGGCGCGACGACCGACGCAATCGCCGCATGCAATTCGGCGTTGATGACGGGCCAGAGCGGGGCGAGATGGACGGCGCTGGTGCGCAGAACCAGCGCGCGGAGGAGCATGAAAACTTCTGCGCGGGTGGTCGACGACGGCGAGGACGTGGCCGTCGCTGTGAGAAGTTCCGTCACCTTCTCCGTGATGGCCGGCAGGTCCGCGACAAAGGCGTCGGCGGCGCAGGCCAGGATCAGCGTGGCCAGGCGGCGCAGCGTGAGCTGCGTTTTGCGGTCCGCCTCGAGCCGGGCCGAGGTCGCGCCCACGCCGAAGACGATGCCTGCTGTAGTGGGCGGCGTGAGGCGCGAGAGGAGGTCTGGCATGCGTTCCTTGTCGGCCACTGTCCATTGCTTGAGGAGGGGCAGCCAGCCGGTGTGGACGAGGGGCAGGCTGGAGGCGAAGAAGCGCGCGTCATTGAAGGCGTCGGAGAGGTCTTTCTTCCAAGACTTCTGGTTGTTCGGGAGGCGCGAGAGTTCTTGGAGGAGCGCGAGCATGGTTTTGGAAACGGTGTCGGGGAAGGATTTGGAGCGTAGCGCTGGGCCGATGACGGTGGTCGAGATGGCGGTCGCGGCTGTGAGGATTCGGTCGTTTTCGACCAGTATCTTTGGGAGGTTGGGGACAATGCTAGCCAGAATGCCGACTACATCGTCAGCCCGCTCAGCTGGTAATCTGACCACTGCTGATTGCAGAGATGCTTCACTTGGCCGCTTCTCAGAGAGGTTAGACGACCCTGAACTTTCGAAACTGGCCGGGCGAGCGGTGAAGATGGCCGTGAGAAGGCGCAAAAACAAGTCCTGAAGACAGTTAGCACATTTACAAGCAACCAAACAAGCTGGGAGGCCTACCGCCAACTCCCGGCGCATCTTCCGCTGCTCCCCGAAATTGGTATTGTCCACCTTCTCGCCCAGAATTGCCGCAAACTCGAGCAGGCTCGGCAATGTCTGCCGGTGAGGGAACGGGTTCGCGAGAATGTCTTTGAGAAAAGCGGTACAGTCCTGCCAGATCTCGTCCATGGTGTCGTCCTCCAAAGACCGAGTGTAGTCCACCAGAAAGATCACGAGGTCCGTGTCCTGCAGTTCAATGGTAAGCGTCGATCTCCTCGACGGGTCTAGCGCGCCCGGGTTTGTCCGACTGTAAATAGCATTGAACATTGCCGGGATGGTATGCTTGGGTCGTGAGCCGTCCAGCGCCGGGAGGAGATTGAAGACCTCGGCGGCCTTGGAGACATTGGCGCTGTCCAGTGCACCCCGCCATATCCCGATCACCGTCTCCAGGCACTCGAGAGTCTCGGCGGCAAAGAGATGCTCCAGCAACCTCCTCGCTCGATTCCTCATTCGCACTGATGTGTAGTTGAGGGATGCCCCGGAAATCGCATCCTGCCCCCTCTCATCGGTTCCTTGTCCCCAGGACCATATGGTGAAGCACATGCGGACGGCATCTTGGAAAGCAAGCAGGACGGTGAGTCGGTCGTTGGCTGTAGCGCTCCGGGTTTGCGGCGCATCCGACGAGAACACGCCCGACACCATGTTGCCGAAGAAGCCCTGAGGCTGGTCTGGACTCTTGACAACCTGGGCCCTGGCCTCTTCAGCCAGGAGCCTGTCGTGTCCGTTGGCCAGAACCTGCTCAAGGCCGTTCAGAAGAGAAATCAACGTGGTCTCGGGTCCTACAGCGCCGTGAGAGGGCGTCTCCTCCGAAGACCGGAACAGGCGTTGGAGATTGCTGAAGGTGCTCCCAATCTGGCGACAAAGCGTCTCCACAAGGGGTATTAAGACCTGGAAAACAGAATTTGTATAGAGCGGGAGGCATTCGGTGAGGAATCCCACCCAGCTGTCCAGAACAGGCCTACTGCTTGGTGAGCTGAGGCCAGCGAGGATACATTTGAGCAGGGCAGGCGGAAGCGGCGGTACAACCATGTGCTTCTCGGCCAGGGAGACTCTGGAGCTTCTTGGAGCTTCGAGGTGCGCCATACGCTTTTCGTGGGTTGGTGAAGCAGGAGGCTCAGCGGGAACCAGTTCCCGGAGCTTCAGGGAGGCATAGACAACATCCAGGAGCAGAACCTGGACGTAAGGGTCAGGGCCTTTGAGAGACTGCTGGAGCTTCTCGATCAGGACAGTCTCGAGTTGTAGTTTAGCAAGCTGCTCGGCGAACGGATTAAGGAGGATCTGGTGGAGAAGGGTCAATGCAGCGCGATGCAATTGCGTCGCCCTTGCTTCTGACTTCTCACCGGGGACCTCGATGTGAGCCAAGCATTGCAGGCAGACATGGAGGAAAAACTCTTGAAGTGGCATGTCGGCGTCCATCCCAGCTTAAGCCTGTTCGTTAGAACACGCACAAAACCAACAAAGTAGGTATGAGCGGGGCTCACTGATTACTGAGAGCGGCGGATGGAGAGATTCCGAGCGTCCGAGCTTCCTCGCGAGGATTGCCCAGGCTGCTTCAGGCGCCCAGCGTAAGACATTGGACAGGGAACGGACGAAATAGAGCGCCAAGTTGAGGTCGTCACTGTCCCTGTAGTGAGACGGGCTTGGCTTGACATCTTGTCGTCGCCGAAGGAAGGCTAGTTCTGAGAATTTCGTGATGAAGACGGAAAATAGCCTGTCATCGCTGTCAGCACAAGACAAACGGTATGGTATTCCATTCACTCACTTGTCCAGCCCGTTGAGTGTGTTGAGCCAGGTCTTGACGGTCATGAACAGCTGTGTTCTCTCATCGGCGAGCGCATCCAACATCAGGAATAGTGGCCGCGTCAGCATCACCTCGTAGTGGTCCATCCCTGCGATGCGAGCCAGACCCTTAACGTCGCCGTTAGTTGCCTTGGACCCCCTCCGCTCCAGCGCAGACGGATTGTCCTGCAAGGTATGTGTCCAGAGTACGGAGAACCTGCGGCCAGGGTCGGCAGGGCGCTGGGCGAATGTGCCCGCTGTGTCGGCCTCAAGCATGAGAGAGCAGATGGTAGCTTCAATATCCCTGTTTGAGGGTGTAAGTGCGCTCTGGAGTAGCCAAAGACTGCGGACCGCCTCAACATGATATTTCGGTTCTGATGCCGAGAGATATACCCAGGCATGGCGTACGAGCGGTACGACGAGATTTGAGAACTCAATAGCCGTTATCCTGTTTGTCGCATAGGTATGCGATGAAAGTGAGAGGATGGAAGAATAGGTGATGAACGGGATGGGTTCATCGGACTCGAGGCAGTCATGGAGCGCCGCAAGAAGCTTGCTTGTGCCGAAAGACAATGTCTCTGGGAGCTTTGAAAGGAGCAGGACGAGGATCCTGCTTTTTGCAGCTATCTCCGCACCTGATTCCCTCCTGCTCAGAGAGGAGCAGTTGAGATCGCATGCCTTCTGTAGGAGGAGCTGGGCCAGATTTTGTGGGCCAAAAGGGGGCGAAGCGGCTTCTAGGTTGCCTTGGTCTGCAGTATAAAATGTCCTGATTTTTTTGAGCAACTCCATCTTCGGAAAGGAGGCTGCTAAGATCTTCAAGTCAAGCGGCGGCGTTGACTTAGCCGTGATTTCCTTCGGAAATGCTCGTTCGGGGACTAGCTCGAGTAAGCTGGCTGCTGTGTTCAGAGCTGCCTCCGACAAGTAGGCATCCAACGGAGCTAAGGCGTCACTGGGCTCGTCATACACCTTCGTCTCTTCCATCATACACAAGATGGACAGGACAGCGAGGGGCGCGTGGATGGTGATCATCTCCTCTTCCCTGACATTGAAATGCGTCAGTATGAACTTGACGAGGTCCAGTTTGTCTCTGCGCTCAAGGACAGAGAGATCTCCGGGACCGATGGCCTGGGCCATCAGGGCCAGTATCTCGCCATAGATCAACCCGCTTTCGACGCCATCGAAGAAGACGCTAGCACTTCGGAGAACTTCAGTAAAGTCGGCCTTGCTCGCAGACTTGCCATCCTTGAATTTCCTCACGCTATCCACGATAGGGAGGAAGAGCTCAGGCACAACCAAGCCGCCAATCTCCCACCTATCCATCAGGGACAAGCAGATGCGGTACGGCCGTGCGCGTTCCGCTGGGTTGCCGTCGGTGTCCGACTTGATCATGGAAAGCAAGGCCCGCGTCAACGGCTGCAGGCCAAACTCCTCAAAGTAATTTGTCCTCGAGGAGAAAAAACCAAGGTGGTGGGTAGAGGTGGGGGTAGGAGAGTCCAGCCCACCGTCATGTTCAGCGGAGGCAGGTGGCTCGGGGCCGAGTAGCCAAGACCACAACCGCCTGTTCAGACTCATGTCTCGCCGCACCGTGACACCAATGGCCGCCCTTAAGAGGAGCTCAAGATCGCCAGCCTTGGATTTCTTTTGCAGGACCTCGGAGTGCATCGGGAGGTGCGTGACCAGCAGGTCAAGGTAGCCACGCTGGATGAGAAGCTGGTCATCGGCGAGACCAGCGGCAAAGCAGCGTATGAGCAAGCCCGGCTCAGGGGATGTGACCAGTTGAGAAAGCTTAGCAGACGTCGTGGTGTCGGAAGACGCCGTGGACGACTCGGGCTGCAGTGCATGGCCCAAGCGAGGCAAAAACCGCGAGAGGTAAGCGAGTGCGCCAGTTCTCCGGGTGTGGCCAGTTATTGAAGCCAAGAAGAAGCATTGCCAGAAGAAGTCGTCCCCTGAGGAGTGCGCCTCTGTGAAATCCTGGCTTTCAGGAGGGCGGATGGCGGCCTTGAACCTCTCGACAAGCCTGAGAGTACGGTCGAATTCCTCGCTCGTCTCCTCCTCCAGGCCTGGTAATAGAGCAAGAATGACAGATTTCATGGCTGGACGCAACGACCGGGGGTGCAAATCCAAGAAATAACGCTCAAGCAGGTCCAGGAAGGGGGCGCGGACGGTGAGCGAGGCGAAGGACAAGACCGAGGCAAGGCCTGGAAGATATAGACGCAGGTCCCGCGATAAGCCATCTTTGCCAATGACGGAGAAGATGTAACTATAGACTTCGATCGTCTTTTGGTGAACACCTGAGGGGAGCGAGGGATTCAAACATTGCGATAGTCGCTTTGCGACGATTTCCTTAGCAGGGATGGTTGAGATGGACGGTGGTCGGGCCTGCAGCGCCTGTTGTCATGGGCAGCGAAGCAGATTAGAGTTGCAATTCCACTCTAGCATAATCAGATAGGATAGCGAGAGCCTACCTTAAGTAGACGGTTCAGGAACGAGATGTAGTCGGCCCATTCCTGCAGCGCTGTGTCGAAGAGCGCCAAAGCCCTTTCGATGCCGCTCGCATACTTGCGGTAATGTTTGTCTTTTGGCGGTGTGTCCTCTGCATTGACATCCCGTAGCGTCAGTGCTGATTCATGACCCGTGAACTAAGACAGGAAGAAAGCACACCTGTCCCCAAGTGGTTCCGCCACTGCCGCGGCGCAGGCGAGTCTCGGCCAGAGCTGTCCGGAGGAGAAGCTGAACGGCGCCCGGGCTCAAGCGCCATGGCTGAACAGGAATTGTCCCGATGCGTGCTCGTTTTCCGGGATCATTGCCAACTCGGATCCCCGGATGCCTGGGTCGGTACTGGGGAAGCGTGCAGAGCACTGCGCGAAGCTTCACAACTGCGAGAATGAAAGCTGCAACGTCCACCAGTTGCTCAATTGCGAGATGGCTGCAAGGCCCCACCAAACGCATGCGTGTGCCTCGAGGTCAAACCAGACGGAAAGCGTAATACGGAGTAATAAGCGCTCTTGATTCGCTAGGTTGTTCCCGTAACGGAAACTACCCGGCAACCTGGGGAGCGACGGGACAAGGCTGAGACGCGCCTGATGTCTGCTCGTCCGGATACACACCTTATCTTATCGGTGCTACTTGTCGTCATACCTAGGTAATCCATCTTTGACGGTCCGCAAAGCTCTCGGGTTCCCTCTGACCAACCTGATTCTGCCGTATCAATGGATCGGTGATCAATTGAATCATTTCTTTGCGTTCCGCTGACATGGGACATCTGCGCTTCAGAAAACTACAGGAGGGCGCTTAATTTTTCTGGGCACCAATACATGGTCACATACGATGCGGAGACGGACCTTAAGGCGGTGTATCGACAATGCCCCCGGAAGTCGACGCCGAAGACAACAATTGCGGCGCGCACGAGGTAACATCGTCGCCAACGCCTCCGCCTCTCCCACCCCGTCGGAGACAGCCAAGCGAGGGTCCTGTCCAGGTAGCCCCTTCTCAGTCGAAGCCCACCACAGCCCTCTCCTCCATCGACATCTCGACTCTATCTTTCCCAGACGGTTCTCGCGGCACCTTCTCCACGAGCGCAACTCGCGCCGTTTCCACCCCGAATGCCAGCGGATATGTTACTCCCAGTCGAGATGCGGCGGCAGGCAGCGACCTTGCCGATTCTATGAGCGTCATGAGTTTCGCGCCGACAATGCGACCTCATGGTGACCTCGCCAGCCTAGTAGCCGGCGGACTCAACAGGAAGAGCCGGGCCTGGAACTTGTTGAGGTCGCAGACAGAGACTGTTCCGCCGTTTGAACGTATTGAACTCGGCGCCGCTGGTGGCCTAGACGGGTTTGAACGAGAGTTCGACGCGATCCCAGACAACGCAACCGACGACGTCAGGCTGGCCATTTTCAAATCGAAGATGAAGCACTACATGATCCTGTCATCTGCGGGAAAACCCATATACAGCCGGCACGGCGATTTAAGTCTCATCAACTCGTACATGGGCGTGGTACAAACGATCATATCGTTCTATGAAGGGGCTGACAACCCTTTACTGGGTTTCACAGCTGGCAACGCACGATTCGTCGTTTTCATTGAAGGGCCCCTCTACTTCGTAGCCATCAGCAGGCTAGGCGAAAGCGATTCCCAGCTCAGAAGTCAGCTAGAAGCCTTGTACATGCAGATACTGTCCACCCTGACACTTCCCACGCTTCAGAAGATATTCGTTCACCGCCCGTCCACCGACCTGAGAAAACCCCTGGAGGGGACCGAGTCGCTGCTGTCTTCTTTGGCTGATGGCTTCACCAAGGGTTCCCCTTCGACGCTTCTTGGGGCGCTTGAATGCCTGAGGATGAGAAAATCGCAGCGCCACGCAATCAATAACGTCTTCCTCAAGATCCGCAGCGAGAAGCTACTCTACGGACTCATCGTGGCCGGAGGCAGACTGGTCAGCGTTATCCGGCCGCGGAAACACTCATTGCACCCAAGCGATCTCCAAATCATCTTCAACATGCTCTTTGAATCAGGTGGCATCAAGGCCGGAGGCGGGGAAAGCTGGATTCCCCTCTGTCTCCCGGCCTTCAACAATCGCGGGTACCTTTACATGTACGTGAGCTTCTTTGACGAAAGACCAGACACAACTTTTCCGTCCGAGTCGTCGCAAGAGCCCGGTGCATCAGACAACGATAACAACGGGTACGACGGCGACGACAGCAAGGAGGAAGACGAAATCGCCCTGATTCTCATCTCCCCGGACAAAGAATCGTTCTACGACCTCAAAGAAATGCGCGACAAGTTCGCTGCCCAGCTCACGAAAACCGGTTACCTCTCCCTCATCCGCTCCGTCGCCGCCGAAGGGCGTCCCAAGATCCAAGCCATCGCCCCGGGCACCCAGATTTCCCATTTTCTCTACAAGTCGCGCGCAAACGTGCAGTTTTGCATGTCCTCCTTACTCGAACCCCACACAGCGCCATCATCATCAACAGCAACAGCGGCGGCGGCCTCGGACACCGCCGACAAGATGCTCGCCCGTCGGCGGCTGATGACGCTGTACCATGAGCTGCACGCCGCCATGCACGCCAAGCACGCGCATCTGAAAGTCCTGCATGCCGTGCGCGAGGACGCGGCGAGTCTGGCGTGGATCACGCCCGTCTTTGAGTTCTACTGCATCGCGGGGCCTAATGTCTCGCGCGCCGCTATGGCGCAGGGAGCGAATCGGGTGATTCAATGGGCCAAGAGGGAGGAGGAGCGGTTGTTTATTATTGGCGGTGGGGTGTTTTAGCGGACGTGTGTTAGTGAGAGAGGTAGTTGGTGGTGATCCTTGGATAGATGCTGAGTCACTTGTCTGCTCTGGCCATGCACAGCCTGTCTGATATACCTACCTGGCTTTTGTTGGAGCAGACCTTCGGTTCATGCTCTCGTCATTAAAATATACCCTTTGTATTAACTATCTTGCTATGTTAACAGAGAGAATGACGAGAGCAAATGCGGCACCCCCAAGAGTTTCCATGGGGAGCATCCCACAACCCAGGTCCGGAGATCCTAAGCGCCCGTCCAACCTTGTATCCGACAAGAAGAGACTTCAAAGGACTTCGAGAGACAACGGAACAACAACGAAGTCAGCTTCTCACAAGGACAGTGGCCAACCGCGATGTCCCCTGGCGATACCACCGACTCCTGGGCTCATTTATTCAACACCGCCCTGGGCTCGTCGAGTCCGGGTCACCGCTTGTCTGGCCCTCCCAATCCACTTCACCAGACGGCCTGGGAATCTCCCGGGATGACGCCGGCGTGTTCTCTTCGTCTCGGCAACACCCCGTGTTTCTTCGGCCTTGAGATTCCCAGCGGTGATTGGGCGCTCCGGCTGAAGCAAGCGAACCTCCGTCAGCCTGGCCTCGAGATCCGGGAAGCGCTTCTTCAGCCGACGGAGGGCTTTGCCATTCATGTGGTCGATGTCGGTGAAAAGTAAGGCGAGAAACTCGTCCTGCGCTGCTCTCTTTGCGGTAGTAGACCGGGTCTTGTCAAGGTGCATTCCGCTGCCACTGCGTTGACTCGGCTGCAAAAGGGTTGTGACTTTATTGGTGTGTAAGTCTTTCTCTTCGTTACTTTCGGAATGGTACGTACGGGGCTGTCTGCTGTTGCGTTTCTCGAGAATCGGTTCGGAGCTTGAGTTGAGGCTGTTCCACGAAGAGCCCGATCTTCCACCCTTGGATCGCCGCGCCTTGGCCAGAGCGCCCCTCGACACCTTCAGCTTCAGCTTCCTGCCGCATGACTTTGGGTTTTCGGGCCTTTCTGCCGACCCACTGCTCGGAATCCCGTCTCTGGCCGATTGGCAGGTGGAGGGCCTAGCTGCCGAAGTTGGGCTTCGGGCAGAGTTGATGCCGGGCCCAACTTCGCATCCGTTCATGTTGGTAGAATGGACAGCATCGTCTCCTTTGTTGTCGTCGATTCCAGCCTTGGCATCCATTCCAAACGTGATGGTCAGACTCAGGTGCGCTTGTAACACGGTGGGAACGGGGATCGTGAGAATCCCAGCCTTGCTTTTCGATCCCAGAAACCTGCCCACTTGACTGTAGTCATCCATCGTATCCAGAAACCATGGAGTGACGGCAGGGGAGCCTCGTGGGCGGTTCTCTAATGGCATCTAATGCGGTCGATTTAGCTCCAGGCCCGCGCCATCCACGCTGTCGGTTCAAGGGACTGGATCTGATCAACGCGGTCCCGTGAAACAGTCTCGGTGCTGAGGCTGACAGCCGGTCCTGCGAAGAATCTGGCAGCGTGCTGGTAAGGCCCAGGGTCGAAGTCTGACCACCTACCGGCACCAGGAAACCATCTATGGTGTTAGGACGGCGTCCGGGAAACGACGTTGCCGCCGTTCTTAGTGAGGAAGGCGCTAGTGGTTACGGACGTAGTGGAATCGCCGCGGTCCTGCCGAATACCCCGAGTTCTTTACCGCAGAAGCGTCCATCTTGCCGTTACTGCATGCTTTGGAGTTTTTCACCGAGGGAGAGACGTTGACCAGCGCCTGTCAACCTTGGTGGAAGGAATCAAGAAAACATGCCATCAAGAAGTGATGGGATACACTAGGGGCGCCAGAAGGCACAAGCTGTCGTGAGATTGAAAGCAACGCTCTCCATAGTAGGCAGAGATTCAACGGATAGCACCGACTCCATGTGTGAGCGAGGACGCAAATGAGAGACAACAAAGATTATGCGCAGCCTTCGGACATGGAGAGTCAAGTAATTCACCGATCTTATACCCACTGACTTCCCGACACGGAGCGTCCAGGTTACAAACGGTATGCGGTTATGCTTCCCGTCTGCCGGACAATCCCGGCCATTTTCCCATGAAGGAGCGGAGCGATTGAGATGGGCCCGGGATATGTAACACGGATCATCGTGCCCCTTCCGTGCTGACTGGTTCGAGTAAGGGCCCGATATCCCGAGTTCAGGACACGGGTCCCAAAGCCACGAGGAATCCAAGGCGTCCAGGTATGGATGGATATGTGGCCTTTGGTGGCAAGTGAAACCTCACAAAAGCGAATCGCAGCCAGATAAGCTATGCTTTGTAATGCGACAGAACAGCTTGGAGAAATTGTCTGCGTGTCCTGTGGCAACGGTCCGCTCTTCAATGCAACTTCGTCTTCAATGTACGGAGCTCCTAGTAAGCTGATGAAAGTTGGACGACAAGGCCCAGTCTCGCCAGCTCAGGCCACAGAGCGGTAAAACCGATCCGCATTTGAAGTTCGCCTCATTGCTTAGAAAGGGTGGGGTTGAAGGTGTACGAAGTACAACTGGCACTGTACATTATACCTAAGCTTGTTTGTTTTCAAGGTATCCTCTGATTTGAAAAGTTGGATAACTACCTAAATTGATACATGGTTGTCGCCACACCAACTTTGGGGCCTGAGTAAGGCACAACAAAGGTTTACCAATCAACAACAAAACAACAAATTTTCAGAGATCGGATCTTTCCGCCTGCTTGAGACGGTCAATTCATACTGTGTAATCCTCTTGAGACCCCGGCCAGAAAGATGAACCGATGCACTACCCCACCTCAGCGTTCAGCAAGCGCGCGCTGGCCGCCAAGGATGGCTAGGGCCTGAGTTGCGGAAAAGACACCTGTTCACTCGACCCTGAATGTTGCTTTGCCATTGATACAAGTACCGGGACTGGCAATCCTGCCCTTGGTTTCTTGGGAGATACCGTTACAAACCTCCATCTTCTTTCTCATCTCAGGGGCCTGTCCACATACCTGACTCGGTGTCGTTTGGAATTCCATCACTTGGCCTCCTCAATTCCTTCTTTTCACCGTCCTTTTCTGCCTTTAAATAGCCCAGAGTAAGTGCCCCCCTTCGTGCCGCTGTCCCTGTTACACCTCTTCCCTTCTGCTCCCTTTCGCTTTGCGCGGCAGAATCCCGTGTGCTGTGCATCACAATCGCCTTGTCAAACGCGGCAGTCGGCTCACTCGCTCTCTAGAAGAGGAAAAATCAAAATGTACAGGGCCCAGAAGTTTGCCCTCGGCCTGCTCGCTGCGGCGGCGGTTGCCACAGCCTCGGATGTCGTCCAGCTGAAGAAGGACACGTTCGACGACTTCATGAAGACTAACGACCTCGTCCTGGCTGAGTGTACGCCCTACATCGCATCTTCACCAGCTTCCCGCATACTGACGAGTCGTCTCGAATAGTCTTCGCTCCGTGGTGCGGTCACTGCAAGGCCCTCGCCCCCGAGTACGAGGAGGCTGCCACCTCGCTCAAGGAGAAGAACATCAAGCTCATCAAGGTCGACTGCACAGAGGAGACTGACCTCTGCCAACAACACGGTGTCGAGGGCTACCCAACTCTTAAGGTCTTCCGGGGCCTCGACAATGTCTCTCCCTACAAGGGCCAGCGCAAGGCTGCTGCGTACGTGTCCCAGCCAACGATTCAATACAAAGCCATTTTTAACAGACTCGCAGCATCACATCCTACATGATCAAGCAGTCCCTGCCGGCCGTTTCGGAGGTCACCAAGGACACCCTGGAGGAGTTCAAGAAGGCCGACAAGGTTGTTCTTGTTGCCTATGTCGATGCCGCGGACAAGACGTCAAGCGAGGTCTTCACCAAGGCCGCCGAGAAACTCCGCGACAACTACCCCTTCGGTCTCAGCACTGACGCTGAGCTGGCCGAGGCCGAGGGTGTCAAGTCCCCCGCCGTCGTCCTCTACAAGGACTTCGACGAGGGCAAGTCTGTCTTCACCGAGAAGTTCGACGCTGAGGCGATTGAGAAATTCGCCAAGACGGCTGCTACCCCGCTGATTGGCGAGGTCGGCCCCGAGACCTACTCTGACTACATGTCGGCTGGCATCCCGCTTGCCTACATTTTTGCCGAGACTGCTGAGGAGCGCAAGGAGCTCAGCGACAAGCTCAAGCCTATCGCCGAGGCCCACCGCGGCGTCATCAACTTCGGCACCATTGACGCCAAGGCGTTCGGTGCGCATGCCGGCAACCTCAACCTCAAGACCGACAAGTTTCCCGCCTTCGCCATCCAGGAGGTCGCCAAGAACCAGAAGTTCCCCTTCGACCAGGATAAGGAGATCACCGCAGAGGCCATCAAGGCTTTCGTTGACGACTTTGTTGCCGGCAAGATTGAGCCCAGCATCAAGTCTGAGCCCATCCCCGAGAAGCAGGAGGGCCCCGTCACCGTCGTCGTTGCCAAGAACTACAATGACATTGTTCTTGACGACGAGAAGGACGTCCTAATTGAGTTTTACGCCCCGTGGTGCGGTCACTGCAAGGCTTTGGCTCCCAAGTACGAGGAGCTCGGTGCCCTGTATGCCAAGAGCGAGTTCAAGGACAAGGTAGTTATCGCCAAGGTCGATGCCACTGCCAACGACGTCCCCGACGAGATCCAGGGCTTCCCCACCATCAAGCTGTACCCCGCCGGCGCCAAGAGCGAGCCCGTCACGTACTCTGGCTCGCGCACTGTTGAGGACCTCATCAAGTTCATTGCCGAGAACGGCAAGCACAAGGCTTCGGTCTCGGAGGAGGCTGAGGAGCCTTCGACGTCGGCCACCGAGTCTGCCACCGAGACCAAGTCGGAGGCTGCGAAGGAGACTGACCATGACGAGCTCTAAAGGGAATGAATGGATTTCATGTATTGTAATCATGCTTTTTTTGGGTTTGTCATTAGGGATCACGGGCAAGCGTAACCAAGGGTCCGTATTTCTGGGATTGGGTTTGCCAAAATACCAAGGGCCATCTGTCTGATGATTGATTGCCTGTGTGCCGATATTGAGAATGTGATCTGGTCGCCAGCCCCTTTTCTCTTTAACTCCTGCATGGTGTATAATCTTGCCGGCTCTCCCCGCCCAAATGTCCAATGCGGATCCCCAATTGGTTCCCGGCAACAAGGCCAGCTGTCGCATGCCCACCCCTGCAGAGACGGCCCGGGCCAGAAGTGACAACCGTCAGAGAGAGCACCTCCATGCCACCAATCGCCAAGACACCACTCGTTCGACTACCATAGTACATTACTGCGCCCCTTAACCCTTTCTTTCCTCCGACCTTCCTCAAGTCCTTCACGACCACAGCGCACGATTACCATGGCCTCAAGAATACTGTCCCGCGGCGCCCACACGGCCGTGATTTCGAATCGAACTGCGCCAGTTGTCCGCCGCAACTTCGGCACCTCGCCTGCGAGACTGGATGCTGCTGTTGCTGCTGGCGCGGCGCCGCCGCTTCCTGCGAGACGGCCTATTGGCGCGTTGAGGGGAGGGTATGGACTCCCATAGTACACCTCTCCCTCATTACTGGATTGGGCTGCCAGACTGACCAAGATTGCTTTTCCTTGCTGTAGGCTCTTCGGCTTCTTCCTCGGCAGCACCCTCGCTGCCGGCGGGGTGTATTACTACGCGATTCAGGAGTACAAGGCCTCGAACGATCTGCTGACTGAGGACATATACGTGCGTGTTTGCATTTGACATGCGTACCACCTTGCCTCATCCTTTTGTCTCTTTTGCTGCGCTTGGCTGCCTGCTCGACCCATTTGCGCTGCGTTGAAAATATAGTTTCCGGAAGAGACAATAGAGAGATATACAAGAATAGAGGGAGGGGATGGGCAGGGGTTGAAGCGTAATTATCTTGTTCTACCTACTCATCGGGATGGGACGGGGACTCTGCCCGCCTGGCCGGCACAGGTCTTGCTCTGAACAGGGCATTTCGCTGCGTTGGCTTGGTCGAGTAATCGCCTGCTTCCTCGCTTTTGGCGCGACCAGACTTGCTGGAGGGTATAGGCTGACTGGATGTGACTGACAGGCTCTCCAAAATGCGGTCGACCGGTTGAGCCAGTACGTGGAGACGCTTGAGCAGAAGATGGATGCGTTGGAGCGGAAGAAGAAATGAGTTACGACTTGGGCTGGAATGGACGGGCAGGGCGTGGACATATGGTGGCATTACGTCCATGTTGATTGGCATTGTATGTACATTTTCGAGAGTAGGAAGGCGAAGGCACCTTCTGCTGGGAGGCTGGTAACAAAGGCGTGATGGCGTGGAATTCATCTTCTAAACAAGTTATGTACAAACTCGACACGGACCTGCGACGAATGTGCGTGCCACTGTCTCAATTTACAGCAATGTGTGGCGTCTCAAATCTAGCCTAGAGCTCTCTGGAAGTTGAGCTCACGGTGCTTAAACGACAGGGCTGCTCGGTCCCCAAGTCATCGGCGAGGTGGATCCCGGCTCGGCCCTCTGCAGAAAAACGGCCGAAGCGAGTGAGTGGGCTGCATCCGCCCCACGTTCATTTTCACAATCAACCCCCAGGACATACGCCACCAGCACCATGAATAACTTTGGAGTCATCGAGATCGCCAGCACCACAACCAAAAACACTCCAGGATGGGCCTACGTACCGGACACAGGGCCCACGCTGTCAGCAGCGCTGCAGCCTACAAACCGAAAACGCGCCGCGCGCAATCTGCCAGCTCTCAGCTTGTCTGATCTTTCAGCACGCGAGGAGACGAGGATACGGAAAGATCTGGAAGCTCTTGACCGTGACAACCACCGTGATGTTCATATCCCAATTCCCCCGCGGCCGGGAGGCAGCAGAGGTATGTATGAATGGGTACCCAGGCGAGCGAACGCAGTCCTGACCAGCCAGCAGCCCAGAACAAGCACACCCCAAACGTGCGCAGGATCCTACAGTCGCAAAAGACCTTCGCCAACCATCTCGATGACTACCAAGCCATGCTCGCATTGGCGGAGAGCAACCCCACCGCTGCAGCCGCCATGACCGCGACTCAGACGAAACCGTCCACCCCGACAGTTGCTGCCTCGAAGAGCGCGTCCCCAGCACCCACAGCAGCTCCCGCCGCGGCGGGGAGCAAACGGTCAGCAGCAGCTGCGAAACGAGCTGCGGCAAGGGAAAAGGAGGAACAGGAAAAGAAGAAGGCGCGGCAAACACCCAAGCAAGAGCCCGAGCCAGAACCCGAGCCCGAGCCCAAACCGCAACAACCCCAGCAAGACACCGACGTCGAAATGTCCGATGCACCCTCAACCAGCCAACCCGCCCCGACCTCCGAGGAGACCCCCCAAAACTCACAGACCTACCCCCGCGAGAGCCTCATCCTCCCCCCCTACGCCAAGCCGCCACCACAGCCACACCCCGGAGACGCCGACCCACTGCTGGTCTCATACGTCCCGCCCTTTCCCTCGGACGATGAGCTCAGGGCGCTCATGACGGCGCCGCCGCTGAGTTATCTCGAGGCTCGTGCCACATGGAGCGAGGACGAGCGGCGCTACCCCGTGCGCGTCTTCTGCACCGTGTGCGGGTACTGGGGCCGGGTCAAGTGCATGAAGTGTGGCACGCGCGTGTGCGCGCTCGATTGTCTCGAGACGCACCGTGAGGAGTGTGTGACGAGGTATGGGCTGTAAAGGGTGTAACAGCGGGTTGTTTGGGAGTGAGTATCGGGGCTATTTTGAGGAGGGAAAAGGTCTGAAGGAGGAGTTGGGCCTTAGTGTTGGCGGAGATGCTCCGTACGGTTATGATACCCACTTTTGGTGTTGCTGAACATAGACGCAGTTCCGGTTGCTCCCAGCGAGTCCGTGGTGCTTGAGATTCGCCCTCAGAGAGTGACTGAGGGGCTTTGTGGAGAGATGACTCTGTCCGCAAAGGGGAAACTTGCTGCAATCAGCTGGGTTGACTCTATGCGCCCTCCCTACCGTTTATCTTTCTCTATGCTTGAGAGGATCTAGCTCTATTCGGGCAAACGGCAATTCCGAATCATGAGGCAAAGCACGCCCCTGGCCAAACTCCGTCAAAATCACCACCCAATACACCCATAAACGCTCCGACACCACTTAATACCAGCCAAAAATGCAACCGCTCCGCACCGACCCTTCGTTGACTCTTCAGAAACCAAAACAGATCAAACACTCGTCAACGAAAACCCGACATCCCCCCTCGTCGCCCCGCCAACACAGACCGCCTCAAAGCTCCCCTCAGGACATGCGGCGCGCGCAGCGGCCACACAACGCGTCCAAGGCTCCTTGGAGATATCAATCCCCGCGCCGCCGTCCCGCCCCAGCGCGCGGAGCGCGAACCGTGCCCTGCCGGACCGCCCCTCTGTCTCGGCCGGCGTGCCCGCGCATTTCCCTGCCGGTCCGGAGATGCCGCCGCAGATTGCCAGCGAGGCAGCGTACTCGTCGTAGAGGACGAAGTGACTTTGGTAGGAAAAATAAGGCTTAGCCTGCAGCATATAAAACATGGGGAAAGAGGAAGAGGCGGGGGTTAGTTACGTGGATGGGTCGAGACACTTGACGTCGCGGACTGTGTTGGGTTTGATTGGGGTCTGGCGGCGGAGGGAGACGGCTTCGTAGTAGGATTGCGGGACGGTGACACGGCGCTGCTGGTATTTTTCGTACCAGGGCTGCGGAGGGGCGGCGAGGGTGAGGGTGAGGATGGTTGTGAGGAGGAGGAGGAGGAAGGAAAGATGGTGGAACATGGTGAAACCGGGTCTGGCGTTGATAATGGAAAAGAAGAGATCCGTGAGATATGGACGGCAGTGGCGTCAAGCCTACCCGAACTGGTGTGAAGACAATGGATGTATGCACAAAGTCGAAGAGAATCGATCACAGACCGAGGGATGAATGGAGTGGTGATGCCAGCATCGGAGCACTGGCTATGGCCAAGGAAGATGGGAGAGCGAGTAGTCTGCTCTGCGCGAAGTGTAAAGGCGCAAGCCTTCAAGTAGATAAATGAGACGAACCGTGAGAGATGGGGGTTACCCCCCGGTTTTGAGCAGCATCTCGACTTAATCTTCACTAGGGAGTCCAGGGGAGACGACCGTTTGTTTCCACGACCCCTGCCAAGCCGGCCGCGGTCTTCAAGGTCAGCGGGGATCCGATCGACAGAGACCCGCAGATGCTTGTCACTGATGGACCATGGACGACCGACGACCATCAACTCGATACATGACGGAGCCGAGTTGCCCAAAGGAATGGATCATCTATCAATCTCCACCGGTGTGCTTACACCGATGGCTGGGGACACAAGAGTACCTCTGGAGTTCCGGCTATTATGCAGCCTATAGTGGGTCTATGTTTCAGAGTCTTCGATAGGGGAGCCTGGACATGGATGAAACAAGCAAGGGGAATGCGTTCTGCTCCTGATTGGCGGATTCGCGTCTAAGAGAAACGCAGAAGGTCCTGGGCGGCGCAAGAACTGCCGGGTTGGGAGGTCACCACCTACATACTTGAAGACGGTTAGAGATGGTTGGTGGAGCGTTGTAGGGGGCATCGAGAGCTCCGATGTCACCCGGATGAGTGAGACATTAACCTCAGGGGTCCAAGGCCACTCGCTCTCACATCCCCATCGAACACTGGTCATATGAACGGAGCTGACTGCTGATCGTAGTACGGAGTATGATCGACACCTTGGATGTCAAGACAGCCAGGACTGCACTTCTCTTGTTCTACAGGCTGTTTTCCAAGCTCCCGGTTGTTTCAAACGAATCATCAGCCTGATGATCCATCGGAAGTCCTGCACATAGCAACGAAGTGGTAGCTTATACACTGCTCTTGATGTGTAGAGCCGTTGGTAAACTTCCAGAGACCAGCCGTCAATAAACGGTGTTTGACAGCTCACAACTGCGCAGATGGTTGCTTCCGCTCGCCACACACACCGCAAACGCCGCAGTCACCGGCATTTCGGTACTGTGTTCCCTTGCAGGTCATGCTCTGGCATGCCCATGAATCCAACATGCCGTCCGATTCGAGAGTGTTGGCGCACATGGCGCAAGTGGTTGAACCAGGCTCGTTGGCGAATGTGCATGCTGGGCAAATGCTCAAACTCTGGACCGACGGCGCGTTTGTCGATATTGATGCGTCCGGCTCCGACTTGGTCGGCCTCTTGTCGGCGTTCGTCTCTGGCTTTTTTGGGGTCGTCATCGGTGCCAATCTACCTCGGCTTGCATCCGAGGCCAGTTTTGGTGGTGGAGGTGCCGGCTTCCTTATCCCGTAACTCTGCAACTCGCGCAGCTCGTCCTGGGCGTCCTGGTCATCCGGGTTCTCATCTTCGCAGACCTTGACCATTCCCCGGCCTTGGATATCGAGGAGCTTCTTGCCATCAATGTCAAAAGCGTCAGGACCTGATGTCAGGTCGTCTTCGTAGTCGTCGCCGCTCTCGGTCTCGGAGCCTTCGCCAACCTCCTCCTCCTTGACCTCCTCCTTTTTCTGCTGCTCGAACCGGGCCAATGCAGCGGCGGCCCGGAGTTCTCGCCCTCTCGCGCTCCCCGCCACACGCGGTTTAGACTTTACTGTCTTGCCCTTCTCTAACTTCTGCTTAATCTCGGCATCCCCGCCGAGGCTGACACCATTCGCGCCAAACTTCTTCAGAATCCGGCGCTCCTTTTGTTCTTTGTATGTCAACGTCCTTTTGGGCTTCCGTTTTCTTTCTCTGGAGCGATATGTCCCGCCGCAGAGATGCTCCGGAAGCGGTTCGCCGGGCGCAACAGTGTTCTTCTCGAACTCTCCGGTAGACAGCAACGCTCCGCGGCCCCAGAGGCCTTCACCGGTGAAGCCGCGTGACCATAGGTCCCTCATTTGCTCCGCATATCTGTTCCTCACAGCCCAGAAGGCACGCGAATGGTTCATCTGCTTGCAATGGGCCAGCCTGGATGAGATGTCAGTTTGCATCCCACGTCGTAGCATAGACGGAAACGAACTCGTGCATCATAACCATCTGCACATAGTGAAAGGGCAGCCAATGCCCGGAGCGGGCCTTGAGCACGAGCTGAATGACTTCGCCGGCATTGAAGTTGCGACCAACAAACTCCGGGTTGGGCTCGTACTCCTCCAGCGACATGACCGAGAGGTGGTGCTCTCGCATGATGGGCACTGCCATTAGTGTGAGTTAGCGAATTATAGCCTCGTTCCGGGAGGGGACCGCTAAGCTTACAGCACTGCGCTGCAATCCTCTCTAAGAAGTCCTGCGCGATGTTTTCATCCGGGCCCTTCAAGGACTTGATGAAGACGATGCGGTCGTTGGGCTGCGACCGTTTCGCGTTGAGCCGCTGGATGCCGAGGGGCATTTTTTTGGTGTTGGCGACTGGACTGGAGTTTTGGTATCTTAGGAACTCTGTTGAAATTGAGACGGCAAACTGGATGCAACAGAGATGCAGGTGCAAAAATGTTTGATGCAGATAAGGAGGGAAGATGGCGACGCCACGCGAGGAAATGGAATCGCGTTTGGGTACGCCTGCTCACGTGATACCCTTGACGATGAACATGCAGATGCCATTGGGAGGGACTATGAGTTTGTACGGTGCGGGAAAAAAAAAAAGAACAGAGAGGAAAAAGGGCAAAAGCCCACCGGCGTAGCCCTCTCCGCCGGTCGGAAAGAGATAGCCAGCTACGAAATTCTCGTGGGGGTTTATTTCGCGGTCCGAATGCCGGCAGGGCTTGGAGTCGAACTGGTGACTTCTCAGTTGTAGCCGAGAGGCTGACCACAAGCCGTGCTCGGTAACCACCGCTACCTGACCGTTAGGCCATTTTACGGTGGTCATTGGAGTTGGGAGATTTGGACTTCTACATATACTACTGGCTAGTGCTCCAGAGTATGGCTTTCATCTGAACACTTGCTGTCTGCCTAAGCCTGAACAGATGAGTGTGACAGTGCAGAACCGGGGCAACCACGTATCCTTCCAAGCCATCCCAACGCTCTACCTCCTCCGAGCACCACCTCCGGCGCCATGACCCGACTCGCCCCTATCTGCAAGCGACACAACCTCGCCAATGCCCGCCGCCTCCTGCTCCTCCTCGAGCAGCGTAATTTCCTCACGGCAGTCCCACCACTTCTCCTCGCTGAGCTCAAACGCTTTGGCCTTGATCTCCTTGATGCTAAGCGTCTCGGGCTGGATGCCCTTCCACCGAAGGCTCGTCATGAGAATCTCCTGCCACTCGTTGGACGTGCGTTGGAAGAAATCGCGGCGGGACTCAAAGGGCTGAGCAACATCGTTAGTACCGGAATCAATGCAATGCGGTAAAAGGAATGAGCTCACCCTTGGGTGCGGCAGTCCGTCATCCACCGTCGTAGCTGCCGACTCGGTCTCCTCTTCCTCCTCTGATGAGGCGGTAGACGGCGCAGTAGAGGCAGTATCCGCGTTCGAGACCTCGTCAGCCGCCTGCTTCTTCTTCCGCTTGCTCGGCGTGAACAGGTGCTCCTTGGGCGCCTCGTCCGCCATCTCAATGTCACCTTCCTCATCCTCCTCATCCTCGTCATACTCATACTCATCCTCATCCTCCTCGTCTTCGTCGTCGGATACCTGCGATCATTAGCAAGAGAGAAGACCGCCAAGTCAGAGACACTCACAATCCAATCCTCCACCGGCCGGCTGAAGATCTCCTTGCAACCGTCCATCTTCCCCAGATCGATGGCATACATATCGTCAAACGTAAACTCGCGATCCCCCTTTTCAAACGTGCCGCCATAGATGTACAGCACATCGTCCTGCACCGCAAGGAGCGCATTAAACCTGGGATGGGGGAACTCCATCCTAACCGGCATCTCCCTGACGGCCCTCTTCTCTTCCTCTTCCTCTTCTCGTCTCCTCCCCTCAACCTCCATCCAATTGACTGCATCCCCTTCATCGTCTTCCACCCCAGCCCCTGCCCTAAGCGCAGCCAACTGCCTCAACAACTCCTCCTCATTCTCCTTGGCCCTACCCCTCCGGCCACCGCCAACCCTTTCATTTCCCCCTCCACCACCACCACCACCACCAGCCTTTCCGCCCCTCGCCTTCCTCAACGCCAGCGGAAAGAACCGGTTCCGCTCCACATTCCACGCAAACAACCCGTTGAAAAACTCGCTGTCAATCCCCTCCTCGCTCTGCTCCACATCATGCACTCCGCCAAACAGGATCCCGCGTCCCTTGTGGAAGGCCATGGTCGCGCCGGCACGCACCGGGTTGGGCGCGTTGGCGGGCTTCTTGCGCTTCTCCCACCGGACCGTAGGCGGGGTTCCGGGCGGTGCTTCGGCGGGCGGGGGCGTGATGCGCAGGAAGAAGCAGTCTGTGTGGACCATGGGCCGGAGGACGTTTCGCTGTGAGCCGGAGCCGGAGCCGGAGCCGCCGCGGGTGGATTGTTGTTGTTGTTTGTTAGTCGGAGCGGTGGCTTTGACGCGCGAGTAGCCGCCGTAGAGGACGGCGCCTTGGTCGTGCGGGAGGAGCGTGAAGGAGGAGCGCGGCTCGGGTTTGAGTTGCGCCGGCGGGAGGGTTGGGCTGTGCCAGACAAAGTTGGTTGTATCGTATATCCAGAGGTCTGCCAGGTATTTGGTTTGGTTCGCCGTGTCTTGGAAGCCTCCGAAGAGGATGATATATTGCTTGAAGTAGGTCATGCGATGGCCGGACCGGGCGGGCGGGGTCTTGCCCTTAGGCTCGAGCCGGGTCCATTCGCGCGTGGTCGGGTCCAGTTTCCAGAAGTCGTTGTAGTGATAAAAGGTGCCCTGCTTAGGCGAGCTGAACTCGCCGCCGAAGAGGTAGACGGCGTTGCTCTGGTTACCGCCCCGGGTCCAGGCATGGCCACTACGGGGAAGGGGGGCGTTGGGAGAGGTGACGCAGCGCCACTCGTCACGGTCGATGTAGTAGATCATGAGGTCGTTGAAGAAAGTGGCCAGTGACCCGTTAAAGTACTCGCCGCCAAAGAGCAGCAGCTGGTTGCTGTTGGACGGGTGGGCCAGAAAGGTCGCCGCCGACCGGGCACGGGGAGGGGCATCGACCACGGTCTCGGTGATCTTCAAAAACTGCTCCTGCTGCTTTTTGTACTCCTCAAGCACGGCATCCAGGTCGACATCCTCGGCATCGCTGCCGTCAATCTTGGCGGCCTTGACCTTGGCCTTCTTCTCCCCCTTGGAGGCCTGCTTGGCCTTCTTCTCGGCCACTGTCCAACAAGGTCAGCCGTGTCATTCATATTAGGGAGGTGATTGTCAGAATTTGATTGGGAGAGTAGTTGAAGGGGTTTAAAGAGCATGATCACGTACGCTTGGCCTTTTTCGACTCGCTTTTCCCTTTCTTATCTTTTGCCATCTTACCGTATCGACCCGTGTTTCAGGGGCAGTTGTGTCAAGTCCAGTGGGGTTGCTTAAGGTTGCAGGATCTGATCGGGAGAACAAGGTGCGGAGAACTGTTGCACTTTAAAACATTTGTGAGGTTCGACCGTCTCCACTCACAAGCAGACAATGTATGCAAAGTGAAGAAACAAGCAAGTCACTTTCCAAAACAAACATACATGGTCTAACTCACTGGTTTGCGTATGGGATTGATACTAGCTTGAGGTCTCACGGGAACTTATCCCACACTTGGTTATGTTACTGCCCAAGCCGGCACGTTTTCCTCGTACATTTTCGACCACGTATCATACATCCTCCATCTTCATCATAGAGTATCAAGGCTCGTTTTAGCCTTCATCTGAACGTGTTCTCATCTAGTGTCACTCTTTAAAGATGGAAAGACCGGGAACCTGACCACAACATCAGAAGTTTGCTCCCGCCGTCCAGCTTCAATTTACGAACGGTATCCATTCTCCTTCAGCCAAGCCGCCACGTCTGCCCGGTCACGCTCGACCCATGAGATCTTAGACCGGATCGCGTCGAGACTCTGGGCCAGAGACTGGTCAAACCCGCTGGTGCTCTTGCCCTCGAAGAACTTCTCCACCTTAGCGAGCTGCTCCTTCTTGGTGAAGCTCGAGGTGAAGATGGTGACCATGGTGCCCAGCATCGACAGCGCCGGCGGCAGCTTCTTAATGAGCTCCTCCCAATTCTCCGTCATCCAGGCGAACAGAGCCTCGATTCCCTCGGGATGGCTGCGCAGGCCGCTGGTGGGCATGTAAATATCCTGGTCCTTGACCTCCCCGCTGAAGAGCAGGCCCAGGGTCTGCTTGATAAGCTCAGGGTCCTTGGCCCGCCCAAGGCAGCGCAGGGCCGTGTTGCGCTCATCGCTGTTGGTCGACGTCCGGTAAAAGTTGAGCACAGCATCGTACTATCTCCTGTTTAGCCGTGGACAATCGAACGCAGCGAGCACAAACATACCTCTTCCTTTCCGCCGTATTTCAGAGCCATGCTGAAGACGCTGCCTCTGATATTGGGGTGGATCGCTGACCTATCCCCTGCCATGAACTTTTTGAACATGTCCTTGGCCGCGTCAATGATAGTTTGGTCGCCGCTCAGGCCAGCGCTGCCGAACATCATACCCTTGAATTGCTGCAGGATGTGGCCGTCATTCTCCGAGAACTGCCAGCCCAACTCATGCGCCTTGGGGCTCACAAGATCGCGCAGGAACGCATCCAGGGCGTCACGGTCCGCCTTGTCCTCAAAGATCCATGCGCTCTGCACCGAAGAGACACGCGCGATGATCTCATTCCAGACGACAAACTCGGCCTCGGTGCTAAAGCCCCTAAGGAGGCTCAAAACACCCGAAGTCTTCTGGTAACCGGATGTGGCCAGAGCGCCAGCATCGGCAATCATGCCGGCCCTGTCCTCAACGCTCAACAAGCCCTGCCTCGCAGCCTCGCCCAGCTTCTTCAGCCGTTCCGGCGAGTAGGCAGTGCGGTACAAACCAGTGTGATTTGCGTTCAGCTTGAAGAATTCAGTGCTAGGCACCTCAAAAGTACCCTCCCGCTTATCCAGCGTCCGGGACTCGTCAATGCCGTCCTTGGTGCGAAGACCGAGGAAGACAGGGTAAATGACCTGGTCCTCCTCGGGCTTTGTGTCCCCGGTGCGGAGGAACCGGTTCTGCTTCAGATGGACAGTCTTGTCATCCTTCTCTGATACCGTCACCACAGGGAAACCAATGTGCTTGGTCCACACATCCATAACTTCCTCCACCTTTTTGCCGCTGGCTTCGGCAAGGGACGCCCACAGATCCCCGGTCTGAGTGTTGCCGTAGGCGTGCTTCTTGAGGTACCGCCTGACGCCCTCCAGGAAGGTCTCCTCGCCGAGGTAGGTCGAGATCATGCGCAGAACGCAGGAGCCCTTCGAGTAGGAGATTGCGTCAAAGATCTGGTTGATTTCGTCTGCCTTCTTCACAGGAACCTCGATCGGGTGGCTGCTCCGGAGCGAATCCAGAGCGAGAGCGCGCTGGAGGTTATCAACCACATATGACTCCCACACCTTCCACTCTGGATAGAAGATGTTGCAGGAGTACCACGAGGCCCACGTGGCGAAGCCCTCGTTGAGCCACAGGCCGTCCCACCAGTCCATTGTGACGAGGTTGCCAAACCACTGGTGAGCCAGCTCGTGCTGCACAACTTCGGCGACGCGCTCCTTGGTCGCCGCACCGCTGACCTTCTCATCCAGCAGCAAGTCGACTACTCGGTATGTGACCAGACCCCAGTTCTCCATAGCGCCCTGAGCGAAGTCGGGGATGGCAATCTGGTCCATCTTTGGGAGGGGAAACTCGATGCCGAAGACCTTCTCGTAGAACGCGAGCGTCTTGGCAGCCAAGTTCAGCGAGAACCGACCGTGCTCGATGTTCTGGCCGGGCGGCGCGTAGACGCGGACGGGGACCCGGAACTCGGTGGTTTCGATATAGTTCAACTCACCGACGACGAAGGCCACCAGATATGTCGACATGAGCGGGGACTTGTTGAAGGTGACTGCCTTCCTGGTGCTGCCGGTTTGCTCAGACTTGACCTCTGTCTCGGAAGCAACGTCCATGTTGCTCAGACAGGTCAAGTTCTTGTCGGCAATGAGCGTGACGGTAAACTCGGCCTTCAGGGAGGGCTCGTCGAAGCAGGGGAACGCGCGGCGGGCATCGGTAGGCTCCATCTGGGTGACGGCCAAGATGCCCTCGCTGCCATCGGGGTTCTTGTATGTCGAGCGGTAGAAGCCGGCCATCTTGTCGTTGAGCTGGCCAGTGAACTTGATTTCGAGCTGCGCCTTGCTGCCCCCGGGGACAGCATTGTCGAAGTCGAACTTGCTAACCTGCGTAGCCTCATTGTAGGATACAGTAGGTGACGAGCTGGATTCAGGTCAGCCAGACTGGGCCGGGTGGAGGACAAGTTGAAAGGGCAAGAGACTAACCTGACCGTGTTCCCACCGGCCGTGATCTTTGCATTGTGGATGTCGAGCTCGAGGGTGTGCAGCGAGATGGACTTCGAGTCCTCGGCCACGTCGAGGTCAATGACGACGGTGCCGTCAAAGGTCAGTTTGTTAAAGTCGGGCTCCAATGTGACATGGTAGTGTCGCGGGATGACGTTGGCGGGGAGAAGCTCCCGGGCCTGCACATTAACCCCACCTGCCATTTCGGCAGCAGCTTGTGTTCTGCACATGTTGTGGCGGCGGTACGAGCAGTAGCGAAGTGGTGAGGTGCGAAGACGGAGTGTCCGTGTATGTGAAAGCGGTCGATGGCGGTTCAGCAGAGAGGTAGGTGTTGTTGATGGCAAGACCGAGCAACTGCGGGGTGATGGGTTAGCTTCGCCCTAGCCCTGTGATAGCCAGACCAGGGGACCTCTGGGCGACCCAGGGGGGCTTCGTACCGTGCCAGTGATGTAAAATTCTTTGTCTGCAGCAATGTTCGAGTAACTGACCTCTGCGCTCCACGACTGACGGGAATAGAAAAACAAGAGCGAAACATGACGGAAGGAGGGGAAGAAGTATAAATGAGAGACAGCAGACAGGTTAATGTACAGTGGGCCCTATCGTACACGTTACGGACCTGCACTCCTCAGACGGAAGGAAGGCTTGCGCATTGTTTAAGATCAATAATCAATTGCGAGCTGGAGAACGGATCTGGCTGGAGACTGGACGGGCTGCGCCGACGAAATGCCGCAGACTCCCTGTCAAGCGGAACGAGCCGGTCCCACTGACTGCCACTTTTGGCAGGCGGTCAGAGCTGGAGCTTTCAAAATACGTATCTTATGGGCAAAGCGAGCTCACAGAGCGGGTTAGTCAATCACATATGGTGTGTTCTAGTCCGAAGCTCAAGTCTGTTTTGGGAAGTTGGTCTATTGCTGCAGCATTCTGCAGTTGGCTAACGGCAGTGGGAAGGTATCTGGAAGATATCCATATGGATGGATATAAGAAACAAACCTAGAAGGTATCCAACTTCCTTGCCTCATGTAATTTACCGCGCATCTTACTGTGTAATCAGTTACGTCGCTTACCGTTACTCATTAATCTCTTTAATGTTCAGACTGACCCATTTTTTTGCCTTGAACAGAATCATGGCGGCCTTGAGAACTTAGCTCCCGTCTCACGTCGATAAACGCATTGGACAATCTAGGTGACTAACAGAAGTTCGATTTGAAGCTCCGGAGCGATTCTCATAGTCATGGACCGCGACTCGATCTGGACTTGGGAGCTCGGACGTCCATTGGGGCAACGATCCGGTCTTTGGTGGGTCTCTTTCGAGCTGAGATCCACTTACTGGCGGGGTGGAAGCTTGACCACAATGGAGGGGTAGATGGAGGGGCAGTGGTTGACACAAGGTTGGGAAGGCTCTAGTTTCAATCATATTCAGAAGCTGGCGATGGAGAAAGACAATGTCCGTCTCATTGATTGGGCATGTTTCCATTGGGACACACCGCTTCTTACCAATGAAGGTCGGCCTCAACCATGTCCGGACACAACTTAATGAGCTCTTACAGGGAGCTCCGACAACGGATCGAGACCCCCGCGCTGGCCCTAGGTAATTCGCGCCCTGAGACAAAACAGCCTTTGCTGCTCCCATGCTGTTGATGACGGAAAAAGCGCATCTGTGCTGCAACTTAACGATTGGGTGAAGTATTAGAGCAGGGATGTGGTGTGTATCGTAAACGACACCGTGGGAGCACTTCTTCCCTGCGATTTGTTGAGCTGAGATTTCCAATCTTGCTGTATGACACGAGCAGCTTCCTTCCTCCTCAAATCGGTCCCCGCCCCACCCGTCCAGAAAACAAATCTGCCCCTCCTTCTTCAACCATCTTGAGCGAGAGCTTTTCCAGCACCATACTTTCTTATTCTCTTCTCTTCTCCTCCAGCAACGCCTTCCTCCCCAGCACGAACAACCAGCTCAGCTCAATCACAGGTATGTGCCGGCCTATAGCCAAGCTCCCCTTCTTCTATTTTTTGTTCTCCTTTTTATTGTCCAACCTCACGCCTACAACGCCTTTGGGACAACTCTGGTCCAATTTGGCGACTTCGGGCGACTGTGGACGTGGGGGATATCCTACCGTTATCAGACAACCGAGTGAATCCCCCTCGCAAAGTGCCACGGATGGGCAAACGCTTAGCTGCGCTCCTCGATTCTCTCGGCCCAAACCTCGTGGTTCCAGAATATGATTCAGGAGCTGCCACTCAAGGCTTTTTTCAAATTCTTCGTAAACGGCTCCAGCTCACTGACACACAAAAGCAAGAAGGATTCACAATGACCATCTCCAAGATCCACGCTCGCTACGTCTACGACTCGCGCGGTAACCCCACCGTTGAGGTCGACGTCGTTACCGAGCTTGGCCTGCACCGCGCCATTGTCCCCTCGGGCGCTTCCACCGGTTGGTTGAACAAACACCACCTTGCTGGCAGCCCGGACTCAATTCTGACCGCGTTCGTGCCACAGGCCAGCACGAGGCTTGCGAGCTCCGCGACGGTGACAAGACCAAGTGGGCCGGCAAGGGCGTCCTCCAGGCCGTAAAGAACGTCAATGAGGTCATCGCTCCCGCAATCATCAAGGCGAACATCGATGTCAAGGATCAGACCAAGGTCGACAAGTTTCTGATCGACCTCGATGGCACTCCCAACAAGACCAAGCTCGGCGCCAACGCCATTCTCGGTGTGAGCTTGGCCATCGCCAAGGCCGGCGCTGCCGAGAAGGGCGTGCCTCTCTATGCCCACATCTCGGACCTTGCTGGCACCAAGAAGCCCTATGTCCTCCCTGTTCCTTTCATGAATGTCCTGAACGGCGGGTGGGTTGGATGGCCCTTTTCAGAGTCATTTGCCGCTTGCTAACCATCCTCGGACAGTTCCCACGCTGGCGGTCGCCTGGCTTTCCAGGAGTTCATGATCGTCCCCTCTGCCGCTCCTTCGTTCTCCGAGGCCATGCGCCAGGGCGCTGAGGTGTACCAGAAGTTGAAGAGCCTGGCCAAGAAGAAGTACGGCCAGTCGGCTGGCAACGTCGGTGACGAGGGTGGTGTTGCCCCCGATATCCAGACTCCCAAGGAGGCGCTCGACCTGATCATGGAGGCCATCGAGCAGGCCGGCTACAAGGACCAGATGAAGATTGCCATGGACGTGGCCTCCAGCGAGTTCTACAAGACCGACGCCAAGAAGTACGACCTTGACTTCAAGAACCCCGACAGCGACCCGAGCAAGTGGCTCACGTACGAGGAGCTTGCCAACCTGTACGGCGAGCTCTGCAAGACCTACCCAATTGTCAGCATCGAGGACCCCTTCGCTGAGGACGACTGGGAGGCCTGGAGCTACTTCTACAAGACCCAGGACATCCAGATTGTTGGTGACGACCTGACGGTCACCAACCCCCTGCGGATCAAGCAGGCGATTGAGCTTAAGGCGGCCAACGCTCTGCTTCTCAAAGTCAACCAGATCGGCACTCTCACCGAGTCGATTCAGGCTGCTAAGGATTCGTATGCTGACGGCTGGGGTGTCATGGTGTCCCACCGCTCTGGCGAGACCGAGGATGTCACCATCTCGGACGTTGTCGTCGGCATTCGCGCCGGCCAGATCAAGACTGGCGCCCCGTGCCGGTCCGAGCGTCTTGCGAAGCTCAACCAAATCCTCCGCATTGAGGAGGAGCTCGGCGAGAACGCCATTTATGCCGGCGAGAATTTCCGCAAGGCGGTTAACCTCTAAGATGGGCGCATGTCGAGACCCACTAGGAGGGAACCGGAAGCCGGACAGCAGATTTCGGCAGCTGATATGGTGACGATGTTCACCTTGGATGAAAACGACCTCGGACCGGTTCATGAAAAGCGAGACAATGAAAGATTAGAAACGAGGAAATACCAGGCCATTGCAGCCAAGATGCCAACATGACCAAGACTGTTGCACTGTTCTGTTGATGCGATGTCCCTCCGTACCTCATCCTCTCTGTGTCCGGCGTTGTGGGGAAGATTGCCGTTCTGTAAAAATGGCAAAGTCTCCGGTAGTTTGGGTATTAGGAGGAACAGCAGTCCCAGTTGAACTTTCTGAGCTGGCCATGATATTGATTGAGACCGTCCATTGTGCTGTGTTCACAGAAATGGCCGTCTCCCTGCCAGGAGGTGCCAAGACTACGGCAGGTGGTACCAGCTGGAGGCCGTTGCTACAGTGACTGCACGATTTATTTGGTAAACCAACAAAAACAGGCCAAGATGGGTTTTAATTTGTCGCGCCATGCGGCCCCTCCGAAAGTTAATCGCACGCAGTGTTTCTCACCCCTCCCGACAGCATCAGGTAAGGTAGGTTAAGGATCGAGTGTCACCACAACGGCCCTACTTTCTCTCGCTTTCTGTCAAAAATCTGTGTCGGAGCCCTTTGTGGGAATCACATCGCCTCAAACGATCCGCTGCCTGGACGGGCATCTGCGCGATGGCGCCCAACGACCCCGTCAACTTCGATATCATCGAGGATCACAAAGAGAATATTCAGGCTCTTCCGAGCGGCCGCTCAGCTAGGAAACTGGCCGAACTGTTCTCCCCATCACCGCTACAACCCCAGTCTATACCGACGCCTTTGGACACCAAGGACGTCAACGACAGCATTCGCGCCGAGTTCGAGGAGGAATTGGCCGCCATCTCCGAGTCGGACGACCCGCTCGATATCTATGATCGCTATGTCCGTTGGACATTTGACGCGTATCCCTCGGCCCAGGCCACCCCACAGTCCCAGCTGCACACACTGCTCGAGCGCGCAACCAAGGCGTTCGTGAACTCGGCCCAATACAAGAACGATCCTCGTTACCTCAAGCTGTGGCTACAGTACATCAACTTCTTCTCGGATGCGCCTCGCGAAGCGTTCGTCTTCCTGTCGCGGCATTCGATTGGCGAGACCCTCGCCCTGTTTTACGAGGAGTATGCTGCTTGGCTCGAGAGTGCTGGGAGATGGGCGCAGGCGGAAGAGGTGTACAAGCTGGGAATCGAGCGGGAGGCGCGGCCCACTGCGCGGTTGCTGCGCAAGTTTGGCGAGTTTGAGCAACGACGGGCGCATCAGACGGATGCGGACGGTCCCACGTCGCCAGCCTTGCCGGTGGCGCGCCCGGCTCTCGCCGCCAAGGTCGACCCGTTTGCTGCCGCCGTGCCCCGCGACCCTCAGGCTCCGACGCAACCTGCGGGATTGGGTGTGCAGTCGTCCAAGCCTAGACGATCCAAGCTGACGATTTTCTCTGACGCGGACGCCGAAGTTGCGGCGCCAGCCATGTCGTCGCGGGGTGAAGGATCTAAGGGATGGGACACCATCGGGTCCCTAGCAGACCGGAAGAAGGAGAACGTCATGGAACCTAAGCCTTGGGCTGGAGAGACGCTAAAGGCAGGGGGAAAGAAGAGCACCGGTCCAAAGCTAGCTGTATTCAGGGATCCCGTAAGTCACTTTCCAATCTGCCCGACACAACCAGATGTTGATCAATATAGGACTAATGTGTGGTGGTCTGGGGCATCATGTAATTCAGTCTCTATCCAATCAGCTATCACAATCGCACATCCCAATCCATCATAACAAGTCTCAAATCACAGTGAACCCTGCCAACGGCAAGCGAGAGCGCGTCTTTGTCAACCTTCGGGCAATCTACCCGACTCCTGACGAACCTGGTACCGAGCTAAGCTTTGAGGAGATTTGGGCAGCGAACCGCGGCTGGCTCAGTCAGGATTGGGAAGACGAAGAGATCCCTTCCTTCGCAGACGAGAACTGCCCCCCGGACGTGGCCACTTTGGCACACAGCGTCTCTGAGAAACTCGTGATCCACCATGTTATCAGACTCGACGAGAATGGCGCCCCTATCTTCCCAAAGGAGACGAAACCTAAAAAGAAGAAGGTTATCGAGATCAATGAAACGCAAATCAGTAAGCAAGTCATTCTCGCCCGGTATGAATTGTGTCTGACACCCCTCCAGTCAAAGCCAAGCTTGATTCGCCCTCCGGGCCGAAGATCAAGAAGAAGAGGCGGTCGACTGCTGAACCAACCATGACTCTGCATACCAAGGCAGCAACTGACGATATCTATGACATCTTCAACGCACCTCTCCCACCGGGCGGCCAACCTTCAGGCGTCAGCGACGATGAACGCGAATACGAGTCAGATGACTACACATGCGGTGGCGAGAGCACTGTGAACACAACAACCATCCCGACGAGCGATGCAGGCGATGAGGAGGAGGCAGAGGAAGTCGATGAGGCCTCAGATGCGAAAAGCGTCACCAGTGAATGGTCGGAGTTCTCAATCCACAGGCATGTGCCCGACCTCGAGGGAGATGTTGAGGACCGAAACGGAACCCAGGTGTCTGATCTAATCGACATGGGCGAAGAGTTCACGGAGTCGCCAGGAAATCACCAGGCTGAAGAAGAGGACGGCGTCATAGACCTCCCTAGGACGAGGACCACGTTTGTGCCGATACCTCCAGAGGACTACATCCCGGTACGGAGGCCATATAGGGATCCTGCCGAGGTAGCTAACAACCGCCTCCCCTTTATGACCCCTATCACGGAGAGGACGGAAATGTCGCTCGACATGACCTCCGATCAGAGCAAGTATGGCAAAACACCGTCTAGGAGACGGAATGAGGACATGGTCAACGAAGATGAGGATGAGGGTGAGGACGAAGAACAGAACCTACAGCCGTCGAGCAGTCCGCTGCGTGACGTGATAGAAGAAGGGAGCCCCAAGGCGAGGGTTGCTCAACCCCTTCTCCCGAAGACGAAGCCAGTATCAGCAGGCAAACCGTTTGCCCCGAAAGTACTAACCCCCAAGGGGCCCATCATCAAGGAGATGCAGTGCAACCCGGTCGATGACAGCGTACGATCGGAGATTTTGGCCAACATTCACCCTCCGCTCAGCTCATACGAGGGCTTCTTCGACCATCGGGGCGAACGCTATGAGAAGGGGCCTGAAATCCGCAAGTATGCCAAGTTTGCAGGCAAAGGAAGCAGGAGCAGCACCGACAAGACGGGCAACCTGGGTTCCCCAGTGGTGCTCCTGTTCCCGGGAACAAAGTCCGAATACACCATCAGAAAAGAGCTTGGCGCTGGTGCCTTTGCCCCGGTGTACCTGGTTGAGAACTCCTGCCCTGACGGCCCCTTAACCGGCGATGAAGGCAGTAACGACGAGAATGGTTCCATCGCCATGATGGGCCGCGGTGCCTTTGCCAGCACGCACAACCGTCGCTACCAGCGCGAGGCTCTGAAGATGGAAGACCCCCCGACACCGTGGGAGTTTTACATGATGCGTCTGGCGCACTCCCGCCTCGGCCCACAACACCGCGCAACCGCCTCGGTATCTCCCGCCCTCGAGATGCACCTCTACCAAGACGAAGGCTTTCTCCTCCTGCCCTTCTACCCGCACGGCACCCTCCTCGACGTGGTCAACCTCTTCCGCAGCGAAGCCTCGGGGGTAATGGACGAGCAGCTAGCCATGTTCTTCTCGATTGAGCTCCTCCGCACCGTCGAGGCGCTGCACGCCAAGCAGATCATGCACGGCGACATCAAGGCTGACAACTGCCTGTTGCGACTTGAGCACCTCAACAACAGCAGCAACACCAACCACAGCCAAGACCCGCAACAACAGCTCGTCAGCCAGTGGCGGCCCGACGGATCCGGCGGCTGGGCCGCCCGCGGCGTCACGCTCATCGATTTCGGCCGGGGTATCGACATGCGCGCGTTCGCGCCGCACGTGCAGTTCGTCGCCGATTGGAAGACGTCGGCGCAGGACTGCGCCGAGATGCGTGAGGGCCGGCCCTGGACCTGGCAGATCGACTATCATGGGTTGGCCGGCACGCTGCACGTGCTGCTGTTTGGCAAGTACATTGAGACGGTGCGGTGCGACGCGGGCGGGTTGGGGACCTCGCGGAGGTACCGGATCCGGGAGAGCCTGAAGCGGTATTGGCAGACGGAGATTTGGGGGGAGTGTTTTGATTTGCTGCTGAACCCGGGAGCGTTTGCTGTCCAGCATGAGGAGGGCGGGAGGATGCCCTGTTTGAAAGGGATGAGGGCGGTTAGAGAGAAGATGGAGCGATGGTTGGAGGCGAATTGTGAGAGGGGGATTGGGTTGAAGGGGTTGATGGGGAAGGTGGAGGCTTGGGCGAAAGGGAGGAAGTAGATTTGTGTCTGGATCGGCTTAGTTTGTTTTTATGGTTGTTTTTAAGTTTGTTTAGATGATGATATCCTTTTGGCGGAGGGACCAGGACGAACATGACGCGCTGGAACTGGTAACTATAGTTGGGTATCTTTATACTGCGTTTTCTTGAGACTCGGTTGTTTTCCCAACTCTTGCTCCATCCTGAAGAGCAGTTGTACAGGTTTTCCTGGCCCAACACATCCAATCCGTACAAACGATCATGTTACAATGGCATTTTTACAAACGAGTCCATTACCCCTAATCGCTGTCCCCGCAAGAGTCACACGAATCCTCGTCCTTCTTCTTCCTTTTCCCTTTTGCCTTCTTCGTCCCCTTCTTGGCATCCTTTTCCGCCTTTTTGTCGACCTGATCCTGGATCTTCTGCCTCTCGGAGGCGCCCTTGGCCTGCAGCGCCTCTGCTTTCTCCTTGAACTCGGCGCTCTCAACATCCATCCCGATCAGGCTTTCAAGTAGCTTGATCTCGTCCGCCCAGATCTGCTTGTTCTCCACCATCTTGCCATCCGGCCCCTTCTCCTCGATCGGCGTCTCGAGCACCATTGGGAGCCCCTGCAATGGCTCGTGGCTATCAACACTGTTAGCTGTGAATTTCCTATCTCGGAAATGTGTGGACGGGGGTTTTGGGAACAATACGCTGTTTCGGGAGCAGAATGGATCCTGAAACAGCCATACAGGGGTAAAAACGATTCACCAAGAAAGAAAATTGTTGCCTACTTCATGATGTTGTGAAACGCTTTCAGGCCCAAGCAGCCTGTGCCGATGTTGGCATGCAAGTCCCGGTGCGAGCCAAACGGCGCCTTGCTGTCGTTCAGGTGGAACGCGCGTAGATATTTGATCCCCACGACCCTCTCGAACTCGGCCATGGTGTCGGCGAACGCCTGGGGCGTCCGCAGGTCGTACCCGGCGGCAAACGCGTGGCACGTGTCGAGGCACACGCCCACGCGCGACTTGTCTTCCACCAGGGCGATGATGTCGCGCAGCTCTTCGAAGCGGGAGCCGACGACGTTGCCGCTGCCGCACATGTTCTCGAGCAGCGTCACGACCGACGAGGTGGCCCGGTGCGCCTTGTTCAGCTGGGCGGCGATGCGCGCGCACGCCGACTCCATGGCCGCGCCGCCGGTCGAGCCGGGGTGGAAGTTGTAGAGGCGGATGCCCAGCGCCTCGCACCGCTGCAGGTCGTCGACGAAGCTGTCGTAGGCTTGGGTCGCTTTGGCGGCGTCGGCCTGGGCGAGGTTGACGAGGTACGAGCCGTGCGGGAGAATGTGTTTGTGGGAATCGTAGTTGTGCTGTTTGAGCATGGCATGGAATTGAGTCTTGGCTTCGTCGGCGAGGGGTGGGCTAGCCCATTTGCGCTGTGACTTGAGGAAGAGAGCAAACGCATTGGCGCCGATGTGGGTAGCGTTTTGAATGGTGTTCTGAACCCCGCCGGCGCCGGAGACGTGTGCGCCAATGTACATTGCCCTCTTGAGCGAGGAGATGGCTGTCCGGGCAGAGAGTGGCATGGTATCTCCGGCGTCCTTCTTCGAGGCGGTTTTCCGTTTCTTGGCGGTGGGTTTCTTGGTTTCGCCTGCTGCTTCTTCACCGTCCTCGGCCGGGTTGATGTTTTCAGTATGTTCGTCGCCGTCAGGCTGAGATTTGCGCTTCGAGGTTTTCCTCCTGGTTACTTCAATCTTGGATTCGACCACCTCTGCCGACTCGCTGCCGTTGACCTTGACCGAAGCTGCCGAAACGGCTTCCCGCTCTACCAGAGCGATTGACGCGGCTGCTGATGTTCTAGCCTGCGCTGACTTCCGAGTTGATTGCCGGACCATTTTGACGGGGTCAGTTGTCATTGAGTCAACCCGGCATTGGTTTTGTTTCGAATTGAATAGCTTCGCTGGCAGGTCAAGCGGATTGATTGTGCAGAAGCTCTCGCGGACCTGAATCGTGTTGAGGCGCGTCGCGACATCACGTGTGTGTGGGGGGGGAAGGGGCGAAGAGCGGTCTCTCAATCACCAGCAAACCTCCCCAACAAGCTACAGGCATCTTCTACCATTGAGCACTGGTGTGGTCTCAAGAAGGGCCTTACTGCTCCATTTAGCGTATCCTTTATTAACAGGGAATAATACAGATCAGGGGGCACATAGGGGGCCAGGACTGACCTGCCTCTCGTCATTCGAACAGTCGGATTGTCATTCAAAGAAGCTCTTTGCCATGTCAGTTCGGTTGCGGCTTACGATCAACTGAGTGAGTTGGCCATGCTGATGAGCTTACGCATGTGTTGATACATGGCACATTGGCACCCAGGCAGCCGCCAAAGAGCTATCTACGTATCCGACAACTTGCCCGTGGCCTGGTTGCCATTCCAAGAACTGACACCGAGCATCTCCACATGTTCGGTTTTATCACGTTGTATTCGGCTCCATTTCCTCGGACCGAGTCCGGCTGTTAATTGTTCGACACCGCTTCCAGCCTCTCATGCATAAAAGGCAATGTGTGTTCTCGCCAAAATACTCGCAGAGCAAGACATAAAAGAACAACAATATCGAGCCAAGTGAGGTCGGTTCCTCTGTCCGGGGTTACGGAGTTTGGATAAAGCTTACTGTCTTCCGCTGACCCTTGTTCATTCCACTCGACGCATGGGTGGATTCTCCAATGGCAGACCCGAGGTGGGATGGAGGTGCTATTTTTGGCTGCAGGGCTCAATCATCAACGAAGCAACACTGGAGACTTGTGCATTTGGGGGCGACGGGATTTCTTGACGTTGCAGTTCCTGCAAGCAGCCAAGGCAACAAAGATAGGCCGGCGGCTCTTTCTTTTGACATGCAACTGCTCGCCCACCAGGTTTGTGTGTACATCCGTAGTGGCTATGGCTCGACCTATCTGCTGGACGCGGACACCAGGTCCTGGCATTGGTGGCAACCGGCTGATGAGTGGACATGACATTCCAGAACAAACACGGACCACTCCCTACGGAGGCATGCTCGTTGGGAACAGCGAACATGCCAAGTTCAGGCGGTATTGGAGCATACCGCCGCGCAATGCACAGCGATCACTTTTCCGTTCCTTGCCTAATCACCGCGGGTTGCATTGTCAAGTCGCGACGAGTAAAGTTAAATTTGTACTCGATGGGCATGTCGGGCGGTCCGGGGTCATTCAAAGCAATTGTGGTTGGCGCTGCGGTGGCTTGAAAAGGCTTGGCGCCTCATGCCACAGACTTCCTGGAAGACCACCCACGCCGTCAACCTGCTGCCACCAACAAACCCGCGCCAACCCAGAGGGTGGCATCACAGATTCCCTCTCTTACTGTGTAGGAGCCCCCTGCATCTCGAGCCTTTTTCACACAACTTCTGTCACGGCCTTACTTACCATCTGCCGCCCTGCCGTTGTACTGTGACCTACCTACTGCTGTGACACTCTGCATTTTCCTTCCTGCGCCAACTGACAGCGCCGACTTGGGCGCCAAACGACCCCCCTTGGATCCCTCGAACGACTAATTCTCCCCTGTGCTCTCGTTCGCCGATCCGATCTTGTGACACCAGACCCTCCCCGATGGCGAGCCATTACGCCGGCCCTTAATACTCTGGCCGGACGAACGGCTGTCGTGATCGCATTCGATTCGGCCCCCGATCTGTCGTCGACAATGCCCGCCGCCGACGCTGTTGCCGACGCCGGCGAGGGCAGGCGTCCCTCCATCGAGAAGAAGCGCATCGTTGTTTCCGACACTGCCAGCGGTCTCGACGACAAGAAGCCACCGGCCTTCCAGCGCCTCCCCGACGAGATCATCCAACAGTATGCGCCATCTCCATTCTCTCATGTCCTGCCATTCTCGCTCCTTCAGGATTGATGTCTCTTAATCGTCCATGTACTCATCCAACATGGCAGAATACTGCAAGCGACAGACGCCAATGGCTTCGCATCCCTAGCTCTGCTCAACACCAAATGGAGGAGCGTCGCCCAGCAAGCACATCTCTACGCTCACCACCTCGCGAGCTGTCCGTCGTATGCCATGAGCCATAATACGCCTCTGCAGGCCGATAGCGACGATGATCTGCCCAGGCTCCGCCGCCTGTTCGCGAAGGAGGTCAAGCGCAACCTGTTCGAGGCATATCTGCGCCCACATCGGACCGTCATCAAGGTCATCTCGAATTCAATCAGCTCCTCGTCGTGTCCGGGCGGCGAAGGCATTCAGTTTAGCCCCTCGCCAAAGGGTCATCATATGTTGGCCTACAACTCGTCTAGGATACATGTCATCGACCTTCGGGATCCCGAGATCGCGGTCAAGAGAGAGTTCAAGATACTAAGGCGTCCTGCTGCAACATGCATCAATGACGAAGGCTCCATGCTTGCTGTTTTGCTGACCGAGATGGAGGTGGATGTCTACGACCTTACCCAGACGCCGCCGAAACGAACCCAGTCCCTGATTCTGGACCACAGCCCGCGTGCTATTGCCCTCTCACCCTGTGGTTCCGTCCTGGCCGCCGCCTACGAAGGCGGCATCGAGGTCACTTCGCTGAAGCCAGGCGCGGTTGCTGCCGAAAGAAGAGCAGTCAAGTGCGATGGCGTGGATGCCCTGACTTTCTCCTTTGATGGGACGCAGATTCTTGGGACGACGGTGCAGTCATCGCAACCGAATACCGTCATATTAACTGCCCCTTACTACGACCCTGGAAGTCACATGGCTGATGATAACATCAGCGCCCTTTGGACAACATCCATTCTCTTTCCGAACACCAGCCGCGACTGCAGCCATGCTGTCCTGATACAGAATGGCAAATACGATGAAGCGGCCTGGGCATTTACCTACGATAGGAGCTTCGAGACGTTCCGCGCAGTGCGCATCGACGATTTGCGGAATGGCACGACTTACTTCACTGGGCCGGTGCCCAGCCCGAACTCGCAAGCCAGACTCCTGCCCTGCACGCTTCCCGCCGCCTCCTTTCACGGCCTGCTTGTCTCGGCAGGCTTCCAGGGAAACGAGATCTGGCTCTATGGCATACCCGAGGATCTCGATGCATTGCCGGAAAGCACAAGCGCAGGCATCGATAACGGATCAAACGCCAACGGACTTTCGCGCCGAAATAGTGGTCCTTCCGTCCGTTCGAGTGCCAGGATTCAGGAGAATAGCGATTCCGTGAGGGTCCCTCAGTGGCAAATCCTCTGCGACAAGCTCCGGAACACCTTTGTTTCTGGCATCAAGATCGGCGAACTGGAAGGCGTCAACATGGTCAAATTTGTGGCAGATTTTGCAAACTCGTGCATGAAGGAGCGATTGGTCGTCGCTGCCCGGGGCGTAACACCAAATGTCTCTGTGGTCGACGAGGAGGGAATCGATTTTGTTGACGGCGGCCGTATCACCATCATGGATTTCGATTACAGCCTCAGGGACGGCACCGTTCGGGAGTGCACGATCGAAGTGGGGAATAAGGAGGAACCGGAGATGCTCGAAGAAGAGCACCGTGACATGGCCACAGAGGTTGCCATCGTTCGTCGACGGACTGTTGCGCAAAAGATGGGGGGCCGCAGCGCTGCTGTCATGCGCAGTATGACAAGTGCGAGCCGGCCCCCCGTGCTACCGACTCAGCCTCCCACTCAGGCCGAAGGCGACGAGGACGACCCTCTTGTGCCTCGCCGAATAGGTGCTCCCCCTCCCTCCAGGAGTGTCCAGCAAACGGCAGCAAGCGAGGACATCGAGACTCAATCCATCGAAGAGCAAGAAGCCCTGGATGCACCGTACGCTCACGCAAGCCCACGCTCCGGAACGACGCTCCGTCGCGCGGCTACCGCGGCTGCCAACACTCGCCGCCTACATCCTTCGGCAGCCGCCGCTGGACACATCGTGTACCGAAGAGCGGACGGCCGTGCCGAGCATCCCCACGAGAGCGACGCCGACAATTGGGTTCCCCCACCGCCTCCATATCAGAAAGAAGATCCTGGTGATTTGCCTTCGTTCCTGCGCCATACCGCTATCCTTCCTCTTGCCGGTTCAACCACTCAGCCGGCTGAAGGGCAATCGGAGCAATCTATGGACAGAAAAGCCTTACGGAACTCGTCGGCATCCTTGCACCAGCAGAATCCTCGTTTTCACCCCGTACCGTCGGCCAACCGATACTCTTCGCCCGTTCCGCCCGTCCCACCGCTTCCAACGCTCTTGGGCATTCCGCCAGTCCCGCCCGTCCCGGCTCTCCCTCCGGGTGTAGCGGTGCCTCCTGTCCCGCCCCTGCCCCATACTCACTCTCATGGGCGCGGCGGGAGCTCAGAGGCTCCGTCATCTGGTGAGGATATTGCGCGACCAACTTCAAGGAACTCGCGCTATCTCGATGGGGAAAATATATACGACGTTTCACCGCCCGATTCGCCCTCCATGCCACCACTGGGGCGACAGGTCTCGCATGAGCCCAGCGACATGCCGGCAGTGAGCAAACCCGAGCCAAACGCTCAAGGGAACGTGGTGCCGCCTGAGACACTTGGGCCAACTGCAGACGGCGTTCCATCTGCGCCACAATCCCGGACTGCTTTTGTATCTGTAGACGGCCGCAAGTCGACGACCGTTGATTCGCAAGTCCAGGCCCAGGTAACCAGCGGCCTCAAACCGCCCACAAACGATGCATCCGCTACCGGGGAGCCCTCTGTAAGGCGTCTGTCTGTGTCCCGAACGTGGCCGATACAGCCTCTGCCCATCAATACCAATAATACTGCAGCTGGATACCCGTATTCGGCACCTCCAGTTAATGGCAGCGAAGCCCTCGCCCAGTCCTTCCCTTCCTTCACAAGAGGCGAGCAGATGCCGAGTTTCAACAATCGGAACTCCGCATCACGACCCCTGTCAGGAAGCTTCCAGCTCCCACGACTACCAGCCGATATCCCCTTCGACAACGAGGCCACCTGGCGCCGGACATCATACCAGCGCCCAGTCTCGCAACAACAGCATTACTCTTTCCCGCGGCAGCGACCGCGGTCCCCTCTCGCCCAGTTCCACGCCCGCTCCACCATCCACGAACCGCAGCCCCGCCGACCGCACGACATGACCCCCGCCCTGCCGGCCGAAGACATGCCGCTCATCATCAGCACACCCAAGGGTGTGTCGGGCGCCTTCGACCCGCCGGACCGACACCCGTCAGAACGCCGCGCCGAAACACCCATCCTCGCTCCCGTTCCGCGCCACCCGCGCCAGCAAAATCAGGCCGCCATCCTCCGCCCCGCCCAGGACCAACAACAAGAACAACAACAACAGCGCTTCGGCCCACTCTATCCCGCCACCGTGCCCGCGCAAGTCCACAACAACAGCGGTGGCTTGTTACCCGTCCCACCGCCACACCCACCAGCACCAGGCTCGAGATTGAATCCAAGCCCGTCGTCGACGAATCTCTCGCGGCGCGTGCCGAACTTGCTGAGCAGGAAACAGAGCCGCGCCGAGCGGTCGGCGGCGAAGAATGTTGCGGATGCCAAGCGCAGGGGGTGGACGGGGCGGTCGACTTCGACGAGGGGGTCCAAGCGGGGGCGCGGCGGGAAGAAGAAGAAGAAGAACAAGGAGAGGGAGTTTGACGTCGCGAGCAGTGCTGCGTGGACCGATGTCACGGTTACGGCTTATAGTGTGCGGTCGGCTTTTGGTGGTGGTGGCGGAGGGGGAGGACGCCCGGGCGGTGGGGTTGGGATGGGGACTGGGATGGGAGAGAGGGAGGAGAAGAAGAGGTGTGTTGTTATGTAAGGGAGACTGGGATTTGCGAGAGGAAGAGGGGGATAATGTTGGATGGGCGATGAGCGGTTGGATCTCATAGGTTTCTTCTCCCCTTTGTCGGTTGTGGTCGGGGCATACCTGCAAAGGATGGTTTCTATATGCTTGGGTGTTTGATCTGACGCAATATCTATGGGAACAATTAGCGTGCCAGAAGCGTATATGTCTTGGTTACCGTGAGGGCTCACATGTTTTCAATATTGGGTTTCTCATTGGAAGGTAGACTTGGGTAGCTGTCGCTCTATGAACAGATGAATCAACAAAGCATATATTGATTCCTCTCTGGGTCTTTCGTTCCTTTCGCCTGCTGCATTGTGGTACGGATTTATGTTGAGACAGGCAGTCGCATCTGTCGATTTGGTTTATTCAAAACCAAATCCAGTCACGCCATCAACTCGAATTTCTTTCCTTCCTCAGGTCTCAAGCAACTCTCAACTCGCTCACCTTCATTTATCTCCCAGCTTCAAACAAGAACCAGCACCGCTACCTCACATTTCACCGTCACAATTATCGAGCTCCAACGTACCATTTTAGCGAGAAGAATAGCTCCGCTGCTCAAGACCTTAGCCAGTTGCTCAGCGTCTGTCGTCCCAATTCGAAAATCGCCTCTGAACCAACAACGAACGAACCAATTACCATATGGATCATGTAAGAGTTTGCCTAGCACATTCTCTTCTGAATCATTTCTCGGCACTAAAAAGAATGATTCTAGTCACGCGCCGTTCCCATCCTGCTCTCCTACAACCCGCCTATCGTGCAGAGCTCACGGCACTCCGAAAGATCTGTCGTTCTTTCATCCGTCGTTAACCCTCCCTGCCACCACTACTCGCCGACTCTTTGGCCAGCTCCTCAACCGTCTCGACATGCGCCTCATGTAGCCGTGATCCACCCTCCGCATCTTGTCCCACGGCATGTAGCCCTGTCGAACCCCCAGATGCTGCTTTCATTCCAGCTTCTTGCCGAATTTCGGATTTCAGAGTCTCAGAGACCCGTGGGGGAGTGCTTGTGTTTTGGGTTGGCGGTCCGTCGGCGGCGGCAATGGAGTTGCCGCGGCTGGAGTTTGTAGCCATGGTTTGAGTTGCCTTTTGTTTTAGGTTGGGAGTTAGGCTCTATGCGAGATCTCTCTTGGGTAACAGTGTTCGTTGTTGACAGATTGAAGTCTACCTCTTCCTTAATAAAGTGTTTCAATCGATGAAATGATGTCATTGGACAAGGCTACAGGACGGTACTGTTAAGTACCGTCTTTCTCAACCCACTCGTCGGACATTACGTGTAGCATGCGCTGATAGGCTGAGGCACCCCCGCTGAGCGCGAAGTAGAAAGCAAAGCCAATCAGGCAGGGTTAAACCTCTGCCAGTCCAGTGTCTGCCGAATTGCTCAAGAAAAGACCAGCAGAGGCAAGATCACTGTAAAAAACCGTAACATTGCACGGACTTGAACATTTCAGCCTCGCTCACCCCTGTGTGATGGCAGCCTCAGACACAAAACAAACAACAGAGATTTGTTTCCATATCCATCAATTCGGCCATCCCGGATGCTTTCTCACCAATGCAGACACGAAAAAGCTTGGTTGGCCGGGCATGGGTCGATAAGAGCCTCAAAAGAGCTGCTCGCCTTGTGGGTGCCGTGACGGTCAATTTGGACCTGACCCGGTCTGCGCCAGCACAGTTTCAGGTGAGCGAGGCTGCCATGTTACCTGGATGACCCGGATGATTCGCAGCCCAGTCAAGATGCTAACAGTCCCCGCGAGACATAGCAAGCAGCCATTGACCGCGTCCGAGAATGTCTCGCTCCAGAAACGCGCAGGCAGCGTCCGTCGCCCGCCGACGTGGAGCACGACAGCGCCGTCATTGTGGCCTCCAGGTCGCTCGCTGCCTGGCTGCATGACGATGGCTTTGTCTCGCATATGCTTGCCGCGGCCGGCCTGACCCACGCCTGCTCCAAGGAGCTGACTGTCTTGACTGCCGCCGTCGACGAGGTCCCTCGGTACGATGCCCGGCTCGACCTCTTCGGCTCGTCAGAAGGAATCTCAGTCTTACGCGGGGTTGGCCGCACTTTAATGCCATACCCATTCGACCCTCCATCGGCCAAAAGGAGTTCCCGGCCACCCTCTCTCAGGATCTCACTGCCGCCTACCTACTGGCCGGGCCGTCTGACTGTCGAGGTTCCGCTTGCCAACACCGTCTTCGCCAACGGCAGCCCGCATACACTCTACGCAAGCCGATGGCGATCCGATTCAGGCTCGGCCCCGACCCTGGCCGAAAGATTCGAGCGGCGATATCAATCAATCAACCTCACCAGAGACGACCTGGGCTTCCACGACAGATCTTTCAGCACAGTGATAGGCAACCTAATCCCAGTGACTACCCCGCGTAAGGTTCTAGGCAGCCTTGGCAACATTGTATCGCAAATCGAAATCGACGGCCAATCGGCTCCGGCGTCCAAAGAGCTCGAGTCCATTGTTCCGTCGCTCCTCGAGCAGCGACGCAGACTGCAGGGCGAGAACCAACCAGTTGGCCCCGTCGGCGTCTGGGCCCTGACCATACCACACCGATACATGGAGGCACGTCTGCCGACTCTGGCGCCCTTGCAGTTGAATGAATACCGCCCCGAGGATGAACTACGTTTGGCCAGGGCGGCTGCCGACGAGCTCGACTGGTTCATCGCCGCCCGTTGCCGATTCCACAGAGTCTGTGAGTGTCATAACCCGGTGGGCCCCGGCTGCTATCTGCATCTAACCTTCGACGACAGTGAGCGGTGGCGGAGGCTGGGGAGCGAAACGAGGCCTTTTGTCCTTAGATCCCCAGACCAGTCTTGCAACGGACGAGTCTCAAAACTTGGAAAACTTCATCAGGTCTTTCGAGGGAAACGCTGGCGGCATCGTCAAGCCGGGGACATTCGTACAGTTCTTCGTCGAGGCGGCTAACCCCACAAGGGAGGGGTTGGAAGCACCCTCGCCTCGCCGATGGGGTCCCGGTTGGAACTCAGACACGGTAACGACCGTGTTTGGCACTTCGGGTGCAGCACTGAACGCCTCGCCGCTGGACGTGGTCAACTCATGCCCGAGCCTGTTTGGCGCTATCTCCACGGAGGGCGTATACGTGTTCAAGAGCGACATCCGCCAGTCGACCAAGCTGGACGTCCCTCGTTCATACTTGCTGTCCCACCAGCGGTTTCCCGGCCCTCCGATGGAGAACCGGACCCGGGTGGTGCCTCCCACTCAAAAGGTGCAAGATGCCGTCCCCGTACTGGACGTTGATCAATATGAACATACGTAAAGATAGGGTGTAATACGCAAGCACGATTCCCCGTTCTCAACTACCGAGAGCGGTCCCCCAACGTGCCTCATTCAGCCCAATGTAAATAATCGCCTTGGCGGCGCAAATCGGACTTCCCAATGCTCAATCTCCCCGCAGGTCGAAGGAAGACCGCTCTCATGCTCTGGCCCCTCACAGAGCCAAACGACACGTGTACGAGACACGTCTGGATAGCAACGACGTACGCAAGCAGCGAGCAGCCACAGTTAGGCGGCCCATCTAGGCAACATCGTACGTGTTACAGTACAAAAAAGTAAATGAACAGGGTTTGACATTTCGCAGGTCTCCTGGGAGTTTTCCTCGGTTCGTATCAGAGCGCACAAGAAAAGAAATGCGACAATAGGCCATTAACACAATACTGACGGCAACCCAAACTCACCACTGGTACGCAAGAAAAGGGAGAGAAAAGAAAAGAGAAAAGAGGCACTCCACTTCCTTCAAAAAACGAACCATCTTCTCTGTATTCGAGACCTATCGACCTATGCAGACGTACCAGAACGACCCAGGCTTCACCGTCTCACCGACTCTCGAGCTTTCAAATACCTCATCCATCACAAGACACCCCTTCCTACTGCCTTAATCGACCACGGTCCCAGCCTTATACCCACCCAGCTTTGTACCACCCTCTGTCTTGAACTCGAGGACGCTCATTCCATCCTCATTTGAAACAATATTGTCCCAATACTAGCTAGGACCCCTTGATCATTACAAGATACTTTCGAGGATCAATGTATCGTCATGGTCGACATCGTCCTACTAAACAGCTACGGAAACATGGACGACAAGACGATTTAGTGAAACGGATATATTGGGCTTAAATATGAAACCAACCAGAGAGTGCGAATATATATATATAACCAAGTGACAGAGGGAAAGGACCAAACCCCTCTCAATGGGAAAATAGTAGGAGAACTGACTAAGGTACCTGATCTGGCTGCTCCTTTCCTTTCCTTTCCTTTCCTTTCCTCTGCCCCATATCAACATTTATAAGCCCGCTGCTGATTTGTGAATTGCGCTACGCTGAAGAGGTGGAGCCATCCCATGCCCATTGGGCCGCCTGCTCATGTACGTCATGAACGAACTTCAGGCTCAAAATACACAGCAAGTCAAACCGAATGGGAGAGATGCATGTTTCAGCCACTAGTAGGGAAAAGAGTTAAATGATCAGACCGTTATAGGAAAGACCAGCTGGCACGTTTCTGAGCTGTCGTAGGTATCACATGCAACAACAGTTACCGGTAGACGACAACAATCAAAATCAGACAAGATCAACGAGACAATAGAAAGCCCGAAATGCACAAACATAACAACGCAACAATGACCACCACCACCAACCACAGACAGGCTGAATGAGCAGAACCCAGTGCACCCAAGCAAAAGCGAGAGCAGAACCAAGCACAAAGAGCACACGGAAGCGAAGCAACGAGAACGCACCAACCAAGACCCGGACCCGAACCCCACACCAACGCAGAACCAAACCAAGAAAACCCAGATCAAAACCCCATCCCCATCCCAAACCCGATTCAGAGCGAATCGACCCTCCGGGGGCCGAACCCAACGATCACCCCCACCACTAACCAGCCAACACACCCAACATGGGAGAGCCAGAAAGGTAAAGCCCTGCGTTCTCGTCGACCCACTCCGACTATCTCAGGTACTATGCGACCTCATGAGCAGCTAAACCCCCCACCCCCCAGTCAGCTCAGAAGCCCTGCGCAGCATGGTGAATGTTTGGTTCAGAGAGGCTGGTGGTACGTGCCCTTCCCATGGGATCCTCCTGGTCCGCCGTGACAAGCGACGGGCTCTCCAGGGCATTGGTCATGGACTCGGCGGCCGTGATAGCGCGCGTTGCCGCCGCGAGAGACGGCCGCTGGATTGTCGCCTCGGTAGCGACTGCGGCTGCGGCTGCGGCTGCGGCCGTTGCGTTGGCGGCGGCAGATTGGTACGCGGCCGAGAGAGTGGGCTTATCGCGGCGGCCGCCCGTGGCGGCGTCGGCGGCGCGAGCGAGCTCACGCTCACGGTTCTTCTCGAGGAGTTGCCCGCCAAGCGTCGCGCACTTGAGGATGGTCTGGATGAGGTGGTTTTGCTGGAGCGGCTTGGACAGGTACTCGTCCATTTGCGCTTGGATGCACTTTTCTCGGTCGCCCATCATGGCGTGCGCGGTGAGGGCAATGATGGGCGTGCGTTGGCTGCCAAGACTGCGTTCGTACTCCCGTATCTTGCCTGTAGCCTCAAAGCCACCCTGCATACCGGGTTAGCATACTGGAAGCGAACCATGCTCATTAGAATAACTCACCATAATCGGCATCTGGACGTCCATCAAGATGACGTCAAACTTCTTCCGCTTAACCGCCTCGACGGCCTCCTCGCCATTTCCTACCACAGTAACCACGTGGTGGTACTTTTCGAGGATTTTGACGGCAAGCCTCTGGTTGACGGTGTTGTCTTCGGCCAGCAGAATCTCAAACGAGCGGGTGTTATCCGCCAGCGACGGGGTGGCTCTGTTCTCCAGAGCAGGCACCATGCCGTTCCCGAGGTCGATCAGCTTACACGGTGTCGTCATGTACGACGTGATGCCCAGGTCGAGGCACGCTTTGAGTGACACGTGAACCACCGGCGCAAGAAGGACGATCGGGAGGTACTTGAAGTCGTCGATGGCGCGCAATCTCCGGGCGTCTTCGATCGAATCAACAATAATGACATCGTACGGGGAATTTCCGGAGCTGCGGGACTTCTCCAGGGCCGGACTTTTCTCGTTATCGACGACAATCGGGACCAGGTTCAAGCCCTTGAGCATCTCAACAATCTCGGCCCCGAACCCGGTTCTGCCCTTGTCAATGAAGAGCACCTGATGGCCCTTGTATGGAGCGAGCTGCTTCGAGATCAATGCGATGTCATCGTTGGCCAGGCGAACAATGCATGTGAAGTAGAACTTGCTGCCCTTCCCGTACTCGCTTTTGACCCAGACATCACCTCCCATAAGGTTGACGAGTCTCTTGGAGATGGACAAGCCAAGGCCGGTACCGCCGAACTTGCGCGTCATGGACCCGTCGGCCTGCTGAAATGTATCGAAGATCAAGTCGAGTTTATCCGAGGGAATCCCGATGCCCGTGTCGGCCACGATGAACTCGATGGCGTATTCGCCCGGTGCGCTGCACTGCACCTGAGTGGCTTTCTGGATCGTGAGGCTGACTTCGCCGTGCTCGGTGAATTTAATGGCATTGCCCACCAGGTTCAAGATGATTTGACGCAACCTGAACGAATCGCCCACAACATAATCAGGCACCGAGCTGTCGACGCGGTATGTCAAGTCCAGGAACTTCTCGTTAGCCTTGACGGCCAGGGTCTTGAGGGCGTTGAACACGGTGCCGCGGACCGTGTACGGGATCTCTTCGATGACCATCCTCCTGGCTTCAATCTTGGACAGATCCAAAATGTCGTCGATGATGGTCAGCAAGCTGTTGGCAAGCGAGTTCACAATGTTGAGCATCTCTCGTTGATACTGCGTCAGATCTGTATCTAGCGTGAGCTGAGTCATGCCAATGATACCGTTCATGGGAGTTCGGATCTCGTGCGACATGTTGGCAAGGAATTCCGATTTGGTCTTGTTGGCAAGCTCGGCCGCTTCCCTCGCCTGCGTGTTCCTCTGAATGCTATCCCGGAGGTTGTAGACCATTTGGTTGATCTTCTTTTTGAGCTCGTCCATCTCGCCGGAGGCTTCGACCTCGACAAGCTTGGTGAAATCCCCGTCTGTTGCCGCATTCGTAATGTCACCGAAAGCTCGCACTTGAGCCGTCTGTGAAGCCCAGTCAGCCGACCAGATCCTGGGAGTCCGACACCATCATAAGAGAACCTACCAGATTGTTGGCCATGGTGTTGACATCCGTCGTGATTTCCTTCCATCTGCCTTTCAAGCCCGCCACATCGGCTTGACCACCCATGATACCGTCGACGCCGACGTCTTTGGCAACCCTTTGTACTTCATTGCAGAAAATGGACAGCCGGTCAACCATGTTATTGATGGTCTCCTTCAAAACGAGTATCTCGCCCTTGGCCTCAACGTCGATTTTGCGGCTCATGTCACCGTTGGCAATGGCCTGTGTGACGGTGGAAATACCGCGTACCTAGAGATGATTATGGTGAGTGAGCTGGGCCTTGCCAATAAGCATTTGTTTCGCCCGAGCGTACCTGCGACGTGAGGTTCCTGGCCATGGTGTTGACGTTCTCTGTCAGATCCTTCCATTTACCCTCGACATTGTCCACCTGAGCTTGCCCACCAAGGGTACCATCCGTGCCAACTTCCCTGGCGACCTTGCTGACCTCAAAGGCAAAGGTTCCCAGACGGTCAACCATGGTGTTGATGGTGTTCTTCAGGTCCAAAATCTCGCCTTGGACCTCGACACCGATCTTCTTGGTAAGGTCGCCCTTGGCGACGGCTGTCGTGACCTTGGCAATCTCACGCACTTGCGTGGTAAGGTTCATGGCCATACCATTGACGTTCTCTGTAAGATCGCGCCATGTGCCCTGAACGTCATGGACGGTGGCTTGGCCGCCCAGTCTCCCTTCCGTTCCGACTTCTCTAGCAATCTTGGTAACTTCGCGCGCGAACTGCTGGAGCTGATCCACCATGGAGTTAATGGTCTTCTTGAGCTCGAAAATCTCGCCTCTGCACTCGGCTTGCACTTTCTGGGTGAGGTCACCCTTGGCAACGGCTGTGGTAACCTTGATGATGTCTCGCACCTGGGTGGTCAGGTTGTTGGCCATGGCATTGACATTGACCGTCAGCTCATTCCACATGCCCTGTACACCCTCGACGTCGGCCTGTCCACCAAGGATACCCTCGGTTCCGACATCTCTGGCCACACGGGTAACTTCTGAGGCAAATGTCCGCAGCTGGTCCACCATGGTGTTGATTGTCTGCTGGAGTTGAAGAATTTCGCCTTTGGCGGGACGTTCAATCTTCTTCGTAAGATCGCCGTGGGCCACAGCCGTTGTTACGGAGGCGATCTCGCGCACTATGAAGGTCTATGTTAGCTACGGACTCGTCCGCAGGCATCATGACTGAGGAGACATACCTTGATCTGTAAGGTTTTGGGCCATGACGTTTACTGAGTAACAAGTTAGGACTAAAGTTTCTGTAAGTGATGAAGGATGAACAGAGACGCACCGTTATCAGTCAGCTCCTTCCATGTGCCGTCGACACCTTCAATCTGGGCCTGGCCGCCGAGAATGCCCTCGGTCCCAACTTCGCGGGCAACACGGGAGACTTCGCTGGAGAAAACCTGCAGCTGATCCATCATGGTGTTGATGGTGCGCTTAAATGTCGTGATCTCTGGGTCCATCTCGACGCTGTTCATGCGGACCTTCTTGGAGAGGTCTCCGCGAGCGACAGCCGTGACGATCTCGCCAATCTCACGCAAGGCCTTTTGGAAGGCCTCATTAGCTTTCTGGTGCTTCCAGAGTTCACGCTCCAGGGTCGCCACGCGCTCCTGCTCAATGATAGCAAGAGCCCTCTCCTGCAGCTGCTTCTGCTCAAGCAACTGAGCATTGACGCCAGCCAGCTCCTGGCGCTGGTTATCAAGAATCTTGGACTGATCATCAACATGCTCCCGGAGGCCCTCGAGGCAGGCCTCGTCGATGAATCCATTTCGCGGAAGGGGATACTTTGGCCTTCCTTTGCCCTTATCGCCTGCGAAGATGGTGTCGCCGGTCTCGTTCGGCGTGTCGGGAAAGAGGTGTGTAGTAGTTGAGTCTGCCCTCGCCTCGAGTTGCTGGACGCGGCGCACAAGGGCAGCAAGCTCCCGCTCGAGTTCGGTCTTCTCGGGGGTGTCAAGGCCTGGTAGTTTCACAGTCGGGCAGTCATCAGAGACGACTGGAGGCGTCGTCGGATCGGCAGCGAGGGACTTGACGACCGCAGTGACGGCAGCCAACGAATAGTTGCCGCTCATTCTTGCGGCGTGGGACGGCGTTAACGCCGCGGCGCGGGAAATCGATTCAGAAGCGGCCCCGACAAAACGGTCGCGAATGGCAAAAGAAGATTGCTCAGTGTAGGGAGAGTATTGGTAGCTCTAATGGAAAATCGGGCTCTTGCGCGGAAGTCTCGTTGTTAGATGCCGATGGGATGATCATAGAGCGCCAGAATTGATTGCAGGACGATTCGGGGGCGGATCTGGCGGGGTGGGTCGCACACTGCAAAGTGTCTCTGTTGGCGGTGCAGGATGCAAAACTGAGAAGGCCAAGGGGAAAGCGGAATCGCCCGTATCCACAAGGCCTTTTGTGCAAAGCGGAGTCTCGGCCGTGCTGAGCTTTGTTCGCCCCCCTTCGCACTGCCCGAATTCGCAAAAGAAGGGCAGATGAAAGAACGAGGTGCGGATGAACGTGTAAAGCAGAGTTTTCCAATTAGTACATTGAGCCAGTGACTGATGGCAGCCAAAGAGCGCCTTGAAGCGGATTGTTGCAATCCAGCGTGCAGGGGGAGGAGGAGAAAGGAGGGAGAATGGGGAAGTGCTGGGGGGGCAACCGTTCGGGGCGCCGAGTTTGGATAGATCGGCGGTCTGCTGCCCAGCCGCTGCACCACTGCCCCTTTTGGTTCTTTTAGCGGTGTCTGAGGATCTCGGCGCCGCTTGTGCATGCAACATGTGTTGAGCGGGGCCTAGTTATGTTAATTGTTCGATACTGATGCTGAGAAAAGGAAATGAATACGGAATAACTCGCTGCTGCTGAGTAAATATAACCTGTGCTGACTCGACCTAGACACATGGAGACAGGGAAGCCTAATGCGGAATTCAGGTACCGCAGCTCGCGATGATCAGACCCCAACTCTTTCTTCCGGCGCGCCGCTGCGATATCTATGCTAGGTAGGGCCTGAATCATCTCGTCATCATCAAGGTATGTAAGAATGATCTGGGGTGTCATCAAGCCTGGATCAGGCTGGGATGCGGGGCAGAATGGCAGACCGCAAAAGAGGATGGGACGGAAAGCTCTTCTTCCCCGCCCAAGGCAACCAACACTCTCAGCTGCTCTCATCACAAAAGCCGATGCCCGGGGCCAGAAAACTCCATGTCGCCTCTCAGGTGCCTTTGCATCCGATGTTCCACGTTTTCAATCCACGCTTCTGGAACCGCCAATGTGGGGCTACGCTACCCTTCTTGTACAAGTACCTACACAGTAGGTAATCCGGGCATCATCAAGCATCAAACCGACCCGATGCGCAGAGGAACGCTTCATCTCATGTCTCTCTATCCGAGAAGCGATAGACCGTCATATCGAGCAGGTTGTACGACTCATCTCCCGGATGCGCTGCAGCTCAGGCGGTTGGGCTGTCTTTCCCCTTGCCTACATAACCCAGAACCAACCACTGCCGTTGCCGTTCGTGCCGAGTCTGCATCGAGCCGCGACTCTTTGCCTCGCTCGGAATTGGCATCGAAACCGGGTTCGCAGTCACACAACGCATTCGACCTGTCAAAAGTCGCACCAGCTGTTATCCTTCGACGGGCACTGGCAGCCTTGTTTCAGAGCAAGTCTCGAGCGAGCGAAGAGCCGGCCAGTGATCAAGCAGCTTCGCATCTGGAAGGTCACTGGTCAAATGTTCCGGTTTCTTTCCAGGTTGGACGGCTCATCGGCTGCTAGCCGCATGACAGGAAGAGGGGCGGACCAGGCGATGGCCCACCACACAATGTGGATGCATTCGTACCCAGAGATTCTCACTTCTTGCTCCTCTCCTGCTACGCGTATTCTCATCGGATAACCTAGCCCACCCTTGTTTCTCACATTTGCTGTCTGAAGAGCCCGTGTATACGCCTGGCCAATGGTTCACATTCGGACTGCCATGTTTATTCACCCTCTTTATTTCATCGGAATCGACTCAAAACGATAATTTAGCTCAGGTCCGCCATAAGCCGCCTACATCAGAGGGCGTGTTGACTGTGTTGTCCAGAATGACTGACTGCCAGCTGAACTGAATTACTTCAACTCATGTCAATAACCTCAAACAAAGGATAAAGATGTCACAGATAATCCGATCCACATCATCCCACTAGACTAAGTAGTAGTTTCCATGTACTATCTAAATGCGTCCAACGGGAGAAACTCGGAGTCTTCAGCTATTCTTTCAGGCCACTTCATGGGTTCGAGGGGCAGTTACAGTATATCGAGGAGATTACCGGCAAAAATTTATCCAGTTAAGTTATCTATCTCTATTGGTTCTAAAACAGTATAGCAAAACCACTTCTCGCAAGCCACGTTATGTTCACTTAGACAACATTCACTCTTGCTTCTAGTAGTTTTAGGGTTACCTCATTCTAAGCTACTCACAGAAAAGAAAATGAGCGACTTGGTTGGGCGAAGTATATAGATCTCACTTAGACAGCAAAAGTGACGCAAGAACCGTTGAGATGCCAAGAACGATGAGATCTACCTTACCTAAGATAGTGCGGTGAGGAACATCTCAGCCAGCATAGAAGGATGAAATCTGACTCAAATAACAAAGGTGTTCTATGTCTTAAGCTGCTTGTGAAGCAAGCGAGTAACTGTAAGCTTGGAGCTTAGAATGCTTGAGGTGATTGATATCTAATTATAATATGATCAGAAGTGCCTTTCTTAGACTCGAGCTTAGCTCTGAAAGTAAAACTTCCAAATCAGAAAACCCCTTACTAAGTAAACAAGCCTCTATTGGTGAGAAAATTGCTTGGTTGAATATACTCTATATTACTTCCAGTGTAATGGTTACCTCAGTTCAGCATCTCGAGAATTCATTTCGATCTCAGGAGCATAGGTTTGGATGGATGGAAGGAATTTATTTCGCCCGGAGGCACGAAGCCTAAAAGGCCTCGGCACGCTAACTACATCCAAGTCGTTGACGTTCGATCATCAACTCGTTACAAAGGAGCATCGGGTAAGAGTGCTAGGGCAGAACGTTCAAAGATGGTCACGTGAGCTAAGCTTTCAGGCCTGGGATAATAGTATAGTGGTTAGTACTTCTCGTTGTGGTTGTGATTTGCTCAACCTCCGAGAGGACCCAGGTTCGATTCCTGGTTATCCCATTACTTTTGGACATTATACTCGGTACATCCGAGTAGAAGAGACGACTTTTCTTTTGGACTCGCGATGACCTCACTGCCACCTGAGACTCTTGTGGAAGGTACTGCATGTAATTTGAAGCTTTACGAGCAAAGCTGACACTTCTGTGGAGACTCAACTCGCGCCCCACGTCACCATTAATCCTGCGGCTCCCTCAACATCGAAAGTGCGGGGCACCGGGCACCGGCAACGGACATCCACCGATGGAGCAGCTCAAAGAAGTGGATTTTCCAAGTATAAAGCAGCAATCAATCCCTCACTGTCCAGGTCGATGACCTACTTTGGGCAACCACCTCAATCCAAATCCAGCCAGCTTGTCAAGCCCAAACTCCAACTCACCGTCGTCCTTTCGCTCCTATTCTTTGCGCTGGCCATCTTCACCTCTCCCGTCCTTCCCCGCCTGAACCTCATCTTAGGCCACCTCTCTCACCTCACCCGCCACTACCACATCCCATCAACCACACCCGCCGCCGCGACCACCACCACGACAACCACCTTCATTACCAGCGAGACCCCAACCGCCATGACCACCATCTACGCGCGCGAGCTCGAGATCGCCCAGCTGGCGGTGCAGCGCGCCGCTATCCTGACCAAGCGCGTCTTCCGCGAGAAGGCAAAGGGCACCGTGTCCAAGGACGACGCGTCGCCCGTGACGATTGGCGACTTCGGCGCGCAGGCGCTCATCATTTCTGCGCTGCGCCACAACTTCCCGCACGACGACATCGTCGCCGAGGAGGAGGCATCCGCGCTGCGGGAGGATGCGAAATTGAGGGGTATGATCTGGGGGCTGGTTAGGGAGACCAAGCTGGAGGATGTCGCGGCTGAGGGGCTGCTGGGAAGGGGCGTCAGGGACGAGGCGGATCTGTTGGATGTCCTTGACCGCGGGAAGAGCGCGGGTGGTAGGGTGGGACGGGTGTGGACTATCGATCCGATTGATGGGACCAAGGGATTTTTGAGGGGCGGGCAGTACGCGATTGCGCTGGGGCTGCTGGAGGACGGGGATGTAAAGGTGGGGGTGCTCGGGTGTCCTAACCTGCCTGTGGACGACGAGGCGCCGTTGGATGTGGGGATCGGGGAGAACCAGACGGATGAGGAAGGGCGCGGGGTGATTTTCTCGGCGGTGGTTGGGGAGGGGGCGTGGAGCAGGCCGTTGGGGACGGGTGCCTTGCAGGAAGGGAAGAAGATCCGGATGAAGGATATTGCGGATATGGCGAACGCGAGTTTCTGCGAGAGCGTCGAGGCGGGCCACTCGAACCAGTCCGAGGCCGCGCAGATCGCGCAGAAGTTGGGAATCACCAAGCCGAGCGTCAGGATGGACTCGCAGGCCAAATACGGTTCGATTGCCCGCGGAGCCGGCGACATTTACTTGCGCCTCCCGACGTCCAAGACGTACCAGGAGAAGATTTGGGACCATGCCGCAGGCGACTTGATCGTCCGGGAGGCAGGCGGCCAGGTCACGGACACCAAGGGCCAGCGTCTGGATTTTGGCGCCGGAAGAACGCTGGCGAGCAACAGCGGCGTGATTGCAGCGCCGGCGGGAGTCCACAGTCAGGTCCTCAAGGCCGTTCAAGATGTTTTGGGGCTGTGACGGAGTTCGCGCACATGGCCTAGTAATGTACATATCTATGGCACAGATACAGCCGCGTAAAAATGGTGAAGGACAAGACTGCTGAAGATACACGAATCCTCCCCGGCGCCTCTATTTAATCTTCTTCTGCTTCAGTTTGATGGTCTCGTCGTTGATGAAGATGCCCTTGCCCTTGTACGGCTCGGGCACTCTCCATTTGCGAATGTTGGCGGCGAACTGCATGATCTGCTCTTTGTCGATGCCCTCTAGCAGCACTCTTGTCGGCTGCGGCGCGCTGGCCTTCATGCCCTTGGGCAGGCCCAACTCGACCGGGTGCGAGAAACCCAGCTTCAGGCAGACGAATTGCTGGCCAGGGTATTCCTCCTGCTTGGGCCGCGGCTCGACCGTCGCTCTGTAACCGATACCGACGAGGCGCAGGACTGCCGTGTGCCCTTCTGATACACCCATAATGTAGTTGTTGAGGTACGACCATGTGGTTCCTGCGATGTATTTTGTCAGCCCCCTGGTTCAACCGCACTCTGGGCTGACGCGATGCCATACCCCACATCTCCCTCTGATTCCTCTGGTCCCGGTCCTTCACGCTCAGCTCTACCCTCTTCGCGGCGGCATCGTGTTCGATGTTGACGTAGTCGGGGATCTCGAGCTCCAATTGCCCTGCCCAGGTCAGCCTGCTTATCCAGCCAGAATCCTTGCCCCTGAACCACAACACTGGTGCTCACCCAGAGGTCCTTTGACTGTAATTTTCCTCTTGTACGTCTTGAGATACGACGTCATATCCTTCTTGATAAACAGGTCGCTAATCGCAAGCTCTACGCCCGGCGGTATTGAGAGCGGCGTCCTGCCAAGCTTGGAAGGGCGGGCTGTTGTCGCCGAGAAATTTCGCCTGGTTGGGGTCTGGAAGGCGGCGGGGACAAGGAAACCCGGAAGAATGACGGTTTGGGAGGGAGAGGTTCCGACTGCCCTATGCAGGGCTTGCCGCCCTGTCCTTGGTGCGAGCATTGTGAGTGACGGCGGACTGGATTCGCGACGTGCTGGATCGGGATTTTGATGCGATTGACGGGCCGGGGTTTAGAAAAGATGGGAACCACGGCTAGTTCCGGAGTGGGCTCTTACGTACCTTACACTTGATAGGACTTTACCTTACCTTACACAGCACATTGGTGTATTGCCGAGCCTCGTCTCAAATGTCTGCAGCTTAAAATCAACCTCTGATAACTTACCTTTATCCTAACGTCAACTTGAGCCCCAAGCACCATCTCGAATTCCACTTAATCAAGTTGCAGAGTTGACCACCTCTTCCAGCCAAATTATGTCTATGAATAGGTACCTTCATCGCGTCTTAGGGCCACCTCAAGCTTGTCTCCCCCATTCTCTTTCGGTAGAGCTTGGTAACGAGGCATTAGGGAGGAAACTTAAAAGGAACATTGTGGCCGAGTGCATTCAACAGAAAATCATTGCTGAGTTAAAGCGGAAATACGGTACCTAAGATACTAGTAACTGACCATCAAAGCTGTTGAGATCTTCTCGTCAGATGCCAGCAGTCCAGGTGTCTCCATTCCACACGCTCTGGACATATTTGCCAGTCGGGTATAATGGTAAGCTACTCACCACACGGTCTTTAAAATTTCCGAGTTCTGCCTGTTCATCTCAAAGCTAGCCATCCGCGACCTGAGCCAGCGGCCTCAATGTGACGCTTCAGGAAGTTCAACTGACACTGGTCTTGGGATGTGATACGTCTAATGATGCTGATTATACCGGTTGAGCAGTCCGGTATGATAATGTACCTTACGCCAGAGTGTCCTGGCAGCACTCTGTTACGCCTGCATCTTGCGGACGCTCCAGCCGTAAGAGTGACCTACGCTCACCTCGAATTTGACATCAGATGGTACTCAACCCATAGATCTGACGACTCGTTCCCATGGAGGACATGGAATCGATGTGCGATCCCGCGACTAGAGTCTCAGACGGAAGCCGCCAAGTGATAAAACATTAACTCCCAAGTCCAAATCAGCCAACCCTAAGACCGGCTCTGTGCGCGGCCCTTGACAGGTGCCGGCGCCGGTGATCAGATATGTAGTTTTTCAAGATCTAGCAAGACAATCTGGTGCCTCTCAGCTATTAAAACCATTCATGATCCACCCTTTGTTCACGTCAATAGCTGTCAGAGACTGTCACTGTTCTTTTCGACAAGCGCCCAGAGTCAGATAGCAATACAGTAGCGACGGAAAGGGGCTCGTTACTTGATTATCATGCATCGTTTAATCAACCATATCAACTTGAAACCTTGAATATTGTTCCTTGACCAAGTGATGTCATTTCAGCATTGTCGTCTTCCCATCCAAATCTGCCACTGCTGCTACCGGTACTTGAAATGCCTTTGATCCTGGTCGAATAGTGTCTCTGCGGACAGTCAGATCTAGTGCGCTACAATGGGAAATTCAGATTGAATGCACCATGCCAGCAGCCATTGTCATTGATCAACAATACAATCAGATAGAAGTCATGGTTCCAGACCCTGTGGCCTGAATCTCTTTGGCAACTCTTAACATGTAGGCGGTCAGTGTTGTCAGGTGATTCATTGCTCAAGCTCTGCAGGACTGCGGCAAGGGAAGAAACATCCTCCTTTTGAACCAGGACACGAAGCATCGCGAAACCATCCACGCTAACTTGAGGAGTTGAAGTCCAAGTTAACTGCCACACTACGAAGCAAAATGCTCCTTCCTTTCTTGTCGCCATGACTTAGCCTCAAAATCTCTAGGAAATTGCGCATTCAGGTGCCGTCCCATCCTTCTAATCTTCAACGACCACCCGATAAATCACAACGCCCATCGTTCCCATGCTCATCGCTTATTCTTTCCACATCTTCAACACTGATTATCCTCTGCCACCACCCTGGTCTCTCAAGACGACTGCACTTGCGACTCGCTCAAAGTATAGCCACGCGATGACCAACGTGCAAGCCCGCCTACTCCTCCTGGCCCTCTCAATGCCCTGCGTCACTGGTCCCTCATGGGGGAACGGGAAGAGGGCTACACACTGTAGGCTGTGTCGCAATCCTGCAGACGGGAGTGGATGGGCGACTAACCTTGGACAACCGCGCCAAACAAATTAAAAGCCCTCTGAACTGCTGCAGAACTCCCGTTTACCCAACATCTACGCTGTCGCCCTCAGCGAGCTCCAAGAACTCGAGTCGGAGCCCCTCTGCCATCGCGTTGCCGCCCGCATACTAGTCAACAACTGCCAACTGGTCAACGGCAAGCATGAAGCGACCATTCTTACCGACAGCGGTCGGCAGGTCCGCGACTTTGTCTACTCGTAAGCCGCTAGTCTTGCCATCTGCGATCTTGAGCGCGGGAGCTTTGCCATACCGAACGAGGGCGCCAAATTCCGGGAGCCCTCGCTCAGCCAGCTCGCTCTGAGGGATGAACCTCAGTTGCATGTGAGCCCCTGCGAGATTGGGCTTTGTCTCTCGGCGCTCGCAGCGTCGGATGCTGCCTGGAGCACGTGGGTGAGCTACCGCCCCAAGGCGCTGTGGTTCTGCGAGGCGGCGCAAGCAGACAACGAGAAGAGTAAGTGGCATGATTAATCAATGTCGCAGTCCAAACTAACCAGGTCGTAGCCCAGAACATATTGCTCTATCAACGACTGACAGGAGTAATCGCCCAGCTCACCGACGCCGTTGAGGCCGAACTACAGAAACGCATGGACGACCGATAACCGCGCTCGGCAAGCAATGACGAAACTCGAGCAGCCCACGCCACACATAGGACGCCTGAGCGAAGGGCTGGTAAGGGTGGAGAGCTATTTCTCACGGGACTTAGAACAAGCAATGAAAAAGACGTCGAAACCCTTTCGCGACGGGCTCCAACATGCCGAAGACCTACAGCAGCTGCTGCACAGTTTGCCGGCAAACGTCCTGGAGAGCAACTCACAGTTTGCGCTCGCGCATGAACAGTCGCTTCATCAAGCATCCCAGCGAATCAACGACGAGATGGGCGCGTTGATGGCAGTGGTATCGACGGCCATCGCCTCGTCCAGCTCTCTCTCGCAGCAAATAGTAAGTCCTCAACACAGCCTGCATCCCTTCAGCGACGCCAACTAAACTCCCCAGCAACTCTCAAGCCAACAGGCCGCCGCGCTCCCCCAACGCCAAGTCAGACATGGACCGCCTGGTCACGGCGACTGAGACGCTGTCCGCATCCTCACTCTAACGGAAGGTGGCATTTGCGGCGTTTTCTCTATCTTCAGTCGGGTCTAGTACGACGTTTGGTATCTACATTGGCGGGCGTGGTTTCGGCGGTTATACTATTTAGGTATCAGCAGCATGATGCATGGGCTGGCGCACAAGGCGGGACCTTGAGATCTTTCATCGTTCATTCGGCGGCGAGATACACATTCGCATCGTCTAGTAGCTATGGTGCAATGATGCAATTGATACCTGGGGTTTGTTTCGGTAAATATGGTTATCTCCAACGCCCTTCGTCGAACGAGGTTCTGTCACTCTCTCCTACTGCTGCTCCATATTCAGGATTTCAATTGGTTCAGCTCCACGATACCATCCCATGAGAGCAAGTCTCATGAATGCCGCCTTCATGATACTGATCAATCTGGGCAGGACGAAATGCAATTTTTGTTGGTACCAATTAAGCTACACTAACGTAGATAATGACTCCATGCACGATCGGGGTATCCGCGATGTAGACTCCCCCACCCACAAATTTCCCAAGCCAACCCGAATGCCGCAACTCCAGAAACCATGCATGTAATGTATCTTAGGTATTTCAGTACTCACTGACCACCAGAGTGATGATGAGCCTCCCTAGCCGCCCTCAACTCCTCTCCCAGCCGCGCAATCAGTCGCTCCAAAATCCACTCGGCCTCTTCCTGCGAGCCCATCAGCGGGCTCCTGTCCCCGACCCAGCTCCAGGGGTAGAGGCAAGGGGAGTGTGTGGAAGCAGTTTCGGTCTCCCTTTCCATCGCCTGGCCCTTTTCTTCTCCTCCCTCCCTGACCGGTATCGCTTCGCCACCATATGCACGCTGCGGCGTTTTTGCATCGCCATTATCCCCCTTCCCATCATCCCCGCCGCCCTCCTTTATGACACGACCTTTCTCCCGCCCCTCCTGTCCGTCGTTCCCTTCATTGACACCTTTCTCCGAACCCGTCTCATCATCCCCACCCGTACCCCTTCCCCTACTGCTACCCTCGAGACTCTTCGCCTTGCCATGTTTGGCGCGCAACGCGGCTCGCCGATGCCGCTCCGCGTCCGCTTCGTCCTCGCCAATTAGGCGCAGATACCACGCCCACTCGTGAAAGGAGTATTTCCTTGGGGGGTGGTGTTTCAGGTGCTCCGTGACTCGGCGGATCTCGTCGATTAGTGTTACGTGGTAGTCATGTCTATTGTCTGGGATTGGTGGTGGGATGGGGGTTTGTTGTTGTTGTCGGGGTATGGAGGGGGGTTGATGCTGCTGCTGGTGGTGGTGGTGGTAGGCGGTCGAGTCTGTGCGGAAGGGTTTGGATTTGCGGGAGGGGGATGAGAAGGTTACTTTCGTGTTCGTGGTTGAGGGTGGTGTGGTGGCTGTTTCTGCTGCCGCGTTGGCTTCGGCTGCGGCGGTATGGCCTTCTTCCAGGCGTTCGCGGTCTGCGCGCTTTTGTCTGGTTTCGGCTGTGTTGGCGCCTTCGGCCTCGAGGTCGGCTTCGTCTTGTTGCATTTCCTGTTCGGCGTCACCCCTTTTGTTATTGCTGTCGCCCATGGCCTCTTTGAGCCGCTGCGGCTGGCCGAGGAGCCCAGTGGGTTCTTGCTCAATGTCTTCGTCAAAAAGAATGCCGAACGACAGCATCCGCAGCAATTGCTTGACGTCTCTCTTAAATCCGCGCTCGCTGGGCAGAATGGTGACTGTGGCGACCCGATCTGTTCCTTCGCGGATGCCCTTGATGATGGTGTCGCCTGCATTGGAGATCAAGACAGTCATGGTCGGCAGGGCCAACAGCGCCCAAAACACCCAAAACGTCTTGCCGGCATTGGATACGGGCGTAATATCCCCGTAGCCGATGGTGGTCAAGCTGACAAATGCGAAATAAAAGGCGTCAAAGTAGCTCCACCCCTGGTACCGCACCTCGCACTCCTGGAACACCTTTGCACCGACCAGCCACAGCACCAATGTGGTGCCGGTCGATATACCCATAGCAACCCACCGACGGCGACGGTGAGCGACCTCCTGGATCTTGCGCATCAGCTCAAACTCGCGCTCTCTCCGCTCAAATTCGGTCAGGCCCGAGGCGTCGGTCCGGACGGACGATAAGGTGTGCGGGTCATCCGTGATGGGCACGAGGATGTCGTCTTTGCCCAGCCGCGTCATGCGCCGGAGAGTCCTGCGGCGCTTCTTTTCCACCATACGAGCGCCGAGTCGAGTTTTGCCGCGGTCTAGAACCAGGCTGCGGATGGAGCCAATAACCAGGCCGAGACTGATGATGCCAACGAGCGCGTAAGGCAAGAGCAGTGCTCGGCCAAGTGTGGTGGTGGCGTAGAAGTCGCCAAAGCCGACGGTAAAGAGGGTCACGGCGGCCCAGTATACAGCGTCGAGGTAGGCCCAACCTTCGATTTTGCAGAATATCAGGGCACCAACAAGCAGATACAGGAGGAGCATGATGGTTTGCAGCATCAACGTCCGCTGGCTGGGGGTCAACATGAAGTCTTTGGGGTAGCGGCCGAGGTAAGCACCCTTGTAGGTGACAACCATGAGAGAGGCGACCAGGAAATAGACTAATCATCTATGGTCAGATGGGGATATCGACTCTCCAAGGGTGCAGTCACTGACCAACGGCCGCGTAGACTCCGTAATAGAAGGCTTGGGACCAAATGAATTCGTCGGCCGGCTCGACGACGAGGGGGCCGGCACCAGTGGCAGTGAGGGCAATCAGAGTAAAGGATGAGATGTACCAGCCGATGATGGTGACGGGCTGGGCGATTGTGAAGCTGAGGCGCCTAGTCATGTTGAGCAGGAGGGCCATGTTGGCCACGATGGCGATGAACAGCTGGACGGCATTTATGGCAGTCAACCAGGGCGGGTCGCGGATGAAGGGAGCAGCATCCACGTCGGTCCCTGGGGGAAAGCTCTGTCGCCATGGCGTGACGAGGGCGCAGATGCTGAAGGCGGATGCCACTGGGCCAAGGGTGCCAGCGATCATGGGAAAGGCCGAGGAGGCGAACCACCAACGGCTGGAAAATGGTCAGGGATGAATGTTCTCTTCTGTGTTTGGTCTCTCCAAAAGACTTGCCTTGGGTCCAGATGACCCCAATCCCTTGCTTCCTGCTTGGAGTCATGTCCACGAATCTCGTCGCTGGCGTCGTTCATGATGGTATGGCCGGATTGGTCGAAGGTCTCTCCCGGACCACCTCGAGCGCTGTTCTAGGTTGTAAGACTAGACTTCATGATGGGCGATTGGATAGGTTGCGTTGTCCCGAGTGCTGAACCTCCTATAAGTCAAAGGAGAAGGTTGATATGAGCCGAGATGTTTGGAATGTAAGGCGAACGATTGCCAGCTTGGGCCAGTCGGCGTTTTGGACGACCATGACGTCTAGTTGCAGTTATTTGGTCGTTGAACAAAGGCACTTACAAAAGAGGCCCACATTCTCCGGGGGCGGATTTTGATTGGCTCGAACCGTACATGAGCGAGCCAGACGGTGCCGTTTTGATGGAGGTTGGCTAGCACGCCAAGAGTTTGCGGATAACAACAGCATTTTTAAACTCAGATGTCCTTCTGCGTTTTAGATGCCCTTCACAATGTGAGACTGAGTTTCAAGTTATGAGCTGCTCTCATGCGCACCAGCCAACATGGAATGAACCCAGCTTTTTTCTGGTTGAGGTTCAACTGAAGCTGACGAGGCAAGGTGTGCCTTGCGATACATGCTTAGGCACATGGACAGAATGTCGCGATGGCTCCGCTTCTCAAGAGGCTGGCTTGTCGCTCAGGCTTGGAATCCCCGGTTGAGGTTACTCAGCACCCGCTCCTCGGTCGAACATGTCCGTGTGCCATGCGCATCTTCAGGTGACATCACCGTGAGGTGAGCTATTGTTCACACCCGCTTCTCGATCCGCAGTCTAACATACCTGCCCAGCCTCTACAACATCGCAAAGCACAACTCAACCATCCCTTTAATCATCTTCATACCGCCGTTCTCTCAGCCGGCTGAGCAGACTCCACTACCATCATGCTTCCAGGATTACCCAACCGCTGTCATCAACTACAGATGGCTGGCCCTTGAGGGAGATGACCGGCGGGAGGGTCCTCTCTACTGGCCCACACCGCTCCACGACATTAGTTTCGGCTACTCCTGGATCAAGGACAATCTCGGCGCTGGCACCGATGTTTCCACGACCCCTCGGGCTGCCTACGTCCATGGGTCGTACCTCGGCGCCACCCTCGCCGCCGCCCTGGCCTTGACCGAATCCTACGTGCCGGTGACAGGTCACTCCATGACCATCCGCGGTCTGATAGCCCAGAATGGCATATATAACTGGACCATGTTCCTGCCGGATCACCCAATCCACGCCCCCAAGCCCATGATAAGGAGGAAGAAACAGGGCCTTCTCAGCCAATTCCTCCGCGAGCACCCGGAGCGGCCAACCACCGTCGAAGAGGAGGGCATCTTCACGGATTTGAAACACCAAATGCCAGCCCTTTTCTCCACCCCGGACAACCTCTTCGACCCCTTCGCCTCGCCCTGCCTCTTCTTCCACTCACCCAACGTCCACGTCCCAGACGACTTCACCACTCCGCTCACCGCCACCGCCACCTCATCCCTTCCTTCAAATTTCATGTCCGCAGTCGACGCCCTAGCCAACCACTCCTCCTCCCCCTCCTCAGATTCTGACCCCAATTCAGAGTCCGAGTCAGCAGAAGACCTCCTGGAAAGCGCAACCCTCCGCGCAAAGCTTCTCAAGCCCCCACGAAAGGGCTACCTAACCTACCCTCCCCTCTCCTTCTCCTCAAACACCGGTCCCGTCCTGCGCATCCCGCCAACCCTTCTCCTCTACTCGACCCCACAACACCATAATCTTACACGAAGCAGCAGCAGCAGCAGGCAGACGGCCCTGCGCAACAGCTTTGCGGCACAAGCCCGCGAATTGGCCGGTTTGATGCTCCGGAGCGTGGACATGTACGAGCTGAGCGGGCATGGGCGGTATGGTCGGGGCAGGGAACGTGATAATAGGCATAAGGGGACGGCGCTGCAGGTGGAGGAGGAGTGGGGACAGGTGGTAGAGGATCCTGATGATGATGGGGGTCGGAAGATGAAGGTGGACTGGGAGAGGAGACGGGAGCTCGAGAGGCGGGTGCAGACGTTCGAAATTTCCCCGTCCCAGCAGGCTCAGGAAGAGCGGGGCGGGTTGAGGCTCGGGTTGGATGACAGGGCGGAGGAGGTTGTGAGAGAGTGGTTGAGCGAGAGGATTGAGGAGGATTTTGGTGGGGACGGGGACGACTCTGTATGAGTTGAGCTTGTGGTTCATTGTTCTGGCAGGATAGGTAGACAGGAGGAGTTCGGATGAAAAGCCTGCCCAAAGCACCACTAAGTGGTTTATGCAGAAGGTCCAAGTTCTCTGATTTCACCGACTACCACTGAATGGCCTAATGCTCAACAGCGGTGGTCACCACCGGGCTTGGTGGTGAGCCTCTTAGTTACGACCGCGTGGTCACCAATCGACTCCAAGTCCGGCCGCTCCCGCGCCCCTGCGCCTGCCCCGTGAAGCAAACCCTCCCGAGGGTTTCGTGACCGGCTACCTCTCTTACGCGCCCGTAAAGAGGGTTAGCCGGTGAGCTTTTACCTTTTTCCCTATTAAGCAGTACATGACTGGGCTGGAGATCATAGAGGATAGAGGATCAATATCCATTGGAGATGTAGAGAGTTTGCAAGACAACCGGCCTTGCTTAATTTGTGGGGAAGAATATCAATTTGCAATGACTTCAGTATGCCTGTTCATTTGGACGAGGTCCGAGGTATCCTCATTCATACTCTCTTGTTCTATTCACATCTATTCTGGCAGTCATGTGCCTATCTTCCATGTCTCAGTGGTTCTTCGGATGGACGACTCTGATGTACCTGGAGATTGAGTGTAGAAATGTGACAATTAAGGGGACATGATGTTCAATATGGTCTTGTCCATGGTAGGACTTATTTCCCAGACTCAATGGCCACCCAGCCTATGCATCCACGGATCCATTTCCCTACCCAAATGGCGGCCCAACCAGCCCGACCCAATCCAACGGACCGGGACGCATTGGCTCGGGTGCTTGCATGCTACCGCTGCACCATGCAAGCCACAAGCTCCATGCCAGATCCTCGACCGAGGTCAGCTAATCCAGAGTATGAACCATTGCACGCACGACAACAAGGCGCCGATGATGTCATCCAAGAGAACAAGCAGGGGACGTTGAAGGCCGTCGTCACCTATTCATTACCACCCCCCTCTCTCTGTACCAGTATTACGTCTATAACCAAAATAGCAGAAGGGATTTCACAATTATGATGGCAGCCATTGAAGGCGAATCCAAGCCAAGGCCCGGCGTAAATCTTGCACGGGCCCTGACGCCACCTTCAGGTTCCTTCCAACTCCCAACGCCTTCCGTCTCGAGGGGTATCGGGGTATCTCAACACCCGGGCTCGGTCCGCAAGTGCTGCGGGCTGAGCATCGTCACATCCTGGTCCGATGTCTTGGCGGCCCGGCGCCTGTGCGGCTCTCCGTACGCAGCATTCCGTCTGCGACTCGTTACGTCTAATAAATCGTAAAGCATCAATGATCGTCTCAGACCACGGGGTTCGTTCACCCCTTGGCGGGTTTCGGGCTGGAGGGCCCAGCAGCGGCGACTTCTGGTGTCCTGCTCCTTGACTTGTTTGGGTTTGGTTCTTGAAAAAGCCCATGCTCCTCGATGTACTGTCACATGTAAGCAAGCGATCAGATGTGATTGTCAAAGGGGTACCGACCTCCACAACAGGGTCCGGAATCAGGTACCTGACGCTCAGGTCTTTCTTCAGGAACAGCCGAACTTTGGTCGAGCTGATGTCGTTCTGAATGACCTGGCCGATGACCCAAATGTTCTTCTCATATTGCCTAAGCGTAGAAAGGGCTTCATCGATGTCGGTTCCAGAACGCTCAATGATGAATGCGCCGTAGCACCCGAGAATCGTATCTAGATCTTTGGGTGCCCAAAGGCCAGGCTCGCCTGGTGCGGTTAGCTAGTGTTGCATGAATATATTGGATCAAGCCTACCCATTGACATGACCAGATCAGCGCCTGCGGAAGTGATATTAGCATTTGTTTCACGCCCTATGCCATTCTTGACTCACCAGCCAAAAGCGCAATCCGAGCCTTCTTCATCTGCCCATCCGCGCCCTCAATGCCTCCCAGAACCGTGTTGATCTCATGGTCGAAGTGCTGCAAAACCTTGGCCGTCGGAACGTACTGTGGCTGGCCATTTTCGTCGGTATTCACCGTCTCGTAGGGGTCGACCATGAGCCAGGAAGAATGCTCGACGGCGCGCGAGCACATGTTGACGCGGTGATAGCCCGGCGCCAGTCCGACTTTCTTATAAGCGTCGCTGACCTGCATCCCGTCGTCAGCTTCTAGCCACACGCCCCGACTTCCCATGCAGATTATCGGCGCCATACCGGTGACAAGTATCCGGCGCACACCTCAAAGTCTGTATTGAACCGTACAAAGTCGGACGCCATCTCGAACATGCGAAGGTGGAGGAAGGTGATGGCTTGTTTCATCATGTCAGTCAGCAGCTGCGGCGGCCAGCTATGGAGACACACGGAAGACATACGAGAGAACGAGCCGCATGCAACCAGCACCAGAGGTGTCTTCCCCGGCTGCGTTTGCTTGCGCTTCAACTTGGTTGTTGGGAAGGTGTAGGGGTTCTGCGCGCCATCGAGGGCCGGCGACTCGATGAGCACCGCGGGCGTCTGCGTGCCCGAATCAATGGTTCCAGCAGTCATCTTGGAGAATTGGCGATGGCCGAGGTGTCTAGAACGAGTGGTTCGGGTGCTCCGTGGAGGGCAGGTAACGCAGCGAGGGCGGAATCGTAAATGTTCAGCCGAGGATGCGGGGCACGGCAGTCAATCCGGACGGAGCGGGACGCTGCCGAGCAGCTGATCGGTAATGCAGGAATGTGAGGTCGCCTTGTCGCCGAAAGCCGGCGCAAATATGGTTCCGACTGAAGGAGCGGCTTTGTCTATAGGAATCAACGATCTCGTTGGTCAGCAAAGGAGGCCGTCGTGTTTCTTTCTCGACTGAGGGGTCTCTGTGGATATTGAAGATTGAGATGACAGGGACCGGCCAGGCAGGCGCTGCGGAAACCATCTCCCACTTATTAAGCCGCTGACGCGGGGGGCTCAGTCAGTGGGATGCTCTTAACAATTTACGCATCAGATCGGGAGTCGGCGGCTTGCTTTGGTGCTGTACCTGGCCTTACAAGTCCGTTACCGGAGTTAAGCGTATCAAACCAAAAGGCGCATCCCACGTTTGCACTCGCGCAATTAATGACTGCTTTGCAGAAATACGGTGGCCGGGGTCGTGAATAATGGGACTTTGCAAGCTGCGGATTGAATTCATTTGGATTCTTGAAAGTCGTGACACAGCTCCTCCTGTTTCGAAACGAATGAGGGGACAAGCACCTAGGCATCCCGCCGGCGGGAAGAGAGGTTTCGAAAACCTATTCGTCAAACCAATCTCATCTTATTGCCAGGCGTTTGTGGCGAGGCCTCCGATACCGAGTCGCGAGTCACTCGAGTCACTCGTCATGATTCTGTTCAGGGCCCCATGGAAGTCCTAGGAGATGAAACTTCGGGTCGAGAGCCGCAAACGAGGTGGGGCTGAAGTGCCCCGCCGAAGCTGTGTTTGCGACTCGCCCGCTTGTAGATTCTGACGCCTCGGCGAGATATGTACCTTGACGTTCTATGAACTAAGGTAAGATGTACCTGGATTGAGCTCTTGGGCTGGATATTTCCGGACAATTACAACTCTGGTTCGTTGGGAAGCTTCCTTGAGAACCTCAACGTGCGTTCGTTCTTCTATTACGGGTTGACTCACACACTCAGCTGCCCGATCTCTGAAGTGCACATCCCGGTCCTCGTCAACTGTAGAGAAATCAAATCGTTAAAGAATGAGACAGCGATCGAAGTAAGAAGGTACATAAACGCCGCTTCGCTCTTCTCACAATCCATCCTCGTACTACCATACGTACTCTCAAAATCGCCTGAAGATCCCGGGATGTTGAAGCAATTTAGGTATTCATCTTACGCACAGTGGTTGCGCAGTGCCATGGGCTCGAGCCAGGCAGTTGCTTGGTGAACGAGAGGCCAGCCCAAACACCCCTGAACCCCCCTGAAGTTGACCTGAACACCAACCCATCAATATTCGAAACTCTCAGACACCACCTCTTCCTCCTCAAGCCAGTCCAAAACCGTTCTCAGCATCTCAGGGCTGGCGCAAGCAAAATACTTTGTTCCCCTCGCCGCATTCCTCGCCCCAAGCACATCTCCCCTTTGCATCCTCCTAATTTCCACCTTCGCTCCCAACTTCCTCACCGTCTCAACCATCTCCTTCCGGTGATCATCGCCATCCTTTATTTCACCCATCCCCGTAACAAAAACACTCGTCACTCGGCCCAAACCCTCAACCCTCTCAAATGAATCGATCGCCAACCCCAAATCCTCCGCCCTTAGACTCCACAACACCTCCATCTCCCTCCCCGCAGCCAACATCCCCGGCGCCTGCGCCAGAAGCGGCGTGATTCCGATTCCGCCCGCCACAAATACTGCTTTCTTTCCTTTCTGCGCTCCTTTCTTGCTGTCACCCTCACCACCACCAGCACCATCATCATCGAGAATGCGAAACCCCCCTACCCCACCCCCGACTCCCAAAACAGGCACCTCCAGCCCCGTGCCCTTATCCCCAAATTGTCGTGTAGAAAACAAGAGGCCCGTCACGGGACCGTGCTTGCGCAGCGTCAGCTGCACTTCTACCGCCTTCTTGTCCGCACCCTGACCGTCTGCTGCTGGTGGTGGAGGTGGAGGGTTAGAGATGGTGAAGGTCCGGACGAAATCGTCGTTTAGACTCTGCGGATCATTGTCGCGCATGTGACTGTACCCGAGGTCGAGTTCGGACGCGAGGGAGACGGTTATGTGCTGGCCGGGGAGCCAGGTCAGAAGCGGCGGTTGTTTTCTACTGATGTCGCTGCCAGAGGGCTGGTTTCCGCGGTACTGTTGCAGGAGAAAGGTGAAGCGGGCTATGGTGGGTGTGAGGTGCTCGCGACGGAGGATGGTTGCTGTTGCGAGCGGGGAGGTGGCTTCTTGCGGTTGGTGTGAGATGGTCGGTGGGTGTTCAGTTGCGAGGCGACGCACGCGGGGGTTGTACGGGCTCGGCTCGCCTGCCGTGCCCCGGAAAGGGAGGCTGTCTTTGACGAGGACGGCCGAGGTCACGGTGATCTTGACGGCGAGATTGGTGTGTGGCATGACTGAGGATGCAGCCGGGCCGACAAGGAGCTCGGTCGAGCCGGTCAGGTAGAGGACGTCGGAGGTGGTGAAATCAGGGATGACAATGCCAACTAGGGGATTGGTGTGCAGGTTGCCCAGCGTTTGGTACAGGCGGTTGCCTGAGTACTCTGGGTAGATCAGAGCCACACCGCCATCTGAGCTTCCAGCAGGCGAGTTGCTGAGGACACGCACGAAGCCGGCCTGTCCTCCGCGATGGTTGGTGTCCATCGTTTCCCCATTTGTCGAAGACAGGAAGAACATGTCTGCCTGCTCGATCAAGGCCAGGGCTTCTGGCGGAAGCGGCAGGGATGACGAGACCAGTTGTGGGGAAGGGATATGAGCGCGGATGGCCTTCTTGTTGATGTACTTGGGGCAGTTCCCCATACTCTCCTGAACAATCATGGCAATCTGCGCTTCGCCAATGGTATCGTTGTGTGCCTGCCCAGCGACAGTGCCGACGAGCATCTTGCCTGCCAGTTTGACGCGGTCTCGGCTTTCGAGATCAATGCTCAAGCCGCTCATTATCCGGTCGTCATCGGGCTGGAACACCTCCTCATCAGCTGCGGTTCCCATCAGGGCACGTATGACCGGATCATGGGCCTTGTCGACTATGCTCTGCATGCCCAGGAGGCCTTGGGCTACCGGTTGGGTAAAGCCACGCTCGCCGCCCCAGAGCGAGGTCCACGGCTGGCCTTGATCGTCAAGTGTTCCGACGGCCAGGAGAGGCGAGACAGTAACACGGTGAGCGTAGGACGCGGGCAGTCCGACCGCGGTTGGATTCCGGCGGCTTGACGTGGGCACTTTTAGCAGGGAGTGAACAGCCCGCTCGCCCGGGTGCCAGCCATTGGAATGCCCGAGCAGCGTTGGCATCTCTGGCAGGGGGTGGTAGCCGAGGAAGTTGGACTCTGATAAGAGGGCGACGTCTTGGAGCTGGGGCTGTGGTCGGTAGAAGCTCGCACCGCTGTGGACTATTAAACTATGCAGCAGCAGCAGCAAGAATGCCATAGCATTATCGAAGAGTTGGACATCGTCGTTTATGACTGTCTTCAGTCAGTCGAGCACCTGTGGCTTGAGGCGGGATGTTGCAGTCGCTGAGTCGCGCAGTCTGACAAATCAGCTATGCCAACGCTAAGGGATCGCGCGAAGGGCGCATCGATGCGCGACTGGCGACAAATCGGAGCATTCATGCCATGCCGCCCTTTGTTCGTTTGAAATTGTAGAACACGGCGGTTCAAGTACGATATTCTGTCTGCTTAGTAACCCAGGGTAGTCGAGCATTGAACAACTCCGACACATGCAATGAGAACGGGAAAAAGTTCAGCCTCAACTTCAACTTGTTTATTTGGCGCCTCCCATGCCGAAGCAAGCCTGCTGCATGTAGGGATATCTATATACAAAATCGTCCCGTGTATCCAAACTTGTATGGATATCTCACAGATTTCTCATCGCTTCATACCATCCTTCCAGATAGATCCGCCGCTTGGCCCGCTCAACTTTATGAACCCAAGAACGCCGTGTACCCAAAAGTGCATCCCACCGTGGTATGCAGTGCCTCAAACCAACGACATTCCACCTGCCCATATGTCGTCATTAGGTACTCATCGCCGTCTCTCATGACCAAGAACATGTGAGGGGTCGCCCTGGATCGATGAACACCCCATTGCAGGCGAGACCTCCCCCTTTCAAACCGGCCATGCTGCTCCTTGTGGAACACCGCGCACACCAACAACAGCGTACTGCAACTCACGACATGATGTCGTCCGAATAGTTGTCTCCGCCCCCTCAGAATCACCCGACGCCACCTCCCCTCCCGTTCTAGTTATCATCCCCCAAGTCATCACTACTGCTTGCTGACGACGTCGTTACCGTCCCGCGCACATTGTCCCGCGCCACGCTGACCAGGTGGTAGATGCCAAATGCGATCAACGCGAGGACGATGAACAGCACAATGATGATGACGGCAATGACATCGTTTTGCTTCATCTTTGTTGTTGCTCGCGCTTCGGCCGCCCGACCCTCTTATGACTTCCTCGAACTGTTGCGTTTTTGAAGTCAGGTAGGGCAAGAAAAACGCCGGTGGGAGTGAGGGCTTGAGGGACGACAGGGCCGAGCCGAGATGCGGTGTTTAGGGCAGTGCGGCGTAGGAATTTTGGCCCTGATCTGTCCGTTTAGGCGGTTGGCGGCGATGTAGGTAACCGGTGCTGGTTGTCGGGTCGATGTCCTGTGAAATAAAGACAACCGAGAGCTTGATCCCTCGAGTCTAACGATGGCAGGTCGGAAAGATGAGATAAAAGCCTGTCAAAGGTTAGCCGCACGAAGCCTGGTGAATGGAAGCAGGAGGAGAACCCACAGAAAGAAGCAGCTGTTTCGTTGCGGGGCTCTCAGAAGCTCAGGCTCAGCTGCGCAAGCTTGCGGAACCAACGCTCGAAAGCAGATGCTGTGTTCTCTCTCCTGTCTTCAAGACTTTCTGGACAGTCAGCCAGCAATCGAAACCAATTGCAGCAAGTCAGACGATAACAGAAAACCTAGTAACGTCGTTAAAGTCGTAAACTAAGACAGACAGGATGCATAACGTCAAGTTGGGCTGCCCGCGCGCAAGCAGGGTTGCCCGCATCAAATAGGGCTGGTTGCCCCGCCACCTGATTGTTGCCAAAAGTCAATAAAAGAGAAGGCTGGCAGAGCTGCAGGGCTCGCAACCGTCAGACCTGGGCCAAATGGGCGTGCACGTGCCACCTCGGCGGGGCGCCGACCAACCTCTTTGTGCAGTCGGGGGTTTTGATTTGTCCGTCAGGGTATCGAGCCAGGGTTCCGGCTTCCAGGTGCCAGGAAGGGTTCTCGAGTGCGTCACCGTGAGACGGACAGAAAAAACCAGAAAACCGGTCGATGCTGTGATGTCCTCTGAGAGTTGATAATTCCCAGGTGTGCCGTATCATGGCAGTAAACATCAACTCAAATCAATGACGCCTGATACACGCCCTATAGATCCAGCATGAGATACAACCCGAGTATTTACTGTCCCAGGGGAAACTCACTTGACGGATTCGATTGCAAAGCAACCCGCCTACTACCAATACACAAAGCGAAGAGTTCGAGAGCCAGTCAACTTCCCACCAGGGACGGAAATTAAACGCCAAAAATCACCTTGGAAAGGCATGCCGCCCAACCAGAAACGCGCCATTGCCTGGTCTGACCGAGGCACTTGCTGATGTGGAAATATGTTCGAAAAAGTAGCTGCCATGAGTTACTCCGGAGCCTCGCGGGCTGAGAAAACCGGCTTTCATTGGGGCGCCTCGGCGGCATCCATCTCGGGTTCCCTTTTGACGATGCGCACGTGCTGCTCGTAGAATTGCAGCATCTAGGACAGGTGAGCTTCTCAGCAGGGCGGGGCTGATGTGTGTCATCTGACATACCTTTTGGGGGCAGCGTTGATAAATCACGCTGGTCGGGTGCTGCGTCTTCTTGCCATTTTTCCATTCCAAATATACCATAAGCTTCCCCGATTCCTCGTCCTCACACGCGTCGAGGCTGACGATATGGTCTTCCCAACTCCCCGGCGGTGGCTTCCAGGTCGCGGCCTTGACGCTTGCTGGCGGTTCCGTGTCTGACGGGTGCTCCCCGTTCCTCTTCGACCTCTTTGTACTCGCTTGCGGGGTGGACGACGCCCGTTCCCTCTTCTTTCTTTTCAGCACGTTGGCGGTGTCTTCATAAAGCTTGTCGCGCCCGCCAATGCTCTCGAAGTACTCGTTGAGAGCTTCAGACGCGTTCTCGCTTCGAGAGGAAAGAGTCAGCCGGAGGACCGTGCCATGAATCGACCCGTCTCTTACGTCAAATTTTCCTCAGGTTCCCACGTCCGATCCGACTTCTTTTCGTAGCCCTCCCACTTGACTTCAAATAGCGGTTTTCCCTGTCTGTCCGTTAGATCCGAGCCCATATGCGACAATCATCCGAGCAGCGCCTCACCTTATTGTCAATCATATGTGACATGATTTTCTCCACCACGTAGCTATTACCCAGCGTTAGCAACCTCTTGCACCAATCCTCGCGCCAGCCAGATTCCACCCGTCACTTACACTTCCTCTTCCAGCTCCTCGTCGTCCTCGCCGGGCTCGTCGGCCTCCTCATCCTCCCCAGCATCTGCCGCAACCCCGTTCTTATCGTCTGTCGAGACGCGCTCGGATTCTTCAGGCGTTACATCTTCGTACTTGACAGGCTTTCGCGCACGGCCGCCGGTGTTTTTGGTCGAGGCGGACTCGGGCTCGACGTCCGAGTGTTCCTCGTTGTCGCTAAAAGCTGCGGAATTGATTGTTAGACCGAAAACTTCTCGCGCAGAGTGTCTCAGAAATTTGTGGTAAGCAGAGAGGGCCGATTGGCGATGTGACGCGACAAGTCGCGACTCAACCTTGAAACAGGGTTCGCTGAAGTGCAGAAGACGTGAATGAGAGGCTTACCAGGTGGCATTGTGATGATCCGGCAAAGGCTCAAGGTCGGATGCTGCGAGTAGACGGAAATAAAAGTTTCGTTCAAAGTTGAGACGTTGGCAGTGCAGCTGCATCTGCTAGATTCGCGAATATGGATTACTCCGTGTAGATCGAAGTGGTGATGGCTTCGCGGCTGGCGCAAACGCGGAAAAGTGGGGCTTGGGGCGTTAAGGTCAACTGTGGCGCCTTATCGACCACGTGACCTGCTCGGCGACCGGAGAAATTTCGGTTTCTTGTCGCAATGGGGAAAGGGTTTAGGACAGCGCTATTTTCCCGACCTTGGTGCCTTCCGTTCTCCTTCCATATCTCACTTTGTATACGGAGGTACCGCTGCTCACAATCTTCATTACGTCAACCTTATTATGAGCGGTCTACAATGGCAAGAAATAACATCTCATTCCCCATCAACATATGATTCTACGTTGAATGACAAACTCAAGCGACATACTTCCCTGTTGGTCCCGTCGTACTGAACTTCACCGAACGGTATCCTCTTCGAGTTCACTCGAGACCCAGCGGCTTCACGTTGCCACGGACGTTGAGTGAAACACACCTCCAAACCACGGTCACACGAGGAGAGGTGTTTTGTCGCTACCACAGTAGAGAGGTTCTATGCCTCTTGCTACCAATAACGTTTTGACTTGTCCACATGGGACCTCACTGGGTGTGACCCACGCGAGCACATCCAGTCCGGCAACCATCCACTGCAGCGGGACCTGGCCCAGAAGTTCGGCGGAGCTAACGTTGAAGCTAACGATGCCTTTGGGTCCGCCAAAAAACCGCCATTGGTCCGGCAAGTTGACCGACCAGGCCGGTCTCAGGGGCGGGAATCGTTCAGGGCCTCCTTGTCGCGGCGTTGCTTCGTACAACAGGGTTCGAAAGGAAGACGAACGGGTTCAGCTTTCAGCGACGACAGTTTAATGGGCTGGAAAAGATCCGCAGAAAAAGCAAGGTGCGACGGAAGAACGCAACCCGTGGAGATGCCAGAAATGACCCTTCTCGTGTTGTTGAAAATTGACCAGATCAGCAAACGCATCGGCTTGTCACTTTTTACAGCGCCCAAATAACGTTAAGGCTACCGGCAGCCTGCGGCTCAGGCCGCCGGTGATCAGCGCCAAGCAATGACGGAACCAACGGTGATTCCCTCGAGCATCATTGCTCAGGCCCAATTGGTTACGGGAAACGTTAAGACTCTATCCGTACCACAAATCTGTACCGCATCGACATGAGTGAGAACGCTATTATCTGAAATAGGATGATCAAGTGGATGAGTACCTTATGTGAGCGCACGGTCGCTTTCACTGTACAAAACGCGGAAAGCATGGGACGAGTGCGATGCTGCAGAATGCTGCTTCTGGCCGACGGGACGGGAACCTTGGAAGGGCTCCGAGGATGGGTTTCGCTCACAAACGGCATCGCAACGCTTCCCCTGCAGCCCTTCCTTTGACCTGCAACCAACGGCTGGATCCTGCAAACCAACAACTTGTCTGTCGAAATCTCACACGGTTTGATGGCTCCTGAGAACCCCGGTTGCGCTAATACCTGCCCTGTCCGGAAATGCTACCCGGACTGGAAAAAAGGGGCTGAAAAAGTACATTGAGCGTGATGACAGTCTTCTCAGAAGCAAAAATGGTCCACCACGACCAACACTTATTAAACTACCGCCTGCCCCGGGACGCCTTACCCAGCGTCTTGCATCACTAAATCCAGACGATCTCGAATGGCTTGCAACGGTATTGCTCCTCAAAGGGGGCTGATTGACCAATACCACGACATTTCCGTTGATCTCCTGGGTTATCTTGCACCATTCTCGGTCCACCATCCGGTTTACCGCATTCGGTTCTAGAGAAGCGGACAACATGGACCAGCCAAACCGTCTACCTCCCGACGGAAACACGACAAAGGCCGTGAAAGACAAGAAATGCCCGTACTGTCACCAGGCATTCACGTCTTCCTCCTTGGGCCGCCATCTCGACCTCTACATCCGGGAGAAGAACCCGAAGGCGCCAGATGGAGTGCACGACGTGGAAGCCATACGGAAGATCAGACAGAACATCACGCGTCGACAACCCAAAGGCGCCGTGCCTCGGCGATCTACGTCAGTCTCTCTGCGGGCCTCGAGCACAGTACCGAGGAAGAATCCCGTTTCCGGGGATGCCGACTCATCCGCCGCGAAATCTCCATCGTTCCAGAGGGAGGGCTCACAGTCGGGGAGCGTCTATGCCAACAGATACCCCTTCAAGCCCCACTGGGAAACTACGGGAGTCATCAATGGCCTGCAAGACGGATCAGCCGGAGACCCCGATGGTGATGGGGTTGGTAGGGGGTCGCGATCCGCCTCGCTGCAACGGGCTGTCAGCCGGCAAACGCTGAAGCAGCTGCTGGACATGCGACAGCAGATCCAGGATGCCCAAGACAGAACCAGGGCTGCAGAGTTGGCATTGCGGGAATTGCTCAGTTCGCTGAGGGCCGCAAAGTCCGTTCCCCTTGCTCAGTTGCGCCCTTGGCCAGGTGTGTCCGTCACTCATGCTGACCACAGCTCACAGGCAACAACTCGACCTTGACTCGGTGCCTTTCGACTTCGACCCCTTTTCATTAGATTTTCCGGCGCTCACGCTGCAATGCCTCGAGCCGCCACCGACTTTGTTCGCATCCACTCAGCACCCAACGCCGACGTCCTGGTCAATACTACCACCAGGACGAAGCCAACTGGAGGCGCTACACGCATTTTTTCAAAAGGAATTCAAGGAATGGAGAATTGCATGTGCGGCAGCCACGACGGCCGTCACCGAGGAACTAACATATCCGCCAACCCCCAACACTGGGAGCGCAAACAAGAAGGCTCAGATCCTCAAGGCAGAGCAGGCGGTGGCAAAAATGGAGAAGCATGTCTATGACCACCTCGAGGCCACCTACGCAATATGGGAAGCATTAGCGCAGGAACAGCGTGAGCAGCTCTGGAGACTGGAGCTGGCGCGAGGCGTGGGCAGAAAGCAGAAACAGGTGGACCAGTTGAAGGAAGGGCAACACCTGCTCCGACAAGAGAACACGAATCTCAAGATGCAGCTCGAGCAATTGACTCGATTGCAACAGCCGCAAGAATTCCAAATCGCGCCTCCATCAACTATTTTCATCGACGAGAAACTGATGGCACGCGTCTTGGTGGATAATATGGAAACCAAGGGGCTTGCCGGATTCAACATCACCGACCGCGATGCCGACTTGAGCACCCTTGTCTCGTCCGTCATTGACCGATGGAAGAGTGTGATCGTCGGAGCCCGGTCGGCCAGCGGCGGTCTCCGTGCGCAACGACCCCTCGACACTTTTTCTACAGGAGAACTGAGCCCCGAAGAATCAACAGGAGGCACATGCTTGACAAATCAGCAGCAGTCCGCGTCGGGTCACTACCAATCTCCTCGCTCACAGTACACACCCACAATCAGCAGCCAAGCAACGAGGCACCCCTCCTCGGCTGCTTCCACATCAGCGGCACTGATACCGCGACTGCGAACAACCCCCGCCGTCCCCGGTACTGCACCTTCGACGAGTATTCAAGAGGATGAGGACGAAGACAAAGTAATGAGCGATCAGGACGCCGAATCAGATGCGGACTCAACGCAAGACGCAGACCAAGACGGCGACGCAGAAGGTGACACTGATGCCGACGCCGACGCGGATGGGGATGCTGACATGGACGACGACCTTGGGGATTACCCGGCCGTCCCGCACCGCGCTATCCAACATCAACAACCACACCAGTTACATTCGGCCGTGTCTGTTGCCTACGGTAGATGAGAAGGCTCGAAGCGGGACGGGCACCCAGGCGGGAGGAGTAATTAGAGGACGGCATGGCGGCAGGGATTACTCCACCAAGGCCAGGTTGCCATTCCGGGTCAGATACCGAGCTGGGCTGGATAGCCTTTCTGGAAAATGGAACAACAGAAAGCATGAATAGGGTGTAACAACATGGGGCTCAGGTTGGCGTGAGAGATGCGTCTTGCTTCCGGCACATCCTTCGCCCAAGGGCTCCTTTTGCTTGCTTGGATGCAGAGGTAGGATACTTTGTGTAAGGATAGCGTAAGGACCCAATCAATGTCTGTTAAACCTGATTCGAGGCCGACTGAGTCTTGCCAACTCTTAGTTCGAGTGTCGTTATATTTACTTACTCCTGAAGCCGACTCAGGGGGCAATGAAAGTTGCCCCTGCTGGGTTAGGGTTGTATCATTGAAGCACACGACCGACATTGAGTCACCCCGCCAAAAAGTTTTGGGTCAAGTTGTGGTCTCAAAATTATAACCCCGCTGTGGATTCCCTGCTACTGGGCTCCCCCGCCGTTTCTGCAATCCCTCACCTCCTCTACACACGACCAGACAAGTCGACGATTGCATTGGCCCTCGTCGTCTGTTGCTGCTGCGATTGAACAGAATCAGCACTCATAAAGTATAGAACATGGCGGACTCGACCGCCCCAGCCCCCCCGACCGACGAGGTCGCCAACCTCCACCTCGACGAAGTGACGGGCGAGCGCGTGTCCAAGACGGAGCTGAAGAAGCGCCAGAAGCAGCGCCAGAAGGAGGCTGAGAAGGCGGCCAAGGCTGCTGCCGCGCCGCCCAAGGCCGCGGGCAGCAAACCCAAGAATGCCGCTGGTGAGGAGGAGAAGGACCTCAACCCGAACCAGTACTACGAGATTCGGACGCGGCACATCAACGAGCGTATGTTGCAAGTCACTTGTCATTCTCGTCGTGGATTTTGTATAAGAGCTAGATATCTGACTCGACGTCGACATGTAAACAGTGCTCAAAAACCCCGAGACCAACCCGTACCCGCACAAGTTCCAGGTGACGTACGACGACTCCAAGTTCTTTGAGGAGTACGGCCATCTCAAATCGGGCGAGACGGCGGAGGACAAGGAGATCCGTATCGCCGGCCGTATCTACAACAAGCGTGCGAGCGGCTCCAAACTGATCTTTTACGGTACTCCTACTCCTTCCTCTTCTCCACCCTCACCCCCCGTATCGCCCGTCATACCCCTACTCACATTTCCCCTGTATTACTAGACATCCGCACGTCGGCCGACACAGTCAGCATCGGCACGCAGCTGCAGGTGGTCTGCCAGGCGCAGCTGGTTAAGGAGGGCGCGCCGGCCTTTGAGAAGCAGCACGAGAACATCCGCCGTGGCGATGTCATTGGCATTGTCGGCTATGCGGGGCGCACCAACCCCAAGAACCGGCTCGCCGAGGGCAAGGAGGGCGAGCTGTCTATCTTCGCGACCGAGATCGTTCTGTTGAGCCCGTGCTTGCATATGCTGCCAAGTGTGAGGTTTCCCTTCTCGGATTCGGAGCAGCGGGCGCGCATGCGGTACCTGGATATGCTCTGGAACGATAGGAGTCGCCAGGTGCTGTGGCAGCGCAGCCGGATGGTGCGGTACATCCGCGACTGTGAGTGTTGTTCTGTCTGGGTGTGGTTGCGTGCGTGTCTGACAGGATCTAGTCTTCCATGAGCGGCGCTTCATCGAGGTGGAGACGCCCATGATGCACGCCATTGCTGGCGGTGCCACGGCTGTAAGTCGACTTTTCACCTGGGCTAGCAAAGAGAGACTGACCGCGGTAGCTTCCGTTCATCACTCACCACAATGACCTCGACATCGACATGTACATGAGAGTCGCCCCCGAGTTGTTCCTCAAGAAAATGATTGTCGGCCAATTTGGCAAAGTTTTTGAGCTCGGCAAGAACTTCCGGAACGAGGGCATCGACCTCACGCACAACCCCGAATTCACGTCCTGCGAGTTTTACTGGGCGTATGCCGATGTGTATGACCTTATGTCTATAACCGAGGAACTGGTTTCGTCGCTGGTCAAGGAGCTCACAGGCTCGTACAAGACGACCTTCACAACCCAGCACGGCGAAACGTACGAGGTCAACTGGGAGGCACCGTGGAGGCGGGTCGAGATGATCCCCGAGCTCGAGAAGGCCACGGGTGAGAAGTTCCCTCCGTACGAGGAGCTCCACACCGAGGAGACGAACCAGTTCTTGCAGAGGGTCTGCAAGAAGGTCGGCGTTGAGTGCCCGCCGCCGCTCACCAACGCCCGCATGATCGACAAGCTCACGGGCGAGTTTATCGAGGAGACCTGTGTCAACCCAACCTTCATTCGTGAGTACCAAGTCCAAGGGGGTTGCTGTGGGGGTGGATACTGACCTGAGGCGCAGTTGAGCACCCGCAAATGATGAGTCCGTTGGCCAAGTATCACCGGTCCAAGAAGGGTATGTGCTGATGTCGCCTATTCCTCTGTCTAACGTGTTGGCTAACTATCAACTGGTGGACAGGTCTCTGTGAGAGATTTGAGTGCGTCACACCGCCGGATGCTGCATGTTTGTCTCGCGACGTGGGTACTGACAGTTAGATAGGGCCTTCGTCTGCAAGAAGGAGATTGCCAATGCGTACACCGAGTTGAACAACCCGTTCGACCAGCGGCTGCGGTTTGAAGAACAGGCCCGCCAGAAGGCCCAGGGTGATGACGAGGCGTATGTTCTTCATCGTATCCTCGAGGTGACGCGGCCAATCTAACTTGTGCTTTCCCAGTCAACTCGTTGACGAGAGCTTCCTGAACGCCCTCGAGTATGGCTGTAAGTGGCGCATCTCATGCATGGCGGAACGTTTAAAGTGCTGACATGCATGCTCTCTCAAGTACCGCCCACTGGTGGTTGGGGTCTCGGTATCGACCGCCTTGCTATGGTAGGAGAAATCTGCGAGACACGGCACAGTTCCCCTGAATGCCAAGCTAACGGTGGATGCAGTTTATTACGAACAACTACTCGATCCGGGAGGTTCTGGCCTTCCCATTTCTTCGCGAGGAGAAGCAGGCGCCCAAGGAGAAATTTGCAGCTGAGCTTGTCGATGTCCAGCCCCTTCCCGAGGAGGGCATTCGTAAGTGTCTAGGCAGAAGTTTCCGTCTAGATTCGTACATTTGTTGACTTTGCCGCAGCGCACAAATAGATGAGGGTTTCGGGATGATATACACTAAAAGAGTACGGTGTAGAGGGTTGCTTCTGTGTAAAAAAAAATCTAGGCTGAGTGGCTCTCTCGCAAAAGTACACAGGAAGCTGTGGGTGCTGATATGGGCTCGGCGGGGAAAGACGATGCAGCTGCTGAGGGCGAAGATCCTCTCAAAAATACCGACGCAACTCGATCGTCGACCAGTACACACAATGTTGTTCCTGATCTCGATTTGTTTGGGTGACGCGGCCTCTTCAGAATCGGGCAACCTGGCTTGGTATAAGTCCCTTGGAGAGCGCATTGGAGGGTCTTGGCACCTGTGACATCGTGGAGCACGTTCTGCTGAGCGGCCCGCATAAGCGAAATGTGGGGGCACAGCTCCGTCGGAAATCACAGATTGTCCGATGGCCCGCTGCGACCATTTTGAAGGTTGGGCATTTCGGAAAGAGGACTGTTACAGCCGTTCTGCGGCGGAGCAATTCCGACGATACCAAACGTCGCTTTCACTCGTGGGTGCTTAACGATGAAGGGTGCCGCTTCCAGCAGAGGCTCATTTCGTGTTGTACGTGTCAGCCAAGGCCGATCGATGGGAAGTTCCCAAATCCAACGCTCGCCAAGCAGTTAGCTCAAAGAAGCGATGCTGAGCCTCGCTTCGAGAATGTGACCTTAATACTTCAGGAGCCCACCCCTCCCCTTCTCCTCTGACATCCCTTGGTTCATGTTCGTATTTCTTCACCTCATATTCTGTCGATGATTGTCAGCAAAAGATGGATTGTCTGTCAAGCAACGAAACCGTCTGATGTCTAACCACAGAGAATCGGACGAAACAGTCGGGACGCCTTTACTTAATTTGGGCCCCATCCTGAGACGTCCAAGTCGCTTGGGACCAATCGAGTGCTGAGACCAACACGGCACAATCCGGCGCCATTTCTGGACCCAAGACAGTGGGAAGCGCCCACCCGACGCTGATCGCACACCGAGAAGGGTCAAGGGCGAACCGGACTGTCATGGCGCTTCTCGGCCAGACATGGACCCTGACGCGCAAGAACTGGCTCATCGTCCTCGGCCGCCACAGTCTCGCTACCGTTCTCCGCGCGCTCGTCCTCCCCATCATCCTGGCCGCCTTTCTCAGCTATGCGCGCAACCTCTTTTCGCCGTCAGCCCGGTACGGCATCAGCGCCGTGCGTCCGGTGCGCTCGTTGGCGGATGGCTTAAATCGGGCCGCGCGCAGTGGGAGGGAGGTGGTCGTGTTTGTGAATAGTGGGTTTACGGGGGGGCAGATCGAGGGCGTGATTGACGAGTTGGCGGCTGAGGTACGGCATGCGGGCAAGAACGCGACGGTTCTCGAGACGGAGGACGACGTGCCGTACATATGCAAGGCGTCTCTCCGCGGTGTCACGCCATGCTACGGCGCCGTGGTGTTTCGAGGCTCGCCTACCGAGGGCGGCGGCGGCTTGTGGAACTACACGCTCCGCGCAGATGCTTCGCTGGGCCTCGGCCGCATCAACGTTGACGTGGATACCAATGACGCCCAGGTCTATCTGCTGCCCATGCAGCATGCCGTCGACCGGGCCATCTCGCGCCAGAACAGTGGCTCCAACGGCGATGGCGCCGTGCCGCTCCCAGAGGCCATGGACCAGTATCCCTTTACGTCGCTCACCACCGAGGAGTTCGCGGACCGCGTCCGTCAGACCTACCAGGACATGATCATGAATTTCCTGGGCGTCGCCTTCATCGTGTCGATCATAGGCGTGGTTTATCACCTGTCCGGTTTCATGGCTACCGAGCGCGAGTCGGGCATGTCAACCCTCATCGAGGCCATGATGGCCACCAAGAGCCGCTGGCAGCCCCAGGCCGCCCGCCTCCTCTCGTATCACCTGTCCTTCTCGGTGCTGTACCTTCCCGGCTGGGTTATCTCGGCCTTCATCTTGTGGGCTGGCGTCTTCCGTCAAACAAGCCCGGCCGTGATCCTGCTGTACTTCATCCTCTCCGGTCTGGCGCTGAGCTCCATGTCCATTCTCGGCGCAGCCTTCTTCAAGAAATCGCAGCTGAGCGGCGTTTCCATCACCATCGTGTACATTCTCCTGGCCATCATCGCTCAGTCGGTGAGTTGGCCCAGGACGCCGACCGTCGTCGCACTGAGTCTGTTGTTCACGCCATGCAATTTCACCTTCTTCATCTCGCTGCTCGCCCGGTGGCAGAAGCAGCTATGGCCGACCGACCTCACCCAGTCGCCTCCGGACAGCCCATGGGAGCTGTCCGGCATTGTCTTCTTTGTCTTCCTCGCCGTCCAAATCATTGTCTATCCCATCCTCGGTGCCCTGATCGAGAGGTGGCTGCACGGCACCACGTCCAGCGGGCGCAACATCGTTGTGGGTGACGATCGTGGCGATCTCGGCCCAGACTGCACTGTGCAGCTTGACGAGTTTACCAAAGTGTACAGCCCTGGCATCCTCCGCCGCATGTTCTCCTTCGTTTCGAAGCCCAAGGAGCCCGTGGTGGCTGTCAACAAACTCACGCTGAGCGCGAGCCGCGGTCAGATCCTCGCCTTGCTGGGCGCTAACGGCAGCGGCAAGAGCACCACCCTCGACACCATTGCCGGCATCAACAAGGCCACCAGCGGGAAGATCACTATCGACGGCACCGGCGGCCTCGGCATTGCCCCGCAGAAAAACGTGCTTTGGGACGAGCTGACGGTCTACGAGCACATCCGCATCTTCAACAAGCTCAAGTCGCCCGGCCACTATGCCACCAAAGAGGAGATTCGCCAGTTGGTTGTGTCGATCGACCTCGAGCAAAAAATCAAGGCCCAGTCACGGACGCTGTCGGGCGGCCAGAAGCGGAAGCTCCAGCTCGGCATGATGCTCACGGGCGGCAGCGCCGTGTGCTGCGTGGACGAGGTCTCGAGCGGCCTGGACCCGCTGAGCCGGAGAAAGATCTGGGACATCCTGCTCGCCGAGCGCGGGCGGCGCACCATGATCCTGACGACGCACTTCCTCGACGAGGCGGACCTGCTGGCCGATTACATCGCCGTCATGTCCAAGGGCAACCTCCGCGCCCAGGGCACGTCGGTCGAGCTCAAGGACCGCCTCGGCGGCGGGTACAGGATCCATGTCCATGGCGTCAAGCGGATCCCATACCTCCCGGATATTGTGGGCGTCAGGAAGAAGGCGACCCGTGAGGAGGCCGCGTACGTCGCGTCGACGTCGGCCATGGCGGCTACCGTGATTAGGGAGCTGGAGGCCGCGGACATCACCGACTACCGGTTTTCTGGGCCGACGATTGAGGATGTCTTCTTGCAGCTTGCTGAGGAGGTCAAAGCCGAAGGCGGTTTCCCCGACTCGCGAGGTGTTCTCAGCTCGGCGGATGAGAAATCCGAGAAGACTGCTGAGGCCGCTGAACCCGAGAAGGGCCTCGAGCTCATGTCTGGACAGCCCGTCAGTTTCCTGCGGCAGATTTGGGTGCTTTTCATCAAGCGCTGCGTCATCTTCAAAGGAAATTCGTTCCCGTCCGTGGCTGCGTTTGCCATTCCCATTGTCGCATCTGGTCTAGTGATGCTGTTCGTTAGGGGCCAGCATGGGCTTGGCTGTTCGCCGGCCGAGCAATCGTCGAGGGCGACGGCAATCAATGTCTTTGACAGCGGGTTCAAGCTCTTCCTAGCTGGCGGTCCGGCCGACAAGTTCACGCAGTCGAACCTTCTGCGTCTGTTCGCGCCCATTTACCTCAACACGGGGGGCGAGCTCGGCGACGGTAATGCCACTCAGGGGGACGGTCTCTCTGCCAGAGCTCTTACCAACCCAGCCGACTTCCTAAAGAACATCACCCTCGTCAACTCGTTCGATGAGTTTAACAGTGCTGTTGTCCAGTACCGTAAGAACATCACACCAGCTGCCATCTGGCTCGGCGATGACAATTCCCGCCCGACGCTCGCCTTCAGGGGCAACGGTGCGGAGGCCATCAACGCTTGGTTTGGCAAGCGGGCCATGGACATGCTTCTCACCAACAGCACCATCGCGTCGACCTACGTCCCCTTCGACAGGCCGTACGCCCCTGACATGGGCAACTCGCTGCAGCTGCTCGTCTATGTCAGTCTCGCCCTCTGTGCCTACCCCGCTTTCTTCTCGCTGTATCCGAATCTGGAACGCCGCCGTCAAGTCCGCGGCTTGCAGTACTCCAACGGTGTCAAGCCGTTGCCACTGTGGCTCGCCTACACAGGTTTTGACTTTGCCATTGTCGTGATCGGCGCTGTGATCAGCATTGCGCTGTTTGTTGGTCTGGCGCCGGACTTGTGGTACCACGTAGGCTACGTCTTTTTGGTCTTCATCCTGCACGGCCTGGCCTCAATCCTTCTGGCGTACAACGTGTCGCTGTTCAGCGCAAACCAGCTCTCGGCCTATGCCATCACCGCCGCCTACCAAGTCGTTCTGCTCCTCCTCTACCTGATCGGCTACATGTCTGTCGTCACGTACGCGCCCGTTCCCCAGATCGACCGCTTGTTGCTGGTCGTGCACTTTGCCGTCTCGGTGCTGGCGCCCATCACATCCGTTGTCCGCACCCTCTTCGTGGCGCTGAACCTCTTCTCCACCGCTTGCGACGGCAACCAGCTCTCGCCCAACCCGGCCAGCATGGTCCAGTACGGCGGTCCCATTGTCTACCTCATCGTCCAAACCGTCCTCCTCTTCCTCGTCCTCGTCTGGGCCGACGGCGGCAACGCAGGCTTCAGCCTCTGGCGCATGCTCAAGCGCTCCTCCCCTCCCTCGCCCACCACCACCGCCGAGGAACGAGCGGCCATCTCGGACGAGGAAGTCGCCAACGAGCTCGTCCGCGTCAAGTCCTCGGCCACCAACCCGGGCACCAGCGCCACCGACGGCCTGCGCGTCATTAACCTGACCAAATCCTTCGGCTCCAACACGGCCGTCGACAACGTCACCTTTGGCGTGCCCCACGGCGAGGTATTCGCCCTGCTCGGCCCCAACGGCGCAGGCAAATCTACCACCATCTCGGTCATCCGCGGCGACCTGAAGCCATCCGGCCCCGGAGGCAGAGGCGGCGACGTGTTTGTCGAGGAAGCGAGCGTCACGCGCCACCTCACCGCCGCCCGCGCCCATCTGGGCGTCTGCCCCCAATTCGATGCTGTCGACCAGATGACGGTCGAGGAACATTTGCGGTTTTACGCCCGCGTGCGCGGGATTCCGGATGTCGAGCACAACGTGTCGGCCGTGATCCGCGCCGTGGGACTGCAGGCGTTTCGCGATCGCCAGGCGCACGCCCTGTCGGGCGGGAACAAGAGGAAGCTGTCGCTGGGGATCGCCCTCATGGGGAACCCGACCGTCGTGCTGCTGGACGAGCCCAGTTCGGGGTTGGATGCGGCGGCTAAGCGTGTCATGTGGCGCACGCTGGCGGCTACTGTTCCCGGAAGGAGTATCTTGTTGACCACGCACAGCATGGAAGAGGCCGATGCGCTGGCGGGACGGGTCGGGATTCTGGCCAAGAGGATGCTGGCGATGGGGAGCATTGACGCGCTCAGGCGCAGGTGGGGGGATCAGCTGCATGTGCACCTTGTTTGCAAGGGCGCGCCGAGGACGAGGGAGGAGGATGTGGAGAGGGTCAGGAGCTGGGTCGTGCAGACGTTCGGGGCCGGGGCCGAGGTCGAGGAGAAGACGTATCATGGCCAGATGCGGTTCCGCGTGCCCGTCGAGGCGCTTGAGGGTGGCAGGCAGAGGCAGCAGCAGGTGGGTGGGGATGAGATTGCTGCGGCCTCTAGTCCGGGTTCGGGGTCGGCCATTGGCAAGTTGGTGGTGTTGTTGGAGGAGAATAGGGAGTATCTTGGGGTGGAGCATTACAGTGTCAGTCCGACGACGCTGGATCAGGTGTTTTTGACCGTTGTTGGGAGACATAATGTTAAGGAGGAGGGGTATCATGAGGAGAAGAAGGCCAAGAAGAAATGGTGGCGGTTTGAGAGATAGGGAGTTGGTCTCAGATCCGGGCGCTCCTCTAGGAGGTTTCGTTTCCTGTCTTTGCATGGTAGAGCGAGCATCAAGTTGCTGGCGGGGTTGAACACTGCCTTGGACGGGTATACCTCTATTGTTTCTCGAGTATATATGGTCTTGCAGATAGCTATGTTCTCAAACTAGAGATAGATAATCTGGCATCGCATTTAGACTTTTATTTTGAGTAAAACCAAAGCAGCAAACAGCAAATGCCCTCATACAGCTATTGATGCGTCCCCTGGCCTAGTGTGCTGTCACCCCTGGACCAGAAGGCAGACACATCTTGGCCCCATGAAATATTTGGATCGCGCTCTTTGCCTGACCATGGCATGAGCTTGTATGATGCTAGCCGGATAGACGGATTGAAGGGGCAGTGGAAGTACACATGAACTGAGAAGTGTCTATTAAATATGGTAGTACCGTTGTGGAGTTGTGAACCGTCCGCTTCCTCGGGGCCATAATAGAAGCATGAATCCAAGTGCATTCATGATGAAGAATCCGCTTCCCAAAGCCATGTCATCAATCCGTATGCAATATGTACATGTGCGTAGTTAAACACAACGAAGGTCCTGAGTCAGACCTGGTATAACGTCCCGGTGTCATCCAAGTCCCGGGAGTCCAGACGGAAGCAAAGTGTAGTCAACGGCACATACTCAACGAGAAACGATACGTTACCATCAACGGTGCGTTTCCTTTGCGCCCAAGGCAGACCGCCCATCAATGTTTAATATCGTGACCCGCCTCGCTCCAAATCCTGACTCCACCCGTTGTTATTGTCGTATCCTCCATGAGGAGGTCCCCTGGGCCCGACTTCCCTACTTGGAGTTGCCCTCTGAGAGAATTCGTACGCGCTGTTGTTGTCTCGTGCTTCATACAACCCCGCATTCGCCATATTCCTCAGCGAACTGTTGCTCGTGGTCGGTTGGCGGTACGGCTGGTACGGCTGAGCCGCGTGTTGCATGCCTCTTAGCGATCCGTTGCTATCGGAACGCTGATGGGAAGGGTGCATCGGCTGGGTCATGGCTCGTGAAGGAGCAAACTGCGGCTGGCCTCGTGGGGGCATGGGATTGGTGGCGCTGCGGATGGGGTATCCGTCCGGCCCCATCCCACGCGGTGGCATTGGATCAATGCGGTACGTGGTCGCCGACGGTGCGGGACTCGCGCGCCCGCTCGACGGATCGTCAAATGGTGACCTGTTGTCGCCAGAATACGGTAGCCTGTCTCTGGTTCGATTTGGCCCCGGCCCTCGATGATTGCTGTAGGGCCCTGGAGACATGACGGGAGGCGGATGGGATGGCATCGTCTCCGAGGAATACATGGACGGGCTGGCTGTGTATCCGTTGCGTAGCGACGAGCCGTTGGAACCCATGCGCTGGAGCTGTGGACCTGGTCCGTAACTCCTGTTGGATACTGAGGTGGCAGTGTGCACAGGAGGGTAGCCATCGAGCTCGACCGGCGGCAGAGTCGGGGCGGGCGAGCCCGAACGGGCCACACCTATCTCAGCAGCACCCGCAAGAAGCGACGCATTAGATGAGTACTCGCTTGCTGTCGTTAACTTGGTTTCCGACCGCCGAGGCATCGGCTGCTTCCGGCCCATGGCGTTCATCTCAAAGCTCCCAGGGGTGTTCGGCCGAGAAGGCTTCTCGGAGAACGAGGCGAAGGTGTCGGCGCGGTTGAGTGAAGGCATCTCGGGAAGACTGTCGTCAGTAAGAACAGGGAGTGATGGTTTCATCGACTTTGGCCTCTCTTCGCCATTCTTCTTGGCTGCCTTGAACTCTGCTTTCCTCCTCTTTCGCTCCTCCTCGGCCATGGCCTTGTTGATTTTGACAGAGACAATCTGCTTCAGACGCTTGTTAACCTTGCGCTCGCAGAAGCCCGTCAGACCGCCATCCTCGCGCGGGATGTAACTCCATAAGAAGAAGACGAAAAACAGTGCCGCCAGGAGCAACGACAAAAACGAAAAGGCCCAGATGACGACGGTGAAAAGCATGCCCGACAGAATGACAACCTGTCGCGGTTCCTCGGACGCGAGCAGCCCGAGTTTATCGAAGAAACCCGTGAAAGATGCTCCAAAACTGTCCTCATGAACCTCGAGGCTCACGCGGTATACAGAATAGAGCGTGAGAGCGTTAATGACCTGGCGGGGCCCAGAGCAGAGGAGAGTGCGAATCCATGCTTTTCCGGGTTAGCAAAAGCCATGCGTCAGCCACTTGCCCAGAGAACTAATCTTACATTGAAAGCTGAAGAAGGTGAAGAGCGCAATGTACTCGGCGCCCTTTTTACTCTTGGTCAGCTCGGCGAAGACGAGGAACCGCTTCCACCCGCGGCCGCTGCCCATCCGGATACTTTCGAGGCGGGCGGCCAGGCTGTCCAGAAAGCATTCGGCGACACTTCCTCGGCGCATAATGGCCACGGCCCGGAAGTACTCGAACGCGAGGTTGGCGAAGGAAAGAAGGATGCAGACGGTGAAGATCCATTTCGAGACGTCGAATGGGATAAACTGGGCGGGTTCAATTTGCGATGACCACTTGTTGAAGGCCAGAAGCTGGTAGGCCGTGAAGATATCAACGGCATAGACGGCGAGGGAGATGAAGAGAGAAAACCAGAGGAAGCCGTAGGCAAACGGCGTCCAGCAATTGGTAGACTTGAAGTCGTTGAGGCTCTGAACACTGACATTAGTTTATGACCCTGGTCTTTTGTATGACAGCTCCCATCTCTCACAATAAAATCCCACTTCTGCTCTGGCTTGACCTCGACGTCTCGTCGACGATGGCTGAGGAAGCCCATGGTAGAAACAGCGCGAACCAGGCGCAAAATTCAGACCAGAGAAGTCGACCCTGTCGAGAATTTTGGACGAAGTAAAGTCGTCGGACACAGTCAATGTGCCGTCGGGGTATCTCAAGCGATATGTTGTAAGATGGCACCGTAACCCCCGCGCTCGTGCAAATCGATCCTCGCCCGCGAAGGGATCGACTGCGCCTAAGTCGACGAGCGCAAACTCCAGCTTTCTCGACGGCGATGAGAGCACGTCGCACCGGGGGAAGAAAGACAAACGAAAGAAGCGTCAGGATATGGGTCGATTTGGTCGGTTCGGAGGCCAGCGGTGGCCTCAACAGCGCCGTCTCCTTGCTAGCATCGCGATGGTGATGGTCTGGGCTCTGTATAGTTCGACAGCAATGCGACCTCCAGACAGACAGGGAACGCGTTGCTCGAGCCCGCTCGACGGCGCGGGAACAATGTCGGGTAACTTTAATTGGAGACGAAGGTCCGAAGGGCAATAGGCGCGCTGCCGGATGAAGGTGTCGAGGTGCCAACGGCTTGGGTCGACGTGGTAGATGGCACCCGGAAATCCAGGGTTTGATCAGCTGGACAAAAGTTCAAGGCCGGAGTGTCAGGTTCACAGAACAGGAAAGGATGCGACGCGGGGAGGCGGGAGGGGTTGTTGCTGCTCCAGAGAAGAGGTCGTCGATTGCCAATTGTTCAATTGTCGGGGAACAATAGCCCGGTGTGTTGGTGAATAGGTGCGCAGTCTAATTCAACAGAAACGACTGGTGCTATTTACGGCGGCATGGGATAATGAATGACTGGACTTGATCGTGCTTTTGACGAACTGGTCCGGAGAGGCCGCCCTGCCGACTTCCAACCAAGGGAGAGGGTCCAGGAAGGAAGGGAGCTTGGGTGAGAGCCCACCTGCGACGCGAGTGGACTCGATGGACGATAAGGGGCATGAAGCCAAGACGGAACAAGGGGCGGAAGGCTGCAGGGTTGACAAACGGCCTCAGTGGGGATTGGTTGGTCAACGTTGCGGGGGAAGCGCCATTCCAAAAATTGAACAAGAAATTCAAGGGAGATTATGGGCTTTCGCGTAAATTTTGCCCTCAGTTTTCTGTACGACAGCAGCCGTCGACCCTGCTTGCTGCTCTGCGCTTGCTTCAATGCCCGCACAACCGGGGATTGGCCACATCCGCAGCCCCTGGCATGCCCCCATCTGAGGTTAAGACGCCATGAAACACATGTCCAACCACGGATGGAAACGTCGACCCCGAATGGCTTGCGAAACACGGGAACTCGATCCCGAGAAGCAGGATGCGGGTGGCGGCTGCAAGGCGTCTGGGCTTGCTGACTGAAAGCATATAATAAAAAACTTGGCTTCTGCCATCTGCCATGGCTGAGATGTTGGGTCAACCACTCAACCACAGTCGCAGTTAAAGCCAGTACTCCTTGGCGACTAGTCGGTTGGGCTTTTTTCGGAGTCCCGATACCTTACGTATCGCAAGAATAATCGAGCCTTGCCAGACGGTCGGCTTAGTGGTACAGGTCGTCGGGAGAATACAGCACGCCGTGTCACTGTGTCAGCCTTATTTTGTGTTCGGACTCTTAGCCAATCAATCTTGATTCCGGAATGTTGATGTTACATCCCCCAGAGACCGAGTGTGTAAAAACGGGATGCAACCCAACGAGCTTGCCGCGCGCCTCCCTCGGATGTATACATGCGGATCAGACAGACACCGCGCTCTACAAGTACTCTACGCAGGCAGTTGAGTTCTTTGTGCTCTGATCTTCCAGATTCGTTGGTTACCAGCTCTACGTACTGCTAACCTAGTCTATCATGAGTGTCTAGCGCCTATCTACTCGTGTCCGTCACCCAATCCAGGTGCATACTTCTCGGGTTTCTTAACAGGTCGAGTCAACAACTCGCAAAAAGTAACAAACTAGGGAAAGAACGTCCTATTCTCGGATGGCAACCAACAAAAGCCAAATGACATATCCGCCTATGGCCATGAGCTGCCACTCTCACCATCGACCCCAACACGTCACACCACCCTACGCCCCCCACTCCTCCTCCAACCGCCCCTTCATGGCGATCCTTAACTCCTTCTGCTCTGTCTCCGTCAGCCCGACCTCACTCCCCCGCCGTCTCCTCCAACTCGCCCTCGTCTCTCTCAACCTTGCCTCCTCATCATCGTCCCCCGCGAACTCATAACTCCTCCACTCCGTATTAAGCCACCCGGTCCCCTGTGCCGGATTCATACCGTCCCAATCCTGCGTCAAAAAGTGCAAGAACCCCCCGTGCGTAACCACCACGATGTGCGCATCCACATTTCCTCCAGCTGCAGCGAACTGCCTCCCCAACTCCCTCAGCCACACCCTCGCTTTTTGCGCCCTCGCCTCCAACTGACCCATCCTCGGCGCAAACGCACTCCCATTCGACTTATCGTTCCACTCGGGCGTGAGCAGACTCAAATCAACCCTGTCCCCAAACTCGGCCGCCAGCTTGTCGACGGGACTCCCCGTGTCGCACGGCAGCGGCGAGATCTCCTGCACCTCGGGCAACGCCACCACTTTTCGGGCGGTTTCCTTGGTGCCGCTGCTGTTATTGAGAACGGGCTCGAACGAGAGCAGGCACGTGTAGAGGGTGCGGCGCATGGGCGAGGCGATCAGGTGGGTGACCTGGGCGTGGTGAGGGAAGGTCTTGGCCAGCTTGGCGCACTGCTCTTTGCCCAACGCGGTCAGCTCCGGGTCTGGGATGGCCTCGTTTTCTTTGGACAGGTTGTGCCAGCCTTGGGCGTGGCGGACGAGGTGGATGTACGTCGGCATTGTCTCGGCTCTGATCCTGTCTCTTAGGGAAGCGGGTAAGGAATGGAGGATGGTGAGTGAGTGTAGCGACCAATGACGTAGGTGAGGGTCAGGGCAGATACGATCGTAATTGTTGCGACCGCACTGGAATTGTCTTCGCAGGTGAGATTCCAAGAAGAGAGGATGAATGCCAGACAAGAGAAAGAGGACGGAAGACGGATCAACTGTTCTCCCACCAGCGCCTTTGGGATGACAATTCTACAGTAACGTTACGTGAGTCGCCGCTTTGAGGACTGGAGCTGCTTGTGCTGGTGACTCCGACGTCTGTCTCCACTCCCCGCTCCTGTGAGGCCGGTGCCGGACGTCCCGTATCCGGGCCCCGCCCGTCACCACGGATACGAGGCCAGCCATGGGCGAGCCCCGGCGGGCCGCTATTGGCTGAGTTGTTCGAGCTAGGTGGTCTTCCCCGCGATGCTATCCCAGTTGCAGATGGTTGTTCCATAGGTGGGGGACGTGAACTGTGTGCCGTAGTAATCCCCGACGTCAGCAAGACGACGAATCAGCCATCAAACAGCCAATACAATCCTGGTGTTCATGCCCTAACAGCTCCATTGCAGACAGCCATCATCTATGAGCTCTGCCTGGGAAAGAGCGCCCGACTTGCCTCAACCTTCAACGCCTGACAAAAGAAGAGTTTTACCAATGCCTATTCGCTCCACTAACGAGACAATCCCCTTGAACCATAACACTGAAGCCAACCTAAGGGCAGCCCACCTCTTCCTTCAGAGATCAATCAAACTCTCTTCCACAACCGGCTGCTTCGGCGCATGCTGCGGCGCCAAGGGAAAAGACTCCTGGGAGTAGCCAGCATATGCAGCGCTGGGAGGCGCCTGCCACACTGGCGGGAGCTGTGTCTGCTGAGCAGCAGAATGCTGCCAGTACGGTTGCTGGGCCTGTTGCGGTGGCGCCTGGTGCGACTGCTGCTGCGGCTGAGACGGCTGAGCCTGTGCAGATGCTGGCGTCTGAGGCAGCGATGGCTGATACGATTGCATGGGTTGAGCGAGGTTCGGGTAGGGTGACATTGCAGGATCAGGAGGAGAACTGGGGCCCTGCTGCGGTGGCGGTTGCTGTGGCTGCTGCTGCGGGTTAAAGTAAAAGGATGCGCTGGGGTCAGCAGTTGGAGTAGTGCCGACCGAGTCATTTGCTGCGGGTGCGGAGAGCTGCGCTGGAGTCGATGTTTGTTGGAGTTGCCCTGCTTGAGGAGGCGTTGCTTCGTGCGAAGGAGGATGGGAGGGCTGCTGGTTGTACTGTAAGGTCTGCACAGGGGCCCAGCTCCCTGTATGTTGGGGCATCTGCTGAGGGGGATATTGGTTACTAGGACCGGCAACGGAAGCTCGTCTGTCATAAGCCCCGTATTGCGGCTGCTGCGCCGGCGGCGGGTAGGACGGTTGAGCGGACAGGCGGCTGTAGTCCTGCTGCTGCTCTCCCGTGTAGAAGCTCTCAGCCGGGCCCCCAGCGCTGGGCGCACTGGGCTGCAAGGAAGGGTATGGCCCAGAGGCCTGTCTTTGCGCAGGAGGCTGGTAGCCCCCTATGCTGTGTTGACTGTATGCCTTGGATAAACGTTCCTCGAGCATTCGGTCGTAATAACGGACCACTGTGGACAATTTCGCATGCAGATCCAAGAGGGTGTCTGGGTTGGTTAGAAGAGGCTCGATACCATGTACGAAGTGTGCTTACCATGCTTGCTCATCGTTTCCCCATAGGTTCGAGCCAGCTTGGGGCGCAGTGCACCGATGCTGTCATAGAGCTCTTGAATTTGCGGCTCGCGCAGTATTGTCCCTGGCGGCTGAGTCTGGAGGCGGTCGACGAGAGTAGCAAAGAGGTTGATGTTCTCCGCCTCCAGGGGCGTTAGCTCATAGTCGTTCTTGGGAAGTGCAAAGGTTGTGGCTGGTGTCGAGGTTGTCGCGTTCGAGGCCTGTTCCTTCAGCGCCGCAGCGTGTTTCGTCTTTTGCTCCTCCATATCCGCCAGAGAAGCTGCAATGGCAGCCTTTAGATCCTCGTCCTCTTCCTCTGCGACTTTGGGTTGGGGGTGCCCGTTGACCTTTGGCTGGCTGGAAGGTGGCCCATTGGCTGACGAGGACGCGTAGTTCCGAGAATGGCTCTTGACTTCCTCGAGGCTCATTGCCAAGGCCTTCTTCAAATCTTCGTCGAACCCATCATCCACCCGAGCGTTCCGCGGCTGCATCGAAGACACCCGGGGCTTTGAGGGAAACGAAGAATACAGCGTCGCGGGGCGCTCGTGGCTTGATCCACCGCCTCGGGAGGACTTATCAGTGAGTTTTGCATAGCACCCATCGTCCACACGGACTGGTTGGAGGATGCCGAGATGGGGGAGCGGTAGGGTCTTGCTCGAACACTGCTGATCGAAACAATTTCCACAATTCCGGCAGTGGTGTTTCCTGTTGGTGAAGGTGAAGGCGGTTCGGCATCGCATGCAAACGTCCGAATCTACCCATTCAGGGGGCTAAGCTCTGTTAGCATCCAACCTCCTTCATGATCAGAGACAGAGAGAAACGCACTGCGCTGCTGTCTATCATGCTGCTCGCGACGCTGACTCGGGGAGGGAATTGAAAGCCCTCCCTCTGCAGCGTCTTGTACACCTCCCCAATATAGCCAAGCTCATAGCGGCCCTCGGTGGCCGTGGCCCAGGACTGAATAAGCTCGAGGATCTTGGCGCGGACTTCGGCGTTGATGGTACCGGGGCCGACTGCTTTGAGAAGAGACACCAGGCTCTCCATAAACTCCCGGGTCGCGATTTCGGTGAGGAAGTGGGCGCCGCCATTCTTGACGCAGGTGTCGGTGAGCTGGCCGAGTTAGCAGCTGGGTCCGCGTACGAGGTGGAAATGGTGGGGCTGAGTCTTACGTTGAGCGCACTAAGCTGGGTATTTGGGTTCTTGTGGTTGATGCGCTTCTTGAGCGAGCGCATGGCTTCCTTGGGCTGCACCGTCTTGGAACGGATGACGTCGGAGATTTCGAGATTGAGGGCGATGTCTTCACTGTGGACGAGCTCAAGTCAGTCTGTGGCTCGCTCAGGTCGCATTAGGGATCCGTGACCGTACAGGCTGCTGCTCGTAGCCTTCTCTATTTGCTCATCCAGGGCTGTATTGGCCCCGGAGGACCACCACCCCATCATTTTGAAAGGATATGCGAGAGACTGCGGATGCTGATGTCGCTGGTTGATAGCTGGGCCCTAGGGTTGATGAGAGATGAGGAAGATGCGGATACAGAGCTCCAATCGTGCGTCTCGGTGTCCTTTTACCAGTGCGTCAGTCGCGCAATCAATCAGATCAAGCTCGGCGGTGTTACGCGGCGAGGGTTGCGATGGAAAGAGAGGCTGAAGGACGTTTAGTCCTGATGCCGCTGCCTGCCGTTGGTTACGTATGGGGCCGTCGTGCTGGGGTCAGGAAGCTCGCTTGAATCGTCGCCTCCCAATCTTGCCAAGCCTTTCGGCGTAACGTACATGTACTTCGTACCTGCACGAGCATCGTCCAGCAAGAACCTTTGTGGTTTGAAGACCACAACAATCAATGAGTCGTCGGCGCTCTCACTTTAGTTCTTTTTTCGTTTTAACCTTTGATCTTCCTTACTCATGTATTTTACTCAGAATTTGCGAGAACTCTCCGTCTCTAATTGCTATGACCGTGTAAGATACGTAAGGTACGTTAGCTGGCCCGGCTGATGACTAACGTGTGTTTGAACTTACAGTACACTGTGCTCTAAGGCGCTGTAACAACTGCACTGCCAAGACCAAGGTGCAGGTCACCGGGCGTCCAAAAGACATGACTTGGTCGGCTACTTACACAGTACACTTTCAAGACCCCACAAGTCACCTTGCACTCGACAACAGATTTGAAGGCGAGAACAAAGGATGCTTCCCGGCCCAGCAACACAACAGCCGTCTTGATCGCTGCTGTCTCGTACCACCGCTGATCAGCTCTCCTGTCGTTAGCCATACCACGCCGGTTTCACCTCCAACTTCAGATCCCGCAGCCGTCGCCATCTGCGCACTTTCGGATTCACACGCACCAGGTTGTATTCCGAGCCCAAAGTCACGCGATATGATTATTTAGTAGTCGATACAGTCGATTTCTTTCATCCTGACTGTTGAACCCGCTCCTGCTTGCGACACCGACCGCCGCCCGGCGAGGGACACGGAAACCCGGCCTCCCTACCCATGCCGGGCTCAACCACTCTGCTGGATCATGCGGGGCCCGCGCCTTTAGGGGGAGGAGGTGGGCGTTCTGATGGCGCAAAGGGAGGGAAGCGGCCGCTGCCACACATCGACGACGTCACTTCCGTTACCGTCGACATTGACAACCATGCGCCGATCGAGAAGGTCCTCCAGATGGCCGAGGCTTGCTTGCGCCAAGCCGAGTCATCCAAAACATTTGGTAGGCCAGATCTTGCGCTCAAGGACTATATACGGACCAACATCATCCTGCTCGACGTTATCAAGAAAAACAAGGGATGGCCGTCGCTGCAGAGCGACAACAAAACCCAGTTCGAGCGCTACCAGCGGCTGTTGCGCCACGTTCATGCCGCCCACGGCGACTTTGACGCCATCAAGGCGCAAATCAAGGCCGAAAATGCCAAAACGGGTGTCCAACCTACAGTACGTCGGCCAGGATCCGCCGGAACTGCCAGCGGAAATGGGCAGGAAAAGCAAGGTGCCGTAAACGGTACCTCGAAGGAGAACGACGCTGCCGCCGGTCCAGCTTCGCCTCCGCCTAAGCAACGGCCCGCTGTTCAACCCAAGCCACAGAACCTCCACGGGAAGGCTCTGTCTCTGAGTACACCCGCCACCTCGGCTAAGACACAGGATCTTCTCCAGCGCTTTGCGAATCTCCGGGCCAACTCGACCAGTTCTTCACAAGATACCCGCGTCTGCATACAGCCGCTCAGACCGCCACCAAAGCTGCCGAAGGTTCCCCCAGCGCCTCCTCCAAGCGTACCAATGGACGGGATACCCGCTGAGATGCCCAGGGTACCTGATGCCATCTACAACCCGCCAAGAGGAACCATCACGAGCGAGACGGCAGCACTTCCTTCGAGCGCCCCTCGTGCTATGTTCACCAGAACAAACTCGACAACATCCGTGAACACCATCAGAAATACCAAGCCGCTTTCTGCGTCTACACCCCCTCCCACAACCTCTCCCGCGAAACGGACCAAACCGACCATTCCAGACAGCGACACGATATCCGTCGAAGACCTTCTTCGATTCATGAAAGCAGGCGCCAAGGACCTCTCCATCTTGCTCATCGACATCAGAAGTCGCGAGGACTTTGACGACGGCCATATCATGTCGCAGGCTACAATTTGTGTTGAGCCAGAAGTTCTCGTGCGAGACCACATCTCGGCGAACCAGATCGCGGATAGTATGGTTCTGGCCCCGGCGGCAGAACAACTGCTTTTTGACAGGCGCCATGAGTTTGATTTGTTGGTCTTCTATGACCAGTATTCCGAGAAAATTCTGGACACGCCACGAACCACTGAAGAGAAGGCTGTATCGGGGCTCTTCAATGCCCTCAGCCACTACGATTTTCCAGGGGCATGGGGATCGAAGCCCCGGCCGAAGCTGCTCTGCGGAGGCCTGGACGAGTGGACCAATATGGTGGGAAACGCCAGCCTCCAGTCGTCCTCAACAACTACTGCAAAGCGGTACGCGGCCAGTCCTATGGCGCGTTCGCTACTGAATCGTCGCCAAACGCATGTAACTCGGCCGATCCAAGATCCGGCAGAGGCGAAGAAGTGGGAAGATACCATTGCCGATGCCGGTGCGATATCCCCTGTTAGGACTACCGAAGACTTCCTTCGTCGGTTCCCCTCCATCTCGGAGCAGCGCGAATCCATGGTCTCTCCGGTCAGCCCGCTAACCAGTCTGCCGCAAAGCCCCTTCCAATACCGCCTGTCACACGAAGAGAATCTCTACACTTCCCTCCCTCCGCCACCCGCGCGCCCGCCTCCTGCAGTGCCGCGCCGGAGCTACAGCGGACTTGCCGAAGCCGAGGACAGCTCTGTCGCGTTGGCCAAGAAGTCTTCGGCCCAGGTGGTCGACATCGTGCGGAAGCACCGAACAGGCCTGCAGAATCCAGGTGTCTTTTGCTTCGCAAACAGTTCGTTACAAGCCATGTTCGCCACGCCAGGCTTTGCCCGCGAGGTGTGGACAGGCGCCTGGAAAGATGCATACAAGGTACCCTTGAAGCCAGATGAGAATTTTGAGAACCCGCAACTTCTGCTTAAATGCTTGGCCAACCTGTTCCATTGGCTCAATCAAGGGACATTCAAAGCCCTTGCGGCCAAAACCTTCATGGTCAGTTCTCTATGTTAAGCTTGAAAAATGTCTGGCGCTGACAGCACACAGGAGTACATCCACTACATCCATTCCAAGGGCGCTGACGGCAAAAAGAAGCCGGACTGCGACATCTTTGGCGGGCACTCTCAGCAAGATGCCCAAGAGTTCTACTCGTTCATCATGGACAACATCCACGACGAAACCAACACTCGCCGTGACAGAAAGCCTCCCAAGGAGGAAAAGCCGTACACGCCCAGAGACGGCACCATCATCCAGAACGCCATGGACTACTGGCGCGACTACTCCAAAGCCAGCTCCTCCATCGTCGACAGGTACTTCCGCGGTCTCGAGGTGTTCATTTCGCGTTGCCACAACCGTGACTGCCGTCAAGAGATCCGCCTCTTCCAGCCCTGCGACGTCTGGATCCTCAACCTTGCCGGCATGGGCGATCCAACCGATTTCGACAGCCTGCTGGCGAACCATCAGACGTCGGAGCACTTCCCCGACCTCGTCTGCGAAACCTGCAACAAGCCCGGCCGCACGCGCAAAGCCAAGTTCGCCCGCCTGCCGGACCGCCTCGCCTTCTGCCTTAACCGCTTCAATAGCGCCGGTGGCGGCTTCAGCAACCGGTCGGGCAAGATCCACAGCAAGGTGCGCTTCCCGATCCGCGACCTCGACCTCACGCGCTACTGTGCCGAGCCGGACCCGGATATGGCGACGACCGACGACCGGCACTTCGCCGGCAGGATGGTGTATGATTGTTACGCCGTCACGGTGCACGTCGGCCAGGGCATCAACGGAGGGCACTACTACGCCTACGTGCAGGACGAGACGTCGAGGGATCCGACAGATTGGTTCCGGTGTAATGACGACGTAGTGGATCGCGTCAAAATTGGAACCGGAATGCCGGGGGACTTGACCGAGGCGATGTACCAGAGTGGGAATACGTCGGCTTACATGATTTTTTATCGGCGGCGCGGGACGTGACCGGTCGTGTTGATGAGGTGAGATGTGCGTGCAGAGTGGGTGTTTTGGATAAGTCGGATGTCAACGGAGACAAAATCGCGCATGAGAAGGCGTACCTCAAGGATCATACTACGCTTCATTGGTAAGGAGCAGTTGGGGATGGTGGTTCACTTATAGGCGTACAGCACGTAGGAAGCGCGGCGTTTGGGGAGAAGCACGGTTAACACACAGCTATACATGATTCAAAGATACCAAAAGCACCAATTTAGCCATCATCACACCATTTCTCTTCAGATTCAAACCATGAGTTACGGCCTTGCTCATCCGTGGTAGGGCCACAAACCCAAGTACCAGCATAGTAAACAGCCTGGAAGGTATGGCAGCGTGCGGTGAGGAAGCCTGAGGTGACTACGACGTCCCTTAACCACCTACTGGCATCAACACCAGTGTCTGTCTTGCCTAATTTTGAGGCAACCCAGCACCCTTAACCGTTCTGCCCGCGATATCTGGGCCATAACCCAGCTTTCATCCCAACTCTGCCACCCATGGTCAAGCGGGAGAGCTGTGGGCTAAACGCTCCTTTCGCCTGGTCTGGCGAGACTCCTCGGAGCTTGCCAGTTCGATCCCTCGCCGCACCGCCGTCACAACGAAGTAAATGCCCCGCCGGGGTATTTTCGTAGCCACCAACCTCCGCAAGGGGCTTGGTGGTGAGCTTTTATAACTTCTCCTTTATTTCAAGCATTATTGCTAAAATCACGTGAGGAGGGGGCATTCGCAAGGTGTTCAAACGACCTGAACATAGCCAAGAACTCCTTGCCAGGCTCCAGCATCAAAATCCATGACGATATGACAGATATACAACAACATAACATGCCCCAGTTTCCACAAGCTCACTTCCCCTCCACGCAGTCCTTGATCTCCTTGGCGTACTTTTCCCTGATGGCCTTGCGATTGACTTTTTGCGTCGCCGTCACGAGCCCCTATTACCTCAGAAATTAGTAAACCACCAGTAGTAACCTCAGGTTACAACCAGCCGGGAAGGAAGAAGAAGAAGAAAAAAAGGCAACTCACATTCGCAGGCGTCCACTCCTCCTCCACAAGCACAACCCCAGCCACGGTCTCCATGGGACTCAACCCTTCCTTCCTCGCCAGATCCTGCAGCGCCTTCAGCACGGCGCCCTTCACTCTCTTATCACCATGCATGGCAGGCTCCTCGACGCCCAGTTCCTTCGCTTTCCCCGCCAGCGCCTTCTCGTTGGCAACCACAATCGCGACCGGCCTGGCGGAAGAACTATCGCCGTGTACCATGATATTTTGCACGTACCCCGCCCCACGGTAGATAGCCTCGAGCTTTTCCAAGGCAATGTACTCGCCGCCCTGGAGCTTGACGAGATTCTTGACGCGGTCGATGACGGCAAGGTGGCCCGAGGCGTCAAACTCGCCAATATCTCCCGTGCGGAACCAGCCATCGGACGTTATCGCCTTGGCTGTTTCGTCTGGGTTCTCGAAGTAGGCCTTTAGCACTGGCGCGCCACGGATGAGGATCTCGCCCTGTGGTGGTGTCGACGAAGCCGAGTAGTTTAGTTCCGAAAGGGAGACGAGCTTGATTTCAATGGCGGCAGGGATGGGTCCGATGGCGGGGCCGGGGGTCCACTGCAAGGGACAGCCGAGCGCGCCGTTGCCGCAGGTTTCGGTCAGGCCGTAGCCGTTGATCATGGGCGCCACGGCCATGGACATGAACTGGAGGGTTGGGCTTGCGATACCCGAGGCGCCGTTGACAATGAAGCGCAGGCGGCCACCGGTCATCTGGCGGACTTTGGAGAAGACGGTTGCGTCGAGCAGGCCGGCGCCGGGAAGAGAGTTTCGGACGAGGAAGGATTTGAGGATCAAGGCCGCGGAGAAGAGGGCGCGGGTGGCGAAGCCTGAGGACGAGACTTTGCTCTCGATACCCTTCTTGACGGTTTCCCAAATTTGGGGCACGCCGACCATGACTGTGGGGGCAAACGTCCGCATGTCGCCGTGGCAGTTGCGCATACTTGTGTCGGAGAGGGTGCGGGGGCTGCCGTAGCCGAGCGTGGCGCCGATAAAGATGACAAGATTTTCGAGGACGAGCTCAAAGATGTGGGCGAGGGGAAGGTAGGCGAGGACGTACTCGCGGTGGGTGACGGTTTCTTCCACGACGCTGTGCAGACCTGCGACGGCGGCGACGAAGCCGGCATGGCTGACTGGGACCCCTTTCGGCGGGCCGGTGCTGCCCGAGGTATACATGATGCAATACATATCCTCGGGCGCTGGTGGGACCGGCTCGGTCGGGTTCTGCTCGCCGAGCGCCCGGAGTTCCTCGAAGGAGAGGATGGTCAGATCGGGATGGGCACACTTGAACTGCTCGATTTCAGCATCTGAAACGGGCAGATGGGTGGCTTCGTTGTAGATGACGATCTTGACCGTATCTGCCTTCTTGAGTGGATTCCTGATGGTCTTAAACAGGTGTGGGTCGACGAACATGGCGTTGGCTTTGCTCTGGGCCAGCGAGTGCTCAACGCCGCTCTCGCCGAGGGTATCGTATGCGGTCACAATGGTCATGGACTGCGAGGAGCAAGCATGAGCCATCGTCAGCCATTGCGCACTATACTCCAGGTTAGCAAAATCCCGTCTGCAAAAAACGAAACTCGATCACTTTTGAGGGAGGCTGACGTTGTGGTTGCAAACAGGTGCAACCTGTTTCCTGCTGAAAGCCCCAGCTTCCTCAGGCCGGCGCCCACCTGCAGAACCAGGTTGAAGTAGTCCTGATACGTCATGTACGTGTAGTTGGAGAGCTCGTAGTAGGTCCATTCCTTTTCGATCTCGGTGGTGCGACCGTCGACTACCTTGGGCACCTTCTTCTTTTCCTTGTGGATGCGAATCAGCTTTCGGCTCCCAACGGCGGGCTCATTGCCGTAGTGCTCGACACTTCGTCTGAGCAAGTCGAAGGTTGTGTGGACGTCGGGCGCTGGCCGCTCGACCAGGCCATCCTTGGCTTTGGGATGGCGACGAGGAATGGTTTCGCCCTCGACTGGCTGATAGCCTGATGCTTCAACTGTGTAGGGTGGTTTCTGCATCATGCGCAGAGGCGTTGGCCCAGTGGTGTATGTGGAGGGCATGTTGCAAGATTTAAGCTGCTCACGAGAACAGTCGACTGAGGTGATGGGCAAGTTGTCGGGGAGCAGAACCGTCCCGACGGGTCAATTATAGGCTATTTTTCTTCCAAAAGTCTGTCACGATCTTTGGCGTGGTTTCGCAACAGGTTATTGAGGGCCCCGTTATAGTCTTGGGGTCCCTGAGACAGGATGTGACGGTCCGAGCCAGTCCCACATGTAGCCTCGGTTCAAGCTATGTCGGAAGCCGTGCGATAGGAGAGCTAAGCCCTGTTTTTCTAAGCTGACGAATGCGCAGGTCGGTGGGTTTGTTGTTGGGTCTTGGGGCGTGATACCCGACCGACTTGAAATCAGAAGTGCAGTTTGAGCTTCCCGCGTTCAAGCAATGAAGTCGGCACAGCCCACATGACTTCAACAGCTGCCCGGCGCTGTCTTGGTCTCACGAGCAGTACGATGACGAAGGCAGCAGGGTGTTGAGTGGGGCTTGCAGGGTGTAACTGGGTTCATGCCTTGGCATGGGGGACGGCCCGCTGTGAGCGCAGAACGCCAGATCCTACCCCCCCCCCTTCCTATTCCACTTCTCCTTAGCTATTAGGCATAAAGCTGCGAGATTTTATATGCATTTAACCTATACCAGCACTTACACTCAACATTGCTAATTGCTTGAATAGGCTTAAATTATAAAGCTTCTTTAAAATCTAGTGATATTTGTGACGGAATGGCACTCTAGACTTATTCCCTCTTCACTATGTTATTAGTAGGTGTGACGGAAAGCGCACCCTGGACTCCACTCACACTCTCATCGGTGGGTCATCGGTGGGTGGCCTGTGCGCCGACTAATCTTTCTCGAGTCGCAGACGCGCATCCTGTACGGATCCGTATACTCTCCCTCTTCCTTTCCGTAGCTTTCGATTACTTGAATTGAGTCAGCAATTGCAGTGCCTATGTGCCTCGCGTCGAGGCTACTCGTCTCTCATACTGGCTATATCCTAACTCTTAATCTGAAATCATAATCTAACATTAAAACTAGAATCCTAATCTAATAGCTTTCTCTCCCTGATAAAACCTTAGCTCAGCTCTATACTATACATCCGTATAGCAGCCTTATTCCACCATTACTCCATGTGCTTTCAGCCCTAATTGTTGCTAGGTCAACTCCTAGTGCCAGTCTCAGCACGATGAATCAATTCATTGTCAACCGGGCCCCGCAGCACAACCCTGTCTCTTGGCGCCCTCCCAATGGCTTCAGAGTCAGCTAAGCCTACGGAGTACACGCCGCGCTGACAATGCGCGTCCTACGGCCCTCGGAGCATTTGTTAAGCCGCGAATAAGCCAAGACCAACCCTCCGAGATCAAAGGACATTTACTCTGTATATACTGTGGCGAACTGCGATCATCTACGGATGTATAGCTGTAGCATTGGGCTCGACATACTCGACAACTGGTATCGTTCCCCAAATCTCGATTAAGCACCTGCTCCGGGACGTCAGGTTCGGCACTGCATCAGCAAAAGGGGTGCTTCATAAGCAATGGATGATCCAATCCAAGCCGGCAGCGTACTAGACCGCTTACCGGACCCGGGCCGGGAGTCTGCAGCCACAACGCCGTCTTCATCCGGCACGGAGCTGAGTATGCGAACCCGCCGCCGGCCGATCCCTCGAAAGGGACACACCAAATCCCGACGCGGCTGCTTCAACTGCAAGCGGAGGAAGGTCAAGTGCCAGGAGACGCTGCCAGAATGCTCCAACTGTCTCCGTATTGGCTTGGTCTGCGAGTACCCGGACACGCGCCCTCGGTTATTCATGGACTTGGCACCGTCCGAGATATCATCATCCTTGGCCGTCATGTCTTCGCCCTCCGCCCCGCTTCAGTCGGCACCGACTCTGTTTACCCCTGATGACATGCGCTTCTTCCATCACTTTCTCGCCAACGCCTATCCCCCGCTTCCCCTCCTGGGCGACGAGATATGGAGAAACGTTGCTGTGCTGTCACACTCCGTGAGTTCCATTCCGTGTATATGGTGGTTCTCTTGCTGCTGCCCACTAACAACAGATAGTATGATTATCTGATGCATGCCATGCTGGGCCTAGGCGCCTCGCATCTGGATATCTACCTCGGCAACTACTCATCTCACGCGTTATCCCATCGCGTCAAGGCCATCCAGGGCCTCAAACAGGCTTTGAGCACCCCGCCAACGTCCACCGCCGAGGGAGACGCCAGGTTTGCCGCCATCTTCGCTTTGGCATTTCAGGCCTCTTGCATGCCCCATGGCATGTGCGAGTTCCTGTCCATGGTCAAGGGTTGTCATCTTATCGCCAGCACCTCGCTGTTGTCCTTCCGAGATTCGCTGTTCTGGGAGTTCACCCAAGAAGGCTACAGCCAGAGTGTCCGGCGGGCGATCGGAACAGGACCCGTCCACCTCAATCCAGACCAAGAAGCGCTGCTTGACAGCTTCCTTGAGTCTCTGCGGGCACTCGCTCCCCTTTGCACAAGCCCACTGGAGATCAAGTTTATGGCTTCCACCGAGCGTGTGGTAAAGATGGCAAAGGTGGAAGCAGCGGAAGGTCGGTTCCACCCTCACAGGGCTCACAGACAAATGGCCCAACTGACACTTGCCCAGCATTTGCCCAGGTCGCCACCCATTATTCCTTGATCAACAACTCCACCAACGAGGAGTTTGCCCCGTTTATCGACCCCAAACACCATCCAGCCCAATTACTCTTCATCCACTTCGTTCTTATCGAGTTCGCTATTGGTCATATTGCCCTGGGCAAGGTCGGGCGCCGCTTCGCCTTTCGCGAGAAGTCATGCATTGCCTGGATGGAGCAGCTCGACGCCACCCTGCCTGAAGAGTACAAGCAATATGCCGAGTGGCCACGGAACTATGTCCGGACGCAGCTGGCTCCTTGACGAGCCCGGCCGTGTTACCCCATTTCTCCCGGCCTTGCATGGGGTGTGTTTCAGCCCTGTTGCGATGGGTACCTCGCCATTATCCATCACGACTAACCAACGCCCCGTGATGCCCAATCAGAAGCAAAGATATAGCCCCTGAGATTGCAAGCTATCGAGACCCAAGACATTTACTGTGACTTGAACGTCCCTCTCCATTATCCCGCGGCGAACGTGGCCAGGGGCTAGATACATCGAATCCACCCCAAGGCATCAATATCAGCCGAATGTGCTTCCCATGCAACGGGCAAAAGAGAAGATATCGACCGAGCTCACCCAAATCATCACCGCGCCATCGCAACCAACCGCTTAACCCAACGACCTCGATGACCTCCTTTTCCTTTCTGCCCCCCTCTCGCAGGTATCCGGATACACAAGACAGCCCCATCACGCCGATCTGCATCATCCAGCCACCAAGCATCCACCGCTCCAATGCCGGTCCCTGGTGCTATTGGATGCCGCGCCAAGGGCGGACCGCGGCGGTTAAACGTGGCCGGAGAGGCCGTCGGCGGAGAGGAAGAGACAGAAAGTGTTACCTAGATCGCTGCAAGGGGTTTAGAGAAGGGGGTGGCAGTGATGGTAATGGTCGTCGGCGGGTTGCGGATATGATGACCGAGGAGGAGGGAGAGGGTTGGTGGGAGTATTAGAAGCGCCAGCGCCAGGACAGTACTGTAAGGCAAGTGTTCGAGGCTGGGTCTGCCTGCGCATTCTGCGTAGTACCCCGGCTTGGCGGTTGCGAATAGACAAAACCTTTTGTCTTCGAAACCAACCTCCTCCCAGTTACATTACCACAGTTCGCCCGTCGCTCCATTACCCAGGGCCATGGAACTTGCTACTTTTTTTGTCTATCTGAACTCTGCTAGCGCTCAGGTGGAAAGTGTTTGGTCTGTTTTTTGAACTTGCCCGTCATTGTTCAAGAAATGGGGGCACGGTTTTCTCTAGAACCCTTGTCTCTGATCCAACCCCCTTTTTCAGTTCCCTGCCCAACTCCAACACAAAGTTCGGGCTACAGTTCTGAAAAGGAGTAGGCTGACAATCCCGTTTTGCTATCCTCAAACTCGCTTTTTCGGCTCATACAAGTTCCCTGTCGTCTTCGTCTTTTCATTTTTGATCTTCCACTTCCCACGTACCCTTCTTTCTTCCACTCCCAATCTTCCACCCTCTATCCTCCAAACTCTCTCTACTCTGTCACTCTTCTCTGCGCTGCATCCCACTTTGGCTTCTTTGACAAGAAATACGAAGCGGCCCAACCGGATATTTTGTCCATCGTGGGTTTTTAAAAAGATCAGGTAAGAAATCCTCCCTTGGATTGTGCTTTGAATTTGGCGCGCACACATATCTGATTCTGTTGCCAGATTTCACCGATTTGTCACCCATTATTCATGAATGCTGTTTCAACAACGGTGCCACTTTCTCAAATCTGTTTGTTCTTTCCCACGATCCAACGCCATTCAACGCAGGGCATGTTGTTCTCCTCGGTCATTTCAGTAGCCTGGGAGCACAAACTGACTCGTTCCAGTAGCAATCCATCATCGTCTCGGCTACAACAATCCGGCTGCGGCTCGAGTCAAAGCAAGACCATGATTCAAGAATCATCGCGGCCGAGAATGGGTTCAGCCCATCCCAGCAGCGCTTTTTCTTTGGAAAAGCTGCGCACACAATGAATTACGTACTTGCGTGTCTCTGAAATAACAGGCAGTCGATGATGGCCTCAGCTATGCTTAGGACGTTCGCGAGCTGCTCCAACAGGCATTCAACGACGTTGACCCCGGGCACGCCACGGCGTTCGACCTGATGGGCGGCAATGAGATCCGCGCATGGATTGAGGACCTAAGTATGTATATAATGCTGCCGCCATTTGACCATTTAGCTAACGCGTGGATAGCCGAAGTAGAGCAGGCAAACAAGGGTTTCGAAATTCTCAGCGGCGTTGCAGGTGCCACCGGAACAGGCAAGACGTCGCGCTTGAACGCCCTGCTCGAGTACCCGGAGCTGCTTGCTTCAAGCAGCACCGATGCCGCAACGGCAACTGTGTGCCGGACTGCGTGGAATCGCGACGACGCAGAAGGCCATGAGTTTAGGGCGGACGTCAAGTTCCGTACAAAAGAAGCTGTCGTGAAGGCGCTGAACAAAATTTTGACGGCGGTCAAAGACAGAAAGGAGCCAAGTGAGCAAGAGTTCGAGAGCGAGGATGAGCGGATTGAAGCCATTGAGGAACTGACCGATGTCATCTCCCGAGGTATCAACAAAATTTGCGCCGTCTGGGCCCTTGACGAGGGCGAAATCGAGGACATGGAATACATTGTGGAATCAGTTACGGCGGACAACGAACAGATCGTCGGGCTCCTGGGCACGGGGATTGCTGTCTACTCGTCGGATACTGATGAGTTTGCTGCTGAAGTTAAGTCCTACTTGGATTCGACACTGACACCAGAGGGCATCCCAGCCTGGCCGCTCATTGAGGGGATCAGAATCGACGTCAAGTCGGAAATACTCAAGCATGGCATCATCTTGGTTGATCTGCCGGGATTGTCTGATATGTTATGTATTTTCTCAGTTTTCCGCTGTCTTGACTGAAAATTTTCAGGTCGAGGACCGATCCGCTATGGTGGAACACTACTACCAGAAGCTCTCGGTCACGGCCATCGTGACTCCCGCCATTCGAGCGGTTGACTTGAAGACGGGCGTAAAGCTGATGGGCAACTACCAAGAGCTCCGCATGCAGCTCAACGGTAAATATCACAAAGACAATATTTGCGTAGTCATCTCCAAGATCGACGACATGGAGGTCGATGTTTTTTGCAAGGGTTCGAAGGCGACTCGACAAAACGCTCAGCTTCAGGCGGGGAGGCTGTTGAGATTGGGACCACATTGAATGTTTCGAACGAGGCACACAAAGAGCTGAGGAGTATTGAGAGGAGGCTGGACACCCTGACTGGGAAGTGCGCTGCTCTGAGGAGAAAGATTGACATCTGAGAAAGAGATGGTGAGTGAACGATCCCCTGTCCCCCCTTGACTAAATTATGTTAACTCGTTTCCAAACAAGCAACGAAAGAAAGACAGGAAACTGAAAGCTAAGCGTCGCGACCTGATGAAAGAGCGAGGCAGGCTCCTCACTACGAGAAAGAATTTCTCAGACGACGCAGCCCAGCTCGATCGTTCCTTGTCAACGCTTGAGAGCCGGAGGAAGCTTCGCTGCGTTGGAATTCGCAACCAGTACATTAAGAAGCGGATCCCAGCGGATATCTTCCACCGCCAGAAGAAGCTCGTCGGCCTGGCAGAGCACAACAGGGACAAGTATGACAGGTCCGCCGAGGTGTTTCCAGTTTGTGCGTCTGGGTTCAGCGATCTGCTCAAAGGCAAGAAACCCCAGCCCGGGTTCCCCTCTAAGTTGTACACTGGCGTGCCGAGGCTGCGCCAATGGCCGAGAGAGGCTATCCTCGCTTACCGCGAAGAGCATTGTGACATGGTGTTGCGCGAACTCCAGCGGTTGCATGACGGCATTAGAACCTGGTCAGACGACCGCAGCCGCGGCATGGTGCGGTTCTCGCGCAGGGAGATTGAGTCCTTGTTGCAGTCTAGCCATAAGAGATACCTCAAGGTAAACGTTGGAAACGGAGAAATCGGTGGTGCTAACAGCCTGCGACAGAGAATTACGGTAGATCTTATTCGTAGTGTCGACGGAATAAAGAAGTCGAGCCCTCTGCGCAACATGGCGGAGAAACTTGCAACCTGCAAGCCTTTGGAGGTGAACGCTGTCTCCCGCTGGGCATACAAGTACCCGGACGACACGAATTCCACTAAGATGGCTTGGGTGACATACCAAGCTATCCTCAAGAAATACGGGCGTCCATTCCAAAGCAACGGGGCTGGCCGCCCGTTCTATGACTTCTCACTTGCACAGTAAGCTCCTCACCGTCAAGTCGAGCTCCTCACTTGCTGACTTTTGTCTCCCAGCGGCACCCCTTTCCTAGACCGCCTCCGTGAAGACCGGCTGCAGTTCTTCCAAGTCGAACTCTCCAAAGCCGAGGAGCCACTTGTGGAGGAGACAGCCGAAGTCTGGGCGAAGTATATGGATGAGATCAGCTATCGCATCCAGGAAATCGCACCGACATTCACCCGTCTTGGAGGCCACCAACAAATCCCTGGACGACATTTGGATGGAGCTTTCGGCGAGAATCATGGCGTTCATCAAGGCGATTTCCGAAGGCGCGTCTCAAATCCATCCGCTCTTCATTGACTCCCTTCGAACCGGCCTCGTACCGCATTTCATCCAAGCCCTCAGGATAAAGGGTAAGTGAACCCCCATCCACACTCCCCCTTACCACTCGCAACCCCATCTTCTCCTAGTAATCTAAGGCCTCAATCCCATCCATTTCCTAACAGACGGAAACATCCCCAGTCCGTTTAACCCCTACGTACTGACCACCCGGCACAGGCAGAAACCACTTTGAGCTCCGCCAATCGCACCTCCGTACGGCTCTCCAAGCCCATAACCCGCAGCTTGTCAGTGAAGGCTACATGGCTATGGAGAAAGTCTACGACACGCGCACCCATCCCCTGCCATCTGTCTTCTTAACCGCGTCCAAATCCGCCGTCAACAAGGTCAAGACCCAGATCAGCCTGCTGCTCAATGACCTCCACGCGCACGTCAGTGTCGGGCGAGACCGAACTGCGCTGGACAAGAAGGTTAGATTGCAGAAGGCAGTCAAGGTCCGGGTGCTTGGGTGGGCGGCTGTGTGGCGATCTCCCGGAAGTGCGGAATATCATCATGGAGATGGCAGGGACGGTGAGGAAGGTGGCGCAGGAATGGAAAAGGGGAGGGGAGGTCGGATATACAGGCGGAGTTTGTGGAGGTTGTTATGGAGGACGATGGGAAAATTGAGGGAGCTGGGGAGGAGGGAGAGGAGAGCGAGCTTGATAGTGATACCGAGGACGATGATGAGGAGATGAATGAGTGATAGGGGAGTCGGGGTAGGGGTTCAAGTGGGAGCGGTGGTGTGAAAGGGGCGGAAAGGGTGGAAGGAATGACGACAGTGCGGGCCGTGAAATTGTTTGCTTGATCCCTTGCGGATTTCTTCTGGGCTGCTCTGCTGAGACTCGAGATAGATAGGCGCTCTAGAATGGACGATGGTCTTGAGCTGCAGTCACTGTGTGAAATATTGGTGGTGATGCTGTGAAACAGTCAGGTTCACCCCAGAGCCCCTGATGGGCATCTGACTTAGATGAAGCTCGCGTAGGTGAGAACTGTGAAGCGTGAGACGGTTTTGATTCAAGGACATCCGCACGGTGGCTACCCAGTAATCGCAAGCGCAGACTCTTGAGCTTTACCGTGATCATGAAGCTTCGGTGAAGTTTGAGCACCTTAACAAACCACTGGTTCAATTTTGGGGGCAAAAACGGGAATTCACCACACTCTCCAGTCCAGTCTAGGGGTGTCTCCCTTCAAGGTCTGTAATTGTGTAGCTATAATTGGCCCGTCATCAATAACGGTTTTTTGAGAGTCCGTTTTGGATATCATCGCAAATTCGGCCAAAGGAAAAGCTAGAGATGAGCAACCTTCCCCCCCCCCCTTCCCCTAAAGCCTGCCCGGCCGCAAGGAACTGACCAACCAAACCCAAACTCCAGGTACCGACGGATAGTTGGTCAGCGTCAATATCCATCACTCAGAATCTTCCGAGCAGCCTCCTAGATTTGCACTCCACCATCCAGTCCTCCTCGAACTCAGACTCCTCCTGCTTGATGATAACAGCCTGCGCCTGCTCGCCAAACTCACTAGGGATATGAGCGTCCTCCCTTCTGAAGCAGCCCTCATTCAACTTGGGAAACGGCCAATCCATCTGCCATTCCATGATGGCCGTCTGCAGGCGCTGTTGCAGCGACGGCCCATTCCTTGCCGCTGGCGTCCTCGAGCCCGTCAAGCATCAGCGCGATCTGCGTCCTGACCTTGACGCCGGCAAACGAAACCATTTCGGCGAGAGCCCCAAGCAGCTGGGCAACCTTGTTCTTGTACTTTCGGTGCATCTTGTTGTAGCCGGCGTCGAATATATCGTTGCTCTCCTCCCTGACACATTCGTAGAGGTAGCGGCGGCGCTGCTGGAAATGGCCCGTTCCCACGAATTGCAGGCTAGCCTCCAACATAGGCGCCAGCTGGTCGCGCAGCGAACCGAGGAACTCGGGGATGGACCTCTTACGAGCACTCAGACAGACAATTCAGGGCGGTGTTAACCTTGTGCCGCATTTCGTTCAAGATGCTGCGGATCGTGGAAATGCTCTCCTTAATATACGGCATAACCTCCGGCACCGCACCGTAGCTTGGCTCCGTGCCTGCAGCTCGTTCAGGAAGGTCTCTCAGGTCTTCTCGATGGCTTCCATGATGGGAACCTTGGCCGAGGGGATTTCAACCCAGCACGTCTTGTGCCAAACTTCCAAGACGTTTTCCAGGAGGGCAACGGCCCTGTGTTGAACAGGTGTTAGTGTAGAGTCTTCGTATGTGCATGGAAAGATCAAGCTGATAAGATTAAAGGTGTATTTGAACTCACATGGCTTCAGGGAAGTTATAATCCCTCTTCTCCCTTCCCTGGCCGTAATACAGGCCCACCCTTGCACTTGAGGATGGCATTGAATGTCAAGCGGTTCATCAGCGCTGACGATCCGCTGTCCTCTGGTGCCTTTACAGCCCACCTCGTGGCGGCTTTGGCAGACTCGCGCTTGCAAAGTTTTCGTGCATAATCTTTCTGGTTGAACGGGTCAAGGGTCTCGATTAATGTGAAACCGTGATCGACCTGCGACTCGAGCTCCTGTAAAAGCATGATGTTAGCAAGGGTTGTGCCTCTCTGTGAGAAAGTGCGGCGTGTTTTCTACCTCCATGGACTTCTTATGAGTTCTGGACAGCAAATCCTCGATGAGGTCGTGGGGAATGTGTATCGCATTGCCATCGCTGTTAATCAGAGACCAGCAGTGGATGCTCGAAAACAACCGTTGTAGCGCATTCAGCAGCGCATCAAGCTGCTCTTGTCTCCGTTCCGACGTCGAATCCACAAGCCACTGGCGAAACCGAGGGATGCCTGTGACGGAGCGTGGGCAATCCCAACGGCTCTCCTGCCCTTGAGGTGGTCACGGAAGGCTGTCGCAGAGACAGGGATGACGTCTACGGAACCGTCATATTCGTTTCGACTCCCCATTCCGCGTGAAAACGTCTCCTGTCGCTGCGCGAAGTCGCATCTGGTGGCCTTCGCGATGTGACGGCTTCTCAACCATACGCAAATCCACAGGTACTGCCAGGCTCGTAGCGTGCGAGCTGCCATTCAGTCTCGTCCAGGGATTTCTGAGTACGGTACGATTGAGGGTTCTCCTCTGCGTGTTGTATGTGCGTGTCATCTCCTTCCTCTCCCCCATGCCTTCTCCGTTTTGTCTTTGAGCGCTTTGTCTGCATTTCAAGTCAGCAAAGACCTTTGAGCAAGTGAAGCATATGTCAATATGACGGACACACCTCTCTTGATTGCCAGCGACCCAGGCCGCTTGGGCGTCAGACTGTCTACCATGGTATTCGCCTTTGCAAGCTTCTCCTCTGCTTTCACTAGATCCTTTTCTTCGTTCCGAAGCTGCGTCTTCAGCACAGCTGACCTCTCCGTGAGTACTCTGATGTCGTTCTTGTCGTTCCGGAGATCCTGAATTTGTTTAGCCTGCGCGTCCCCTTTGATGAACACATCGCAATCGATCTCGTCAACCTGTGAAATCACGACGCAGAAGCTCTTCTGGTGATACCTGCAACCCAATTGCATTCGCAAGGTTTGGTAGCCACTCACCAACTGCACGCCGGTTTTCCCGTCGATGGCGCGGCGGGCGGCGTGACAATTGCAGTAATCTCCAGCTTTTGTGAGTACTTGTTGGCCACTTCAGCATGACTCTCGACGGCGTCTGACAAGCCCGGTAAGTCGACCAAGACTACTCCGTTCTTGAGGAATCAGAGCTTTGACAAAGAACCTGACCTCTGTACTCAAGGGCCAGGCTCTGAAGCGCTGAAGATTCCCAGATGAGTCCAAGTATGGCTTGACGTTCTCAGCGAATTGCTCCGCATCGTGAGAGTGGATCGTCTTGATGGTGCCGAGCAGCTCGAGGACTTCCGGGTTGGATGAGATCAGGCTTCAGGCGACATGGCCTCCACGGGCCTCCTCGTCTTTATCCCAGTCAGCGTTGATCTTCTTGAAGCCCCCTGCAATGGCGCTTCGCATTTCGGCTAACTCTCCCATGCGGTCGAACCATCGTCGCCGTCCTCCTCTTCCTTGCCGTTGAACCGCTGGCGTTCCTAAACAAGGAAAAAGAGGTTTCTAAGCTCCTCAGCCGCATCTTCACGAGATCGGAAGATGATCTCGGCTCGGAATTGGCGGCCCGGAGTGTCGTCATCCTTCCAAGAGATTCACAAGACGTTGCAGTTCCAGAGTCGCTGGATGGAAGGAGCTCGGAAATTTTCAAGAGCAAGTCAAGATGGTACATTTCCCTGCGCCAGTCCTACTAGCCACTCCAATCAAGATCTCAAAGGTCTGACTGGCCTCATTGAGCTTGTCTGGTTTCCAGTATCAGCAGAGACGCCGCGGAGGCTTCGAAGTGTTGGATACAATACATACCGATCTCCTGAATCCACTCGGAAGTTTCTTGCCGCAACGCTCCTCAAGGTTGCAGAGGCAGAAGAACCCTCGGTGTCGCTTGGACTTTGAAGTTCATTGCAGATCTTTGAGGCGTGACAAAGGGCATCGTCCACTGCCTGTTCCTTGTAACCGGCGCGTGTGCGTAAGTCCTTGTCGGAGCACGCCCTCCAGGCAAACGACTCGCTACTGGGATTAACCCAGCAGTAACCTCTTCAATTTTAATGGACGTTTCCGCGTCCTCCATTTCCGAGGTTGGTGAAACCGACGTCCATAAGCCAGTTTCCGTTAGACACAACGCAAAGATAATTCACGGCGTTTTTGGTTATACGTACCTGGTAGAAGGGATGTTCCTGCGATATATGGAGGTAACCGCGTGATGCTTTGGTGCTGTCTCGAGGATCCGTAGTGGCAAGACTGGTGAGGTTTAAAGTCGAGAAGGGTGTAGACTCAGGGAACGATGGGTAAGAAGAAACAATTGATAAGTATCGTCGTGTATGCTCGTCAGTGGCGGCCGCCGTAACGGTGAGGCTGCGTTGTGACCTTGGTCTCGTAGAGGAAGAGCCTCAGAAAGATGAGAAAGAATGCAGGTAAAATATCAGAATGATGACTGAAAGAGGATGGTTGGTTTAGGCGGAGTGGCCTTCGCTGGAGTGGCTGACTTAGTTGAACCCGTTTGTGGGCAGAAGAGAGGATGGAAAGGACAGAAGATGGGAAGCAGAGAGAATGAGAAGTTGAGATGATGGGAAGCTAAGAGAAGTCGAGGGCGTATTAGTGGACTTTCAATGCCCGTGAGCAGTTGCCATGGTATGAGACACTTGAGGAGAGGACTCATTAGTGTTTATGGCGACGGATAGAGAGTAAACGAAGAAGTGTCGGTGGAAGAGGGCTGAATTGAGGGATCAGGTCCATGTGCGAGTTGCATGAACGAGGAGAGAAAGGTTAAGAATGAGCTTCCAAACGTCCATAGCCCCGGTAGGCGGAAACACCAGTTGCACCGAGCACATGTTAGTCGTTTTCAGTTCGGAAAGTGCTCTCCAGTGCTGCTGCTACAATACAGGTTCTTCCCATGTTCTGCCTCAGTGGACATTTGACTCAAATCAGGTCTCAGAGATACTGATACCGCAACTTGAACCTGTCCAGTCAGTCACGCTGCCATTTGCGGGTGCACAGCGGATACAAACTGAAGAGCACATATGTAGTTAAAATTTAGGTAGTGTATACATCTCTTCGCATATCCATCTTCCACTCCTTCCCAAGCTTCAAGTCGCGTTTCTGACCCTTAATGGCACACACATTGTTTCTCTTGGATGCTACTTGCCATAGGAATACTAAACCCTTTCTCTACAGGGTAACAACGAAAGCTGATAATACTATCTTCCGACTATTTGTTGCGCTAATAATTTTCGGGTCGTGTCAAGGGGAAATGAGTTTTGGGTAGCCTTGAGCTCATCAGAGGGCGCAGTGGGAGAGGAACATCGGAGTGGCCGGACTTGGAACAGAACGCAGAGAAGCCTTACCGAAGCCGTTATCAAGATTCAAAACCATATCCTGAGTTCAAGCAAGCCGAGCTTGCCATGGAGGCGACCATACAGGATTCGGGGGTCAGAGCGGTAGCACTGATTTTAAGATGGAACTGAAGATGGCGAGTTTGAGGCTGCAATTCATTGAAATCCCACACTTTGACTTTTGTTTCAGCGCCACTGCACCTCTAACCCGAGTCGGCTCATTGTTGCTGCTCTATGTCTGCGAGGTGGTTGTTGCGCAGCACCCATTCTTTACTGCCAAGCCACTGCGAAAAGGGGTAAAAGGGGAGGGCATTTTGTATAATACAGGTACAAATGAACCAGAGCTTGTTTACTATCTACATAAAGAAGATAGTGGTTGCAAGTAAAGACACTGGACAAGATTTCAACCGTCTTATTCGATATTTCACACTCCCATCCTTTCTCATCTTCCTTTTGCCCTTTTCCTTTTATATCCTCCTTTCCTAGGTATCTCTTCTACATTCCTTTTGATGTGTCTCTTCTCTTTCTAATTAGGGCTGGCCATGTGCCTGGCCTACAAACAAACTATGGCTGAATCGTATGTATTTATTGGCTGCCAACGACCCCTACCATGAAATCATCTCACTTCCAGTTCCATGGCCACCATGCCACGCTGGGTCACCCACCCAGGCTCTGATGTCTCGGAGCTAACAACATCCACTCTGTTCCATTGTATTTCAATTTACATCTCTATTAGTCCGCAACAGCCTCGCGCAAAACATCAATCTGACTATCTGGACTCCGAGGACAAAAGTAGAAGAGGGACCAAACGCTGAGTCACATGGATGACGTTTGCGAGTTTTCCACGTCCCGATTTCACCCGTGCGCTTTGAACCTCATACATCATCCGTTGCTACAACTCAACCCTATTCGCTCATAGAGTTTGACTTAAGGTATCTCAAGAACGGGAAACGCTTCTCAACCCAGGACCTAATAGGTCCCGCGCTAACAAACCTGAAAGATGCCGAGGTTGAGCCAGCCTGGCTGTAATGTTAACTCCAAGGTCATGATCCTTGAGGCCGTTCGCTACCACAGCACTGCCTGTACGTAGACAACATCCATGTGATGTGTGCCTGGTAAGAGGGGCCTGTGACCTAAATGCTACTGACATGTGAAAAGACGCCTGTTGTGTGCATGAAGCCGCGGGTTCGGCTGTCTGGGTCCCATGCACCCTATATACGCCAAGGAGCCAGTTTCAAATGTTCTGGCCTAGATTCTCTGCGAAATCACATGCCCGAAGTACCTTCAGATTTGGGTTCAGCCTGCTGGATGCACCAGCCGTTTTGTAGAAACACACACAAGCATGAAGTCCAAAGGGTTGCGGAGAGCCGAGTAATATGCCACAAACGGTTCTTTCGTTTACAAAACAGCCGGGCATGCACCGGCACGGTTCCAGGCTCGTCCTCTCTGGTCTGCAAGCATCCAACAAAACGCTGCCAGATATGGAATAGCTAAGACGGACATGCGGACAACATGAGATGACAGGCCTGTCGATAAATAAGATCAATTATATTCCAGAGACCCAACGTCTCAGAAGCTCGGACTATAGAATACATCAACCGACTTCAGACCTGACATCATCGTCTCATCTTGTTCTCCTTTTCTGATCCCAAAACCACTCCCAGGCAGCAGGCAAAAGTCCCAACACGATCTTACCGCACATGTGCAGCCTCGCCGACAAATGAAGAAACCGCGTTCGCCGGAACTAACCACCCGTCCGGCGATTTCCATCCCCATCTATGATATGAACTTGCGCAGGAGGCGCAAACACGTGAATAAGATCGAAGCATGGGCATCAGGCAACCATTAACCCGTACAGTCGGTAGTTCATATTGTATCACAGGTGAGGTTGTAGGTGTCATATCCGATGTTGTGGCATGGCACGTGGAAGTGGGAGCTTCCCCTCCGATTTCGCCGCAAAACTCTCCTTGCAGACGCATCTGGGACCCTCGCACATGTTACTGGGAGAATTGACGACGGACGATGGGGGTTGCCGATGAGATTGAGGGAATGGAAATGGAAAGGCGAGTAACGACAACTCTACACTCACCCTCGACTATTTTCCTCCAAGAGAGATGATACCACAGCCCAGCCACTGTGCCATCACACTCCAACCAACTCGACCGTTTGATCACGCTGAACGAAGGGGACGTCGACAGCAAGGTGCGAGATACTCTGGAAAGATATGTCCTCCTCCCAAGTGGAAAACCTACACTTAGCAATGGGCCGTGGACATCGAGGTTAGCCACCCGTGACAATCCGCATCTCAACAAGTCCCGATGGCGACACGCCCGGCCCTAACATCCCCAAAGCGCAAAATTCGCCCAGACGCCAAACCCCGCCATCTCACCCGCCATGTTGCTCGCCCACGCTAGCAGAACACACAACGGACGAACGGTCCAAGCGACGTGCAAAGATCGCCATCTCGTGGAATTCCACCGCCACCGACCCACACGAAAGGACAGTGGAAGGTAACCGGTACAGCGGCCCAAGTACACAAGTTCCCAGTCAGAGTACGCTCGAGTCAGACGCCCCGAGCCAGGGTATGTGATCCGAAACCATGGCGGTGGGCCTTGCCCACGAGACGACATCCACCTGGCAATGGGCGAACGTGTTTCGCCTGTCGTCGACGACATCATCATGGCCACAGCGAGTCGATCACGGATCGATCACACGAGAAGACGCCGCCGAAGAGGTACCGTGGTCGGCCCGGAAGGGGAATGGTAGTTCTCCCGGTGTTTCCCCGTTCGGCCTTGAAGCGTCGGCTGCGCCTTGTTCCGTGTTGACTCACCTCCATGACACCGACCTCGGAATTCGCCGCGTGGATGCGAAGTGGAACCGCGGCGAAGGCTTCTAGAAAATTTCCCAACTCGGCAGTTGACCCCAGGAGATTTGTGGTAGGCCAACCGAGGCTCCGAGTCGGGATGTGGAGGGTCGGGTGGAATGGGCTGCCGCGATGCTGACCACGATGTCCCGTTCCGACTCCCAGGCTGTTGCTGGTGGTGATGTTAAGCGAGGTGACAAATGCACGGTTCCTCACCGGTTGTACGGAGTATCCTTTGGAAACTGAACCGAAGCCGAGATGTTTGCCAGGCTGGTGTTTGAGAAGTGATGCAATGTCCAACACGGTGACAACTCCAACCAAAACGGTGGTCGTTATCGGTACGAAGGCATAAACGCACCAATGGCTTAGCATGGGTATCGACTCTACAAGGGAGCGGGGTTCCAACTCCATGAAATTCGTTGGAGCGCGTCGCCAACCAGATCGCTGGTACTTTCGAGGTCCAGACAACCAGACCATGTTTTGGCAATCAAGAAACTTGCAGGCCGGATTTCCCTGCAACACTGCAGTTCCAGTCGATCGCTCATCGTCATTTCATCCGATGACGTTTCTGGCTGACAATGCATTGCAGTCCCGAGACTCTGCAGTCCGCCTTGGTGTAAGCAACATTTTGAGCCCAGTAAATGTTGTATCGTTTGCTCTTGCAGGTATCTCGAGAAAACGCTGGCTCCCGTTTGGTGGATTGGAGGATGCGGGAAGTTTTGCACGACAACAGGACGCCTGTGTGAGTGTTGGTCAAGTTTCGCGAAAGGACTGGCTGCCAGCTTCTGATCAGACTCCGTTCGAACGCCTCTCCTTCGGCAACCAAGGGGCTGGATGCTGACACGGTGTAGTGGTCGCAAGGCCAACCGGAACAAGACCAAATGTCTAGCGCAAAGATGCAGCTATAAAAGTCGGTGAGCGGGCGCAATCGGTGATGATTTGTGCAAGTACACAAATTGCTCATTGCGAAAAGCTTGTCATGGCGGGGCTGACGGCTGTCGCAGGTTCTCGATAAAACCCCTGATCATTGATGCAACACGACACCTCCTCTACCTCAGCTTAGCCCCCTGCCAGCAGCAGCTTTCATCCCCATTGCCCAACGACGGGAGCCAGGCGAGTTGTATCAGGCAGAAGCTAGCCCTCCATCACCCGCGCGCGGGCGGGGCTTTTTTGCTGTCGTGCATCGAAGGCATGCTCGCGCCGGAAGCCACGATCCAACCGAGCTGCACAAGCTGCACAAGCCCTCTGACGACGGGGGTTGTTGCACCCCCGGCGCGAGCAAGAAAACGGCCATGCCGCATTAAAAGTTGTGCACCAATTGAATGGATAAAAACCAGATATTCTCTCAATAAACAAACGTCCGACTCGTACTTTGAGTGCTTGGTCCGGAAGCGGCCGGCCAATGGGTCAATGTGCTGTATGGACAGCATCAAAGTGTGGAAATCTGTCTTGCGGAATCGGAGCGGTGGAAAGTGCCATGACCTCATAGTCCTCACTTCTTAGGCGCGTGTCAACTCATCACAGCGGTAAACGTGACAACAGCATTCATTGGAGATTGGAGCTCGAGCTGACTGTCCGAATTTGCCTGGCACTGACTGGATTTGAACTTGATTTAGAGTCCACCGGCTGCCCTCTGGCTGCATTCATCGAGAGATCGATTCATGTTCAACTGTGGTTAGAACCCAAATCATCCGAAAAAAACAAAACTTCGAATTAAATAAACCTGCGCCAAGAGGGAATCGAACCCCCCCCTCAACCTTGGAAGGGTTGAATCCTAACCACTAGACCATTGGCGCGGGACAATTTGGTACTTTTATCACCAGTACCACTCACTATCACACACGGCTTAGGCAGTCAGAACTGTATTTCAAGTGCCGCATCTCAAGCGATGGCTTCACTCCCCGCAACCCCCCAAATACCGCCGCTAGAAGGACAGTTCCATCGAAATCAATCTCCAGCTTCGACGATTGAACTCAGCTACTGGATTGGATGGAGAACCGACATAACGACACTCGTCAGCGCCAAACGCGGGCCCCGGCGATCCGTTGGTTCAGACCTTACCCCTCTACCAGCACGCGCCGATGTTGATACGCGCAGAGTGTATTAGGCACAGCCTCCCTTCCATGACCTACCTGGTACATATGTACCTTACACTAGAAATGACAGTGCCAGCTGGGCTTCAAGGACTTGTCACTGTTATCTCTTGTTTGCATTTCGTCACCAATTCATGCTCAAACGGAGTCAACTTGGCGGGGTGATATCCACCCCGTCGCAGAATTGCGGTTTGATATGCAGCTGAGAATGAGTAACGAAAACCAGTAACGGGAGGGGTTGACTGGCGCGGGGGAGAAGCCAGCGAGTTGTCACCTGCTGCTCTCGCACTTGTTCTAGTAGTCCTGGTGGCTGCTCCAACAATTGGAGATTCTTCGTCAAGAAGCTGTAGATGATCGACGCAAATCCATCTCTCACTCCGCGGAGCCAAACCCGGGGATGTTTCGCAGCACGTCGGTCCGACAGCGGGCCAAGCTTTTCCGTCAAGCCTCGCGATCAAACGGCGCAGCCACCCGCATGTGGGGATGACTATCCGTACCTTAGCCGCTACGAACAAGTCGGCTGTCAATATCGCCGTGACCTGAGCACTGCTGTCATCCGGCGGACAGTCAGACAGCTGACGGGAAGGAAGAACTTGGGCAACGGTTCGGTCATACGCTGTGACTTGCTGGTGGTGCCATTGTCGGGCCGGTGCCCCTTGTGCGAAGGAACGGAACGGGAAGCGGTCCCGGTGGAAGAAATGTAACATGGGACGCGCCATCCCAAGTGTCCTCACCGAGGGCTTACTAACGTACTGCCAGAGAGGAGCAAATACATGGAACCTGAAGTTGGTGGGTGTGATGGAATTCTGAGGGTCTGAGCCGACGGCAAAATCAGGTCGGGTTACACCAGAGAGTACCATCAGTAGTGATGCTATATGTGCGTACCTGATTGGGTGTGGTCTCGATCCGATCTGGGATGAGGTAACGGTGGTTTGGTGTGGTGGTGATGGACATTTTGTGTGGCGGTTAGGCGTGTTGCCTGCCAAGTGACAACCCAACGTTGAACATCGACCAAGTCTCGGAAACCGGAATTCCCAGCATGACTGCTGAGAACATTACGATAATCAAAATGCGACACAAATGGAGGTTCCAATCCGCGAGCTACCTTAGGGATCGCGCGATCATCATCCCTCACCACCCACCGTCGCCGGCGTTGTTCTGTATCCGCCCATCTAGAACGGTCCCGGACTTGCAAAGTACCTTTTACTTTAACCCCTCACATGACCCTTCAAAAACTGAATCTCCCACGTGGCTCAACAACAAACAGCCCACAAAGAGCACGGCAGATGAACTAAAAAGGCAAGACAAGACTCAGTCACAGATATCGCCTCCCGGCCGCAAGCCACTCCATGTCGGGACCGGGCAGCCGAACAGGATCAGGCAACGGGCCCCCGCGGTAGAAGAAGAGGGAGTCATCAAGACGAAGAGAGAGAAGCACCTTCTGACCCACCATGTACCTAGATATACGGGCTTTGTCCCTCATCTTTGGTGCTCTATACTGTATACCTTACCTTACCTCATTTATTGCAGCGAGCGGTGAGGTAAACTGCATGGTAGGTACCCGAAGTTCTTGCAGGCACTTACACACTCGGACGCCACCATCGTCTGAACGGAACAAAAGTCGACATATAGAGAGAGAGAATCGAGAACGGGACGAGACAAACAAGCAAATAGGACATGCTCGGATGGACTTCTTTAAAGTGTTGTATGCTTGGCCGACGGAGAAACCCATGGCCACCAGGAGGCTCAAAGACAGACAAACAACAACATCCATCCCTTTGTCGTGCTTTGTAGCCTTCCAATTGCCTGCTTACGGTAGGGAGTAAGGCAGGGAGTTGTGGGATGCATCAAGCATAACACACAGCTGTCAGAGTCGCTGTCAATCGGGTAGGCATTCGTTGCTAGAGGACTCGGAGCTGTTGGCGAGATCAACTCCACCTCTCCAATCCCAACATTCAAGCTACGACAACTTCACTCATCCTCAAGACCAGGTATGTTTCTTAGTATCATTTTGAATTGTTTTGGCTATCCTTTTTGGTTTCTTTTGAAATTTTTAGCTGTTGCATCGCGGCAGACACAGAACAGCCAGTCAGCCAAGCAGCATTGATGGGGCGCTGGGTTCTGTCGTTCTGTCAAACCCCCACCACCTGCTGTGTCAACACGCCTTGTCTTTTTTTCTCTTGCCCACTCCTGACTCCATTTCCTCCTCTCTTTCCCCTCCCTTTCTCCTCCTTCGCACACTTCCGCCTTTTTCCCTCGCAGAGCCCAACCCCGCTCCATTCCAGTCCCCGCAATCCAGAACTCTTCCAAGAGACAAGCATAACAGTCAACAGGAGCGCGGCCCCCACGGTTGCCCGCCCGCGCTTCCCATACCCCGCCCCAGAGTGTACAGCTTCCTCTTCTTCTGAAATATGCGGCGAGAAAATACAAGCATAAAATGCAACCCCGTGGTATCAGTGCGATGATGAGAAAAAAAAAGTCAACGTAACGCCGCTGAATGTGGATCAAAGAGTAGGAGAAGCGAATGATTAAGGGCCAAAGAACATAGCCTCCATCCCAGGCCCACCAGACCGCCAACGCACAGCTGCGTTGATGATGCGAATGACGCAAACTGTGTTGTCCACAGTCGCGAGCCCAAGTAATACATGGCAGCAAGTAGTCGTCTGCCAGACACAACCGTCGCCTCCAGGGTATCTTACGCGCCAAACAGGTGAGCTGCAATGGGTGCATTGATATTAGGACCTCACCAGGCCTGGGTCTGGTGTTGCGCAAAGGGGTTCTGAAAGTATTGGTCCCAGTTGGTGACGTCCTTGTCGACATTCTTGTTCTTCCTCATGTACGGCGGCTCCGGATACTGCTTCAGGTTGGCGACATCCTGTGACGTGTGCCTGCGCTTGAGGACCGCGTTCTGAGTCACGGTCCGTTGTGACCGCTCACGAAGGAGGTTCCGCCGCAGCGACTCAGGCAACTCGGTGGCGAGCATGTTGCGCCGTGTGGTACGCGGCGAGAGCGCACACTGGCCCTGCATGCCCGTGGCGTTGACATTGATGGGCTGTGGGTATCCCGTCCGTTCATTGTAGGCTGGCATTTGCGAAGGTCGCGCATAGACCTTCGTCTTCATCATCAATGGGGCATCATCCGAGTCGTTAGGCGAGGCCATCAATGAGGGACCGTTCAGGTTGGGCCTGGTGCGGGGAAGAGCCGACGTCGACTGTGAATTGATGTTGCCCAACTTCTGGGCGCGGTTGTTGTTCTCAATCATGAGTGTAATAAGTGACCGGCGGGACGGGAGGTTGGCAGTAGAATCGACGCGCTTGAAGTGGATCTTCTCTTCGCCCATTGAGCTGCCGCTCTCCTCGGCAGACTCTTCCTCCCACTCTTCGTCGTCGTCGTCAATGGCACTCTCATCGAGATAGTCATCCTCGGTGTCGCTGATGGCCGAAGACGTGAAGGTCTGTGTGACAAGCTGGTTATTGAACGAGGCAGTCTTCTTCTGACCGTTGTTGGGTCCGGGTTTCTGAAGTTGTGGGGCATGCTCCGGGGATTCGTCTGCCGACGAGCCTCCAATCTCGAACATCCTGCGATTCGGTTGAGCGGCAGATTTCCTCGTCTCGAGGTCCCTGTTCTTGAAAGATTCTTCATCGGATCCGGAAGAGCCACCCAGAAGAAATTTTGACTGCTGCTTCTTCGGCAAGATGATCTTCGGGGCAGGGGCGTCCGTCGGCTCAGGAATAGCGCACATCGACGGCCTCTTGTTGGCTGGCGAGGTGATACGGCTCAGTGGCACCTGAGAGGGCGAAAAGCCCCGGGTAACGATGGTCCGCGACTGCGCAAGGGGTTCTGGGGTGTGCTGTGACGCGGTCGACTCGGGCGTCGCGTCGGGCGAGCTCTCACACGGCGACTCGGAGGATGTCGAGCCAGACCGGTCAAGAGTCGGAGCGATTGTTGTCTTCTCCGCCTGGACTGGGGAGCGAGGGATAGCGGGCAGTGGCGCAGTGAGGGGTGTCTTGGCCTCCATAATGGAGACAACCATTTTCTCCAATTCGTCCGAGGTGATGTGGCGCTCCCGGCCCCGGCCGCGGCTGCTGGCGCATGAGTCTTGCCTCAGTATCCTCGGCCGCATGATATCCACCGGGGTGGTTTCTGAGTTCAAATCAACTGCCTCCTCGTCGGCGACCGAGTCAACGCTACCCGACAGTTGGGGCAGCTCCTCGGCAACCGCGCTGTGAAGGTAATGAATATCTTGTGGCTGGCTGGTAGCACATGGTGAGGTGAGCATTTCCTCGCCCTCGCAGCAGAACGTTTCTCGATTCCACAGTCGCCAGCTAAGATTCTCCAATCTCCGTCCTTGAGCGACTGAGTCACGACACCTTGCAAAGACTATTCGCGCCGTCATCAGTATGTCAGCCATGTGTCCGAGTGGAGTGAAACTCACCAGTCCACATGCTGAAAAGATTGGCCGGATTTGTTGTGTCGACCTTGTGGATGACGTTTGCGTCCACTTGCAGGACGGGTGCCTCCAGTGTCAACGGCATGCTGCCTGCAGGCTGCTCGAATGCTCGAGCAGGTGCTAAACTATGGTCGCAGTGAATTGTCACGGCGGACGGCGATCGCGCACAACTGTCGTCGTTCGGAATTGGCGTGGTAAATCGGTGGTGCAAGGCTTCAGCTGATGCGATCCTGAGATCCGGTCTGCGCCGACAGCGAATTGAATCGATGGGGAATTCTTCGTGTGAGCGAGTATGGTGCCAGCAATGTTGTCGTCGGTGCGTTGCCCGAGCAAGTCTGCTAGACTGCTGCTGTTCGGTTCTCGCACTTGCCGGCCGAGCTGTGTTTCTGCGACAACTTGCCCAAGTTGTTCGTGGTCAGTCTGCGAATGTTTCTGCTCTGCAGGCGTACTGGAGTCGTCGATTATCGTGTTATGTCGCGTCGTGTTGGTGAGCGTTAGGCGGGAAGGGAAGGGGAGGTGTGGTGGGGAGAGGTTGAGTTCATGTATAAGGGGAATTGTCGGGGCGCTGAGTGGAGCAGAGACAGGGCAAGTGGTGTGGGATGGTGCTCGATTCGTCGTGAACGAAATCAATTACCAGGGCGGTACCCACGACATCCACATCCTGGTCAGGCTCGGTTCCCGGTACCGGTACAATCTTGCAAGTCCCATCGTACCGGCCAATGCCATGAGGAAGGATCTGTGGCGAGGAGGGTGTGTTGAGCGAACAGGGGTTGTGACACATGAAAGGTACGTACTCTACTTTAACCTCCAAGTCACCACTTCGCGCACGCTCAAGCTAACCGAGTGCCTTTCGAGATCTACCGGGAGGGCAGATGATGGGGCCGATGCAGGTAGGTATAGTGACTGCAATTGAGAAGAAATGGGAGAAATATCCGTAGATGATGGCGATCAAGTTTGGAGAACGACGCGGTGAGAGAGATGGGAGAATGCAGGACAGAACTCGCTCGAACGGACCGAAAAGCCTTAGGATCACCCCATTGGCAAAGGACTGTTGCCTTATCAGGCTTAAACTGCTCCTACTGCGCTAAGCTTCATTCAGTAGAGCATTACCGATCATTTGCGTTATGCAAACGGCGGCTTTACGGAGTCACGAGCAACCGGCAGCAACCGTCGAATGACGCCAACGGGACGCAGATCCCTTTTCTCCGTCTCGCACTCCAAAATGGGAACTCTTGAGCCCAAGCAAAAGTTTGCTGCAATTCGGGAAGCGCTTGGTTGACACGCTCTCCAGAGCCGCCGGCAGCTATCACCGCAGTCTCCTCCAGGGCCTGGATCTTTCCCACAGATGTTCTGCTGCGAGCAAAACATGCAGCGGATTTCATTTCCTTCCTCAATCGCGACAATTTTTGTCGCATTTCTTTTGCCTGTCATCTCTGCTTCCTATTGCGGCATGGGAGGGAAATCTTTCGGTTCGACACTTTGCCCGAAACGGCGCTGCTTCCGAAGGAGTCAGGAGGCAGCCTTGCCGTTCCAAAGGAAGTCAGGTGCTCAGCGAGAAAAGCTCTGGGCCGTTTCCCCGCGAATCGCCACTCTTTGATTTCATCCAGCCAATTCGGGCCACGGCTTTTTGAGCTTTCGAGCTTTGGATCATGCCTGTGTGATGACCCTGCCAGCCGTGATCACGAGCAACACTCGGTTCATTGCTCGCTCTAATCGATTCGCTGGTTACCGTCAGTCGGCCGAGGCAAGGTGAAGCAATGCGTGCAGCCGAGCGACGATTTGCGACCCAATCGCATCGCTGCCAGAGAGCAGTGCGAACACCGACTGGCAACAGCAGCCCGGCCCAGCAGTAACTACGGATAGCTGACCCTCAGGTTCAAACACGGGCTGTGGTCGAATTGACGGCCACGGTCGATGTTGTGCTGACACAGCCCGGATGGATGACTCTGTGGTGGCCAGTGGGCGCCCAGCCCAGGTTCCAGTCTTGCAGGTGAATGTTTCTCGCTTCCCGTTCCTGCTGACCTCGTGATCCCCCCGTCCACAGGGGCCTCATTCCGATTGCAGCGGCCAGCTTCCCACAGCGCTTATTGCCACAATTGGCCAATATCACAGCGTCCAGCTGTTTATCACGATCATTCCTTCTCTGTAAGGAACGCTGCGCACATAGCAAGTCGCCGAGGCCTTCTCCGGAGAAATCATGTCCCTCAATCTCCTCACATGACGCCGCCTCCGTGGCTGGAACTGTGCACCCCACGCCGAGGAACAGACGGCCCCTGTTCAGGGTGCAATCATACCCAACCTCGGGAGGGGCTCCCGGTGTCCGCAGAGTCGATATCACCTGAATCCATGCAGACGGAAGCCCTTCCGGAGGCGTTGGTGGTGTGATGACCACCGGCGACCGCAACGGTACCTCCGTACCCCAGTTTCTCCCGGCGCTCTGGTCAACGCGACATAGTTGTTGATCGCGACGCCGCAGCACCGGACGATGGATGTTGCTTTCGCAAGGGGGCGGGCCCATGGCACAGCCAGGGTTCGCTCACATGGCCGCGGTGTTCCGGGATTCGTCCTCATCAGTTCCTGGTTGCTTTTGATGGTGTCTGCGCAGAAATCACCGCGCCTGAGGGAGCGGAAATCTGAGATGTCGCTCGGCCAGAGTGTTTGCGGCAGGTTCTAACTCCCAGCGCTCTGGGACGCAATCAAAGCTGAATCCGGACCCGACTCTTACGGAGCTCTAGAGACAAACCACTTGCAGGCTCCTGGACCGATATGGTTGTCAATATGACCTACTCGGCCTGTACTCTGACGGTCGTTCTGGCGATGTTCCGTCAGACAGCAAACGCCCCGTCCTGTCAGGAAGCGTCCGGTCAGTTTAGAGATGGCCACACATGCGGCGATGGACCCCCACCTTGGACCCTTGCTCCTCTTGGAATCTGCTCACCACACAGTCTCGTGGTGCTCTCTCGGTCACAGCAATCGGAAATTCAATTCGTGCTGCCATACATCCAATACTGGTGCTTGAAAGTCGATGGCCGCGGAATTCCACACGTGGCTGCAACGACCATTATTCCTCCAAAAGTAACCAGCGAGCAGTGTCTGCTCGCCACGTCAAATGCGACTGAGCGAATATCTTGGTCCGGGGGAGAACTGCAGGGCGCGGATACATCATATTACAGAGTATTATTATCCGCCTGTCGCCGAGACGCCAGAGTAATGGAATCGCTCTCATCTTCGCGCTGCACCCGGCACATAAAAGAAATGTAGATGTTTGAGGCGACCAACAGGGCTGCAGTGACCTTGCATCGCAGATCCAAGATGCCAAAGGGTCCAGATCGGCTGACTGCCGGGATCCTGGGGCACGTCTCCCTGCCGCTCAGGTGAAGTGATAAGTGACAACAGCTCGACTGGTGAACATCCAATTTATTTATCGTTTATGCAGAGCCTCGACCCGACGCAACGGGAGCCCCTCCTTGGGCGTTACATCGCGTTGCAAGCCATGAACGTCACTCCTTTTGTTGCCAGCGGAGCTGCGGCTCGCATTTCCCTCCCTCCGTTTCCCGAACCAGACGACAAACACAATCTGCGGTGCAAACACATATCCAACAAGAACACGCAAGCCAACAAAGCCAGCCGGTCTGTGTTGGCTAGGGGACTCCGGGGCGTCGTCACTGTGCCGCCGAAATCAGGGGTCGCCCCAACCTCACTGTCGAAACACCGTCTCGGCTCCCCCAACCTGCATGTGTGAGAGTGCAACACCGCGCACGCACGGGGTTTCTTTGTGAAACCCCCACATTTCACTTCAGGAGCAGCCGAAGTGTCTTTTGGCTACGTGTGCCAATGCGGCTATCCTACAGACAAGGGTCCAACATGCACATTTACTCTCACTTCGCCCGGCAGCCGAGCAGTTTGATACTGCAGGATGCATCGTCAGCCCGCATATGTCTAACTACAGCAAACCCGTGAGGATCTGGCGAGGCGGCCTGCTGTGTGACCCGAGAGCCAGTCTTGTCCTCCTCGCTCGGTGGTCGGGAGGATCGAGGACAGGGCGGGCGGCGTCCAGCTGCCTGGACCATCCTGCAATGGCCCCCGTTTCCGTGTGCGTACCCAAGTAGGAGGGTCGCCGTTACTGGCTGTGGCCATCTGGCTTGTAGGAAGTCCGGTCTTGTGTAGCCAGAGGGGCATTCGCATCGTACTGGATTTCGATCGAATCAGACAAGGCGGTCGGGTATCGGCGCCGGGAATCCAAGTACACAGTAAGGCGGCTTGCGATTGTTTTGACAGACTGACTGCTGACTAAATGACCCCTGGCACAACTGGGGATGACCGCCACAGAGTACAGGCTTAGACATACGCGCGTATGGATCAGGTGACGCGGAAGGGGCGTATTTCAGGGATGGTCTTTCGGATCGGGAATTTGGAAGATCTGTGGTCGTTCGTCCTGTCCGAGCCCGTACAACTACCTCGCATCGGCTGCATGTCTTCACCCCGACCCACACACTAGCTGTATGGATGTGTATGCTCGCATCGACAGCATCCCATATGTGCCTATTTGAACGGGCCGACGTCGAGAACACCAAACCCGCAGTGGACGCGTACCTCAGTAGTCAGGCAAGTGCGAAATGGCGTACGGAGCACGGAGGAGGGTGCGATGTTATCGAGTCTTAACCCGTTTGGGGAATGGTGGGAACCGAGTCGATGGCGATTCCAAAGTGTGGATGTTCCAGTCGATTGGGGCATGGAGAGAAACGGAAGCGTGGTCAAGCAGTTGCAAATTCCACGAATCACGGGACATGATTTGATGTATTGTACAATACACGGGAGGTACATGAGGTGACCATATTGCGGAACTCGCGGTACGTATATATAATTTCTACTTAACGTTTTTGCATCCTTTATCGACGCTTGATACCATGAGGCAGGCACGATGTACGGAGAATACCTCAGGAAAGGATTTCTCCGCTTCTACTGCCCCATCCGCACCAATCACTTAGCTCGTATTGCAATGTTGGAGCTCCCCAGCTGTGTTCTTAACACACCTCAGCTGCCTCAAACGGCAACACTTCGAACGACTGAGCTAAAGCCAACAAGCTGCGAGAGCGCGATCCTTAACACAGGAAAACCCCAAGGTCAGGTCCCTGAGGGTTGCAATTTGTCTGCACTCCAAAGACTCAAGCAAGCCGCTTCTCAATGTCTCTTCCGCCGAGGCCCTTAGCCTCGCATTGCAGACATGCGAGACGTTCGCCTAATCGGGAGATTGGCAGGACTCAGCGAAAACTGTCATTACATTGGCCGGGTTGGATTTATCTATAACGTTACTGTCGGGCTTGAACACACCCGATGGACACCTCCGTCGATGCAATTTGATTGATCTCTGCGTATGACTATGATGGGCAGTCATTGTGCCTGAGCAACTCTGTGCGACAACGTGAAAGTTGAGCCCGTCCATCAAGAGTTTGACCGGGCCGTCCGGCCTTGCAGCAACAGTGACGTTCGCTCAAATCCACGAATCCACGGATCGTTTAATGACTCGGATTCCACGAGAGGACCAGGATTCAACCATTCTCCCCGCATTTCCGTCTCGACGATTATTCGCCGGCGCCAGCCTCCCGTTGCATCGCAAGTGTCAAGAAAGGGCGAGTACTCCGTTGGTTTAATTATGCACAACAAGTCTGGACAAAAAGCTTGATCCCGGCCCAGAAGAATTCTGCGTTTTCCAGAACATTGCGGAGCCCTACGGTGTTTCGCCGGTGCAATTTTTCCGGTCCAACATGCTCCCTGCCCCTTACCGGTGACGGCCCGACTCCGTATGGAGGGAGTCGGACGTGTTTCATTTACCATGGACGGCCGGGCTTTTCAACGAGCGTGAGGGATTTTTGCCCCTGATTTGTCAGGACGGGTGTGGATGACAATTTTGGATTTCTTTCTTCCTCGTGGCTCGTGTCCGGAGCAACGAGCGGGTCAACAAGTCAGTTTGTTGCCGAAGACTACGAAATAGGAGTGCTGTACGGTGAAATTCCAGGCGGACCCTGCCGACGTTGAAGCTCCGAACTGGAAGATGTGGCTGTGGTGTTAAGTAAGGCGGGCTGACGAGTGTGGCGTCTTTTCACATGCTCATTACAGTACGGATCCGTACTTGAGGGAAAACTTACCCGAGTCCCAGAAGGTGCACAAAGGTGTTCAAGTTGTCCGAACCGATATCATGCGTGCCATTTGCAACCTACAAGCTCTCGACTACCGACGCATATCGGAAACAGAGTAGTGTGACTGTTGGTAACATCAGCATCCCCACCTTTTCGCTTTGACTTTCTACATAGACATTCGTATCTGCTGCATCATCGCCGCTGGACCCAACGCAAGAGACATCTGCCGAAGCATCTGTCCCTGTCCCTCAGCCACACGGACTCTGTCAGCCTGTCACCGCCACCACCACATCTGCTCTCTGCGGTGCCCGCACAAGGGAGCCCTTGAAAGCCAGCAGCTCGAATGCTGCCGTCCTTTCCGTCTCACCGCCCGCACACCGCCCTAACCAGTTCAGCGCTTCTCGAACGCTCTTTCAGGTACAACTTCTGCCGAATTGCCGTGCCGGGATGAACTCCTATCGCGGCGTTCTGCGGAGAGCGAGACACTGACTCTCAACAATCCACATCCACAACTGTGGGCTATAACATGAGCCGGAACTGGAAATAAACGTAGAGTTTGATAGTTTCATTTATCGCTTTTTTATTAACTTCACTTTTTGAAGTTTGATTTCCTTCAAATGCCACAGATTGATGCAGTGGCCCAGGATATCTCTGTTGAATATCAGCCGCCGTTAATCACCGCGTGCGGACGGTTTTACAAGTCACAGCACACAACACAAGAGACGCAGAGATCTTGGCAAAAGCATCTGGAACCTTCAGCTCCGCTTCGCATGCCCAGCATCGCCGCGCGCATAAACGGTCCGGCAATGCGGTGGCGCCGTTGGCATTCATTTCCTGGGTCGTCGGTACTCCACCAGATTAGCCGGTGCAGTGAAGGTTACAAGGCGACCTTACTGTGTACCTTTTTCAGCCCTGCACCGGCGATGCTCGAAGAACAATGGCCCTACATACAACTCTGATATGGGGTGGACGCAGGATGTGTCTCACCACCAATTTCCAGGCGCGAAAGACGCGGCCGGACGGACTGGATGCCTTTCTGTTCCAAGACAACGTATTCAGTGACATAGGTAGATGGGGACCGATGATCCTCAGTCGGTTCAGAGGGATAGGATCACAGCAACACCCCCCTCGTCGTCTATCCTGAGCGGTTCGTTTCAGGATCTAAAAGCCGCACGAAAAGAAGGTGTGCCAATGAGACACTGAACCCCCTGGGCCCGACCGCTATAGCGACTGCCGCATGTAAAAGGTGTGGTCAGCCAGTCGACGGCTAACCAGAATACACGGGCCGTGACCCTGGCTGCAGATCGATCACGAGCCGCGTTTTCCTCAACATCCCGCAGACTTCTCCCTTTCCCCAGATTCTCGGCTGCAGATCACGGAATCTGCAGCGCGGAGGGGCGGACGGGGCAAGAATTGCAACAAATTGCCCGGCTTTGGCAATTGCCGCGTGCCGCGCCTCCCTCTGGGAAGTTGGAGGGATGATCATGTGCGCGGGTTTCGCATTGACTCGCTCAGGCGCACCAACTGGAAATTCTGTCTCGTCAACCAGACTCGGGAACGGGACCCGATTAAGACTTCCTTCTTGCCGGTCAGTCAGTGCCTAATGAGGAAGCTACCAAAACCTGGGTGGCCAACGAGAGTGGTTCGCCCACGCCGTGGTGAGGCCGAAGCGGCGGCGTTCCCGTCGTCAAGTGACTCGGTGTTAGCCCGTCTATCCGGCCTCGACCTGGATCCCGTTGCACAGGATCAAGCTCCGCTCGGCCCTTGCTGATATACAATGCGGCAATGCGTTTGCGTCCACTCAGCCGTGGCCTCGCTTGGGAGCAGCGATGAGCCCCAGATGACCTGACCGACAGCAGGTTTTTGTGGTCCTAACTTCTTCTTATAATCCTGTTGGCCTGTTGTATGTCTTGCTGCATGGCATAGGCGTATTTTGAACCGAGCAGGCGGACACGTACAACACCTCTTGGGGGCCTCCCATGACACAGCCACCGAATAAGGCAGGTAGATATTTTCACGTGACATATTAAGTCGGAAGTACAGCAAGGTACGGGACTTTTATCGTCGCTTGGTCGTTCGGTTGCGACCAGAGTAAAAACGGCACCGAACTGCAGCCCGGCAACGCCCAGATCATCCAAATAAAGACCCGGGTAAGTCTCGGTGGCGACTGCCCAGATGTTGTCGTTGCACCGACCCAATGCCATGCTTAAAATACCATGGACATTGATTGAAGTATCTCGAGACATGCCATGCTTTCTCGGGTCTTGCAGGCTGATTGCGAATCTGAGGAACAGGGGGCAGCTTCCAGGCTGTTCTGGCCCTAATGCGGCTGCATCACTAGCGGTGTGGGTCCCTCGGTCGAGGGTACCAAGACTTGACGTCAACAACCATCGGCCCTCAATCCATTTGTTCACTCCCCGAGTCACCAAAACCATGGTAATTGTCGCTCGCTTCGGCGACAACCCCGGGTCAAGAAATAAACGCTATCCCGCAGCTACAATAGAAGCATGCCAGACTGTGTGAGACGACCATGCGGACCAACCAGGGCCCAGCTCGGCCGACTGGGTGAGAAAGCATTAGGCAGTGAGGTGGGGGGTTTTAAAAAAGAGACATACTTTTCGGACTGTAATGTCCATCTTCCTAGACTGTGACCCCACCCACCATGCTATACATATCTCTAACCCTGATAAACTTTTCGCGGTCGCACCCACATCGCAAGCCGTATCGCATCCCCTCGCTCAATTGAACCGCATCGCAATGCGCTCAAATCCATCAAATCCATCAAATCTATCAGATCTGCTCAATTCGCTCAAAAACGCAATAAGATCGCGATGCATCTACTGTGTTTTACTCTGACAAGGTCCCATACAGGACCTTAACCCTGATGCGAATTTACTACTTTTTTGATGGAATTGAGCGATGCAGCGCATTTGATGCATCTGAGTGCAGTTCAATTGATTGCTGCGGGCGCGAACAAGGCGTGCGACGGCCAGGGTTAGGAATATGTATGGCATGGTGGGTGGTCACAGTCTGGGAAGATGGACATCACAGTCCGGAAAGTATGTCTCAAAAAAAAAACAAAGGCATGCTCCCCGAGCGATATTGGACCCCAATATACTATTGCAATTTGAAACGTTTCAAGGTCAGGAGTACCGTACCCGTATGATTCGAGGACTCGAGCCTGGAAGTTCAGGTATACGGTACGCCCGATAAGGTAACCCAGAAACGACCCATTTGTCTCGGTCGTCAGCCCGGCAAGCATCGTGGGAAGGAGCAGCGCACACTTACCAAAGGTTAACCTTTTCCCAAGTACCGCTCCATCCAGGCTGTTAGTGCAGCCCAAAATAATGTATGTAAAAAGTTAATCTCTCGACTACCCGTTTTGACAGAAATGTCCGTTGAGGTACATCCACTGGAGCAGCTCCGAGCATGCACGACGTCCTTCATACATCCATTGACGATGAGGGCCAGTTTGCCAAACATCATTCTCAGCCAGAAAATCGGCCATCTCATCGCGCAGAGGCCCCGGCGATAGATCTGCACCTGAGTCACAGCTTGCTTACTCCCCACGTCCCGGCGGTTGCAACTCGCGGCGCAGCTCGTCGCTGTTGGGCCAGCTTGTTCTTCGATTCGCTGCACTTGGTCATCAGAGAGCTGGTGCCTATATTGCCCCACCCTCGGATCGAAGGTAGTACCGACGTTGTGTCCTCCTTCCAGCCGCATCTGCGCCATTCAGGTCCACTTATCGAGCGTGAGCAGAACCAACACCTGACGGCTCATGCCACAGTGGCTTCACCATCTGACCCCTCAAGCTCCTCGGTCGGGGTACGACAACGCAGCGGCGCGACCATCTTGAACCCAGCGCCGCGGATTCACAAAGGGGAGGGTGCCACAGACTCATTATCACGAATCTCCACCATTATCGTGTTACCTTTCGAGTCACCCAGGCACAACCTCAGAAGCTGCTGTTGAAACCCAGTTCTCCCGATGGCCTCATTCACCTGAGCCTCCCTTGAGATGCCGTACGACTCCGAGGCAAATCTCGGCCAATGCCACGAGCAGTCCATGCGAGGTCCGAAGACATACAGAACTGACAATAATCGCTTCATCTCCCGTGACACCGTCTTGCCTCAGGGTCCGGCACCTGTTTCCCCAGGCGGCCAAGCGCTGGAATCGTTCGACGGACGCCAATCTCATCCAAAGGCAACAACGGCATGATATTGCTTTCCCGGAAGATGTCGCCACAACTCTCAGTCCGTTCGTGTCGGTTCCAACGCTTCCGACGACCGCCGTTCAGGGTCATGCTGTTGCTGCCGTCCAGATCAACGACACTGCATATACACAACATAAGGTATATTGCTGACCTCAGAACCTAGTTGGGGTCGAGACCTCTTGTCGTCCCTCGCAGGTCCCTTCCGGGGAAGAGCCGGGCGCTCCGACACTTGCTACGCATCGGACCGTTCCTTTTGCGCCGAGACGCCGAATATGATTTGCGAATTGGCATCTCGGGACTCCTACTGGTTGGTCAGATTATCCAGTTTACAACCCGTCACTCGGGTTCCACGGTGGAAGGATGGTCGGACAAGCCAATGGGATCGATCCCGGTGAGGGGACCAGGTGAGCGTTCGGTGAAGCTTCGCCGCTGGCTTGCTCTGGGTCAACAACCAATAACGGCCGGGAAATTTCTAGCCATTCGTGGATCAGGGGCTGTTGGTTTTTGGAGTTGAGCACCCAGCCCTACAGAGTTACACCAGTGGGTTGCAGCTGACGGACTGAGTTGCCGACTCGTCACTGTCGAGTACCGGGTCTGGTCTGCACAGTCTAAAAACCCAAGGGGTGAGAAATATCGACTTCATTTCTCTGCTGTCCAATTTTCTCGTCTTTGTTCTCTGCCTCCGTTTCTCTCTTCGTCCAGTTTTGATACGCTCTCCGTTGTTTAGGTTCAACTTCCCTGGTTTCCAGGGGGCCCCTCGCCATATCTAAGCCGAATTGACAGCCTGGTCTCATCGCAACACGGTACGGAGCAGGTATCTGTACTCTCCTTCGCAAACTCTTGACCGCCTCTTTTTGCTTCCCGTCGTTCTGCCCGTGGTATTTGACACACCTCCTCTCCACTTGATTGGATGGTGTTTCCCCAGGCTGCTGGCAGGCTGATGAGGTGCCCTACCCTTCCCGCGCAGGCTAAATCGGCCGGGTAAAATGAGACGCTGGAACGGAAGCCGACTCGCTGATTGATTCGCCGTGGGTGGCCTCTGCAAGCGGACAGGCTGAGAGAGGAGGCTCAGCTCAAAAACCCGAATTTTTCTGTTTGAGGCCAGTTTTCCCAGCAGATGACGGCTACATGTGTAGCCTTGTCGAAAACTTGAGCACCTTCGTCCTGGAGAACGGAGTTCACAATGCTCAAGAGCTGGTATTGCTGACCGGCAGCTTGGGCGTCATCACGCGATGCGGCAGCGCGCTTCCTCTCCACCCTGGGTTGCGAGGCTACCGGTACTGCATACGCGATCCCGTTCGTTGGGTTTCAAACGGCTCGGCCGAAGTTCTCCGTTGTTGATTCCGGCTAGGTCCCTGGGCAATAACACCGACGATGATGGAGGTTTTTACTTCCTCTCCTGTCCTAGAGTCTCAATGATACGGGGTTCTTCAACCAAGGACGTAGAGAGATTGTTTCAGAGATGGTCGGTGGTTCATCAGGGGGAGGTGCCATCGACCACCGGCCCGGATACCTTCAATTTGCGCCATATTCGTACGATAATGGTTGGTCAAAATTGGGAACTACTCGGTCAACTATTTGGGCACCTTTGTTGAATGAGTTATTCACCCTTCTCCCTTGTTTCCAAACGGACTCGCAGCAGCGACATCGGAGCGACTCTGCATCGCTGCTCATGATACTGTCGAGCTCGCTCATATACTGAGAACACAACCCGTTTCCCAAGACCTTGATGCCTGCTCAAGCGAGGGCTCAGCTGACCGTCCCAGCCGTGTCTCCCCATGAGAGCGCGGGGGACAAGGCGGGGAAACAAGGGTGTCAAGAGGGCTGAAAGCCTCGAAAGTGGAACCAAGCATTTGCGTCCCGTCTCAGCCCTCCGGAGTTGCTGATCAGGAGCCCCATCACAGCGCGCCACCTTCACCACGCGCTCGCTGGCCCGATGATGTGATGGTAACCCCATCAAGCATTGACAATCTCCTCTGCAAGTTGGATGGCTGGCTTTTGGTTCGGCTAGCCAGGCGAGCTCCCCGGACCGCAACCCGTCCTGCAGGGAACTTCACACCCACACACACCTGCCACCCTCCTGTTGAAGTCCATGAGGTGTCACTGTGTAACCTTCCCTATTTTGTGTTGTCCATGTCCGAAACCATCACGCATGCCATGGTCTGGGCGGCATAAGCATCACCCCGCGAGCCGCAAGTTGGCACAACCGACCGTTCACCCCACCACCACCTCGCTGCCTAGCGCCCGAATCAAGCGCGGCGGATGCGGGCGGGCGTGCGAGAACGTGGGCTTCTGTCCGCATTGGGCGGATAGGTTAGGGGCTTCGGCCGCCTGTCGAATAAGCTGAGCTCTGAGCCTTCACGTGAGAGAGATGGCGAGAATGGTGAAACATCGAAACAGGCTGGGCCTGTGGCCGTTTTGCCGGCCGATGCCCGCGCCATCAGTGGGCGGCACCTACGAGATCCGCCACTTGGTTTGGACTGCGCAGTTGCTTGATCCAAGTCTCTGGATGCAGCCATACGCTGCATGTATGTACCTACTGTACATGATTGAGTGATGTCCGGCAATTGAACGGCATGCCGGACCTCCGCCTGACATCGTCCAGGGGTTCACCGTTGAGCTGGGGATTGATATTGACTGGCACACACATCGGCGGCCCCTCGCTCGACCGGTCAGTCGGGCCAGACGGGTCACCTTACCGACCGGCCAGTGAGACACGGCAGCCAAAGACACTGCGGTTACGCTGGGTCGATCAGCGGATCGATCGATAGGTGGACGGAGCATTCTTTGCATTTCTCCGCCCTTGGATATTCTTTGAGGGAGTACTGTGTACGTAAGGCTGGCCTAACGAGTAGCTGGTTAGGTTAAAGCTGTAAGCGAGACAGGCGAGGACCCTTGAGCGCCAGTGAGGACTGGAATGGCGAGGCGGCGGCGGAGCTGACTGGGTCTTGATCACAAGGTCCGATTTGCAGCAGTTGGCGAGAGGTCGTTGAAATGGGAGGAGAGCCGCTGGCTTTGCCGCTGGTGGCTTTGTGAGGCGCGTGTCAAAGCAAGGCTAGCATCTGGTTCGGTGGGTATCTGGTGCAGTCCTGCTTTGGCAACCACGTAACGACACTCCACTGTCAATCGACACGAGAGTCAACATCAAATGCTGGTGACTACAACCTTCAGAATTTAAGTACATGTTCTATCCTTTTCACGGCAATGCCTGCGTGATGCTCCTACATCTTCAAGCTCTTCGAGTCTTCGTCGTACGATAAGCAAAAGTGTCCATACCGGGTATCTAGATGTGTCGGAGAATCAAAAGTGTTACTCCCAATCAGGTTTCGCGTCTCCTGTGTCTGTCGAGTCATCAAACTCGAGGGTGCACAGCAAGATATCGCGGGCGAAACTTGCAAAACATAACGTCGAGTATCTTAGAGTCTTTAGGTCAGTAATACCTAGCTGCAAATCTGCAATGAATATTGCAGAGTACTATCGCGAGATTGATTCAGAAACAAAGTAAGGTATTCATGATTCCAAACATCTTGTTACGGTGCCTTCCGTTCGGTAGCTTGAGCAATGAGGGTTCCAGGCACGAAGGATACGATCCGGATTCTTGATATGCTATATTGGGACATTGGCGGATTGCTGCTGATTAAAACGATAGTACATAAGGTAACGTTATCTGGAAACGACACCCACTGCACTGGCAATCTATGTATGGACGAATACGATATCTGCTCGGCCTACTCACAGGCAGCTACTCCTCGCGTTTCCACCAGCAAATTTCTGGTGATTATCTCTTTTAACCTATCTTATTCCCCTTGGGCGAGAACATGAGACTATGGTGTCAGTCGTTCAGGAGTAACACGTCTCTTTGCAGGACTTCTCCTGATATACACAAAGCTTGTCCTGTCGGTATAGTTACAAGTGATGGGTCAAGATTCTGTAAGTTCAAGGTACAAAGATCAGAATCTCAATATCTGAACCCACTACTGGTGCTCTATCACATCGATGTCGGCTTCAAGTGTGTCTCCCGCAGACCCTGCAGTGTTAGCTGACATGAACAGTGGCTGGCATAAACATAGCTGCTCGGGGAAGCAAGCTACCATCAATCTGGCGTATTGGATAATTATCATTGGCTGTAGGGATGATCTACTTGAGTAACGTTGACCTGCGCAGGCCGGTGCCGGAGGTTGACTAGGTGGGTACCTTACCTTGGGGAAATACGACAACACTCTCTCCTACCGCACAGCAACACGAATCACAAAGGTATAGAGGTCGGGCTGGCCTCTCGTCTCTGCCAGATTATACGTTGCCGCCGTCACGGAAACGGCCATTACACTCCAGGGCCGGCGTCACTAACAACCCCAAGCTGCCGCCCGTGACGGTCGAGTCGGGGCTGCTCATGTTTGGAAAGTCAACATCCGAAAAAGATCAGAGACATGATGACTGTCATCGCTGACGTCGTCTCCGTCTACGTCTCGGATCGACAGTGCAGGGACTGCGGATACTTGACGTTTAGAAGGTTGAGTACCCCGTCATCCGCTCCGCATGGCTGACGCTGTCATTGCTGAAACAAGCAACCGATCATATGAGAAGCATAGTGTCGCTGTGCCGAGCGCAAATGTCGTTGTTGGATAATCGGATCACTGCGTCTACGACGTCAGAGGTCGGCAGCTGATTACTGCAAGGCTGTGGTGGTGGGATTGGACCGTTCTCACGGGGAAGTGGTTGGTTCGTCCTGAGGGATCTGCAGCCTCATCGGGGTGCTGCGATCATGATTTCCCACTTCGGAGACCCCCAGTTGGCTTGGGGAGAAAGGCATGTGACAGGCTGCCTGTCGTGGAAAACGGCGGTCCTGTAACATGTCTTGTCTCTTTTGCGCAAAGTGGTGGATTGCGGCACTTTCGATTTTTGTTTCGATGACGTAAGCAGTCCCACGTGGCCTAGAGCTTTGGCCTGAGAACCGGAACACCGTCCCTTTTGGAAGGCTGTGACGTCGAACGCCGCAGATTGGTGTAACATCAGCTAAGGTTGGGCAGCCTGCTACAAACAATGCCCTGGGTGATGAGCTAGCTGAGCCGTGCGCTCTCTTTGTTATTACATTACCTATTGTGGAATGAAAAGGATACAAATGCCCAATTTTTCCCATCGCGAACCTCCAAATCGGAGGGTACCCCACAGAGTATCTTGAGCCGTGGCCGGGCTACACATCGCTCAAACTTTTAGTTACCTAGCCAATAACAACTCGAGGCACGTTCGGACGCTTTCCCAAGGCGGGAAACCTTGTACAGTAACGTTATGCATAGGACAGGCGATGGCCTTGAAACTTGTAGCTTTCTTATAAGGCCTTCTGGAAGCACTTTGGAAGAGAACGTCAACGATGCACCGTCTTGGCTCATTTTGCTGAGCCCCACGGAGTGGTGTACGGCCCCACGCCGGTCAGTCGAGGAGATGCATCGCCCTTGCAGGTTGAGAGTCTCGCTTCGAAAGCGTTGGGCTTTAGCGTGTTTTGGCGTTGCCGTCACCGAGTGAACGGACATCCAACAATGTCAGGGGAAAAGGCCCCCGGGTTTGGAGTCTTTGACCTGTTCTGGATAGTTACAGGTGTGCGTGTAGAAGGGAGGATCGTCGCCGAATTATGCGGGCCGAAGTCTATGTACCGGCGTATGCTCCCGAGGAGCTGATGATGCAATCAGGTATGCCGCACCAGGCATGATCAACCAAAATGAAGAACTGTCGCTGCTGTCGATCGCGTGGGGAGCGAGAATAAGCAGATCCGGTCCCCAACTGCTGTAGATATCTCCATGCATGAATGAGCTGCCTAGTCGCAAGTTCGCGGGTTAGATATCCGGCGGCGGAAGGAAGTCTGTGTGCTGTCAGGAGACCCGGACCACGACGTCTCGACATTTCCACCCTGGGCATATCTAGTGCAGTGCCTGAATTGGTGCCAGGTGCAGCCGGAATGTCAGTCAAAGTGCTGCTTCTAGAAGATGACTGGAATGAACTATAGCGTTGACTGGGATTTGGTTGTCCGTCCAAGTACTTTGTACCTGGAAAACCCTCTGTCGGACGACGCTAATAGTTCATCTTCGCGTATCCTGCTGGCGAATCCGTTAACAGAACGGCGCAGATCGTTGCCGACCAGGGCACTTACTCCCTGAGCCCTACAGGCTTGATGGAGATGAGCTATGTGCTGCGCGAACTCCTCACCAACAAGACGGAGCGGGAGTGCCAGATGATGTCCATCGGCGTGCTGGTCGTGGCATTTATATCTTATTCTTAACCTTGATAACGGTTTGCATTACCTCCCTGGATCAACCTGCTCATCAGGAACTAAGCTGTGACGACGTCGCCCGGCTCTCGAATGGCACGCAGGGAGACATTTGTTGGAAGGTAGATATTCTGATAAAGAGCGAAACTAAGAGGAGAGCGAGGAACGAAGCATATATAGCAAAGAGCAAGACTGCAGCGAGAAACCTAAGCTTGCGCATACCCGGACCTTCCATCAAATACTACTACATGAAAGTCACGATGAAAGCTGAGGTATCGCTGAACGAATATCGCTACGGTGCAGTCATACTGCCACGCTCTGCCCCCATCATTGTCTACCTTACTCAGAAAGCATGAACGGAACTTTCCCGCGTGGTTTTGACGTGCGGGCGTCTTGTCTCAGTGCAACAGCATGCTGAAGCCCGATAGCCCCTTCATCAGCGCCATGTATAATCTGAAACAGGAAAGAGGAAGAATGGCAGGACAGGAAAAGAAGAAGGGAAGGGGGGGGCTTATGGGAATTCGTGCCTTCCACTTGCAGACTCGTTCCTTCCTTCAGAATATCCATGTTTGACTCTGCTCCAGGTCACAAAGGAGCTAACTTCCCTTAGATTACCTGCCTGTTGCAGCCACCGAGATCGGAGTAAGAAGCTTTCGACTCTCGAGTTTCAAACTTTCATTCACTACGGATATTTTCAGACTTTGCAACCGTGTTGTTCTCAAATCCGGCCTACTTACATAATCACCAATCCGAAGCCCTGTCGTGGTGCGTGCTCGCAAGTCAGGGTGCCCCACATCCAACATGGTTCCTGCATCTTCGACGACAGAAAGCGACGACGGAAAAAGCATCACCAATGAGTCACTCCGCGCTCTTACTCCTCGCCGTGGCGCTGCCTCAAGCTCGACGCTGTGGATCGCTTTGAATGTGTTGAAACCGCCACCTCATGTTCTTAGCGAACTCTTGCGAACGTTCTTGAGGAATATTAATTCAGGAACCCATCCGAAACTGGTGGGCGATGGTTGAACTGGTGGCGAGAGTGGCATTTGGACTTGGTTTCTTTCTCTCACCTGTGGCTGCACTCACATCTAGCAAATTTGTTTCTCCAAGTTTCTCTTTTAAACACCATATTCATTTCCCAACAGCCATTGAGATTTTCAATCTACTATCTATTCGGACCTTCTCACAACGGCCAGGATGATTCCCATCCGGACTCGGGGCGGTGCGTCTCCGAGATCCAGCAGGCAAGCAGTCTCCGAGGCTCCACCCTCTCGGGTCGTGCCGAAGCCGGTCCCTGAGCGTGAAATCAAAGACGCACGGGGTTACCAACTCGAGCAGCTGAGACGCCGCTATTCTCCCAAAGAGACTGCCCTTGCCAATGGGGCGGTTTCCCTGCTCTTCAACCTAACCCCGTCTGACCCTGACTTCCCCTTTGATCTCGATCACCTAGAGTGTGATCTCCACATTCCAGCGGCTTACCCAAAGAAGGCTCCCCAGCTTCACGTCAAGAACAATGGTATCCCCCGAGGCTTTGCCATCAACATCGAGAAGGGTTGGGACAGGTTGGTTGAGGAGAAGCGAGGCGCCAGTCTGCTTGCCTTAACCAAAGCGCTCGACAGAAATCTCGAATCGCTGCTGTCAGAGCAAAAGGCCGAGACGGTTAAGTTGACGATATTCAAGGACACGCGCCATTTGGAAGCTCAACCGGTTGCGGAATCAGCGAAGGAGCCTGTCAAGCCGCTGGCCCAGCCACCCGTGGTGCGTCGGCCGTATGTTCCCGAGGAGTCTTATTCAAGAGATCAGATTGCCGAGGCAAAGGCACGGCGCGCTCAGGAAGTGAGGCAGCTCGAGGCTCGCATGAGCCGCCTACCAGGCTATCAAAAATCTAGCGACGGCGTCATATACACGCTTCCACTGGAACCGAAGGGGAGGGCGAGTCTGCCCGTCGGCCTACAACCGGTTCAATCCATCCAGCTTATTATTCCCCTGCTTTATCCCTTGCAATCACTGAAGATTATCCTGAACGACGTCGAGTCGGATGAAGCCGAACCCATTGAGGAACACTTCTCGCAGAAGGCCGCCGAACAGAAGCAGATGTCCTTGACGAGCCACTTAAACTATCTTGCACAGAACCTGCATAGCCTAGCGAAGGAGGCCCAGAAACCTACCGCAAAGACCCCGCCAGCCGTTGAGACAGCAGCCGGCTTGGACCACGAAGCAAAGGGGGCCGAGCACTCGTCAATGCTGGACGATGGGAAAGGCCATATCCATGTCATCCCCAGGCCGCCAGAATGGAGCTATTATGGTGCCAATGGCTCCGACTCGTCTGAGGAAGACTCATACGATGAAGACGATGAGGGTGGAGGCGCAACGATTGAGGAAGAGCACAGGGATGGCCCGGGCCTGCCCACGCAGACAGCAGAACGTGGTACCGCAATGTCGTTTCCTTCCATCGAGCTGCACGGGATCGAGCTTCTCCAAGTCTCGATTCTCAACCTTAGCGTCAAGTGCAACCGCTGCAAAACACCAAACGAAGTCACCGGGCTGAGAGACAACCTCGAAAAGCTAAGTAGCTGCAAGAAATGCGCAACCTCCTTCGCGGTCCGCTTTCGCCAGGAGCTCATCCACCAAAGTTCGACCCGCGCAGGCGTAAGCAACAATTTTCTTCGTTTGTGGACTGCTTTTACTCCCTTATGGCTGTCTCAGGAGCCATCCTGCTCCCGAGACAGCGCATTTGCTCCCGGAACCCCGTTCAGACATTTCCACAAATAAAAAATTACAGCTGACATTGTTGTAGTTCATCGACGCAAGCGGCTGCACCATGGCAGACCTCCTGCCAAGGTACCTTACTCCCCGCTTCTTTCCCCTCTCTCACAACAGCAACCGATCTAACCATTTGCTCAGCACCTTCATACCAACCTGCTCGAACTGCTCCACCCCATCCGCGACTGGCTTCCTTTCGGTCCGCGGCGAAGCAACAACAAACGTTTGCCGCTCCTGCCACGCCCGCTTCACCTTCTCCCTCCCCGACGTGAAGTTTCTAGCTTACGCTCCCGGCGGCGGCGCCCTGCCACCGACCTCGAGCCCGCGCCGGAAGCAGGAGAGGCTGGGCCTGCACGTGGGCGAGCCGCTACCGAATCGCGGCGCGTGCGCCCACTACAGGCGGAGCTACCGCTGGTTTCGATTCTCGTGCTGCGCGCGGGTGTACCCATGCGATCGGTGCCATGACGAGGCCGAGGCACATGTCAATGAGTGGGCGAACAGGATGGTGTGTGGGTGGTGTAGTCGGGAGCAGAGGTATAATGTGGAGAGTTGGTACGTATTTCTTTCTTCTACTTCTTTTCACTTCTTAGTCGTTTCAACTGCTGTTTCGTTTCGTTTCGTGTTGCCGCCTCTCCATTCAGTATTACCCTTTCGTGTAGCCGTTGGCTATGATACTGATGTGCCCGGGTGGAAGGTGTTTTAGTTGGTCGGCTCACTTGCCGGCAGTGGCGCAATGGGAATGGGATTGCTAACGTGTGATTACTACAGTGCGTTCTGCGGGAGGAGCGTCATTGGGAAGAAGGGGAAAGGGTACTGGGAGGGCGGCAAAGGGACGAGGGATCAGAGGCTGATGCGGAGGAATGATAAGAGGAAGTACAGGCGGTTGGGACCGGCTAAGAAGGACGATTGATGGAGGACAGGGGTTGAGGGAGCCGAGAAGATCGGCAGAAAACCGGCCTCAACCTTTCCAGTTACCTACCACTCCGAAAAGAAACTTGCGAGCAGACTTACAAGTCGGCCCCCTTCGAGTGCCCCAAAAACCTTTTGTGCGGTTCTTGATGGGGTGCCGATCCCGTAACCGCGTTTGCGGATAGGGAGTCAACAAGCGGTCACTCGGCGACTCTACCAGCGGCTTTTACCTGTCTTTGCATGGCCGACAGGAGTTGTGGAATGGAGCCATCTGAAGTGGACGTGAACGATACGATGAATGAGATCTCCAGGTGTTCCAGGCGGATTACACCAGGTCTTGCCGAGATAGACTGCGCTGTGTCACAGGCCTCATGGTAAGGCATCAAGGTGACCAGGCCTCACCGAGCACAACCCGCAACAACCCCTGCATAAATAATCATGCAGAACTTCCGACTTAGATAAATGTCGAGACAGGTGAGGCTGAGAGTGTGCCAGTTGGCATTCGAGAGAGTCACACTAGGTACTGTTTCGACAGGACGGTACTCGCGGACCAGTAGTCCCGATGGACAAGCAGCGCCGGATGCTATGTCGGCAGTAGCACTCCAGCGTCACCGTGGCTCCGTCAACAAACAGTGCACAGGAAAAGGCCCGAGATCATAGCACTTGCCCGGATGAGTGGTGGGCCACGTCCCTGACAGGACCAGGGGAGCCGTGGTGGTCGCTGAGAGTGAGCTGGATGGCTGGTGAAGGACCTATCGGTGAGTGGCGTCTCTGGTCAACGCAGGTGTGATCTTTCTTCACCACATGCCCTCAATCACAATCCCAGCATCAACCACCGTCATGACGACCGCAATCAGCCGGCCGAAGGTATTGAGAGCAAGAGAGCTGTCTGCAGTCCGCCGCGTGCGATAGGTATGCATACGCATCGGGCCGGCAAATACACCTGCAAATCAAACCGCCGGAACCAGGGGCTCATGAGACGTTCTCTGCCAGGTCAAATCCGGACGTCCCCGCGGCGACTGTGGTGCGATCGGCGGCTGGGTTGGGATTTGGGCGTCAATCCGCTGGCCGGCTTCGGTGTCTGATGACCCGGACTGGAGGCCGAAGAATTGTTCCGGTGTGTCGTCACTTGGGGTTAGAAATACGGTACGACACAGCGGATGCGTGGTGGGATGGAGGATGATGCGACCAGGCGAGGTTGTCTGTCTGTCTGTCTGCTCGTGTGTGCCTCTCTGATGGTCGCCCGATTGGAACGCCGAGTTGTTGAATGGTAACGTGGCCCGGAGGAAAGGATGGATCGGGGATGTGGCGGTGACGATGTAGTAGGTAGGCAGATGGGCGGTGTTGGTATGATAATTACGATCTGCCAGATGGAAGGAACGGGAACGCACATTCTTGGTTTTCAGTGAGGAATACCTTGATTTCTTGCAATTCAAAGGCCTTTTGCCCTCATTCTCCTGTTTCCACGCTCGATGACGATCCGATGAGAAAAGCCGTGCAGCGATGGAGGGCGACATCCGGAGATGGCATTACTCACCTGAGAAGAGGTTGATGAGTTGGCAGTCTCGGCCAGGACAGATGACCCGCATCCCAGTTCACCGGCGAGCCCAGCCAGAAGGTTGGCCACACACTCTCGGAGCCCGTTGAGGCAACTGAACCCCCAAAACTCTGAGAGGTTTTAAAGGCGGGCGTGGGGATTGGATCGGGGAAGGGACGGGACGGAGTGGAAGCGGCAGGACGTCCAACCGAACTGGTGGCCTTGTGACCCAGGGCAAGCCAAGTCACCATCACCGATGCCTGGCTTTCTGCGTTCTGTGACTTGCATGTGTTATCAGAAGGAATCCAATTGGTGACAAAACGATGTCATTTTATTTTTTTATTTATTTTCGCAGACACAGAATTTGTCATTTTTGAAGGCCAGTCCGTCTTTTTATCACGAAGTACTGCGTCAGTAAAGAGCCGGACAGCCACCACATTGTGGCGCTTTCATCCAACGTCAGTAACTGAAGCTAGTTCCTTGACCAGCATGCACAACAATACATGAGCACCATTCTCGGCGTATTTTAGGTTCGTACCTGGTACATCTGGAGTATCTCCCTCGGTGTATCGCCGCCTTGTCTTCATCGCTCCAAGAAAGAATGGCAAGACAACAAGCGGCACAGGGGAAGCAGGCCCGGATGCGGTCACCCAAGGTGTCAGCTGGGACCCAGGAATGGAATTCAAGCAAACCACGATGTGAGACATCAGGGTCCTGGTGTGCTGGTGGCAGCCTTCCACGATTCCCTCATCTTGCCAACGATGCCAAAGCAAACAGGTTGACTGGTTGCTGCAAGGTGTGCGCCTGATGGGCGCCACAACGACACCTTCTCGAGGGAGAAAATGCAAAGAAAGACGAAGGGAAAAAAGAAGTCGATAAATTCAGCTCTGCAATTCTCTGCCGTTTTGTTCGAGGCAAACGGTGGCAAACGGATCTCTCGATCCCCATGTCGAAGCCTCCCTCAGCCCAAACCGGCACAACCTAACTATCAGCAGTCAAGCAGGGGCGAGGCAGTGCAGTTCAACCACTACTCATATCTGCGTTCAGAATATCGGAGCATGGCCGACCTCAGTCATCCTGAGGCACTGGACTCAGCCTTCCCTCTGGAACAGACTCCCAATTATAGAAATAAATCGCCGGTGCCACACTCAGAAACATCAGGCACTTCCCAGTGAGTAAGCCATCACCGTCGCCGTCTCTCTCAGTTTAGCAAGGCTCAAAAGTGTCTTTACTTGAGCACTGTAGAATGGCGTCGCCTTCCAGAGACAGCTTCATGAACCCAACAATCAACACCCTGAGTACCTCATCCAACAACAACCTCTCACTCCAAAGCCAAGCAAGAAATCACACATCCAAACAACATAACGACCGCAGCACCAAGGTTGAAATTAAGCCATGTAAACCCTCAACTCTGGTGATGCCCCGTGACCACCACCAGAGTAGCGTGCCCCCCAACCACAGCCTACAAAAGAACATTCTGGAACGTGCCTTTCAAATGTGACCAATTCTTACAGGTGTTGAGCAACAAGACCGGGCAGTTTACCGTGAAATAAATAGTCATCTATTCGAGTTGCAAGTGGCTTCCCTGCACGGTTGACCAAGAGAGACAAGAAGTCTTGGGCTAAAACAGGGCGGGATCATACCACTCCATGTTGGGTACTCAGGGTAAGGAGTTGGCGCATCACACGTAGGAGAATCATTACATGCTGATGAGTCGTGGAAGAATGTGTCAAGTTGGGAGATCGCTGTCAGTTAGCAAGGTGAGAGCCCTACTCTCCCTGATCAACTTCCTCAGGCTGCAGTCATGAGAATTGAGGCGCAGTGTCTCTCTCAGCAAGAAGCAGATACTATCGACGAGCATTGACGATACCGACGTAGGAACAGAATGCTGACTCCAGCACTTCCAAATTGGTTTCTCGTTCTCAACAATGCTCCAATGAAATGCTCGTTAAGGCTACGCAGTAATAATGAACCGCACCCACTACTCCTGAGGAACTCAGCGTCTTCCACGGGCCTGAAGGTTTGAATACCTAGGTAAATCACACGACGCCACGGACGTATCCCCTTCAATACTCGCCCACTTAGCTTTCAGCAATCCCCTTGACACCAAGCAACTCTCTTATCGTCCGCAAACCTCGGGCTCTCGTCCTTTCCCTCTCCGCCACCGCCAACGCTTTGGTCTTCACCCTCTTCCCCACTGCCAGCGTTTTGGCTCTCTTCCTCTCCGCCAGTGCTAACGCCTTAGCTCTCTCCCTCTCTGCTACCGCCAACCCTTTGGCTTTCTTCCTCTCCCACGACGTCAGCTTCAACCCAGACCCGGATCCAGAACCAGAACTCTATTCTCCGCCACCAAGTCCATCCTTCCCCAACCTTATAAGAGAACCCTACTCCCCTTTAGACGACACACCGACAGCATTGCGGTCTGCAAACGGGTTATCCTCGTCTTCGTCCTCCTCCTCGCCTTCCTCGTCGGAATCCGGTGTCCGTGGGACCGGTCTCGGCGGTAGCATCGACGGCTTGGTCGCCGCCGACGGACGAGGCGGGGGTGCGGGACGCGACGGAAACGAGGGGGCGACGCTGAGGGAGGCCATTCCCTGGACGGGACTAGTCGGCGAACTCGGTTCTTTGCCTTTGGCTTTCTCGGTCGCCACTGTAGTGGCTTTGTTAGTTTTACCATGAATAAAAACCCTGCTAGAGCTGGGGCAGAGTGGTGGGATGGTTTAGCCGGAAGGCAACGTACTGCGATACAGGTGCGCCTGCTCGGCGAGCTCGTCGTCCGAGTCGCTGTCGGCGTCAATGGAGCGGTCGAGCTGCTCGAACGTCATGAGCGCTGTGACCAGCTCGTCGTTGGCGTGCAGCAGGCTGCCGAGGTACTGCTCCGACTCGACGAGGTGGATGTAGCGCAGGATCTTGCGGCGGAGCTGCTTGCACGCCTCGAACCGCTGCACGGCCAGCTGGTTGTCCGAGATGCGCTCCTTCTCTCGGTTGATGGTCTGCAGCGTGTTGGTCAGGTTGGTGGCCGCGATCGAGGCCTCGGCGATGTGGCGCGTCATCTGCTCCTTTTCAGCCTCGAGCTTAAACGGCTTGGCTTTCTTGGTCTTCTTGTCCTTCTTGTCCTTCTTCTTCTTGGATGAGTCGTACGTGGCCGGGAACCCTCCCACTACCGAGGAGCGCTTGGCCGGCTGCGAACTTGACAGAGATGAGTTCCGCGAGTGTGTCCCGGACGGGCCTGCGCCGCTCGGCTTATCGTCTTCATCGTCCTCCTCGTCCTCTACAAACGGGTTCTCTGTCTCCTTGATGACCTTGGACCTCTCCTGGGTGACAACTTGCTTGCGCCGAGGGAGCTCCTGGACAAGGTGAGCCGCTAAAATGCCAAGACACAACCCAGGGGATCCTTACCCTGTACAGGCTGGCGACCTGTGTCATGCCAGGTGTGTTCTTGTACTCGGCCGCCCAGCCGGCAAAGAGCTCGGAGCACTTCTTTCTCACTTCCGGGTCTGAGAGGGACGCCGTACCGCAGAACCGCAGACGCTCCAGCAGCGCTTCGTCTGCAAACGTCCTCTGGAAGCGATGTCCAGCGTTCTGTATGAGGCCATCGAGAAGCGTCAAGGCGCGGAGCTGGCGGTGCAGGTTGCCGTATTTGAGTTTCTTCCTGATGGCGCGGGCGGCCTCAGTGGGGCCCGTGTCCTGGAGATTGACCACCTCGACGAGGTCGGGGATGCCGCTGAGGTCGTCGACGGGTATCGCCTCGCTGGTCAGTCGCTCAATGGTCACGGTAACTGCAGAATAGGGCTTCTTCTGTTTGGCAGGCGTGAGAAAGGACCCATGAACACGTCAACAGGGGAAATTACCGGAGCGAACATGGCGGCCACCTCGACCTGGCTAAACTGAGGCGGTCACGTTCAACCCGCAACACGGGTCACTTGGCAGTGGTAGACGATGAGTTTCCAGGTTGAGGTTTCGCGAGCAGACAAGCAGAAACAGTTGGACTTGTCGTCACGATGAGGTCGAGAGTTGGTAGAGGATGCTGAGGACGGTGCCTGATATCAAGAGCGCTTTGAGGTGCTGGGGAGGAGAGAAGTGAGTCAGCAGACGAGTAACAATGAACGGCTCAATCTCCTTTGAGAAAACCCAAGCGAAATGCTTGCGCAACCGCCCGGGGTTGTTGTTTCTCGGGATAGTTACACGAGGCTCGGTAGGCGCAGTTGCAAGCTTCCTGTGTCGGACAATACGTTGCGCGATAAGATAGCGCGACCGCGGGGTAGCTCTGTCAGACCTGACAAGCAACAGAAACAAACGACAGTATTTCGAACGAAAGATACGTACAGTAGGTAGGACTGGTTCCCTCTTTTCGCAACCAACGAGAGGATGGCAGAAAGCTTTCAGTGATTTTGTGTATCGAGAAGCAGATCATGTCTATCTGGCATCACGAATTCCTAACACAGGTATCACATGCCCCACGGCCCCACTCTGTTTCGGGAGGATCGACATGGGGACGTGGGGAGCTTGAACCATCAAAGAATACCGGTAAGTTCGGCCAGTTTTCACAGGCATCAGGAGCCCAAGAGAGCACCCAGCACGGATCAGAGAGAACTGCTGGCCCAAATCATGAAATATGATTGTTTCCTTCTGGTTTTCAAGCCACGCACCCGGGCGCGCCGAGCAGCTACCAGCAACTATAATGCTCATGCCATATGGCCAGCCATCTCCTATGGCACATCCGTCATTCCCCCTGCGGTCTGGGTTCACAATTCACCAACTGGTACATCCATACCGCTGAAAATTCCATAACACCAATGCTCAGCGCAAATAGGTGGCCGGATGCGCAGCCCTCTCCTTGATTGCCAGCCGAGCCTGCAGCATGCCCTTGCTCTTTTGGTTCGACCACTCCTGCTTCCGGCCCTTGTTGACGACCGCCCTGGCCCGCCGATCGTCGAGGGTGGTGACACCAAGCCCCCGCATGTCTCTGGTGATGAGCTGGCGCCCACGAGCAGCAGTCTCCCTGCGGGAACGAACAGCATCCCCCTCGATGTCCATCTCGTTCTCCCGCTCCGCCGCCTCGATGGCGAGACGCTCGGCCCGCTCCTCCGGCGTAGGGTGGTTGTACAGATTCTGGCGGTAGTACCGGTTGAGCGACCGGTGGCCCACGGATTTTCCGGACGGGAGGTGCAGCTCGTAGTCGTCGTAGAATACCGCGTGCGTGCGCTTGGGGGCGCGAGCGTGCCATCCGTCGGCTTGACGGTGGGTGCGGGTGCTGCTGCGCGAGTGGTGCGGGTGCTTATTCAGGCGGTCGTACTGGTGATAGTGTTGCTCGGCCGGGACGGCGTGAAGGTCGTTGGAATCGAGAGATGATGCCTCGCTGTCCGTCTCCCAGCTCTCGTCGTCCATTACCTCGTCACCATCCTCCCCAATGACCTTGCTCTCCCGCTTAGCCCCGAGCATGGCACCCCCGTTTTGCTGCTCCTCGTCCTCCGACTCGTCCTCCCACCCTTCCTCCCCATCTGAGTAGGTGCTACGGAAGTCGTAGAACTCGCCAATCTCGAGTTGCTCCTCTTCGGTGGTGTATGGGATCTGGCAGTGAGACTTGTCCCGCATGTGCGTCTGCACGGCATACGCGGTGGCCTTTACCTTTCCACAGGTGAGACACTCATTTAGCGCAAAGACCTGCTCCTGGAGATGAGCGAGCAGCCCTTCGAGGTTCACCAGATATTGCTTTTCCGGAATAAACATGCCGTGGATGCGCTCCATATGCGTGGCGTTAAGCGGCGGTGTCGGGGATTCGTAGTTGCAGAATAAACAGGTCTTGAGCGACGGGACTGCGGGGGCAGCTTTGGGGCCAGTTGGGGTAGCTGCCGAGGGCGTTGTAGCGGCCTCCTCCTCGCTTGAGGTTTGGGACAAAGGGTGCCCTGGCCGATTTTGTGCTTCATCAGACAAATGAGGCTTCGACGGCCGCTTGACAGGGGATGTGCTGTCGTGGAGCACGGCGTTCTTCAGTCCCTCGACAACCTCGTTGAACTCCTCCTCAACGTCTGAGTCGACCACCGAATCCGCTGCGGGCTCACCCAGCGAGAAAGACATGGAGCTGGCCTCATCATCATCCTTACCGTTTGACCGGGACGCCAAAGCGGCTGCTCTTGCCCTGTGCTTCGCACTGCTGAGGTGGTTCCGAAACGAGTTCTCGCTGTAGTATGTCTTCTGGCATGTGTCGCAGGTCCGCTCGAAGCCGGCCTTGTCAGCTTGCGCAGTGGTCTCAGCCCGAGCCTGCAAGACTTTCTCGGTGAACACCTCGGACGAGATGGGGGGCAGGGAAGCAACACGGCGCTTAAGGTTGTAGCGGCTGGATTCACGTGTCAGCCTAACGAGCTGAGACGACACGGATGATGGGACCACCTACTGCCAGTCACTACGCATGTGTCCCCGCTGGAGATCACTGTTCCGAAAGGCAACCTGGCATGTGTTGCAGGTGTAAGGGTGCGAAGCGCTCATTTCCGTTCTCGATGCATCGGCGGCGGGGCCAGTTCTGCTGGCAGAGATGGTTGCCATCGTGATGGATCGTCTGTATGATCGGCTGCGACTTGTTTTTAGTTTGTTGAGAGAAATCGGACTGGGATGGAGGACGGGCGTGTTGTTATGCACCTGCTCGTCGGTGTTGAAGAGACCGTGGCCGTCTGTTGGAAAGGTGTCGCTGATTAATGCTCAGTGGCCATGGATGGAGAATTAAATTTTGGTGGCGGTTGAGTTATGGCGGGGTTCAACTGTGGACGTCACATCGGCTTGGCCCAGACAGGGCTGTTTGCTCGTGGAATGATATAATGACGTTACACCTAGTATCCGTACCACTTCTGTATTGGCGTTACAAAACAGGCCTGGTACTTTAGGAATATGAGATTTTGGGCTGGGATCACACCTCGTCTTGTTAATTCTGGCAACTTCATCGCCTCTCTTTCAAGATTCTTCGCGTATAGTCATTTTTGGGCACAAGCTACAGCTTGCCACTCCCCCAGGGCATCCACAAATTTTTATGCCCGTCTATGAACTGTAACTTACCGGTGGTACGTTCGTAATGTCGGAAGTGAGTCACGAGACAACTGCAACGGCTGGTAAGGAAGCGGATCCGCTGGAGCAGTTCCGCCAAGGCCTGTTATCGTATACTTTCATCCGATTCATACACCCTCACAGGGCGGCCCATATATCTTGTCGTCGTCATAAAAGCTGGCCGGTCTGTGCGCGTTCATGCAGAGGGAGACTCAAAAAACTGGAGCGAAAACGTCTGATTGGCGGATCAGGGGAGAGTGGGAGTTCTGAATCGGGCGAAACTATATTGTACCGTAAGGCAGGTGGGTCAACCTTAGATCGTCGGGTGCATCTCACCCAGGTGGACCCCGAACGCGGCAAGCTGATTGCCGCATCACTCTAACGTTTGACGACGGCCTAATCCAACTTCGCGGTCGTGAATCCCAAACCAGCCAACCGCATCCTCCTGTCGGATTCCAAACAAAGTGCGCTTTCGCCTACACCACCCCACACGGTTTCAAATTGAAATCATCCATCATTGCAGCGCAGTCTCCTTGTCGTCCCGTCAAGCTGCCGCATCCAAGTTCCAACCCAAAACACATATCCACTGCGCTGCGTGCTTCCTTCTCCAACTTCTTCCATACGCACTTTTCTATCCATGTCATGACGCGGGACACCATGCGGCCAGCTAGTGCCGGCGGCCATAGCTACAGAAATGGCGATGATTTCGACCTTCTCGCGGGCCTTTGGGAAGAAGCCCGCTTCCCGAGGCTGCCGTGGGATGCGCCGAGCGAGTTGAAGGAATTGGTTGAGGATATCGACAACCCAAAGCGCGTCTATGCCATACATAAGGCGAGCCGCCGCCACAATTTCCAGCAGCTCGTGCAGAAGTAAGTCAGCCTCTGCTGCCGGCTTCGCGTCACATCCTTTGCTGACCTTGTTCATCTGCTCAGGTACATCGTGCAGCTCCGCGAAGGCTGTGACGCCGAATACTGCACAACATCTACCTGCTTTACTTGCCGGAAAAGGATTGTGGGCAGGGCCCCCATCCGTAGGTACAATACGACAAGTGCGAGAATGCTGGCGATACACCTCGCGAGCCAGGACAACCCGGAGAACAGTCTCTGCCCCAATCTGAGATTGCCGAAGGCGCCACCTGCCGCCCTTAGCTCACTGGTTGTTGTGCCGAATCCTAAATCCCGATTACGCGATGAACTGGCTTCTTCTGCCTCCCCGAAGACCCAGGCCAACCATAGCCGTCCGGGTTCGCCAAGGTCGAGCACTAAGAATGGCTTGCAATATACCACCGTCCGCAGCCACAGTGGGACGATGAGCGAAAACAGGAAGGAAAAGTTGAATTCTGCCGGTCTTCGGAATGATCAAGACGCTGGGACACAGCAATTTCAACGGGCCGGTTTCACAATCCTCGAGGAACCAGTCAGCAAAGACCACCGCTCTTTTGCGGCAAACATGTTTGGCACCGTTGCCTTCAAAATGCTAGAGTGGCTGACGCCAGCTGCGCTAGAAGATATGTCAAGGAAAACGCGGGCCTATAATAATGCCCCAGAGGAGCCGGGGCCTGAGGATGTGACGCCTGCCACGCTCGAGACCAAGTCGGATAATGGAGCCAGACCCAGCCAACGGGCGCAAGGGACACCCAGCTTGCTTGCAGAGCCTAACGGCGAATTGGTGAACGGCCGCGGCCCCTCCGGACATGGCCAGACCGAACGGGAAGCGCCTGGGTCGAAGGTCAAGCAACAGCCGCACGAACCTTTATCTGGCAGTCGCACAACGAACACACGCCGTAATTCCAATGCCAAGCTTCGCACATCTTCTGGCCCAAAGCCGACACGGCAGCTGTCGATCGACCCCTACGCCCAGGACACTTCTCCGGAAGAGCCCTATGCGGCCATGCTGAGATCTCCTCGGGCTACTGGACCCTCCGTGGACAAGGTTTCGCGTGTCGTCAAGACGACTGGCTCAAGTCTCTCCCGTCCAATTTCTCAGCTTTCATCAGCAGGTTACTTCGACGATGTCTCGCTAGAGAAAATGCCTCCGCCGAAGACCATCGATCTAGTATCAAGAACAAGCCGGGCTGCTGTAGATGGAGTCAAAATCGGCGGTTCACGCAGCCCGAAGACACCCAGTACCGGCTCTGGCGTACCCTCCGAAAATTGCTGTAGCGACGGCTCAGTTACGGCGTCAGGCCAAGAGTCAGAATCGGAGGATGAGACTCTGCTTCCTCAGTCACTCTCCAGACTGGACGCAGACGTCGTCGACTTCGTCTGTGATATCATACAGGAGGATGGTACAGCTGAAAAGCATATGCTTGAGCCCCAATCTGTTACCAGGTTCCACAACCGTCACGCAGGACAAGGAAAGCCTGCCCGGCGAAAGCATCGTTCAGGCCGAGACTATCCCCCAAATTTGAGACTGGAGTGGAAGCTGTTCGTTGAACAGACCCTCTTCTACGTCCTCAGCGACCCGCAGCTGACTCTCCGGTCCTTTACCAAGAAGGGGCAGCTGTACGACTCGCAGACGCTATGGTACTGCATGCTCAGATTGACCCGTGTGGCACCTAGCCTGGTTTTCCACAGCCTCTGGACGGCCGCGGCTAGTCTCTTCGCCCCCCCCAAGGCTCTGCAAACGCTGAGGTCCCCGACGACAAAGGTTTTCCCCACGAGCAAGCCTTCGCTTTCCAACCTGGAGGCAGGGCGTCTCATGTCGATATGTCTGCACGCTTTGATTGCCGCCGCACCTCTGGTTACTGACTCGCGCCAACTCTATGACATGTCGAGAATTCGGTCACACGGCTTAAGCCTCGCGGGGAGCGGTGCGGTAGCCCGACAACCAACAGAGCTCTGTCTGCAGTACGAAGATGCCTTCACCGATGACATGGCTCTGCAGCTAGCAAGACGGTTATTCGCAGCCATTGTTACGCGCCGTCAGTTCAATGCTCTCAGCGAGTCTAACATAGGACCCAACGATGATAATGAACAGGATGTTTTAACTCCGCTCTTTTCACAACTAGACTTCCTGAACGTCGACGCGGTTTATATTTTGGATTTCTCGTTTCCCGACCGCGCCCTTCATGAGACCCGTGTTCCGATTCTTCTTCTCGATTGGGCTAGAGCCGTCATGCTGAATGACTGGGACGGCTCGCCAGAAGTTCCTGGGGACGGACCTTTTGGCGGTGCCCTCGCTTTAATTGAAGCGATGTGTAAGTTATTCAGCCGCTCTATTCTACACAGCCTACTGAAACCTTGCAGATAAAAAACGGCACGAGCTACTACTTGCTGATGCGCAATTTCGTTCCGAATATTTTTCGGAGCGGCTGGACACCATCAAGATGCCAATATCATGGCTGTCGCATACCCCGTCGCGGCAGCGCTTGCACCTCCTCGATTTCCCGTACATATTCAGTCCATCGACCCTGGTATCGTACTTTCGGTCGATCAATTTTTCCCGGATGAGCCGTGCGTTTGAGGAATCAACGTCTTTCCATGACAAGATTATGGTCATGTCTCAGCGGGTAGGCCTCACTCAGCACCACAAAGACGTGCTGCTGGAGCGCCTGCGGCCGGCAGGTTCGAAATACTTGATTCTCGACATCCGGAGAGGGACTGTTCTCGAAGACGCGTTCAACCAGCTGTGGCGGAGGGAGGAGCGGGAGCTGCTTCGGCCGCTGAAAGTCCATCTTGGAGAGTCAAACGGCGAGGAAGGCTTTGATTCCGGGGGCGTCCAACAGGAATTCTTTCGGTTGGCGATTGCGGAGGCCCTCAATCCCGATCATGGTGCCTTCACGATTGACGAGCGCACCCGCATGGCCTGGTTCCTCCCAGGCTCGATGGAGGATGAATGGAGGTTTGAGCTGATTGGCCTTCTGGTGTCACTCGCCGTGTACAACGGCCTCACGCTGCCAGTCACTTTTCCAAAGGCCCTCTACCGCAAGCTCCTTGGGGAACCAGTTACCGAGCTGCACCACATCGCCGACGGCTGGCCCGATCTGGCAAACGGCCTTACCTCTCTTCTGGAATGGGACGAGAAAGATGGCCGGGTCGAAGACGTTTTTGCCCGCACCTATGAATTTTCCGTCTCTGCTTTCGGCCAGCACATCACGAGAGAAATGAAGCCAACTCCCAACGACAGCCACCATCACCGCAACCACGACCGCCGTCAAGCCGAAGAATGGCCGCAATTCGCCAGAACCGTCTCCCAGTCATCCGTCACCCCAGCCCCGCATGATGGCAACCCCGCCGAAGACGATGCCCCGCTCGTCACCAGCGCCAACCGGAACGCTTACGTGTCCGACTACATCCGCTACCTGACCGACGTCTCAGTCCGCCCGCAGTACGAGGCCTTTGCGCGCGGCTTCTACGCCTGCCTGCACCCCAAGTCCCTCTCCCTGCTGACCCCGTCTCTGCTTCAATCGGTCGTCGAGGGCGTCCAGGAGATCGACATCATGGAACTGAAGCGCTACGCGCGGTACGTCGGCTGGGACGCGTCGCACAGGACGGTCAAGGATTTCTGGAGCGTGGTCAAGCGCTATGATGAGGGCATGAAGAGGAAGCTGCTCGAGTTTGTCACGGCCAGCGATCGCGTGCCGGTGGGCGGGGTCAAGAATATGATGTTTATTCTGCAGCGGAACGGCGAGGAGGAGGATCCTGCGGGGAGGCTTCCCACGTCGTATACATGCTATGGCACATTGTTGTTGCCGGAGTATAAGGATCGGGAGGTGCTGAGGGAGAGGCTCGCGATGGCGCTGGAGAATGCGCAGGGGTTTGGGTTTGCTTGAGGTATCTATTCTAAACTGGTTTGGGAGTGACGGATCGGACGGGCCGGGGGGAATGGGGAGCAAATACTGTAGGAAACTTGGGAAGGGAGAGGTTGGAGGGTGAAAAGAGAGCGGTGGTTCCGGTGCTTTCCACTGCCTGACTGCGTACCCAAGGTGGCGGCGATTTCCTTGCACTTCATTTGTTTGCCATCGGCGGTTTATCACTGGCAATGGGAGGCGGGCAAGCAAGGCGGTCGGTATATGGCAGGGTATGAGGGACTTCGATCCAGTATCAATCCTTCCTTTTTCCCTTAGATTTTCCCACCTGAAACAAACCAATTTTAAACCCTGTAGGTAGCACTGTACTTTTCCTCTCTTGAGCAGAGCACCATCTGAGCTCCCTTAGATAGACCGGCCTGGCTGTGCCTAAGGCGAAGTCAAACTGTCTCTATTCTGATTCCCGGCTCTCAGTCAGTCAACAGTTCGCTCTGGGGTTTTGCGCGTGTCGTGTCTCGGTCCGTCTGGCTCTCAGGTTTAAGATGTTGTGGCGGCCTACTGCCCGCTCTTGTAGCTGTCTCCGGCCGTCAGGCGATCGGCCCGCTGATAGGTATCGCATTCTTGGGTTGAACCATCTACCTTGGTTAACTACCTTCAAAGCCTGAGGTTATGTGTTGTCGTTGCTTCAAATATCCGTAGTGATTGGAGGCGAGTTAGGCATGAAAGCAAGCAACAGTACGCGCTGGCCGAGTTGTGCTTGTCGTGAGAGGGATGATCCCCTGCCATTGCCAATCTAGTTAGGCTGAGAGCACGGTACGGAGTAGAAACGGGTCACTCTTGGTTTCATACATTCATTCATGCATGTATCGACGCCCACAGGTATCTAGCTATCTGGAGGGGTAAGGCCTTTCTTTACCCACCTCCATGTATTCATCCTCTACCCCTCAGAACTCATCCTCGCCCGACCCAGACACAATCACATTATTCACCTTGAGTACCATGCGGCAGAGCTGAGTGGCCAGCATAAGCTGCTGCTTCTTGCCAATCAGCGGATCAATGACAAACGCCTCCTTCATGTCGTTGGACCCGCGACCCATGCAGTCAACACCGAGTCGGCCACGTCCGGCCGGATCCTTGACCTGCTGGCTCTTGACCTCGGCGAGCGTGGCGATGGGGTTGAGACCGCTGTTTTCGGCCAGGGCCATGGGAATGGCGTCGAGGGCCTCGGCGAAGGCGCGCATCGCGTACTGCTCCAGACCGGGCGTCTTGACGGCGGCGTCCTCGACAGCCAGGCTGCAGGCGATCTCGGCGGAGCCGCCGCCGTAGACGACGCGGTTGTCGCGCACGAGGTTGCGGACTACACAGAGAGCATCGTGGAGGGAGCGCTTGGCTTCGTCGATTATCTGGTGGTGAGTGTCAGTCATAATTTGCTAAGGGTGAAATTGTTGCTGGAGACCGCACCATCTTGTTGCTGCCCCTGACAAAAACGGTGACAGCCCGCGTGTTGGCGCACTCTTCGATGACGAGCATCTTCTCCCTCGTCGTGCCGAAAGTCATCTCCCGAACGATACCCGCCTTTCCAAGCTTCTCAGGCTTGAGATCCTCGAACCGGGGGACGATCCGGCCGTTGGTTGCAATCGCAATCAGCTCGATCTCCGGACCGCCCACCCACCGTACCGCGGGGAGGTTGTTTTGGAGGAGCAAGTGGTTGGCCTCGTCATCAAAGCCCCACTGGCAGATGGCCAGGTTCGCACCGGCATCCTTTATTTGCTGGATCATCTCGATAAACTTTTCCCGCTCGTAATTCTGCAGCTTCTTGAACTCCTCCACGCTGCTAATCTCGAGCTTGTGCTTGGTCTTGGGCTTTGGCGGCTCGAATGCGCATGTCAAAATCGCAATCTTGGCGTCCCTAACCTCGGAGGGCATTTGGGGGTGTGAGAAATCCTTGTCGACAATGACGCCCTTGACAAGGATGGTGTCCTCAAGAGCGCCGCCAACCTTGCCGTCCACCTTGATCAGCTCGAAGTCGACATCCTTGCGCTCCAGGTCGGCCACGGAGAGAACCGCGTCCACGGCAATATTGGCGAACTGATCGTGCGCCTTGGACACGATCTTGCTCCCCAAGCTTGTCCTCGCCACCTTGACCAGATTTTCCGTCTGCTCCTTGCTGAATTCAATCACATCCGAAATCTTGTCGAGCTCGGCCACGGCGATGTCACATGCCTGGTCGTACCCATCCGCGATCCTGATGGGGTGGATACCCTTGTCGATGAGCTCTGCTGCCTGTTCCAGGAGAGCGCCGGCCAGCACGACGACGCCCGTTGTGCCGTCGCCAATCTCGTCGTCTTGCGATTTGGAAAGCTCCACCAGCAACTTCGCAACGTGGTTCGTGATCTCCATCTGCTGCAGGATAGTCGCGCCATCGTTTGTTACCGTAATGTCGCCATCGGGGGAAATGAGGATCTTGTCGAGACCGCGGGGCCCTAATGATGTCTTGATAATGTTGGCGACGGTACGGGCGGCGAGAATGTGGTTCTTGACGGCCTCGTTGCCGTACTGGCGCTTCTTCTTGCCTTGGCTAGGGGAAAGTCAGCGGGGTGGGCAGCAACGGTGGGAGGGCAAAGGTGTGACCGACTCTCTGACGACGATGAACGGCCGCCCTTGCTCATCCTTCATGACAGCGGCTGCAGCATCCGCCAGTTAGCAAACCATCCGTGGTCCATGTCAACATGTCGTCACATACCGTTCGCCAAATCCAAGTCTGAAGGCATTCAAGTTAGCTCTGCGCCTCTCTGTTGCGATCTGTAAGGTACGTACTCAACGCCATTTTGGCTGCTGCTCTCTATCCCGTTAGACTTTGCAAAGCTAATCCGAGGAAACTGTGCAACTGGAAGGTTGGGAATTGAAGGAGCCGAGTTATTGGTCTTTGGCGAAACAGGCACCAGGGGTCAACCGTCGACTGCTCCAAGCTCGGCGTCGACTGCTATCTCCAAAGCTCAAAAAAATGAGGCACCCGCTGCCGCGCTTCAACCTAGCGGACCACGGCAGAATCTAAGTCCGGCTCAGCACTGTGCCCCGGTTGGTACAGCGGAGCTGGCCCAGAATATGCCCCGCGATTGTTCACCGCCATGGCAGAACAGTGGGCCATGTCACTACCCCGCGACGACACCAGTTACGACACCAGGAAAAGCTTCACAGTAAAGTTCAACCCCAAATCGTAACCCCCTGGTTGAGATAACTCGATTGAATGTGTTGGCTCACACGGGGCCCACCTGATCTGGCTTACCCGAGAGCAACTCGGGATTTTGTTTTGAACCTTTGCTTATGTGTCATCACCGCGGACAGCGAGCTTGGAGATTCAGCACCACCTGCAGCAGGTCGAGAAAGCTGCGTCATCGCCAAACAAATATAACGACACGTTTGCGACACGCGCAGCGATTTCCCGAGGGTTATTTGCCCCTATAAATATCCCAGCCGCTACCTTTAGCTTTAGCGCGTTCTGCATCGCACTTGCAACTCAGACTCGCCTCGCATTCGACTTCAACCACCACGGGACACGCCCCTTTATCTCTCCTTCTGTTACGATTCACTACAGCAAAATGTCTCGCCATCAGTACGTGCGGAACTTGGACTATCAAGACGCCATGGACGAGTACGAGGGCTACACAGAAGAAGAAGACGAGCTCAGCCCAGAAGACCGAGTGCTGCTCAACCAAGGCACCGCCGACGTCCAGGCAGCCCTCGGTGTCGAGGCTTCCAAGGTCACCGTCGCCCAGATCGAGGAGGCATTGTGGCATTACTACTACGACGTCGACAAGTCCGTCGCTTATCTCACCGCCAAGTTCATTAACCCGCCTCCCAAGGCAGCCAAACCCGCCATTCGACAGCCCAATGGTAAGTCCGTCACATGTGCAATTGAAACCGCGGCGGCCGACCCTGCCCCTGAGCTGGATGCACCCGTGTACTGGGCGAGGAAGTACCTGGACGCGACAGACGCCGGCATTCCAGCACCGCAACTCTCCCCCACGAGCTACCTCCTAATGCGAGAAACAGAGCTCCCGGCAGCCTCATGGCGTATTGTCGGTGCCGCTGCTGCGTCGCGGCCTGCACCATCCGTTTCACACCTTTTCCGCGACATGCCGTGGGGAAACATTCCGAAGCACAGGGAGGCTACCTTGGTGCCGCCTCCCATGCCCCGTGGTGGACTACTCGGCGGGTCAGGAACACAGCCAAAATTGTCCAAGCTGCAAGCTCTTGCCGCTGCACGAAAAAAAAAAGCCGAGGAAAAAACCGCCGACAACAACAAGCCCAAAGCGGCAGAAGCGCCTACTGGCAAGGAGAACGTTCCTCCATCGGCGCCGTTGAACAAGCGTGTCAGATTCTCTGGATCTGCTACCCAGGATCGCATCGTAGCCATCATGACCCCCGCTGTCCCCTCTCAGCCAACGCAATCAGATCTACAACAACAATCGGATGTGGCTGCAGCAACGCCAGAAAACGAGCCGGTCTTGAAAGCAACCCCATCAGCATTTGCTAGGATTCTCTGTGGACTCCCGTCAGATGACCCCAAGGCAAAGGCATCCATGGGGGAGACCCCGCTCGATCCCAGTCTCTTCGGCGAAAGATACGGTCCTGACAACAAGGGCAGACCGCCGGAGGAGCCCGTTGATTCCACCTGGTGGTTCGACATCCACAAGCGCAAACGGGATGACTCAGGCGAATACGAGGAGGTCGTCGTCTTGTATCCAAACCTTCCGCAAGATGCCAGGGACAACTTCGCTCTCCCCAGTCCGGATGACATAGTTCTTGCGGCACAAGCGAAGGCCAAGCCGAAAGGTTCGCTCTTGAAAGGGAGCAAGCGCTAACATGAACACTAATAGTCGACACAGCTGGACAAAGGACGGCTGCGGCCCAATCTAAGAAAAAGAGCACGCATTCCCCGGAGACCGTCGCAGCCGCGGTCAGCGAGCTGAAGGTCGACGACGCCCCGTTGCCCAAAAGCCGCGGTTTGGATGTCCTCTCTGAGTTTGAAAAGAGCAAAGGGAAAAAGAACGCCAGTTTTGTTGTGGTCGGGCATGTGGATGCCGGGAAAAGCACCATGATGGGCAGGTTGCTCCTCGACCTCAAGGTCGTCGACCAGCGCGCAGTCGATAAGCTCCGTAAGGAGGCCGAGAACATTGGGAAAGGATCGTTTGCACTGGCCTGGGTGTTGGATCAGCGCCCTGAAGAACGCAGCAGAGGTGTCACTATCGACGTCGCCAGCAACCGATTCGAAACAAAGAACACAGTCTTCACCATCTTGGACGCGCCCGGACACCGAGATTTCATTCCTAACATGATTGCCGGAGCCAGCCAAGCCGACTTTGCAATTCTTGTTATCGACGCCGGCATTGGCGGATTCGAGTCCGGGCTCAAGGGCCAGACTAGGGAGCACTTGCTATTGATTCGCAGCATGGGAGTCTCCCGCGTCATCGTCGCCGTCAACAAGCTGGATATGGTCGCCTGGTCTCAAGAAAGATTCAACGAGATTAAAAACCAGATGGCGGGGTTCCTGTCTGCGGCTAATTTCCAGGACAAGAACATCTCCTTCGTCCCCGTGTCCGGTCTCCATGGCGACAATCTGCTTCATAGATCAACCGACCCGGCAGCATCATGGTACACCGGTCCAACCTTGATTGAGGAGCTGGAGAACTCGGAGCCCAACGCCAGGGCGCTGACCAACCCCTTGCGGATAACCGTCTCCGACGTCTCCCGCACCATACAGAGTCCCGTCACGGTCTCGGGACGAATTGATGCCGGGTCGCTGCAGACGGGCGACGCGGTCATGGTCCAGCCGAGCGGAGAAAAAGTATGTCAGATTCGCGCTCTTTTGGCCCGTTTCGTGACGTTTCGGGAGCTACGAGAGTCTTCTTGCCCCCAAAGCGGCACTTACGCTCCCGAAAACTCCCTAGTCACCCTTGATGAGCATGAAATGACTGACATTGTTGGTAAAGGCCTACGTAAAGTCCGTCTTGGTCGACGAGGCGCCCGCAGAGTGGGCGGTTGCCGGCCAGAACGTGGTGCTCCACCTTAGCCACATCGACCCTATGCACGTCAAGGTGGGGGATATTATATGCGACCCGGCGAACCTGGTTCCCCGTGCGGACACATTCACGCTCAAGGCGCTCGCGTTCGACATTCTGATGCCCATGGAGGTGGAGGTTTACCGGGGCCGGCTGCAAGTGGGAGGCAGGATCGAGGCCATCCCGGCGCTGCTGGATAAGGTTACGGGGCAGGTGATAAAGAAAAAACCCAAAATTGTCAAGCCGGCGACGGTGGCAAGGATCGTGGTCAAGTTGGAGGCGCAGGTACCGTTGGAGGCCGGGCAGAGGGTGGTGTTGAGGAGTGGAGGGCAGACGGTGGCTGCTGGGTTGTTGGAATAGAGATGGTCTCGAAAGTTGAGGCCCTTTCGGCGATGTTGACTTATTTGTCTTTGTGCAAGTTGGGGGGGAAGGGGGTGGGGGGGAATAAACAATGGAAGTAACTGAGTGAGAGAGATCAGAAGGCACGTTGGGTTTGAAGGGTATTGCTAAACTGCCTGGCCTCATCGCATGTATGGTTAGATATAACAAGGAATCGACATCAGTCATTATTCCCAGTTGGATTCCTCATCATGAGTCGTGATCTTTGTTTTTTGTAGCAGCTTACAAAAGGGTGAAACACGTCTTTAAGAGTCGGATAGCCGCAGGCGGGTTCTGGAGAGTTCTGGCTTGTAAAGGCCACTCTGGCAGAAACAAGGGTCCCAGTCAGTGCCACGACGGCCTGCCAGTGGGCTGAATGAAACCTAGCAGTCAACTGCGGGACCGCCCCAGTTGGAGATGGAAGGCTTGGAAGCAATTGGAAGCTGGAACCTCCCCAACATCTAATATCTGTGTCAAAGGGAAGTCCAAGCGATAACTTCATAGCTTTTAAGGTATGATAGGCATTTCTTCGGCAGAAAATCACATAGTCTAGACCGTGACATCTGAGATCGATAGCCCAAACGACTGAGACGCTGGTAACGCCGCAGTTGTTGAGCAGAGAACTGTGGAAAAGTGCAAGTCGTTCTCGATCGAGTCGATAGAAGGTCATGCAGATTCCCCAATGTGGGGCAGCAAAGTATTGCTACCTTAAATCGAAACTATAATCACCGTCACTTTGGCAGGGCTGGAGGTATCGATACGTACCTGCCCCTGGCCTTGCCCCAATGCAGGCCGGAGGCGAATGGGCCCAGTGCGGAAAGCGCGAGGTGGCTTCAACCCAGGATGAGGACAGATTTCCCATTCCCAAAATTTCAGGAGACAGATTCAAAAGGCCAAACCTGCTTCCACTCTTGCTTTCCTTCCCCGATTTACCAACCACCTCTCACCACCGCGCTGGAATTTTGGAAGTTCCATTTTTCCTCAGTGACCCGGTAGGATTGGTTCGAGGAGAGCGCGTCCTGTCGACGTCGACAACTGCCACTCTTTAGCATTTGCGAGAACCCATCTCAGATCGCCTGCAAGCAGAAGCGCAAAGAGAGTGTTCGTTTTCGTTTCTTCTTCCTTCTACCTCACAGAGCTTTCGACATGGAGCGTCGATCGCGGAGCTGGGCCCTGGGCCTGAGCTTCATTGGCTTTTTCGCCCTCCTACTTTCTCTGGGCTTCGTCCAGCAAGTCAAGGCGGACGATGTCTCGGAGTACGGCACGGTTATCGGTATTGTACGTGCTGCGGCGCCAATATTGAAGAAATCATTGGGGATTAGTGCTAACTCAATATCCTAACAGGACTTGGGCACCACATACTCGTAAGTTGCCTTGCGCCTGCAACTCGAATTTCTCAGACGTCTTGCACATTTCCCGGTTTCTGGCGGCGGGCGCTTCGGGACATGGTGTCAAGTTGCAAGCTCGGATGGAGACAACGCACAGCGGAGGATAACGTGCTGACGGCAAACAGATGTGTTGGTGTAATGCAAAAGGGCAAGGTTGAGATTCTGGTCAATGACCAAGGTGAGTTGGAGCGACACCGATTCTGGACATCATTGGACGCAGCTGACAGTCGCGCTCCAGGAAACCGTATCACCCCGTCGTATGTCGCCTTCACCGATGAGGAGAGGCTGGTCGGAGACGCCGCCAAGAACCAGGCCGCGGCCAACCCCTTCCGGACCATCTTCGACATCAAGCGTCTGATCGGCCGCAAGTTCTCGGAAAAGGACGTCCAGAACGATATCAAGCATTTCCCATACAAGTACGTAGAGTGTTCGAGATGTTACCCTGAGCACCATCTAACATGAGCGCAGAGTCGTCTCCAAGGATGACAAGCCGGTTGTCAAGGTCGAGGTTAGCGGCGCTGAGAAGACTTTCACCCCCGAGGAGATCTCGGCTATGATTCTCTCCAAGATGAAGGAGACTGCCGAGGGCTACCTTGGCAAGAAGGTTACCCACGCCGTCGTCACCGTCCCTGCCTACTTCAACGACAACCAGCGCCAGGCTACCAAGGATGCCGGCATGATCGCTGGTCTCAACGTCCTCCGCATTGTCAACGAGCCCACCGCTGCTGCTATCGCCTACGGCCTGGACAAGACCCAAGGTGAGCGCCAGATCATCGTCTACGACCTTGGTGGTGGTACCTTTGATGTCTCCCTCCTGTCTATCGACCAGGGTGTCTTCGAGGTGCTGGCTACTGCCGGCGATACCCACCTTGGTGGCGAGGACTTCGATCAGCGCATCATCAACCACTTCGCCAAGACCTTCAACAAGAAGCACAACGTCGATGTCACGACCGACGCCAAGGCCATGGGCAAGCTCAAGCGTGAGGCCGAAAAGGCCAAGCGCACTCTGTCGAGCCAAATGTCCACTCGCATTGAGATTGAGTCCTTCTTCCAGGGCAAGGACTTCAGCGAGACCCTGACCCGCGCCAAGTTCGAGGAGCTCAACGCCGATCTGTTCAAGAAGACGCTGAAGCCTGTCGAGCAGGTTCTCAAGGACGCCAAGGTCAGCAAGAGCGAGATTGACGACATTGTCCTTGTTGGCGGTTCTACCCGTATCCCCAAGGTCCAGGCGCTCATCGAGGAGTTCTTCGGCAAGCAGGCTAGCAAGGGTATCAACCCTGATGAGGCTGTTGCTTTCGGCGCCGCCGTCCAGGCTGGTGTGCTGAGCGGCGAGGAGGGCACTGAAGAGATCGTGCTCATGGACGTCAACCCGCTCACCCTCGGTATCGAGACCACTGGCGGTGTCATGACCAAGCTCATTCCCCGCAACACCCCCATTCCGACACGCAAGAGCCAGATCTTCTCGACCGCCGCCGACAACCAGCCCGTTGTCCTAATCCAGGTGTACGAGGGCGAGCGCTCCATGACCAAGGACAACAACCTGCTCGGCAAGTTCGAGCTCACCGGTATCCCGCCCGCCCCCCGTGGCGTTCCCCAGATCGAGGTTTCGTTCGAGCTCGACGCCAACGGTATCCTCAAAGTCTCTGCCCACGATAAGGGCACCGGCAAGGGCGAGTCTATCACCATCACTAACGACAAGGGCCGCCTCACCCAAGAGGAGATTGACCGCATGGTCGCCGAGGCCGAGAAATACGCCGAGGAGGACAAGGCCACCCGTGAGCGCATCGAGGCTCGCAACGGTCTGGAGAACTATGCCTTCAGCCTGAAGAACCAGGTCAACGACGAGGAGGGCTTGGGCAAGAAGATCTCGGAGGAGGATAAGGAGACTATCCTTGACGCCGTCAAGGAGGCCCAGGACTGGCTCGAGGAGAATGGTAAGTCTTCTTGCTTTTGTATTACTATCTTGGAGATAAAACACTGACTCGTCTGAAACAGCCGCCACTGCGAGCACAGAGGACTTTGAGGAGCAGAAGGAGAAGCTGTCCAACGTGGCCTACCCGATCACCAGCAAGCTGTACTCTGGCGCCGGGGGCGCCGAGGACGAGCCCGACTCGCACGACGAGCTTTAGTCACATTATCTTAGTACATAGAGATTCCCCCAATTTTTCTGATTGTTTTTGATGGCATAAATTGAGGCCGCCCTCGGTACGGGCTGGGTCAACTTTGTTCGTGTTTGGGTGTGTGTTGCCGCTGGCATGTATGTTGTGACTGGCAGGTACTGCATGGGTCGTGATTGGCATTGATTTTGCTCTTGGGTGTGGTGGGGAATCGTAGTAAGGAAACAGGGGCTGTGGATTTGTAAAGTATGGGTTTGAAGTTTCTAGTGGCATAGCACACTCGGGAGCAGTAGACGATGATGGGATATCCGAGTTACCACCTGGTCAGTAGGCAGATGGATTGAGTAAGGTGTGGCTGTGTTTTCTTTTAGTAGTTTGAATGAGTGGTGATCGACTCGTCCCGCCCGATGCTCATTTCATTGTTGATGAATGAGTGCAGGCTCATACTTCGCTCACAATTGCGATTGATTTTATTGACCTAATGTCTGCTGCTCCTTCTTGGAATTGTATCCTCATACGGCATAGCATGGCAGAGCAATCAGCGATCCATGATCCTCATATCTCCACTTCGACAAACCCATCAATACCTTATCCGCACGCACCCTCGCTGTTGAAAGTCAACCTCCTCCACACCTTCCAACTCACTTCACAAACCTGATTATATCAGGCGGTGTAGAACGTGGTATTAATAAGAAAAAACTCAGTATATAGCACACCAAAGTCCATAGCAAAGACTGTTATTAGGCATTCGCTTCTCTTTTGCTACGGTTCCTGTGCCTGATGTTGTGGTAGGTAGCATTTCTGCTTTCATTTCTTTGGTGTGAGGGCAGTGAACCTTGGTGAGATATGGGAAGGGCATCTGAGGTGAGACTGGTGTACGTTGGAGTTTATACAGACAGGTAGCTCACGAATCTCGGTTTCTACACTGCGATATAATCTTGATCCCTGATGGTGCCGTTGCTTGACCGCTGATTCCCAGCCTAATACGAGATGTACGGAGAATCCCACATGCATGGATAAACCGTAGGACATGCTGACGCTGGACGCCGTGGGTTTGGACAAGAGTTATACGTTATCAAATTGTATCTCTCTCCACTTGGTCGTCCGGGCAACACCAGCTAGTGAGGCCCACCCAGCCCCCTCTTTTTCGAATCAGGGGTAATCGGAAGTAAATAGGGGTGGGCTCCAGGCTTGAGATAGGTAGCTACCTACCTCAAGGGGTTATTCTGCGCCCGATTATTGTGCACAGAAGATTATCTTATTGATTGGGAGGTAGGTCAAGGTAGGCATTGGCGCTTCTTGACATGCCCTTTAGGGTCAAGAGTAGCGAGTGCCTACTTTGCTCACATTGCCGGCGCTGTACGATGGTGCTGTGGAAAGGGGTGAGTTGTGGACTCCCATTTGTGTCGTCATGTTGTGAGTGACCGCGGTCAGAATTTACCTTTTTTGGTTTTGTTCTTGGAGCAAAACAGTCAGCTGTGGATGCGGCAGCGGGAAAATGGTACTGACTACTTTAGGTTGAGGGTTGGTTAGTAACTGAAACCTTTCCTGTGCTCACAGCTTCTGACTCCATATACTCCCCTTGATTTTTCAAGAGAATATTGACTTAAATTACCGGTCCTTTGATTGTGGGACTGCAGCCCAGTGACCTGCATAGAAATATAGTTGAGTAAGAGCAACAGGCTGACAGCCAGCAAACGTACTAGTAATGATGCTGATTACAAAAGCATCCAGCTATACCACTATGGGTCTCCCACTATATGGAACTAACCGATTGGTATGGACACTACAAAGGAAAACAGTACTTCCCAGAATTGCCTAGGAGATGAGATGACTGACTGTTGTCCAACAGAAGCTTTCCATGTTGAAAGAACGGGTATCAGAAAGACCTTGTTAACTTTCCGAGTCTTGATATAACTCCAGGTTGTTGATGAGCATATCAACCATTATCAGAACTTTGGCGTCCCATCAGAGTCCCAACAGCTACTGAACTGCGATGCCGAAGCCAGGACAGCAAGCATGCCGGTCGTATCACCGTTTAGAGCATACATTAACTCTGCACCCGCCCTCTGTCTCCGGAGAGAGTCGTTTCGCAACTGCTCTCGAATCAGCGGGCTGTCTGCAAGTTCAACGCCATGGAGGAAATCGCTGGTGAGATATCCCTCCATGTTGTCGCCCAGGTCCGATGAAGCGTGACTGGTTCCGGTATCCGAGCATGTTTCTTTGGAGGCGCCGTCCATGAACTCCAACCGAGGGACGAAATCCATGAGAGATCCGGGGAACGAGCTTTGATTGACCCAGCACGTGAGCGGGGGCAGTTGAAGGGGCATCTTTGGCCCGCCATGGAGCCCGACTGGGTCCCACGTGGAGGGTCTGGGTTGCCCTCGAGCCGGAGGGTTGGTCAAGTCCAGCTCCTTGGCCGTTTCCAACATCCTCTGGGCCCAACCGATGCCGCCGCTGAAGCTCAATCTCCCAAGGGTTTCGCTTTTATTGAGAGCATGGCGAGTCGTGAATTTGGGGTAATTGGAGCCGGGAAACGTCCATTCCAGCTGGACAAAATGCCCCCCAGTGTTCGCCCAGTCCTGAATCTTCTGTTCATCGCACAGGCGCAGGAGAGCGACGAGACTGACGGAGATTAGGTGATGACTTCCAGGGTCATGGCTCGACGGCTCTAGGCAGTGTTCTAGGTTTTGTGCCAGAACACCGGCTTGTCCGTACACAGATACTCCTCTGATACAGATTGTTGTCTGTTTGTCAAGGTCAGCGTAGAGTTCGGTCTCAAGCTGGCAAATGGACACATATACCGAGTTAGTATCATCTGCACGCGCTGCATCCCGGCCCTGGAGCATGCTGGACAGCCGTTTGTCGCGAGACGGTGGAACCTGGCGATCATGGGTAGGACGAGGTGGAAGTCAGCAGCATCTCGGGGGCTGGACTTGTCCAGCCCCCTTGACTGTAGACGGACAAACAATAGGGCATATCTATGTCTTAAGTATCATCAGAATTTGCAAAACTGAAGGGACCAAAATACGCGCAACGGGAATTGTTGCGCGAGGCTTGACACCCTCCCTGGAGTTTTGCCAATTCCGGCCATCATCCTGGACTCTTCGGAATCCTTTCCTTGCCTTGCGACTTTAGAATATGTATTTTCTGATCTGCTGGCAACTGTGGGTGGGGCGGCTTGGGATGGCTGAAGGAACCGAACCTGTTAAAGAGAGTCCCGCCACACCATCTGGCAAGCCAGCTGAGGTTTGCGCTTTCCTCCTTTGCCAGCCATGCATATAAGGGGACGAAATTCGAAGAGATGGCGGGATCTCTACCACAGTGCGCGGCTTGGAATTCAGAAGGGTCCGTCTTGAAGACGACAGATATGCCGATGGAATCAGGTGGTCGTAACCGAGGACAAAATCGCCGCCTGGGAGGGCGGTTCCTCCCACGAACTTCGTATGCTCCCTATCGGTGATAGCATGAAGGAAAGCCTCGTGGCGCACGTAGCTGCGCGACTGGCTTCGCATGCTCAAGGACATCTCAATGAACGATTCCCACTGGTCCCCGCCAGACCGTCACAAGCGATTTTCCAATTCCCTCTTCAAGCACCCTGACCCCTTCGCGAACTCTGATATTATTGCCTATCCTCTCAAGTCCACCGAACCATTTACTAAGCCGAGCTCACCTCAAGACCCGCAAAAAGTCACGGCCAAGCAGATCAGAGTAGTTGCCTTGTTGACGCCTTGTGGTCTCCTCCCTCCTCCGCAGTTCTCTCTTCACCTCGCTCATTCGTGCATTACAGACGGACCCCGGTCCGGTCTGGCCATCAAATAACGTTAAGATGCGAATCCCTTCTCCGTAACCCCGTTGTCATTGACCCAACGCACTGGGCCCAGGACTTCTGGCTGCTCAGACAGTCGCTTGCGTTCCCCGCGTGCCGGTCGCGAGCACTCGCCGCGGACTTTATCCCGGGACGGGAACAGAACTTGGACCGCACTCTCACAGAACTCTCAAGACACCAAATCAGGGTACCGTATCCATCCACAAGTGTTACAGGAGTTCCGGCGGTCATGACAAGTAGCATTGCTTCTTCCATCGCGGGCCCCGAGGATAAGATCATACCGTCCTTCACGACAGCACTTGACACAGTAAGCATAACGACGAGCGGTAGTTATAAAACGCCTGCTGGGGGCGCCCGCCTATGAATGGTTTCTAAGGTGCGTCAACAAGGCCCTTGAATGACAAATCCGATCAACTTGGGTGTTGCCATTGTTCATCTGCTAACCTCTATACCAGCCCGATCAAGACCGGCAACGAAACAAAAAGCCCCTCGAGGCCAAAGAGAAGGAAGGAGAACGACACCATACTGTGCTCGATTAGGGCCCAACCATCTCCGTCTGAACCAAGAGATGGACGATGGTTCGACTGCAGAAGTTCCTCCAGGATCCGGAGACGGACGGAGCGTTGGCAATCCGGCGCCCAACCACCTTCAGGCCCTTGTCTCAACGCCTTCGACCCAGTTAAGACGCCGGGGGCTTGCCCGACGAGCCCATGAACCACATCCTCTTAACCTGAGCGCCGACGCCCTCCGGCCCTACGAGAGGGTGATGGACGTCAGCTTTCTGATGCCATTCGGCGACTGGACGAGACTTCCGAATGCTCTTCTCAGCTCCGACTGGACCCAGAGTGGAATCCCAGCCCAGTTAGCGGAGGGTTTGGGCCATGACATCGTTCCCTTTCCAGCCCGCCGCTTTTGGACGCCCCGCGGCCGCGTCACTTGCACTCGGGGCGTCCGGATCTGGGTATATCTCCACGGACTGCCCTTCCTGCCCTTGATTCTCTTTCTTCCGGTCTTTGAGGCCCACGAGCTAGGCAGTCTGGGCGTCAGCATCATCTTGGGCAAACCATTTTTAGACCGCTGTTTCGGAGACGGCTGGCCGCTCTTGGTCCCGCACACACGTCACGGACAAGCGGCCGCAGGCAGTACCACTACGTTTCGAGTCACTGTGCTGGATGTTCCCCAAATGTGGGTTCCCACGGAGAACATGCCAGAAGAGATGGATCAATTCTTCGCGAATTCTCCTGGCACGAATCTTGCCCTGCCGGCTCTTCCCCCCACAACCCCCTTTATGCCACCCTTGCCTTTGTCGGAAGTCTCTATTCGTACAATGGAAGATATTCGTGAGTGGGTCAACAACAGCTGGTTGACCGCTGATCCCTCCTTTCACCTAGAGGTAAGCCGTTGAACCAAGCAATAGGAGCCGCCATGTCGTGTTCAACGCTAACCCTTGGCAGGAACAGCAATGATGGATAGCTGCAGGATCCGGCGGGGTTGCTGAACCCAGTCAGGGTGTGTTTCCTTTGTTCCACAAATCGATCAGTGGACGCCTTCGTCGCACTCACTGCACAAGGCCTGTCCGTGACTGGTTGGCTAGTCGGCCTCGCCGACGATAGTTGGAGAGCCTCCGAATGTGCTCTTCTGGACTTGACAACAACAGGAACCGTGCCATCGTTGGATGTGTTTGTGGCAGAGAAATCCCCTGGGGTCTGTCAGGTTTTCTTGTCTTTCTTGGATTTCTTGGGTTCGGTTTGCACAGCCAATCCTTGAAGAGCCAGGAGTTCTCCTTTCTGTTCCCTTTTCAGGCGGTTTATCTCGCCTGCCCTCTTGTCTATCTCAGACGGAGTGGAGCGCGACCTGCTCTCAAGAACTGCAGAGCACGCCGCTGCTATGACTGACGACCTACTTCCTTATGTCCTTGGCAGGAGTCTACTACGGTGTGATGATGGCGGATCACGACAGTTGGGCTTCCCCCACACAACACAGCTGCACTTGAGGATGGCTGAAGAATTTACGACAGATTTAGGTTTTCGATCTACATTCAATCATGTCTCTCTCTTACCCTACATGCTCTGTGTGTCACCAACGTAAGAAGCGCTCATTCTCTGTGACGTTCCCCTCGTTTGCCCCACCCATGAAAAAGGGCCGCTCAGAGAGTGATACATCAAGAAGAGACGCCCGGTATACAGACTCCCATCCTTCCAACCGATTAGAATTTGCCTGAACCGTCCCCAGAGTCGTTGTTCGGTGGGTGCTTGTGTAAGTCGCTGTTGCCAAGCCCTTCCCAAAACGGAAACCCACCAATCAAGGGCCACAACAGAAGGAGTTGTTTTACACCTTTATGTGCACAATGCCTTCAAAGCTGACAAAGGAGTTGTTGCGAGTGTCTTTGTCATGAACAGACTCGACATAGATATCATATGCCTACGATATCACAAGCAAACCTGATCATTGGGTTTGTATAACCCCTATATAAAAACCATGTCTGCTCGCTGCTCTCCTCACCAGCCTCGACTCGAGTCGGACAATATTTTAGAACTTTGAACTGGAGACGGGTCGAAAAGATCAACCATCACGCTTACGACATCTGCTGCTTGAACTTCCAAGTTTGGTAAGGTTGCTTTCACCACCATCGACGAAACCTCGACACATATACACACAGTAAGGCGCAGTACCAAAATGTGCTCATACAAAACGTACCAGTACGACTGTGGCTGCCTCCACAGGGATGGAGTCCTCAGGTGCGGCGAGGCTGAGAAAAAAGACAAATATTGTGAGCGCAGCACATGGGGAAAGGTTTTCTGTGCGGTACGCGAGGGATGGTGTGAGGCTTGTCTGTCTCGGACACCTCAGGATTGGGAGTGAGAATGGTATCACGAATATCAGGGTAAGGTACCTTATCCGGTCTGTGGTTTTGTAGGATGTAAACAGGTTTCTGGTTCCGTCTAGTCAGCCACATGGTCAAGCTTGAGTTGCTATCCGTAGACGCTGAGTCCGAGTCTGAAATTTATCCTGGCATAATGTCACTTCTTCTATCATGTCACATCACCCGGGGGGCTCTGCCGCGGGTTGTACAAACGTCTCAAAGAGGGAGGTAACTTCATCCCAACAAACCGCCGCGTAAGCACCGACGCACCTTCCAAACCACTTGCCCTATACCTATGTAAGAGGCCCACGTGCCTCTTTAGCAACGTCTCTCCCAACCAGGTCAATGGCCTACTTGGAAGGGGATGGGGGGACCAAACATCCCCCTGGGTCAGGTGCTCTGTGCCGAGAGGCAGGTCAACAATTCAACGCGGCGATGTTCGAACGCCAATCGCCCTCCCCAAGGGGCACGTCATCGGACACCCGTGGTTCCAGGATTTCGTAGCCATCCACCTCCTTCGAGGGCTGGGTGGCGAGTTTTTTTGCTCGGCTTTATTCTCTTTGTCCTTTTTCCTTATCTCCTTTGTCTCCTCTTTCCGTTTACACCTTCATGAAGGTTGAACGTTAAGCTGCAACAGCTGAGCAATATCGCTGGGCTCCCTTCCCTGTGAGAGGATCTAGGCTGATTATGATCAAGCTTGACCGCAGGGACGACTCGACAGTGATCGGACGGTTGACATTCCCAGGAGGGGGACCTGGCCGGCTGCAGGGACTCGGTTCCAGACGTCTGGGCCTGGATGACGTCGACTCGCAGGAGATGAGTTGGAGTCTCCTTTATCGGCAGCTCAAGACCAAAGTATCAAGGGCAAGTAGTCAGCTCGATACTTGGGAATCAAGATAAAGTCGCTATCTTCCCGGTCGCTACGTCCCTTGCAACAAACTCAAGAGACTTTGAAACTAGAAATAAACGGACTTTGAACGCCTCCTTTCGCCAATCGCCAAACAGTGAGATCAAGTAAATGTCAAGGGAAAACCAGTGTTAGAGCCATCCAACCGTGCCGTCTTCCAAGGCCACCTCACCACCACGGAAAGGTCATCAGGCTGCCTCATTGGAAGTAATCCTTCGCTCGTCTCTCAAATGTTATCCCGCCAAGCTTATCTGTTTCCCGCCATCGGTTCAAGAACTCGGCATCACTCCTTCATCTTGACATAGTTACTCGGGAATATCCCGTGCCTTGTCCCAATCATACCGGTCCTGTCGAAATGTCAGTCAAACCTCTTCAACCTCAGGTATACAGCATGCGAAACCATACCACCAATCATTGTCACTATCCGTCTTCTTCAGTACGGTAATGACATCGCCCTTCTTGAAACTCAGATCGCCCGGCTGTTCCCCCTCAAAGGTAAACAGCGCAATGGCCTCATTCTTCTTCAGCAGCGCCTCCTTGCTGGCGTAGTTCGGCTTGGGCGCCAGCGGCCGCCCAGGTCCGACCTTCTTGCCCGTCGTCGCAGCGCCGTTCTCCTCTGCCCTTTCTGACCTGCTACTGCCGAATGAGTCGTGCACCGTATTCGACCTCGACACCCCGGAAAACCTCGGCTGCGCGTCGTAGACGTCGTCCTGCCACGTAGTCGACCGCTTCGGCCGGCCAAACTCGTCGTGCGCATGCCCATCCTCACCCCGACCGCCACCGTACCCGTCATCCCGACGCTGGCCCTCCCGGTACCCGGACCCAGTCTTGTTCCCCCACACTACCTCGTCCCGGTGGTCGTCGTACACGGGAATGTCGTTGTACATGCGGTCGTCCATCGTCCCCGCGGACACGCCACTAAAAACGCGCGAGTTGAGGATGCTCAGCAGCGGTTGTGTTTGCGGCGGGGGCCGCTCGGCCCCACTCAACAACTCCCTCGCCGAGACGGGGCGGCCGTACAGCCGTGCGTTGGCATCTTTGCGCTCGATGATGGCCGACCCTTCGAGGGACACGCCCGCAAAAAGGCCCTTGGTCTTAGAGTAGGCAAAGATGCCGGCCACGCTCCGGAGCGACGCGGCGCCGGCGGCCTCAGCGTTGCGGCCCACGGGCCCGGCTGCGATGGACACGTTGCCGCCGAGGGTCAGCGAGCCGGCCTGCGAGAAGGTCTTGACGGCGCTTGCGTCGTTGAGAATGAAGACGAAGTCGGTCAGCTCGAAGCCGATCTGCCCGCCGAAGCCGGCGCCTCCGGTCGCGATGGCTGACGGGGCGCTCCACGAGCCGTCAGGGAGTCGCGCTACGACGAGACCGCTGCCGAAGCGTGCTGAGCCGAGGAAGCCAGCTTTGATGACTGTGAGGATCGCGAGGCCCTGTGAGAACACGGGGTTAGAGTCTACCGGGGGTTTCACGCGAAGCGCAAAGTGAGGCGACAGGCGGGTGCGTACCTTGGCTCTGGCCAGGACAGAGGGCGGGATGACCTTGTCAGGACCGAATGCTTGTCGCGGGTCGATGAAGGAGGAGAGGATCTTGCCGCACTTCTTGCATTCCGCTGGTGGTCGGGGTCAGCAACGAAATACGATATGGTGTCACGGCCGAGAATAGAGTCAGCGACGGAAGCCGCGGGACAAACTTACACGCCATCGACGACGGAAGGGGGTTGTTGATGCCCATGGTTGCGGGATTGTGAGGGAACCTGTTGACAAACTGAAGCTGGGGATGCCTGGCGCAGAGCTACAACACGAAGGTCGAAGGTTCGGCAATGGCAAGGTGACAGGTGTCGCAAGAGATTCCTGCGGTAGGGAAGGGCCACGAAGGATCAGGGACAAGGTGGGGTTCCACGGCTGGTCGGCGGCTTGTTTGTTGCTGGCCGGCGTGTGATAACTAAGAATCGCGCCGATGGAGCTGACTGACGCCAGATTTAATCAGTGGAAAAAGAGCACCGCCTTTGCGATGTACGATGGCAAAGTCCGCGCGTCGAGTCGGCTGTGAGGGCCGAATGACGGCGCTTCGACGGGAGAGGCGGAAGCTTCCACAACCCCGCAGCGTTCACAACCTGGAAGGCACAAGTACCAAGCCATTCAAGCGGCATGCTGCGCCGTCTTGGCTCGATTCGGTTCAAAGAATTACCATGGGTATTTTGCTCCTTTATCGTAGTCTTTGCTAAAACCTCACTGGATCTGGTGTTGTCTCGAGTCCCTGAAGGTAGGTAAACATCTACACTCATTGAGCCTCAACAGCCGGCCTCGCCGGCATAGTCTGACCCGAACTTCGATATGACCTTTCCCCACAATCTCCAAGAGAGCCCCGCCCGCCAACCTGACATCATGGGCCCACCACACAGGCGCCACAGTGTGGCTCAGTTCGTCGCCAAGCCGGCGCCCCTGATCGCGCGCCAACTCCTTGTGTGTGTGACTCTGGGGTATTCCATTGCTGTTTGCCACATCTCGCAACCAAAGAACACAACACATCACGAACCTCCCAAGTGACAACATCGCGAGTAGTGCCCAGCGCCCCATCCTGACGCGATCTAGTTTTCAGCTTCAGTGGTAGTTTGGGCCCTAAACTTTAACCGGTTGCAAGAAGCCATCTCAGTGGCCGACCTACGAGACATCCCGATTGGCGACGTCGACGGCAGTGATCATTTAGTCGGCAACAAAGACGCGCAAAGCCGCATCTCAAGTACCTCCGTCGCTGCGATCTGAAGGTCATCTACCAAGCGCTTTGCGTGTGAACGAAGCCAACCAAAGCCACCATCAACCCCCGACCCTCCCTCACCCCCCCAAAGACCCGCCAGACGACGACAAGACACCACCGAAATGTCAGAAGCCTATGAGCGCGAGCGCCAAAACAACGCTCGGCTGGACGAATTATCCGCCAAGGTATCCGCCCTCCGTGGCGTAACCATCGACATCTACGATTCCGCCCGGTCCCACGAGGTGATCGAGTCGACGGTACGGTTCCCCTTTCCACACACCGCTTCCACCTTAGGGACGAGGAAAAGAAGAGCAACCGAATAGTGACAGGCCTCCTAACCATGAGCAACAGACCGATACATTCTCCTCGATGACGACACAGCTCAAGGGCTCAGCGAGCCGACTCGGCCGGATGGCGGCAGCGGGGAACAAGGTGGCCGTCTTCAAGCTGTCGGGCATCGTTATCGGGAGCGTGCTGGTGCTGTACTACCTTTGGCGGTTGTTGTTTTGGTTCTTTTAGGCTTTTTGGCAAAGGCCAGGCGAAAAGAAAGCATGAAGACGAACAGCAAATCAGACGCAGGTCAGAGCAGATGACAGTTTAGCTGGAGCACAACAAATTCGGCCGGGACAGCCCTGGCCAGAGCAAAGTTGAGCACATCTTCATTGGAGTCACTAACCCGTGGATGTGGCTCTGGGTACTTTGGGAAGGGACCGACGGTCTAGGTTTAGGATTGGGCTGGGTGCACTGAGATCAAACAGCTCAGGGCGGCAGGGATTGTGACGCAATCTGCGCAGTCTGTTTGGGCACGCGTGGGGCATGGATGAGGTGTAATACCCATGGAAGAAGGGGTTCAAGCGAGGGTAGCATAGCACGGCGTTTGGGTTCTTTTACTGGCGGGCTTAATTAACCATGTGCAATGCACCTGCATGCTTTTGAAGGAATGTTACGAATAGTTTTATCGTTTTCTTTACTCATTGAACTCGTCTAGAAGGGTACGAAAAGCACAGCCCGTCTCCCGCTTTTGTCTTAACCCCGGCTATGCTCCCTGCGTGTAGAACCCGCTTGCTTCGCTGCCTCTGAACTCCTAGCCTGGGTTCTCGAGGAATCCCCACGTACAGCTTCCCACCCTTCACTGCCACACGTTAGAGAACAAGTCCTCACTGCCTGGCAACCCAGCCGCCGGCTTGGACGCGCTGCTCGTGTCTGCCGCCGTCGTGCTGCTGGTCCACCCGCCAAACTCCTCGTCAGCCGCCACCTTGGGCACAAACCCGCCCGACGCCCCAGGGACTATGGGCTTGCTGGCGAGCGAGGCCCATCCCATATCAGTTGATGCTGTTGTTGTCGTCGTGGAGACTGGCTTCAGCGGCTCGGGCGCAGCCTTAGGCGCCGGGTCGGGGGCCGCCCAGGCATTGCCGCCCCAGACATCGTCGCCCAGTGAGCCAAGCGGGTTAGAGATCGTTGTGGATGTCGCTGCAGGAGGATGACTAGGTTTTGGCTGGTTCGCGGAGAGGTTGAAGACGGAGGAGGTGGTGGTCACAACAGAGGTCGGAGCGAGCGCCGGCTGGGGAACCGGGGCGGGCGGGGAAGGTGCCGAGAAATCAAACAAGTCCCCGAGCGCAGATGAAGCGGGTGCCGGGGCCGGTTTGTGCGCTGCTGTGGGTGTGGCAACGGATCCCCAGCCGGATGAATTTCCAAGGGATGGCTTTTGCTGGTGAGTCGAGGCTGCTGGTTTGGATTCGAAGAAGCTGCCACCGCTCAATGCTGAAAAGGCGGAACCGCTCGACTGAGGCGCAGGACGGGATGACGTAAAAGCGCCGAGGCTGGAGAAGGCATCGGGTGGGTCTCGTTTCGGGGACGGTGAACTGGCGAAGCTTAGGCTGCTGAAGGCATCATTAAGCCCGCCCATTGAGCCCTGTGTCTGCTGCATGCCTGTGGGGGAGGGCATGCCACTAAAAGACCCTGAGGGAGTATGAGAGACTTGCTGAGTCACCGGCTGAGGCTGAGGCCTGGGAGCCGTTGCATATAGAGAAAGGATAGACTGTTTAAGATCAGGGCGTGACTGGCCGCCGCTCGGTGTGCCGGTTGTGCTCGCTGGCCGCGGAGGCGCGGTAGGCTGGGTGCCTAAAAAATCCAGCCCAAGAAGCGAGTCCTTTGTGCTGGTGGCCTTGGGCGGAGCAGGGCCAGACTTTGGAGGAACTTGCATGGCTGTTGGTCCGGCAGAGGTGGCCCTCGGAGGTGCCGGGACCGGGTCTGCTCCGATAAGGTCTGCTTGCGGGGCAGCCGATTGGCCGACGGATGCTTTGCGGACGGACTCGCGGCGCTCCACGTTTTGCTTCTCCTTAACAACGCTCAGTGGTACGTCGTCGTCGCCCTCGGCATCGAGTGTGGCAGGATCGGGCATCGGCCCGTCCATGACCCATCTCTTCAGCTCATACTTGGTGCGGATAAAGTTCTCAATCTTGGCTTCGGACGGCACATGGCCCGGTGCCAACTTCGCCTCCCAGTACTTGTTTGCGCGCGCGTTGCCCCAACTCAGGATGCTCTTTAGTTGCTCGTCGGTCCAGGCGTCCAGGTCGACGGACTTTACTCGGCTGATGTGGGTGCCCATTCCGCGATGAATGCCCGAGCAACGGATGCAAATGAAGACGCCAAGGTTCCAGCTCGCCCATCTCGGATCTGGAGATTCGTCAGCAGTGTGTTACGGGCGTTAGAGCCAGCCGGGGAGACTTACGCTTGTTGCGCTTGCAGTCGGCGCACACCTTGTTGGGCTCTAACTTGAGAAGATTCTTGATCGTCTGCTGGTTCTGCGCTGCGCGCTCCGCAGCGGGATTCGCAGGTCGTCGAGACATGGCGGTTGTGTTCTAGCCAGTCGCGTTGGAGGCACAAGGCAAGTGGAATATGTGGGATTTCACGTCCTCGAGACAGTTGGCACACGACGTTGGTTCGCCGATAATGGATGGGACGGGAAAACGGGGTTACAGGTGGTGCCTACCCCGGAAAATCGGGTGGATACAAGCATAACTGCGGTATCTGCATAATCCGTATATAAAGCGGCATTGGAAGGTATCAGACTAGTTACCGGTCAACACATGGTCCTAACAATAATGAAGCAGTGCCAGTATGTATTCATTCGCCACGAGTTGATAGTGATTTACTTCATGGGTCCAGGCGAGTGTTGCCGTCTATGGGCTGCGGATTGCGGAAACTGAATGTTACAGTGGCTGTGCTCCGTACCGTATCCTACCCAAGATGTACAGTATCTCCACCTAAACTTGAGACCCCAGACAAAGCAAAAAACCCACGCTCATTGTCGGAGTACAATACAAGGACCTAACCGTACGGAGTACACAGTAATCCGTACAGGACTTACTATCTCAAGGGACCCGACTTGCTTGTTTCAATGGTCTGGGGGTCTTTACAAGCCGAGATTTTTCAGTCATGGCTTGGTGACGCCACTCGATTACCGCATTTCAAGGCACCAATTCCAAATCATAGGACTGTCTCGAGCCTGTGAGGCGGACTGGGAGTTTACAAATCGTGGTTTGTCACTGCCCATGCCGACGTCCTTCATGCAGTGCTTCAGCTAGGCCCTGAGCATAGTTACGCTTATTAAAAAGCCCCATCCATGAGCCCCAAATTCACCTTCATGAACTCGCGACTCTTGCGCATCCTTCTCACCCTCACCCGGCCGACTGCTGCCTTCCGAACTGCTACTCCGCAACCGCTCAATACATCAAACACTCTGAAGTCCATGCCCACAATCCCCATCTTCAGCACCCTCTTCGGTACCTCATCCGCTTTCAACACCAACAAAAATACCATGACATCTTTCCCCGACCAGCGCACCCCAGACGAGTGGCGTGCCGTCCTTAGCCCAGGTAAGCGCAAGCTACCCCTAACCAAGCGACAAATCCACAATTTTTAACCACTGATACAGAACAATTCCGCATCCTCCGCGAAAAGGGCACCGAACCCCCCTCCTCCGGGAAATACAACAAGCACTACCCGTCCCAGGGCACCTACGCATGCGCGGGATGCGGCGCCCCGCTCTACAAGGCGCAGCACAAGTTCTCGTCGGGCTGCGGCTGGCCAGCCTACTTCGACAGCATCCCGGGCGCCGTGGTGCGGCACGAGGACCGCTCGCACGGCATGCTCCGCACCGAGATTGTGTGCGCCAACTGCGGCGGCCACTTGGGCCACGTCTTCAAGGGGGAAGGGTTCCCCACGCCGACGGACGAGAGGCATTGTGTGAATAGTGTCAGTTTGACGTTTAGGGAGGAGGAGGAAGGGGGTGCGAGGGAAGGGGAGGGGAAAGCCGGCTGATACAGGATGGGGAGTAGATATTAAGTAATGTTATGGGGGCCAGAGACTGGATTGGGATATATGAGTCACTGCTTCGGAATTAGAAACGATTTCACTGAACAATATTGAGGGAATCCTTGGCTCACGCGGCGGAGAGTTGGTTGGCCATTTTGAATTGCGATTGTCGCTCTCCGTCTGTTGCTCAGTCAACGAGTCCAAGGCCTGAGTGCTCAAAAGACAGGATCGACCCGCACATCTCGCATTTTCTGCGCAGTGGCAGCCACAACTCCCTCCCACCGCCGCATGAAGTCACTCTCCAACTTTGACAGAACACTCGACAGATCCTCTGCACTCCGAGCGGAGGCAACGTCGTCGTTGGCCTTCTCCCAGAACTCATCCCACACCCTGCTCGCTTCACACAGCCCCTCGTGCTGGATCTGAGCAACATATAATAGCCACTCGGCCTCCATCTCTTGCCTGGTTGGTCGTTCCAGTAATGTCGGGCTTGAACTAACCAGGGAGGCGTCGTCGGCCGAGCGTAGAGGTCTTAATGATGGCAACGGCTGCGAAAACATAGATCCCGCCCTTTCCTCTGCAACTGTGGAAAGAAACGTGCGGTGCACTCGGTCGTCAAGCTCAAACGAAATGCTTGGATCCCGAGGGTTGTCGATCGTCCGCAGCCGTCTGAGTCCTGGCCGGTGCTGCAAGTTGACCCGCATCCCTTCCAGGGCACTGGACGCCTTGCTGAGAATGTGCGAGGCCGGGCTCTCGAATCCGGGCTGCGAGTGACTTCCAGTTCCGCCTGTGCTCTGGCTGGGCGATCTGGCCATATATCCTGGTGAAATGCTGGCTTGCAAGCTGGACGGCAGACCCCCTGATACATACCGCGGCCCCAACGGATGCACAATGTCCTCTTTGCTGAGGGTCTTGTCGAAGTGCTTCGAGACTGTGTACAGCTTGGGACCTTGATGCTCGAAAACCGAAGACGTTCGTCTCACCCTCGGCCGGGCTGATGAGGCAGAGCCGATTTTGCTGACCTTGTAAATGCCCTCTCCCAGAATCCCTGGTATGCCAAGCGTTGATGCTGGCCGAGATGGTACGAAGGCCGGCGACCAGGGCCGTTGGCCTGGGTGCAATGGTGTGGATGGCCGTATTGGTTGGCTGGGAGGTCGTTGGGGAAGCGCTCTGTTGGATTGGCTTTTCAAGTACGCTGGGTATCCGGCATGTGAAGTCGAGGCCATGGTCAGAGGGGGGCTTGAACTGTTCAGCTGTCTCGAGTTGCTGGCTGGTCGGTACACTGGTGAAACGGTTCGACCCAGAGGTGGCCATGCATTGAAGCTGGCTGGTTCCGAGACAAGCTGATGATCTCTGCCGAACTCTTTATACTCGATCTTGATGCCTAATCCACCGAACTCCTGCAGGACTTTGTCGAGATCGGGAGGTTTCTGAAGCGTGATGCACAAACTGGAAGCTTTCTGGACGGAACGCTGTGAGCCAGAGGCCAGACACAAGTGTCACTGAGCATCACTAACAATGCTGCCATCATCTAGCCCCTTCGAATACCGGAAATTGAGAGAGGATGTGGGAAAGAGGCAGGTGATGGAGTTGCGAAAGGCTGTATCAGTATCTGCTGTAGATGACTCAGACTTGAAGATGTCCAAGTCTAACTTGACCTGGTATGATCACTTCAGTACGTGACGGCATGGTCTGTTCGGTAAATGGGTGACCAACCAGTTCATCTGCCTTGTCTTTCACATGTACCATCAGATAATGACGCCAGACCGGCGCCCGCGGTCGTTCTCCCGTGTATGGCCTGCGTGGAGCGAGCTCAAGCTGCGGCTTGAGTACCAACTGCGGGTTCTTGTACGCATTTGGCCTATCGTCGATGCTGAGACTTGCCAACTCGAACCGTAATATTGGTCGTCTGAGGGTGCCCTTCGAAGCGGGCATTGCGGCTTTCTGGCTGTGACGTGCATGAACAACTGTGTGAACAATAAGACACTGAGAGCAACTGCATCTGATAATCCTTGGGTGACGCCTCAAATGAGAGGTGGAGCAGCTGATCAAAGCAACTCGAACTGGGAAGATACCTTGTTTTTAGTACACAAGGGATGGTGGATAATATAGGAAGGAGCTACCTACCAGCGGACTCCATACCCTGTGGATTGCACCCTGATACCAGTTATACAATGAAGATAATCAAAATTCGAGATCAGAATATGACTTTGCTAGTAATCATACTTATATAGACGTGCTTTGCATATATTTTGGCGCATGTGGTGGTGCCGCTTGTAGAGATGACTGTAGTATGATTGCCAGTGACGGTTACCATATCCCCTGTCCCTTGAAGTAGCGACATCTTCGTCCTGTGACTCCTCGATGGCGCCGTCCAGAGCAACAGAACGCGAGCTGCCAGCCGTGATATCGGAGACAATCTGCCGCTTCTCTATGACATTGGTTGGTGATCGTACTTGGGAGAGCCGAACTTGGGTTGAAGAGCATCCTGGGTGTTGACGGTAAGCTTGAAACCTGAGCTTGGGCCCCGGGTGAGGCCTGATACTTAACCTCTTTTCTTCTCATCACGCATCCTTACACCCGGTCAGTAAGTCAATCAAAATCCACCATCTTCTTCCGGTGACTGATGCGATAAACAAATCGGTTACAGAGCCAGTTCCATCGTTCCTGGGATCGCTCTGCCTGGCCGCCAAGCTGTGGTCCGTGCGATAGGTTGCGCCAAGGAGGCTGCAGTCCCCACCAAGCTTGGAGACCAAAAGCAATCGGAGACCCAAAAACTTGCCGCGAAATCGAATGCCATTCGCAGCCTCGCGTCGCATCACCGAGATTCGCGAACAGCGCTGCCCTGCAGTTGTGGTTGGCTTCAGCTGGCGCGTTTTACGGACAAAATTGCTGAGATTAATCACCAGAATATAGACCGGATATCTAATACTGGCAAGAACCGTTACCGATTTTGCGCACGTTATTTGGCAGCGCAGTGCTGCGCTCAGCGCGCCAACATGGCACCGACCAAACCAGCCGTCGAGCATACGGTCGACCGGACGCCCGAATATGAGAAGTTCATTGAGGACTTGCGCGCCTTCCACGAGAAGCGCGGCACAAATTTTGACCCCGAACCGAAGATGGGCAATTTCACCGTCGACTTGCTCAAGCTCTTTAAATACATTGTCGGCCATGGCGGCTACGACAAGGTGTCGGACGAGAAGCTGATGTGGAGGAAGATGTGCGAAGGTTTGGGCCTGATGCGGCATAATGCCCCGGCCGATGCCTACACCCTCAAACAAATCTTTTACAAGAACCTGGCTGCATACGAGATCAAGACGATTCACAACAAGGAACCTCCTCCGCCCGAGATTCTCGAATTTACCACAGCCAAGGGAGGCTCGCTCCTGACTCGGACACTGGAAACGTTCCAGGCCAAGTCCAAGGCCGATAGAGAAGGATCGACTGAAGACGGCACGCCGAGCAGGGAGCGCCGTGCCGAAGAGACCCCCACTTCATCTGGCCGGGCCTCTCGCGGCTTGAGAGAGGCACCAGCTCCGAGAGTTATCTTTCACCCCGATACCAACCCATCGCGGCAGAGCCGCCATGCGTCGGGCCAACAATCCGGCGCGTCCGGCTCAGCGGCGCACTCTCAATCACAGAGTCAAGGGCAGCAGATCACTCAGTCGCATGTCAATACGCCGATTGCGATGCATCACAATCACCAACACCCCTCCGGTCGTGGGGGACATTCCATCAGCTACAACCCCCCCGATATGAGCAATCCTCTGGTCAATGATTATCAGCTGCAACCTCCTCCACAAGTGCCGCTGCGCATCGTCGATACACCCGCCAGCAACCCGGATCTATTCGCGAGGAAGCAGCGGCTCCTCCGGCATCCGGCAGCCCCAGCGCCTAACCCGGGAGCCCTAGTGCGTGCATCCGTTCCTCCGGGTAAGCTTCCCCAACTGCCAACGTCGCTTAGCGCCATGGCACCTGACATTGATTAGGGACACTCGACGGGCCGAATATATACGAGAGGTGCTTGTTGTCGCTCCGCTCTGGAATCGAAGCGGAGCAGGCTTTTGCTCTAAACCATCTCGTCAAGATATCCTACGAGCGTGGTGATAAGTACAAGTTCTCGCAGTTCAGCGGCCTGGCCGAGGGTTTGACCGAATTCGCACTGGGTGTCGGGAGCATGTTCTACCACATCGAGTGGACCATTTCGAACGATCCGTATTATGACGGTGGCGAAATTGGCGAGCTCGATGGTATCAATGGCACAGACGACATCCTCGAGAGGATTGCCCAGCTGAGCCGGAAGGATGTCCAAGACACTTTCCAGTCTGCCGAGTTCAGTGACAGGCTGATGCTGGTTACCGAGGCCGTCCTGACCATTAGGAACATGGTCATGCTGCCCGAAAACGCGTGGTACATCGCCGAGTACCCGCCCGTCAAGGATCTTCTCTGCATTCTCCTTCATCTTCCGTCGCTGGAAATTGTGGTCGAGTTGAAGCACTGCGCTCTCGACATCGCGGAACAAATCACCCCATACCTGGTGCTCGACTCCGACGACCCGCTGTACAAGACATTGCTTGCACAGCTCTCGTCGTCGGACCGCGGCATCATTCTCACCTCTCTCCGGGCGATTGGCCGCATTGCCATGAACCATCCTACCGAAACCAACAAGCTGGGTGGGGTCTCGCCTGCTACCCTGCAGCGCATCTTGGACTGGCTCCTGCTCAACGACGATGAGCTGTTGGACGCCTGCCTGGACTTTCTTTACCAGTACACAGCCGTTGTGCCCAATCTAGACGTGATGCTGGAGGGTACGAGCGTCGAGCAGCTGGTAGTGCATCTCGTCCGCCTGCTTTCCCATGGAGCTAAGCGCTCCAACCGAGAGGTGGTCGTCAGCGAAGCGCATATCGCGTACGAGCCCGTATCTAATGAATACGTCCCTCCGATCCCCAAGGACCTGCAAGAGCGTCTACTCGCCATGGAGGAACCCGAGCGCTGCTTCGCCTGGCTTCGCTGCATGTTCGAGGAGGACCCTGACGCTCAGATCACGCAAATTGCCATCTGGCAGGCATACAACGCGGCATTCCTCGAGCCGGTCAAGCGGATGGGGCGCGCCATGATTAACGCGCCCGAGTTTATCCGGCACATCAGCACCGTCCACCAAAATGCCAACGCCCAGGTGGTCCGAGAGGGCACCAACGGAGAGATACAGAAGTTCATCATGCGTGGCATCCGCTCCCGCACCTACCCCATCAACACCGATGGCCGCGGCTACTTCATGTGCAAATGGTACCGCGCGCCGGGCGACCCCCTCAAGTGCGGGAGATGGAACCTGACGGCCGAGACAATGTGGCAACACATCCTCATCGACCACCTGTGTGAAGCCCCCGGCGAAGATGGCAAGTTCCACAACCGCGAATCGCCGCTCATATGCCTCTGGGACGGCTGCACTAAGTACCCTAAGCCGGTCAAGCTGCAGCTGGCTCAGTTCATGACGCACATCAAGACACATCTCAGGGCAGAGGAAGCCCTTCGCCGGGCCTCCACCGGTACCGCCGCCGACGCGCCGACATCGTTATCGTCATCAACCCCTTCCAAGCGCGGCTCTCTTTCTGGGAGTGGAAGCGGTGGCAGCAAACCGCGGGTCATCAAGCCCGCCAAGACCATTACGCTCACGTACGAGGAGACGGCTTCGGCCCGTGACGAGCGCAACCCCAATGCGCCGCCGCAGGCGGCTGGGATCCCGCTGTCGGCGGTGCTGATTCTGAGGAACATCGCGCGGAATGTGGTCAAGACGCGGGCGGAGGAGAGGTTTGTCAAGGGGAGCGGCGGCGGTGCGGATGACGGTACGCAACAGGAAGGTGGTGCTGGTGGTGAGCAGCAGCAGCAGCAGCAGGGTGGGGAGCAGAGCAGGGGAGAGCAAGGCGGGTGGAATGAGCGGCTGTTTCGGCCGGTCCTGCCCCGCCTGTGGGAGGTGTTCACCGAGAATCGGTTGCTGGCGCCGTATGTCACGAGCCTTTTCCAGCTGCTTGAGAGGAACAAGGAGGAGTTTGTTTTTGAGCGGTAGTCGTTTGTACGAATATGACGGACGGGGGCATCATCCCTTTCTTTTGACTCGCTTGGTCCGGTTTAATGGTCAAGAATGGGTTATTTGGGGGTGGTGGTTGTTATGGGGTTGGTCTGGTTGGATTCTGGCTCGCGGGGATTCGCCCCCGGTCAGGGTCTGGACAGCGGGTTATTTTCCCCATGGCTTTATCTCACGAGAGATGCATCAGCTTGTCCTTTTCTCTCCAAAATCGAGGCGGTTGGATCATGCAGATTGCAGAGGACAAACGGACACTCGTGCAACAGGGAGGGAAGGAAAGAGGAAAGAGGGCGGCTTGAGCGGAATGCACGGCTGTTGGTGCAGTGTCGGTTTTAGACGATGATGTATGTACTTATGTGATAGTAATACCCTTCCCCTTGACCGACGTTGTCAGGGTTCAAGAGCGGATTGATTGATGAGTCTGGACGGCATATCATGATGGATTCCTAGGTTCTCAATGTCAAGAATGTACGTGTCATGCATGGTGTTTGCTGGAAGTTGGTAGTCAGGAGAGTGCGTTGTGCAACGCTCAGGTCACTGGCTGACGAGGTCAGAGACAATTCCCGGGGAGGCAAACATGCAAGGCGTGGCCATGGATTTTTGTTCACATTACCTACAGGTACGTATGGGAGCTGTCCTAGGTTCAAAGTCAGATCGAACAACTACCCCGCGAGTCTAGCGAGTGCTAGACATCACGACCTGGGCCACGATCTGAAAACCTGTATGGTAAATGTGCAGTACTGGCCCCGCTGGGGAACTGGGGTTAGCGGCCCGTGGCGGGTGACGGGAAGCGGAAAGCGGGAAGCGAAGCGAGGCATCGTGAAAACTGCAAGGGAAATTATGGCGGCTAGCGTGTACAAGTGTAGGGCTGCATGCTGCGGTCCGAGCTTGTTGGGGTGCCAGGGGCACTACTCCGGGTGGCACGCTACTGAAGCCATCGTGAGACCTGGGGAAAGCAGGGTGTCGAGCTTCTTAGTGGTACCGGCTGGCTGGGACAGGCGATTGGCGTAGCTGTTCGTTTGTTGATTGGAACCGGGCTCCTTGGCGTTTGTGCGTCGAGCTCGAGATCAAGGGAAAAAGCTAATGATAAGATAGAGAAACCGGGAGAGTGAAAACGATCATAGTTTTAAGAGATGGAGTTGAGGTGGTTAGAGACATTTCAGACACCAATGCCTCCTCATTCAGTTTGTTATGTTGTCTAAGGTATTGAGAGCTGAGTGAACTGGAGCGGCGGTTGACCCACGTTCAAAAAAGAATGGCACCAGCGGCAGAGCCGGGTTGCCAACGTTCTGGAGCGATGTAATTTACAAACCTGAATTTCTCGAGGGAAAAGCGGGATGATCGAGTTGGGTTGTGAACCAGTCGTTGCTTGGGGCTGAATCGTTCAGCTTGGAAACGGTCGGCTGTCCTCCCGAATTACCCTGCGGCTCATTGCTATTATTCAGAAGGTTGGAGGTTACGAGTCACCAAACGCTCCAAAAATAGGAGATGTTGATGAATGGCCGGACACTTGCGTGGGATGAGCGAGGAATGTACATTGCGGTTGGGCCGCTTGAACAGTGTGGTTCAGTGGTTGGCTCGGCTGGGCAGGAGAAACCATGGCTTCAGGCCCCCTGGCTCGTGTTTCGAGACTGTTGATAAGGTGCCGCTCCGAAGAGCGGCGGAAAGATGAGCGGGTATGCCGGGCAGGGGTGGTGAGGTGACGGTTGGATTCTCATTCAAACCACATGGATGACCCATTGGATTGCAGGTGCGGCCGTGTCCCCGGACAAGTCCCGCGGTGGATGCTTGCCACTCTAGTCTTGGATTTGATGGAGAGCGCTCCAGGGCTAAGTCAGCTAGCACTGCCCGCCGTTCCCTAGTCAAGAGCAGGTGGCCACAGGACCAGTAATTTTCTCGCTGCTGCCAACGGGAAGAGCGAACGAAATAGGAGGGTATTAGGAGAGTACACACACTGCTCACCGCTTCAAGGTGTATATGAAAATGCTAAACGACGTGCCAGAGGGCTCTTCTTGTTGGTCAGCGCTATCGAATAGAGCTGATGGGAATCTGCTTCGTAACTGATTTTGGCCCCCCCCCACGCGGTCGAGACATCGAATGTCTTTTGCCAAGCCCTGCGAGACTGCAGGCCCAGAGCGGGGTAGGGTAACGTTGACTGACCTGGCCCCACAGCATTCCAATCCCTTGGCCCACATCAGGAGATCTCGATCATTCGAATTTCTATGTAGGTAGGCAAGAACTCCCTCAATAAGGTACAGCCCGTGGGAAAAAGAACTTCTAAGAAACTCGGCTTCTGGTTGTGCATCGTTCTTAAACGTGTCCGTAGCCAAGATAGGCGTGGAACAGGCCCTTCTTGTACTCGTTGCAGGTCAAAGACTCAGTCAAAGATGGACGTCAGGATTGATCGGCGCCAACCCCTGTCAGTTGCTCAACCCCACTTCCCCAGTCGAGTTAAGCATTCGTTACATGCAGGGCGAAAACACCAGAATTTTATCTCAATCATTTGCCCTTTTGGCAAACCGGCTCTTTTCCGCGGGTTCTGGACACCAACAAGCATGCTTGAGAGGTGAAAATTGATGGTGGTCTTGTGACTTGCTTTCAATCTCTCGGTCCCACAGACACAGCTCACCGCTCACTCACCCCGTGTCAGGATGCGCAGGATGTATTTGTTGCAAGTTACTTCGAGCGAGGGCTTGCAACATACTGTGGTATAAGTATGAGCCCCTAGAGCCAACTGAAAGCGCCAGGGCCCTCGGGAAACCTTGAACATCGGACGACGTCGGTTGCATTCAATACCTCTTTCACTCAAGCCGAAAACAAAGGATTTGTTGTCAACCCGCAGAAGGTACGTGGATGGAAATCGCATCAAAGCTTAGAACACCATTATGACCACTTTCTGTGGTCAGAGGTGCCGACTGCGCTTCCCCCCTCCGCAAAGTTGCCCATCTCGGCCACCATCGGCAACATCAAACCTGGCTTCACACCGAGTCGGCGGTCATGCTTTAGATTCCAGGTTTCTCGAAGCTCCCAGAACTCAGGCTGACTTCCTCATTTGGGGTAGCTTTGCTTGACTTCCTAACTCTTCGGCCTAGATAAATCGTATCGGTCGGGATTCGCGAAGCGTAGTGCAAAGGGGTGTGCGTGGACAGTGCAGATCCGTGCAGTTTCCAGGATTGCATTGCTCAAACAGATCGATCTCGACTCGCAACCGCCACAGTTCTGGACCCGCCGGGCCACTTTGCCTCATCCCATCTCTGTGCCCGGGACATCCTCAGCTGGCCGTCTGACGGCCAGGAACCCTTCTCTGAAGAGCCTGCGCTCCCTATAAATAAAAAGAGCCTGACGGACCCCCAAACCAGCAGGTCTGACAGCACCGCACGCAGTTTTGTCGTCGCTATTAAGGAGCCCAGGTACCTTCGACGTACCTTGAACCCCCACTCGTTGACTTGGACAAATTCGACTTCGACCCTTTTTGGCTACCATTACAATTCGCCTGTGTGGTTGACCTCCTACCAGCAATCCTGCATCTTTGGAGAGTTGGAGTGCCAAGGCCTGCGTTAGCTCAAGACCCAAAGAAGGCTTTGAGTTTCACGCTCTCCGCTTTTTGATATTGGCCTCATTCTCAAGTCGATCTGACTCGGCTCAGAGTTTCCATAACTCTTCACCACCTCGTTCCAAGATTCAATCTCAGAAATCGCTATAATGGCCGCCGTTGCACGTTCCGCCCGCCTGGCTCATCGCCTTGCCGCGCTTTCCCGTCCCGCTGTCGGCCGCGCTGTTGCCTCCTCAGTTGCTCAGCGTACTGCCTTCTCCGTGTCCGCCGGCCGCATGAAGTCTGAGGTGATCAAGGAGACTGAGGTACCTGTCACTGTGTACAGCCCGGACGCTAAAGGTGTCGCCTCGTCTAACTCGGCGGACCATTTCAGCATTCCCGTCAAGCCTGCTGCCACTTCCGCCCCGGAGGCCGCCGCCGCCGAGGAGGATGCATTCACGCCGCTGCAGGAGAAGGTGTACCGCCAGATGCCCCGCACCATGCAGAAGATGAGCATCATGGGCAAGGTCGTCATCGTGACTGGTGGCGCCCGTGGTCTCGGCAACCACATGGCCCGCGCTTGCGCTGAGGCTGGTGCCAAGGCCATCGCCATCTTCGACGCCAACCAGGAGCTGGGCGACGAGTCGGCCGCCGAGCTGCACCAGAAGACCAGGCTTCCCGTCTCCTTCTTCAAGGTCGACGTCCGTGATGGCAACGCCATCAACGCGGCCGTGCAGAACGTCGTCGACCTCTACGGCGCCCCGGACGTGCTCGTCAACTCGGCGGGCATCGCCGACTCCAACATCAAGGCCGAGACGTACGACCCGGCTATGTTCCGCCGCCTTATCGACATCAACCTGAACGGGTCGTTCCTCATGGCGCAGGCCGTCGGCCGCGCCATGATGGCCGCCGGCAAGCCCGGCTCCATCATCCTGGTCGCCTCCATGTCCGGCTCCATCGTCAACTACCCGCAGGAGCAGTCGTGCTACAACGCCTCCAAGGCCGGCGTTATCCAACTCGGCAAGTCGCTGGCCGCCGAGTGGGCCAAGTACAACATCCGTGTCAACTGCATCTCGCCGGGCTACATGGACACGGCGCTGAACCGGGTCCCCGCCCTGGATGCGCAGAAGAAGATCTGGAAGTCGCTTACCCCGCAAGGGCGCCTCGGTGCTGTGGACGACCTCAACGGGCTGTGCGTCTTCTTGGCCTCGGACGCCTCGGGCTTCATGACCGGCTCCAACGTCATTATCGATGGTGGTTACACGCTCTACTAGAAGCGTTATGTCACTCATATCGCTGGCGAGACAACGCACGGGCTAACTGCGTTCATGGGCTCGGTGGGATACCTCTATAGACGGCTTAGTTATACTGGGTCTGATGTTTCTCAAGACCTGGGTGGAAGTCGGTCTGCGGGTGGATAATGAGTTGTTGCTTGAGGCCGAATTTCTGGGTAGCCATTCTTTGGTCATCTTCTGGGTTCTCAGTGTCTTTTTGGCTTTGGTGCCTGCTTTTTAGACCGTGGCTGGCGCATTGCGAGGTTGGGAATCTGCCGGCGCAAAGGGCCATGTATCTTCTCTCATCATCGGGCGTGGGAGGGGAGACAGAGAGTTAAAGCGTACTCGAATGGTATCAAAACATGCGACTATGGTTATAACCTGAGATGCCTGGTGAGAAGTAAAGGTAACCACTGGACAATTCTACAGACTTGCCCTGCACCTATACAAGAAAGACTAACGCATGTGGGATGTCTGGGAAGGAACAGCGCACCACCCCCTTGGTCACAGGCACGGCACGTTCGCAAGTACCGCTCCAACCAGGCCGTTCCAGAGACCGGAGAGGTGCCCTCAAGACCGGACGCGGCTGAGGCTGTCATGGCCAAAGTGGGTAGAGCAAGGGCGAGCTTGACCGGGCATCTCTGGAGTTGTTTTGAGTTTCTTTCTTTTGAGAATTTGAGGGTTGGACGTGCGGCCTGGGGAAACAACTGCTGCCAATGTCGAGGATGGCAGGAGTCGCTTATTATATAGACGTCTTTGGAGGCCAACGTCCGCATCAAACTCATCGTCACAGGGCCCGATCGGATCGTAAAGCTTCGAGTTATGTTTCCTATCATCTCCGATACAGCCACATTCGTAAGGCTTATTCAGAGACGGCATCCTCCGGCCCCATCCACCCTCATAGTATGCTGTAGCTAAGGTCTAGACCAAGTCCAGGTGGCTTTTTGGCCCATGCTTGTCTCTGTCTTGCGGAGCTGTCTAGACAAGAGCTGTATGGGAATGGCAGGAAGGGATATCATTGTTGTGTGACATTCCAGCCCTGGTTTGTTCGCTAGCGTGGCACATAGCCGGCGGGCATAGCACAAATAAATAGAGAAATGGATTGGAAAACACACCTTGGAAGGAGGAAGATAAAGGGAAAGGGTTAGGATATAAAGATGAGTAGTAAAAGAAGCGGTGAGAGGAAGAGAAATACGAATATAAAGAGGAAGAAGAAGAGGGAAAGAAAGAAAGAAATAATAAAGTAAAAGTGAAAGAAGAGTTGTAAATACGCAACCTGGAAGTGCGGAAATAGACTGCAGAGAAGAGAGTTTTTATTTCCTTTCCTTTTAATATCCTCTATACCACAACCTTGGAACCAACCGCTCAGCCCAGCCACCCCTCAACGCAGTCTGGTGTGCCCACTCGACAAATAAATATATAAACCAGAGCCAAAAGACAAACTCGGAAGCTGCGAGAGCGCAGAAGCGCTTCCCTAAATCTGACCAAAGTCCACCAACCTGCATACCTATCATAGCCAGCTAAGTATCAGATGTGTAATTGCTTGCTATGTCGCGTGCGGTTCATCTCTTCCCTTCTCCCTTTGTTTCCCTTCCTTTTGCATTCTCCCCTCTGAGAGAAAACCACATCACACCAATCTAGATCCCAATGGACCATTCTCGCTACCTCTTCCCCAGTAAACCCCGCAGCTTACACCCCGCAAGCGCCCCAGCAGAACGACGACTCTACTCGCCCCTCGTCGACCGCGCGCTCACCCCCTCCTTGACAGCAGCCAGGATCAGCTCCTTGGCCTTCTCCACCCCCTCGCGAGACCCGACGACCTCAATGGCCTCGCCCTGTGCCTGGTCGCGCGGCACCGTGATCTTGCACCCGCTCTGCTTGCGAATGGCATTGACTTTGCTACCACCCTGGCCAATGACGAACCGGTACGTCTTGGGGTCCGGCAGGACCAGATACCCAACTGCGTTGTGCTTGGTGGCTTGCTCGAGCGCCGTCTGGATGGCCTTTTTCGCCTTCTCGACGTTCTCGGCCGACCCGCGCAGGATCCAGGGGATGTCGCCCTCCTCAGAGGAAGAGGCCTGCTCGACTACCTTCCATGAGTGGGCGTCGGCGGCAGCCTCGGGCTCGTCCGTAATCAGGGGCAGGGCGCCGCCGTTGGCGCGGGCGCTGCTGGCCGCGGCCGTGGGCTTAGGGGGCACCGTCTGGCCGCCATGGTCGATTGTGACGCCAAAGTCGTTTCGCAAGCGGCGGAAGATCTGGCCGTTGTTGGAGACTGCGTGGTGCAGGGCGCGGGGGATCTGAACCGTCTCGCCCGGCTGCTCCTTGACCAGGTTCTGGATGTGCGCCTTGGCCTTCTCGACGTCGGCCGACTGGCCAACAATCTTCACGCTCGTCTGGCCGCTGCCCTGGCGCGGAACGTCGAGCGAAACTTTGAACTGAGCCTCGAGGTTGCGCTTCGTCTCACCGCCGCGGCCCACGATAGTCCTGTGCTTCTCGACAGGCACATCCACGGCGTCGGTTACCTGACTCTCGCGCTCGGCCACCAGAGCCTGGATCCGAGCGACAATCTTCTTCACGACCTCGCTGCGGCCTTCCACCTTGATGGTATTGCCATCAGCGTCCTGCTTGGGAAACTGGATGGTGCGCGCGAGTTCCCGCTGGTCGGAAGGACCGCCAGCCTGAACAACAATGTCGCGAAGCGTCGCGCCTGCATATCTGTCAGCCACCGTGATCACAATGCAATCTCATCATTTCAGACTTACCGCCCGTGCCTATGAGAGCTTTGTGGTATATCCTCGGCACCTCAATCTTCTCGACCACAGTGTCGTCAAAGATCGCCTTCTTCTCCTCCAGAGCCTTCTTGGCCGCAGTCACCTGCGTCTTGGTGCCCTTGATATGGATCTCCACCTGAGGATCCTCTGAGTCCTTGGCGCTCGGGACGTCAATCTTGGCGCCGGTCGACTGACGCAGCTGCTCCAGGACGGCACCGCCAGCGCCAATGAGAGAAGGTAGCATTTTCTTCTGGACAGTCACAGTGGCGGTGAATGACGTGTCCTTCAGGTACTGCAGCAGTGACAGCAGCTCGTCACGAGCCTCGTCGGCACCGCGCTTGGGTCCGCGGATGATGACCTCGTCGGGAGCCTGCTGACGGCGACCCTTCCCAGCATCACTAGCCGACTCAGCAACCGACTCATCGTCCTTGGCGTTCTTGTTGCGCGGGAAAAAGATGAGCACCTTGTAGCGGGTCTGCAGCTTGTTGATCTGGCTGCCCTGCGCGCCGATGAGCTCCCTGTGAAACTTGGGGTCAATTTTCAGCACGTGTGTCGCCTCATCCTGCAGCTGACGCCCGAGCGCAACAATGTGCGTCTTTGCCGCCTCTGCCTTGGCCTTCGGACCCTTGAGCTGCACCTTGCCGTCCTGGACTTGAATCTCAACGTCAAACTTCTCCCTGAGATCTCGGATGTTGCTACCACCCTTGCCAATCAAGTGGTTGGCAAACTTCTGGGGGAAGTCGAATTCCAGTGTAAAGCCACGTTCCTTGTCGTCCTGCTTCTCTTGCTCGACGAATTCGACGCACTTGGCGGTAAGCCGGTCCACAACAGAAGCGGGGCCGCGGATGATGACGGTCTCGCCGTTGTTGGATACCCGGGCGCGGACCGGGTTGGTAGCATTGTCCTGCTCGTTCTTGATGAACTTCTGGAGCCTTGTGTGGAACCTACACTAACGTTAGAAAACACATCTCTTTCGCCATTTGTGCAGCAAAGAGGAGAAAATTTACTTCAAGGGGACCTCAATAGACTTGGAGGTCACAGCTTCCTGCTGGCTCATGAGGCCGAGAACGTGGCCTTGGGCGTCTTGAAGCCACTTTTGCATCTCGGCGATATCTTGTTGGCTCGGCGGGGAACGCGGAACTTGGTAGGACGCGGGGCTTTCGAAGCCTTCGTAAACCAGCAAAAGAGGCGCATTAGCCTCGGAAGCCTCTGGGACAACCATGTGGACGCCATAGTTCTGGCGCACCTGCGGCATCACCTCCCTCCTTATGTAATGATGGTAGAACGGATCAACCGGGACGGTGGCCACCCGTGCCGGCGGGAGACCGTCCACCAAGGCCTTGACCTCGGTCTGAGCCCTGATGAGATTCTTGCCATCGCGCGCGTAGAGCTCCCACTGCAGAGCACCGTCGTCGGAGAACGGCGTGTTGAAGTGCACATTATACGCCTTCCCGAGCCGCTCCAATTCCCGTTTCTGATGGAGGTAGCGGGTGACATGGCGCGCGTGAGCGGCCGCACCGCCTGGGGCTTGTTTGTGGAAGCGCGCGATGTCGATGTTGGAGCATTGCATGTTCATGGCCAAGCCAATCGTTTTGTCCACAGCATTCGGGACCTGATCGCGATATCCAATGACTTTGACAACGTCATCGTCTTCATCGGTGGGGATAACAATGGTGCATCCGGTGTCCTCGAAAAACTGCTCCATGGAAACGCCCCTCTCCCCAATAATGAACTGGTGGCGGCCTGATTGGATGTGGATAGGCTCTACTAGCAGTTGGCTGCGCAGTTCCTCGGCCCTCCGCTCAATCGCCTCCCGGGCGGCTTTCACAGCGTTGCGCTCACCGGCGAGGTGGATGGAGCTGTCAGCCGCGGGGTAAAACACGGGGCGTTCGGACGGGGCGGGCACAGTGGGTGGCGTGGACGAGAAGGCCTGAGCTGGAGGGACGCGGATCTGGATTCCGTTTTCCTGCTCGATGCTGCTGATGAAGCTGTTGTTGGGGCCGGCGATGAAGGGGAAGAACTCGGCAGGGATTCCCTTGAGAGGAACATTGACCTGGCCCCCGCGCTCGCCCATGATTCGGAAGATAAGATTCTGGGCGTGGGCAGCCTGCTGCGAATTGCCCTCAATAACCACCCGAATAGTGTCTTCGTCGTCGTTGTCGTCTGCGGCTGCTTGGCCTTCCTCCTTGGGCACGTGGATGCGAGCGCCTGACTTCTCCTGCAGGGCCTTGATGGTAGACCCGCCTTTGCCAATAATATGAGGCCTGGCCCAACGAGGGACGTCCAACTCAACCTTCATTTTGGTGCCAATCAAGCCGACAAAGTCCTTCAGTGACTGCGTTGTGACGTCGCCCTTGGGCCCGGTTGCCTCAACCCTGATCCTGTTGTCGGGTTGGTTGACTAACCTGACCTGGGCGCGCGACTTACGGTTGAAGTCCTTGACAATGTCAGCCAAAGGGCGCTTCAACTGGGCGCGGGGTAGGATGTGGTCCGGCTCCAGGAGGAGGTACTCCATGGATTGCCCCGGGATCGAGAGGCTCGGCGGTGCGACCCGGTGGGCGGGCGTGCTGGCACCGGACGGCGGGGCAGAGTCCTTGGGGGTGCCATTGGCGGGGCTGGCGCCGCTTGCTTTTCCATTCGCCTTCCCATTCGCGTTGGCCCTCGCAGGCCAAACGGGAGCAAGGTTGGCCGCAGACTTGGACGCTGTTCCGCCGAGTTCCGGGAACAGCTCGTGGGAATCGGTGGCCAAACCAGCCCTGTCTTTCTTTACGCTTATTGGCGTCGCCGTTTCTCCATTGCCGGTGGACTTGGCGCTGACGTTGGGCTTGGAGTCGTCGTCGCTCGCGTCCTCCACAGTGACGTGGTGGGACAGGTGCTGTTGGAGCAGCTGGGTCGCAGCGGAGGGCTCAGAAGACATGATGAGGGACCGGGTTGAGTAAGCCGAAAAGATATCTTGAGAACAGCGAGAGATTCGCTGTAGATGGAGGCCTTGTGGGTACGATTCGAGTCTATCTGCTCCGACTTTCAGGGGGTCAGCTTAGGGCCTCGAGGATTGCGAGGGGACAGCAGTCGCCCTTACACTTCGGATTTAGGACCAATCAATACGGGATATCTAGGTCGACAGCAGCTGTGAAGGATGCGGCGGCCCAGGAGCAATGATCAAGAATTCGCAAAGATGACGGGCTCCTTGCGGCGAAATGTGCCAAAAGTCGAAAGGCGACAGCAATTGAGAACGTGGTTTGATCGAAAAAAAGTGGAGAGAACGCCTGGGGGGATGTGGAGTTCTCAGTATCGAGTGCTCCAATAATCAAGAAGAACGTGGAGTTGCGGACGCATTGATGCTCGCTGGGACTATTCGATGATCGATGCAATCGAGCTTTGACACCAGAACACTCGAGGCAACATGCCAGAAGAAGTCCCGTTTACCTGTTCACGCGGCCGAGCGACGTTGCGCAGGGACAGGGGCTGGTGCTATGACTTACAGGAATGGATTATGCAGTTGCATATTAGCGTATTACCTTGATTAAACCCTAACCCAGCTGTGACTCTCCCTCCAAACGACGTCGTTCTCACGTGCCCCATATTACGATGAGTACGATGCTTTTGTGCCGCCGTCGCCAACAACGTGATATCCACTTGCATGCTTGTACGTTGTACAGACAATTATCGATCCTGCGCGAGTATGGCAAGAAACATGCTCAACGCTGAATTGCCGCCCCTCGATTGGCGGCTTCTCCCTTCATCTACATTGATGTGCCAATTCGGAGTTTCGATGCACAGGCGCCGTATTTTAGATATGTTGGCAATCACTACGTGGTTCCGGTAACGTTGGGGAGTAGCTTGCTGAAGCAGGATCAGTAGGCGATTTGCCGCCTGCTTACCAGGTGTTCCGCTCATCTGTCATTCACTCGATTCCGGCTCAGCCTACGGACGACGGCACAGCTGGTACTGTGATTAACGCGGTGATCGAGGAGCTAGACGGTATTAAGCTCCATCGCGACGACCCGGAGCTAGAGTCAAATTGTCAGCCTTTCAATATGCCCACAAGAACCAAGGGAAAGTCGTCTCACGTTACAAGGAGGCCCAGTCCCACTGCAGCTGCACATCAGGGATTGAGCAGACACATCTCTCCAACCTCAAACGTCCCCCAGGTCTGTCAGAGTACACAGATTTCAATACTACAGAAGACGTTGAAGTGGACCCGAGAAAAGAGCATAGCAACAAAAGCAGCAAAAATACTGTAGATAAACAGGGGCCGGAACAATAAAAGGGGAAAGATGTAGCAGGACTAACTGAATCAAGAAAGCACCATCACTGGCCACGGGCTTGGGTCACCGAGCACCTAGGCACCTAAAGGTTAGCAAAGTAAGCTGCAGTTACATTCCTTACTTCCATAAGATCGGCTCGTTGCCTTCAAGACGTTGAGCATCCCGGGAGCGATGATGGAACCATACATCATCAACCTGGACCACCGTCGAAGCCATTGGCGCTCACAGCTGAGATGAAGGGCAAGCTTGAAACAAAATCCCACAGTTCATTAAAACTTTGCTCATGTTCCAGACGTCATTGGAGTTTTTGCCTGCTGGCTCATCCACTCCCTTCAATATCCTTGCTGCCAGGAAACAGGGCCGCGTTGTCGGGTTTTGCAATGTTACAACTCGGCTAGTGACGAGGAGTGATTCCCGGCAGCTTCGATAGCCGCACGGAAAATCATCGAGACGGCAAGGCTGTTGGAGTTGCGGTGACTATCCTTGGGAAATTGGTTTAGCGGTCTATATCACCACAGATGGCTTGGTGAAGATTGGTTGTGCTAGACCTTGCGTCTAATTAGGTAGGTTGTGGACATCCCAGAGGCCGGATATTGAAGGGGTCCCGCTTCTGTCGGCTCAGCCACAGCTCGAAGAGAAATAAAGTCGTCATGGTCCAGTTCAGACAATACGACGAGTCTACACTAATTGTGTGGCACCATGCTCAACCGGCATTGACGTCTTTTTGATGGACAGAGAATTCTTGTGAAAAAGGTTCGAGGCTAAAACAGCAGGGCACAGACAAGATGCCCCGCTCTTGGCTGGGTCTCGCTAAAACGGTCAGTGGGATCCAATACGCAAGACCCTGGGCATGGGATGGGACGTTCCAGTTCAGCCGAACGTCGATCGCCCGTATTTTGGCTGTTTGGAGGGGCTCCTCCTTTTGCAGCTTGGAAGCTTTGTGCCGTCTTCTCTGCAGTGCCGTACAACGGCTTCACGTTCAGCTCTGATGAAGCTTCATAAACTGGATAGCACTCACTTTCACTTAGGATGACGGGGGTGTTGCAAGGTGAATGAGCCCCACCTCACTTCAACCCCTTCATCCTATATAGAGAGGTAGAGTTGGATAATAGAGGTAGGGCAAGCCTTACTAGAACGCAATAGATTACTAGCTAGATTACTATTTAAAACTATATCTTATAAAGGCATAACGTTATACTCTTAGTACTAGCCTATTGTCTAACTCTCCTTTCCTGCCTGCTAAGGTCCCGCTCGGGCTCCAGCAGGGCGGCTAGCCCCACATCGTGACGCCCTTTGCTAGGTGTTTGCTCAACAGTCAACGTCGGGTTCCTCCAATGCCATGCCCATTCCACAGCGGCTAGCTGGCGGAAATGCGCACAGAAATTGTGTGTACCTCCATCTGGTTAGAGGAAATATTAAAAGAATCGCATCGCATAATGAGAGCACCATCGAATCCAGGTCTGTTTCAACATGTGTTGCATATCTCATGTTTTCCTTGAAGACCTGAAGCCGCTGGGCCTCCTGGAACCGCCGGGGGGCCGCTCGAGCGGTGGTGCGGCATTGCACGATTCATCAGTCGGGCCTCCACAGCCAGGCGAAGTGAACGTGGCTTCGTAGCAGGCGTTTACAATACAGTGCTGCCGGCTTGCATCCCCTTCGCCTGTCCTGGTCGTCTGCTGGAGGTCATTGCATTGGTGACCGGGAAGATGCGCAAGCGTTATCTCCAGGAAACGGATACTGCAACCTTGGAGGTCACGGTTACCAAGTACTCCTTCCGTTTGTCTCGCTCCGGTGTCCCACTCCGTTATCTCATCTGTACGCCTATCCGCACTGTATGCTGCGGTTCGCTGGCATCTTCAGTAGCCAATCAGAGAGAGTCCCGCGAAGTAAGGTCTCGCCCGAGCCGGCCAGCGTGCAAGTTCGACCAGCTCACTGATCAGACGGTGGCCGTGGGAGCCAAGCCGAAGATGAGATCGAGGACCGGGAGGAGGGAGCATCGAACGAAACGAACGAACGAACGGCGAGAAAACGCAATTTTGCACCCACGCTCTGTAACTCAATTATCCCGGCACCCATCCCAGCTGCTCTGACCAGCTCCCAAACTGTACGTTGGATTTTTTGCATTGCCATATTGCCTCCTTTTTCCTGGCTCTCGAGCTGTGAGATGGACAGTCCCATGATTGCAGGTGGCTCCAGCGCTCCTTCGCACCGTCGCAGGCTCACCAAGAAGCCTCCGCCGGCATCCGCGCACCACCATCTTCACTACGCAAGCTCCGGCTTCAGCGCTACTACTTCGGACGGCCGTGTTGACGCCCAATCTCTAGGAAGCAAACGAAGCTCGGCCAGCTTGAAGCGGGCTCCCAGCGCCCCCATCGGCACTAGGACTCCCGCGTCGAATTCGTCCGATCTTTCGCCACGCTCCGCCGCCGCACCGTCTCGCGCTTTCTCTCTGGCGGCCCGGTCGCACACCTCGCCCGCCCTTCCCGACGGCACCTCTGCGGCGCTGGATGCGTCGCCGCACTCGCATTACCACTCCCTGCAGGTCCGAGCTGACGCGCAGCAACCACGATCCGTCCCGCCGACCTCACTTCAACCGCTCAGCTGCAAGACTTCGGACGAGTTGATTGGCGCCCCCTTTGACGGCACAGCAATTCTCGATCGTATCGCAGCCACCAAATCGCCGGCTCAAAGAAACAGCAACGGCCAGGACCACGACCACAACGCCAGCAATTATACCGACTACGATTATAGCATCGACAACACCAACCAAACGCCGCCTCACTTTGCACTCGTCCGGCCGGCTCACGCGGATCCCGGGACGCGAACCATGGGACACTCGCCGCCGCCGCTTCGCCAGTCGGCGACTTTCCCCGCCGGCGATCTGCCAATTCTGAGCGAGAAAACCGGTGTCTCCAAAGTCGACGGTGCCCCATCCCGCCAGCGGTATTCGGACGAGACCAAGGAAAGCAAGATACCCAGCATGCTCAGAAAGAAGTCGGGTTTTTCTGGTTTTATGAACAGCTTGGTGGGGTCACCAAAGAAGCCGCTTATTTCGGCGCCAGAGAATCCAGTCCACGTTACACATGTCGGATATGACAGCTCGACGGGCCAGTTCACAGTAAGGACGCTTCCAAACATTGATGCCCTGTCAAGCTGTGTTGACTCGTCGATAGGGTTTGCCAAAGGAGTGGCAGCGACTGATCAACGAGAGCGGCATCACAGAGAAAGACACGCGGGAACACCCCCAAATCCTCGTCGATGTCATAACATTCTACAAAGAGACACAAGAGAAGCCCCAGGAAGACCAGCAGTTGGAGAAGTTTCACGATGCCCGGGCAACCGACTTCCGAGGCCTGGCCACCACTCCATCACCCGCCACGGCTTTCCCTTCCCCCGGCATGATGCAACCTGGTTATGGCGCCATGTCCCCTCTAATCAGCCCCCCAGCGAGTCCAAGGTTTCCCAACGTCGCCCATGAAGGCAGTTTTGAGAACCCCCGCGCCCCGCCGCCAGTCCCCAAAGGCCCCGTCCTCCCGGTCAAAGATCTCAATTTGATGCCCAGCCGACCCGCGCCCAAGCCTCCGACAAGCCTAGCGTCGAGGGTGCAACACCCATATCCGACAAAGGACTCGGGCATTGGCATGCCTTCACTTGGCGACGATGTCTCGCCATCTTATCCACCTCCCAGAGACAATGTGCCGATGTTGCCGGAAGAGCACAGGTCGCGCTCAAACTCACGAGCAAACGGCACGCCGCCATATCTGTCCTCGCAGCCTTCCCCGTCAGTAACCTCGCCGGTGAACCAGGCGGCGATGTACCAGCAGCAGCTATTGCAGCAGCAGCAGGAGCAGGCCATGGCGCAGGCGCAAGCGGCCATGAGCGGACAGCTCGGGCGCCAGGCGAGCAAGCGGCAGCAGCCGACCCCGCCGTCCTCGCAGCACCCGCACCTGCAGCAGGCGGACCCGACCGGGGCCAATCGGATGTTACAGGCGCAACAGGCCAAGCTTGCGCAACCGGGCTCAAGGCCGCGGCACCGACCACGGCAGAGCAACGGCGTTGACGTGGTTGCCGCCTTGAAGAGGATATGCTCCGAGGGCGACCCGAGGGAGGTCTACCGCGGCTTCACCAAGATCGGCCAGGGCGCGTCCGGTGGCGTGTACACGGGTCATGAGAGGGGAACCAACCGGTTGGTGGCCATCAAGCAGATGAACCTCGAGCAGCAACCCAAGAAGGACCTGATCATCAACGAGATTCTGGTCATGAAGGAGAGCTCACACCCCAACATTGTCAACTTTATCGACAGTTATCTCTGTGGCGGGGAATTGTGGGTCGTCATGGAGTTCATGGAGGGCGGCAGCTTGACCGACGTTGTGACGTTCAACATCATGACCGAGGGGCAGATTGCGTCGGTCTGCCGGGAAACCCTCCGCGGCCTGCAGCACCTGCACTCCAAGGGTGTCATCCACCGAGACATCAAGTCGGACAATATCCTGCTCAGCATGGAGGGCAACATCAAGCTGAGTAAGTTCTCAACATCCATCTCCCCCGCATTTGTTTTCGCCTCTTGTCTTCCTGTTGCATTGCCAGTTTGACTGACTTGGCCCTCCCTGCACAGCCGATTTCGGCTTCTGTGCGACGATCAACGAAGCGCAAAACAAGCGTACAACCATGGTGGGCACGCCGTATTGGATGGCGCCGGAGGTGGTTACGCGGAAGGAGTACGGCCGCAAGGTGGACATTTGGTCGCTGGGCATCATGGCCATCGAGATGATCGAGGGCGAGCCACCGTACCTGACCGAGTCGCCGCTGCGGGCCCTGTGGCTGATCGCCACCAACGGCACGCCGCAGATCAAGAACGAGCACGAGCTGTCGCCCGTCTTCCGCGACTTTTTGTACTTTGCCCTCAAGGTCGATCCGGAGAAGAGGGCGAGCGCGCACGATCTGTTGAGGGTACGTGTTGTCTCCACAACCCCGACCGACCGACTGATATTATGCAACCTTCCACTGCCCTATTGTGTGAATTGAAGAAGCTAACCACAAACTTGTGCGTAGCACGACTTCATGAAACAATGCGTCGACCTGTCCACACTCGCGCCCTTGGTCCGGGCTGCGAGAGAAGCCAGAGCGCAGGAGAAGGCCCGCAAGGGACAATCATGAGCTTCTATTAGACTCACGTTACTTGCTCGCCATTCTAAATATCTGGTCGAGGGCATGCTGGACCCGTCCATCTTTCTGAGGTTCTCCATCCGCACAAACTTTCGCATGGGGCATTTCGAGCATCTTTGCGATTGAAATCGTGCGATCAGCGATAGTCATCGTGCATACCACCTGAGCCTTCGCTTGACATTTTTTTTTCCCATCCCGTTTTCACACTCATGGCAGGCATGCGGGCAGGCGGCATTGTGCATTGATTCTTATGGTGTCATTTCTGAATGGCCTGATTTTTTCATTTCATTTCTTTCTATTCGTCAGGTCAGGTCATTATCTCTGCTCAACATTAACAAATAAAAACAGACCTGATGGACGGTCGGTCGTTATGTTTTTCATCCTTCGCTTCTCTGATTGGTTTTTACAGTCTCAAAAATTCTGTCTGCTCTCCGGAGATGTGTGCCGTTTTCAAGTCATCTGTTGTGTGGTATTGTCCTGCGAAACAAGCCAGCAAAGCAAGCGTTTCAGCAAGCCAGCGAGCTCTAGCAGATACCCATGCATTCAACCACTAAATGATGCTATTTAAAAGCTAGTTTTTCTCCTTCTTTCTTTCTTTTTGTACTCCACACCATCGCTCCTCGCACAATAGCTTGGACTCACCTGGCCGGGGCGGATTTGGGGATGGATATTTCAGAGGATATTGGACGGAAAGGGCGTCCTCTTGTATCTGTTGGTCACGGATCTGATGAGAGGAAAGATGAGGAGCGGTTGAACAGACTTGAAGGCTTTCTCAGCCCCTATGCCACTATGCTCTATACAGAGAGGCAAGCTTAGGGGCGATGGCATCCCTGGTATCGGAACTCGAAGCGGCGTGTGGTTTGGCTCTTATTTGGGTCTGGGCTGCTTCGCCACCTGCTGGGTTGAAGGAAAGGTATCAAACGGGAGCGAAGCGAGCACTGCATGGTCAATAGAAGCATGACTTGGGCATATTGGAGCAATCGTCGAGATGGGCGAGCGCGCGAGTGTTGCGGCATGGGGAATCCTTCCCTAATGATTCTTACGTGAAGCGACTGTGGGTTCTCGGTGAAAGGGTGGATGGTTACTCCTCAACTGGGATGGTTATGTATGGCACTATGAATCGAACCCAATGGAAGACCTGGGTTATGGAGGCTCAGGGAAATGTTCATTTCGTTAACCTTGAGAAGGGGTCGGCGGTGGGAGTGACAGAGACAAAGAAAGGAATGCCAGGTTCAATTGGTGTGATCAAAGCGCTGCTGATGAAAAGAATCCCACAGTGCCTGCCTGCTTGCCGTCTGAACGGCATGCAGTAGGAACAGATGCGATATCTTCTCCTAGTGTTGGTGATATCTCTTTTGGTATTTGGACAAATACTCCCAATGGATGCCCGTCCGCTACCTAGCCAACACTTCAATATACCCACATCTACATAAAATCATCCTCCTCCTCATCCTCCTCATCCTCCTTATCCTCCTCATCCTCAGTCTCATCCGTATCCAACGGTCTCCCCATCGCCAACCTAGCTGCCTCGTCCGCCAAGGTGATTATATCCCTTAGCAGCTCTTCTGGGCGACTGCGAGGCAAACCCACCCCCGACCCCGCCCCACCAGCTCCAGCTCCAGCAGCAGCAGGCTGGATAGGCGGCAGTGTGTTATTGCTGTTGACGCCGTTGTCAGCGTAACGATGGTTACGGTTATGGTGGTGGCTATCCACGACCGCCGCCGCCACGGCAGCTGCGCTCGCCAGCGGCGGAAGAGCCCTTCTCGCTCCTGCCAGGCTGGCTGCTGAATTAGGCAACGGTGGTGGGTGTAATGTCGGCCTCGCGGGAATTGGTTCGCCCGGGGCGCGGAGCCGCACCTTCACCTCGCCGGGAATTCCGTCTATCCTCAGGGAGGTAGTGACCGGTTGCTGCGGCGGCTGCTCGCCTGCCGCAGGTTGGGAAACAGTGGAGGCAGTGCCAGACTGCTGCTGCTGCCTGAGGTTAGGTGGCGGCGACATGGCGATCAGATCTCGCAGGTACTTGTTGGCCTCTTCCGACCCGTCCATGAGCCACTTAAGACAGATCTGGACGCGCTCGCGGGCGTAGCGGTTGTGGTCGTCGTAGACGCAGCAGTTGAGCAGGCTGATGACGCCGTTGTGGCGAAGGATCTGAGACTGCACTTCTGGGTTGCCGGGGCTGCTTCGTCCGGGCGGCGGCTGGAGCAGCCCCGCGAGGATGTGCAGTATTTGGCCCTTGATGCCGGCCCAAGGGTATTTATGGGCCGGCTCTTCGAGCGGTGGGGGCGGGGCGAGGGGATGGTCCTCCGAGTCGTAATCTGCGTCCGGGTCGTCTGGATTTGAAGGGGGCTGGCGTTGGTTGGAGCGGTTGGGCATTTCGACCATGGGCTTCTTTGGAACGCCGGCTTCGAGACCTTTGAGGAGGGTCAGCAGTTCGTAGGCGGCTTCCCATTCTATGAGGTATTGGCGGGTTTCGAGCAATTCGTTGACGGTCGTTAGGAGCTCAAGGAACTGCTGGATACCGTCCTTGGCGCGCTCCATGTCCCAGCTGTCGACGGGGAAGTCGGCTGGGTCGCAAAGGTCGTTGCGAATCTGTGCCTGGAGATGCATCAGGGAGGCACACTCGGGGACTATGCGGCTGCGGAATTGAATGAACAGGAAGTGGAGCAGCTTGACGTCTCGGAGATGTTCCTTGGAGTCGGGCGGCGGTGGGTCGTTATTTCGAGCGCGGAACATGTTGTTCACGAGCCTCAAAAGGACAGTTTGAGCGGGTGAAATGATGTCCTTGGGAATACGCAGAGACTGCCAAGCGTAAGGAACCAGAGCGCTGTGATGGATCGCCTCAACGATCTGGGTGGTGAGCTGAAAGATGAGCGACTGCTCGCTCTTTTCCCAGACGGCGATGAAGACGAGGATCTCTCGAAGCAGGCTCCTTCCGCACTCCATAGCCAAGAACATCCTACACCTTGTCTTCTGGAGATTCTCGCCTGCCCTGCTGAGAGCCAAGCCCGCGTTGTCGAGAATGCACGACTTGACGATCATGTGCAAGGCCTCGATCTGTTTTGGATCGAGAATGTTTGGGACCTCGGTGAGCAGCCCGTTCATGGGCCCCTCGCCGTATGATTCGTCGTCATCGATGTCCTCCTCCTCCATCATGTCGTCATTGTAGTCGTGGACGTAATGGCCGCCGTCCTTCCCTTCGTGGTCCGCACCAGCTTCAGGCGGCGGAGCGCCGTCGGTCGAATGCACGGAGCCTTGGTTCTCGGCGGCGCGGTATGAGTGGGCGTACCGGTTGACCAGGTTTGCTTTGCAGTTCTCTGTCCTCTGCTGGGCAAACTCGACGGTAGGCATAGGCACGACCCACTCGTCGTAGTTTGGATCACGGACCTTCAGCCACCACGTGTCGACTTCCCTCGATACCCGGCCGTAGGCTTTGTCTTGCTCAAACTTATCGGGCTCGTCCTCTTTCCATTGCGGCGTGATCTTAATATCGTTGGTGAAGTCGTCTGCTCGCACGCGCACGGTACCCTCTGGAAGCCAATTCCATGCCAGCGGAGAGATGCAGGGAAGGTGACCGGGAGGAAGACCCTCACTGGCCACCGTATCTTCGTATTCGGTAAGCAGCTGCCTCGCCTTGTCGCAGAAGCGCGAGTTACGCTCGAACCAGTTTTGCACTTCGATCTTGGCGACATCAGGGCGGAACTCTCCGTAGACGTTGCCGTCAGACTCGTCAGCGAGAGCATCGTCGTCGAACAGCACAGTGGACCAGAAAGCCATCTTGTTGCGGTCGTTCTTGGCAATCCAGTTGTGGGCTTGCTGCAGACATGTGACCAGCAACTTCTTGTCTGGGGGTTAGAGTCAGCACCGCATGTCTCAGCAGTTGGATACTGTGAACCTACACAGCTCGGTGATTTCGCTCAACTTCAGGCGAGCAGCCTCCTCCAAGACATCGCCGTCGTAAGCCTTACTCGTGACGTTGATGCAGAGGATGATGGTCTGGTAGAGCATCTGGTCGAACTGGGCGGCGGCGCACAGGTCCTGGGGGATCTCGGGCTCCGGCACAACAAGCAGATTCCTAGCAATGTGCATGAGCTTGATTAGGAGCTGCAGGTCTTCCTTGAGCGACGGGTAGTTCTTGGTGATGAGCGCCGTGCTTTCCTGCGGCGTCACGCCTTTGTCGGGGTCGTTGAGACTCGCAAGGGGGCCGATGGACCGCGTAGTCAGACTGGGAATAGCGGCAGCAAAGTCCCGGGTGAGCCATATCCAGACTTCGACGCTCTTGGAGAGCGTTTCCCTGCAGACGAGTTAAATATGAGGGGGGGAAAGACGGACAAGGGATGGCCTACCTGACATCTTTCAGGTTGTGCGTCTTTTCTAGTGTCCTGGAGATGAACTTGGTGACATATGCCATAGTCCGGGGCCCGATGGCCGGGTCCAACTTCAACCATCCCTCGAAGCAGCTCATGGCCGATGTGAAGCAGAGTTCCTCGATGCTCAAAGAACGTCGACTGTCGGTCGCCGCTGCAGTCGCCATCTCTGGCGGGAGCAACGCAGACGCCATCTCCGCCATCGCGGTCACCTCTCCGCGATTGGTCACCTTTTTTCGTGAGCCAAGCTTCCTTCGTCGCCCGATTTCGAAATGGATGCAGCGGCGAATGTGAATTTGGATCTTGCCCACGCTCCGAGTGTGCCGAGCGAAGCCGGTAGCAGAAGGGTGACAGGTTATCGAGACGGGTCGGAGTTTGGCAAGGATGAAGATAGACAGGGGCAGGCTTGAGCGTATTATGACATGTAAACTTTTACATGTAGTTATCAACTTGAAATCAAGGGCGGCGATATGCTTGGGTTGTGATTTTTGGCAGCATGGACCGCTCTCAGACGCTACTTGACTGCCCCAGGTCAGTCTACGGATCTACATTCTATGCCTTGGTGCTCCCCACACCCTGCTGGACAGGGATGGGTCCCTTCAAAACCCAACGTCGTTGCAACGGCGGGGTAAAAATTTGGCCCGTCAGCCCCTCCAAAAATTGCGACAGCAAGAGGGAGGGGAGCGGGATGGTTTGCTGATAAACCACCTTCCGAACCCTCCGAGCAGTCAGCTTCAAGTTTGTGGAAGCTATAGCAATCATCTACTCCCATTCACTTTTTCGTCCACCAGTCTGCCCACCATGACGGTCGACATCCCGTCTCTCCCGACCACCTTTGACCGTAAGCCACCCCTTCTCTCTTTACCCCTTTCCAACGTTGGTCCGCCAGCTAACCCCATCCCCACTCTCCCAGGCCCGGTCCACATCGCCGTGATAGGCGGCACCGGCCTGTCCAACCTGCCGGGCTACCACCCAGTCGCCGCCCTGACGCCCACCACGCCCTGGGGCTCCCCCTCCTCGCCGATCCTCATTCTAGAACACTCGGGCGTCCCCGTCGCCTTCCTCGCCCGGCACGGCCTGCACCACCAGCTCGCGCCCCACGAGGTGCCCGCGCGCGCCAACATCGCCGCGCTGCGCTCCCTCGGCGTGCGCACCGTCATCGCCTTTAGCGCTGTCGGGTCCCTGCAGGAGGAGATCAAGCCGATGGACTTTGTCGTGCCGGATCAGATCATCGACCGCACCAAGGGGATCCGGCCCTTCACCTTCTTCGAGGGCGGCGTGGTGGGCCACGTCGGGTTCGCGGACCCGTTCGACAGCGGGCTGGCGGGCGTGGTGGCGCGGTGCGCAGCGGCAATGAAGGGCGACGGCGTGACGCTGCACACGGGGGGCACCATCGTGTGCATGGAGGGTCCGCAATTCAGCACGCGCGCCGAAAGCAACCTGTACCGGTCGTGGGGCGGCAGCGTCATCAACATGAGCGCGCTGCCCGAGGCAAAGCTAGCGCGCGAGGCCGAGCTGGCGTACCAGATGATCTGCATGGCGACCGACTATGACTGCTGGCACACCACCGAGGACGTGGACGTGGCCATGGTGATGAAGTACATGGCGGCGAACAGTGAGAACGCCAAGCACTTGGTGGGCGCCGTGCTGGACGAGCTGTGCAAGCACGAGAACAGCGACCTGGTGCTGGCGAAGCAGTGGGCGGGGAGCGCGCAAAGCGCCGTCAAGTTCATGACCAAGCCAGCTGGGCGGGACCCCGAGGCGATGAAGAGGATCGAGTATTTGTTCCCGGGTTTCTGGGACGAGTAAACGGACGTTGGGTGGTGATCTCGATTTGAGCGTCTCATAGGATTTGGTTGATAGACATGACAGACGATAGATAGACCTCCCTAGATCAATGCTTGATGACCACGGCTGATATCAGGACAGGCCAACAAGCCCAAGTTGTCGAGAATCTGTGTGTAACATGGTATCGTTTAGGTACCCCCAGAATGCAGCCACATGCACCAACCGACCTCATCATACCGCGTAAACACATCACATACGCAACATCTCCCTCCATACACCATTCAAACAGCCAAACAAGAGTTCAACAACCCCACAACCCTTTCTCTATCCCACACGACACCACATCAAATCACATCAAAAGATACAACGCCTTCACCGCCTTCTCCACAACAGCCACATGCCACGGCCTAACATCCACATCCCTCTCCACCACCCCTCTCGCCCGCGCCAGCGTCCCCAAGCCTCGAAAATACGTCAACATCTCTCGCAGCAGCACGTCATACAAGGCGCGGGCATTGTCGCTGTACACGACATTGACCTCCATCGCGACGGGTGCATCCTCTTGCCGGGGACCTGTCCGCTTGACCAGGTACCCGCTCGCGAGCGCGGGACTGAGATCCGTCAGCGACAGCGAATTGTTGAGTCGATGCGACACCACCACGCCCCACGTCGTTTCGGTTACGTCGACGAGCGTTGCGCCGTCGCCGTCTGCGTCGGCCGGTGCTTGTTGTTGTTGTAGGTATTGCTGTGCGGATGAGTCGCCGCCACCGGCGGGAGTGGTGGTCGTGGTGCCTAGGGGCGTGGAGGCGTTGTTGCCGGATTGGTCTGGTGAGACTACGGAGATCGGCTGTGGGGTGGAAACGGGGGTTGTATAGAACATTGAGGGCGCGGAACTGGGGATGGTGGCGGGAGGTGGGATGAGCTGCAGCGAGGGGTCAGTATCGACTGTGAGGAGAACCAGGCTGACGGTGGCCCTCGTTTCGCCCTGGACCAGGCCGGTCCAGAGGTCGATTTCGTGCTGCTCCATCGGGCCGCACTTGGTGATGACCACCCGCCAGTGGACTTTGCATGCCGAGATCAACTCCTGCGTAGTCTCCCAGACCTCCTGAACAACCTCCCCGAGCGTTCTGGACAGCGGCTTGCCCCGTCTGCCGAGACAATAGGAAGCCATCGTCTGCGTGCTGCCTCTGTTGTCAGTCCAGGCGGCAGTAACCCATCGCTCGTCCACGCTCCGCGCGTACGCCACGTGAATGCATGAGTTCTCCCGTACGAGGTTGGGGGAAGGTGTGGCGGCTAGCTTGAAGTCGATCCCTCTGGGAAGCGCCCGCTCAAGCATGATTGCGGGCGATGGCATGGCTCCCCCGAAGAGCGTGCATCTATCGTATGTTTCCAAGCAAAGCCTGGCGCACTCGGACGGAGACATCACCACAAGCGATGTCTCTGAAGCAACAGCATCGAGCGGTACGAGCTGGAGCACCAACTCATTAAAAATGTGCTTCTTCCTGTCCATCATGCAGCGCTTGTAGCGCTCAAAGAGCTCATGGAATGCAGAGCAAGAGTCCACCACTGAACTGGGGTTCTCTGGAGTGTATGCAAAGTACACCACAAAGTTCTTCTCAGACAGGGACAAGCCGGCAAGGAAAATGCCAAGATTCGCCATTTGATCGCTGTATGCGGACCGAGCCCGAGGTAGATTGAGGCCGGGCGAGGCGACATCTTGATCAGTTGGTAACAGAACCACGCCGTCCACAACGCTGCCAACCGTCGGAAGCCTCTCAAAGGCGCCCAACCTTAGAGCCTCGTACGTGCTCTGAACCCTGTCGAGGAAGGCTGATGCATTGTCCCGCATGCCTTCAGACTCGGGCAAGATGCATACGGCAACGACGCTCTTCGGCCCCTGTACGGGGCTAAGACCCAACGAGTCCCAGAAAGAGACGGCAGACGGCAGCACTGAGAGCTGGTTCTCGTACCGCCGGAGCTCGACATGTGGTGCAGGGATCAGGAATATGCTGGGTTTGGGAAAGTCAGCAGGCCTCACATGCACACGGCTGTTCGGCTGAACAAGCAATGGAACGTCCTGAACCTCTGTGAAGGGCCGAAGCTGACATCCAGCCGCCCCGGCCAAGGCTCGTGGCAAAGACCTCTGCAGACCTCGCACCGAGTAGCGGATGGCCTTCACCAGGCTCCGACGCACATCCTGGACCTCGGAACTCGGACGCTGTGGAGCCACCTTGAGAAATCCGCCTGCTGCTTGTTCTGTGAGGATTTGCGCAACCGTGATGAAGTCATCGTCCGAGACAGATATCCGGAGTGGTACCGGCTCTGGGTCAGCAAAGTATCTCGAGAGGGAGAATTCTGGGATCTCCGAGTTTGATAGCCGTGACAAATCGACAGGTCCGTAGCCAGGAGAGTCCAGCGAAGTGTTGTCCAATTCCCTGAATGAGGCGGCCATGGAGATGACATCGTCCTCCGCGCGCCTTCGGAGCACGCTCGACTTGGCTGGCGAGGAGGCCCGAACCATAGGGTCGCTCGCGTCTTCATCTGACGAAGCCCAGCTGCTATCCTCTGACTCTGAGCGGATGTCGTCGGGCTGCTTTTGGCTGTTGGCATTGCCGCCCGCCAGCCTGGCTAGGATCGTGCTGATATCGGATGGCAGTTCCTTGAGGTTTCTTCGCTGCCTCGCAGAGCCAGGGAGCCTACCAGTATTTAGAGGTCCTCCACTTTGGAGCGCCTGGTTGTCCTTCACTTTCATGGCCGACAACCTGTAGCCGAACGGGCCTTGCTCTTCATATTTCTTGCCAGTAGGCGGCAAGGCTGGATCAAAATCGACCTTCTTGAACAAACTGCTGCGCCGGCGCCGACCTCGCTGGGTGGATATTGTTAATGACGGTGTGCGTATCGAAGCCCGTATTCGCTTAAAAACGGTCTCAGAATTGAACGGGCTTGGGTTCCTCTTGACCCCAATGGCGGAATTACAATTAAAGCTCTCCATATTGATCTGTTGCCGACTCTCCTCGGCCATCGTGCTGCGAGCGTGTCTCAACTCGGGCTTGGTGAACTGCGGAGAGGGGGCCAGAGGTATCCCCCCGTCGTTCTCGGTGCCAGGCGCAGCTTGGGCTGAAGGTTCAAACTGATGATTCGCATTCTCTTGCATTCCCAAAATGGAAGACCCCGTCTCCGGAAATGCCGACAGATCCAAGTCGCCGGCGCCCGGCGGCTCGTCAAAGAAGTTGAAGTCGGCGTCCGTGATTCCGTTATCTTCAAACATATCCTCGCCCAGATCGCCAAACACGTTGACCTCGGTGAAGGCGGCCGTTGTCTGCTCCGGCCTGGGTTCGGTGCCGTCCCATTCCCCATTGAAGCTATCCGGAACTGGGCCACCCTGCTGCATTGCCGTCTGGCCATTTCCGGCAGCGCTCGTCGATGGCTGGCCAACTGGGCTCTGGACAGGACCGCCATCAAACGAGGGCGTAACCGCTGGCGGCTGCACTCCATCTGGTGGCGTTGGGTACATGGTCCCCGATGCCGGCGCCGGTCCGCTGTTGGTCGAACCACGCCAGACGGCCATGGGGGAGTAGCCGTTGCCCTGCGGATGATTTCTTGCATCAGAGTTAGCATGCTCGCGTGCTGAAGCAGCATCCCGTTCCCTCTTCCTCCGGCTGACAGCGTCTTCCCGGTCGGAAACCCCCTGGCACCACATCTTTGCTTTGTTCAAGGGGTCCAGATAGCCGGCGGTCGTTCCTGACAGGGCCCTGTCAAAGGACGTATCCAGCATGGTTTCGATCTTGGGTTTTCGAAAGCAGAGAACGGCCGGCCATGGCGCGGTTGGGCCTGAGCCAACAAGAGGGGTTCGTTTCCCGTCTGCGCTCGGCTCGTATGGCTTCCTTTGGAAGAAGTGTATGTTCAGCCAAGAACAGCCGTCCAGCAAGGACGGCGACATACCACGCATCTGGAGCAGTTTGCAGCAGGTTGTTTTCCATTGCAGAAACCTATCGCCGTGGTCCGGCCTCCACCGTCTGACCTGCGTGTCGGGTGAATGGCCAAATCCGCCATCGACGGCCTGCGCCTCGGTGTCGACGACGCCCTGCAGAGTCCCGAATGTCCCAAAGGGCGCAGCGAGGACAGTAGGACCGGCATGCAGCAAGCTCGAGCGCAAAACGTCGGCAGAAGACACCAACCCTCGGAGGACCGACACATGCAGCGAGATGACAAGCGAACCCGTCGTGGTCAAGTAGGTGCGGAACGTAAGGAGCGCTGAGCTCCGCGGTGTTTGGCTCCAGTCGGCGTCGTCAGCGTCGAATGCCTGGGGAGGTAACAAGACAGAGCGGCGGTTCAGCAAGACGGCTCCGATCGCACGGCAGAAGTATGTTGTCAAGGATTCCAGCACAGCCGTGATGAAGAAGTCATGTATCTCGCGCGCCGGAACGGAAGCGTATCCCTTGGCATCCCCAACCGGAGTTGACGCAACCTTACCCTCCATAATCACAGGCGTAGGAGGTAGGCTGAAGGGCTGAGGGCCCTTCATGTTCGTGTCTATGGCAGAGACAGTGGATGACGAGCTGCTTGGCGTGGTAATGGCATTCGTCCCAAGCGGCCTGTTCTTCAGGAGCCCGATGGGTTCCAAGTTCCCCTCCCCAACAAGACCCATGGGATAACCGCACACCTCAATCCTCTTGTGGAGACCGAGCCGTTCGGATTGCGTGGCGATGGGTGCGTCGCCTGTTGAGAGGTAGAAGCACCATATACCCCGGCGGACGGCGTCCATGTAGACGAGGTGGCCATCGCTGCGCAGGGCGTCCTCGACATCGGAAGCGTTGAAGGTGTAGGCTGATGACTGGGAGGCAATGGGCTCAAATATACGGAAAGAAATGGCGGAAAGGTTGCTCTAGATGCAGATTGTCAGGATAGGTCATTTGGAGGTGAGTAGTCCTGGGTATGTACTCACGATCAACAGAGTGTTTGTCTCATATTCACCAGCGTCCATATCGGAGAAGATGTCGTGCAAGGCGTGGGCGACGGAATCGGGCAGTCATGCACCGAGGTCGGGCATGCGGGCTGCGACTACCGGGACGCGGATAGAAGCGCAAAGTCAAGGGTCCGGTACGGGACGTTCCCGGCGGGGGAAGCTCTGGATGAAAGGTTTGCTGCTCTATGTGCCGCACCACCGAGATCCATGACAGCGGGCGGCTTTGGAATCGAGAGACGCTGGCGAATTACAGGCGATTGCTGCCGAAGACATTCAAGATCGACGTCAGACAAACCGGCGACTGCCAAGCGGTGGTCGGCACGTGGGGGGAAAGGAGGCAGAGCCGTGAATCCGGTAGTAGGATCGGACGGACTTCGGTCTGGAGAGTATCGATCTCGATGCCGCCCACAGGAGACTCGATGTGGCGAGCGAGAAAAGGTAAATCGTGTCGGGGATGTATGGGGCAACTTCAGGCACCTCGTTGTCGTACCTACTCTATCAGCACATGACATGCGCAGCAGCGAGATCTCCACAGCGCGTTGACGGTCTGGTCACAGCAGGCCAGCGGGTGGAGTCTCGCCAAGCTGTTCCGACAAGGGGTCTGGCTGGCATGGGATGGAAGAATTGAGGTACCAGTACAGGACAGCAGCTCTCTCGGCCCTGCAATTCCGACGATGATCCAGAGCTCAGCCATATCAATTTTGAAAGCTCTAATGAGACAAAAATTTTGAAGATTCATAGTCTCGAATAAGACATCATATTAATAACAGTGCATGTACGGCGCTCACCGGTACTGTACAAAGCTCCGTACAAGGTACCTCACCTCACATTATAGGTTCCACTTTCAGGCGGAGTATCCCAACCGAATCTCCCCGCCTTCCTTTTCCAGGCGTACAGTTGAAACTTTCTGGTTTCTGCCCAGACAAGAGCTTGCAGCTTTCCGCCGTCGAGACTTTGTGTGCACAGGCACATCGACATCGACCATGAAGTTGACGAATCCGGGCGCAGTCCCTGTGTAAGTGTAGATTATTGATGTTGCGGGCACAACGAGACGAAGAGGCTGACGGAACTGCACAGATACACTGTCGCGGGGCCATCGACTGCTCGCCCCCTGCCAGACTGGCTCGCCCGCCGCAGGAAGAGATCATCCAAGTACGATCCCGAAAACCTCAACAATTTTGAGCTTCTACAAGAGTTTGAGTTTGAAGAGGGCAAGTTCACTTCTTCCCATTCAGTACACGCCTCTCTAGGAACCAGCACTAACCCGCCCGGGATGAACAGCAAGCAACTGCGTCCGAGTGAGCGAGGATGGCAACTGGATCATGAGTTCGGGTACATACAAGCCCCAGTTCCACGTTCATTCGACACAAGAATTGTCCCTGTCCTTCTCGCGCCACACCAAGTCCGAGAACACAACCTTCCTCCTGCTCAGCTCCGACTACACCAAGAGCGTGCATCTGCAGACCGACCGGTCGATAGAATTCCACACACCAATGGGATGCCACTACGAGGTCAGAATCCCGAGGTTCGGCCGAGACTTGGCCTATTTGCGCCAAAGTACAGAGGTGCTCATCCCCGCCGTTGGGGTGAGCGCGGATGGGTCCGGATACGGAGAGGTATTCCGGCTGGATCTAGAGAGGGGCCAGTTCCTCCGCCCGTGGCAGATTGATGTGGGCGGAGACGATCCCGGGAGCGGCTTGCAGGGAAGCATCCACGTAGGCGCCGTCAACGTGGCGGCGGTAGCAGAGAAGACGCACGGCCTGTGTGCGTTTGGCACGTCCATCAGCACCGTCGAGTTCTACGATCCGCGGAGCAAAGGGAGAGTGGCTGTGCTGGGAGGCCACGATGGCGAGGTTACCGCGTTAAACTACAGCGATGACGGGCTATCTCTCGCACTCGGAACGAGCACCGGCCAAATTCGCATCTTCGATTTACGAAACCCCCGTCCCCTGCTCAAGAAGGACCAAGGCATGGGGCTGCCGATCAAAAATTTGATCTACTTGAAGACTCCTACCGAGGAGCGCAAGCTACTCTCGGCCGACAAGCGCATCATCAAGATCTGGGATGAGCACACTGGTGACTTGTGGACTTCGGTTGAACCGTTGGTTGACATCAACCATGTCACTCACGTCCCAGACTCTGGCATGATCTTGACAGCCAACGAAGTAGGCTTTCGAAACACTATTATATTACATAGCTCGACAGCTAACACATGATTGCAGGGCAAACACATGCATTGCTTTTTTATTCCGAACCTGGGCCTCGCCCCCAAGTGGTGCCACTTCCTGGACAACCTGGTCCACGAAATGGAGAACGAGACTCAAACCGAGACCTACGACAATTACAAGTTCCTCACAAAGCCCGAGCTCAAGTCGCTCAGCCTGGACCACCTTATTGGAAAAACCAACCTGCTCCGGCCTTACATGCACGGCTATTTTGTTGCTGCTAAGCTGTACGACCAGGCCCGCCTTATCGCCAACCCGTACATCTGGGAAGAGGAGCGGGCCAAGCGGGTCAAAGAGAAGATTGAGAAGGAGCGCGCAAGCCGCATCAGAGGAGTCAAGAAGGTCAAGGTCAACCAGAAACTGGCGGACAAGATCCTGCAGCGGCAGGAGAAGAGAGCCAAGGTCGACCTTGAAGCCGGCGTTCTCGGCGATTCCCGTTTCGGCAAGCTCTTTGAGGACGAAGAATTCAAGGTGGACGAGACCAGCTACGAGTTCCGGGCTCTCAATCCCAGCACCCAAGTGGAGAACACCAGCCCTAGCCAAAACGCTCGCATTGGAGCGGACGATTCGAGCGACGATGAGAGTGGCTCCGAGGCGGAGAGCGAACATCAGAAACCCAAGGATGACGTGGTCATGCAAGTATCTTCATCAACAGCCCGCGGCGGCAAGATCAGGGACACAGCAATTGGCTCGAGAGCCCAGAAACAAACCCGCGCCGCGAAGGTCCGGACAGGCGACGTCGTTGGAGAGCAACAAATCATATTTGTACCAGAATCTAAAAAGAAGCGGCAGCCCGCGCCGGCACCGATCAAGCGCCAGGACAGGCGGAGTGCGAGCACGAACACCTTCCGCCGATTATAGACACCAGCTTCCCCGTCGAACCCTATATTATACAAGCCAAACTGTGGTATCCCGGTTTCGTTCCCTTCATGAATCGCCAAATGCTCAAAACAAGTCGTTCCTTCGCTGTCTCTCCCAGGGATCTATGATCCGATCTCCAATCCGCGGCCCTTCCGACCTGACACCGCATGTCCATCCGCTGGCGCTAACCCTCACTTCCGGCTGAAGTTGCGCTTCTTCTTGGGCTTGTCATGCCCCTTCTCCAGGTCGAGGTACTCGGGTTTGATCCTTGGTGTTGGCGGCACGTCGTCGTACTTGCCCCGCCCTCCCGCCGACTCTTTGACCGACTTGGGGAACTCGGACCGCCGCGGTGTGAGGACGGTGACCACCTTCCTTGCCGACCTCCGGAGGGTTTCTCTCATTGTCCACTCGCGCTTCTTGGCGACGAAGAAGAGGACCGAGGTTGCGACTGTGGATACCGCTTGTTAAATTGCCGGTCACACTGAGCAATAAAGAGGGGAAAGCGGGGGCTTGGACTTACCGCCGAAAAGCGCGACCACGACGACCACGACGATGATGGCGATCATGGCTCCGTGGGAGAGAACCACTCCGCCGCTGGAGATGCCTGATGCGCCGGCGATGCTGCCGTCAACCTCACCGGTCCCGCTTGTGCCGTCTCCTGCGAGGGGAAAACTGTCGTCGTCCGCCATGTTTTGTGCGTATTAAGTAAGTTTGTCTTTTGGCTGGTGTGTCGTCTCCAGAGACAAATTCGAGCCAACGCCGGGCGGAAAGAGAAAACGAACTACCGCAAAACCAGCAGCGGCGGGTGGCAGAATCAAAGCTTCGGGCTCGGGAGTTGGGAAGGGAAGGGAAGGGTGTGTTGCTCTGCTGCCGGGGTGCGACAGACAGGTATAAGGATAGGCCGGTGGTGTCAGAAGAAGTACGAATAGCCAGACAAGAACGGCCCTCCGCTTTGAGAGGTGTGACTGGCCGCCGACCACACAAATCACGTTTATACCTCCGCAGCCCTGTACCAGACACAGCCGGGGTCCGTCCTCTCGAGGCCTTACCCCAGGTAAACAATGTGCACACTGCAAAATCTGTGATACCTATCGTTATCCAGTGGTTCGACTCTGCAGAATGTACTCTCGGAACTTCTGTGCTGCTGCAGCAGCCGCTTGCACGCAGTTGCCCAAAAAAGAAAAGAGCGCTAGGTTTGAGACGGTCACATCAGCATCGCAGGGCCCCTCTGTGATCCGGGCATCCCATTGGGTGCCGTCCTGATCACAGCAAGCGCCGACGCCATGTGAGGCCGTGCCTCGAGCGTGCATCGGATGTCGTTTGAGCGACAGGGTTGGCTGTCGGCAGAGAGCGACCCCTTTCTGGTGGAGAAGAGCCAAGACGGGATGTGCAGGGTCTGGTAACAATGGGAAGATTTCTGAGGGAAGCAGGCCAATGGAGGATGGGGAAAGAAGCTTGGCGGCGGCTCGAGGGCTGGACAAGTGAAGAAGTAAGGTGGATTGGAACGTCACTTCATCACCACTGCGGCACCGTCTCGAGTCGCCGATGGAGGAGGCATTTTGGAACTTGCATTGCTCGAGGCCTTGGGGTTCAGGCTGATTTAGCTTTGAAGAAGGCGAAGTACACGTCCTATTTTGCACAGCAATGCAGGGAAGGAAGGTACAGGACTGGATCCGGGGTGAGGAATCTGGGACTACATGTAGTTTGAGTCGAGGACTAATTGTATAGAGAAGATGGTTGAAACAGATAGCAAGATAAAGAGGAGGAGATCATGGGTAATGCTAGAGAAAGATGGCCAAAGAATCGATAAGCGCTAGTTGCCGGGTTTGGGAGGAGATTTCACTTTTCGTTTTTCTCCCTAGAGCTAACCTTGTTTGCACTTTCATGCTGAGAAGTGTCTGGCGCGCCTGAGACGCGGTCAGTGGTGTTGATCAAACTGACGGTAGGGTCGGACAGCTGGGTTACTAATCTTTTGCGATTATGCTTTGTGTTTCTGAGTTGAGAACTTTGAAAGTCGCTTCAACCTCACGCGGTTTTGGCGACCCATTGTCCTGTCGACAATCAGTCTTCGAAAAGGCTCGATGTAACAGAATCGGCCCTTGATAGGGTGCTGATGGGGGTTCTGTGAATCGAATTGTTAGCCTTTTCGATTTGCAGAGTGGTTCACAATAACATGATGCTACTCAGTACCGCTCGGCCACCAGCGCTTCTCTTTTTGTGTTAAAATCTCATCCGTGGTCTCGTGGTCATGAGGTCGGAGCATCCATGGATACTTAGGGAAAGACGGCAGCAGGGCTCTGGCGCTTTCCTAGCGCTGGCAACGGCTCAGATCCTGATGTAATTTTGAAGGTAAGTGGATGTAATGGTGAGCGCAATGTCACGATTCAGACTCTGTCTACGTAGTCTTGCTCGCATCACAACAGGTTGCACCTCGGGAGTTGCTTCGGCAGGCGATCACACCCATCTAGAAGATTGTTTTCACCTGTTGGCCAGAGCCCTCTTCGAAGCTGACTTCTCCTGTCAGATCGAAATCTCGGTACAGCTCATCTAGCATTGACAGGAAAAGAAGGGTGAGAACTACTCAGTTCGCTTTCGCACCCTGCAATCAACTTGAACGACGTCCGTTTTCCTAATAGTTTGATCTTGCTTTCAACAGACCCCTTAAACCTTTCTAATGAAGTGGCGGAGGAGTCACACTGTGCTAAATACAATGCCGGTCTGCTGCCCTTCTGTTTCCCCTTTTCGATCCCATTCCGGGGACTACTCAAACCTCCGCTGCCTATTAGGTGGTGCGTCGATCACCTTATTTACGTCGCTGTTAGGAGAAGCATTCAACATTGGTTAGAACCTGCAGCTGGCTTGCCTGCCCCGCCGACTCAAGCCGTGGACTGGACTATGGATACCTGACTTCTCGTGCGCGGGATATATTAAGGTACTTACTTGCCTACCACTGTGCCGGTTCGGGTAGTCTAGGGGAGATATCGACGATGTTAAGCCCTAACAAGCCGGTCGTCTGTCTAGACAGCGCAAAGGGGTATATATACGTTAAATTGTTAGTACTATTTATTCCCCTTCATGGGCTGTGGTTTTGAGGTAAACTTCGAATTTTGTACTCCAAATGAACGAACACGACTAGATAAATGAAACTAACCTGTAGTCGCCAATCAACTTCACTAGATATATAAGTCTATTACTACTAGCTTTCTCTGTTCCTATAGCGTGTGCGTGATATTTGCGCCCTCGTCGACAGAGATCGACACAGTCGTTTCCGAAGCCACTAACAACGACACCAGGGTCAGAAGGTAACGTGCACTAGGTCCATCTACGACGTTCGCCAGCTGTGTCTCGAACATCTACCCCTGCTCCATATCGCTTAACGGAGTTTCCTTGGCCAAGAAAAGGCCAACTGTCTTTCGAGGCCTCCTAGCCGGCGACGTCGGGTTCACCGTCCAGAGCACTGGGAACAGAGGCCAGTGCTCAACGCTGATGGTCATCCGTATTATTGCCCTCGGCCTTGCAAACGTCGAGAACAATGAGATCGGCACCATTGTAGTCAAGGGCGTCTCAATCACATCCTGCTCCCATGAAGCAACTGCTGAGCGCAAGACTAACGCTGACCAGTTGAGCGTCTTCTACGACTGCATTCAAGATGATACTTCCCTTCCTGGCAAAGTCGTCAAGCTCAGTCAACGTTGACTGCAGTCGAGTCCACGTTGTGGTCCATGACCATATCTTATGTACGAGTACCTCCGTAAGTTCCACGCATCTCTCGCAGACGGCCTGGACTATATCTTCAACACGTCCAACCAGTTTGCCGGCAAGAAGATCGGCGCCATCCTCCACGCTGGGGCCGATGACCTCGATTACATCAAGGCACCACTCACTGTTCCAGAGATTTCCCCTGTGGTCACCACCCCGGCCGCAGGTACAGACAAAGCAAAGCATCATTCAAGCTATGAGGAGATAGATAGTATTCGAAAGAGAGGGCCAAGTTACCTATCTTGCATTGAAACGCTCGAAACACCACTTTCTTCGTCATCTTTTATCACACGCACCCATTTGTTGGCTGGCCTTTCCCTGCGATGCACCGCATAAAGTGGTAGCGTAGACTAGCGCCAGCCTAAAGTATGACAAGCTCACGAAGATGAGACGAAGGAAGTCATTCAGCAGCCCGGAGATTGGAGACACGAGAAACGAGGCCGCCACAGCTGCCGCCAGCCAGGAACTGTACCCAGGTTTAGATGTCAGCCCCAAATTGCAGACCACTTTCGCACAAAAAACATCGACGCCCAGACGGCGCCAGTTGACAAAACCCAACAACCCATCAAGACACGAAGGAACTCGAGAAAGCCCTCAATGCTGCCGACGGCTTTCAACCTGTCGACGACTCTTCGGCACCAGACCAGGACGTCGCCGACCGCATCAAGACATCGCAGCAGCTACGGCAAGAATATGAGACTTCCATGGCAAAATTGCCCGCTGATATCACAAAGCAGCATATTTTAGACAAACTGCATGGCCAACTTCATTCAATCATCTCATCTCAAGCACCGAGTTCCTTCTCAAACATGTGAGAACAAATCTCGCAAGCTTAACCGCCAGGATCAGCGACCGTGAAGAGGCGATCACCATGGGAGGGGCGTACAAAAAGACAAAGGAGATCAAGTCCATCAACCGGGACCTGTCGGCCATTAAAGCAAAGCTCAATTCTGCCGCGATGGAAATGAGCGGCGCAGCGAGGTTCTTGGATGCGCAGTCGTCTCCGACATCATTTGAACGCCTGGAACTCACAATCTACGGTTGGAAGGATCAAGGTACGTAGAACACAGCGAGCATTGCCGAAAATAATTACCAGCATGGCTATCATGAAAGCAGGCGAGAATGAGCAAGTCCAGGGCTTGCGGCCAGAAACTGGCGAAGTCCAGGAAGATCACCGGAAGTTGGTGGTGCAGATGACCAACTTGGAGATAATCCGCGAACGCATGCTGAAGAAGAGGGAGGAGAGCCGCTCGCTCAAGAGAATGGAGGACAACGTCCGCACCTATCTTAAAAAAGTGGCCGGCATGCGGCAGATGGTGACGGTAGACAAGGCCACATATCAGACGCCTTCTGGTCATAGCATTGAGTAAATGGTAAGGAAAACTTGCCAAAAAGCGGTTACAGGAGAAGCGCTGGTACCAGGGCAGGCAGGTGGCAAGACAGGAGAAGGAAAGTTTGGAGAGGACAGTTCCTTGCATTGCTGCAAATTCTGGTAAACCATGGCCAGAGTTGGCATGGTACCCGACGTGATGATGATGAGCCCAGGACATCAAGCTGACGTGTTCAGTCTGGGGAATTTTGCTGGCAGAATTTTCAACGGCGGCCCTGCCTTAGTTTAAGGGTGTCACATACCGGTAAGTCTCAAGGTTGTTTGGACTTGTCGGCTTGCAAGTTGCTCTTGCACCTCACGCAGTCCCAGGCGTCTTCCTGGTTCTTCAGCGATTCGGCTCAAAATCGAAGCATGATCTGTTCAGAGTGACTTCAACCGAAGAGTGCATAACCCTGTCCGCTTGGCGACCAGCGCTTCCTCTTCTGTTGGTACTCTGCTATCTGAAGTTGCGGATCTAAAGCCCGGTCAGTTATGGGCAGCCGTTTGCGAAAAACAAACTTCATTCATAGCCAGTCTTTTTGTGTGGAGTTTTGGAAATGTGAAAATAGGAGCATGTGGTAACTCTCTTCTTTTGTCACAGACAGACCGATTCAGATATTGATATCTTCCAAATTGTGGCCGTTGCTATGACCAGAAGTCGCCGGATGCGTGTCCCTTGCCGCTCCGTCCCAAGATCAAACGCGCTGCTGCAGTGCTCTCCCGCTTGTTTGAACTTCGGACCCAGGAAGCACATAGACTCAAGTGTCCAGTATGGAAGGATTTATCGGAGAGTTTTCGAGCTGATATTCTGGTAAACATGCTCCGACACTACAAACAGACTTGGGTCTTCTGCCCTGTTCTACCAAGAAGCCGAAAAATTACTCGCACTAACTCTGGAGCATCTGGCCAGGTTGGTAATTCGGGTTCGCTCAGGCTTTGCTGGCCCATCTCCGTGCCCGAGGTAAGCTCACCTAATTTGAACCTACGGGACAACTTGCCGCCTATAAGGCAGGAAGGAACGACGGACCTCTCGGCTTCAAGCCGCCGATTCGTCAACGGCGGCCGTCAATGATTTCTCGACTGAGAAGGCACGAAGGTACGACAGGACCAGGCTACTTCCATGACTCTAGGCTTCTTCCACTTTGTTCACTTCGCCATCAACCAGGAATCAAACCCTACATGCCAGGGTCTTTCCCATCACCAGAGACCCTCTTCGACTTCCTTACCCTCCTTTAGCACGCCACAAAACGCACGATCCAGTAGACGGGCCTTATGCGAGCTGTTCATCTCCTGCATCTATTACTTCTGATTTCAAGAAAAGATCATAGCCGGTTCCCCTGCAACCCACCTCGGCAAGCTGTCAGCGACGTCACCCCGTCCCATCAGTGCCATGCCGCACTCGTCCCCTGAACAGGTCAGACCGCTCAGTCCTTTGAGCCAGATGCCTGGGACAGGAAGTCTCAGTACCTCCTTGGAGGCCATGCCAAACCAGGATGGGGACCCAGACGCGCAACTCGAGCACCAAGAGTCGCTGCCTGCTCCTTCATTGTCACCCAACGCCAAGGGACACAGCTGCCAGGACGTTCCGCCGGAAGCAGCGGTCATTCACAACACTCCCGAAGAGCCCATGCTCTTGGAGAAGCCGTCGACTCTCTCCAAGAATCTCAACTTGGACAAGGGTTACCAGTTTGGCCCCGCGGTACAGTTGGTTCCTGGATACTTCACCCACAGACCAGGAAAGCAGGCCCACCTTCAACAGGATGTCTGCCTTCAACCTCAAGTGCAGGATATTCTGTCACGTTCAGCCAAACAGACCGGCAGTTCCCAAGCCGCTTTTCGCTCTCTCGGCGGCACCCCAACTGAGAATGCCACCATCAGCAACCTTCGCTCAGCTGTATCCTCTGGCAGACTCAGGACGAATCCTTCTCCAAGTAGCTGTGGCTCCTCTCATGAGAGCACCAACAAACATGATGGAGAGACCACTACAAGAAAACTTCCACTCACGATTGAACATGTTCCTTTCCCGGACGCGTCCCCGAAACAGTCAGCAAAGCCTACCTTCCCGGTCCCGAAAGCTCGAAACCAGCACGAAGCTCCCGCACTTCCGACCGACGTGGAAACACTCTCAGAGGTTCTAACTGTGGCCAGGACAAACAACTCGGCATCGGCTCCAGAACCGCGCACCTCTCAGCCCACCGTGCAATGCTACGCCGACAACGCAAACCGACATCACGAGTCCCCCAATTACGATCAGCGAGCACCTCTCGCAGCGTCGGAGAGGGAAGAAAGAAGCCACAGGCAGCATCGGTCTTCTACACCGCAAGTGGTAAGCGCCTGTCACTCAGTGCGAGAGTATGGAGAACAATCTCGGAGCCACATGGCCCGCCCAGTCAGGGACATGGGACGTAGGCCTGCTCAAGCAGATTACCGGGCTCGCCCAGAGTCACGCAGTTCCAACATTTCGAAACAGAGGTTGGTTCATAACGCGCATCACTATATTGCGCCAGCCACTGACCAAAAGAGCAGGTCCAGATGCGGGTCGCTGGCGTCCAGTCCGATGTTACGACAGCGGAGGGTCAACATCAGCCACGAGTTCACCACTGGACTAGCCGGAGTCATCAATCAATTTACACAGCAGCAAAGTGCTGCACTTGAGGAGCAGAAGGCAAAGTATCACAAGTACATCAAGCGGCTCCGGCGGGAGCTTGCTGAAGAGTCCGCAATTGTTGCTCAGCAGAACTCCCAGATGAACGCCCAGATCAAGGCCATCGAAGAGCTTCAGCACACCAAGGAACTGGTGACAAGTCAGTTGAACGGCATGGAAGCCAAGTTGGCGGCTTCTGAGGATAGGTCTCGAAGGCTCGAGGAGAAGTACCGGGCGTGCAAAGCGCACCTCAACTCTGCAATCCAGGAGCAGCAGGATCTCTACACTCGCTCGAAACAGCAATGGACGGAAGCCCTTGAGCAAGTGCGTGCAATGGAGAGGTCTCAGAAGGCTTGGGCAGAGATGGCTGTTCGAAAAGCCGAAGTAATCAGGGAGCAGATGTCTGAGAAAGTCCGGCAGGCCATCGCTCAGAACAAGAGTGAAGCATTGGAACGTAAGCATCAACACAGGACACCGAGTGCTACGGAAACTGACACTCTGTCCAGTGTACAAAAAGATCAATGCCCTGACACAACAGGTTGACGAGAAAGAAGCGGAGCTCAGTCGGGAGCGGGAGGCTGTTCGTGTGTTGTCTGAGCAGTTGAAGCAACTCAAGGCAAGCTCGAGTGGATTCGAGACGCTCGGTATTCAGGGCAAAGAAATTCTCCAAAGGCTTGAGGAGCAGCAAGTAAAGGCAGATGAGGAGCGTCAAAAGTCGGCACAGGAATTCAGGGACAGGTCAGTACTCCATGGCGGGATACCCGGCGGGGTTGATGGCTAAGACTGTATTGACAGGCTCGACTCCCTTGTAAACCGGCTTGAAGCACTCTCCAGCATGATGTCGGGACAGCCCGACGTCTTGTCCGGCATTCAGGCGGCTCAGGATGAGTCCCTGCGCAGGTGAGTATCTCGCTGTGGCCTTTGTCTCTTTCGTCCACTGACCTGAGAAGCATGACAACCAAACTGAACACCGCCCTGGAGTCGGGAGATGCAACCCTTCAGGCCACAAACCAGTTATCGGCTGACCTCGAACATCACATGGGAAAGGTCTGGGAGAGGCTGGGCAACCAACTCGAATCACTCGGCAAACAACTCGCAGAAAAGGCCGAGGAGAACGGCATGGTGTCAACGCTGTACAAGAGGAAAGATGCCGAATGTGAACGGCACATGAAGGAGCTCACAGCATTGAGGGTGACCGTGGAGAAGCAAGCAGACCAGATTCACGAACTTGAGACCAACTTGGTTGCCCTGGATGCAGCCCAAGACGAGAACGAGGAGACGATCAGGCGGTTGGAAGCTGCAGGGGCCGAGGCGGCTCAAGCCAGAGAAGAGTTGGACTCCAAAACAGCTGCCTTGCAAGAATTGCAGAGCAAACTCGACGCCAAAGAGAGGGCGTATGCTTCCGAATTGCAGAACTACAGTTCAAACATGCAGAAGCTCGCTCAGGCAATCCAGGACAAAGACCGGAACTCCGGTGCCGCAGCTAAGGAGGCTGCGGAAACTGCTCGTCGTGAAGTCCGCGTTGAGCTGGAAAGGGTTAATGCGGAGACTGAGAAGCGTCTTCAAGAGACGCGGCAGCAACGAGACTCGCTGGCGGAGGAGTTGCAAAAGTTGAAGCAACAGGTCGACGAGAAGAAACAAAACGAGGCGCGGGATGCCGCCACAATCCGATCGCTTTGGGAGAATCTTGCCGTGGAGGAAGCGAAGGGGAAGCTGGCTGCCGAGAAGCTCGCAGAAGACTCGGCCAATTCAAAACAGGTTGAAAGCCAGCTATCGTCCAAGGCCCAAAACTTGGAGGCAGAACTCGAGGCCTTCAAGTCTCGGGCTGCTGAGTTGGAGGAAGAGAGCCAGCGTCGCCTGGCCAGAATTAAAGCACTCGTTGCCGGCCTGAAGCAATGGGCAGACCAAGAAGGTATTGTCATTGGTGATCTGGACTGCTTCAGCGACGAGAGTAAAAGCCCAGAGCAAATCGTTGCAGGACTCGTACAGATTCTAGGGTGCCTTCCGCCCGCCCGGAGATCGGAAACCATCACCCCTGAGAAACGCTCGGGGGATCTACTGCTTCGCGGTGAGAATTCCAGGTTCTTTTTAAGCAGCCAGCAATCGCAGAGCGATCTGGAGGACCGGAAACACGGTGATCAATCAGCGAAGAGCAGCATCAGTGCAACAGGAAGCGAGCATTCGGGGTCCGAGGAGACGCTCACGAAGAATGCTCTCGGGAACGATCCGCTATCGTACGCGTCAACGTTGCGCCACATGAGGCGTGTTGTCGTCCGCAGTCCGGCAAACGTGCCAAACGAGCCAGCCGCACCGTCGGTCGACCAGGAAAAGCAGCGGAGAAGGGAGGCTCTGCAACCAAAGTCCATCATGAAGCGAGTCACCAGGAGCACGTCGAACCAGCTGAAGCAGGAGGTGCTTGATACCGGTGCGGGCCATGGTGCTTTCAAAAGGAGCAGGCATAACGGAACGCCCTTTGGATCATCCGCCGCGAAACCACGAACAGACAAGCCCGCAAGCGAGAAGACTAATTCGGCATCTGAGACACAAGCTACTGAGAGCACCAACGGCGCGTTCTTGAAGCGTCCCACCAAGCGAAGACGTTCGGAGACATCGAGGACAGATGACTCAGATAATGTCCCAGGAAGCGCCGGCCAGGGGATGAAGAGACAGTTATCACGGCCCGGTGGTGTACCGCAAAATGGAATTCCTTACTCGGAAGATGGAGTGCCAATCTCCGGAAAACAGGGCGGTGTTGATAGCCATCACCAGACACCACCCTCCAGCTTGAGCAACTGTCACTCACTCCAGTCTGCTTCGGCTCGCATCTCCCGGAGGGGCTCAGGGACAATGGGAAGGAGACCACCCGCGAACACCAGCAACGTCCTGGGCCAAAGACAAGCGAATGTACGGACGTACGGCTCACAGAGGGCGGCTGAAGAGCCTTCAACTGGTAATGGGTACACGAGCTCCCAGTTCGCCCCGGGGTCACAATCGCAGTCACAGTCGCAATCGCGGTACTGGTCGAGACCGAAGGAGGAGTCGCAGGAGTCAACAACTTTCTCGCAGGGTGTCCGAGTGGATGAGAAACCCGTTCCAGGACTGAATTCTTGTCCAGGTCTATGATTGCTGCACCATTTGCTAGATATCTTGGTGGATGTGGCTCCAAAATGTTAGTCCTTTGTTTGGTCTGCAATTGGCCATGTTTGGCGATGTAAAGAAAGAGGTTGAAGAGAAGAAGGCCAAATGGTATCTTTTTATCAAACGGGAGCTTGAGCTCGCGGGGTTTTTGAGTGTCTGAGAATATTGACAGTGATCAAAAGCGGGGCGGTAAGGTCTCAAAAATTGTATTCTACCCGGTTGGTTGACTTAATAGATGGCGGCAATATATGAAAACTTACGTACCGTCGGTTCCAGAAGGGACTTCGAACCCCGGGTAAGCATGGTGTTTGGCGAAGACAAGCTCCTAGACAGCCTCGTCGATCGCGGTAGCAGCAGTACCTCTATATTCAGCCCATTCCAAACCCTAAAACGCCGGCCATGCCGTCATGGTGTGCTGTTCGTACACTGCTGAGCTTATGCATGGTATTATACACGTTCTCCGTCCTCCGCTAATGGACGTGCGAGACTATGGTGTCCCGTTGAGGCGCTGAGTCGAGTCAAGTCGAGCATTGGATGTCATCCCCGGTAATGTGTCCTCGTTTTGTCTCCCCAGTCTGGGATAGACTTCCATTGCCATGGACAGAGCCATTCTCGCTTCTCCGCCAACCCACCACCCCCCCTCCCCCCCCGGGGCGCGCGCCCCTCTCACTGTTTTGTGACCTGATCGTTTACCTATTGCCCTTTCGTTTTTGTTCGAGGAAGAGAACTCTCCTTCGGACTGTGAAAAACAGTGTGTCAGCGCTGTGTCCTGGTATCGCTTTCGTACAATCGCTAAGCGGTGTTCGTGGTATCTCTCTTGTTCGCCCTGCCCTCATGTTGGAGCCCGATATCGTGATGTGCTGCCGGGCTGGATTGGGAGGTATAGGGGGAGATCGTACTGATTGGGTCATATTTGATCATGCTCATGGGCAGTGATGTCCGTGGGCGGGTGAAGGTGTAGAAGTAGCCTGTCATAGCCATGGAGAGGAGTCGCACGCTGATGATGCGCGACTTGGCTGGACGGTTGAACTTGTGTCAGTGTTTTTCTTCAGGGAGTCTGGACGAGCTGGGCGATGGTATGTGTACCCTTCTTTGCCATCTTGACGTTCACACGCAAAGGCCTGTGTTTGCAGCGTGAAGCCTCCTTCCTACGGTGGAATTGGTGTTGTCGGTCGTCGTCGACGTCTGTCGCGATAGGCGAGTCGAGAGGTTTTGCGGCTCGCTTCGGAGCTGCGCGGGTAACCAATCGACAGACCCACACCGGCAGCCCGGCAGGCGTGGGGAAGACATGCGAAAGATCGTTGATCCGGTAACTACCAATGTTAGACTTCGCGTAGTTACGTAAGCAAAGCTTGTTGATGTCTGAACAGGTAACCGAGTCCAATTCCAAGAGTCAATCATGCCAAATGGTTCAGTATCGCTCGGCTTCCAAATGTGTGTGTGTACTCCCGGGCCGTACATAAGGTTACGGTACTGCCTATCCTGATTGCGCTGTGTTTCTAACTCTTGTGATTTGGCTTTATGCGTGTGCCTAACAACTTGCATTTCGCCATATTCAAATTCCTTGAGTGTAGCACAATCGAGTGTTTCAGTACACTGCTACCTGTGGTCGCCGTCATATTGTGTATCGGCCACCAGCCTGACGGCAATCTAGCAGTGACTTGGAACTCGGTATAAGAGACATTGGAAACCCAGATATTGGAGAGCGCATTCAGATCCCGCATCCGTCAGGGTCCGTCTGCTAAGGGTCTGAGGCTGAATTGAGGCCTGAGCAAGCCATCTCACACCGCCCACGCAGTTTCCATTCTCGGAGGCACCGCGGCCGCCGCGGGAATACAAGAAGCGCACACTCGACCGTCCGTTGTTTTCCCCGCCGTTCCTGACCCATTTGTGACTGACGTCGTGAGAGGTAAGTAAGAGGGGCACAAGTCGCAGATATCGAGTCGTTGAGGTCAATGAACTAACAGCACTTGTAAGATCAGCCCCCCACCGTTCATCACAACCCGTTAAAAACGCACCGCGCCGCCTCCACTTCAACTGCCCTGGGCTGAAATTCGCATTCAACGTTTCGCCAACAAATGGCGCCCTTGCTGGTGCAGGTTGCTCGCCGCGGGACGATAGTCAATCGCTCGGCATTAAAACACGGCGCGGGGTTGATCTGCCGCCAACAAGCGCTGCAGGGTCCAGCTGTCCCAAGAGGAGGTAGGTGTGGCCCAAACAAGACAGTATCTCTTTCGAGCCTTCCATCACATCTTTACTGTTGCTTCTACTCGCATCTACCCGCATCTGCTCGCATGGGCGGCGAAGCAGCCCAGTGGGCGTTTCAACGTCCATCCTGCCGCGCATAACGTTGGACATGAAGCACCTCAGCCGGGCCCTGTGTGGCGCCCGGTTTCGGCTCCAGCGGTCTCTAACACAGCGGTCCGGGATGTCCCGCACATCAGCCTGATGACAGCAGACAATTGCACACTCATGCGCTGATTCCTACGGCTCGCCAATCCCCCCTTCATTTTTATTTATCCTCGTCAGCGGTGTTCGATTCCTTCGAGACGAACCAGTCCCCTTCGGTCCCTCTGATGGCCCAATACCCCGATTCTCAAATCTCGTTCCACATCATGACTCAACACCACACACAACCTCTCTAACCAACCATCTTCCCTGCTATATGCTTATCTTACTGCCCTACAGTTGCTTTCCTACAACGTTCTCTATCTCACCAAAAGCGCACCATGTCGTCCAACCCGGGTCCTCGGCTCAACATCGACAACATCAACCCCCATGTCCGCTCCGCCAAATACGCCGTGCGTGGTGAGCTGGCCGTCAGGTCCGAGGAGTACCGCGCCGCGCTGCTGAACGGCGTGTCCAACCTGCCCTTCAAGCAGGTCATCTCGGCCAACATTGGCAACCCCCAGCAGCTGGACCAGAAGCCCATCACCTTCTTCCGCCAGGTTCTCAGCATCCTCGAGAACCCGACCCTGCTCGACAAGCCCGATGTGCTGATCAACCACTTGGGCTACAAGCCCGACGTGCTGGAACGGGCCAAGAGGTTGCTGGCCCAGGTTGGCTCCGTGGGCGCCTACAGTGCCAGCAACGGCGCCCCTGCCATCCGCCAGAGCATCGCCGAGTTCCTCGAGAGTAGGCAATTTCCGTCTCCAGGCTATTCTAAACCTTGCTGACAACGCACAGGGCGCGATGGCTTTCCCGCCAACCAGGCCGACATCTACCTCTCGGCTGGTGCCTCATCGGGGGTTAACACCCTCCTGCACGTCATCTGTGCCGATGAGAAGTCGGGCATTCTCATCCCCATCCCTCAGTACCCCCTATACAGCGCCTCTCTCTCAGTCCTGAACGCCGCCCCCGTGCCGTATCTCCTTGACGAAGCCAAGAATTGGGGCACCGACCTGGCTACCATCAAGGAGGCCTACGAAAAGGCCAAGGCCGAAGGCATCGACGTACGTGCAATCGTCATCATCAACCCGGGCAATCCCACCGGCGCCTCCCTGCCCGAGGAAGACGTCCGCGCCGTCATCGACTTTGCCAGCCAAGAGCGCCTCGTCATCCTGGCCGACGAGGTCTACCAGACCAACGTCTTCGTCGGCGAGTTCATCAGTTTCAAGCGCATGCTGCGCCAGATGCAAAAGGAGAAGCCCGGCGTCTACGACCACGTCGAGCTCGCCTCCCTGCACTCCGTCTCGAAGGGTATGGTCGGCGAGTGCGGCCACCGCGGCGGCTACTTTGAGCTCGTCGGCTTCGACCCGGCCGTCCAGGCCGAGATCTACAAGTTCGTCTCCATCACGCTCTGCGCCCCCGTCATCGGCCAGTGCCTCGTCGAGCTCATGGTCAACCCGCCCCGGCCCGGCGAGCCCTCGTATGAGCTTTACCAACAGGAATACAACGCCATCTTCGACGGCCTGCGCGAGCGCGCAACGGCACTACACACGGCCTTCCAGCAGATGGAGGGCGTCGAGTGCGGCGTGCCCCAGGGGTCCATGTACCTCTTCCCCACCATCAAGTTGCCGCGTAAGGCGGCCGAAGCGGCGGCGGCCGAGGGTCGATCCCCGGATGAGTTTTACTGCATGCGCCTGCTCGAGGCTACCGGCGTGTGTGTCGTGCCCGGGTCCGGGTTTGGTCAGAAGGAGGGAACCCTGCACTTCCGCACGACCTTCCTCGCGCCAGGGACGGAGTGGGTGGGGAGTATTATCAAGTTCCACCAGGAGTTTATGGATAAGTACCGTTGAGCTGAGGGAATTTACGAATTCGGAACTGGACGGGTTTTGTGAAGCGAATAAATCGATGCGTTGGATTCGGGATATCGGACGGATGGAGATCTGGATCCTACAAAATGTAGCCTCGTATGGCACAGCATAGCCTACCTAGCATTGCATGGCATGGCATGCCTTGGTTTGAGCCGAGTTTGAGCTTGTTGGGTCTGAGTTCGGAGTTGAATTCGGTGGAGAGGACGAGGACCAAGCACCTCCACATACCTCTGCGCGGTTATGTCGTGTTATACAGCTACCTGTGTCTGTGCCTCGATTTGTCCTTGGCTTCGGCATACCTGACACAAAAGTGGGATGAGCGATGCTTTGATATCGAGGACTATGTCACAGCGGTGTGTCGTGTAGATAGTTGGCAGGGGCGAAGCGTTGCGTTCACATAACCTTCAGGTCCTTCAACTCAGCGGTATACACAATTGAGTCTGGTGTTGGCCCTTGTCATCTTGCCCAGGCTGCGTGTCTGGCTTCCGAAAGAGACGACACGCAGAGCCATCATCTTTCTGCTCTTCTCTGCTAGTTGCGAGGTATCATACAAATGCCCACATTTTGATCACTGTTGGGCTGCTGCCGATACACAGACTATCTACGCCCTCTCACTCCCCCTCAGCCGCACCGCCTGACCGTACTTCTGCAGTTTGGTAATCAGCTGATCGCCCTGGCGCACCACGTCTTGGTACTGCTTGTTCTTGTCGTCGGGCCGGTTTGTCTCGATGACGCCTTGGCCCGCAACCCGGTCAATGGTGCAGGGGATGCGGCCCGCGGCGATGAACTTGGCAAGGTCACTACAGAAGTCACATGTTAGTCCCATATCAAACCTGTGTAGTAGAGAGCAGGGTGACATACCGGTCCAAGAAGTCAACCGTCACCCCAAAGTCATTCGCCATGCTGTCCAGCCCGACCACGCGGTAGCTCTGCAGCAGCTGCTGGTACGCACGCAGGCGCATCTCGCGGATGAACCAACCCTTGTGCTCGTGCAGGTACCGATCCAGGTTGAGGAACTGCTCCTCGACGAGCGCGAGCGCCTGGAAAAAAAGCTTGTACCGGCCGTTGTACAGGCTGCTGACTAGCTGCGCGAGCGGGCCAAAGTCGACGGCCATCTCGGCCTCGGGCTGGTCGGCGGAACTGCCGAGCGTGGTGAGATTGACAACCGCCACCTTGGCCGACGGAGTTGCGCTGCTGGGATTAGCGTCGGTCATCTCGTCGTCGGCGCCCGGCCCGGCAGAAATAGCGCCTGTCAGCGCGAGGAGCTTGTCCTCGCCGTCGCCGAGGATGGCCTTGATCTCTGGGGCGTCGACGACCTTGGATTTGAAGTCGACGCGCTTGAGTGAGACGGATCCCGCGAGCACGGCGTAAATAACCAGGTTGCTGTAGGTACAGAGCTCGTACGAGGTGAAGGTCGACAGGCTGTCAAGGAGGAGCGGGGCGGCGAGGTTGTAGCTGCGCGTTGTGAGCAGAGACAGGCCCTCGTAGGCTTTCAGCCGGTTGCGCCGATCCCAGTCGCCGCCCGTCTCGACCAGCGTCTTGGCTCGCTCAACATGCTTCTTGACGAGATGCTTGTCGCCGTAGAAGAGGCCCATGCGAATGATGGCGAGGACCAAGTCGATTTTGATCCCGAGGATACCGGTTTTCTCAAAGACGTCCTCATAGGCTGCGATGGCTTTCTCCTGTAGAAGTAGCGGTTAGCTCGCGGAGATTGGGTCAAGGTTCAGAACGCGGACGGCACACCTTGTCGCCGACTCTTGCCCAGAACTCGGCCCTCTTGCCCCGGGCAGCCTGAATCTCAATATCTCCGGCCTTCTCAACAGCTTCGTCCTCCTCTTTTTGGAACTCTTCCAGCTCGCGGTCGTTGTCCGCCTTCAACGACTCATACAGAGCCTCATCCCAGGGAAGATTTATGCTGGCCGTCGGGCTCCTGGTCGCAATCATGCCGACTAAGCTGTTCTTCCTGCTAGGCAGCTTGCCCGGAACATGTGAGCTACCCTCGCCAACCGCATTGAGAATGCCGTCTATCGGGTGCGCTAGGTAGCGGTAGAATGGAGCCATCTTGTGCTCGGAGATGGCATCCTGGAGCTGCTTGGCGGCTGTCTGCTGGGCCGTCTTGGTGGCATATGGGTTGGTGAGAGTAAAGACATGCTGGGCGAGCGGCAGCAGAGGCCATTTTGCGTACTGCGGGTCTGAGCCCATGATTACCGTGGTTGCGGACGACGGTGACGAGAATCGAGGGAGGGTCCGAAGCAGGTCTTGGAGATCGGAAGTCTGCCGCTGGGTTTAAAATAGTGACCCGAATTGAAAAATGTCGTAATTCGGCGTAGTGGAACTATTGCTAATCAGTTCGTTCGGGCTGTTTGCGGCTAAAAGAAAGCCGTTGATGCTCGAGGAATGCAGATGGTGCAGGTTGTTGAAGGTGGATTGGCAGCTTGGGTCAGCTCTCAGCAGCGAGCCCGTTGGCTCAAGCGTGCCCTGGCCCGCAAGGCTGCAAGCACTCGCGTCACTTCACTGATGAGGTCGGCAGGGGCTTTGGGTGCGCTGAGCTGATTCGCCACGGCATACTCTGTGGGGCTACTCCCCTTGCAAGGTGAACTGAACCTCAGGCTGGGCTCGCCTTCCGACTCATTGTTCCACTTTCCCAACTTCCACCATTGACTTCAAGTTTTGAAGAACATAAAAACCAACCGCATTTCTTGCCACTCCGGATTTGTTTCTCTTAGCAACGCTCGCACCGACTTCTCGAGAACAAAGAGCTGCATAACACATTCCCCGATCTGCGTGCATCGGTCGCCATGGCCGACGACCACGACAACGACGACCTCCCCCAGCCTTTTGATGCAAAGAAGTTAGCGCCCGCCAAAAAAAGACAACGGTCCCCATCACCCAGCGGAAGCGGAAATGCGAACGCCTCGGGCGAAGCCCCGCGCAAGCTCAAGCGACCGGGGCAGCGCGCCCGCATCAGCGAGGCCGAGAAGGAGAAGATCCGACAGCGAGCTCTCGAGCGTGAGCGCCAGGCTCAGCAGGAGGCGGCGGCAGAGGAATTGAGGCAGCGATCCAGTATTAATGACGTCGTAAAGGCACACTACAATGCCGTACCGGAGCGGGGCCGTGAGTGGCGTAAGACGGACAGCAGGATCAAGGGGCTGAGGTCCTTCAACAATTGGGTCAAGAGCTGCATCATTCAAAAGTTCGCGCCGGATGAGGATCACGCCCCGGGGGCTATGGAGCGGGGGATTACTTCGGGGGCCAAGCTGCTTGTGCTGGACATCGGGTGTGGAAAAGGTGGGGATCTGTTCAAGTGGCAGCAGTCACCGCAAACGGTGGAGTTGTATGTCGGCTTGGACCCCGCCGAGGTGTCGATCGAGCAGGCGCGGGAGCGGTATCGGAGCATGGCCAACCGTGGAGGCAGCGGACGCGGCGGCAGAGGAGGCCATCATCGGCGCCCCCCGCGCATTTTTGACGCGCGTTTCCACATTAAGGACTGTTACGCCGAGTCGATTGGCGACATCGACATTGTCCGGCAAGTCGGGTTCACAGGATCCAGCGTCAGCAGCAGCCGCGGTTTCGACGTCGTCAGCATGATGTTCTGCATGCACTACGCCTTCGAGACCGAAGAGAAGGCCCGGCAGATGTTGAAAAATGTTTCCGGCGCGTTGAAGAAAGGCGGGCGCTTCATCGGAACCATCCCCAACTCGGACGTCATCAGCTCCAAAGTCATTGACTTTAACAAGCGCATGGAGGAGAAAAAAAAAGCCAGGGCCGATGGCCCCGTAACCACAGTCGAACCCCAAACCACCGAAGCCTCCCCGCCGAAAGAAGACGGCGAGGTCGAAGAAGGCGAAGCCGAAGAGACGGCCTCCTGGGGCAACGACATCTACCGCGTGCGCTTCCCGGGCCACACCCCAGCCGACGGCATCTTCCGCCCTCCCTTTGGTTGGAAATACAACTTCTTCCTGCACGAGGCCGTTGAGGAGGTGCCCGAGTACGTGGTGCCGTGGGAGGCGTTCCGCGCGCTGGCCGAGGACTACAACCTGGAGTTGCAGTACCACAAGCCGTTTGCCGAGGTGTGGGAGACGGAGAAGGACGACCGGGAACTGGGTGCGCTGAGCGAGCGCATGGGCGTCCGAGACCGCGTCACGGGCAAGTTGCTCGTCTCCAACGAGGAGATGGAGGCGGCCGGGTTTTATGTGGCCTTTTGCTTTTATCGGGTGTGAGTGGGATGCAGTATCCTCACTCTCCCGAGATGATATATCCAATCTCAATCCATCCATTGATTCTGGAGATACGCATTATCGGGCGAGCATATCCGATTCCTCGGTTTCCTATGGCGGTCCAGCGAGACCTTAGGTCTTGGTTCCTAGTTCTGATGGCCAGCCAGAAGGGTGCCACCGCGGTGCGCGGGTTGAAGCGCACCTAGACACCCATCATCATAACACGAGTGCCTAGGGGCCGCAGAGTCTATTATAATTCAGGAGAGAACCAGACTCATCCCGAGATTTTCAGGACATCACCTAAAGATCTGCTGCGGCTAAAACCGCCTGTGACAGGCCAGGGACCACTCAGATTTCTAGATGGACAAGGTGACTGACTGATTAGAGCTTCATTAAACACTAATAAAAACGCACGCTAACTGCAATGTAGAGGAGTGTGTGTGGGTATCATAATCCCTCCCTGCGGAAAGGTTAGGGAGGGCCGCCTGATCTACCCAGGCGAACACCAAGCGCATACTGAGATCCCACCATCCAAACATCACCCAAAAAGACTCCGCCGAATGCATCACTTCCGTTACCTCTTCCCTAACTCTCTTACCCAACTTCTCCTTCCCTTGCAGCCCGCCACATTCCCCATAAGTTCCCAGCCGATGCAGCTTCTCTCTAAGCAGAATTGGTCGACCTCCGCCAGATCATGAACGCCGCCAACGCGGCACACGTCGTGGCCCCGAGTGCCAAGTACAGACCCGACCGGTCCGGCGGCTCCTCCGACTTGGGAAACGCCGTGCTGGGGTTGGTAGCAGCCTCGGCGAGCGCGACAAAGAGCTCACTGATACTGTTCCACGTGACACTCACATGCAGCGGGGCCGACATGTTGAGCGCGGCGGTGTAGGCGTCGGGCTGCAGCTCGCTGCGCTGCGTCGTCTTGTCGCGGTCGGCTTTCAGGGCTGTGTAGATGGCAGGCAGCTCGTCGAGCTGCGGGTAGCGCTTGCGCAGGTCGACAATGTGCGAGAACGAGTCGGGCTCGGACGAGTCGTAGGCGTAGCAGATAAGGTCGCACGTGTCGAGCTTGGCTTGGTTCTCGAGGATGGCAGGCTCGAGCTCGCCGAGCTCTTCGAGGATCAGATAGCACTGCTTGCCGCCGTGCAGCTCGACGCTGTTGACGGCGCGGCGGGGCTTGATGGTTGGGTGGTAAAGCGCATCGAACGGCCGGTTGAGGAAGGCATCGAGGAGCGAAGACTTGCCGGCGCCGGCAGAGCCGAGGAGGTAGCAGAGGACGACGTTCCGTTCGACGCGGCCTGGTCGCCGCCTTCTTTTGCGTGGTTTGGTTACTTTCAAGGCGGCTGTAGTCGAGTCGCGTGCGTCCGGGCCCTCGAACCCGAGGTAAGCGAGGTATTCTAGCGTCGTCTTGGGTTCGAGGAAGGTGGTCATGCTCCACTGCGCAAGCCACCCTTGTAGTGTGATGTGGCCAGCCTCGTTCCGAACGGTGGATGACGGGAAGGATGTCTCGACCCAGGATTGCGGTAACCCGGGAGTAGGAGCAAACAAGGCCGCTAATTCCTGGTCATTGAGACCCCCGTCGTTGTCCTTGTCGAAGGTCAAGAACAGATCCATAAAGAAGCGGTACCCTGCTGGACTGAGCTCAGCCGAGGAGTAGTCGGGCACATCAAAGCGGGGATGCAGAAAGCTGTCTTCCAGGCTCAGACTGTCTGTGTAGTGATGTTTCCTGAGAATGATCCATATCGTCTCGTGGCGCCCCTTTTCTGCATACATTTTGTTGAGCTGCAGAAACCCGTGCAGGTCGAGCCCCTTCTCGGTACTCGAGGTTGGCACCGCCTTGCTAACAGTCGCCTTGATATTCTCCAGCTCGCCCGGCAGCAAGGGCTTCTCAAACGACTTGGATTGGAACTCGTGCATCTCGTCGTCGTTCAGGTAGCCGTCCTGGTCCTTGTCGCACAGGTAAAACACCCTCTTAAGCGCCGCCATGCAGGCAGGCTTCAACTGGCCTTCCTTGTGATCGTACAGGGGCGCGATGGGGTGGGTGACGGCCTTCTGGCAGAGGTAGAAGACTTCAATGACGTTGTGCTGCTCCTTGGCACTGGTGCGGATGCACGAGTCGATCTCGCGGAACTCGGCCATGACGGGCAGCATCTCCTCCTCGACCACCTGCGAGGTGCTGCCCGAGGCGGCGAGATCCGACTTGTTGGCGCACAGCACGACCGGGACGTTAACCCCTAGCGAGCGAAAGTAGGGCATCCAGAAGAGGGCGACGCGCTCGTAGCTGTAGTGGTCCGAGTAGACGAGCAGTATTACGTTACATTTCCGGATCTCCTTGCGCAGGGTCGTGCGGTCCTGGGGCCGGGCGGAGGTGTCGACGATGGTGGTGGTGACATTTTCAGGAGTGCCGATGGTCGGGGGAATGGTGACTTGGGGGAGCACCGACTGGATCTTGTTGGCGACGAAGACGTCCTTGACGAGCGAGGCGATCAGGCTGGACTTGCCTGTCCCCTCGTCGCCACAGACACAGATTCTGACCGCTGTGTTTGGTAAGCTTGACTGGTCCTCTCGGGGAGAAAAACCCAGACTTGCGAACTGTAGATGCGGGTACTCCGTACCTGTAGTCATTTTTGTGCTCTGGGGTTTGATTGTCGAAGCTCTTTGTCGTCTTGCTCAGAGGGATGCCATGGTACGCCGGCTCTCAGCTGGGATTCAATTGAATAGATTAGCCGAAGAAGACACACAAGCTAAAATCCGTACATTGAGCAAAGATGGCGGCACAAGTAACTATGGCTGTGTCAGGCCATCGCAAGCTTTTGCGGTTGACGATGGGCTTCGGTGTTGAGATCAGGTCACCAAGCTAGCGACCTTCTGGGCATAGCTTCATGAGCCCCGCAGGTTGACGTCCTGAACACCTTGAGGTTGCATAGACTGCCCCCACGCCAACACTGAGCAACGCTGTGAAGGACGAGAGCGAGCCCCATGCAAATTGGTTGCAGAGAAATCAATCCAGTAGCATGTATACATGTCAATATGAGGCATTCTTGCACAACCTAAGATAAAGCTATGGCACAGAACTCCGAGGTGCCAGGGAATATGGAAATCATGATGCATATGGAAAAAGGCACTGGCCCACTACTCCGTACCCCACAGCGTCCCGTGGTTCCGGCCAGGGTCGATGGTACCCCTGTCCGGCCGCAGTTCAATGTCGGGTTACAACGCCCGGTTTGGACGGACCTCGATCGAATCCTAAGAGTGTTGTTGATACTTGTTTAGTACGGATCCGTATCTTTAACCTCATTTGTCTTCTTGTGCACGCCTATCACTGCTATTCGCTTCCCCCATCTGGGCACCCTCTGCTGCTCCCTGTCCCGTGCTTGCGACTGCCCCCAGTGATTCCAGGATAACTTATCGATCTTGGCAGCAAGCTCCAGCTCCCGCACAATCCAGCCGCACCCCAGCTGCCAAAGCCACCACCCGGTAGCCACCATGTTGTAAGAGGAATTCAGACATGAAAGGAACGGCGGCAAGCCGGGGCTGGCCTCTGCCATGGCGGCCCGTCGCAGTGCTGACGGCTTCTTCCCAGCGTTCTTCCTCCACCGCGGTACCCCCCGCAAGGGTACACCAGCCTTCCTGCCGGTATGCCCGTACCGATGATCGAGACCAACAACATTCTCAGCAACCCCTCGGGACCTGAGTATCAGTTCCTGGTCGGCGAGGGTGAGTCCCACAGAGCAAGGAGGGGTGCCGGAGCTCCAAATCGATGTTGACTCTCTGAGGCCAGGGTTGTATGTTTTGAAGGAGGATCTACACCTTGCGACTCCTCCACCACACCCTTCCGAGGCCCCAATAGTCAACCCGAATCCCCTCGCGACAACCCCGCAGCCGGCAACCGCGGGCACGCGGCTCTCCTTGCTCAATCTCGACGTTAGCTCCCTCTTTCCCGCCGTCTATCGCTCAACTTCACGGGCGGATGGGGCGCAGGGCAGTATACAGGAACACCCCGACGAGAGCAAGTCGTCGACCGATATGCGTGAGAGCAGCAGTGATGCCGGCCGCCTCAATTTCAGCGATGTCCCGCTCTTCACGTCCAATGCCCCCGCGTTTGGTGAGGGCAACACCCTCCTTGCCCCTGTGGCACAGAAGGATGCCAACAAACGGCGCAAGCCCAAAAACAACATGTCTAAGAGCAACTCATCGTTCATCTCAAGAGTGATTAATCATGAATCGTTGAACAAGCGGCTGCAGGATCGGCCAAGGGATGGTCTATTCGGCTTTGCCAATGTTAACCGGGCCTTCCAATGGCTGGACCTGTCGTCGACATCGAAAGTGAGGAGATTAGAAGGATTTTGATGAATAGCATTCATGCTGACGGTACCAGGCTGATTATTTGACGAAGATTCTCTTTACCAAGGCTCACTGCCTGTGCCACGATGTCAACAAGGTAACTAAGAGCTCAACGCACATCGACGTGGTTATGGGTTTCTCCACTGGCGAGATTATCTGGTGGGAGCCCATCACGCAGCGGTACACCCGCCTCAACAAGAATGTACGCTCTTTTGTCCACCTTGTCCGATGTCAGGCTAACATTTTCAGGGTATCATCAACGGCACGCCGGTGTCCGATATCCAATGGATACCAGGATCCGAGCATCTCTTCCTCGCCGCGCATATGGACGGCACTCTGGTCGTCTACGACAAGGAGAAAGAGGACGGCATCTTCATCCCAGAAGAGGAGGCCGCATCTCGGACCAGCGGAGACACCACCCGCACTAGCAGGGTCAACTACTCATCCCAGTTGCACATCCACAAGTCGGTCCACTCCAAGAACCAGAAGGCCAACCCGGTAGCCGCCTGGAAACTGTCCAACCATCGCATCAACGCCTTTGCCTTCTCCCCGGACAACCGTCACCTCGCCGCCGTCTCCGAGGACGGCACCCTGCGAATCCTGGATTACCTCAAAGAAGAGTCAGCACTCCTCCCCCAGTTTCCTTCCCCCCCCCCCCACAATTCCCCTCCCTTCCCTCCTGTCCCCAACTGCTGACGACTTCCACAGACTGCTCGACCTACACTACTCGTACTACGGCGGCCTGTCCTGCGTCTGCTGGTCGCCCGACGGGAAATACGTCGTGACGGGCGGCCAGGACGATCTCATCTCAATCTGGTGCCCGTCCGAGACGGATTCCCGCGGTACGGCCCTCGTCGCCCGCTGCCAGGGCCACCACTCCTGGGTCACGTCGGTCGCGTTTGACCCGTGGCGGTGCGACGAGAGGAGCTATCGGTTTGGGAGTGTGGGCGAGGACAGGAGAATTTGTTTGTGGGATTTTAGTGTGGGCATGTTGAATCGGCCGAGGGCGGTACGTTTTTCCTCTGCCTTTTGACTTGCTCCTGCTGGGGAAGGTTTGGGTGTTAGGGTGGGTTTACAAGGGGATGCTAACAGGGGGGTTGATATGGGTAGGCATCCGTGAGACATCGCGGGTCCGTCTCATCCCGCCCTGGTGCAGGGCCACTCCAACGCGCTGAGACGGGTGGCACGAGCGCCAGCGGAAGGCTAAGGTCGGATTCCAATCACTCGACAGCGGTCTCTGCCACTGCTGCTGAGGAGGGAGAGACGAGCAAAGGAAAGGTGCTGTCGCATCCCGTCGAGCCTAGAGCGGCGACGGCGACGTTGCCACCTATTTTGGTATGTTCTTCCCGACTTCTACATGAGTTGCTGTGCCGGGTTTATGGTGCTGACGTCCATTGGACAGAGTAAAACGGTGGATGATGACCCGCTGTGCTGGCTTGGATTCACGCCGGACGCGATCCTGACGAGCTGCAAGAACGGTAGGTGCTGCTACAGGCGACTGGTAAGGGGGAAAATGTTTCGGGGCTAACGGGATGCACAGGGCATATTCGGACATGGACGAGGCCTTCGGAGCTGGCACAGCAGTTGGAGGAGAAGCGGGACGCTTGATCGCATGGCCAATGGAATTCATTGATCTCGTGGCTGTAGTGGACTGATGCAGATGTTCAGTGTACGGCCTAGTACTGGTTGGTAAGTTGGTTCAGGTTATTGGCTTTGGCGTTGTACGGCGTCGGAGGTTTCTTCAAACATGGTGGCTCGGTGTTGTCGTATGACATATGTACCGAGGGGGCATATGGTAATGCCCCCATATGGCGCCGTTATGAGAATTTGCGTGCGTGTGAACTGTGGGTCATGGTTGTCCCTGGCTTTAGGTCAAGGAGCGGTGAAAAGGCGGCGAGCGGGCCGTTCCTGGATTGGTCATTGTTTGCCCGCAGGCTACTCAACATGCAGGTCACGGAGATGCCAACCTTTTTCCTTGTAGACGTTGTTGGTCTCGGGCGCGCTTGCTTTCACCCGGAACAAGTTAAAGAAATGGAAAACTCAGTACCGGCACATCAAGCTCGTATGTCCTGGGACTATGTGTCTTTATTGCCTATCTTCACTGTATGATAAATATCCGTTGAAGACCTTACCTACCGTAACACGACCTTCATGTATGTCTGGTACCGTGCCTGCATGAGTCGGGATGGCTTCTCGGTACTGCCGCCGAGGGGTGAAACATCTGTACTGGAGGGCCGTGTGTCGAACGGGGAGTGTTAGCATATGATGCTTAGGGAACTTGCCGGGTTTGGTGGGTTGTGCATGATGAGACGACACCAGGGTTTGTCCTTTTCAAGTTTCCCACGTCTCGATACATCGACTTCCATATCCGTAGCTTGGTCCGCTTCCGATAGGGCACAGAGTCGGAGTCATTCATACCATCATGTTGCGTGGGTGTGGTACGATTGGATTGGCACCGATACTCGGCGAGCGCGAGGCTACACGGAGCACAGAAATTCCAACAATTTGGCTACCTTGGCGCACTGTCATCACAAGCGCCTATCCCGCCTGTAAGCGCGTAATGGGTGTTGATGTTAGTGTTGCGGCTTATCGATACGCATCACCATATGCCGATTCTGGTCGAAAAACAGCGCCCAATGATTGTACAATGACAATACCCCTAGCTACACAGTAGGGGTTGAGATTAAGGTAAACGTGAATAAGCATACCCACCTAGTATTAAGCGAGGATGGCGCAATGCTATCACCATGTCTCGAAACCTGGCACTGGAGTCCAATCTGAAATGAAACTCGATCCCCGTTTGAGTCAAAGAGGCATTTCTTCTGGTATCGCACAGAGGTTCCAGCACTTTGTGGTGACGAGCAAGAGCACGGTGACCAGCCAATGGCGCGGCCAAAATGGCGTCCGATGATCGGAGAAGGTCTGGGTTTCGGGGCGATGATATCGCTATCGTAGGATTACCCTACCCGTTGGTCGGCTGCTGAGATCATATTATGCACGACCGCTGTCTCTCGGTGACAAAACAAGGGACGGCAACCTGTGGCAAGCATCGGGAACGGTCGCCATTCGGGTCAGATCCTGGCGGGAACCACTTTAATGGGAATCCGGTATGTGCCGGATGATCGCCGCCGCGCCCATGTGTCAGGTTAGACAAGACTCCACATATGCTACATGTCGCTGGTTTGGCAGTGATGGATTGCAATATTCGACAGTAGAGCTGACGGTCCAGGCGTTGCTTGCCTGTCTGGCTGTTGCTTGGCCAACTTGAACAGGTGAACAGCCGGATATCAACATGGAACCTTCATGATTCGATTGTTGTAGGTACGATATGTAACTACAGGTACTTCCATTGTACATGTACGAGCCCAGTCACAAATCAATTCTCATAGTGACGAGCAGGTCCACGGCTAACCCAAGCAGGGCCGAACAATATTCACAATGACCAATGTGAGCACTCATCAAGGCATGCACCCTTAGGTTCCATCGGAAAGCGGATCAGGCCTGTTCCGACTGGATCAGCCTAGGAGCTGCGCTCAAGGCAAGCCCGTCCTCATGAGATTGCGCTTCCGCCCTGCATTCTCCATAGGAGCTGAAACGCGTAGAGGATACGATAGCGTGAGATACCTGGAGAGCCATTCCACTGGGCTGTGCCATATGAATACCACGTTGGCTGTCGCTTTGTTGCAGTGCTGCAGATGATTCCGTTGGCGCTGAGCGCCGTATACAGCAGCCTTAATCGACGATCGGCCAATCGGAGCCGTCAGCATCACCACAGCCCAGCTTTCGTCTTCAAGACGAGACAGACGTTAACACCCCCACGCTGCTAGCGGCCTCCACTCACCAAGCGGTGGGGCCAGCGCGTTTTTCTGGCATTTTTCTTCCTGCATGATTTCTTCAACTGAGCCCCACCCGATGGGATTGACTCCTTAGATATCCGGAGTACTATATACGCAAGAAAAAGCCGGGAGGCTGAGCATTGTGTGTCTCTCAAGACTATAGAGCGCTCCACGGGATTGCGTGCTTCTTTGGAATGATGGCAGGGTGCCACTCCCAAAGCCTTTTTAACTTTGCCTTACACCGCGGTAATCATTTTCGCCGGCCTCGGCTCTCTCAGAGCGCTGTTCGAGTTGTGAGGTGCCAACCTACACGGTAACAAAAGACTACTGTAATACCGGGTGGTGGGAAGTTTACATGCGTCCAATCTCGTAATTCCCACATCATCCTTGCTTATCCGATTCGGGCAGCAGCCCAAAGGGCAGCATAAAGGGCCTCGCTTCCGTTGTTGCCCTGCATGTGCGTGCCACGCCACCTTGATGATTCTCGAAACCTGGGTCAACAAGATTTCCCTTTCGAGCCCACCGATCCGCGCGAGTCATGATCTCACCCCTCCTACCTTACCTTATCCTATGATTCAGTATCTCTAGGTCCCGGCGCGGACCTGATCTTCCATCTTCCTACTCTTTGTCACCACCACCACCTAGTACTCGACTGCTTCCCTAGAGTGACCATGCGGTCCTTCATCCCATTCACTTCGGTGAACGGGAGATACAGCCTCTTTGAGATTCGGTGCGTGTTCTGCGCCGGCAGCAGCTGCAGACCGCCGCTTACTGACTATCGACCCGACAACAGGCTCGAGAACGATTTTGTCGTGTTTCGGGGCAACGAACATGAGGCCTCGGGTCAACTCCTCAAAGGCACCCTGGTGCTCTGTCTGGCCTCGTCGCTCAAGCTCGAAGACATTCATTTGAAATTGATAGGGACCACCCACTATGCGTACGTTGGAGCCATACAGATTTCAGATTCGACCAAAAGCGAGAAGAGTGCTGACTTAGTCACAGCTGGACCGATGCTAAGATAACCGCTACTGGCATATCTACCCACAAAATCGACAAGACGCTACCCTTCTTCGAGCACCGATGGGCGCCGTTTGTAGGAATCGGCTCTCCAGACCCGACAGATCAATCTCGACAGCAGATTAAGGGAGTCACTTTACCGCCCGGGAACTACGAATGGCCGTTTGAGCTGATGCTCAATGGCGATACGACCGAGAGCGTTGAAGGTCTGCGGGAGGCGGGTATCCACTACAAGCTGAAGGCGACCATTGCACGGGGAAAGCTGTTTCACGACATACACGCCTACAAGCAGTTGCGCGTCATCCGGACCCTCGATCCATCGGCGCTCGAGCTGATTCACGCCATGAGCATCGAGAATATCTGGCCCAACAAGATTGACTACTCAATTATCGTGCCTCAGAAGGCTGTTGTTTTTGGCAGCAGCATTCCTGTCGAGATGCGCTTCACCCCTCTGCTCAAGGGCCTCGAGCTCGGCGACATCACCGTCAAGCTGATAGAAACTCACGACATTATTCTCCAGCAGCCCAACCACACCCACAAGGAATACAGGAAGGAGAGAGAAGTGGATACGTGGACCATCCCTGTGACCAGAGAGGAGCACTGGCAAGACGTGATTCAAGACAGCGGACCGGAAGGCTGGGACGGTCAGGAAGGCTGGGTGGTCAACACGTCGCTGCCCTTGCCTAAGAAGTTGACCAAGTGCATCCAAGACGTGAACGTCAAAGGGATTAAGATTCGGCACAAGCTGAAATTAGTGGTGGCGCTCAATAATCCTGACGGCCACGTTTCAGAACTTCGCGCAACGCTGCCCGTGTCGATATTCATCTCGCCCAACATGCCGCTCGACGAACAAGGAAACCTGGTACGACAGCTCCCGAACGGAGCCTCCAGAGAAGCTGCCACCGTCGCGCCGCCGGCCTACGAACATCACCGCCTGGACCAGCTTTATGAGGACATTGACCCCGTCAGCCTGCATTCGCCGGTTGGCGGACGGTCAGGGGTTAGCAGCCCCTTCCGCGGCCACTCGAGGGCAGGCTCGACCGAAAATTTGCCAGGCCTCCTTTCTCAGGGAACACCCATTCAGCCGGACCTGCTCGCGTATAGGTTACACAGCATGTCCCTCGAACAGCGGCACAGGACCACTTCCTGGAACTCGAACCTTTCGGCAGCTGGAGCGGGCTCCAGAACAGACAGCGCGACGCATCCCGGCGACGATAGCCACATGTCGCCTCCCCCGACTGCGCCACTCACCCGGCATAACAGTGGCGATGAGCCATCAGGTCCGGACACGCCACCAGAGCATGTTGATTTCCCCGAGATTGCGGAGCTTTGCAAGGTTCCGAGCTATCAAACGGCAGTCAAGACACCGGTCAAGACGTTGGTCCCGGACGTATTCGCCCTGCCAGACTACCAGACAGCCCTGAGCACACCAAGCTCGCCGCCCAGGTCTCCTCAGCTTACCGCGACCACTCCGTCAATAGCGGACAATTTGGAGACTATCGTCGAGGGTGCGCCGGGCTCGATCCCGGCTCTGATATCGGTTTCGGCCTCGGCTCCCCTTCCTGCACCCTCTTCGAGAGAGCCTACCCCTCTGTCGGATACCCGCAGGCCTACGGGCAATCACAGACGACAACCATCTTCTGGCTTCTTTCAGAATGTTCTTCACCCTGTGGGAGACGGTGACGAGGGACGCCGGTTACAACTGCTCCAGGCGCGTGGCGAATAGTCCGATGCGTCTCGAGCCGGATAGCGGCCGACCACGTGTCAAGTTGACGGCGGCCGTGTATCATTGTGTTCAAGTGTATTTCGACTCTCCCTTCTCTTCTCATTCCTACGACATGACATGGCATGGCTGGCGTTCCTCGGGAAATGGCGGTTGCATTGGATGGGACGGTTTTGGCGGGGCGGGCTGCTCTGGGAAATTGGCAAGGATACAATAAATGGGGCCTCAATGGCGATGGAACTGGGTTGCTCAGTGAATTTCTTCCTTCCCTTCGTATTTTCCTTGATACCCAGTTACAAATCCGGTCGGCGGCAGTCCTAATAGAGACATTTTTTAAAATTTCGTTTCCTTGATCAACATCATATGATTCCGGCGGGTGGTCGTACGAGGTGGTTAGAGGAAGATTGGTGTGCGCCGCTTATATACAGGATCAAGTCCCGCAGGGTCGGGGGACAACACGGCGCAGTAGCCGTAGACTACATTGTGGAGGTACTACTCCGTATCTATCTTAGGATGAATGCGAATTGTGCGCCGCATGGTGAGACCCGTGGGTTGAAACGCGGTCGAGGTCGCCAGCAACTGCCGGTGAAGCAGAATGGACGAGACACGACATGGTTTCAGTGGTGTTGTTTGATGGACCTGGCTTGCCGAGATAGCCATCGACGTCATTGCAGGCAAGAACCTTGCGAAGCTGGTGACAGAGCAGATTGGCCCCTAGCGGCACCAAACTTAGACGAGAATCATATCTGATTTGATTCGAGAGTTACAGGTTGATTCGGCCTCTCGAAGACTGAACACAAGTCTCATAGTGACAAGAGGGAAAGCTGAGACTTCCAGCTGGACATGGGCGTGAAGCGGGCCTGATTTCGGTTACGTCATCGGATCAGGGCCGCTGAATGGCTGCTGATCGCCGTCCAGGGTGCTGAACAGACCCACTGGGTGGTCTTGGCTACGACCTCAGTTCAACACCATTGAATTTTTAGTTGGGTCTCAAGGCCTGAAAGAGAGGGGTAGCACCAGCGGTCAGCAGCTTGATGAGACGTTGACCGCGCATTGCAATCGATGGCAAAGGGCCAAGGAGTTGGTTTCCGTGTAAGGGGCGGCGGCTACCTATTGGGCCGATGCTGAGGTGCAGGTGCTGCCCGACTTAACTTTTTCTTCAAGATCTCCCACTCTTCTTTCCTGTCTGGATGGTAGTGCTCTCCAATGACCTCATTGATCCGATCAGTGTCCTTCTGCTGAAGTGCGCCAAGTTGGGAGGAACGGCGCTTCCTTCCTCGCCCGAACTAGTCTTCTTTTTAGCATTACAGCTTCTTTAGGTACTGTCCCAACACTAAACAACAAGTCAAGAGACAATCAACAGGCTCAAGGCGCGCGCGTCTTCTCACACAATGAAGCGGTTTTCTAGCATTCGCCAAGACAAACGGCAGTCTGTCGAAATGGCGCCCGCCCCCCAGGAACCCGCTGCTCCGTCGCGGCAGGAGACATTGGCCAGCAATGCTAGCGACGAAGCCGTCCCCGACACGGACCCGAGCACCGTACGTGAGATGACATCGGAAGCAGAGATAGTGCGGGACAGTGTCTGACCTGTAGCAGACTGCCGGACTGCTCACCCAGAGGCTGCAGGCGTGGAAGCATGCCGTCGTCTACCTCGAGGAGTACATGGAGGCCGTCGAGAAGATCCACCGGGCACAGGCGAAGGAGTATGAGAAGGTGTTAAAAGTGCGTCTTGCCGATTGCTGTCATAGGGAGTAAGTACTTACTTCAGGCTCCAGACCATCTCGAAGCCCCTTAGGGAGGGGCAGCACTTCGACCAGAGCCTCGGCGGCGTCGCCGGCTTCTTCGAGAATATGCGCGTCAACACGCAGGCCCTCATCAACACCAACCTCGAAACCGAGAAGAACATCAAGGGCTCGGCCCTCCCGGTCATCGAACGCTTGCATAAGGAAATCAAGCACAAGGCCAAGGAGCTAGCCCACGGCGCCGAGAAGAGCGCCAAAGAAGTCGAGAGGGCCCGCAACACCACCCAGAAGCACATCGAGCTCCTCGGCCAGCACACGGCGTCGTTTGAATCTACGGGCGGCAAACACCACCCAACCGAAGACCCCTACGTCCTCTCGCGCGGCGTACTTCACCGCCTCCACAAGCAAGTCCTGGAGGAGAACAACCAGCACAACGACCTGGTAGCCGTGCAGGCCAACTTCGAGGCCTTCGAGCGCCACATCATCCAAGTCATCCACCAGGCGATGGAAACTTTCACCCAGCTCACCGGCGGGCAAGCCCTGAAGGTGCAGGCCCTGCACGCCGACATGCTCGGCGCAGCCCAGCGAATCCCGCCCGACTTCGAGTGGAAAGCCTTCCTTCGCCGGTCCTCCGCCCTCCTCGCCAACCCGTCCGAACCCCCGCGCACTGTCGACGCCATCACCTTCCCCAACATGTCCCACCCCTCCACCAAGCCGCTCATCGAGGGTTCGCTCGAGCGCAAGAGCCGCAACAAGCTGTCGTGGGGCTACCTGACGGGCTACTACGTCGTGACGCCGTCCAAGTTCCTGCACGAGTTCAAGGACGACGACAACCTCCGCCGGGACCCGACTCCCGAGCTGAGCATCTACCTCCCCGACGCTGTGATCGGCGCGCCGCACGGCGACAAGTTCAACGTCAAGGGCAAGGATCGGTCCGGACACATGGGTGGCAAGCTGGCGGGGAGCACCGAGTTGGCGTTCAAGGCGCACTCGCCGGCGGAAGCCGAGAAGTGGTTTGAGGTGATACGGCGCGTGGCAGGGTCCTCGGGACAGGTGACATCGCCGGTGGCGTCGAGCCCCGCGAGTGAGGTTTGCAATCCCGTTGATGCTGCTGTTGCTGGCGCGGCGGAGAAGTCTAAGCCCCTCGTGGCGGTGCCGGCGCCTGCCGCAGCTCAGGAGGCGGGGATCATTACCGGGGGTGAGACGGTCGCTAGCCCGGTGGCTGCTTCTGCGGCTACTAGTGTGGCGGCTACGCCTGTGACGACGACAGGTGGTGGGTCGATGGATAAGAAGGGGAGCGCGGATGGCGCGACTGCGGCCGCGGCGGGGGAGAAGGCTGCTGATGTGAAGGTCTGAATATGCTGCCTGAGTATCTGGTATATGGCTTCAGTTGGTTTGGAAAGGGGGTTGTTGGAAAGGTCAGTTTGGTCTGGTTTCTCTTTTGCTGCATGTTGTTTCATACCCCCTTTGCGGTTACCGTTTATGGAGGGGTGACGATGGATACAATCATGTGGACATTCCCTTTGTTGTGTGATTGATGGAGGATCGGTCATAATAATACCCATACCCCTTGATTCAGTTATCGTACTTCTGTCTGGAACTGTGGTTTGAGTCTCGCGAGTCCAGTTTGGAAGATCTTAAACGATGTCTCCTTGTCAAACCGAGACGTGCCCTTTCGTCTGGGCACGCCAGAAGCACCACCATACCGCCCTACTGTGTTGCGCTGGTGAAACGCGAAGAGAGAGGTAATCACGTTCTGTAGATCTAACTAACGAGTCATCAGATCAGGAGTCACCATCTTTTTATACTGTAGTGTTGATCCTGGTTGACTACGGAGGAGTTCGGAGTCATTCGGCTTGCTGCAATTAAGAGCTTAGGAATTGACAGTGCAATGGAGGGCAAGGGCCCATCTCTTCAATGATGATGATGGGTGTAATCCGGGCTGGGCAGAGAGGTTTAGCACGGAGAGGTACTGGTCTCCCTGCGACGAAGCTCAAAGGCAAATGGATGTCCGCGGCCAGGTTTTGCTCAGCCAAGAGAAACATCGAGTTACTGCGGCTGTGAACTCGTGAATAAGCGGGATTGCCCTGTTGATGCCGGGCTGCCTCATCGCGCGTTATGGCGCTGCAACAATGACAGTGTGATATGGCATGTCATGCACGGTATGCAAGGGCGTAAGAACATAGGCTTGGTGAGAGGTCGTTCCTGATGAAGGCCGGGCAAGGTACTGTAAGTACGGCGGCTTGGAGCGCTGCATTGGCTGGGGTGCATGGTAAGCCCCAAGTTTGGGGCCAACCCCTCCCAATCAGAAGGCGTCTGCCGCCTGGCCTATGTAGAGGATTTAATAAGTTGATCAGAGAGCGAGAGAGGTGGGCAGACAACGTACATGATATACTGGGGTGTGCCATCGACAGCCATGTTTCATCCGCGTTCCGTGCCATCACACCGGTCAGCCGCCGGGTGTCAGCCTCTGTGTGACTTGCGGGTGCGGACCGAATATTCATTTTCGAGCCAGTGTTCGCCCGTCCCGAGAAATCGGGGCGCCCGGGTAAAGGTGTGATGGCATCAAACATCCAATTCCGGAAACCGGGGCGCTTTTTGAGGCTGAGATGGAGCGAATGTGCGTCGGGCACGCGTGGCTGCGTTCTTCACCAACCGCTCCCCTAGGCCTGGTTCGGGGAGGAATGCGGGGTGGCCGGGCTCTTCACTGGCCAATGCAACGTAAGTCGCCGGCAATGCAAGCTGCAGGAAGCCGACTCGAGTCCAGACGTCCTGCACACAAAGGCTTGCCCAGCCTTGCCCAGACCTTGAGTCCACCATCCCGACCCGCGGTTGCCGTCCTCTCCGCGCTGCCCTCTGAACATCATAGCCTTGGCAGACTTTGGCGGAGGCAAGAGTCCATTGGATAAGAATGGACAGAGGGAAAGCTTGTCTAGCATCACCCGGGTCCCCACGAGCTCGGCCTGCCGGACTTGCTCGGGAGGTCATCGGCTTCCTTATAGGATATCCATTCCGATGTTCGGGAGCTGCCCCTGATCATGGGTCCACCATCATTAGCTGCTTTCTAAGGCTTACGGTGATGCTTGGACACCGGCGCGTCGACGACATACATAAGTACCGGGCGATGTGAGCGCAAGGTATGGCTCCCAGGCTTGCGGCCAAGCCAACCTTCTCACGCCGGGTGATATGACGTCTATATCTCTGATATACCGTCCCTGCTAGCCCCTGGTATGGTCCCTGGTAGCTTCGGCGCTATCTCAGCCTCGCCTCGAATGCTCCATTCGCCTGCCATCCCTGGCTAGATTAGCCTCACGATCTTCGCTTGTGGAGCATCAACTCTCTTGGTTGTTTCTTCAGCGGTCCGACCTTGAGCTTGTGAGCGTCCCCCGCGCCGGGTCTAAACCGCCGCCATGACGAAACAATGGGACAAGTACCGGGAGATCATCATCGCAGAGTACAAGGACCAGAACAAGCCGCTCCATGAGGTTCAGCGGTCCATGGTACAGAAATATGGCTTCAGGGCGTCGTACGTGTCGTTCCCTTCCTGGTCTCCCTCACCTGCCCACACGATATCTCTCATCTCCGCGGAGGCTGCATGCTGATCCCTCTATGGCGTTCACATCTGATCGTTGTCCAGAACCCGTGCGTATAGATCGCGGTTCGACAGGTGGGGCGTCCACAAGTATTCGCGTCGCAGGCGTTGCTTGAGTTTGGGCAGGGGAGAAGCGACATCCGACAGCGATGGGCGCGCATCTCCACGTCGGAGTTCGGACGTGGAAGAGAGCAGTTCGCAAGCAGCAACGCCTGTGGCCGAGACTCCAAACGAATCGCTTGCTCCGGAGTTGAGCCTGGCAGCGCCACGAGGAGGCTTTCAAGGGTAAGGCCCGGCGCAGATATTGGCTGTTGGTCCGTAGCTGACGTTTGTTCGTCGGTAGTTCTGTATGCCTCGTCGAAACTGACTTTCCGTACACCCCCGTGACGCCGTCGCCCAGTCCGGCGGTTGGGCGCAGCCCTGCGTTTCTGTTGAATCAATTCGATAGTGGGTTTACCCCATTCGGATCGCAGAACGTTGGCTCTTATTCTTCCATGTCGATGCCAATGTACCGACAAAAGCCTAGAGGCGTGATTATCGTTGCTCACGACGCGCCAGGGGCGAGCCACGGTGACGTCTCCATAGCTGGCATCCAGACTGGATATGGATATACGTTAGGGGTACTCACGGGACAGGAATGACAGATCCTCCCCTGGAATACGGATTGGGTAATCTGTCAGGGGGAAGCGTGCAGAGTCGCGCCAATGGAGGATGTTATCGTCTTATTCAGGCAGTTGTCTTTCCCATATCCATCTCCTCTGGAACTTGTGTAGGTTGGGTTCCTGTATTCCATTTGTTACTCATACAAGCTCGGATGCCACACTGTCTTGTTCTCACAGCGACCGAGGAAGTGCGGCTGGGATATGCGAGAGAAAATTTCCAGGCAGATCGATGGCGAGAACGGCAGCGCCTCGAGTGGGTGCACCTCTTTTCCCTTCGCCGCAAACTAGTTTCTCACTAGAAATAGGATAGGGAGTGAGGATACGACGCGTAGGCAGGCTGGCTGGTCAAATATAGGGCAGCAGTATTTTTGTTCCGCGGAGATGAAATCGGAGCATGCAAGACCAGTGCGTTGGTGGGCTGTACAGTTTCTTGACTCGCAACCTCAGTCGTCATTCGGGTCTATCTCCTCCATCCGGCGGGGTCGAGCTTTCTCCTTCTTGATGGTGGTAGACTTTCCAACGATCATACTAGAATCATCGTCTTCTTCGGGCTCAATGTCCGATGTGTAGTCGACCCCGCGTCGCCTGGCAGCCTCTTCCGCCCGCTTGACCTTGCGTTGAATCACCACGTCGAGGTACAGATCCGTGATGCGTAGGTCCTAAACTTGGTTAGTGTTTGATGGTAAACAAGGCAAGCCGATCCTCCTTTACCTTTGAGCAGACGGGGCACTTTGCCATGCCGCCATTGCTTCGGATGAATTCCATGATTGCCGCCTTCTCGAACGTGTGTTTACACTGATGGTTGCTATAGGGCTCCTTCATAATCTGAAGCGACAGTGGGCACTTCAGATCGATGATTTCGCGCTCAATCACGAGGTCATCGTCCTCATTGGCGTCGGCCACAGCGTCCTTGGTTGGCCTCCCGTGCTCGTCGAACCAGGTGGATGGATCAGGAAGGGGAACTTGATCCTCGGGGTGTAAGGCATCATGCCAGCTCTTCTTGAACGAGATGTAGTCATTGTTGATAGCGTACCGCTGGTGGGCGCTTAATGCATCATACTCCTCCGTCATGGCTTGGCGGGCAGCCTCCAACAGCTTTTTCACGCCAGTCAAGGGTGGCACATCCTGGGCATCGGAGTTATCCTGATCGTCGTCATCCTCTTGCGTCTCTGCATCCCAAGAGCCAGCATCGCCGTCCTCATCGTCACTGGCGGCCCTCCGTCGTCTCGAAGCCTTCTCTTTTGGCTGTCGCGGCTTCGGCTCCGGCGGGGCCTGCTGGGCATTCAGCCCCTCTATGACCTTTCCCAACACGGCTTGATGGTCTTCGAGTTCGACGCGGCAGTCGATCACAAGACGGAGCGCTTCCTCAGAGGAATCGGTCAGCTCGGTGATGGCGGCATCCAGTTCGGCAACGTATTCTTCCAGGGACACCTCTCGATCGTCCTTGTCTCGTTCGCCCCGGGCCCGCCTCTTCTCGGCCATGTGTGCCAGGGACCGCTTCCGGGCAAACAAAATGTCGTTGATGCTGCCGACACTCTCGAACAGGTAGGTGGACGACTTGGTGAGATGCTTTTCGTATTGGCGCCTCGAGCTGTCGGTTTCTCGGTTGGCATACATTGACACCAGCTTCTGCTTGAAGTTTTCGTCCATTGGGTACGAGGGAGGTTCGTAGGGAGGTAGCTCCAGCGGGACATCATCCACAGCAGACCGACCAGACGATGCCGCCGGCTGTCGGCGCGTGCGTTGCAGAAGCTGCGGCATGGTGATGGTGGCTCAACGATCAGGATTGAAACTAAGTACCTGGTAGGCGATGTAAGCAAAAAGGAAACGGGTGCGGCCGCTTCCGTACCCGAGGACTCTTGCTGGACTAGATACAACGTTCGATGCAGAGAGGACCGACGCGTCTAGAGGATCAAACGCGAAGACAAATGGGTACGACTGATAATGAGATAAGGGTAAGGGTTGTATCACACGAATTATAACCTGTGCATGTATCGTAAGGTACCTTTCTACACGTGTACAAGTTAAACCCCGCGCGTACCTCTCTGTAGGTCATCATCCTGATGATGTTTGCTGGGCTTCAAGGGTAAATGTTGAGTACAGCTACCTTAGTATCAGTTGTGTTGCCTTATAAGGTTTGATGGATGGTCCGCAGGATTTCACCGTACTCGATGCTTGCGACCCCTCCCCCGGCTCCGATCCATCTCGAAGTGCTTCATGATAATCTGAGGTCTACAGTGAGGACGTTCAGAACACGTGGGCTGGACCCTTGAAATCGCGATGACGAAACCTGAGCACTGACGCCGGACGGGAGGGGTCCGGAGCAACTTGCTCGAGGACCGCCACTGCACACCACAATCCGGGACCGAAGCGAGCAGGAGCGCATGCACTTTTTCGATCATAACCTGACGAACCGCCATACCTCCCGGTTGTTGTTGACGGGAAGAGTTCACCTTAGCTCAAACTTGCTTCAGGTTGCCGCTTTTGACGACGTCCCGAGCTCCAGTGATTGTCCATAAACCGCGACACTCAAATACGACGCACGTGAAAGTGTACAAGTACAACCAAGCTCAGCCGTCGCCGCAAACACCCGCAGGCTACCACCGACAGCTCATCAAAATGCCAATCCGCGGCCCAGTGCACGTCAAACTTCACAAGAAGGACGCTGCCGAGACCCTCCGCGTCGGGCCACTCACAATTCGGGTCTACGAAGACGGCTCCCTGACTGAGAACCGGGTCAGCGGGGTGCTACTTCGAGGTGCCCGCCGGCAAGAGCGGGCCGCCCATGCACTGGCCCCGGTTTCACGACGAGCTGTTTCTCGTGACTAAAGGTAGCTTAGGCATCTTCTATATTCTCTCCGCAAAGATGGAAGAAGGGCGGCTGGAGGACTGTTTGTAGGGACTGACCCTTGGTCAACAGGGAGCATGACCTTCGTCACACCCGAGGGCGAGACGACGGCTTTGGCGGGTGATTTGATGACTGTTCCGCCCGGCGCAGTGCACACTTTCAAGAACGCGTCTGAGACGGAGGACTGCGAAGTATATATGACGGCGACACCTGGTATGTACTGAGTTTCGCTCTCGGGGTGTGGCCAAGGGCAAGAAGCTGACTGTGCGTGTTGGCGTAGGTCATTATGTAGACTGTGAGTCTTGACTTTTTGAGACCGGTTGCAGACAAGATAGTCCTGCTGACTAAGTGACCAGACTTCCGGATGCTGGCCAAGGTCACAGACGCTGGGAAGCAACTGACATCAGCTGATGTCCAGCATCTTATGGCTTTGTTTGGGACGTTTCCGCCGAATGTCGAATCGGAACCGTGATTGGAAGGGGAGGTTTGTCTAAGAAGTGCAGGAAGTAGCAAGCCGGATCTCAACAGCATGTTCTTAGGCGGTTTGTAGGGCAACTCATTCTTGTGAGGGATTGCAGGCAAAGTCTGAGTTGAGATCAATGTCAGCAGTACAAGGCGAGGAAACTCTCATGTCTTCTCCATTAGAAGTAAAGAAGTTGACAAACTCCAGCTATCCAAGTTGGCAGTACCGGTTCAGACAGCTTTGCCTTGCAACCTCCCTGAACGTCGCCTCCCGGATTCAGCTTTGCTGTCTGGCGCTACTGTCCCCTCCGCCTTGACTGCTTTTACTTTGCTTGTTGAAGGCTTCTTGGGAGCAGCCCTGCTCTTCTTCGCTGGTGGCTCATCTTCCTCGGCCTTCCTCTTTCTCGTGTTTTGCGGCTGACCGTCCTCGACCTTGACAGCCTTTGACTTTGCCGCTTTCTTTGGCTTCGGCTCCTCCTGGTCCGATTCCATCAGCTCCTCCTTGACGCCAGGTACAACGCGGCCTGTCTTCTTTTGAACCTGTGGCACGTAACAGCTTGTCCGTCCACCTACTGTGAGAAAAGCCAACTTCTCACCGCTTGGGAGATGTCCGACGGCCCCCTTTTGGCCCTTGCTCCATCGGTGATGAAACAGCCAGTCCTCTGGAAACTGGTCCGAATCCCCAAGCTTGTCGACGGCAAACTGGCACACATGACGGATCGAATTGTAGAGCCTTTTGATTTCTTCGTCGCTGAAGTCGTCACAGTACTGTTCCGGATGCAGCTTCGCGTGGTAGAGAACTTCGTCGCCAACCCAATTGCCGATGCCGCTGATGACAGTCTGGTCGAGAATGAGTGCCTTGATAGGGACGTGACGCGAATGCACCTTGCCGCGCAGATACTCCTCGGTAAAGACATCAGTGTCGACAACTGGGTCTGGTCCGTTTTCGACGAGTGGCGAGTGCTGCCTGATGCTGTCACCGGCACAGTCAACTAAGCGAACTCGACCAAAGCGCCTGGGATCAGTGAAGGCGACCTCGACTGCCGGATCTTCGGTTGTGAGTTGGAACTTCCAGTACTTTGGTGGCCATGCGTCCATCTCCTCGGGCTTCATTTTCTTGTAGTAGTTGGTGTATGCTGTCCGGTCGCCTTTGATGTGAATCCAGCCTAAGTAAACATGAGAAAGTTGAGCTCAATGAGGTTAGCGAGGGTTCCCACCGGTCATCCCAAAGTGCATCACCGGATGGGGAGGCTGTTCGAGAACAAGCCTTGACCAGATTAGCTCCCATGCTCGGCACTGCTGAAATAACGACCAACACACCAGAAGTATTTGCCCTGGCTTCCCGCTGCAAGAACCTTCTTGCCGGTCAATGCCGCAGCGACCTCTGGTCCGGTCGTCCCAACTTTTCCGAACACATTGGCGTCCTCTACCGCCTTGGCAATCTTGATGGTTTTCCCAACCAAGTGCTGGCGCAGGTAGTGCACAATGCGGGCAACTGGGCATACTGTCAGAAAAAAACCGGAAACCGTTCTGAATCGAGCAAGCTTACCTTCGGCAATTTCAGGCATCGTCGATAGTCGTTGATGGTCGTTATCGTTGTTGATTGTTGAGTGCACCGCGTCAGACGGGTTGGACGTGACGCTTATCGCGAGACGCGGTGTCACGTGAGACAGTTGCTATCCCGGCTTCTCAGCAGCCCCACCGTGAGTTGCCCCACATGGTCGGACATGCTCAAAAACTCTGAGCTTCACCCTTTTTTGCAGAGCTTCCTCCAACTCCCATCACCTCACGTTCAGGTAAGTGACTATCTCCTTTTCGCGATGCGCAACAGGCAATTGCCTGATGACAACCCAATACCGCAAACTAGAGTCTTTGATCTACGGACATGAAACTAGAAATTGATACGTCAGTCTGATCACTGCCGCTGTTGCCGTCGCGTTTCCACTCAGATTCCAATGCATCGGGCGGACAAGCTGACACGCAAGCAGGACTCTAGCTTCCTACGAGCACCAGCCGCCGCGCGGGACATTGAGGGATGGCCTGGGAGAAAGGGTCATAGCCAGGTTAAGCCTGTCGGGCAGCTGTCCGGGAGATGGCTTCTGATCGACACGACATGCTCGACCCCTTCAATTGAGGGCAAGGTTAGTAGCATTCCGTCTTTCACTTTTGCTTCCATGATGATCTTTTGTTTGCTTCGGCAAGTTGGAATTACCGACTGATTCCCCTTGAAGAAAACAACTGGCTGTTTCTGATTTTCTCACAATTCCATTCGGCACGGTTTAACCTCAAACTTCGGATGCTGACTGCCAAACAACAGGACCGCCTGAGTAAGTGGCATCTTTCTCGCTAGACTTTGCCATGCTTGCATGATGAAGCGGCACTGGGCTCCGAATATTACATGAGCAGACACGCCACTTTTGCGACAGGCCTAGAAAACCTTGTCCACTGATCAGCACCCACTGCCACCGTTTCCCGTCGACTGCATGGAGGACTCGAGCTAACGGGCTTGAAGATGGCAGCAGTCCTGCCCTCATCTGGTTCCAGCAGCGGCTCTATTATGTGAGTATGCTGGTTCTCTTTGCGTCTCTCTCTTCCCCTCTCTTCTGATGACTCTAGATGACGAGTCTGACTCGGGATTCCCGCTGAAGACAACCTTTTTTACTACCATTCATGCTTCTCTGATACTCAATCACGAATATTGCCTTTTCGTTTCTTGGCCATGGGCTCTGGCTGACCAACTGTTAGGCAGACCCTGCAATTCGCCAGCTTCTGGCATGGTCTTCAGCTGGTATGTCGTCCACTTCTCTTCAAAAGTCGACACTGCCTTCATGATGTTTACATTCAAAAGATAAGCATATGTCGGAGCTCACGCGAAGACGACACCGTCCACTCTGATTCTTACCTTTGTCACATCCCGTTGTCTTCTGGTTGCGTCAGGGGCGCTTGCTGACTGTCTCAAGTCCCACCCAACGCAGGTCCAACATCAAATACCAGCACCATGGCCTCGACGTCCAATTCCGAGTGAATGGTAAGCGCCATCTTCTCTTTTCGCCTACTTTCAGACGCTTCACCCATGATGCCTAACCTAACCAATCTCATGACGGTCTCCTGAGAACTTCTTTGATGAGTCTGCGGTTGACACCGCTCGAAACTGATCAAGCCACACTTTATACGCATGTTTATTGCAACTGTTTTTGTGTTCCCGGCTAACATTGACGAGAGATTGCAGGACAACTCAGCCTTCGGCTTCCTACACTCCATCACCAGGTGAGCACCAGTGGTTTTTCCGTTACACCAGGCCAAGATTTGCCATCTCAAAGGGGTCCTTGAGAGTGCCATGCCAGGCAACGCACGATATTAATTTATACATGTAGAGACTCATTGAATTGAGCTAAGCTGCTTGAGTGAGACTTACTGTTGCCTTGTTCTGTGTTCAATGATGATGATGATGTTGCTCCGCCCCTTGAATGCTAAGTGCTGCCCTCGTTGAACCCAATGTCTCCCCCTCACAAGCGAAGCAAATCGTATGATCTAGCCGTATGATTGTCCCTGACCAAAAGGTCAAACTGGGCGTGCGCTCCCCATGTTCTCATCAAGTCATCCCTGAGCCGTCCTTGAAGGATTCTTTACGAACCTCTTTCACGATAATGGCACCTCGGTTGCGTGAGGCGGCGGTTGGATGATCGCCCTGTAACAGCCTGGCCATGCCAGGCGCAGAGCTCATGGTATACCTCCATCAGCTTCGACTCAACTTCGCGGCGTTCCATCGCCATCTCCAAAGCGGCGCGGTGCGTCGCTTCCCTGCCCTCCATTTCGGCGCGGTGGGCTTCCTCCGTCCTCTTCAAGGCAGCGCAGTGGGTTTCCTTCATCCCTGCCGTTTTCTCGGTAAATGCTGCGTTCTAGGGCTGGGGTTTGGAGACTTCGGCCTGCTGGTTCCCACCACCCTCAGCATCGCCTGCCGCCATGCTTGCCGATATGGCCTCAGCTTCTCACGGATCCCCGTGTATCTCCGTAGCGCAAAGTGCTACCGCGGACTGAATGTCCGATGCTGCTTTGAGGCAATCTTCATCCCGGTTTCGTTGTCGGCAGCGCTGGCTACGATTTGTGCGGCTCTTGCTTCGACCTCAACTATTATCAGATTGAGCCTGCGCACCACTTGGTTGAGTTTCGCCTGCCTCTCCTCCTGCCCATCCCCTGCGGCCGCCAATCGCGCATATAATAAGTCGTTGAGCCCCTGCAAGGCACTCTGCAGAAACTGCGCCCTTCTCTACAACCCGTCATCGGCTCCGAGACTGAGGAGCTCCTTTGCCATTGTTCTCAGCTGCGCAATCGATGTCTTGCGGCTCTTGTTTTGGCCTCGTCTAGCTTCAGACTGAGCTGATGCACCATTCGATTGAAACTCGCTTGCTTGTCCTCCTGCTCATGCGTCTTAATCGCCAACCGCGAAAGCTCGTCATTGAACGCCGCCACGGCACCCCGGAAGGCCTGTATCGTGCTGGACAAGGCAGCATGGGACCCATTTGGATGACCGCTGGCGCGAATTTCAGCTGCGCAATCAACGATTCCCGTACCGCTCTATTCTTGTTGCTGGCATTTCTGCCTGTCGCTGAAGGGTTCTTGACGTCTTGGGCAGTCGGAGGAGAGCTGTTGGAGGCTGGAGCAGTCGACATCTTGATAGTTGTCGACGAGTTGTTGTGTTGCACCGTCACTTGTTTGGCGGTGTTTGAGGGTGTAGGCGCGAAGTCGGCGGAAGATTCTGCTTCTCGAGCTTAATCACTCGCCTGTTTCAAACCTTGTCTCGATTCTCAACTGCCGTTAACCCCATCTCTGTGAGATTGCCTCGCCTCCGCATCCTTCCTCGGCAATATCCACCTAACGGAAGAGAATGCCTCTCTTCTTGCCTGTCCTTCGTTATCATCAGCAGCCGAGCTAAGTCAAGGTTGGCTGTTTCCTGTGACCTCAGTTGAAGGACGTCTTAGTGTTGAGGCGGCTTGATTCTGCGGCCCTAGGAGCAATACTTTGGAGTCCTTGACCATCTAACTCAGCAGATATCAGGTCATCAGCCTTGAAAGTTGCTTCCGACCGGAAAACTCATGATAGAGCGCAAACTTGCAGTTCACGCGTTGACCTCCTTTTCCGCCATCAGAGCCATGCTGACGGTCCACCGACAGGTTGTCTGTACTCATCATTGCACCATCATGCATCATCTCCTCTAACACTCTATCACGAACATCTTCAATTTTCCAGTCGCACGAGGTAACACCGTGTCCGGCGGGGCCATGGCGTAACAAAGCCCGGGGAAGCATGATGGATTTTATAGCTTACTCCAACGGATCTTTCCGTCTGTTCCTAGCACATGGCGAAACAACACCTCCGGGTACCCGTAATCAGGAACTGGAACCGTTGCGGCGCTGTCTGTAACACGCCAGACGAGCACCATTACCGCCACAAGTGTTTTCTTCAGGGTACGTGCACCCTAGACTAATACATTCAGGGCCGGTTTGGCAGCCGCACTCTCTAGCTAGCCCATTCGGCAGAGACAAAGCTTTGTGGTTCTTATCAGGCAGGAAATGTGTAAGGAAAAGCAGCACGAAGTCGAGGTCCCTAGCGTCCAGCCGAGCGTCCTCTCATCGCACGTTACTCGCCTCAACGAGCCGGCGGCGTCTTGATGGTACCGGTGTTCTCCGTCATCGCCTGACGATGGGCGGCCAGCTCTTCTTGGAAGAGGCGCACGTTGTCCTCCATCCTCTTCAGCTCTGCCATCCTTGCCGCCTGGCGGACGTCATCCCATTTCTTCAGCATGCCCTGGCAAGCTTCCTACATCTTGACCGTCTTCTCCTTCAAGGTCGTGTGCTGGTCCTTCAGTTTGTCGATTTCTGCTATCAGGTTTCGCGCACGCTCAAAACCGTCTGCTGCCATGTCAGTGACCTCGATCGTTATCTTTATTCGCGGTCAGTTTCTCACTTTCGTATTCCTGCGGCGACAGGAGGTACTTTGGCAGTCTGTTCACTCCATTGCGTTCTGCTTCAGCCATCCCAAGTCCGGACTCGACGCCGCTCGCGTTCTCCTAGGCATTGTCCAGTCGCATCTTGGTGTCCGCTAGCTTCCAGTTGATGGCACGAGTCTCTTTCCGGTGGTCCATGAACCGTTTTGATGGTGACCGCGGCCTGCTTGCACTCGAGATCGTTGACACTGGTGGTCAAGGCTGAGAGCTGCTGCGCCAGGAACGAGATGAACTCATTGATCTGTGTCGTATTTTTGCAAAGATCGTAGCGTAGAGAGTCCTCCTATAGATGGTGAATATTGCCTCCTGCTGGACAAGCCTCTCGTACTGGGCGTAGTCCAGGTGTGCCAGGCACGGATGGCGTTCCCCGCTGCAAATTTCAAATGGGCCGATGTCATCGTTGCCTGTTGCCGTGGAATTATCGACGTCCTGGACTGCCAGTGTCGAGGCGGAGCTGTCAAATAGATAGTGGATGTCATCAAGAGCTGAAGACATCTTGACTGCTCGTCGTGACAGGCTGCTGCTAATGTCCAATGGAATGGTTTGGTCGGCGATGTGGTTCTAGTTGTTATCTCGCTGGAGTGTCTGAGATTTTCGGGTGACAGCTTGTGGATTCAAGAAATGTGAGTGCCGTGACTGTGGTGGCCGCGTTCCTCATGTCTCTGCCGATGGAATTCTTTTCATCTTATGTTCCTGAGCTCGTCATCTGTTCGTGCTAGTTTGAGTTACCATTGATACACAGTCCACTTGTGTATTCTGAGTATGGGGAAAAACATGAAGAGAGTAGTGCTGCGAGGGATAGCTGCATGCAGGACAGCTTGGGTCCTCTCACTAGACCACTCTCCCCAACTAGCAATAATGATGCTCTGCGTTGCTGTGTGTGTACCTGCGGCTACGGTGGTCGCCACGAAGGCAATCTTCAAAACAGCCCATTGTGCCAAGATATAATCGAGGTTGTCACGCGTTGGTCTCAGCGTGGAAAACCACGTCGATCTTCTTTCGGCAGACCCCAGCTCAGTGAACGTCTTGCGGGTCTGGTTCAGGCTATCTGCGAGTGCTGTGTGGAATGTCTTCAAGTCCGAAGGCAACGACGCGGATGACGAGTGTTGAGTACTGGCCTTTATACCAGGTGTTTTGGACGGTGAACCCGACCACGCCGGCTGGGAGGGGCTTGAAAGACAGTTGGTGGTTTCTTGATTAGCCAGGAAAATCCCGCCAAGCAAGAATGAGTAACAATTCAACATACCTGATATACCTATGCCACTTTTGGGCCGCCTAGATAGACGACCGGCTGCCTAAAACCTGCTGCCAGCGATGTCTTCCTTGGACTGCGAACCCGTTCATGGTAGTCGAATAGCCTATGCATTCCCGTATATAAGGAGCCTATTCATGGTCAAATCCAAGGCTTGAGTCAGCCGGCTGGCAAACAAGGTTCTACCTAATGTTGATTGCTTCTCCTGACAGAGCATAAGGTAACTGACACACCAGCTGATTAAACAGCAGAGATGTGGGTAACCGCCAGAATGGGACCGGAGGGGAGTGAAAGGGTAGCAGGCTGGTGATGCAAGGTAGCCAGTATCTTCTGGCACCACGAGAGAGAGATTCCGGGGTCTGTTGGAAAGTGAAAAATCAACGTGTTAGGGAAACGGTTATCCCTGATTGCTAGGATCCGAAAGGAGAACTGGGTAATACTCACCTTTCATGATCCTGTCAACCAGCTAGCTGACTTGTACGAAATCCCGATCTGACAGCAAAATTGCCTATCTGCCTCCAGCCGGAAATTCCTGATACAATGCGGCTCTACTCCATATTCCCTCTCACCCCCCGGCCATATCCTTCTCCAGCCCCTCCAGGAAACTATCCGCCATCTTTTTCATCCTCTTCTCCACAATCTGCTTCCGCCTCTCCTCGATCTCCTTCTTCCTTCTCGCCGCCTTCTCCTCCCTCTCCTTCCTCAGCGCTTCCGTCCTGGCCCTCTCCTCCTCCAAAGCCTTCATCTCCTCATCCCGCTTACTCTCCTCCTTGCTGAATTTGTAGAATCCTACTCCTTTCGTCCTAATCTCCCAATCCGCCTGGTAATGCGTCGCCTCGGGCGGCGTGGGACTCCGGTCGCGCTTGCGCGCTAACGCCTCCATCGTATCCAAACCATCCCGCGCCGCGAAGGCTTCCGCTTGCACCGCATCGCCGTAGATGAGCTGTTCGGGGGCTTTGGGGCGTGCCGACATCTGCTCGAGTTCGGCCGCCGAGGCGGTGCTGCGCTGGAGGCGGAGGATCTGCGAGCGTGTGAGGTGCCGCACACGGCCGAACTCGTCTGTGTACTCGTGTAGCGTGTTGTCGACGCCGTCTTCGTCGGATTCTGAGTCGTCGTCGGAAGAGGAGGTGGGGTTGGGGTTGGCGGCCTGAGACTCGGCCCATTTGCGGTCGAAGTCGACCAGGCCGATCTCTCGGCCAATGTAATCGCCTCGTTGCATGGCGGCGTAGAGCCGGGCTTTGGACTCCAACTTGCGGCGGACGAATTCGCGCTCGGCTTTGGTTTCTTCTGCGCCGAGGGGAGACTTGAGGGAGAGCTTCTTGCTGTCCTTGGTCTCGGCACTGGGTGTGTCTTGTCGCTTGATTCTGACTTTGGAGACGTCGTCTGGTTTCGATTTGGACAAACGAGGTCGGCCAGCGGTTGTCGTTGCGGTGGATTCGGCGAGGAGGGACGCCATTTGTGAGGCAAACGCTAGAGATCCCGAGACCGCTATCTCTTTCTTTTGTTTCTTGGGCGGCGGCTGCCCGTACAAATGAGGATCCTGCGGCATCGTGCCGGCCTCCAAGAGGGACGAGATCAACGGCGAGCGAGAAGGTGGCTAGTATCCGGTGTGCCCTTTGCAGGTCGAACTTCGTGCTTGATATCCTTTATGCCTTGGCCGGGCGTTCTTGAGTGTGCTGTAGGGAATCTATTCGGCTGCAATCATGTCAATGTTGAGGGTTGAGAATGGAGACCCCTGCTCGGCTGTTGAGCCCTGGAGACGTGGAGACCTGGCCCACAAAGTGGGGCAATGCACTGTAACTCCATGGTACACAGCCAGACAGTTTTCAGATAATCCCTGCCAGGCCATGTGCTGTGGCTAAGCAGCAACTGTCCGTGCGTGGTCCCACTCGCTGCGGACCAACAGGGAGGGTTGGAACTGTTCGCGCTTCGTCAGGCCGTTTGAATCCGATAAGGAGATTGCGACTTCCACACTCCCTAGCTGCTGTCTGCCGGCTATGTGCTTTCACAAACCCCTCCTTTCCTTGCAGCCCGACTCCTGAAGAGCTCACTACCTGTCTTCTCATCCTTGCATGCGACAAGCTCATCGTGATGACGTCTCGTCTTCGATATTGGGACCATGAATCGCGACCCTGCATCAAAACCTAGGTAGCTGAGCAGCTACGTTGGCTTCCTCCGTCCGTCGACAGTTACGTGCACTCTTGCAAGACGCCTCGGCAGCTACGGCATCGTCAGACACCCGCATTCCACCAAGACAGCGAACACGGCCTGCCGACACGAACATCTTGTTCCTCCCACCTTACGAACGCCGTCGTCCAACATGACAGGCTACACGTCAGATAGCCCCAGCTGGTATGTCTGGCTGACCGAGCTGAGCATCATTCCGCCGGAATACCACGACGTCATTAGCATGATATCAAGCTTCTTTGTGGGTCGTTTCCGCTTTGCTTCCTCGCTTATTGATGTCGCTGACTGAAGTTCTGGCTAGCTCATTCTTGCCCTGACGCCAATCATCCCTATCATCGGACTGGTAATCTATGACGTGTCGCTCTGGGCCTGCAGGCTGGCGGCTGCGAGCTGGCGGACTAGGCCCACAACACCTGTCGATCTGGCTGGCGAAACTTCAACAGTAGTAACAAGCAGTATGGCTGCGACCGGGGAGGGAGGAACGCCCCTATAACCGTCGTGCCTCAACGTGGACACCGTCAAGAGCAACAATGGAAGCGGTACATCTGTTCAGGCTTCCGAGTCCTATATATTTTGCTATGTGCCCGGTGGTTGATACAAACACGGCTAAGCAATTTGAGACAGCACCTTCAACAGGTCGCTCGTCACGCCCATGGCCGTCACGTCGCCGCCTGCGCCAGCGCCCTGGATGATCAGCGGGTTGCTTCCGTACCGTCTAGTGTAGAAGCTAATGATGTTATCGCTGCCCTTCAGCGCCGCAATGGGGTGTGACAGGTCGAATTTCTCCAGCCCGACCTTGACCTGCTTCGTGGTAACGTCGATGCTGCCAACAAACCGCACCACTTTCCCTTCTTTCTCCGCCTCGGCCTTGGTCTCCTCCATCTGCGCGTCAAACGCTGGGAGCTTCTCGAGGAACTCGTCCCCGCTGGCCACCGACTCCAGCTCCTTCGGGATCAGGCTCTGCACGGGGAACGACGTCGGGGACTCGACCGGCAGTCCCGCCAGCCGGGCGAGAATAGTCAATTTCCGCGCGACATCCAGCCCATTCAGATCGTCGCGCGGGTCGGGCTCGGTGTAGCCCAGCTCCTTGGCCTTCTTCACTTCGGCCGACCACTTGCCGCCAGAACCGGACGTCGGGGCAAACGAGTTGAAGAGGAAAGACATGGTGCCGCTGAAGACGCCCTCAATTTTAGTAACCTCATCACCGGTATCCACGAGGTCCTTAAGCGTTGAAATCACTGGCAGGCCAGCGCCCACGGACGACTCGTGGAACACTTTGGCACCGGACTGCTCGGCGGCGGCAAAGATGTCCTGCCACAGCTTGTAGGAGCTCGAGAAGGCCTTCTTGTTGGGCGTCACGACGCTGATGCCGCGGCTCAGGAAGATCGGGTATGCGTCGGCGACATCCTGCGAGCTGGTGTTGTCGACGAGGACCGTCTTGGAGCCCGAGGTGCTCAGGAAGTCGACGAGCTTGGGCAGGGGGAGCGGCGCCTGCTGGGAGGACGCGAGGGAGGACGGGATGTTGCTGAGGCTGATGGCGACGTGGTCGGTGCTGTAGAGGGCCTTTTTGCTCGTGCAGATGTAGGTGAGCACGAGCTTGGGGCTGGGGCGGCGGGCGGCGAGTTGCTCGAGCTGGGACAGGAAACACTTTCCTACCCCGCCAGCGCCTGTGGAGCTATTGATGAGCTTGGGAAGAGGAGTTAGTGGATCAGGGATAATTCCCTACCAATGATGGCGATGTTGACCTGCCGGGCGGAAGCTGCAGCCATTGTGTGTGTGTTGAGTTACAGCGAAGGAATTGAATCGTCAGTGTCGAGGAGCAACGCCGTCTAATTCATCGGAGCAGTCGCGGGGTCTTTCCAGCTCAAAATGTCACCATGCCGATAGCGGGGCAGCCACCTCGGCACCCCACGCTTCCAAATTGAAAGTTGTCGGGTGGATCCCTCTGAGTGGAAGCTTCAGGGGTCATTATATCACTTCACAATCCATACCCCTGCCTCTTCTGTCACAGACCTTGAGCAGCAACAAGATCTGGAGGCTGGGAGTCGACGTTCCAGAGGATATATCTGAGAAATACAGCAAAATGGGCGGCGACAAAATCAGGAAAGATAAAAGGCAAAAGCGCGAGGACTACCGCGCAGCCATCCGGAAGGAGGGAGTGTCGGAGCTGCCAAGAAAGAAGTTTTATCGCCAGAGGGCTCACGCCAACCCATTTTCCGATCATCAGTTGATATAGTGGGTTTGTCCTGCTAGGTGGTGACGTTCTGCTCTGATTCTAACCTGCGTACAGCCCCCCACACCCAGACCAGATGGACTGGTCATCACTATATCCAGACTATGTCGTCGATGAGCCCCAAGAGCAACAAACACCAGGCCCAGAGACGCCATCAGATCTAGATCTCGCACCCCTCAGGCCCAAAAGGATATCGAAAGAAGTCGAAGTAGCGGACATCGGTTGCGGCTTCGGCGGTCTCTTAGTGGCGCTCGGCCCTTTAATGCCCGACACGCTGGTCCTCGGCCTCGAGATCCGCGTCCAGGTCACGCAGTTCGTCGAGGACCGCATCAAGGCCCTGCGGGTGCAGGACCAGGAGGCCAAGCTCTACCGAAACGTGGGCGTGCTCCGCGCCAACACGATGAAATTCCTGCCCAACTTCTTCCGCAAGGGCCAGCTCTCCAAGATCTTCATCTGCTTCCCAGATCCGCACTTCAAGGCGCGCAAGCACAAGCAGCGCATCGTCTCCACCACGCTCAATTCCGAGTACGCCTACGTGCTGCGGCCGGGCGGCGTGGTGTACACGATCACGGATGTGCCGGATCTCCATGAGTGGATGGTGCAACACTTTGAGGCGCACCCGTCATTTGAGCGCGTACCGGAGGAGGAACAGGAGGCGGATACCTTGGTGAATGTCATGAGGACAGAGACGGAGGAGGGAAAGAAGGTCGAGAGGAATAAGGGGCAGAAACATGTTGCCCTTTTCAGGAGGCTTGAGGATCCTGCTTGGTGAGAAGGAACGGAGGGACCATCCCAAGCGGTGCACCAGATGCACTGGAAGAGGAGGCTGTACGGCGAGCGCCATCCAAGGGCGATGGATAGTCAACCAATCAACACAATCTCGCTTTCCTTCCATTGGCCCTTCGGCGTTGCGAATAGACACTCATCCCAGGTTGACTACGATCTGTTCAGCTATGAAGGGGCTACTTCAAGGTCGTGGTTCTGACACCGACGCAATCTAGCCCATCGTGCTCTCGATTCTCGACACGCCGTCCAAGGGCTGGCCTCGAGCCCGTCACGAGGTTGAGCCGCTGGTAACTTTCCGATGTGGCCGTTACACGCATTTAGCAGAGTGTCGCGGCCAGCCATTGAGTCGAGTCCTGGGAGGGACAATGGGTTTCGTGTCTGTCATCGTCACAAAGGAACACACTCCATCATAGCCACAAGTTCTTTCACTTGGCTTTCGACTCCTTTGTTTGGCGCTTGGACACGCAGCAAAAGACAGAGAGACAAAGACCGCGGCCAGATCGAGCCCGTCTCGTCAAGCCCGGGTGAATCATAGTTCTTCAAAAGACGTTACAAAGTGGTCCCCACACCAAGCTCGGGCCTTTGTATGATTTTTCGGGGGCGAGTTGCTATTTTCAGTATTCCTTCACCGACGGTGTTCATTATCGTCAGCAGCGAGAGATGAAACGCTCAAGGTGTCCAAGCGCTCCCTAAAACACGACCTTTTCCTCGTTTGATGAATTGATGATCCGGTTCAATAAGTTCAGTAAATGACTTCTTAACAGAAATTTTGAACGCTCGCCACGATAGACATGGCAGAATCGAACTAAATCGCCGACATCAGCCGGCTTCAAGTGGTAGAAGACAGGTCTGCCACAGTAAAGGACGGAAAGGCTTGCTGGGGGCCTCTTAACGTATGCCTACACCTTTGATGACGACGACCAACTCGATCTCGGACCGCGTCTCGTCGGCCCCAAACCTCCAGCTTTACGCCCAAGCAGCTCATCCCTGCGCTTAAGAGAATACCCGACGAGCACATCCATCTCAGGCTCCCACTTGAATTCGCCATCACTGTGGCCGGGGAGCCCACCATCGAGCCGGGGCTGTTTCTGAAACGGCCCATGTTCCCTTGCTATCACTGGGTCCAGCAGGATGCGGCTGACGGTCACAATCGCATAGACTCAATAGCGCACTGGTTCCGCAACGAGGCCGAGGCCGAGGCCTTCCAGCTCATTGCGCCGCACCCACCACACCCACACATCGTCAAGTACCACGGGTGCCGGGTCCTGCGGGGTTCGTCACGGAAATCGTCATGGAGGCCGTTGACGGAGCCAACCTGGAGGAGTACCTCAAAGCCGGCAACGCCATCGCCGACAAGGAGCGCTTCATGGCCGCGCTCGAGTCGGTAGTACGCCACCTTCATGACGTCGTCGGCATGGCGCACAACGACATCAATCCGGAGAACATCATGGGCCGCCGCGCCGACGGCATGCGCGTCCTCATCGATTTCGGCACAGCCCGCCCGCTGGCCGAGAAACTCGACGGCCCCTCGGCACCATTGGCTGGATGGAAAACGACGACGTCGCGTCGTATCGTAGCTCCCAAGCTTCGCACGACCTCTGGCGGCTCAGCAAGCTCCACGGGTAGCTCGACAAGCCCGAGTTCTCCGAACCCGTGCTTCTTCTTACCGCCAAGTTACTGTCTTACTCATGGTTTGCTATAGAATCCCTGCACGTACTCTCTGACCACAGTGCCACATCGACGCCGCCGCCAATTACAACACCCGGCTGCTTCCAACCTGGACGGATTGACAGTGACTACAACGCCGCTGAGGATGTCGGCTCGAGAATTGGTCAGGAATAAATTAGCCAAGAGCGGATCGAAAGTGACCAAGACATCGATGAAGAGGTCGGCTCAGAGGTCGGTTAAGAAGACAACCAAGAGGAGAAAGGTCAGGTAGGTTGATGGGCTTCGCTCAACCCGGAGCCAGGGACGTATATTTCCTTTTCATATTCCAATGCTCGGCAGACGGCGCTCGCATTATACCATGGAGAAATGTCCGCTATTGCTATGTATTTTGTCTGTACACAGACACTAATTAGTGGCTCTGGTTTGGAGGTCAGATGATCCGAGGCTCTTAAAAGTATAGAATGTCTCAAACGAATAGAAATCAAACGACAGAGTCTCGTATCTCTCAATAAGACAATTGGTGCAGGCAATGAGCATAAGAAGTTCGATGGCATACTGTGTCGTCTGGCCAGACATGGGATGAGTACATGGCATCTCAAGCCTCTCGCTGCCGTTCTCAGGATGCCTTGACCAGTTGCAAGATTTGCAATACCCAACCGCGAACACTTCAGAACCCTTCATTCGATGCTCTGTCCTCCGTCGAATCATTTACCCCCACAGCAATTTCCATCCAACCCATTCTGCGCCATCCGTCAACCCAAGTCCCAGTTCGTTGTCCAGCCGTACAAAACCAATTCGTAACAAGCCTCCTTCAACGTCCACTATACCCGTTGCCCTGTAGCCTAACAGACTAACGAAAGATATAGATATCAAAGAAAACAGTAGAGAAAAACAACGAGAAGCCGTGTTTACATGTCCATGGCCTGGGTATCATCCTTCATCTCGTCGCTGCCGAGCTCCTTCTCCAGCTCGTCGGCTACGAAGCTCTCGTACTCCTCGAGACTCTTCTGGACGTGCATCTTGAATTTGATGACGTCGTTGAGCATGCGCATCGTCTCGGTGTGCAGCTCCTCGCGCAGCGCGTTGGCCCGCAGCGTGAGCTGTTCATACCTGGAAGAAGAAACAAAGTCAGATCCTAATATTCCAACAGAAAGTTTGACGATGGGGTTTATGGTGACCCACTCAATATTGGTATTCATCTCCCTCTGCTCCATGAGCTGTACCGACTCGGACAGCTGGGCGCGCATCTTGGCAAGCTCTTTCTCCATCTTCTCGATCTGGGTGTCCGACGCCAACTTCTGCGTCGTCGTCACCTCCTTGGTCTTCTCGTACTCCTCCTCGGCGGCGCGCACGCGGTGTTCGAGCGCCTCGACCTCGTTGCGCTTGTCCTCGATGGCCTCTTTGGCGCGGTCCAGCAGGTCGTGGTCCTCCATCATGGCGTCGAGCGCCGCCTTGCGCCGCTCCGACACCTCCTTGCGCAGCGCCAGGAAGCTGTTCTTAACCTGCCCCCGGAGATCCAGGTTGAGCACGTGCGCCGGCTGGTAGCCCGTCACCGGGTCCGCGAGCAGCCGGTCGCTCTCGCCGGCGCCGTACGAGCCTTGCAGCTGGGACGATGTGAAGTTGGGGCCTTCGTTGACCGTGACTTGCAGCTCGTAGTCCCTGCCCTTGGCGTTGACTGCTGTGGCGGGGATCAGGCCGATCTGGTAGGCAACCGTGTTGTAGCGGTCGACCATGCGCTCCAGCTCGTCCAGTCGTTGGCTCGCCTCCATCTCCCGCTCTGCTACCTTGCGTTTGACATCCTCCAACCGCAGCTCGGCCGACTCTATGCTCTTCTGCAGGCGCTCCCGTTCGGCGGTCATGCGGTCGATATCCTGCATGCTGATCCCCTGGTCGTCCACAGCGTCCTTTAGCCGGCGCCGTTCGTCCTCGGCTTCTTTCAACTCTCCCTGCAGCTTGTCGAGCTCCTCCTGCAGGACCTGGATGCGGCCCTCGTACTTCTCGGATCGCTGCTGGGCCAGCGTGTTGTACTCCTCGAACTTGGCCTTGTCCTCCTCCATGATCTTAAAATGGTTGTCGAGGATGGCCGGGTCAGGCGTAGACTTCTCGAGGTCCTCGATTTCCTTGAGGAGCCGCGCATGCTCGCCTTCGAGCATCTCCATCTCCTGGACGTACCTAGCATTGGACCGCTCGAAGGCCCGCGCCATCCCTTGCACGTGTGGCGCCAATGCCTTCTCCACGTCTTCGTCCCCAGCCTCGTCGTCCATGTTCAGCCAGTCTTGGTAGGCATTGGTCAGGAAATCGAAGATGATGTTATCACCTGCGACATCGACCCCGGCTTCCAAGCACGCATCGTCGTACTGATTGAGCGAGTAGCGCTCCAACATCTGGGCCAGCTGCATCATCCAATGCAACAGTCCCAGGAATGTGCTCCAGTTTTGGCCTCCTACTGCGGCGATCTGGCTCTTGGTAATGCTCCTCTCGTAGGGATATCGTAGCTGTTTGAGAAGCGGTGGTACCTCCTGGTCGATGTTCTTCTGAAATCGGTAGCTCGGGTCGATGCGGTGGTACAGCCATTGGAACATGTAGTTGAAATCCTTTTGTGTCGGCGACTTGGTGAAATTGTCCGACAGCTTGTGGTTCATCTCCATCTCGAAGTTGTGCTTGGCCAGGTACTCGATCAACTCCTGCCCTAGCCGGTTTTGGTACGACCTGTCCTTGAGCGGGCGCGGATCGCGTGGGACGCCGGCGACCTGGGGCGCCTGCTGGAAGAAGCTTTGCTGCCCTCCCATGGGGCCGGCGGCCGCTGATGGGCGGGCGCGGTAGACGCTGCTGCGGCGGTCATTATCGGCGGACGGGCCTGGGGTGTGGAATGATTTGAGCGAGGTTGTGTTGTTTGGGTTGTAGCCGGCGACGGAAGCACGTTTTACGGAGGAGAGGCCAATGTCGGCCAGGTTCGTCCCGGACGAGGAGCGCTGGAACATGGGCTGGTTGGGACGCGACACGGCGAGCGAGTGGCGCGCCCCGGACATGGAGCGGCCATGGCTGGCGCTGCCAATGGTGCTGGATCGCTTTATGGCGGACGGGGGTTGTGGGATGCCCGAGTTGAGGTTGAGCCCTCCTAAGGTCTGCGCAGCCTGTCAGCATCCATTGTTGCGACGATAGGTAACGAAGGCAATGCGCGCGGAGAATCTCACCTCCCTCGGCCTTCGTACACTCCAGCCATTAGTGTCCTGCGACATGGCGACAAGATACAGTCGCCCCTTTTCTTTGCGCTCGTCAACAGATACGCGAAAGTATAAAGAGCCAGCTTGGTTGGGTGGATATCAGTGGATAATCAGTGTGCGATGGCATCCAAGCAAACCATGGTGGGATGTGCCAGAAAATGAAACGTGAATGAAATTACAGCGTATCAATTGCCCGTTGCCCAGCGAGCCTAGGTAAACAAACCGCGGGGCTTGGTTAGGTCGCGTCGAGTTACGCTTTGAGTGGGTCTCTAGAAGTTGAGAGCAAGGCGCCACACGTGACACTGATCCAGTTCGGTCTGGGTGTCAGCCCGCGCTTGGCATCTGCTGTGGAGCGCAGGACTGCAGTGCCGGACTTGGACCTCGGCTTGTGATCGCCATCCGCCTTCCCATATCCTGTCCCTCCGTCATCAGCATCAACCATCCCGCGGGTCTGCGCAGCATACGTTACATATCTGTACAAACTTGTCTTCCCAGTCCAACCGCAAGGTTGTGCAGGTCGCTGTTGGAATGGCTATTCGCGAGGACCTGGTCGCGTCGGCGGCGAAGTGTGAGTTTGAGTCCTTGCGACAGAAGACCTAAGCCTGCTGATCCACACTCGTTCTTAGTCCTACAAGACCCCAGCGTTGCCTCATCTCCGGTCGAAAAGAAAGTTGCTTTCCTCCAAGCTAAAAATCTCACTCAAGAAGAGATCACTGCCGCGCTCGCACGAGTAGGCCGTCAGGCCACGCCCGCGCCGGCGTACACCAGCCAGCCCCAGACAACGTCTGATGTTGCGCAGCCATCGCAGTACTATGGGCAATATCCACCTCAGTATCCGCCTTATGGGTGGCAGCAACCGCCGCCTCAGCCGGTTCCGCGGCGGGATTGGAGGGACTGGTTCATCATGGCGACGGTAGTCAGCGGGGTGTCGTATGGGCTTTACAGCCTAGGGAAGGTGAGAAAATTTATTGTCCTGGTTACATGCGCTCCACAAACTAACGCGCTTTAGCGCTACGTTTACCCGTTAATTGCGCCACCAACACCAGAGCGGCTCGAGCAGGATAAGAAGTCCATCGACGAGCAGTTTGAAAAGACTTTTGCCCTTGTTGAGCAGCTCGCCAAGGACACCGAGACTCTCAAGACGGCAGAGAAGGAACGTACCGAGAGGTTAGACACGGCGCTTAACGAGCTCGAGACGGTCATCAACGACCTCAAGTCAGCGAATAGGCGACGCGATGACGAGGCGCAGCGTGTACGGGACGACGTGCAGAATCTCAAGGACGCCATCCCGCGGGCACTCAATAACCAGAAGGATCTGACCGACACCCGGCTTCGGGAAGTCAATGCAGAGCTTAAGAGCCTCAAGACACTTATCACCCAGCGCATGAACCCAACGGCAACGTCGACCAGCGTCAGCAACTACCTGCGCCCGGCGGCTAGCGGAAACGCCATGCCGAGCAGCCCGGCCGCGACTACCCCGGCGCCGGCAGAGAGCGCAAGCGCCGAGACCAAGGAGGAGCCGAAGCCGGCGCAGGACTACCTCTCGAGCGCCAACCGCAGCTCGCCATTCAGCAGCGGGATGCAGGCCAGGGCATCGATTCCGGCGTGGCAGATGATGGCATCGAAAAGCGCCGAGTCGTCCAGCTCGCCGGCCGCGAATGGCACGGCTGCTGCGAGTAGCAATGAGACAGCAGAGGCTTCCGGCAGCGCTTGAGCACATTGAGGTCTGCAAGCCAGCGGGCAGCAGGGCGGGACAGGAGGTTGCAAAGGGATGCATTTTCCTAGAGAATGTGGAGTGTGTATGATACACCAGGACGGCGCTCACGAGAACCAGGTTGTGCTTGTATGGGTTGGCGGCTGGGCAAGTGGGAGCTGCATGCCTAACGGAGCTTCATCATGAAGCGATTTCAATCGAAGCCGATTCTCGAAGCACAGACTTTCCGGCGCATGCAGAGACTCTGTACACCAAAAGAATGCTCCAGTCGAGTGCAACATATATGGCGAACGGCAGCGACACAGCCACCACAGCAAGCGTGTGTCAAGAACGAAGTGGCAAAATGGTCATCAGGAATGGGCCCCGAGGTTGAGAAAGCGGTGCCCATGACTACCCAGGCACCTGTCTTTTCCCACTGCGATATTGAACTCGTCATTGCCCTTTCAAATGTTTGAGTCAGCACCTGTGTCTTGTTGAATAGGGCCGGCGATGAGGTCGTCTATCCGTCACCAACTCCAATGATTAGAGAAACATCCTTTTTTTTTTCTCTTTAGAAGACAGCTAAGTTATAACTAAAGTCTACCCTTCAATCCAGCTTATCTACCAGAATAATGCGCCGGAGTATCAGTCGCCTTTCAAGTTAGATATCTAGACGCCCAAGCCGGCAATGTGGTTGATTCCGTATCTAACCACACAAGGTCGAATGCACTCGGCTGCTGGGCGGCTGAGCGCCTTCGCCTTCCCCACGCACCCGGGACCAAGGTTTATATTCATACGCAATGTAAACATTGATGCACCTTGGCCGAAGGCACACGCTAACAATGGGGGTACACAAAACTACGCGCTCGCCGCTCGCACAACGGGCTTCTCAAGAACAAGGGCTTCCTCTTGAAGAGACAGAGGTCCCCGCGTTTATTTACCGGCCGCTGGAGGACGCGGGGCTGGAAACCCGTTTCTTCAAGCTCTTTCTGGGAGACTTCGACGAGCCCGTGGTTGGGAGCTGATACACGGCATCTTTGACGCTGAAAAGGACGGCTACTGTCCGGTTGTTGCACTGCCAGCCAGGTATGGCATTGCCTCACTACAGGGCCGTATAGGGCACGACATCGAGTACGACGCCATTCCGTGGTGTTGGGAAGAGGACCCTTCTCGGACCACGATGTTTCTTAGGATCGACGAGGGGCTTACGCGCTGCCTTGTGTCCAAGGGCCTTGAGGCTACCTTCCGACACCTGCGACGGCGTTGGCGGGACAGGGTCGTCTGGGCAGACGCGCTGTGCATCAACCAGACTGACATCAGCGAGCGTAACCTCCAGGCCAGCAATATGGCGCCCATCTACAACAACGCGGCCAACATTTGCGTATGGTTAAGCCAGGACACGCCCGACAGCAAGCTGGCCATGCGCTTCATCCAGGACGAGCTGTGCGACATTGAGCGGTTCGACAAAATCCACGGGGACGCAGGCATGGCCGACAAGCTCCTGGCACTGCTTCGCCTCTTGGAGCGCCCAGTGGTTCTCGCGACTGTGGATCATCCAAGAGATCCTATTTGCGAGGAAGGCGACGCTCCACTGCGGTCGGGACGAGCTGAGCTGGAGCCAGTTCGCAACGGCCATCGAGTTGCTCCTCGAGACCGAGAAAACGTCGCAGAGATTCTCGTCCGTCATGAAGATGCGGCCCGACTTTTGGGACGGCTCGAGCTTGTTTGCACACGTCAACCAGTCGGGCGCCGGACTCCTAGGCCAGGGCATCCTGTTTCGCGACTACAAGACAAAGTCGGCCTCGCAGGGTCCGCTCTGGCGCATCGAGCATCTCGTGTCGTCTTTGACGGTGGTGTTTGATACTACCGAGCCGCGCCACTGCATCTACGCTCTGCTCGGAGTCGTCGCGGACGTGACGCCCTCGCCTGACGTCAAAGACGAGCCGAGGCTGCTTCGACCGTGGCGTCTCTCGGAGGTCGAGCTCAAGACGGCGCGGTATCTAATAGTCTACTCGAAGCCCTACCCCGAAATCTGCATGAACTTCGTCGAATTCTGCATCGATCACTCTCCCCACCGACACTGGGCCCTCGATATCATCTGTAGGCCGTGGGCCATGGAGCCCGTCCCGAAAAATTTCTCAACGGGCGAGCGTGACCACGCCTCCGAATTTCTCCCAAGCTGGGTCATAGAGGCTCCCGAGACGTCCTTCAGAATCATGACGCATCCTCTGTCGAGGAAGAAGGTGACGCGGCAGAATGCCGACTCCCTGGCGGCACCGCCCGACACGGCCAGAACCCAGTACGCTGCATCTTCGAACGAGACGTTTCGCCGGTCCACCCTAACGTTCAGGAGGCGGCCAAACCTGAGGCACTACAGCATGCTTGTCCGGGGTTTTGTTTTCGATCAGATTGAGAGAGTGGAAGCCTCGTCACAAGACGGCTGTATCCGAAGGAGTGAACCGAGCTCGCCAACTGGACCAAACTTGAGACTCCACTGCCCCAGGAGTTCTGGCGCACGCTCGTCGTCAACCGGGGACGCGACGGGGCGGCCGCCGCCCATCTACTTACGAGGAGGCGTGCTGGCGGTCTGCCATCAGGGCGGGATTCAAAGCCGGGCAGTAAACACGTCGCTCCTCATCAGCAAAGATGAAATTCGATCGTTTCGCAGTTCTGCAAGCGAGTGCAGGCCTCGAGCTTGAACCGCCGGCTCTTCAAAACGAGCGGAGGGCGGTCGGGACTCGCGAGCAAGAGCGTTGCCAGCGGCGATCTCCTGTGTATCCTACCCGGATGTAGCGTCCCCGTCGTTTTCCGCCGCTTCTCCAAAGCGCCCGGCGATAGCAAGGCCGAGAAAAACGAGGACAAGCTCCAGCATAGTTTGGGCGTCTTCAAGCGGACACTGCTGGACCGGATACGGGCGAAGGAGATGAGAGAGCAATGGGCAAGGCAAAACCGAGGAGTACAACCGCTATATTCAAAGCCTCAAGATCCCAGGATGGGACAAGACGGAGGGAAGTTGGGTCATGAAGAAGGCCGCCAGTGAGCAAACAACGAGGGAGCGGTCGCATTCACAGCCACCTAAAACCCTAAACGGCAGGGGGGAAGGGAAAGAAAAAGCCGAGTTGATGCCGCGCCCGAACCAAGACCAGCCGCAGAACCAAACAAACGAAGGTATCGCGGCATCATACCTTTACTACACAGTACAACTTTCTCGGGAAGTGCTACGTGCATGACATGATGGACGGCCAGGCGACGAACGTGAGGGTACGAAGCCGCATCCCTTTCGAGATCTCTGAGATAAAGATGATCCAATGACAGGCGGCATGGCGAATTGAGAGTGGCGATGTGGCAGGAGTCCCTTGAAGGGAAGGCTTGCGAGAGCCACTCTGCTGGAAGCGACGGTGGGGGTAACGGGTCTATGGAAGCCCCGTGCCGAGGCCCTTTCCCATTTCGGTGTCCCTGGTCCCGTGCTGCCGGTTCTTCACTTGTCCGTTTGCCCCTCGTTTTTCTCACACTATTATTATATGTGACGAGGTCCATCGGTCCATGATGTTGCTGGGATAAAATCCCTTGACGTGGCGGACCGTTGGTGCAGTGGGCCACTGTTGTATCCCAAGTGTTGGCTTCCGCAAATTCACTATGTACAGTAGCTGGGCAGGTACAAGTAGAGACCTCGCCGACTACTCTTTCTGAATTTATACTCTTATACCACTACATCCCTCCTCGTTCTGCTGTGTTCCCTCTTCTAACCTGTGACACCTAGAGTACTTTCGTTATTCATAATCTCTGTCCTCATCATGACGGCTCAGGAACCCGCTCCCGCCCCCCAAGCCGCCGACAAGGGCGCGGACAAGAACCAGAGCATGTTTCTCTTCTTGCTCCCCAAGGTCCCGCTTATGTTGCGGGTGGCCATCCTGCACATGCTACATGTCTCGCAGCAGTCAAAGTACCTAGACTTGCGGACTGAGCTCATCATTGCGGTCCTGCGGTCCCTAACCAACCCGTCACGTCCTCTGAGCATATCAGACACGCAAAAGCTGGCTGGCCAGGCTCCGAAACTCAAGGGGAGGATTTGGGTTAGCACCTACTCGTGCCCGCCTCCGCCACCAGGGGAGACAGGTCTGCAGGAGGCCATCGCCAAGGCCATTGACGGGCTGCGGAACCCCAAGGCGCCCCAGCCCACGTACCAGATGCCCGAACCGGCGTCCATCGAGGGCGAGTGGACAGGCTACCGCGCCAGTGCGACCGCCGAGTCCCGGCTGCCCAACGTGTCGGAGAGGGAGCTCTACGCCGAGATGATGAGGGAGGTCAATAGTCCCGTGACGGTGCTCTACTTCCATGGAGGTGCCTACTATATGCTGGACCCTGCCAATCATCGTCCGACCACCAAGACGCTGGCCAAGCTGACGGGCGGGAGGGTGTACTCGGTCCGGTACCGCCTCTCGCCGCAACACGCATTCCCGGCGGCTCTGATGGACGCCTTGCAGTCCTATCTCGCCTTGCTCTACCCGCCAGAGGGCGCCTTCCACGAGCCCGTCAAGCCAGAGCACCTTGTCTTTGCCGGCGACAGGTCAGTTCTCCCTCATCCAGACATTTTCCCCTGGGGCACTAACTCTTTTGCCCCAGCGCCGGAGGCAACCTCTCCCTGGCCCTGCTCCAACTGGTCCTCCACCTCAATAAGCACACCCACCTCATCCCCTGGCACGGCACCCCCCGGCAAATCCCCCTGCCCGCCGGCGTGGCCGTCAACTCCCCCTGGCTCGACATAACGCACTCATTCCGGTCCTGCACAACCAACGCGCCCTTCGACTACCTCCCCCCCCCCGCCCAGCAACGCGCCGCCGAAGCCCACCGGCCCGCATGCCCCATCTGGCCCGCCACTCCGCCGCGCAAGCACCTGTACGCGCCTGACTCCCTGCTCGCGCACCCGCTCGTCAGTCTGGTCCTCGCCCGGTCCTGGCGGGGCGCACCGCCCGTGTACATGTGCACCGGCTGGGAGCTGCTGGCGGACGAGGACAAGTTTGTGGCGCACAAGATGTGGCGGGAAGGGGTGAAAGTGTTGCTCGAGGAGTTTGAGGCCATGCCGCACTGTTTTGCGCTCGTCATGCCGCAGCTCAGGGAGGCAAGGCGGTGCTTGGAGGGGTGGGCTGGGTTTATCAAGGGGGTTGTTGAGGGCGGTGCTGGTGGTTGTGGTGTGGGGGAGAGTCGGTTTGTGACGGTTCGGGCGAAGTCGTTGGAGGAGGTGGTGGGGAATATTGGGGAGGTGTGGAAGGAGGGGGAGGAGGTGGTTGAGGAACGGGTATGGAGGATGGTCACGGAGCGGGGAATCACTGAGGAAGGAATTGCGAAGTTGTGATATTGCTTGCTTACTGCACAATACACACGGCCAAGGTACAATACTTCGGAAGCTCGGAATAGAGCCGAGGACGCGGTTATGAGATGGAGCAGGAGGTGTGAACATTATAAGAAGATGGTCAGCGTGACCTAGGTGGTAGCTACCACATTTGGTTAAGTTGTTACTGTGCACGCTGAATATTTCGTATGTGCTCCTCAATGGAGCTGAGTGAGTGTAGAGCTCAGAGGAATGTAAGAAGAGTGCCAAGTGAGTGAGCGGTTGGACCCACTCACATCAAAAAACATGTCCCGATTCTCTCTCAACACCGACTCTCTCACCTCCATCCACTGCTCGGACAACGCAATGTAAGACAAAAACCAAACAGAACATACACAAACCGTTAGCCCTCCAAGCCAAAATGGACCGCCACAAAGCAGCAGTTGCGGCCATAGCCTCCACGGTGCGCTCCCTCTTCCTCGCGCGCAAACCCTACCGCATCAACCACGGCAGCACCAACTCGACCCGCCCGCGGCCCTCGGCAACACCGTCCGTCGACATCTCGCCCCTGCGCAACGTCCTTGCCGTCGACCCGGCCCGCCGCGTCGCCCTCGTCGAGCCCAACGTCCCCATGGACCGCCTCGTCGAGGCCACGCTGCCGCACGGCCTTGTCCCGCCTGTCGTAATGGAGTTCCCCGGCATTACGGCCGGCGGCGGGTTTGCGGGGACGGCCGGCGAGAGCAGCAGTTTTCGGCATGGTTTCTTTGATGAGTCGGTCAGTCGGGTCGAGATGGTGCTTGCGGACGGCGAGGTTGTCGAGTTGACGCCCGATGGGGAAAGGGCGGACTTGTTCCGGGGCGCGGCGGGCGCCGTGGGGACGTTGGGGTTGACGACGCTTTTGGAGGTGCGGTTGATGGAGGCTAAGAAGTTTGTGAAGACGCGGTATCGGCGGACGGGGAGTGTGGCGGAGGCGGTGGAGGCTGTGAGAGAGGAGGTGCGGAAGGGGGGTAATGATTATGTGGATGGGATATTGTTTTCGAAGGATCATGGGGTCGTGGTGACTGGGGAACTGACGGATGAGATGCCGCAGGGCGGGAGGGCGCAGACGTTTAGTGGGCCGTGGGATCCGTGGTTCTATCTCCATGCGAAGGAGAAGACCGCGGCGGTCGGGCAAGAAGCACAGGCGGATTATGTCCCACTGGCCGAGTACCTGTTTCGCTATGATCGGGGCGGGTTCTGGGTCGGCGCGGCGGCGTTTGAGTACTTCAAGATTGTGCCCTTCACGAGGTTCTTCCGCTGGTTTCTCGACGACTTCCTCCACACGCGCATGATGTACCGTGCCCTGCACGGCTCGGGCGAGAGCGCGCGGTTCGTGGTGCAGGACATCGCCATGCCATTCGAGACGACCGAGCGCTTTGTTGACTACACGTCTTCCGAACTCGGCATCTGGCCGCTGTGGCTGTGCCCGCTAAAGAGGCGTGGCCCGCCCACCTTCCACCCCTTCACCACACTGCCAGAGGGCATTGAGAGGAAGGAGGAGGACATGATGCTCAACGTCGGCGTGTGGGGCTGGGGCCCGTCAGAGCCGGCCGAGTTTGTCCGGAAGAACCGCGAGCTGGAGAACAAGGTGCGCGAGCTGGGCGGTATGAAATGGCTGTACGCACACACCTACTACCCGCAGGACGAGTTCTGGCCCATGTATGGCGGCCGCGAGTGGTACGACCAGCTGCGCGCAAAGTACAACGCCGGTACCCTCCCAACTGTGTGGGACAAGGTCCATGTTGACCCGGAGGCGGCCGGCGCAAAGCAGCGCCACTGGCTGAAGAGACAGTCGCCGCTCGGCGGCTTCTATGGCATCTACAAGAGCATCCAAAGCAAGGACTACATGCTGCATCGGAAGGCTCAGTGGAAGTGGAAAAGCGAGTGACACCCGGCGGAGTGTTCTGATAGGTTGGCTAGATGGAAGGATACACTGTAGTAATAGCTGTACCCAATATCAGATGGATGTACATCGTACCGGCAGATACCTAAGGAATAGAGAACTCAGTAAGCTGCGACAGGTACGTTTGCGTACACCGCATGGTTCCGAAAGGGGCCTGGGTGTCAACACTTACATGCTCATGGTATGGAACCAGGGATAGCAGACGTATGCACGAGTTTGCGGTCACCGCAAGAAGATATGGAAGCCCAGCGGCGTTCACATTGTGGACTCCATAAATCAGGTATCCTGAGGAACCCCTCTAAATACAGACAGAGCTCAACTGCTCAACAACATGCTCAGTGAACGCCTCCTGCAACGATATTCCCACATCCGAGTCATTGGATTGCTCAGCCAGTTCCTCCACGCCAAATCCCTTCTCGCCGTGCGCCCAGAGACACCTTTCTACCGCTCTCCAGTACCTATCTCCAACAATATTCCTCAACTCGGTCAGCGGGTTCGGCCGACCAGCCGCCTCAAACGGCGCGCCCTTCTTGATACCCAACAACCAATCCCTGACCATCTTAGACTCCTCCAGCGGCACATTCGGCACCTTGCCATTCTGGCCCTCGCCGCTCGGTTTCTTCTCTCCCAGGTGCATCACCTTGTGCAGCTTCTCCCAGTGTGCGATCTCCAACAGCAACAGCCCCAGACTGTACAGATCATACGTCTTCTTCGAGTTCCTCTCGGTCGGCCGCTGCCGCTGGATGCCGGGCCAACGGTAGAGATCCCAGACGACATCCACTTCCCTCGCTGTGGTCTCGGACCCGTCCGGGCGCGAGAACTCAAACCCGGATAAGACGGGTTTCTCGGGGTTGTACTCCAGCCCCGTTTGACCCCTACCAGTCCCGTTGTCGTCCTCCTTCTCCGCGCTGCAGTGGAACACGACGTTGTCGCTAAAAATGCCCTTGTGCAGCCAATTGACGGCGTGCAGGTTCAGCACCGTGGCGCACAGTCTCGCCGCCATGCCCACGCGCCGCGACAAGCTCGGCTTCAGTTTCGCGTCGCCAAGCATGTCGTGCAGCGACACGACCCGCGTGTCGTAGTCGCTGCCCTCGGGCATCTTGAAGATCCAGCCGTAGCGGTCGGCGCCGGACACATCGCGGTCGTCGAAGAAGCCGAGACATTCGGGCGCGTGCAAGGACGCGGGCTTTGGCAGTCGCAGCATCTCGGCCAGGGCGACCGTGCGGAGGGCGGATTGCGCGTCCCTGAGCGAGTTGGGTGGGATGTCGCCGAGGGACTTCCATTCGATCCACACTGGCGTGTCGCCTTCGGATGTGGTTAGGATTCCCCGCGGCCGGGGGAGCGATTCGGGAATTTCAGCCTCGTGCTCATTCCACTCAAAGAATTCGCTTAGGTCGGCGTCGGTGTACTTGCGGACTGTGATGCCGAAGTCGAATAAGCTGCGGGCAATGTCGAAGGTGGTAATGTCCCGCTTGCTGAGCTGGGCGAGAATCAGTTCGGAAGTTCGACTGATCTTCTTGAGTTGGAGGAGGTCTTGGAGAGACGTGTCGTTGTGATGCGCCTCTTTCTCCTTGCGGGTATCTGCTGAAGTAGATATCAAACTTGTGACAGCCCCAAGCATGTCTCGCAGGTTTTGGACGGTGTTCCTGGTCAGGATCATCTCTCGGTATGTCTTTGCTGTGATATCGTCAATCTGCTTCTCTCGGTAGGTTCTCATGAGCTCGTGAAGCCTCTCCGTCAGGGCATGGAGATCCTTCAGGAGCGCCTCGAAGGCTTCCTTATCGATGGCTATCCAACGGACACGGGCTGGATGAGTGACGATATCCTTGGTGTGGCGACCGGTCTTTTGAAAGAAGCTCCGGATATGGTTGGTCCCCCGGAGATGCCTGCGCTCTTCATGCCTTGCCTCGTAGGACACGGCTAGGCTTGAAATCTCCTTGAGAACGTCGATGTCCGTCGGCTGCTCGTTGGCCTCCTTGTCGTCCGAAGTATCGGTCTTTGTGGAAGAAACAGGCAGTTCATTGCCGTAGCGGGCGTTCAGCTCCCTGAATTCCGACAGCAGCCACTGTATCCGAGCCACGATGGCAACCAGCTCTAACCCCTCCGCTCCCAATGTGGTGCCCAGACTGGAACCCTCAGGGACATCGACTAAGCCTGCTGCTTTTCCCCAGGCCAGGACTCGGTTGTATTCGATGATGAGCTGCAGCCTGTACTGCTCAAACTCCCTGGGCATATCGACCAGGGCAGTAATGAACTTGAAGACTGGCAGCGGTCAGTATCCTTCCTGACAGCGATGATAATTCTCGACTTACCCCTAACCGCGCTGTCAAATACGTCCCATGTCAAAGAGATTACTCCAGCGGCGACCTCCATGGTGAACAGCAAGTGCCCTAATGTAGTTACCTCATGGTCAGTAGAAGCGTCAAATGCGGAGAAACAGAAGAAAGCAAAAATATCAAGATGCAAAAGAAAGAGAGCCAAGATTCATCTGAATCGAGACGGCCGGTGAACGAAAACTTAACATACAGAAAACTTGAGAAATATTGTTCACTGTCTCTCGTTTAAAACACTTACTCTCTGCTATGTCGATCTCTTATTGCTCCTCTCAATCACCGAGTCAACTTGCAACTGCAACTCTGGTGCCTAAGGTAAGGTACGGTATGTAACCTCACCTAAACTACCTATCGTGAGTCACGGTCGTTGTGAGCCTGACTGGCCTCGGGGCGGGGGCTGCGTTGAATAGAACAGGAAGCCGCGGGTCATCTTGCTCTGAGTTTCATGGATGCAAGTGGCCGTCACTTATGCAGTTCCACTTGAGGCAGTGCGATTCTCCGTTTCTGTGCATGTTGAGGCCTCATCTTCGCTGAGCTGTACAAAGAAGTGAGTTCACTCAGCCTCGCCGGCTCAGACAGGTCCAGTCAGACTCGGTAAGTTTGCAAGCGAAGAATGCCCATGTGGCGTTCGCGGCTTTTTGATTGTCGGATTCCGGGGCGGTTTACCTTGCCTCGCCCACTTGCCGATCGCAACTTCCAAGTTTGTCGGATTCCGGCTCGGGGCCAAAACGGCAGCACCACGTGGTCAGAGAGCAACTAACAGTGGATGTTCCAGGCTAGGGTAGCTGATGCGAGGCGTGTTCAACGGCAAGTCAGCTCTGTGTGAAGCCGATAATAGGCTCAACCAGCACAGAGCAGCGCCCAAACGTCGTCAGTTCATAGCAGCCCAGGGCTGTCAAAACCGACTGCAATCTTCCATCCCGGTTGGAATTCTTCACGCCCATTTCTTCTCACCGAGATTCCACCGACCCCCATTTGCCACTGGCAAGCACAGTCATTTCTGATTCTTCCCATTCGACACGACAAAATGACAGATGTCGCAAGTCATGGCGGAGAGCCCCACCATCGAATGCATGGACCGGTCTCCGCGCTCCGCTCATCCGCGCCGAAGCCGAAGCGGGCGCCAACTCGCGTCTCGATCATCACCCCGAAAGGCTCCACAACTGCCGATGACAGCAGACTGCGCTCCGCTTCCGTTAGTACGCCGCCGGGCTTGCACGTATCATCGACGACATGGAAGAGGCTCATCCTAACACTCGACGGCGGTGGAATCCGGGCATACTCGTCGCTCATTATCCTCCGCGACCTGATGCACGAGATCGAGCGCATCGAGCAGTCACTCGATCCCCGCGCCGCAGCCAGCACCCATACCGACCGCATTCCCCGAGATCAGATTCCTGATGATGTGCTCCGAGAAGGGCAATACCTGCCCTGCCACTACTTCGACTACATTGCTGGCACCAGCGTCGGCGGCTTGATAGCCATCATGCTGGGCATGTTTGGAATGAGCGTGGACGACTGCATCAACGAGTTCCACCGCCAGCACAAGGCCATTCCGCTGGCCGACGACGCCTCGGTCGTCTCTTCAATCGACTTTCCGCTTGTCTACCGGCGCAGCACCTGGCCGACCAAGCGCACTCGCTCCTTCTTCGACACCTTCGCCAAGTTCACCGTGACCGCCACCGCCCGCACCCTGACAGGCTCCTCCACTACTCCTTCCATATCCCGCGCATCATCACAGGTATCCGCCGCATCAAGCGAATTTCGTAAAGACACGTATCAATGCCAGACCCTCGCCTGGTGCACCGAAGTCGAGACGCGCCGGTCGCGGCGGCCCTACGCCTTCTGCACCTACGCGGAAGATGAGAATGACCCCGAACAGCTCATCTCGATCCCGGAGGTGGCCAAAGCCATCACCACGCCTTCCCGCTACTCCTTCAAGCCCTTCAAGCTCGGCTCAGGCCACTTCGTCGACGGCAGCAAGCAGATACGGGACCCCACCCTCGAAGTTCTCAAAGAAATCAGTTCCCTGCTCGACGAGGCCGAGCCCGCCATCGACCTCCTACTGAGCCTGGGCACCGACGAGCATCAGGCCTGGTTCTACGAAAAGCTGCGCTCCTTCACCTCCTCCGCAGTACTCACCGAAGAGGACGACCAGAACAAAAAAAAGGCCATCACCGCCGAGCAAGGCCGCTCCTACAACCACTACCACCGTTTCGAAGTCCCTTCCATCAAGCTCGGCTGGCGCAAAAAGTTCTTCCTCGCCGAGATCGAAGGGGAAACTACTAAGTGGCTGGCCCAGCCAGAGCAAAAGGCGCGCATCACACAGTACGCTACCATGCTCGTCGAGCGGCGGCGCGCGCGGGCCGCCACGGCGAGGTGGGAGACGTTTGCGCTGGGGGTGCGGTACGTTTGTTTTCATGAGGCGTGTAATAAGAGCATGGAAGGGGAGGAAGGGGTGAGCAATAGCCCTAAGCAGGTGTTTACGGGGAGAGGGGATTTCTTTGATCATCTCGATCGGAGGCATGAGCTGGGGAGATTGGCGGCGAGAGGGCTGGTGGATATTGAGGAGGAGTTGGATCGGGGGAGGAGGTTTGGGTGTACGTGATGGAGGGAGAGGATCGATTGGTGTTACGTTCTGTTGTTCTCGAGGAGGAGATTGTTTTGGTAGGCTGCATATGCATAGTGAGCATGGCGTTTTTTGGAGCAGTCTGTAGACGGACCAGTCTTTTCGTGGACAGGCTTATACCATACGTACGGAGGACCTGGTGGGAGGTTAATGGCCGTGGGGTCTGGTGGTGTTCCTTTGCTTTGGGTTGAGTCTGCCTAGATCGTCCACTCGCCAAACTTGGTGGTTAGTATGCCTTGCCGTTAATAAATGAGTGTTTTCGCAAACACAAGGACTCGGCATCATGCGTGAGGGACATCACACCATTCCATATTGTGTTGAGTGCAACCTTGGGGAAGGTCTCGGCCGCAGGGTGGGGTCAGTCCAGTCTCCCGGTATTTCGGTGCGGCCCCGCTACCCAGGTGACACACACCCCACATTGGTGTCGCTTAATGTCTGGTGACATTCTCCGATGTCTTGGCATGTTTGGGAGGCCTCCCCGACTCCGCGCCCGAGTAGTGGGAGAACTTCGCATCTCACAGGCGAGACAGGTTGCCCTATGCCATTGGGTCGCCAATTGCTCACTGCGGATCGCCCGGGCAGCGTGCATGGTTGGAAAATGGTGAATGGTGGTGGATGGACGGTGCTCACATCATCGTTGATGACTTTGCTGGTTGGGTACGGACACAGCCGTACGGATAAGACGTGTTGTGTTGGGCAGTGTTGGAGGATGATGCCGGAATGTGGATGCCTGACAGAAGTTCAAGGTCGATGTCAAGGTCTTCGAACCCAAATGATATTCTCCCGTTTACAGAACCGTGTAATACACTGGCCTGCAATTCATCGCCCTGTCTTGCTGGACCATCGAACAGACAATTGCCAATGACGCAGGTCGTCCCACCACGGAAACAGGGGCTTAAAGCCGAGCGGAAGATCGTTGGAGAAGGTCTCCACCTGGGAGCTTGAAGCTCCATTTGGTTACGTCTTTGAGACAGAGTGAAGTGAATCGGTGAATACGATAGACTCGAGTGTACGCTACAATCTGTCGGCTATATCCTAAGGTAGAATAGTTCGAGTACATACAAAGACCTCCGTCGTTGGATCGTTCATGTTTCAACTGGACCAACCTGAGGCGAGCTGCTTTTCCTGGTAACAGAGTGCGGCGCGGATACTGTGGTAGGAGGTTAATAGAGTGCGGGTGCAAACGTGTAACAGAAAAACAGCGGTTGAAGATCACATTGAAAACGGAAGCCCCATCAGTGAGAAAACCTCTTCTTATTAAAACCGCGCTTGACAAGACCACTGCCACCCTTGGCATTGCATTGGCATTTCTGACCGCTCCAGTTCAGAATCCTTCTCAGTTGGAGAGATATTCGCGGTGAGTGTGGTATCCAATGCAGACTTGCTTACATGACATCGGATTCTAGGTTTGGGCGAGAGTGCCTGCGTTGGTCTGAGCCGCTGCGCCCGAGCAGAGTGTCACCAACTGCATTGCTTTGCTGGGGCCGAGGTTGAGACCTCTGTGTCCGGTAACTGAAGCGTCCGTTCACGGGTGCGAGACTCGGGGGGTCGTCAGCTTAAGGGCCATCGAACTTCAACGTTACCTTAAATTCGATATGAGGAGCTGCAAGTTAAGGATTTTCTCAACTCAGACAACTGATCTTACGACAGTTATCACCTTACCTTACCGTATCCCTTACACTAGGCGACAGGGCATAGTCATTGGCTCCGGACTCGCTTGCATCCGGATTTAGAACCCCACCTTTGTCCTTGCTCCATTTCCCAGCCGCCGGCTCTTCGCCCGTCTCTTTCGAATCGCCCTCCGATGCGCCTACTCTGCAAGTGAAAGAAACGGCCCCAGGGAGTTTAACTACACTTTCACTCTATCTTCTGCCGAGTGTCACCTTAACTCAAAAACGGTTACGGTCATCACGATGACATGTAAGTAACCTTAGCCTCCTCCTCCTCGAGACCTCGACCCCTTATCCCTTGTGCCCTTTGCGTCTGCACGTTTTGGCCGTCAACACCGCGAAACCTAAGTCGCGTGTCTCTCCCCAGACCTCATCCTTCCATCCCATCATCTGCAGAAGGCCACTGTGCAATTGAGCGCCACCCGCCTTTTCCACTGGTGAACTATCGCTGGGATACCCCAAACACGCGCCGTGCACCCCTCTTCGAGATGAGCAGCAGTCCCGGCCATCCAACACATCCAATCCACCGCACACTCCTCCCCATCGCGCAAAAGCAGCCATGGGTAACGGCTTGAACGGCAACGACTTAACACCACATACAGTCCACATCAAGACGCGCGACCAGATACGCCGGATCGAAACCGGCAGGCTCTCAGACCCACCCAACGGCAACGCCCGCTTCTCAAGCCTCGACGACATGCCAGTGAACGACGAGCGCAGGCCTCTCCTGGGGCACCATCACCTCGCGTCTACCTTGCACGCCGAACCGGGGTTTTGGCGCCACTTGCTCATCAACCCCCAGAGCAGTCCCGGCATTAACAGCCCGAACCCGCTTGTCAAATGGCCGGCCAGGGGATGGAACGTGACCAAGGTCACTCTGTTTAGTTGTACGCTTTTCACCTACCCACCCAACTTGCTTGAGACACGCCCTAATGTACTACTACAGCCTGGATCAACATTCTGCTCGTCTTTGTCCCGCTCGGCCTTTTCGCCGGCCGGCAGGACTGGGGCGCCACTTGGGTGTTTTCGCTCAACTTCCTCGCCATCATCCCGCTGGCCGCCGTCCTCTCCTTTGCGACAGAGGAGATCGCACAGCGCCTGGGTGAAACCTTGGGCGGGCTGGTGAATGCCACTTTCGGAAATGCAGTGGAACTGATCGTCAGCATTGTCGCGTTGCGCGCCGGAGAGATCGAGGTCGTGCAAGCTTCGATGCTCGGGTCCATCTTGTCCAACCTTCTCCTCGTCCTCGGCATGTGTTTCTTTCTCGGCGGAATCTACAACATGCGGGGCGCCGACGGCAGAGGCATTGAACAGAGCTTTGCCGCGGGCACCGCCCAGACCACCTGCTCGCTCATGGCCCTTGCCTCGGCCTCCATGATCCTCCCCGCGGCACTCTACGGAGTCCTCGACCGGGCCGAGGAACATAACAAGCAGGCCAGCATCCTGGTTCTCTCGCGCGGCACCTCGATCGTCCTGCTGTGCCTCTACGTCCTCTACCTCTACTTTGCTCTGCGCACGCACAAACAGCTTTTTGAGCCCGAAGCTCAGGCCGTTCGCGATGAAGGAGAGGAGGAACACGAGCCGTTGCTGGGTCCCTGGTCCGCCGCCCTTGTGCTGGTGGTGACGACGGTAGTCATCTCGTTCTGCGCCGACTACATGGTGGACAGCATCGACGCGCTGGTGGCGACGGGCAAGATTAGCAAGACGTTCATCGGTTTGATTCTGATTCCCATCGTCGGCAACGCCGCCGAGCACGTTACCGCCTGCGTGGTGGCCGTCAAGGATAAGATGGACCTGGCTATGGGCGTGGCTATTGGATCGAGCATCCAGATTGCCCTGCTGGTTACCCCCGCACTCGTCATGCTGGGTTGGGCTATTGGCCAGCCCATGACTCTGCACTTTGAGACCTGTAAGCTCTTCCAAGCCGGATATCAGAAAACATGTGCTCATTGCTAACCCGGATCAGTTGAAACTGTGGCATTTGGCCTCTCGGTGCTGGTCGTCACCTACACCGTCCAGGACGGTAAATCCAATTACCTCGAGGGCGCAATGGTATGTATTCTCCCTTTTAACCTCCACATCCAGTGTTCACAGACTACTAAACGATCCGTGCAGCTCTTGGGTCTCTACATGATCATTGCCCTTGCCTTCTGGGCCAGTCCAACAGATGCTCTGGGCAAGACTGCCCTTCCGTGGCAGTGATCCAAACAAAGGTTCATGCGACACACGATACAACCCAGCCGGGAAATTCTCATTTACCTTTACAGATATTTTTCGGGCGGTCTCTGTACGAATATGTGCGCCATACATGTCACACAATTGACTACGTTTGATACGGCTTTGGCAATGCCAAGAGGCTTGGATCACCAACCACTTGGAGAAAGGCCAAATGTTGCCGAGGAGGGGCATTGTACCAATATCTACGGGAGGCGTTTTGTGTAAACCATGGCAAGCAGCGGAGTTATGGGTATGTCAATCAGATCTTCTCATTGTTGGGTAGTAAAAAAAAAAAAAAAAAAAAACTCTTGATCTTCGTGTGACTGTTCCGAGTTCGGTTCTCATCGAGCGAGATTGGTACTGTACCCGGTAGTATCCGTCAACCGCAGTGATCGGACCTGAACCTGGTTCTGCCTTGCAAGAACTTTTCCCTCCTATGTCAACCACGCTTCCATGCCCTGCCATCCGTAACAAGAAGAAACCAACTCAGACTCATATCAAATGAGAAGAGTGAACGAACGAAGCGTTGGTTCTTAGGCGAGGAGAAAGAAGAGATAGCAATTTGTCATGTTGCTTTGCAATCATGTTACCTACAGAGCCGAGATACAAGTCCCTTACACAGTAGGTCCTCTTGGTTCTCCAGTGTCCGGCAACCAACCAGCTCCTCGCAGGCAGGCGGGTTAGATGCAAATAAAGCCCAAAGCAAAGGTGGTAAAATCTCCCATGCCCCTTAACTTGCACCGCATTCGATGCAGACCCGGTGCCAAAAATCCCACTCATTCACACCATCCATCCATCCACCCATCCATCGCCGGCTCTCACCTCGTGCCAAACTCCTCGCACAATTCTCAAGCCAGCAGACAGAGCGGCCATGTGGAAATCCAGCCTTTTCCTCCCGGTGACAAACGGAGACAAATGGCGCAGGGTTCCTTGCCGGTTCAGTACGGTGGCTGCCACCAGAGTCGGTAGGGATAAATCAAAGCAAACAGTGCCAGCTATTATCTGATGTGGTTCCTCAGCACCGAGCAATGTGCTGTGATAATGGTGCAACCATGGTGTTCTGCTGCTGCTGACCCTGCCACTGGTTGCCGTTCCAGAAATAGAGTAAAAGTACAGAGAAAAACAGTAGAAACTGAAATGAACCATGGCGCCAGAATGCCGGTCCATTGTCCCACCACCCGTATCATTAATGTAAGTAGGTAGTGAACTCCCGTACGCGCCAGCCCAGACCATCTTTATAGTAGAACAGACCAAGAACCTCTTTTTTTCCCCAACCTCGTCATGCTGTATGTTGTTTTGTTGGCATTGGAGATGGAGATGGACACCAACAACCATGCTGTCTCCTTATTAGGCTTCACGAAGAGATGAGATACGGAAGGAGGCAATCTTCCAATTGGCCATGGGCCCATCCAGCAAAACCTGTCGTTGACTGTCGACATGTTCTGTGGACAACCCTCTATCCGATTACCGTTTTGGGGTTACGGATGGCGCAGGCTCGATCGTCGGCCATCACCCAACAGAAAGCACCGTCTTAGGCGAAGTACTACTGCGCATTTGTCCAGAGCTCTCTGCCGGCCTTAGCATCAAAAGAGGGATTGCCTGGCTCTGTGCTGCCCTGGCGCCGAGACGACGGCGTGCTGTTGTAGAACATCTGGGCAATTGGGGTACCAGATGGGTACGACTCGGGATCAGGGTACACGTATCCATTGCCATTGGGGCTCTGCGTGGGAGACCCGACAGGACCGGGCGAGGCCCATCCGACACTGCCGATATGGGGACTACCGGCAGCGCTGCCGGAACCTTGCTGGGGTTGTTCAATGCTAGGTTCGAGGGTCTGCGGAGGAGCATATGCGGTCGGATGGGATGTCGGGCGCATGCCGTTGTTGTATCCCGAAGATGCCGTGGGTGAGGCGCTGCCAACTTGAACATCGCCACGGAGGTGCGGTGGGATCGAGTTGGTCAGATACTGGATGTTGTTCATGCTGGCCAACTCTGCGCCCGGCGACATAGAAATGGGGCGTTGTCCCGGAGAAGGAGTGGTAAGTGGAGACTCATGGTTTGACGCTTGCTCGCTCTCGGACCGCGACTTGCTCTTAGCAGCGGCGGCGGCGGCAGTCGCACCCTGGGCAAGGGCCTCGGCACGGGCGCGCGCGGAATCCTCAACTGTGCCAGTATGGTGGTTCTGGTGCCTAGTAAGTGTCGTCCGACGAGTGAATGTCTTTTGGCAGTCGACATAGGGGCATTTATACGGCCGCTTGCCCGAGTGGATCCGCCTGTGCCGAGCCAACGAGCTGCTATCACTGAAGGGCTGCAGCAGAACACTGTGAGTGACCCTGGCCGGTCAGTGGGGTTGACCATGCTTACCTTGCCACAACGCTCGCACCGGTGCGGCTTCTCACCAGTATGCACACGTGAATGCACCGTCAGAGCGGACCTTTGAATGAATTGCTTGCCGCAGCCAGGGAAGTCGCAGACATGCGGACGAATCCCACTGTGGATACGCTCTGGCTTACATGTTAGCAGAACAAGGTGGAACAAATGATGACCGAGACATACCATGGCGTGCAAGATCACTCCGTCTCGCAAACGGCTTCCCGCACGTGCTGCAGGGAAACTGTTTTGCTGGCGGTTGAGGACGCGCCTGTGGATGTGGCTGCGCCTGCGGTTGCGCCGCTTGAGCATGCACCTCAGCTGTCTGGTAACCTGGCTGAGCGGGCTGGTAGCTTGGCTGAGCTGGCTGGTAGCTTGGTTGAGCCGGCTGGTAGCTTGGCTGCGGGATCCCAGACATCAAATTGGGCGGCAGGTCCGGGTGAAGCATCGGAGCTGATGCCATATTGGCGCTGGGCACGGGTGGCAAGGGGGCTGTGGCCATGGCAGCGGGTGAAGGGTAGGAAGCGTTCATAGGACCACTCGACTGCTCCGAGCCATGCGGTGACGTCTGCTGCTCAACTTGGGGTTGCTGAACGGCCTGAACCGGAGGCTGTTGCTGCAGCTGCTCTTGTTGCTGCAGCTGTTGTTGTTCGGTTGTCACCTCTTGTGAAGCTTGTTGTACCCCTGGCTCAGATTTGATATTAAGCACATTCCCAATTCCCATGGCGCTAGTCGATGATGGCGACTGCGACATGTTAAAGCTTTGTGAAAGGCGGCGAAAGTAAAACCTCTTGTATAGCGCTGAGTGCTGAAGAATCACGGTCAGCACGGCGAAAACCCAAGCGGTGAGCAGGTCGAAACAGCTGCCCGAGGATGGGTCAAAGGACAGCCGGAAGACAATTGGGCAGGCAAGCCACAGTCTCTTTGACTGCGATATGTCGGCGTGGACCTGCAGTCAGTAGAAAAAGAAATCCCAGACTGGGCGTGTTGCGATGGCCGATGCTCGATGGCTGACGGTTTTTAATGATGAAAGAAGGAAGGACAGGAAAATGAGAAGTGATGCGGGGCTGGCGACGATTGAAATTTTCTCACCTCAAATAAAGAGTAACCCGAGATCCCAAACCGATCAGTAACACGCCAGCTAGGGCTTTGAGGATTCGATATTGTCTGAAGACAACGCCCAAGACTCAAGCTGTTTAAGTCGCTTGTGTGTACTCAGTCGGTTTGATGGAGGTTGTGGTGGTGTTGTCGTGCACGGTTCAGGAAGGGTGCTGTGCTGGCAAGTAACCTTCGTGAATCGCGACTCAATGCAGATGACGTCGCGGGCACGACGAAGACAGGAGACGATGGAAACAAGCCGAGAAGGAGATAGATCACGACTCGGCTTTGTGAGTTCGATGGAATTGGTCCGGGAACGAGATGTTTTTGCTCCGGCGATTTGGACCGGGCGATGGTCAAAATAACAAGCAGAGGGAAAATAACGTGGCTCGTGCAGCTAAGGTTGGGAAAGCCGCATTTGGGGCACAGTGAAACGAACAGCTGGGGTCCCAAGACGCGTTGTGGGCCCCGCAGCCCAGGCACTAAGGCCCCACACTACCAGTCAGGTGGAGATCCTTCACGAAACAAATTATCGATCGCAGATTCCGACTTGCCCTGGAAGTGTTAGCTCCTTCAGAGCTGTGCTTTATCTGTAATTGCAGATATGAATTTTGATTGTGCTAAGCTTGTGCTGCTCTTCTTACGCTTTCTGAAATCCAATAGACAGGTCGAGCAAGGTCTCCAGGTCCCTCTTACTTCTAGCATCAGGAAACCGAATGGTTAATTGCCTGAACTTCGGCCACCAGCTCCAGAGAATGATAGCGGCGGGTATTGGTAAGATTCGTCCACACGCCCTCAGCCAACGGGAACACAGCTCCAATGACCCAAAAAATACAGAACACGAGACCCGCGACACCTACTAGATACCCGGGCTACAGCGCTGGTCCTCGACAGCGAATGCAAGCAGCCGCCATCTCTCGCTGCTGGGCCATCAAGGTGAGACGCTGGTGGCGTGCGTCGGCGGCTCGTCATGTTGTTTCGTGCCTTGCTCTAGCCTACACCTTAACCTACACGCGGTCCATCACCAAACAGCCAAGCCACAGGGCGGGGCGATCAAGAGCTTCCACACTGCTTCGATTTCTGCTTCGATTGCAACCCCCCACATCGGGATGTGGTCCCTGGCTGCCCCTGAAATTAGCCCGTGCTTTGGCGTCCCGCCGTGGCCGACGCCAGCGGCCAAAGCTTCTTAACGCCAACGAACGCCCGGTCCTAGAGGACCCTAAGATTGGGAATCTGCGAATGAGAATCCCATTGATGGGAGATTGAAGTAAATATGTTGAGCCTTGCGCCGTTAGATTCAGCACAATTTTGACCGCGAGACCAGTGTCTGGTTGGGCGCGAGGAGTTGTCGATATGGATGGCCGGTGCATGACAGCCTCCCAGCATCCTTGCTCGGCAACCCCTGAGCACAAGGGCCTCAAAAAACTTGCTTGGTGATCCATCACCTCTTCCAGATTTCCGGATGATGTGGAACCAGGGGAGCAAAATGCGAGCTCCCACCTCTGGGCGATCCGTGGTTTCGGCCATGCACAAAGCTTCCATGATGCTTCGTCGAAGCTTCTCCCGCCCCTTGTTCGGCGCTGGCGGATCCTCGCAAGCCCTGCCCATGCAAGACGCAGGGGCCCGGGGCCTTGGCCATTTGCAGCCCCATGATTCCAGCTCCGTCAGCTCGCCGAGCTTGGACCCCGGTCTTCAGCCCCTTGGTTTCTGTTTCCGAAGGCTGTGCGTTGATGAACTGGGTGCGACAGGCTTCATGATCCCATACCACAGCATGGTGACCTACAACGCGGAGATTAGGGAGTTCAGCCTGGAGAGCAAAGATTTATGCACTCATGCAGCTCGCCCTTTGTAGTAGTAACGGTGTTGCAGTGTTTCTTCAGCGGCCAAGCTTCTGAGGTTTTAATCGCCCCATACCATGCGGAGCTGCATGATGTGAGCGATCGTCGGCCCAAATGGTCAGCGTCATGAATTGTTCGTGGTATCCAATCTCGGATCGGCATTGCCAACTCGAATGAGGAGCGGAGCCTGTGACGGGCTAAGACGCCAACTCATCGGCATTTCCGTTTGAGGGTTGGCCGAGAATCTTGTTGAGTAGGCGCCAGCATCTGGGCCCCTTAACCGGAACATCGCGAGGTGGACATTGGTCCTCCGTGCTTCGGGCGGAAGTCGTCACGGCCCGGGGTGGGCCTGGTCATCTCCGGCCAATGCCGGCATCATATCATCCGAGGAGTTCAAGATGGCCAGTCTACAACGCCCAGGCCGGCCGAGCCAGACAGCTCTTGGGCGGGGAAAAGAGCGATTATTCCTTCTGGTCGTTGAAGAGATGTATTCAATTCATCTCGATGTGCAAACAACATTAACGTTCTCAGGACAGGGTTCAAGGTGGGCAGCGAAACTGCCTTTGCTCCGGCGTTGTCGGAGCAACCTTGGTCGCCCCGGCCGTTCCGGCGCCGTCCCTCATGCTGTCCCCCCGAGAATGGAGTTGTAAGGTCTCGCGAGAGAGAGCCGTCCAGGAAATAGCTGGGTGGCGATGCTGACTGTGAATGTCATCCCTTAGCAACACCTACGGCACGAGGAAGCGGAGTCTCGTACATAAAGGCGATCACCAAAGCCTGACGATCACCCTCCAATCCATTGTCTTGACACGGTCCTGACGAGCCAAAAATTCGCGGAAGAGTCAGTGGTTTCATCTCCCAGATGATCACTAATCCTTTATTCTGATTATATATTGCATGTTGGGGTGGAGTCGTGGGACCATCAGGTTCTCTACACAGTACACACATCGATTCATCCGGGTATGTCTTCCATCCCGTTTCCACCTTTGTTAGTGTCTATACCATGTTGGAAACATGTCGCGTTATGCCGAGGCATATTGTTGTGAGAATACGAAAAGCACCGCGTACAAGTACCTTCGACTATCTCCGTCTTGCAAGGTTTAAGCTTCTGCGGCTCACCTCTGTTCTACTGCCGCCTCAGCTGTTAATCTTGTGGCTTGTTCCGTGGAGTTGAGATCCGCTTCTGAGGAGAAGCTTCACCCTTCCCCTTTCTCTTGCTCATGTTTCTGGGTTCAGTCTTGAGGAAAGATTGAGGAAAGGGGAGGCAGCAAAGATCGCAAGGATCGACAGAACGCAAAAAGAAATTGACGGCCATCCACCGTCCTTGTGTGCTGATCGGACTTAGTTCGACTCACAAGCATCATGCCCAGGTTCACCATCGAGATTGACGTTTACTCGGATCTCGTCTGCCCCTGGTGCTACCTTGGAAAGGAAGCTCTCGACAAGGCCATAGCCATTTACAAAGCCCAGCATCCCGAGGCCGACTTCAAGCTGATCTGGAAGCCGTATCTACTTTGGCCCAACGTCGGCGTGTCTGGTAAGTCATGATACCCGGAGCCAAACTCGACCACACTCTCCACTGTCTGAGACGCCTATTAAAAACCCCTTGCAGCCTACGAGCGAGGAGCCGGACTCCGGGCCATTTATGGACCCAACACTCCAGCCGTGCTCGACCGCCTGGCCCGCTTCGGCGCGCAGTACGGCATCGAATTCAGATGGGATGGCAAGTCGGGAAACTCGCGGGACGCGCACAAGCTGGTCCTGCTGGCAATGGAACGCGACGCCGCCGCGGCAAACGCCACACCCTCCTCCCCAACAGCCACGCCTGCACCCGACCACCATCACCGCCCACCACCACCATCCTCCCCCACTGAACCCCCTAATCAACCACCCTCGACGACGACGACGAAGACAACGACAACGCCCGCCGCCGTCCCCCTTCTCCCACCGCACACCTCAACCCATCAACACCGCACCCTGACCCACCTCTTCACCGCCTCCTTCCAACATGGCGCCGACCTCTCCTCGCGCGCCTTCCTCGCCCGCGCAGCGGTCGAACCCCTAAACCTCTTCTTGACCGAAGCCGACGCGCTGGCCTATCTCGCGCGCGACGACACGCCCGCCGCGCGCGCCGTCGACGCCTCGTCCGCGTCGGCCGCGGCGCGGCTGCGCGTCGGGGTGGGAGCGGTGCCGAGCTATGTCGTGCAGAGCAGGTGGCAGGTGGGCGGGATGCAGGGGGAGGACATCTGGATGGGTGTTTTTGAGAGAGTGCGGAGGGCTTCTGCTGCTACTAGTGGGCTTAATGGTAGTGGCAATGGCGGTGATGATGGTGTGAGGAAGGGGATGGAGAAGGTTGAGTCTGCTGTTGGGGACGGGAGAGTGGACGGGATTGGGAATGGAGAGGGGAGGCCGTCGTTGCAGTGGGGGACGGAGCAAATGGAAAGAGATGGAGGGAATGTGGTGGAGGGAACTGATCATACATAGCTCCAGGATGCATGTGATAAATTGCTTGGACTGCAAGGCAACCCTGTTCTGTGTTTTTATGTGTTGTTTTGTTGTTGATGAAGTACAGCAAACTTGTCATCATGACCTGGTCCAACCACAGCTTTCCTGCCCGAAATCGACCACTTCGCCCTCAAAAACAACCCAGATCAATGTCTAGCAACCTCCAACGCCTGACTGTATGTGAAGTGTGACCACCAGAGACCCTCTAGCATCATAGCCGTTGTTTTGCACCCATTCCACTCTAGCCAGAGCAAAAAAACAAGAAACCGAGCCAATCTTGATTGCCCATCAATGGAAGTCAACCTCTCCGAACCCATCCCAGACGCCATCCCAATGCGAGATATGACCATTGTAATACCAGACCCACCCCCCCCCCCCCCCAAAAAACATCCCACCCTCTCGCCACCTTCTGTCCACCACTCCATCCCTCAGCGCTTCATGTGGCTGTAGTCTTTGAGCAAATGCTCCATATGCGTGTTGGTCGACTTGGCCCCCCGGCGCTGCACGCGCTTTTTCTTCTTCTGTTCCTTGGGCGCCTGCGCCGCCTTGAGTCGGGGGTCCTCCGACGCGGGTTTCTGCTGGGCGGCGACTAGGCGCTGCACAATGGTGTCGAGGCTGGGCACTTCGGTGCGCGCCCACATGACCTTGAGCTGCGGGTCAACCTCGTGGAACAGGCTGGGATCGTCGAGCCAAACCATGCGCGCGGAGCCATCCTTTTTGGCGCGGATCACGAGCACCCGGTGCTCCTTCTCCAATTCGTTGATGCCAGCCTCGCAGTCGGGCCAGCCGTCCTTGAGGTCCTTGACGCTGACCCCGCTGGCGTCCGTCTTCTTTTGCAGGTAGGCGAGCAACTGCGTCTTGTTCTTGACGCCGGGGATCGTCGGCCGGTGCACGTAGGTGCCCGACCGCCAGGTCTGCTCGCTCAGATCCGGGTCCGGAATCCACTGGATTTGCGGGTGGCGGCGCATCTGCTCGACGAAGAACTCTCGCTCGTTCTCCGGACGCGCCGTCGCCGACAGGTAGCCGAGCACGTCGAAGCAGGTTTGCGGCTCGTCCTTGCTGCGCAGCCACGACACGGCGTAGGCCATCTGCGAGATGATACTGTCGCCGGTTCCGGTCATGGCGGGTTGCGAGTAGACAATGTTGCTCGGCGTGTCGCGGTCCTTGCGCGGGGTCATGCTGCCCGCCGGGGCGGCCGACGTGGTGGAGCCGACAGAAGGAGAGGGTGACGGCGGAGCGAGCGAGCGCTTGGTGCCTGCGCCGGAGCCAAGCTTGGCGGCGGCGGCAGACATGCTGCTCAGGAAGGACGCGTGCTGGCGATCAAAGGCCGACATTTTGGGCTGTTGATCGCCGTTGTCTTCAGGGTTCTGGTTGCTGTTGTCTTCGTTGGTGTCCGAGTCGCTGTCCAGGTCTATCGCGTTGTTGATGCCCTGGCCGCTTGCCTCTGTGCCGGTACCCTTTTCCTCAGTCACCTTGTCGATGTCCTTCTTCTCTGCAAGCTGTTTCTCAATTTCAGCCGAGAACCGTGCTTGCTCGAGTTCCTCCTCGGTCTCCTCCTTGTCGGCGGCCTTCTTCTCTGTCTCCTTGTCGGCGGCGGCCTTCTTGCTGGTCGTCGCTTTCTTGCTTCCCTCCTCCTCTGCAAACTCCTTTTCAATTTCAACCCGGAGCCGTGCTTGCTCAAGTTCCAATTGTTGCAGTCGAACCAACTTTTTGGTGTGACTGGACTTCTCGTTATCGGCAGCTCTCTTCTTGCTGGCCCTCCTCTTCCTCACCGGGGGGTTGTTCTCTTTATTGGCGTCGTTTCCCGGCTTGGGCCCCGTGTGACTGGAATTCTCCTCGTTATCGGCAGCTTTCTCCTTGCTGGCCCTCTTCTCATTCACCGGGGTGTTGTTCTCTTTGTTGGCGTCGTTTCCCGCCTTGGACACCGCGTGACTGTCGACCACTGGGACGAGAGCGCAATTGTTATTATTATTATTGTTGTTGTTGTCGTTGTTGTTGTTGTTGTTGTTATTGTTGTTCCCAAGGTTCATCCACAACTTGTTCCCTCGTGATGGCAGCAGCGTCTCCCTTTTGCACTTCTGCGCAGGTTTCCGATTCTGCGGAGGAGGTTGTTGAGCGGTGCTTTGTTGTGCCGTCGTGGTTGCCTGTTGCGCTGATGAAGAGTGGGACATGCACGTCGCCATTCTGACAGGGATTATTGACAAGGGTGCCATTCTCAAACAAATGTGGCTTTCAATTGAAAGTGTTACTCGACATCCAAGAAGACAAAGTCCGTCTGATGATTTGGTGTCCAGAAACTGTCGCGAACTGATGAAAATGAAGAGTGCGTAGGATAACAGAAGGTGAAGGATAGTAGTGGAAGACCTCGGGAGCGCTCAGGTATTTAACGCTGTCCAAACGCGACTGCTTCTGCAAAACAATGCAAGCAGATGCAGAGAGCACTGAGCGCCGTCGTGATAACTGCCTCAGGACAATGCGTATGAGCTCCAAGTGGACATGACAAATGCGCCATGACACAAAATTGCAGTAATAAGCCCGCGGAATTACAAAGTCTATACACTGTGTGCCAGTCCCGAGCAGTGACCTCCGCCGCGTCTCCTCCATTCAGGCGCCCGAGACAGGCAGCAGGCTCGCTCGCTTCCAACGCCGGATGGTATATGTAGACGCAGCATACACGAATGCCATCGCCATCCATTCTTAGCTGAACCCGTCTAACCTGTCCAATGTTGTTGAATAACAATAATATCAACCACCGCGCCGTGCATGCACCTGCCGTTGCCCGGCTCCACGGCCACTGTCAGAAGACCCAATCCAAGTAGACAATGGCGGGAGACTTGACATCCGGATCCCAATGGTGCTTTCCTGAAGGCATTGCGGCGCGCCACGAGTAGACCCAGACACCGTCAAGTTGGAAACTGCCATTGCATTCGCCATCCCGAGTATTAAATCGCAGCAACTGAGAAAAAGTCGGCCTAAGCGCTCTGTGCGCCCTGTTGTTGCTGAAGGTACTGGTAGGCGCCGTAGCCAATTAGGCCGCCAAGGACGAGGACGGCGTACACCCCAATGCCAAGACCGGTGGCAGCGCTGTTGTTGGCGGCCGGGGAAACGGCGCCGGGGACGGGGGTCTTAGGCTTGGGGTCGCCGGGCTATAGCATATAGCACACGTCAGAAACTGCATGCCACCACTTGTGTGACCGTGTATGTTGGATGAAGATGGGGCCTGCTTACGTTGCGCTTCAGCGTGCCAACCTTGAGCTGCTCAAGGGTCTCGCGCGCCTCGTCGCTGTGGCCGACGTCCTCAAAAGCCTCGGTTGCGTCCTGGCCGGCGACATCGAGAAGGACTTCCTCGCCACCGCTGTTGAGATTCCGCTGTATTAGCACGTGCTGTGATTCGTATTGGGAAATGCGATGCGAGGAACCCAGGGGACTGCTTGGGGAGACGATATGCGGCCGATGGGCACTTACGGGTGCTCGTCGACAAACTTAGTGCAATCGTAAACCTGGTCGTGAATGACAACATAAAGATCCTTCTTCGTGTTGTGCTCGGCAACATCTTGGTAGGTGAGTTCTTTGGTAGCCATCTTGAAGGATGATTTGTTGTCGGGTTAGAGATTGTCGTCAGGTAATTTTTTCTGGACAGCTATTCTGTTAGCACAGTACGAACAAACAAACTGGCCCGGTGCCCCGGTAGGACGCAACTGTGCCGGCAGGCATACCAGAGATGCAAAGACTTGGGCACGATGAGTAATTGAGTCGGTACGGCGGCGGGCTGGTGGGAGACGGCTTGTCAAAGGAAAGGGGTGGAATAAGAAAAAGGTTCAGGGTTCCGATCCGGCTATGGAGTAAGGAGCGATCTGACCTCCCCCGACAAAGGCAGTCAATCCCCTGGCCGGCTCAACCCGCGTCTCAAAAGGACCTGAATGAGGAGTCTCCTTGGCAGGCCCCCAAAATTCGCCTTAGCCAATCAAGAACTTCCAGAATTATCCCTTCTGGAATCTGATTCGTTCATTTCATAGTCGTTCGATTTGGAGACTTGCGGTATCTCGGAAACCGATGCATTTCACTGCGAAGTCAGACAGAAGGGTGTCCGGCGGGTTTCTGTGAACTTCGTGCGGGGATTTCCTCCTGATAGAGGCGGGGACCGTTTTCCGGAGGCCAGATCGAAGCCGTACTTTGCCCAGCGGCCCGCATTCCAACGCCAAGTCGGTTTCAGAGTTTGCAGCCCTCCATTGCTGTGGGCAGCGTTAGCGATCGATGCGCTTGTCGGAACTTTCTGGGACGGGGGCGTAAGTGTCAATGGCGGAGTTTCGCTGCTTACTCGCACATGCGTCAACAGATAAAGACACCCGAATCTCCATACGGGTGCCTACACAGAACGCTCCATTGGGTCTGAGAGTAACATTCAATGCAGATACATGCTCACGCTTACTCAACCACCCAAAGGGAACCTGTCTATCTTCTAGCAGCCCCGCCGCCGATGTCCTGCCCCAGCCTGTAGCTCGCCACCTTGTCCCATTCGATCTTCTGCCTGGTCACGGGGAGCTGTCTCCTGAGCGCCTTGAATGCGCCCTCGCTCAGGCTCGTAAAGCTGCGATTCAGTTCCTCCTGGTATTTCTTCTCGCCCGCCGCGATCTCCCTGGCGATGCCCGCGCCCGTCCCGGACGTCACGGACATGTTGACCGACTTGTTGGTCAGCAGCCGGACGTTGCCGTCCTCGTAGTAGTGCACGTCGACCTTGATGGAGCCCTCAAGGGAGCTAGAGGCCGGGTTGAAGATGTAGAGCGAGCGCCAGCGCCCGTTCCTGTGCGAGACAGCAGGTTAGCCAACGTTGGGGAGAACCGTGGGTATGTGATGGCGAGCCATACCAAAAGTTGCTCGGGCTGTACTTGTTGGCGACGATGATGATGGCGATCTTGGTATCGTTCTCTATCGGGTAGGCGCCGTAGGCGGCGTTCGTAAAGTGCTCCTTGACGTAGGTCGACAGCGCCTTGAGTGTCGATTTTCTGCAACCCAGTCATGAGCTTCCGTCCGCGATGCATCTCGTTGTCCTTGGTCCCTCACGCTAAATCTGCCTTCTCGCCATCCACAACATGGCTCTCGACCGCGCTGGCCTTCTGTGTGGTGTGGTCGAACGCAAAGCTGCACGAGCTCTCGAGATCGTAGTAGCGGCCGCCGCCCAGTGCGCTGTGCGAGCTGATGATGACCTGTTGGCTGCTCCCAGGAAGCTTAACTGTCGCAAACTGCTCCTCATTGTACTTCTGGAACGCCGGGCCCAGCTCGTTCACCAGGTTCGGGCTCGAGATCGTCAGTGCCTTGATGTCTGGAAGGCATCCGGTTAGGCTACGCGGCTGGGATAGGCCGTAGGGAAGGATGCATGCCTGCGAGGACGTCTGCGAGCTACATGATACCTGTTAGCACGTAATTCGTATTCTTAGGCGGTGCCCGCGTTGGGAATGGGCCAGCTTACCTCTCCCGGGGGCGCTCCCTCCACGAAGGAGGAGACAATCGCCTTTTCAGACGACATGGCTTCAGATAGGAACAGCTCAGGCGACCTTGAATGGGCTCCGAGAGCCTGTTGGGAATGCAGTCGCGGGGTACAAGTCACGTCGGAACCGGGCCGATTGCTGTCGTCGACGGGCAAGCTGTTGATGAAACGACGGGCGGGGCAAAGGTGGGATGTAACAGAGCGCCAAGAAATGGTGCAGTGGGACATAGGGGCTTAAAAATACCAAAGTTTCATCTGATTATTAGGACTTGAAAGTGACCTCACTGCTTTCGCTACCTTATCTCCAGAAAGAACTCAGAAAGAACTCAGTCAGGTCTCGATCCGACAACGAATATGTTTGTGTTAAAAGTATGTGGTATGCACGAAAGATACAATGTCTTGTCGCTCTCAATGCGCCCCTTCGCCAGTGAACGCCGCGCTGCTCTGATGCGATCCTCCGACACCTCCCAAAGACCAGTCTAATATTCTAGCACCTTCCTGATATTGTCATAGATTCCTGCCCAGGTCAACACATGCACGTACCATAGTCTGTATAGGAGCACTTACTCGCGATATCCGGGGCGTTCAGCGCCTCATACAAAAGCGGCGTGTGTATGCTGAATCCAGCAACGCGCGCAACAGGCGCTTCTAGCCGGACAAAGGTCTGGGGGTCCCCCTGGATCGCCGCGGCCACCTCGGCTCCGATACCAGCATTGATCATGGCCTCGTGGACGACAAGACACCGCCCCGTCTTTCGGACACTCTTGAATACCGCTTCCTTGTCCCAGGGGTAGACGGTCCTCAGGTCAATCAACTCGACCGAGACACCCATATCCTTCTCGGCTTGCCGAAGCGCCGCTTCACACTTGTACAGCGGCTGGCCATAGGACACGATGGTGACGTCCGATCCCTCCTTCAGCACCTCCGCCTTGGACAGTGGCAACGCGTACGCCGCGGTCGGGACCTGCTCGACAGCGGCGCGGTAAAGGATCTTAGGCTCCATGAACACGCATGGATCGTTGCTGCGAATGGCGGAAAGCAGCAGCCCCTTTGCCTGCAGCGGCGAGCGGGGCATGATGACGCGCAGCCCGGGGATGTGCGTGAACAAGCTCTCAGGCGACTGCGAGTGGTAGAGCGCGCCATGGCCGACGCCGCCGCAGGGCATGCGGACAGTCAGGCCGCCGGCGTTGCGCTTGCAGGCGCCGTCGCGGTACCGGAACTTGGCCGCCTCGTTGACCAGCTGATCAAAGGCCGGGTAGACGTAGTCGGCAAACTGTATCTCAGCCACGGGGCGCATGCCCTCGGCGGCGGCGCCGATGGCGAAGCCCATGATGCCCTGCTCCGTCAGCGGCGTGTTGAAGACGCGGTCGCCGCCGTATGTCTCGGCCAGCTTGCCCGTGCAGCGGAAGACGCCGCCAAAGGCAACGTCCTCACCGAAGATGAGGACGGATTCGTCTTCCGCGAGCGCGATAGAGAGTGCGTCGTTGACGGCCTGGAAGAGGTTCATGCGCTTTGTCGTGCCATTGCGCACCTCAGGCGACAGCTCGGGGTTGGCCAGCGCGGACTGCGATGTTTGGAAGAGCAAGGGAGTGGTTGAGTAGTCGGTCGGCAAGTTCAGTTTCGCATTGGGGGGGTGAGTCGAGTACGGTTGCCGGGAGGAGACGAGGAATGCAGCAGAAGCCGACGGGGTGAGAGTCGATCCCCGGACTAACGCCCTTGACAGAGCGCGCATTGGTGAACCCTTCATTGTTTCTGGAGCTAAATCGCCTCTAACCGTCTGTTACGAGCAATCTATGTGCATCGTGAAAGAAGCAATTGCGAGAGATGGGCGAAAGTGAAGTTTGGGAAGAGGGAATGACGGCGGCGTCGGCTTGCGACGGCTTTGTCGGATGAGGGTCCCTGGGCTGTTCCTGACAAGCCGTGCGGGGCCCCGCATTCAGTCTCAAGTCACCTTCTTCGGCTGAGGTACAGTTATTGCTGTGTAAAAGATGCAAGATCTCTCGTTTCCAATATTGATAGAAAGGGGTGCGAGGAAACTATGGTACGCCCTCGCTGGCATGAGCGAAGTGTGGGCCCAAGTTCTGAGTGCCCAGAGGGACAAGAGGAGTCAAGAACCGGGGCAATTGGCGCATAGGCTTGGGCCCAGTCGCCGGACAAGTCAAGCGGTCGCCATGCTTTGACAAGGCCTGGCTCTGCCAATTGCTGGCGGCACCAAAAGTGAGATGAAATGGAGAAACTGAGACGACATGGTTGTCAAACACGCCCACATTGGGTGTTGACCACACAGTATTCGACTTGGTTCTGTCCGAAGAGCGGCTACAACGATGACGTCGCTCAGCCCTGCCCCTTTGTCGATAAATTCGTCGCATGTTAGGTTGCCCGGTCAACAGTCGCCCATTCTTTACTCTCGGAGGATCAAGGCAGTGCGAGTGCGACACAACGTCGCAACGAATTAGAACTTGACTTTGTGAACAGAACACGGGAAATGTTATTGCGTGGCATTTCAAGCCCTCCAAGACTTTCTACATCTCAACCCCACATGCACAACCGCGATTTGGCTAGCCACATCTCGCACTTACCTACAATGCATTCCTGGACCTGACAGTCCTATTGCAACTTTCAATCGCAACACAGAAAAAGGGACGAAAATGCCCCGCGACCCCTCCAACAACCGCCACTCTCACTCCCGCTCCCAGTCCCATAACCGCCACCGTGACCGCGACTGCGAAGCCCGCCGACACCGACGCAACTCCTCCGCCGCTGACGATGCAGCCGCCTACTACCAACACCGCCGCAAGAAGCGCTGGCGGAGCGCAAGCGGCAGCACCCCGCCGCGTCCAGGAGCGGAGTACCAACAGCCGATCTCCTCCTCGTCCGAAGGCACAGCCGCGTCTCTATCCGCGGCTGCCTTGGCGAGGCTGAACCGCGAGAATGCTGCGAGTGGTGCCAAGAGCGGTATCCGTGGGGATCAAAGGGATAGGACCAGAGATAGGACAAGGGAAAGGGAACGGGAACGGGAACGGGATCTGGTGCGGGATAGAGAGAGGGAGTTACGGAAAGAGCGGCGGCGGGAGCAGGGGCGGGAGCGGGGACGGGAACGGAATAGAGGATACGAAATTGTGGACGTTGCGCCGCCACTGGAGGATGGGAGGCGGCATCGGTCTCCGAGGAGGGAGAAGAGGCGGAGTGGTAGGGTGGTGAGCGGGCCGGTGCTGGAGGAGGGGAGGGGTGGAAGGGGTGGGGAAAGAAGAAGGGGGGCATGGAGTGGGTTGAGAGGCGGATGGATGGAGAGTGATGATAGTGTGGCCAGGGAGAAGGAGGGGTTGTGGAAGGGGCGGAAGAGGCCCTGGTATAAGCAGAAGAAGAAGCTGTGTGAGTCGTGGCTCCGTGTTCAGAGGAAGGATATTGCTGACGATAGCAGGGATACTGATTGGCGTGTGCACCGTGTTGCTGATTATCATTATCATTGTGGCAGCTGTGGTGGTTCCTAATTCTGGCTCTGGCGAGGAGAAGCGTGACGAGAGTAGCGGCAGCGACCAGAGTCGCCTCTCAGGGGTCCTAGTACCGAATGGCGCCCCTTCCTGGCTGAACCCCTACGTCTGGCAAGACATAGCCGACTTTAATCTCACCTACACGAACGAGACAGTCGGAGATATGCCCATCATGGGCCTCAACCTAACCTGGGACGACTCGGCGAAAGCAAACGAGCAGGTGCCGGCGCTCAACGAGGCCTGGGGCGACTATGCCAAGCGGCCAGCGCGGGGCGTCAACGTCGGCGGCTGGCTCTCCCTCGAACCGTTCATCACGCCGTCACTCTTCAACTACGACCTCCGCATGGGGATCGTCGACGAGTACAGTCTCTGCAAGTACCTCGCCTCGCGCTGCGAGAGCGTCCTCGAGAAGCACTACGCGACATTTGTGACCGAGGACACGTTCCGCCAAATCCGAGATGCGGGTCTCGACCACGTCCGCATCCCTTTCTCGTACTGGGCGGTCCAAACGTACGACGGCGACCCGTATCTCTTCCGTACGTCGTGGCGCTACCTCCTCCGCGCGATCGAATGGTGCCGGCGCTACGGACTCCGCGTCAACCTGGATCTGCACGGCCTCCCGGGCAGCCAAAACGGGTGGAACCACAGCGGTCGGCTGGGCGCCATCAACTGGCTCAATGGCACCGACGGCGGCCTCAACGCGCAGCGGTCGCTCGAGATCCACGATCGCCTATCCAAATTCTTTGCCCAGCCGCGATACAAGAACATTATCGCCTACTACGGCCTGGCGAACGAGCCCAAGATGACATATCTCCCCGAAGACAAAGTCCTGCAGTGGACCTCTGACGCATACGCCCTTGTGCGCAAGAACGGCGTGTCCAACGCCGCTGTCGTCTTTGGCGACGGCTTCCGCGGTCTGCACAAGTGGCAGGGCGAGCTCACCGGCCTCGACAATGCCGCGCTCGACGTGCACCAGTACCTTATCTTCAACACGGACCTGATCGTCTTCAACCACTCCGCCAAGGTGCGCCACGCGTGCGAGGGATGGACTGAGGAGACGTTGGAGAGCATGGACCGCGCGACGGGGTTCGGCCCGACGCTCGTCGCCGAGTGGTCGCAGGCCGATACGGATTGTGCGAAGCATCTGACGAATGTCGGTTGGGGGAACAGGTGGACGGGGACGTACATCACGCCGGACGGCAGCGGCGATGTTACTACCCCGAGGTGTCCAACGAAGGACAACCGGTGCAGCTGCGACGCGGCGAACGCGCCGGCTGGCCAGTGGAGCGACTCGTACAAGCAGTTCCTGAAGATGTTTGCTGAGGCGCAGATGTCGAGCTTTGAGAAAGGGTGGGGGTGGTTTTATTGGGTTTGGGATACCGAGGATGCGTAAGTAATTCTCTTCCCTGCTGCGGTTGACGGTGTTTAGGGGATTGTTGCTGACTGATACTGTTGTAGACCGCAATGGAGCTACAAAAAGGGGCTGGAGGCGGGAGTGTTACCGGCCAAGGCGTATGAGAGGAGTTTTGACTGCGACCTGTCACAAATTCCGAGCTTCTCGGATTTACCGGAGACATACTAGAAAGCGGGAGATCCCCTGGCGACATACAAAGGGGGGACATATTTAACTATAGATACTGCTCGGCGTTTCGGAGTTGTGGTTTGCCTGTGTGTTGGGAAGAAGGATAGCATCACTTCGAAGGTTGCATGTAGTTGCAATGGGCTGGGAACGAACGCATATATCGACCGAGCTCGAGATGCCGATTTGGTTGTGGCAAACGATGAGGTGTTGGACGCATCAAGCTGTACTAGGCTAGTACTACTAGGAAGCTCTGTGGATTTTCATCACCATCACGATCAGCGAACCAGGCGGTAAACATTTCAACATACTTCATACCAGTGCCGGAATACTTGCAGAGCAGTCCTATGAGAAAAGGAGGAGATGATTGTGCTCAATAGGCAGGTTAGTTTTTCTCAACTGCACTCTTCCGTTTCAAAGATGTCGATCGCTTTGCATTCTGTATAGAGCCTTTAGCAATTCCAACGTAAGACGGGAAAACATTCACAAACCTTATCAATATCACTGCTCGCGGAACATCCATCCCCCGGAAACACGTCGGGAATGCAGCGACTGCCAGGTTGAATCATCATCGAATGGCGCAAACTAATTCCGAGTTTCTCGTCTCGAAAATAAAAGGCTCAGTCTCGAAGTGTTAGCCGCTCGCTGACACATCGCAACATGCTTCGCCTGGGCAATCAGTAAGAGCATACATATAGATGTCCTGAAAGGAGCTGATTCGGCCACTGCACACTTAACACCGAGAGAACTTAACTGTACCTAATCATCATTAGTTGACGGCCCTGGATGCGCAGAAACTCGGCATCACAACGCCGAAACGGGTGTGGAGACCCGGCTGTCTCCGCTTTCCGCGTTTTTTGAGTTGAACAACGGCTCGTCATTGGCACGAAGAGCTTTCACCCCATGTCGTCTTCTTGAAGGGTATGCTGTGTCATCAGCCATCGCGTAATGCTGCTTCGCATCTGTAGGTCCTCCGTAAGGGAAAGCCTCTTCCCATCATTCCAGTCAGGTTACGAGTGACCAGACCAGAACCTTGATTTGGAGCGATGAACAATCGTCAAGGTTGGTTGGTTGTCGCTTTGTCACCAACACAGTTGCATCGGCCGTCGTATAATTACGCGAGCGTTAACCCCGAAGCCATGTGGAAACTCCCACAGGGTGGTATCAGCCAGGCCAGAATCTCCCCGTCCCAACTCCATCCGCACTCGGAGATCGAGGACAGGGGCGAGGGTGGACAATGGGCCGTATAAACGTCATGGCCTCCCCGGTTCCTGTCCACCATGAAGCTTTGCTTTATGTCCATCATGATAGCAACACAACAACACATTAGGTGTTATTCACGGTGACTTGACGTGAGGGAGGAGCGTTTATCACACTTGAGTGCTACTCCGTGATCTAACTCTCACCATCGCCCTCTTGGACACTCACTTGGCCTCCTCCCAGCATCATATACCGCGAGGACACTGAGTAGTTCAAGCCGACACAGAAACTACAATCCACTGAGTCAGACATCCCTCCGGAATCTGGATACGTACCCATAATGGCCGACCTAGACGAAAAAGATCACCAGGACGAAATGGAGCACCACTCCGGTCAGGAGCTCAACCCACCGCCCTCCAACATATCCACTACAACTGCCTCCGTTGGCCCAGACGCGGAAAGCAAACAGGAAATCCACGAAATCCCCTCCAGGCCAAGCATCGACACCACGACAACCAAAACCGACCCCCTGGGCTTTGAACCGATCCGCCCAGCACCACCGAACGCCCGCAGCCACAACCCACGGCGCATCAGCGCCGAGACCGTCGACACGCTCCGGCGCGAGCGCTCCAACAACGGCTGGGGGGTCGACGACATCGAAGGCGACGCGGCCGGCAGCGGCGGCTCCGTCGCCCCGTACAACCACCCCGGCAGCTCGGCAGCTGAGCGCGACCCGTTCGAGGTCGGTTGGGCCGGCGGCGACGCCGATCCGCTGTGCCCAAGGAGTTTCCCGCTGTGGAGGAAGTGGATGATCATCCTGATTACCAGCGTGGGGAGCTTTTGCGTGTAAGTTTTCCAGAGGGATCTGAAGAAGGAAGTAAAACTGGCATGAAGGGCTGACGTCGTAAAAAAGGACGAATGCTTCGGCGTCGTACACGTCGACGTACGCGCAGATGAACGACGAGTTTGGCACCAGCCGGCTGGTCGCGACGCTGGGCTTGTCGACGTTTGTGCTAGGCATCGCGCTGGGTCCGTTCTGGTCGCCGCTTGCTGAGTTCTATGGCCGGCGACCCATCTACCTCGCTTCGTTTGCCGGCTTCATCGTCTGGATCATCCCGTCGGCTGTGGCCAAGAACATCGAGACCATGATTGTGGCGCGCTTCTTTCAGGGGTTGGCGGGGAGCGCGTTCCTGTCTGTGTCGGGCGGAACCGTGGGGGATTTGTTCACTCGCGACACGATGCTGGCGCCCATGGCTATCTTTGCCCTGGCCCCTTTTGTCGGTCCGTCCACCGGGCCGCTGGTTGGTGGGCTGATCAACACGTACACCAACTGGCGCTGGACGCATTATGTCTTGATCATTTGGGCTTTCCTGTTGCTGGTCAGCATTGCGTTGCTGGTGCCGGAGACTTATCGTAAGTCACTCCGCTGTTGTCCCGGTGAGGTAATTGCTGACAAGGTTGGTTAAGACCCAGTCCTGCTGAAAAAGAAAGCTCAAAAGATTCGAAAGGAAACCGGCGACGACAGATGGCGCGCTCCCATCGAAAAGACGACAAAGTCGGTCTCCAAAACGGTCGCCTACTCTTTGCTCCGCCCCTTCCAGATTCTGGTTTCTGAGCCCATGGTGCTCGTGCTCAACATATACACGGCAATGCTCCTGGGGCTGCTCTACTTGTTCTTCGGCGCCTTCCCCCTCATTTTTCGCACCAACTATGGCTTTAACCTCTGGGAGGTTGGCCTGACCTTCATGGGTCTGCTCGTTGCCATGATCATCGCCTGCCTGAGCACCCCTTTCTGGACCAGACTGCGGCACAACATGGTGGCGAAACGGCACAAGGAGACCGGCGTGCTCAAGGACGAGCCCGAGGACCAGCTGCCGCCCGTCATCTTCGCCGCGCCGCTGATCACGGGAGGTCTGTTTTGGTTCGGCTTCACCACGTATCCTTGGGTGCACTGGATCGTGCCCATCATTGGCTCTGGCGTGTTTGGTCTTGGGTGAGTGCGCACCTTTCTTTCGGTGGACTTTCAACTTGATGTCGGGGCAAGACACAGGAGAGTGGCGTTGTCTTGCGGATTTGTGCTGCCACCCAAGGCGGTGATGTGGACATAACTCAGTGGCAGATTCGTCACGGAGAGGCCTCAGCGCAAGGCAACGGTGCGCGTGGCAGCGGCCACGTCAATCTGCCCTTGCGCCAGCGTCTTATTGTTTGTTGCTTTGCTTAAGATTCTGCCAGGGTGCTGCGACGTCGCCCTCTCCTGGCCCCTTTTCCTCGACTCTGCATATCCGGCGTCTGCGAGGCTCATGTCGTTACCCGTCGCTAACCGTGCCTTGTTCCGCAGGATGTCGCTCGCTTTTACAGGCATCTTTACTTTTCTGGTGAGTGTAACCCGCCGCCCGCAGAGCACAGACATAACCCGCGGCTCACAGCTCAACATCCGGTCGATGAGCATTGGGAGGGGACAGGCAGAAGAGGTGCTGATACGAGCTCGTGGATGTCTAGGTCGACGCATATCCACGCTACGCAGCAAGCGCTCTAGCATCCAATGCCCTGGTTCGGTGTTCTTTCGCAGGTAAGCTTTCACTGAGACTGCCAAACTCTCATAGTTCTCCCTGGACTCCCGCTCTCCTTGAGATAGTTTGTGCTGACTCATACGTAGCGATATTTCCGCTCTTTGGCATCCAGATGTACGAAGGACTCGGCTTTCAATGGGCTACGGGCCTCGTCGCCTTTGTAACGCTCGCCTTAATGCCGTTCCCTTACATCTTCTTCCGCTACGGCAAGAAAATACGAGCCAGGAGCAGATTCGCGACCTCCACATGAACAGCGTGGGGGCACGTCAAGCGGGGACATGGGAAGACCCGTCTCGGACCCGGCCCGATGACCGGGATCGACGTGTCTAAGGCTGCAGGGAGCCAGCTGTGGTCTGCTGGGGCGACGGATAAACACCTCGCTGGGCAGTGGGGCTGCTGGTTGATCTCTTCGATCATCCATAACGAGACAGGCCTGCCCTTTGCCAGCCTGCCGGCTCTTGACCCTCCTATATGGGGACGTGCCTTTTTTTTGGGTTCGGGATGGAGGCCGGGTTTTGGGCACCACATCTTGGACGTCCCGGCGACCAGGTAATGCGGTGGATGACGGGAGAAGAGGGCACAGTCGGCAGAATATGACCCCAGGATCTGATTTCGCCTGGGTTGAGCATCAGCCAAGGCCGCCACATGTGGCAAACTGAAGCCGAAAAGGCTTGTGTCGTGCCTCCCTCTTGATGGTGGGCTGGATGGGTGCCAGAGCACGACCTGTTCTGGGCATTGGCAAGTCCGCTCGGCACTCTCCGCACAGCGCACTCGAGACAGCGACTGGTCCAGGCTGGCAGCAGGATGAACCAACTGGAAGACGGAATTGGAGAGGAGTTAAAACTCAGTCATGTGCTGATCGTCCTCGCGGGACTGCCTGATGCCGCTCCCTGCCTCGTACGGTCAGGTGAGGCCAAATGACTGACACATTGAGGGTCTTTCATGTCTTGCTGTTCAAGTAAGCTGGCTCGCTCGCAGAGGGGTTTGGGCAGGTGAGCCCGGTGAGCTGCGCTGACCTGGTACCTAACCGGGCATTGAGCGTTCTAGTGGTATGAAGCCTGGGGAGGAGCAAAGTATTCGTTTGTCGAGATTTGCTAATCCAAAACCCAATCGAGGGTCTTGCAGCGGTTAGCAAAACTGGAGTTTGAGCAACAGCACGATGGACTTATAGTCTCTATGGCAAGGCAGAGCTGTCCATGACCTGTTTCAAGAATCACTATCCTAGCCGAGTGAGACTGTGACCATGCCCAAGCCGAGACTAACTATGTACCTATCCTTGCTCGAGCCTTGTAAGGTAATGAGCTAGAGGTTCGTCTCAACCTGATAACTTTGCCATTTTTCGGAAAAACCTTTTTGAACGACGAGTCGGTGTATTAGGTACAGTACGTACCCACTAGTCCGTACCTCTGGGCAAGACAGGAACTCGGTCTTGGCTCGCCAATTACTCAATAGAAGGATCTGCAACTGGGGTCCAGTTGAACTGCGGCCCGCGGGTACCACTTCGTGAGTCGTGCGAGCAGCTGTGACGGGACGGGGCAACCACATGCAACAGACAAGCTCGTCGGGGTCGGGTAATCGCTTCGGCCTTACCATTCCCATACCTGTAATGCCATGTCGCACCAATGGCAGAACAGTTCCTGGCAGTTTGAGAAATTTTGTGATATCATCGCCAATGCAGTAAATTGAAGAACAACCGAGGGCGAACTTGGGCTGTCGACAGGCCCCGAACAACCTCCTGTGTGATTGGGGAACTTGAAATCCACCACTGTTCTGTGCTGACTGGGGGCAAGTCTGCGACCCCGCACCTGCCAAGGTACATTGGTACTTGCATTTATATTTGTACCTTGCCCATCCGGGAAGAAGGAACGAGGTTTAGCTCGGCTCAAGCATGCCCACCGCGGCTGAGCAACCACAGACTCAGCACTGACTCTAACAAGCGCAAATCCAATTATTCCACCACTCCAGAATGGATCAGGAAAGAGTAAAAACCGCCCACCACGACAGCTCACCAAATCGACAGCACTCCTTCTCTCCGTAACGGCCATGCAGAGAGTAGCGGGTCGATAGCGGCATTTGGACCCGAACAACTGGAGCCCGCTAATTTTCACCCCACCTCGACTCGCCTTGCCTCCCCGACTTGTATGTACCTTGCATACACAACAACGCCGCCTCCGCTGCCGTTGCTCCTAGCTGATTGCGGGCAACTCGAAGTTTAGCTGACCCCGTATTGGATCATCTGGCTGCCCGCACCGACATTGGCCGCACGACCAACGCAAACCGCGGAGACTGCGACAAGCAGGACAAACACGAACGAGCAAAGAGGGACGGTCCTGGGAGAGGGAGAGGAGGCAAAGGACAGGAAGCGAGAGACGGCGTGCTGGCACGTTAGTCATAAACATTACGATACCGCAAATCGCTGGAGGACGCCGACGCACAGCAAAAAAAAGCCACCCGTTTCGAAGTCCCGCATCCGAACCAATCGGCCTCCGGTCTGCTCGTTGCCTCTTGAACGCCAGGCCATTCCAGCTCTGTCCTGCCCTACCGACGACGCGCCAAGGGCATGGTCGACCATAAAGTGGACGGCTAGTTGCATGTTTAAATGCCTTCCTGCCACTCCTGTACGACGCGCACTTGCTAGCTATCGAGACTTTTCCCCGGACCGCACCTGTGCTCGACCCGCTGCCGCGTGACTCGAGAGACCCTCTACAGAACCGCACGCCCTGTGTCGCTCCACGGCCCAGGCTCCGCGAGTTCCGCCCGGACGGTGGCGCTGGTCGCACAAGGAATCGTCGACCTATTTCCCCGAGCCAATTGGCAGCTCCGCCAGGAGAGCCGCTGAAAATACGAGACGGCCACTTGTCGCTGTGTATCGGACCTTGTTGGTCAGCTGGCACAAGCAATACCATTTGCCTGGGCCGACGATCAACACTGGGATATAGCGGGAGGCTACATTGAAGACCAAACCGCCCAAAAAAGCCACTGAGTGGCGGTTGATCTTCCACCCGTCTCGCAGAGCTGCTCGGCGCCTGTTTTATCGCCGCTCACAACGCCTGATTCAGAGGTCTCGCGGGGTTCCGCCGTCCACTCACTTGGCGCAACCATTCTGGGATACCTGCTTCCGCTGGCTTCTCAGCTACTCGGTGCCCTACTCTGACAACGAGTGCGGCGTGCAGCGCCAATCAATTGCTGTGCTGGTGCCACCGCTGTGATATTGCTGCAGGCCACCTCAGACGCCCATCCCTGCTGCCTCCTTTGAGGTCACACCCCGGAGCCGAAGTTGGCCTGGTTGGGCCTGGGGCCCTTTCTGCATTGCCTCGCTGCCCGTACTCCTCGGGCCGTATATAAGCCAGGGCGCCATGCCGGAAGACAGCGGGCATTCCGGGCCAGAGGCTTCGGGTGCCATGTCTGAGAGTGAGAACGAGTACGACGAGACGGATCATCTCGTCAAAGACGAGGACGAGAAAATGGCTGAACAGGGTCTTCTTGCCTCGGAAGGCGCCGCCGACACGGGCGGTGAGGTTAAGAAGAAGTATGACCCGAAAGACCCCCTGCGGCCTCGGAGGAAAAAGGCCAGGCGGGCTTGCTTTGCCTGCCAAAGGGCTCACCTGACGTGCGGTAAGCCTCGTCATCCCGATTGTCGTCTCCTATCAGCTTCCCCTGTCACCGGGCTATATGCCCTGCTCAACCTTGCTTGCTATCTTCGCCTTGGGCTGAGGACTGGCGACGACTGCAAATGGTTCGTGAGCTGATTGCTGCTTAGGGGACGAGAGGCCATGCCAGCGGTGTATCAAACGGGGCTTGATGGATAGCTGCCAGGATGGAGTCAGGAAGAAGGCCAAGTATCTTCACGACGCTCCGCCAGAGGCACTACGACCAGTCCTGGGCCCAAACTACAACCCCAATACCTCACCGCGGCAGAATGGCCATCGAAATCCGAGTGTCTCGACCTCGGAGGCATCCTCTACCCCCGGAACCTTCTTTTCACAGTCGGCGCCCGCCCAGTTCCATCCCCTCTTCTCTGCTGCCCAACCTCCGATGGGGACCCTAGCCGAGAGTCTTCCTTTTGGAAGCCAGCAATCACCCGTATCGCCATCTTTTCAGACCTCAGGCACTCCGCAAATAAGCGGCATGACGGTGCCCCAAGTGTCGAGTCCCATGGCAAACTTTGGGGCTCTACCGTTCGATCCGAGTGACCCCAACATTTTCAACTTCAACTTGGAGGGGCTCAACTTTGGCAGTCAGTATGGCGCCTTGGAATTCGGCATGCTCGGGCACATGTCTTCAGGGGCTGCCGAGACGCCGCCGCAGGACACCGCAATACCGCGGTCCGCGAGCGGGAGCCTCAACTTTGGGCCCGGCGTGTTCGGGAATGGGGTCAACCAGTATGAAAAGGTGTACGAGGGCAACATTCTGGACAGCTTCCTCGGCCTCGACGCGAATTCCAATGCACTGTATTCACAGGGCAACCTGCAGCATGGTCTACCGCACGCCTACGCGATTGCGGCAGGCTCCAACAGCGTCCAGAGCCCTAGTACTGACAATAACAGTCCGCAACCGACCACTCTTGGCTTCGATGGCTCTCCTACCATGGCTACGTTCTCGTCAACGCCCGGGAGTAAGCCGACAAACCAGCAACGTCCAACCACTAGGCAGTCGAATGCGTTGGCAAAACTAGGGACGCAGTCGATCCTGGGGAAACGACAGCGGGACCCCTCTCACATCTACGATACGGTCAAAGAGCCGTTCGGCTACGTTGCGAGTTTTCACAAACTCTTCAATCTCATCCAAAGCAGGTTTGCGCCAGCACATACGTCGCGCATTGCGAAGTCACTGGCCAGCATTCGGCCGTCGCTGCTTGCCTCCACGAGGAACCTCACGAGGCAGGATCTGGTCTTCATGGAAAAATACTTCCAGCGGTCGCTCTTTGAATACGAAGAATTCATGCATCAATGTTCCAGCCCCACCCTCGCGTGCAGACGGACTGGAGAAGTGGCAAGCGTCAACAAGGAGTTCACAGCCCTCACCGGATGGACGAAGGACGTACTCCTCGGCAAGCAGCCGAACTGCAACGTCAACCTCGGCGGCTCTGCCTCGGCTAGCTCCAGCACCAAGGGGCGAGTCGGTCTTACCACCCCACGTCTCAAGACGCTAAACATGGACGCCGTGGGGTCGTCAGACAGCCCGCAGCCGGTGTTCCTCGCCGAGCTGATGGACCACGACAGCGTTGTTGAGTTCTACGAGGACTATTCCCAGCTCGCCTTCAACGACAGCCGCGGCCACAAGACGCGAAAGTGCCGGCTTCTCAAGTACCGGGTACCAGATAAAGAGGATAGCGGAGGCGAGGGCCTCGCGCCCGATCAGACGCCGCAGAGGGATCCTCGAAACAGTATCCTGAGCAACCGTGTGGCCAAGATTGACGGCGAGCATGGCATCTCGAAGCTGGAGCGCGACGGCAAGCTCGAGTGCAGCTACACGTGGACCATCAAGCGCGATATGTTTGATATGCCCATGCTGTTTATCATTAATGTGAGCACGATGTCATTTCGTTGCTGGCCATCGTGGTGAGGGATTCAAGAAGATGGACTGACAAATCTTGCAGTTCCTACCATGTTATTACCGCAACCACAACCAATTGGCCGTTTGACGGGAGTATGTGCAGACATTTGGGACGGGAAATAAAAGGAAGCGGAAAACGGGGCATTGACGGTGTTGTCAGGTACGGTTTGGATTCGGATACCTTGGTATATGACTATTTGGGACTCTGGGGTTGCCACTGGGTTGGCAGTCAGAACATGAATTGTTCGATCTCTAACCATAATCCCTTTCTCATGAATTGTTTGACGCTTAACTCCTTTAACACGCTCTACATCCAGGTACCCTCATCCAACACCAACTCCTTCATCCCACCCGATCGCTCCCTATCCATCACCGCCTATTTCCCTTCCTCATCCCCTTTCTCCTTCGGCAGCTGACTAGGCCGTATCAACCACGCACAGTCCAGCTCGCCCCTCATAACGACCTTCTCCACCCCGCGATCCTCCCCAGCCTCACCTGGCAGATCAATCTCGACGTCAACCCCGCGAGGCGCCCACCCTTCCCTCGCCAGACTCCGTTTCGCAACCTCGCAGTCGAACTTGATGTCGGCGATCAGCGCCTCCAGCCCGCTGTAGTCTTTTTCTTCGCGTATGAAGCCCGTGATGAGCAGCCGCATCTCGGCGCCGTAGAAGTCGGCGCCGAAATCGTGCAGCACGTGCACCTCGGCCGAGCGCACCGTGTTCTTATAGAAGGGGTTGTACCCAATCGACATGACCATGGGATAGACGGTGAAGCCGTTTGCGCCGCGCGTTCGGCTGCTACTGCTCCAGTCCGGAATTTCGGTTTCAGTTGTGGTGGGTGTGGTGGGTGTGGGTGTGGAATCTGGGTGGGATGGCGGCAGGTTGAGGGATGCCCAACCGAAGTAAACGCCCGAGGGGACCGACGAGATCCAGGGGGTGAGGGCGTCGTCTACGGGCAGGTTGGCCGTTGGGATGCCGAGTTCTTTGGAGCCGCGCCCGAATCCGCTTATCACTTGGCCCGACATGCGGAGGGGGTAAGGGGGAAACGGGCCGGACGGGTCGCCGACTACGAGGGGGCGGTTGGGGGCTGGGGCCGCCATTGTGGCTTTGATCCTTAGTTTCTTAGACAGTTTGGTTTGTGGTCTGGCTTGGAAGAGGATCAAAGTCGTGGGTAGGTTAGGAGGAAGGGAGGATGGGTTGAGCTGGTTTGAAGTAGAGGGCTGACACCGGCCGAGGCGGGCTCGGAATGAAATGGAACGGACGAAGTGAATTCGACGGCGGGGTATTCCCTGGTGGGGTGGTGGCTTTTCAGGGTCCAAAGATAAGATAGAGGAAGCGATTTAAGCTTACACTCGGGCACGTACAGACGGGATCAAAAAGTCCGCAAACTGAGCCTCATTTATATTATCTGTGAAGGATGGACTCGGCCTTCGGAATAGCCCGGCAGGTCGAAATGTCCGGTATTACACGTACAACTAATTTTAACTAGGTAATACTGACTCGGTGCAACTGCACGCAGCACATCGTCTTTATAACATACAGATATTCCAGGTTTCGTATCCTCGAGACCAGTCTGTCAGTCACACAGCATTGACTTCCAAGAGCCCTCATCAATCCAGCTCCGAGTCCGTCTTACAAGTGCCTGCCCGTCCCACCATCCTGCCCGTTCAAACACGATTAGCTCTTCCACTCCGTCCGCCCAAGCCTTACAATATCGCTCTGCTCCAGCACCCAATGCTTGGACGGCGCCTTCCCCTCCTCAGCAATCTTCGCTGCGTGCACCGCGGCCCGCGCGATAACCTCAGCTTCTTGCCCAAACAAATCCTGAATTCCCTGTCCAAGTATCTTCCCCAGCCCCTTCCACGCCCCAATCATGACGCCCGCGCCCTGGTGCGGCACCTCCCGCTCGCCCACGATCAGCCCCGGCCGCAGGATGATGGCCGTCTCAAACCCAAGCCGCTGAATCGTATCCTCCACGCCCCGCTTCATCTTGCTGTACGGCACCGAGCTGCTCAGCAATCCCCTGGTCCCAGCGCTCGAGACGAAGACAAAGTGGCGCACGCCGGCGGCTTTGGCCGTCTGCGCCAGCTCCACGTTCAGGTCGTGGTCGATCTTCCACTGGTTGGCGATGCCGCCGGCCTGGGCGCGGGTGGTGCCGAGCGATGAGTAGACGGTTGAGGGCGTGGGCTTGATGCTGGCGAGCTTGGCGGCCCACTGCGTCGTGTCGGCCTCGACCGTGGCGTGCAGTGTCGGGCCGGCTGACTTGGGCGCCCGCCGCGAGACCGTGTGCACGGCGGTGACGGAGCTGTCGGCCAGCAGCGTCGAGAGGATGTAGGAGCCGACCAGGCCGGTGCTGCCGATAAGGAGGGTTGAGGCCATGGTGATGGTTGTGAAGGCGTTCGCGGTTTGACTTCAGGTGGTGAGGTGAGTGGGTGAGTCCGGTGTCGTAGTGTAGCTTGGAATATCAATGCCTGAGATGAATTGATATGTTGATGTTGAGTGTTAAATAGCTGGCGAGGGCTGCTTTGAACACCGGCTTTCTTCACGTGTTAACCCCAAAATCCGAGACAGGCAGTAGCATCGAAGACGAATGCGACATTAGGGAAGCCAAGACGGAGAGTTCAGTTACCGCATTCGGAGGATCAATCAAGCCGAAGTGATCATGGCCTCATGCTTGGATTGTGCCCGTCATCTCTAGTGGCCGAAAATGCAGATGCCAGACTTTGATGCCGAGTATCAGTTTATCTTCGTCACCAAGTGAGAGCCTAATAAGTGTCATCATCTTGCAGTCTCGGCTTCTCAACCCCAACCCTGAGATGCTACCCGTTGCTCGAACAACACCAAAAAAAAAATCTCGATCCAATTCAACAACCGGACCCCACCACGCCCCTAAAGTTAACCTCCTTTCCCCTCACATCTACCCAGAAACAGCTACTTCACCGTGCATGCCATAGTATAACACCGCACATTCGAACCAAACCATGGCCAGCAGCACAACCCCAAGTCCGGGTAGGCTATAGACCCTCCTCTCACAACCACCCATGTTCCCTGCTAACAGTTCACCAGCAACCTGCCAATCGAACTTCGAACAGGGCGTCGCACTCTCCCTGCACCTCTGGGAAGCCCTAACCGTGGCCGTGCAGAACAACTGGGGCGGCCCAGACTCGTCCGACAAGCGCGACTGGTTCGCGGGCGCCATCGTCGATCTCTTCCCGGACGTCTCGAGACTCACGCCTGCGCAGCTGCAGCAGCGGATAACACAGCAGCAACAACAACAGCAACAACCCACCCAGCAACCCCAAGTAATCATCATGGCAGGCAACGCGGAAGAGCCAGACCAAGAAGACGTTGAGACCGTCCTCCTCCAGGTGATGCTCGACGAATTCGAGGTCAACGTCGACGATGACTCGGCGTTTGAGGTGGCCGAGCAGGTGGTGCGGATTCGCGGAGAGTGCCTGCGGGGCAAGTTTGACGGAGTGGAGGCGCTGCGGAGGAGGTGGGAGGCCCGCAAGGGGAGCAAGGTCGTAATGAAGAAGGCCGAGGACCAGGACGACGAGACGGATTGGGATACGGATGATGATGATGATGATGAGCAGGAAGCGGACGGTGACGGTGACAATGATGTCGAGATGGGCGATGCGCCCGCGCTTGCGAGGAAGGAGAGGCAGGAGCCTGAGGTGGACGAGGATGGGTTTACTAAGGTTACGAGAAAAAAGAGGTAGAGAGTGAGGTTGGTCAAGATATTTGGGCTCTCATTGGAGCGATGTACGGCGCGGGAATCACAGGTCCCCATGAGCGGTTATACGACAAACAAAATGAGCCGATCCAAACTCCGGCAACCCCGGGTCAAAGCCATACCCCAGCCATAATCCAACCTGGCCTTCAAACGCCCACAACACACGAGTTCACTCCCAATCCTCCTCGTCGCTGCTATCATCGTCTTCGTCGTCATCATCATCATCATCAGCGTTCCGCGCCTCTTTCGGACTGTTGGGCGCTTGGCTGGGCGCTTGACTGGGGACGCCAGATGTGGTGCCGACGACGTCGTAGCTCGCGTCACTATCGGCCTGCGACTTCTCGTCGTTGGATTTCCGGGGTTCGGCCGGCTTCAGAAGGCCTTTGCTGGCTGCGGGCGGTTGAATGGTGGTAGAGGACTCCGTTGACCCGGGCCTCTTGGGTGCTGTGGTCGCTTTGCTGTTCTCAGCCTCGTCATCCGACTCCTCACCCGACTCTTCATCTTCGTCCTCCTCCTCGGAATCCTCATCCCATCCGACTTCCTCCTCCGCTGAAGCGGCTGCAATAGAGAATTAGCGTAGATTCATCCGAAATCAATTTCGTCGTCCTCTCGCATACCCTTGAGCAAATCCCTCCTCCGCGCCTCGGCAGTTTCGATGCCGTGCCTGAGAAAGTAGTATCTCTTCCAGAAATCAGTGTAGGCCACCTGGTCCGGCACAAGCTTCTCCATCGTCACCCTCAGCTCGGGATACTTTTCGAGGTCGCTGCTGATATCCGCCGTCTTCTTGTCAATATCAAATGTCTTAGTCCAAGCCTCGAACTCGGCGCCCGTGCCATCCTTGGCGAAGCTCTCGGGTGACGTGTGAATGACATGCAGCTGCGCATCGAACCGCGACGTGTGAATTACCCTCTTGCCGTGCGCGTCCTTGCTCTCGAAGAGTACGGTGTTGCCCTGGCTGTTTGCCTCGTCGCCGGTTGGCGGCGCGATCTTGATGGCGTCTTTGAAGAAGTCCCGCAGGTTGGACCCGAACCGGAGCAGCGCCTCGTCTGCTGCGTCCTCGGCCTTCTGGAGATCCTTCAGCCGCTTGGCGGCCTCCCCGCGCAGCCGAGAAAGCACCGTCTCGGAATCTTTGAGCGTGTCCTCCAAGGACATGTCCTTGGCTGCTGTGGGCGTCATCTCGGCATTGTCGCCTGGTTCTCTTGACGCTGACGATGATGCTGCTGAAAGAGCAGCTGTGTTGAGAGACAGATTCCGCGTGTGTTTGATAATTGTCTGCCCCAGGTCGGTGAGGCCGCGCGTCGCATCCTGACCCACGGCTGAAAGCTCCTTTTGGGCCTCATGGTAGACGGTTCCGCCCTGGCAGGCATGGTCAGGGCGGCGGCAACCATGCTATCCGGGATGGGAATCACACACCTGCTTCACAACACTCCCAAAGAAGCCACCGATGCGCGCCCCCCATGGGCTAGAGGAGAAGGCGCGGTAAGCATCCTGCAGATCCTCGTTTAAGCTGGCCTGCGGAGCCGGCTTCTTGTTCCCCGACTGCGAGTCGCTGTGCTCCTCTGGAAACGTCGACTCTTGAATGTGGTCGTACGCAATGTCCATCATGGCCGACGTGGGTTGATTACGGCCCGTTCAAAATGTTTGCAATTTTCTGACTTAGAGACACTGAAGGCGCGTTTCGGTGCCTATGCTGTCACATGAATTGGCAGTGTCCAAGGTCCGAATTAGGTTGACAAGGCTGATGATGGCTTGATGTTGGTTGCGGAGTTGCAGCAGCCAAGCTTCGCCCCGCCGCTCCAGGCGAACAAAGCACGGGCCATGATTAGCCGGCTCGGGTCTTGGCAATGTTTTCAACAGATATCCTTTCACGTTCAACTTGCAGCTTCAATTCCTCACATTCTCAAGCCCCATGGCACTGGGAGCTCTTTCACAAAAAATGATACAGTACTTTTTGTCTGATGCGTTGAGCGGGTCGAGACACCGCGAAATGCAGCAGGACGAAGCAGATGTCGAGAGCCTGGCTCAGCGTGTGACAATAAAATGAAGACGAGAGATGATCTCAGGAGAGAGGTAACATCATCACGAAATTGCCACCCAGGGATCCTCTGAATCCCGTGCGCTCAATCGGCTTGAATTGGCCTTCTCGATTTCTGGCCCTGGTTTAAAGCACCAACGGTCGATCTCGATAAGGCGCCTCAAACGGATTCCCTTCACGTGTTGAAGTCTCTAGCAATTAAGCTACAAGGACGGTCCGCTTTTCCGGATCCGTCGCATCCACAGCGCACAGACAGGAACCAGTCAGATTTTCCCAAGCGTTCCATGGCCGCTGACAAATTCCTGCAGCCATCAAATCCAGGCAGCAGATTGCCAGAAAGGCCGCGACTTTTCTGACTCCCACCGAGGTCGCATTTGTTCCTTCAATGTCGGAGCTTGGTCCTGACTCCTGTGTCTCCTAACTCTGTGTGCCAATTCGAGACATTGTGCTCCCTCCCTGCCCCGATCTTTGCGGGTCAATTTTCCACTTGCGCAGCCTTTCGGTTCCCCCCCTTTGAGAAGCACTTTCTCTGACGTTTTCGGTTCGGGGTCGTTTGTGCTCTTTGTCCAACGTTCGGTACCCCGCGTAATACCAAATTCGGGGTTCGGACTTAACTCTCTACCACCTTCGCCCTGGCCAGCCCCCCGCGCCCTTTGACGACACGACACCTCTTGGGCCGTCGGCCATTGCATCTCGTCCTGCGAGACGACTTCTCCAGAAACACCCACCCCCATCCTCTGCCCTCTTCAATTCAAGGACGGCGCAGAACGACTCGGTCAAGATGACGTCGTCTCAGAACCCACTCCAGGGACTCGTCTTAACTCCGCAGCAACAGAGTCTGTTGTTTGCCGCCCTCAACTCCAATCGCCCGAACAATAGCCCATCCAACGCCGGCTTCAACATGTCGCCACTCACGTACAATGGGTCGCCCGTCCAGCGAACAGATGGTCTGTCGACCTTCAACAGCAGCCCCGATCTTGACTATGACTATGATTACGCTGGACCCGATTCGAGCTTTGACTTCCCCTTCGACGACGCCAACCAACCCAAAATGATTGGCGATCTGCCCGGCGCTCAAAGGGCGCCTAAGTCCACTTCTCCCGATTCAGAGTCGCCAGAAAAGAGAAGTCACCCCGACGACGGGGAGAGCTCTGGCGCCAAAAGGCGGGAGAGCGAAGAAAAGGTGGCCAAGAAGCCAGGCAGGAAGCCTCTTACGACGGAACCTAGCTCGGTAAGTGTCGCTGGCAGTGGCTTCGCCGGCGCTGATCCAAAATAGTTGCTGACAAGGCCGCCAGAAACGGAAAGCTCAGAACAGGGCCGCCCAGCGAGCGTTCAGAGAACGCAAGGAGAAGCACCTGAAAGATCTGGAGAATAAAGTCCAGGAGCTGGAGAAATTGTCCCAGGCCGCGAACAGCGAGAAAGAAGCACTCCGTACCAAGGTTGAGAAAATGACGGTCGAGCTGAACGAGTACAAGAAGCGATTGTCGTTGCTCTCGAGTGGTCGGCCTGTTCATCAGGGGCCAGCCGCGCCCACCTTCGGCAGCTCTTTCCTGAACAACCTAAACGACGTCAACTTCCAGTTCGAGTTCCCCAAGTTTGGTAGTCTCCCGGGGCCGCCTATCAGCAACACAAAGAAGTTGTCAACGACATCGTCGCGGGCATCGACGAAGAGCAGCATTGATCATCGCAGCCCGAGTGAGAGTTCACAAGACGGTATCAGCCCGGGTAATTCCAGCTCTTACAGTCAGATCGCCTTGGATTCTCAGACCAAGCTGGACCTTGCTGCTCTCTCTTCTGGGCTCTTCACGCCGCCACTCACCAACGGCCATGCCGCCAACGGCTCATCAGTTAGCATGGATTCCCACTACAACATGGGCGGCGCCACCACACACAGCTCGCCCTCTGCCTCCTCGAACTCCCACATGGGCGGCCCGAGCTCTTCATGCGGAACTTCGCCGGAACCGTATACTCAGTCACCTTTGGGCTTCAAGCCGGTGGATACCCTCGCTACGATTGGGGAGGAACATCCGAGCCTCAACAACCAAGCTCAAGGTGAGCAGCCTCGACGAAAACCTGGTACTCTGCAGCTTTATAGAGATATCCGCTAACATGTGTCAGACTTTGGCACTTTCGCTAGTGCAGGCCTGGATGGCTTCAGCCAATGGCTTCCCCAGAGTGATTTCCAGTTCGACCCGCAACTGTTCGGGGACTACCGCGACCCGCAAGAGAACATTTTATCGAACGGTTTCGATGACAGCTTTTTCAATGACGCGTTGGATGTAGACTTCGTCACACCATTCAACCTGCCGATCACGAGTCCACCAGCGCCCAAGAAGGATCTCATTGCTCAGATTGATGCTGCCAAGAATGATGACGAGCCCATCCAGTTGCTGAAATGCAATCAGGTTTGGTATGTTCGACCGCGATTGACTCAATCACTCCGCAACCTTGCTAACAAACCCGCAGGGAAAAAATACAAAAGTGTCCCAAGGCTCAGTCGGGTGATTTTGACCTAGACGGGCTTTGCGCAGACCTTCAGAAGAAGGCCAAGTGTGATGGCACCGGCCCGGTCATCAGCCAGGAGGACTTCCAGGACGCTGTCAAGAAGTATCTGTGCAAGGACGAGGAAACGACGGCTGCCGTTGATGCGGCTGCCAAACAGATGCAGTCGTCGACAAAGTCAAAGGCTTGAAGCTGTCCAGGCGTGTTCCTGGTACAGTCTCCTACATTGTACAACAACGGATGGGGCAGTCCGTGAGAGGTGGCTCGCGGCCACGGGTCCCTGGTCTCTTTCGGTGGCACACCGGCGGTTTATTTGAGAGCAAAACGCATCGACACGGCGCCTAGAACTGCGCAGGTTCGAACACACACAACCTCGGAACAAGTGTGACGCGGCACCGGCGTGCTGATCACGGAAGGGTTTCTTGGAAGGAGATGAATTGCATGGAGTACGTGGGATATACCATTTGAAAGGATCACAACACATACATTATAACTACTCTTTCGCTTTTCCTTTTTACGTTTCATTGGCACCGATATGCTGTGATTCTGGCTTCGGGTCGGAGAGTTTCCGGTTGATAGGCGACGGCCGATGGCTTGGGTTACATGTAACAGATTGGATACGGTGATCGATCCGGTTAACTCTTCACTCTAATGGCTGGTTCCTGATGGTATGCCACGGTTTCAGGATATGTCCTTATCCACGCAGCAGGTGACTTTCACACTAGTTGAACTACGTTTGCGAGCATGGAAGCTCACACGCATCACTGAGTTTGAGTTGATACTGCCACGAATCGGCGTCGGGATAGAGTTCATGCACATGTCGAGATGTTCTTTGTAGGAACTGAGTGATGGATGTATCTAAAGATTGGTTACGTTCTCGCAAGTGTGCCAGTCACCGGTCAAGTGGCATATTAGCTCAAAATTGAAGCCGCTTCGCAGAGACTTCAGGGTAGGAGACAAGGGACGACAGAGATCAAGTTGGGAGAATCCTTTTTTCCTACGCTGGGTTCTTGAAATACCGGACTAGCTCAACTCCCGACGTAATTACTTTAGATATGCTTTCATATACTAGTTAGACACGGAGTAATAAGTAGGCTTTATATGCTCTGCCTGACTTTGCCCCCCTCCGCCGGCCCTCGCTTTTGCTGAAACGATGATGCCGAAAATGCATGCTCCCCTTCCATCCCTTCAACCCAAATTAAGGAGGGGAGAAACCACAACAATCCCTCGCCCAAGCTCGATCGACCGCCGCGATTCCGTGCCGAGGATCAGAACTGAAACTGGTAGAACTCCCTGCCCTTGAGACCGAGTCTGTGGACAGAAGGAAAGAGCAAGAAAAACTTTCGAAGTCCGACCTTCCCTCTAAGTCCACCCCCAGCCACAGCGTCAGATGGGTACTCACCACTCATCCAACTCATTCCACGACCGATCCACCCGCCATGTGTATGCTGTGCACCCATTCCTCCCGTCGCCCACCGTATATGTCTTGTATCAAATGAAATATGTATCACACGCCCACGTAAAAGCAAACACAAGCCACATATATGCACTTTCCCAACCCATACAGATCTACACCCAGAAAGACGAATGGAAAGTTTTGAAACGAGAACGGAAGGGATAAACACACAAAATCACCCCAAAATGACCCTGGCCCCTTCCTTGCCCAACACACCCCGTTCCCTCGGCTTGGGACTGTTCCCCCGCCCCTTCTTGCCCCTCAAGAACCCAAACACGCCACCCCCGGACCCCTCAGGTTTCCCGCCCAAGTCATTGTTCGCGCCGGCCGCGTCGGCAGGCAGCGTCGCGTCTTGCCGGGCGAGATCGCTCCAGCTGCTGCCGCCGTCGAGAGTGACTTGCACGCCACCCGTCGGGCTCTCGACGATCATGCCTGGCGTGCCGGCGCGGCCGGAGCGGGTGGTATTCATCGACGAGCTCGGGGTGTACGGATGCGGGTAGGGGGGAAGCGGGGGCGGGCGTCCGGGCGGGTTGCGTCGTTGGTGGTTGGTTGCTAGGCGGTGTTGTTGTTGTTGTTGTTTGACTGGGTCATGGGAGTGGTGTTGGGGGGAGGCGCCGTTGGTCGGGGACGGCGTGGCTTCGTCAGTTGTCAGGGCCTGCGGCTGCAGGTTCTCCGGATTGGGGCTGTTGCCTTCTGTGTTGGCCTCTTGCCTGGTCGCCAATGCTTCCTGCTGTTGTTGTGTGATTCTAGAGTATGGTTAGCCCATAATTGGGAATTGAGGAGCAGGAGGGGGGAGATATAGCGCACTTCTTGTAGGCGGCAACGGTGTAGTCGAACGGGCGGAAGTCGGTCTCGATCATGCGGTAGAGCTCATCCTCACGAATCTCTTTATCTGTAGCGTCATCCTTGAGCCTCTCGCGAGGCTTCTGTCTCCGCGCACGCGCCTCCAGCGGTGCCTCTTCCAGCAACAGCTCCTCCAAATCGTATGTGGCGTCGAAGTTGGTCTTCTCCGAGGACGGCACAAAGACAGGTTCGATTTCCTTGCGCTCGAGGGCCACGAAGTCGATACACGAGAAAAACTCATGCTGGGTGAAGCTCTCCCAGGTCGAGCCCAGGCGCTTGTTCGGATCCCCCTCCAACGCATCCTTGATGGCATACATGCATGGTAAGGAAACCGGAGGGTTCGTGACGGGGAACTTGGGTCTCGCGGCTTGGATGACCGTGCTGAGGGATGATTCAGAACTACCCTCGAATGGTCTCTGTTGCTTGTGTCAGCGCTATGCGCGCGGTTGGTGGGTAGTCTGGGGCCCACTGTAAAGCCAGCAGGGGTACTGCGGTTCATACCTTGTTGTAGATGCACTCATAGAACAGCACACCTAGTGACCACCAGTCCGCACGAACATCATAGCCCTGCCCTGCGTAGACTTCCGGCGCTAGGTAGGCCAGCGTCCCCGATTTGCTTGTCAAGACTTTGCCTGGTACAACATCCGACGCAACGTTCTGTAGAAGGTTAGGAGACTCGCATTGGTGCCAGGGGGGAAAACACCTACGAAGTCCGTCAAATGCACATGCCCATCGGCGTCGAGAAGAACGTTATCCGGCTTCACATCGCGGTGGATGATTCCCTGCCCGTGAATGTACCTCAAAGCGCACCCCAGCTCCGCTATCCAAAATCTGACGGCCTCCTCGGTGAATGTTTTCCTCGAGATGTGGAATCGCAGATCTCCGCCGCTCATCAGGTCGACAACCAAGTACCTGGCGAAGTTAGCCAAGTTCCAGTCCCGTCGGGTGTTTAGAGTTTGCCCGCGTACATGTATTCGATGTCCTGAAAACTGTACCGCAGGTTGCAGATGAATGGGTGGTTCACGTGCTCGAGCATCCGCCTTTCGCGTATGATGTTGCGAACGCTTTCCGAACGTACAACTGTAAAGACCGAGTCAGTCTCTGTCTCCAGGGCCTCAATCTTGTATGATTCGAGCAATGTCCCACCTTCATCTTTGCGGATGTATTTGAGAGCGAATGACAAGCCTGTGTCTTTCCTCTCGACGATCCGGACTTTGCCAAAGGCACCTCGACCGACGACTCGCAGGAGTCGAAAATGGTTCAGGTTCACTGGGTAGGGACGACGCCTATGTTAGCGAGCCGGCTGGAGGGGGAGAAAACAACAAAGCCAGCTTACCTTCGCCGTCGAATTCGACGGGTTTGCCCTGGCTGTTGCCCATGGCCTCCAGTTACTCGCTGTTCTTCCTCCCACCGAGCTGAGGCGGCTGGATGATTTATCCCCCTTTTTCTTCTTAAGCGGACACCAATCAAGGCTCCATACACCATGCAAGATTCGCTGCCTACTGGGCACTCGGGACGATTTCGTGTGGCCCGCGAAGGGGACGAAACCAGGCGTGATCGGCAGTCGGCCTTGAGAGAGACGGGACGGGCCGGGTGAAGCGAGACACGCTTTCTCGGCGTCCACTCTGGTGGTCGACGGGTATGAGTCTAGAATGGATTCAATGCGTTCGTTAATGATACAGCCGGCGCAGAGTATGGTTGGGATTTGTCGCGAATAGGCCTGCACAGGCGTCGGTAGGACAAGCGAAGAGCGATAGTTGGAGGAAGTACTCTATACACGGCAGATGGTCCAGGATTGAGGGGTCACAGTACGGAGTACGTACGAACAAGAGACGCCGAGAAAGGGAGCGGACCGCGGAAACAATTTCAGACGAGGAGCCAAGGTTCGGTCGCAGCAATCTGCGAATCTTGCCAGCCGCGTTATGGACTGCTTTTGGATCAGGCGCGGGGTGACACGAAAACACCAGGGGGGTTGCGCAACAAAAGTCGGTTTTATGTGATGGAAACGAGAGCGGAGTTGGTCCGTGAGGTGGTGGAGAGTGCTTGAGGAGTGCACCCGAACTTTGGCGGGTTGAACTTTCCAGGGATGGACAGCCAGCAAGAACAGACTCCACGATAAGCTGCAGGTCTTGTAGCTCACACACATACTGTAACCTTACAGTGTATTAACCACACGTGGGAAAGACTTTGTGCCACGCAGACATCTGGCAGTCTAGCAGCCAGAGTATCCATACTGCGGTTTACAATGGTAATCTTCTTAAAATTATCCCTCTTTCTTTTCGCTTTCCAGCAGAACAAAGAAACTTCTGTGTGTGTGGAGGATTGCCTCGACCGATGAAATCGCCAATTGAACGCCTCGAAAGATTTCAATGAGCGCAGATCACGCCCTGAATGATTTGTGGCTGCATCCGCCATGGTGTCGGTGTCCTCCACCCCAATGCCATGCTCCTCCAATTAATCCGCGCGCAACATGTTTCAGTCACCAGTCACATTCCTGCAAAATCCCGTTTTGCCCTGTGTCTGACCGAATCTCGGATTGCAATTTATGCCACATGGCAGCAAAGTGTGGCACCGCTGAATTTCTGGCTGCTGCGCTGACAGGCATCGCCAATTGGGTGCATCAGATGGGCCCCTGGACCAAGAGCGAGGGAGCGGTAGGACGCTGATGTCGGCAGTCGTCTGCTGTGGGATCTTTTGCGAGAGCGGGAGCTGACGATCCAATGGCTCGACCTCTCAGCCCCTGCGCGTGGCGACCTCGTGGCCACGGCTGCCAGGTGGTGAGGTGGCAGTAGCCAGGCGGGGAAATTGTTTAAACTCAGTATGGTTAGCGTAGGCTCAAACAGCGCTAGCAGCCGAGTTGTCATCTCGGGACTTTCATTGGATGATGCGCTTTCAGACTGATAAGAGAGATTTCTCCAGCTTGCCTCCCGGAACCTTCATGAGGTGTTGATGACGGACACTGGTCGGCCGCCCTCTCTACGATGTGCTGGTACACGCTGTCACCGCGGACAGTTGATCTCTCCGGAGCGGTCGGAGTTGTGTTGGTTTACTTCAAGATTGCTGACTGTATCCTGACCGCTCCTTCATCCATCCATGGGTAACTTGCGATAGGGAGAGCCCACATGGCGGTAACGTTATTGATCCACTTGAGGAGTCTCGGGATCATGCAGACATGATGCACTGTGTTCTGCATAACCGAGCTGACATGTGGGCGGCTCAATTCCCCCACCGCAACTTCTTTTCATCCCTATGTACGGAGGTCCTCCGTCGATACTCGTTACAATATCTATGTAGGTACACTACAACAATCCAAAGTTAAATATCTAGCATCCGGGTTCTACCTATCTGGAGAGCGCTTCTGGAAATCTCCAACGACTTCTCTTCAAAAAGTGGTACTTGACGCATAAGAATATCACGTTTCAGGTAGAGTGGTCGAAAGACCAAACCCTGTTCATACCACGTGCGAGCTGCATTCGCGTTGCCGACGCTCCATGTAGTCGATGCCGGTGTAACACCAGTCTGTACTTACAGTACAGTTGATAAGCTCCTCTGAGAGGTATGAATCGGCTCAAACAGCACCATCGAATGAGGTTTCTCAAAAAAAGGCATAAGCCTGGTACAGCCACGAGAGCCACCTGTCGCGTGGCTCCATCTGCCGAGCCGTCTGAAGAAGCTCATCCAGTCTCTCTGACTTCAGACACGGTGCGAGGCAGAGATGTCGGCAGCCAGCCCACTGAAGGCCTGGAACGCCCGGGCGCACCGGGGCGGCTCGGACATGACCACTGGCATCCAGGCCAGCAATCCTGGGCAGCATGTTCCCGACTTTCTGCGGGCCTTTACACCTGAATCAAATAAAGATTATTGTTGCCACAAAAGGAATGCTTCCAGAAGGCTTCGAGTGCAACAGGGGCTTTGGTCGGTAGCCTGCAACAACAAAGGGGATTCAGGCGGTCTGCATAGTCGCTGTTGGATGCGGTACCTTTATACTTGTCAGGGAGTAATCTTGATCCCTACTCTCGGGATGTTGCACCAGATGATCAATCATTCTGACGGAAGAAAGAGACGATACGTACGGAGTAGTACTGGTGTGTCCCGGTATTCTCGAGACCTGGCGACGATCGCTTGTAAGGTGTCACATCTCATCCCGTCATCTACGGCAGGCTTCGCCGGCTTGAAACGAACAGATGTCACAGTCCGATGTATGGACTGCTTTCTCGATTGCTGAAGCTCGGGAGACCGACATCTGTCCACATCTACTTGGCGCAGGGCGTTCCGCAATGAAGTCACCGGAAAGGGATCGCGAGGTCTCAATCAGAGACATAGTATGTAGACATTTCAATGAACTGTTTCCTCGTGTATGGACAATATTGGTTATTCCGAGATTTGGCGGGCATTCGCGCAGAAGGATGCCGGCCTTCGCCTCTGACCGCTGATCCAGACTACTGTGGCTGAGTGTGGTATGGTTCCTCTCATGTTTCCTGACCCGGATACCAATTCCGCACGGGAGCCGCTCGCGCCGATGTTGGCCAAGCATTCGATCTCGTTGGAGACGCTGGACAAAATACGGCGAGCTGATGGGGAAAGGTCTGCTTGAGCACAGCCTACCGGTATGTGAGTGTTTGCAGCCAGTTATGTGCTGGTGGTGGCATCATACAGCGCGAGCAGTAACCGGGTTCATCACAATGACTCGAAAAACTGGGTTGCTCATTACCTGGGCGTCGCGCACGGCAGAAAGTTTCTTGGTTGAGAGGAGAATTCTGCAGAGGGCCCTGCAAGTAGAAAGGAACAGCGGAGGATGCAGCAGTATCCAAGTCGCCGCCAATTGTGAAATTGTAAATACCTACCTATACCTTGGCTAAGAACCTATGTGTCTGCCCAAGGATACCACTTGATCGGAGGACGATATGGTACCTAGCTCACTTGTTGCTTTGTAGTCGTCGACTCTGTGGTGCTAGTCGCTGCGATACAACATCAAAACACCCCACCAGCGGGATGGTCTGCTGTCAGTCGCAATGACGTCACCAGTGCCTGATGGTCAACATTGCGAACTGCTCGACTTGGAACTTCAGTCTTCAGAAATAGTGCATCTTCAACAACGAGATTTCCTCAGCACAATAAATGACCTCGAGAACTGAGGGGCTCGAAGTAACCGCTGCTACTCCAATTTACAGTTCACAATGGCGCTCCGAAGAAGCACTCAAACCCTCCTCTTCCACGCCCGAACCCTTGGCCCAGCAAGCTCCGGCGTGACCGCTTCATCTCTACAATTCACCAGACAATACCACCCGACGAGGAACCTATGCGCCATCAACGATCAGCCCATGCCGGACCGAGAGGCTCTCAACCCGCGGCGCTCCGAGGGGACCAAGAGCGGGACCGACGACGACGCGGCTCAAACGGACGCCGCCTTCGACCGCCATAACACGGAACCCAAGACCGAGAAGGAGAGCGCCCAGGGTAATGGGAATCCGCTTGGCGTCAGTGGGGCAAATAGGGACGTGTCCGCGACGCCGAACCCCAAGGAGGAGACTGATAAGTCGGACAAAAAGACTAGGAGCGGCGCGGGCGAGCAGAAGAAGGGTGGTAAGGTTGGGCCAATGTGAGGGTTGGCTGTGCCGATCACTGGGCCTGCAGTAGAGGAGGTATTGAGGATGGTATGTGAGGTGTGACGAGGCTGGACTAATTGTCCGGCAGGTGCTGGGCCTGTACAAAATTCTCGAGCATATGGGCTGCAATATGGGGTTGAAGAGACCGCATCACGATATTCATCAATCTGTTCATGCCTCATGCCATGCGTCCCGTCGTGCAAAGCCGATTGCTCGCCAGACTGTTCAACCAACCGCCTCGGCAAATCACTGCGCCAAATAAACTTAGGATCCCCGGCCATCGGCCCCCCCCAATCAAAAAGCCTCCGTCATGTTCAAGCATACAGCCCATCCATGTCATCCTCCTCCTCCCCTTGGTCGCTTTCAACAACAACCTCGCGCCTCTTACTTACCTCCTTCCTACACAGAGGACACGTCCCCTTCCCCCTCAGCCACGGCCCGACGCACTCCAGATCAAACCGGTGACTCTCATGACAAGGTAGTTCCACGACGAGACAGTACTGATCGTCCAGGTATCGCTCGGCGCAGATGGGACATGTATCGTCCTGTTTGAGTTTGCCCCGCGGCACGCGATCGAGGCCATCCAAGAACTCCTGCGTGACGCCCTCGATTTGCCGCGGCGGGTGCGCCACGTCCAGCTCGAGGGCCTCGACGAGCGAGGTGAGGAAGGCGCGGTTGGATTCGGTCGGGGCTGTCGACGCGAGCGTGCCCATCTGGTCTTGAATCAGCCGGAAGAGGGCGGCGGTGTCGGCTGGGTTGGGGACGGCGTGCGGGTTGTGGTGGTGCGGGTGGGTTGGAAAGGTGGTGGTGGTGGTGGAAGGGGGTTGGTCGTCTGCGGCCATGATGTTGTGCAGGTGCGCTGTGAACGTCGACATGTCGACTTGTCGGCGGCGACGGGAGGTTGAGGGGGTTGGTTTGATGTTGTGCTCGACTGATTTCAGGGGACAAGTTAGTGCACTTATGACACATGGGAAAGGTTCGCGGCGCATCGATCGCATCGTGGGGTGGTTGACTGTGATGAGTGCTTACCCTCGTACTGGGTCGCCATGATGAGCGGTTGATAGGCACTTGGTCAAGAGTGTCAAATATTGCAATTATCGTGCTCAGCTCGTGGTGTGTCCAGCCGCGAATATGAGGGCGGTAGAAGTGTCAAGATGTAGAATTCGGGGGGCACAGGCAACGCTCAAGGTGACGCGGAGCTTCATCGCGGGGCGCGGGAGCTTGCTTATCGATAAGAGGACGCCGAGCACTTGCTTGGTTTGTTGGCTTGTTCCGTCTGTCAGGCCCAGACACCTGGGCCAGGGGCAGTTCGTGAAAATGCCCTGATAACTCAATCCCGTCGCCTATCAGGGACTCACCAGGGGACTTACAGTTCCCCAGTTTCCAGTTCTCGAGTGATGATTTTGACCGAATCAAACCAAGACATCGGAACCTGGCGCACGCCTCGACGGCCTGGTTACACGACGCCGTTTGAATTCGCAGTGGTCTCCAACTCGTAACTTGCCGCAAGGGAAAACACCCCCGAGACCCAAACGGTTTCAAGCAAGATCAGCGCCGCTTCGCCAATCATTGCCATTTGGCCCCTGGGAACGGGACGGCTATTGTTGGACTCAACCACGCCGTTGTTGGGTTGCATATGCTGATGACATCATGGCTCGATGAATTCTGATAACCAGCACCACGCGCACAGCATCCATCAGTCTTGTTTGTATGTAGAGTATAGGCTGTACTTGGACGAGACATGAAACCAAGCTCTGAGCCTGGGAGATAGCGACCATGCACACCACGAGCGTGGGTCTGGCCGTGACGCCGACCATCTTGTCCACTCTTTTTTCACATGTAAGGCGAGGACGGAATTCGAGCTGTCCAACCGACTGTGGAGATCGGACTGACGGAATGGCAGTATCTCAACCGGAAACCACGCGCCCACAAGCCCACCGCGCATCTGTCCTATGACGAGGGCCTCCATCTCATCCGCTCATTTCTGGTCCATGCCTCGCATCACACCGTCGAGGAACTGCAAGCCTTCACAAGCCAGTGGGTGCCACATCCCCAATGGGTACGGGTCGGCCCTGTCGAGATTCCAGAGAAGGACCTTCTGCAGGCAGCCGACCTCCTCATCGAGCAGCTGGGCCTGGACGGTATCCGCCAGGTCGGCGGCACGCGGTGGTGGCAATGGCGCAAGCCGAAGAGCCCGCTCAAGGCCGAGTGGATTGAGATGAAAGTCGACTACCAGGAGCGCAAGAAGAACGCCGAATTGGGCAATCGCGTCATGCTCTATGTTCACGGCGGCGCATACTACTTTGGCAGCGTCGATGAGCACCGATACCAGATCCAACGCCATGCGCGGAAGCTCAAGGCGAGGGCGCTGGCACCCAGATACCGTCTCGCACCTCAGTTTCCGTTTCCCTGCGGCCTCCAGGACTGTTTGGCTACGTACCTCTATCTCATTTCACAGCAGAAGCCGAGCACCATTATTTTGGCTGGCGATTCTGCGGGCGCCGGCATGGTGCTCAGCATGATGGTCGTTCTGCGAGACAGAGGCATTCCCCTGCCCGCAGGTGCTGTGCTCATCAGTCCCTGGGTTGACCTGACGCACTCATTCCCAAGTGTTGCTGGGGATTGCCCGCTAGATTACATCCCCCCATCCGGCTTCCACCACAAGCCGTCGGAAGCATGGCCACCACCCGACGAGGAGGAACTCGAGGAACTTAAGAAAGCAGCCATAGCTCAAAAGAAGGAGATGCATGAGCGACATGACAATCCGGCCGAGCAGAGCGGCATCCCTACGGTCAAGGACGTCGCAGAGACTACACACCGCTTGACGTTTCTTATTGACGGCAAGCACGTTGAGGTGAAGGAGCAAATACAAGTATGTTTTCCTGGCAGCTACAGATAGTGCATGAGACTAACGCGAGCCCAGATGTACACGACGAACGAGCTCCTGGCTCACCCCTTGGTCAGCCCTGTCATGCAACCTACGCTAGGTGGTCTGCCTCCCCTACTCATCATGGTCGGGGGTGGCGAGTTGTTGCGCGACGAGCAGATCTATCTTGCACATAAATGCGCCAACCCAGCCGAGTACCTGCCGCCAGAGGCGCTGATGGACCAGAAGGCGAGGGCTCTAGTCGATCGCTATAAGCCGACCGATGTCCAGCTGCAGGTTTGGGAGGATCTGTGCCACGTTGCGCCTACCCTGAGTTTTACCAAGCCGGCGAAGTTCATGTACAGGGTGGGTTGAGCCCGTTGGAGCTGCTCAACTCTACCGAATGCTGACATGGATTTAGAGCGTTGCACAGTTCTCGGCATGGGCACTGGGAAGAGCGCAGAAAGCCGATGTCGATATCCTCAACGACGATCAAATATCGGTCGTTTCTGACTCGTCTTCCTCGGCCTCTCATTCCTCAAGCGACGACGAAGAAGAAACTCCAGTAGGTCTTTCCCAGGCCAAGCACACCGGACAAAATGCATGCTAACACGCACCGTTCAGACAGACCAGCCACCGAAGCATCATCACCACCACGCCTCAGTTGGCAGAGCGGGCGATCCCCTTCCCCCGTTCGCAAACCACATGATCCGCCAGCGCGTGACCCGGCACGGCGCAATTCACCCACTCCCTCCCGCGCCTTCTCTCACGGGGTGCTGCATGCCTCGCGACCTCGTCGGCGTCGTCAAGGTCGGTACCGTGCGCAAGTGGCTCGAGCACAAGCGGCGCTGGGACACGCGCTTCAAGCAGACCAAGGCCAGGGTCCACCAAAGGCGCCTGCGTGACGTGGCGGTCGGGTACGAGGTGTTTGGCGAGGGCGAGGTGCCGCCGCCGAGCGCGCTTGCGGGGAGGAGAAAGCTGGGTGTGGGTGAATCGCAGAAGAAGCAGAAGAAGAAGAAGAAGAAGGCAAAGGGGTTGGGGCTTTCGCTTTGGGCGTTGTGGGGGTCGAAGCATGATCAGATGACGGTTCGGAGGGAGAGAGACGCAGGGAAGGGGGCTGAGGTGGCGGCTGCCGGCCCCGAGCAGGGCCAGGGGGCGAGGAGTTTCGAGGATTTGGAGACGCAGAGGCGCGAGGGCGGTGTGCCGTCGGCCGTGACGGGAACAAGCAAGAATAAGGCTTGGAGGTTTATGGTTGGCGAGACTCAAGCGGAGAGTGGCGACGCTGTTGCTGCTCCGTCTTCTGCGGGTGGGGTTGGAAGCCTTGATCTCCGACCTGCTGGCCCTCTCTTCAACGGTAGCAAAGGAGAACATGGAGAAGATGTAGCTGGGGCGTCGCACATCAACGCAGGCTTTCTCCCCCCCGACGACAACGAGACGGGCGTGACGGGGAAGCGAGTCTTCATCGGCGGCCTGGCGACGCCCTTCAGCCTGCGCAAGGAGCACGAGACGGCGAGCATGATCACGCTTGCTTCGCCGATGGACCGCGGCTCGATCAGGCCGTCGACGGCTGACTCGGGCAGCATTGTGGCGGCATCGTCGGTGAAGGAAGTCTCTGCGGATGCGGGGAGGATAGGCTCGGATGAAGTGCAGGGGGACATGAGTTGTCATTATGGCAGCGCTGTGAATGCAACGTCTGGGCTTGAGACGCCTTTTGTGACACCGTTCTTGGCGCCTGCCTCGCCTACCTCACCGGGTGAGAGGCCTGGTCTGGAGAGGTTTGTGACCGCTGACGAGAGGCTTCTGAACTGACGGCGCTGCTTGAGGAGGCAGTAGGAGGTGGGTTTTGTTGATACCCTTGTCTCATGTATAGATCGTTGGCGTCGACGCAGTTACAGCTCACACAGGAGCTGTTCTAATATCATGGTTAGCTGTTAGTGAGTTGAACAGAATCTTGTATCCGTATACCATGAGGATACTACAAGAGGCGACGAAAACGGTGTTGGTTGTACTAGTAGTATACTTGTATACATACGGATGCAAGTTTCAGAAACGCCGAACGCCATCCCATGAGACAATGGGCCCTATCTCTCCCAAGAGAGCAGTTGACAGGACGTCAGTCCGCGACCCGCTGGCTTCCATTCTTCCCCCACGATTTTTCTTCCCTAACCAAAGCCTAGCTGATACCGCAAGACCTGCTCATCCCCTTAATCCAGCCCGTTCTCGGCCTTCCATCGCGCAAGATACACCGCAGGATCCTTTGGCCCAAGCTTCGTCTCGTACTGACCAAACGTTCGGGGCATGTTGCGCGTCACGAACGGCGTGAGCTGGTTTCCCGCCTTTTGTCAGTATCCCTTTTCTGCTCCCCTTCCTCTGACCATCCATGCAACTTATTCGGGGATTGGAATGGACGCACCTTGAAGCCGTCGAGCGGCGGGCAGACATAGGTACGCACCTTGTTCCAGTCGATGATGTAGCCGCCGTGCTTCGTGTGCCGGCCCATGGACCCTGTGCGCGTGCCCTTGTAGAAGCCCTTGTTTACGTCCTTGGTCGTCAGCCGCAGCCGGCGGTAACGCAGCGCCTGGAGGATGCGCGTCGGCTGCATCGTGAGTGGCGGCGTGTGGGAGGAGAGGGAGGATTGGGAGGTTCGGTGGTTGTCGCGATTCGTGGTCGGCAGTTGTGACTGTGTGAATGGTGCTCCGGAAATTTTGCGGGCTTCAATGTCTGCGCCGTCAGATACGTCTTCGGCAGGCAATGGCCCTTGGATATGCCTCAAATGCCAAGCCGGCTTCACTGGCTGCAGTGGGGCCCCCAGCTTTTTACCGCCAAAAAGTTGCCATTTGTGGCAGAAAAAGAATTCTTGGATCCCAAACCACGACCCGTGCTGAGCAGACCTGCCAGCACGATCTATCTTTCAGTACATACCTACCCAACATTTACAGGAACAGACAGAGGACATCACACCTCGTCGAAAAGACAGAAGAGAATAAAAGATAAAAAAGAATGCCAGGCCGCCAATCTCACGGCCGCCCCCTCCTCCCCACCTCCGGAGGGGGCAACAGCAACAGCGGCGGCAGCAAGAGCAAGTCCCACGCCAAGCATTTCAAGAAGTCGCGCGCCAAAGCCACCGCCAAAGCGCTCGACGCCTTCGCCATCGCAGCCGAGCAGGTGCCCGAGTCGACCCGTGGCGTGCGTACGCGCGGGCTGGAAGATAGGTCGTCATCGTCGTCGCATCCCGCGAAGCGCCAGAGGCGGGACGAGGACGAGGACGAGGACGAGGAAGATGGCGGCGATGACGACTTTGATGCAGCACCCAAGAAGAGGGCGAGGAGGGATGAAGGTGGTGAAGACGGGTTCGCTGGGTTTTCAGATGAGGATGGGGACGGCGGGAGTGAGAGTGAGGAGTGGCATGTTGGCGTTGGAGGGGAAGATGAGGACTCGGAGCTTGACTCGGACGAGGCGTTTGGGGAGAGTGATGAGGAGCGGTTTGAGGGGTATGCTTTTGGGGGGAGTAGTTCGAAGGGGAAGAAGGGTAATAAGAAGAGGAGTGTTGGCGAGGAAGAGGATGGCGAGGATGAGGAAGGGGAGGAAGGGGACGAGGAGGAGCTCGAGTCGCTTGGCTCCGACGCCATTGACCTTGCGACTGCGCTGGATCAGTACTCCGAGGATGAGGAGGGCGAGGAACAGGAAGGATCGGCATCCGAAGAGGAGGATGAAGAGTCTACCGATGGGGATGACGAGAGCGAAGAGGACGAAGGCGAGGACGACCCGTCGAAGCTAGATGCGCTACAAAGCATGATCGCTGGGTTTGCTGGCCAAGACGAGGAGGAAGAGGAGCAAAACGGGACGCAGAATAAGACCAGGCTCAGCCTGAAGGATCTTGGGCTGGCAGGCGTCAAGGACCCCCACATCAAGCGGTCGCTGCGGCTGATGAACAAAGAAGAAAAGGCCGTCAAGCCTGGCTCCTCCAAGAAGCTTGCCGTTCCCCTGGCCAAGCGCCAGCAAGACCGTCTTCTCCGCGCCGCCGCCTACCAGAAGACCAACGAGACGCTCGACCGGTGGATAGAGACTGTCAAGCACAACCGACGTGCGGACCATCTGTTCTTCCCCCTCGCTCAAAACGTCCATGACGCTGGCTTGGACGGTGGTGAGCTCAGGCCCATTACTGAGAAAACGTCTGGAACGGAGCTGGAAAAGACCATCCTGGCCATCATGGAGGAGAGCGGGCTTGGACCAACCGCCAAGCCTGAGAAGAAGGCGGACGGCGAAGGCGTTGGACAGTCCGGATTAACGGAGGCGGAGCAGAGAGAAATTGCCCGGCAGCGGCGGCGGGAGCGGGAGCTGCATTCGCGCGAGTTGGCTCGGCAGAAGCGCATCAAGAAGATCAAGAGTAAGGCCTACCGTCGCATTCACCGCAAAGAGCTTCTTCGCGAGGAACAGGCGGAACGTGAGGCGGCATTGGCGGCCGGCGAGCTGGACTCGGAAGACGAACGCGAGCTCCTCGACCGGAGACGCGCTGAGGAACGCATGGGCACCCGGCACAGAGAAAGCAAGTGGGCCAAGCTGGGCAAGAAAGCCGGGCGTGCGGTGTGGGATGAGAACTTCCGTGCCGGCCTTACCGAGATCGCTCGGAGGAAGGAAGACTTGCGCCGTCGCATCGAAGGTCGGGCCGGCGGTTCGGATAATGAGGACGATGATGGATCTGATGTCTCGGAAGCCTCCGGAGGAGGTGACCCGCGGCGCCGTCTTCTGGCAGAACTCGAGCGTGCAGCGACCTACGACGATGACGACGAGCCACGGTCCAAGCTTATGCAGATGAAATTCATGCAGCGAGGCGAGGAGCAGCGCAAGAAAGAAAATGACGAGGCCATCGCTGAACTTCGTCGCCAGCTAGACTCAGATAATGAAGGGGCTTCGGATGCTGAAGAGACGGAGATTGGCCGTCGGCAGTATGGGATGGGCAACACTACTCAAACCAACCAAGCCAAGAAAGCCAAACCCGCCGACGCTCGTGGGTCGGCCAGCTTGACGGCAGCAGTAGAATCGACGTCGCAAACTCACCCCGGCGCGCAGGCTGAATTGCGCTCTTCGGCCGCTGGCGCAAGTGGTGCGTGGACATTGGCGGAACCGGTGCCGTCAGCAGCTGGCTCTGCTGGTGTTTGGGCTCAAGCTGAGCCGTCTGGCGGGAGGAGTAAAAAGGCAAACAAGACAAAGACCGTGGAATTGGACATCTCCAACGCTGCGGTACTTGCCACCAAGGCGCCTAAGCCCAAGGCTACGTCCCAAAACAATCCTACTGCGGCCGACGGCGTTCAAGACTCGGACGGCGAGGCTGATCTCCACCTTCCCATGGCCATCCGTGACCAGAAGTTGATTGAGCGGGCTTTCGCCGGTGAAGACGTCCATGGCCAATTTGAGGAAGAAAAGGCCGAGATTGAGAAGGAAGACGACGAAAAGGAAATCGACAATACCCTTCCCGGCTGGGGCAACTGGGTTGGCGAGGGCGTCAGCAACCGCGAGAAGAAGCGGCATCAGGGGCGGTTTATCACCAAAGTCGAAGGTGTAAAGAAGAAGGACCGCAAAGACTTCAAGCTGAAGGACGTCATTGTCAACGAGAAGCGGGTTAGAAAGGTTTGTAGTTACACACCACTCATCGAGAGAGGAGACAGGAGGCTGACTTGGCACAGAACGATAAGTACCTTGCCTCCGGGCTGCCCCATCCATTCGAATCGCAGCAGCAGTATGAGCGGTCGCTGCGGTTGCCTGTCGGCCCTGAATGGTCGACCAAGGAGACATTCCAGGACGCCACGAAGCCGCGTGTTATCGTCAAGCAGGGCATCATTGCGCCCATGTCGAAGCCCATGTATTAGGCTATTCTTGCGGATACATCATGGTTTTCATCTGTTGCATATAATAGGTTCAGAAAATGGAGTGGGTTGGGCATGTATAGAACACAGGCGAAATGCCATCATCACGCAGTCCTCGTTCTTGAGGGCTACGCCGTAAGATACCAATCATGTGGGATGGGATTGCGTTGATCTTAGAAACTGTGTAACTTTTTCTCTTCTTGTAGCCAAACCCGATGCCGCAGTGCGCCAAAGACCAAGGACTTATCTACATCGATATATAAAAAAGAAGCTCCCCGAAGATGTCCGATTCTTGGAACCGGACCGAACCAATGGCTGGCTCAGCCCATTTCCTTCCTGTTACACAGAATATCAAACAGTGGCACCGCTTCACTCAAGACATAGACCTCCCCCTCATGAGCCATTCATCTTGACCTTCCCTTCGGTCTTCTCCAAATACTCAACCATGTCCGCAATCGTGCACACCTTAAGGCCCCACTTCCTCGCGAAGTCCACGCACGCTTGGCCCCTCAACATGCCCGGCTCCTCCCGCAGCGCCTGGCCGGGGACCTCGGCGCCATCGTCCACCAGCTCGCAAATCACGGCCGCCGGCTTCTTGCCCGCCAACCGGCACAAATCGATGGCCGCCTCGGTATGACCTCTCCGCTGCCTCACGCCGCCGGGCGCCGCCCGCAGGGGAAACACGTGGCCCGGCCGCCGGAAACTGGCCGCCGTGGCGGACTCGTCGGCAAGCGTGCGGCACGCCAGCGCGCGGTCGTGGGCGCTGATGCCTGTTGTGACGGACGGGTGTGCCGCGTCGACGCTGAGCGTGTAGGCGGTGCCCCGGGGGTCTTGGTTGTGCGACACCATCTGGGGGAGGTCCAGGTCCAGTGTGCGCTGCGGCAGGATGGGCGCGCAGATTAGGCCGGACGAGTGCCGGATCATGAAGGCCATTTGTTGCGTGGTGATAGACTCGGCGGCGATGACGATGTCGGCTTCGTTCTCGCGCGAGGGGTCGTCGAGGACTACGACGAATTCGCCCTTTTCTGGGACGGAAGGGTTAGTGTGAGTCTGAGTTGGGGGGGGAGTTGGGCGTACGGAAAGCTTGGATTGCATCGGGGATGGAGTCGAATTGGGAGGCGGGGATCTGATCGGGGGCGGTGATGGTCGGCATGATTGCGATCGATGGGTTGGCTTGTTATGGCTTTCAGAGGGAGAAGGAGATATCTATTGGCGATTGGCGTATGGTGGTGAAAAGCGAGGGGCGGAAAAATCAACTGTTTGCGGTTGCGACTGCGGCTTGCGGCGAGTGTGGTGGATTTGCGCTGAGTCGTGGAGACAAATTACTCATCTACCGTCTGATGCGTTTCCCAATCAACCTGTCTTCGTGAAATGTCTGGTGTGAGGAGGAGGTTCCGTTACTATTCGATGAGAAATTGAACAGAGTCAGATGTCAGGGACGGGATTCAGTCAGTCGGGTGCGTCAACGTCTCTCGGTGTTGGTGGGATTCCCGCCGGAGGCCGAGGGCTCGGCCTGGAGACTTCGATGGGAAGGTTATATACTACACATGACAAGCCGAGGAAGTACAAAGCCGAGCAGCCACTCGTTGATAAACGCAGCTGTTACTAACACTGCGACTGTGATCATAGCGTACCTTTGTTGCAATCCAATTGCTTGTCAACTGATGACAGGCGCTGACAAACATGTCCCTCAACAGCCCGAACTCGGCAATGCTGTGTGGGATTCCTCGGGACAGTGGTCCCTGAGCACAAATTTGGAAAGCGGGGCAACGGGCCTTTGTGGGGCAAGCGCTAGAACTGTTCTAGAACCCCGCGCGGTCGGTTGAATCTGCCGCATCCCTGCGGTGCGGACTCTGTCTCCGTCCCACGCGATGGCGCTCAAAAGTGCCGGTTCCGACGTTCGACTGGATCCGATCCGCGCGGCACAGCGGTGTCCGCTGACCACCAATACCCCGAAAATGCGGCTATCACTCCGGCACGTCCCGAAAACCCTCCGACCGGCTCGGCTGAGTTGCCGCACGTCGGCGGCGGCGACACAACTTGTCCCAGACCTTCAACCAAGCCAGCCCCCATCAGCAAGGAAACTCAGCACAACCCCAACGCGCTATCACACCCCGTCCTCCTCCGTCAACGAAACCGAAATCTCCCACTTCTCCGCCCTGGCCTCATCCTGGTGGGACCCCCATGGCCCGTCGAAGCCCCTCCACCTCATGAACCCGCTCCGACACGACTTCATCCAGACCTGCCTCTCTTCTTCTACCATCAACCATCCTCCGAAAAGAACCAACCTGCGCTACCTCGACGTAGGCTGCGGAGGCGGCATCTTCGCCGAGTCCGCCGCCCGCCTGCCCTCCACACTCTCAGTGACCGCCATCGACCCGTCCCCGATCATCCTCGCCGTGGCGCGCGCCCACGCCCGGCGGGATCCGTCACTGCGTGACAAGCTGGTCTATCTGAACGAGACGATCGAGTCGCTGAAGCTGCCGGAAGCGCCAGAGGATAGGTACGACATTGTCAGCCTGTTTGAGGTCGTCGAGCACGTCGACTATCCCGCCGCCTTCCTCGACCGGGTGGGCCAGTTCGTCAAGCCGGGCGGGTGGCTTGTGCTCAGCACGATTGCGCGGACGTGGACGAGCTGGGTGACGACGAACCTGGTGGCGGAGGATATTCTCCGGGTGGTCCCCAAGGGGACGCATGACTGGGCCAAGTATGTGAATGAGGGGGAGCTGAGGGAGAATTTCGCCCGGAAGGGTGGGCAGTGGGGGACGCCGACGGTGAGGGGGGTGGTGTATGTGCCGGGGCTGGGGTGGAAGGAGGTAAGGGGGAGCGAGAAGGTGGGGAATTATTTCTTTGGAGTGCAGAGGGTTGGGTGAGCGGGCGAGGAGGAGGGGATCGTACGATATAAAGGGTGTGTATGCTCTACAGTTGAGTAGCGAGGTTGATGTAACAACATGTGATTCACAACCAATTAATTTACAATTCATGGTGCAGGCGGCTACCCCAGCCTGACCGTCCGCCACATCCTCAGACACTCCTGCAAGTCCATTGACAAGGTCCCTTCCAGCGCCGTTGATGTATCCTTAATGATGGCCACCAACAGCGTGGCGTACGCAAATGTGATCTGGTCCTCCTGGAGCGCCGCCAGATCCGACCGCCGCATGCCCCCGTTCTCAGCCCAGACCTTCCACAGGTCCAGCATCCGGCAGAGCCTAGAGGAAAATTCCCCATCGAGCACCATCCGGTGCAAAACCGTCCCCATGACCTCCTTGAGGCTCAACTCGTCATTCACCTCGCCGGCCTTGCGCATCCACGTCAGGTTGCGCTCCGCCACGAGCCTGGTATCCCACTTGGGGCTCTGCATCGCCTCCATCATGCGCGTCTCCCGGCGCTGTGCCTCCAGCCTCAACCTGTCACGCACTGCCCGAATGTCAGCACAGCACCAACACCAAGGTACTCAGACTACAAACACACCGAGAAAACTTACTATCCTGCATCCTCTGCTCGCCCTCCCTCGTAATCCTCTCCCTCATCGCAGCCGCCTTCTGCGCAGGCGGCATCCTCGCCTCGGCCTCCATGGCCGCCCTCTGCTCACGGCTGCGCCGCGCAAACAGGTCCAGCTGCCGGCCGTGATCGTCATCGTGTCGGGTCGCCCACTCGGGCGTCGCCGACTCGTCCACCACGCCCAGCAGCACCAGCACGCCGCAGGGGACCGTCTCCTTGCGAGCAAAAGTAAGAATGTCGTCGGGTATCTTGTAGTTCCATAGGATCGTCTGGCTCGTCGTGCCGTATGCTGTCGCCGCGCTCGCGAACCACGCGCCGTCTGACTTGGATGCGCGCACCCGGATGTGCTCGATGTAGAGAGGGGCGCTGAGGTCGGTTGTGCTTTGTTGATGGAGTTGGGGATGTTCGGCGGCTTGGGAGAGGGCCGTGACGATGCCGTCGGTGGAGATCTGGCAGGTGATGGGATGTGTTGAATGCGAGAGGCCTTGTTGCCGGGCGGAGTCGAGGGAGGGTTTCTGGATGCTGGAGATGTCTTTCTGGGCCTGGTCTTCTTCTGCTGGCTCGGCGGCCTCTTCTTCTCCTTCTGCTGGCTTGGAGTCCTCTTCGGGTTCTGCCGCCTCGCCCTCTTCCTCGCTTGGTGATGGCCGGGGCGGTGGCGGTGGATGGAGACGGACCCAATAAGGGGGTAGATAAGAATCATCCCTTGTTATCCAGGGCTCTGTCCACACGACTTTCAGGGAGAGATGGCCGTCTGAGCCGTCAAGGGGCGCAATCGTAAGAGCCTTCTCCTTCCCATCCGGCGACCTCATCAAAGCACTCCCAATTGGTGCCCACAGACCGCTCGCGCTTCGCAGACAGTGTTAGTTACATAGATCATGATGAGCCACTGGGGTGCGGGCTCCCGTACCGCAATAGACGCCAGCCCTGGGGATCCGGCACAGCACCAAGATCTAGGAGGTAGCAAACGAGGTCGTCAAAGGCCACCTCAACCTGGGGCTGCCTCAGCTGGTCCGCATATTCGACGCGCTGCGTGTTGTGTCCGATGATGTTGGTCCGCCAGTTGAAGGTGGTCCAGCTGCCACCGGGGATGCTGGAGGGGTTGCGCGAGAGGGTCCAGTAGTCGTCCCGGTCCAAGTAGCGGTCCATGGGACGGACGGCATAGCGCGGCAGCTCAACCTCAATGACGCGATTGACGACGTCGCTGCGCGTGAGAGCCGTCAATTTGCTGTGCCGCAGGATCTGCTTGATCTTGGAGAGGGAGGCCAAGGTCGCGACGGTGTTCCATAATATTGGCAACACTCCGAGCACGGCTGCAAGTGTTTTTTATTCAGCATATGAGAAGCGAAGAGGTTGATGAGGATCGATCACACCTAGCGGCACACCGATGTATGTAATGATATCGGTTGCGTTGTGTTCCGACTGAGCCATGGCTTGCAGCTACAAAGTCGTACGACTTCGGGGTTGGGGATACTCTGGATAGAATTTCAGTAAGACGGTCAGGGAAAGACATGGCAATGCGGCTGAGGCTTCAGGGCTGCTGTTACGCTTTCTTCGAACCTCCAATCTCTCTACCCCCTGTTCCAGGCAGTCAGCCTCACGCTTCACTATCTGCGGCCAAGACGGGAAGCTAAGGTAGTAGGTACTGTAGGTTAGGGGTGACAAGAACAGCAGGGTTAGGGTTCAACGAGACTGCACATTTCGACAGCTCGCCGGTCAAACCGTCAAGAGCGAAGATGGTGCCTCCAAATTCCCCCCGGGCTTTACCGTTCTGACATTCTCCAATATCGCAACCTAAATTCTAGTAAACAAATTTGAGTTATGGGACCCAATTCATGATTCGATACTGAACTTAGTATCCCATCCACGCCTCGAGATCCGGCCCTGCCGAAGAGCATAAAGTAATAAGTCCTTGACGGTTCGTTCCACATCCACAAATATGGCTGTTCAACGCAGCTGCCCTGCTTTATACCTGCAGTTGCTCAATCGAGCTCTGGTTCGGATGGGTGCAAATATGAAACGCTTAGCACATCCATAGATGATGCTCCAGCCTCTTCACTGGAGCCAGGATGGCTCGATGCCTCCTTCAGTCCAAGGAGTTGGGGCATGACGACTACTGTGGTATTTCCTGCCTCCGCTTGTATAACTTGAACTTCTGTGACACCTTCCATCTCGACCGCGGGCATGACGATTTTCAGGCTTTCAGTCTTGCTTCGGTTAATCACTCCGGGTGACTTACTCGGTAATCTTCCAACCGTAGCTCACTGACGGACCAAAAGTCCTGTCGTTTGATTATTACAGATCAATGGGCATCGCGCCGTTGAGTGATGAGTACCAACGTCAAGGTGGCCGTGGCCGAGGTTTCTGTTTACCGACCCGCTGCCTCGGAAACCAGCCAAAACAACAATGAATCGAGGGCTTATGAAGGTCACAGCCGCGTAATCTGTGGACAATCTCAACTCCAAAATGATGCTAGTGTCGTGACAGGTCAGCTCGAAGTCCGCTAAAGCCAACCTCACGGTGACGAATTAGTAATTCTGCAATCAACTGTCGTGCACGCAGGTGCTTGGCCGTCTGAGCCCAAGGCATGGCACAACTTCTTGCTCGGGATCTGCCCTACGCTCGACAAGAACAACCGGCTCGTCTTGGTCGAGCTGCAAGGTGCCGAGACGGAGAAGCGGAGCCAATCTGCCATCAATAGCATAACATGTCGCCTACGGGTCCACGGTCGCAATTGTCGTTACCAAAAACGATATTCTGAAGGGGCTGGGCGGCGAAGAGAAAACGATCCTCATGATCTCATTCACTGAGCCCAGATTGACTTGTACGGCGAACAACTCGACAGTATACTCTACGACGGACTTCTCACCCAAGTTCGGCGTCAGCGGATCCTCGTTCGGACAGTCGACGACTCGCGCAGCTTGTTGGCCGATTTTGTCATTATGGATTTTGTCAGATGAAACATCAACTGCGACCATACTTGACAATCGTCGTCTCCGGCTCGCCATGACCCGTTCTCGGCAAGCTGACATGGTTCTCATGAGCCGAGGGATCTTTCTCAATCGCTACCACCCAAGAAAGTCCTCGGAGGCCAGGACGTGCAGTTCCCGGAAAAGATGTACGAAGATGCCGCCCGCCATGGAGGTATTGTCACTAGGGACGCCGCCTATATCCAAACCAGGGAGTCGCTAAGCGGGGAAGTTTCACGAATCAGGGCAACCCCCTACGTGAACCGGTGCCGGAACTGCAACCAGCTAGGACGTTGGGAAAAGCAGCGCCTACAGCCATTGAGGTGCGAAGATTGCGGGCAGCTCGGTCACACTCTGAATCGCTGTCCATTGCCTTATGCTGCCCGGTGCTACATCTGCCGGAGCACGGAGCATCAGCAAGGAGATTGCACCATTACTCCTGCTGTGGCCGAAACGGCCACAACGGAAAGGGTTGTCCTATGCAGTCTGAGCGCAAGACACGCAGGACGATGGGTCCTGATGAAAGGGACCATCTCCGCAACGAGCATAGTGGACTCTGCAATATCTGCACAGAAGGCGAAAACGTAACCAAGAGATGTCCCGATCCAGGGGAATTGCAAGTTGTGTGGACAGCTCGGCCACCGTGAGAAGCACTGCCCTCGGAAGCGCTGTGTACATTGTGCCAGGAACTCGGCCACTCCCACTCAGTTTTCCAGCCACGCCTCATCTTCTCTGCGGCCAGTGGCAATAGTGTTGGCGACAACATGAGAGCACAAACTCTCACGATGACACGATTAAGGGCAACACTGCCGCCGTTAACAGCGGGGCTCTTGACTGGCTACGTGACTTGACTGACGTGGCTGCGGCTACTTTGGAACATCGCCGATTCAACCGAGAGTTACTCCCCTCGCATGGATGCAAACTACAGAGCTGGTAGAAAGAACTCGATGGTGATGGATTGATTGGACGACGGGAATGAATGGTGGGTCAGGCCAATGAATGTGATGTCTTCAGAAACTCCGAGATCCGTTCCACGTCACTTATCACATGGTATTTTGCTGTTTTACATGCCGCCAAGAGACATAAGTTCTCAACCAGAATCAAAAGGATAATCAATTCTTTCCGAATAATTCGTACATTTCCAAGGCTCCGTCAATACGTCTTCCATCTGGAGTTGACGCACACACCTTTCCTCGACTCCTGTTACTCACGATGCCTGATTACAGTAACGTTAACCAGGAGTTTTCTCCAAAAATTTCAGAACCAGCAACCTTCCTCTGTTCCCTTTGCCTTTTCTTTTCCGGGAAGCGCTCTCTGCCATAATGACTTCCACCTGAGTCGGGCGTTCGATTCTTCCTCTGTTTTCCTCAGGAATTTTCGCCCAGTTTCCACTCCATCATCAGTCACCCCTGGCCTGTCGATCGGATTCTTTGCTACAAGAGGGACGTTTGATTTATTTTGCACTCATCGAGTGGAAACAAAATGAAAGTTCTCGATTTGCTGCGTTTGTCTTCCCGTGCGTCTAAGACGGGAATTGAAATCTGTCTCGATTCTTCCTTGATGTCCAACTTTCTCATTTACACTGCGCTTCAACATTCACCAATTTGTTACTGACTGGGTGGCTCCAATTCCGATTTTTGAACACAGCTAGAACGGCAAGATGGATTCCGGCGGCAACATTCAGGCCGAGGCAACCGACAACGTTAGGGTAACTTGGTGTTGTTACTCAGATGCTTCAACAGCGCTAACATATTTCCAGGCTTCCGGCCGTCACAACGACGGCGATCCCAACGAGAAAGACCCAGTGAGCGAATGGTCCAGAAGACGTACCGCTACTAGAAGGGCGGGTGCAAAGGCAAGACAGGCCATGCTTTTGAAAAGTTCCCTCACATGGAAAACATTTTGAGCGACCTGGAACAGGTCCTCAGTACCTGAGAGATCTCTGGGACAAGATGAGCGAAATACAAAAGACGAATACCGTGGCCTGGACGACTTGGTTCAGAACATTCAAGGGTTTACCACCGTTGCCGGCTCTTCTAGAGCCGAGCTTCTGCAGTTCATTATCCTTATGGCGCGGTTTGGAGACAAGGGCCCCAAGCACCCTGTCAAACTTCTCGACTTCGTCGATGACAACGGCCACGATATGTACGATTTTCCGAAGGAGATGAACCACAAGTTAGCGGATGTCGGCAAAAGAACCACAGCGCGCGTCATCCGCCTCCACTGCTACCAACAGAACGTCGCCGACATGGCTGAGGACGACTGGTCTGAGGACTCTCTCGAGTACCAGCATATGGCGTATAACTGCGAGGGAATCGACGAGTGCTTCATGCTCTGGCACTCACTGGCATTCCTCGGGGCCTCGGCCAGCAGTTATCAAGAGTTGCTTGAGAAGGACCGGGAGGGGTCTCTCGACCTGCATCAGGCTGTGTATCAACACTACGAGGAGCATCGTAATGAATTCCTCGATCTCAAGATGGTGATGGACAACCCCGACAACTGTGTGGCATATCACCAGGGAGAACGTGGGACAAAGGCCAAGATCAGGACCGAAATCAGGAGACTCGTTTTCCAGCTCTACGCAAAGTTCTGGGACGAGTTCAGCGGCTTCATCGTGACCACAACTCTCCCCGGCAACTCTCCAAATTTCGCTCGGAGTTTCAACGCCGACATCTGCATCGTTGATAACCATACGACAACCAAAGATCTCATTTCGATCATCCGACATCACAAACCTTCTCTGCTTTTGACAATCGGGGATCCACATGGGATTGCCCCTCATGCGCGCTATATTCTGAGCCTCCGGGCTCTAACGCCATGTTGGAGCCGCAAGCGCGCAGCGCGGGCTGTGCATCTAATGACGAACACGGCCGGATGGCCGCCCACAGCTTCGTCGTCACCAAGCCGGAAAGGTGAGTTCCTGACTGCTGGATGGGAGGGACTGCTGGGAGCGCCCGAGCGGCAACTAAGCCGCGCGGACGCAGCACGAGAGTGGATGCCTTGCATGTAAAATAGCGCGGATGAACCGCTTGCCCTAACTGGGCGGGGCGGTTGCCCTTGCGGTGTAAGATCAATATATATATTCTAAGCCTGAGCAGCCAAGCGGGTATCAATCGACCTGGAATTGTCGGTTGCACTATTCAGTGAAGACACACTCCCAACCGGAGCGCAACCGTCGCCTATTCAGCTGGAAGTCGACTTGGATGATCTTCCAGCGAGAGACCCTAAAGGTCTAGACGGTATCCATCGGGGGGCTGCACGTGTCGATAGGGTTTTGCGGCTGCACTCTGCAGCCAAGAACACAGCGATGATGGAGGAATGGCAAACAAGACTGGGGGAAACGGGTTAGGCATTTGGTGTGGTGGCAATCTTGAGATTATTAGGATGTGTAGATTGGAGATGTAACATGTAATTAACAGAATACTAACTCAAGGGACAGCTTGAATCCCAGAACATGCCCGTGAATCGTGCTCGGTTTCTACCTGCTGGGCCCTTTTATGTCTCCGGGCCCTTACTATACACGTCTTCCTTTCCTCAGCTGGTTGCGCTTCCCGAGGGCTTTGTTCCTGGGAGATGTAAGAACTTCATGAAACACGAAGAGGTGCATTTTGTTAGGAGCTGAAGATTATAAATAACATGCAAGAACGATCTGCAACAATCCTGGTGCTATTGCGCAAAACTGAAACCAGCTACAGTGAAGCGACTCCTAGGTACAGTAGTATGTACCAGTTTCCTTGTGAGCAATCCCATCCTCCCTCAGGGCACTCCTCCTTCCATTGTCAAAGCTATCGCGGCTCGCATCCCTTACTCAACTTCAGATATGTACCCAGAGGCCTCCCATTGCTCGTTCACTCGTTATGTCACTGACCCAACACGAGTCATTTCGTCCTCACTATCACAGTACACACAGCAGCAGTGTCCAACCCCACAGCCAAGCTGTCAACAGCTAGTTGTTGACCCTTTTTAAAACGGCACCCAGTGCAGAATAGCATTATACGATTGTGTCCGCGCAACATATGTATTTCCCCAGCCATTTCATCCCCAACACCCCGCGTATCCATCAGACCAGAACGCCACCGAAAAGCAACCGGATATAACCACCCAGCCCTTCCATGCCCTCATAGACAGATAAATAGTACCGTGAGAGAACCCTTTTGGATGCCAGTCCAATGACTAATATCCACAGCAAGGAAAATTCAAGGTAAAGCTCAAACTCCCAATGACCGGACAACACACTCTCTGAGAAGACAGTTACAAAGCCCACACCTCAGATAACAAGAGAGACATCACGTCAAGAACCACATACACCCACACGGACTGATATCCGGAAAATTCCCAGGCGGCCCCTTACCATCGCCACCACCTCCCCTCCCAAAAACACCGGCGGCAGCTCCATATCCATACCCATCACCGCCTCTTCTCACCCGTTCCACATCCGCCGTAGCCGTAGCCGTGGCGATCGGCTGCCCACTACCACTCATAAACCGGTCCACCTCCTCAATGTCAATAACTACCAACCTGCCCTGTTCATCCCGCACAGGCCGCGCCTCTTCCCCAGGTCCCTGGATCTCAACCTGCGTGCACTGCGCGCGCGGCGCACCCGATGTCGAAACGCGGTGCTCCTCGAGCTTGACGACGCGCGGATAGGCCTGCGGCAGCGGCGGGAAGCCGTCGCCTGTGTCGACAGGACCGAAGGGGCCTGTGGGAGTCGTCGTCGTGGAGGAGGTGTCGGAGGTAAACTCGGTTGTGGATAGCCGGGGAGAGCTGGTGATGGTCCTGCTCTGTGTTGGAGGAGGAGGGGAAGGGGTCGTGTATTCGGCGGAGTCGGCTAGCATCTGGGGGAAGTGGCCGTCCCCGCCGCCGTCGTTCCAACGTCTGCTTGAGGATGGGAATTCGTTGGCGGTGAATGCCTCGGACAGGTCGATGGGCGTTGGTGGGGGTGAGGAGGATGCTGTGGTTGTTGACAATTTGGATAGGGTCGAAGACGAGGTTAACGACGTGGACAGGGTCGAAGGCGAGGATACCGACGCGGACATCGTCTTGCTCCAATTTGTGAAGCTCGAGTTCTGCTGGGCGTAGATGAATAATACGAGATGCGTATTCGGCCAGCTGCAGACCCAGGGCTTGTCACCGCGCTGTGCGATCCCTTTCCGCTTGAAGTTGGAGACTCCACCGCTAATCGAGGTGGCGACATGGCGAGCTCTGTTTTGAGCGTCGGCGGCGCTCGGAGAACCGAACATACTTTCTGGTAAAATGACCGTCTTGTTAAAGGGCAGCAACTTGAACCAGGCGGGACCGCGGCCGGGCTCAAACTTGTCGCCCACCAGATCAAGCGTGACGGGCTCTTGGATCAGTGGAGGTTGCTCTCCGTATGCATACACGTGGTTCATGATGGTAAACGAGTGATTGCAGTTCACAGACGCGCGGTAATCGTCGTTGTCTTTAGTGACTGTTAGAGTCAAGCCCGAGATGACAAGATTGCAGCTCCAAGCTTGCGACAAGGTGGAATCCCGGATGCATGTCTGGGATACGCTATTAGTCATGAGCGGCATGGCGAAGGTCCCCGTAGGTAATGGTTGAAGGTCCGGTGGCGTTGGGATCGGAGTCGCTCCATAGTTGGGTTCCCTATCAAAGTCAGTAACATGGCGTTTTTGGAGGGCGAATGCACTGTTCACTCACCAAGCGCCCTGTCTCCGTGGTGGCCGCTTCTCCTTGTTCATAAAAGTGCCCACCACAGCACCCAAGATTATCGCCATGACCAATAGGACAAACCCAGTCAGGCATATCGCCCAGTACGGAACTATGCCGAATGCTTTTCGCCGCATCCAAGCCTGCCATTTCTTTGGCGGCTCCCTCTTCTCTGAGACCCCCTCGTCGTCCAATCGGAACCGGCGATGGCTGTCATCCGACGTGAAACTGCGCGTCGAGTGCCGTGACCGCGGGAAGCGTAGGTCGTCTGTGGAATCGAATTCTGGGTTTCTGGTAGCCAACCCCAACCCGCCGGCGCCTTGAATGCTCGGGCCCGTGGATGAAGGAATGGTGAGGGCAGGAGGTACCACGGTGGCCCCTCTGCCCACCACATCAGAGGAGTTGTCGACTACTGCCGCTTTGCGAAGATAGGCCTCGTCGGGATACCTGGTATATGGAGGTAGCTGCTCGGTGTGGCCGTCCGGGCCGATCAGGTCGGCGACATCTTCACCCTCAGGCCCTATCCGACGCTGGTACTGATCAGCGAGACCACGGAAGCCGAGCGGAATCGCGGCGGGTGTCACTGTATCAGGATCAACAGCGCCAGTCTGGGAATAGAGTCCGTAAGGGTGGCTTGGTCCCCTCGTTCCTCGGTATGATGATTCTGATGAGGGCACAGTCGACGACGTGGCCATGCTTAATGTCCTTGCCAGCCTCACATTCTGAGGGTACATCTGATATGGGTGCGACGGACCAGATGGGCCTTGATATGGACTCTCGGCGGCGGGATAGACAGTGGAATTGGTCGAGTTCGTTGTTGACCGGGTCAATGTATTCGGCCCGTTCTGTATCGACAGTATGTACTGGGGCATCTGGGGTTTGGCAGTGCTCGAGGGGCGACCATTGCTCGAAATTGAAGCGGGACTTCCCTCGGCATGGAGCGTTGCTGTAGAGGCCGAGGTTAGAGATGGCGTCGACGGGACTGTCCTGCCGTTCGAGTGTGTCGGTCGAAACCCATCCGCAACCATGCCTGCCACCGCAAGGTCGTAGTCTTCGTCGCCATCATCGAATGACACCCGGGCCGAAGCCCTGGTTGATACCCTCCGCTCCGGGGCGCCCGCCTTATCCGCGGAATCCATGGTCGGGGTCTTGCGTGCCAATGGATCGCAAGTCCGGTCCGTGTCTGCATAGGTCACTCCCTGCAGCAACGGATTCTCACTTCGAAATCATCGATGGCCTTGGTCCCCTGTGCCCGTCCCAAGAACCGGTTTTCTCCAATTGATGCACAATAGCTCTGAAAGCTAGTGGGCAGGACCTGGTTCAGTGGTTGCCGCTGTGTCCTTGTCGTAAATATCGTCGGTAGCCCTGTCGTTCTTGCTTGATGGACGTTGTAAGTTGATTGCAAAGCAAAGGCTGGTTGGCAGTGATAGCGAGCCCTCCGGCTGAAGGGGCAGGCACTGAACGGGTGATTGTCCGCGTGGATGTGCACGTCCAGTTCCAAGAGGGGTCCCAGAGAAGAGCCAGATGAGTTGCAGGGTGGCTTGTTCTCGATGAGATGCCCCGGACCTTCAGGGGATGGAAGTCTGGAATCGTTTCGGACTGGAGTTGGGGGCATGCTCCGATTCGTGGGGGGTTAAAAAGTGTGGTCCCGACCCACCTATCTTCGGGCGGATGGGGGCGGCTTGGCGTGCAGTGATGCGGCAAGATGGAGATTGTAAAGATCCGCGACCATCTGGGAATCTCCGTACCATTTCATCGGAGGAATGGTATTTTCGGCCACAGCTCTTGGGGATTTTCATCAGCGTACGGATAATGGCAGATGCATAGCAGAAGTAACTGTCTCTTGTCCGCCGCTTTCGAGTGCCGACACCATGAACGGTGTATCCGTACCTAGCCACCATCCTCAGACTGAGTCGCTCTGGAGGGGAGGGGGGCACTGCGGAACAAGTTGAGAAGGGCTCCACAGATCATTGCAATCCGCCCCTTGAGTGTTTGATTAATTTTGGTGTCCTTGCGCAGGTCCACAGCTTGCGAGCAGCCTTCCGGCCCGGCAGTGGAAGAGTAGACTCGACCTGGGGAGCTCGGCTTTAGAGTGGCGCACTCCATGGCCGCCGACGGCCAATTTCTACGAGATGTGGGATTTGCTGGAAATCTTGAAGCCTATGTCGAGGTGCTAATAGAGCCGGAGTACCTGGCCGGCCAGCAAACCGGTCATCGGGTTATGTCGAGTAAAGAGAGAACATGGCAGCGATCTTGGCCACCCCCAATATATTCAATGTAACGGAATGGCTTTTCCCGGCAAATTTTTCAGCTTGGAAATTATATTTTCGACCAGCGAACTGGCGGGAATCTTATTCGGAAGGCTGTTTCCATGATGACAAGTTTCCACACTCGGGTTCGGATGTGCTTGACTCGGAGAACCGGTTTGCCGGTCGTATTGCTCGAGGAATATGGCCCGATGTCCATCAGAAATGAACATGGCAGTTACAGTATATAGCGTTCAAATCGGGATACAGACAGGTCGATGATCGACTGGTTTGTTGGGCGCATCTTTCAGAGCGTCTCCCCATTTTTCAGGTCATGGACAGTTCCCGTTTCGTGCCCGGGGGTCACGGAATGCGCCCCGCCGCATCCGCGGCTACCGGTTGAAAGGGTCGGATGTCCCGATATGGAGAATGATTACATTAAAGACGAAGACTCTGTCTGCTACTCCCAGGTTGGACAAGATCGTAGAAGAGATGGAACATTGAGATCAAACAGGCCAGGTTCAAGTTCGAAGCGCGACGGATATCAACGCTAACTTACTAGTACCACAGTCCGTTTAACTTCGGCCCCACGTTTGCGGCCACGACTGACATACAGGTTAGTCTCAGCTACCTCCGCCCCACATTCTCGGCAGTTTATCACCCCAATCAGCGGAGTGAGCGACCGCAGCTCTCTCAATCCCCTCCATCTCCAACCAGCAGGGTATCTAGCTACCTCACCTCCCGAAGACCACGCTCGCACACGTGGAATCTTGTGGCCAGATCTGCAAAGGTTCTTTGCCCAAATCGCAGCGGTTTGACGCACGTTCGTCAGATCCGCTACAGCCTGGCAATGAGCTGGGAAAACCTCCAATTCGAATGTTCGAGGACAAAGCAACAGAACATCCCGCCGATGTCTCACCCCTGCAACAGCTTCAGCGTTTGCATTTCGTGATTTTTTGAGTCCTCCACGCGCCCGGTTATCACACGGTGGGCGTAAAAACCGGAGACCAACCAGTCCTGAGCAGCCTTGTCTCCCCCCACCACCATGGACGCCGAAACTGTGCCATCCAGACCTTTTTTGGCACCTTGGTTTGGTTCTTGCAGCCTCACTTCCAGTCGAAATGAAGACCTCAACCCTCCCATTCGACCAAGGCGGCAACCCCAATCAATGGCTTTCCCAGTGTCTCTCTTTCGTTCGCAAGGCTGCATCGTCGATGCTGTCATGGCAGGCACGCGCACAGCCTGATTGCCCCGCTTCTTCGAGGTCAACACCCCTCCTCGCCCTCCTAAGACAGCCCGCGCAGCATTACATGGTTCTGCGTTGCCCGGCGCAACATGGAGGGAACTTCTCGGTAACCGTTCTGACTCCTTACTCCTTAGGTGGCTTGTGCGAGAGCCGACATCTGCCTTCACACAGACACAACAGCACGCATGCAGAAGCTGTGCTCCTGTCGTGCTGAATCCCTCACCACATCCCGATGACCTCTTCCAGAACGAGATCAGACACAGAAGACGGTCACAGAACGGATGCCCGCATTTTGACCGCCAGGCTGGTGATGCAGACACACCAACCGCTGCCCTTCCTCTCAAGCAGGGCGCGTGGCTGACTGGAATCCAAGACGCATCATGCAAGTGAGAGGAACCCTGAAGAGACGGACACCAATCAAACGGTTGCCCGGCTCGTGTGCCAGACAACCACTACTCCGATCCGCCACGCCTGTAAGCTCCATCGACGGTGAGGTCCCGTGACACCGGGACGAATCAATGCAGCCTCATCTCCGCCCTACGCCGAGTCTGCGATCCAGTGCTGCTGAGCCTCGTGCGGTCCCTTTCAAACAGACAGCTTGTCGTGTCCGCTTTTGGGCCGGAAAGTTTGGTGAAACCATGGCATTCTGCAAGTGAACGACGCGCCCGCTGTGCCCAGCTCAAGCAGGCACGCGGCGTCTCGCTGCGCACACTTTAAATGGTGAGCACACCGAGCGTTCCTCATGTTTGGACCTTCCATATTTCAGGGGGCGACACCCGTCGCGTTTGACGATCCCTTCTCTCTTTTCCTCCTTCCTCCGAACACATCGCCCCCTCTTCTCGCCCTGCACTTTTACCAGATCCCATTGGCCTCGGTGTGGACAAGGCCATCATCCATCCCAGACCGTGTCACTGCGAGGCGACCCACCCACGTCAGACATCCTGACCCATACACGTACAATCCTATATACAAAAGTCCCCAGCTTCCCATCCACGACCATGTCAATCCGGCCCAGTAGCTCAGCCTCGCGCTCGCGGGCCTCTGGCGAGTACAGAGAGCTCCGTGTCGACAACAAGCCTGCTGTCAAGGCTCTGATCTACTTCAGCGGCCGAAATCCACGGAAAACAAAGAGCATCCGGCGCTACTACGAAGAGGACTTCGACGCCCGTAGCACCGGCTCCAGCGGGTCCATGTTCTCGTGGTCCAGCGGGACAAGCAGCGTCTGCCTGGTCGAGACGACCAACCCGTACTGGTACTGGGACGGAGCGGCGGATTCAACCCCCTACTCCTCCTCCCCTAGCCGCAGCAGCAGGAAGCGCAAGTCCTCCTCCAAGAAGGGCCGGTCGTCTCGCAGCTCCCACCGCACCTCCCCGACTCCCACAGGCAGCACCTGGGGCCCGAGGCCGGCCACTGTTGAGGACGACGACGATGACGATGACTACGACGATGACAGCAGCAGCAGCAGCGAGTGGGGCGACGACTACGGCGACCAGCCGGCCGCTGGCGGCGCCTACCCGCCACCGCATCCCGGGATGATGCATCCTGGTCCTCCGCCTGGCGGTGCCTACCACCCCGTCTACGGCGGCGGCATGCCGTATCCTCCCCATGGTACGCCGCACCCAGGGATGCACCCTAATGGATTCCCAATGCCGCCGCCTCCGCCGCCCATGGCCGGAGGCATGCCGCCACCACCACCGCCGGGAGGTCATTTCGTAACTGGGCGGGACGGCATCCAGGTGTTTGTGGATGGCTGAGCAATACAAATTGCTTGCCTTCTTGGTGTATCCTGGGACTGCATTTTGGTTTGGGTTGGATTTTGCTTGTAGGGCGGCGTTATGAAGCGGCATACGGGCGTTGTCCCTGCCGGTATCTCTCTGGGGCTCGGTCTTGGTCTGGAGGCGTCTGTGTCACAAATTCAAGCACGTCAGCACTGGTCGGCACAATTTCATCCGGGCAACAGGACGGATGATGATTTTCATGGATTTGATTCAGGGAACACATCTTCGTGGCCCTAAGTTTGGTCTCTCCTCGTCATGACGGCTCTAGCATAATGAGACGTGATTTCTCTTTTGCTGCGCTCGAGTCGAGGGAGCCGTGACTGATTCTTCTGGGATTGAGGCATGGGCACAACTCAACGGGGAGCGGGGTCGGGTGCCACTATCATCCTCCCACAACTCGAGCATGTGATAATGCAAAGCAGCTGGTGGGCTGCCATCCGAAGGTCGTGTAAGTAGTCTACCCTAAACCCATTCTCGCATCCCCCTTCCCTTCACCGTGCCACAGCCCGACGTTGGGGAGTGTCGCGTGTCAGATGCCCCATCTGCAAGGCGATCTCGGCATTGGCGCTTCCGGCCGTCTCCTCGCTTTTCTTAGTGCAGACGCTGTGGCGTTGCAGTGAATCACGGTCACCAAAAGCACAGTATTCGGCGCCCTCTCGTGTTCTGAGCCCTTTGAGTTTGGGCGACAACACCTTTGGGATGCCTATCTTGGCTCACATCGCCCCGACGAGGTCTCGTAACCTTGCACTTGAAACCTTCGAAGGAGGCATCCAGTACATGGCAGTGGATCGGTGAGGTCTGAGAGGGGTCTTTAGTTGGTCTCGGTCACCCCGCCCCCTGCGCCGGCTTAGCCACGGCATGCAGGTAAGACGGGACAGCACATCTCAAGAGCGGTTCAAATGAGACAGCCTGGCGAATTGCAGGAGGGAACGTCAGTAATCAGGATATGCAGATTGCCGAGACAAGGCGGCCAAGGCATGGTGCGAACGGCGGCCGCTCCGGAGGTGATCCACCGGTCGGTCATGGTGGGGCCTCCGAAGCAAAGGCGGGAGACCAGTAATGCTGTGGTGTGCCGGGGTACCGGAATCACTGAGTGTGCATCAACAGAAGCAGATGATCTTGCCATGGTGTATCGGGTATTCATGGCTAAAGTCAGAGGTGAGTGATGAAGGGAGACGTCAATGGAGCTGCTGTTGGTGTGCCTTACTACTCGCAATGAGCAAAATGAGATATATGGTGAAGGGCAAGCCGAAAAAGGAGAATCAGAGGGTCAAGTACATACAATACAGTACGGATATACACGAGTTTGCCCTCTTCCTCCAACCTCAGGCTCCACCTACCACACCAGCCATGCGCACCTCCAGTTCATCACCCTTAAATTGGGCCTCCTTCAAATCTGCTGACGACTCTTTCTCCAGCTTCTCGCAGTTGCAACTACCTAATTAGCCCAGCGCCTGGCAGCACAAACATGGTGTTGCCTAACACCCGATAAATAATGCAGCAGTTCCGATTTGGTCAGCAAGCCAAGGATTGTCTCCCCCGCCGTTCTCGCTGTCTTGAATTGACTTTGTCCGCCATCATTCAGTCATTGTGAGATGAATAAAGAATATCAGTCCGGCAAGAAGCAAAGGCGAGTTGATCTGTCCTCAGAGATGCTCGTGAGAGAAACCTACAGGCTTCAGACTGGGATTCTGGACGAGGACAAAGGGCCGGCCAATGACACACTCGCAGTTTTTTGCGGGGAGACCGAACCGTCCTCAACCGCTCAGTCAGAACCCTCAGGCCAGCCGCCCACGGCAAGCTGCGGCAACGAACCTGCATGCTGAGTGGGAGCCACAAGCGGAGGACAATGTGGCTAGGTAACCGCAGCGGAGGAAACCAGAAGTTCGGGTCGGCCGCGTGGCTCTGGTAGGACACGGATGACTTTCGTAGGCCGCCCATGACCTCGGACGAGGAGTTGACTAGTTGACTCTGACTCTTAAGGTTGGCAATGGTCGCATCCAGCCAATACCGGCGAGATGCAGTGCGGGTGGGCTGTGTGCATGGATGCACACTGACAGCATTCAACAAGCCACACAAACCAACCGCATCTCAGGATGCCTCAATCAAACCCTTTTTCGAATGCTGTTGCCTTCAGAGTGGAGATAAAATAATGAACGGGAGCCCTATTGGGCAAGCCATTCACCATGGTATGCATGCGAGCCTGAGGGATTCCCGTTCAGCAAACCGCCGACACAGTCAGAAGTCCGTCGCTGAGGACGCAAGCCGATCAAACATAAAATATCTCTTGCGTCTTTGCCTGACATTGTCAAACTGTATCTTCACTCGGATCCCGTCTACAACCCTCTCTTCCCGCCCTTGCTTGCCCCGAGGCACCACCACTCCTTCATCCGCCTACTCGAAGCCCTCACCATGGATACCCTTCCTCCAGTAGTAGGAGGCGAGGGACTTGCGATGGGGACTCCGCAGAATCAGCTTCTAGACTTGGTCTTTCCTGGGTTTTCAGGTATGTCAGATTTGAGCCAGACCTTACCCGTTGCATGGCGGCAACCCACAGGCTCCTCGGATGCATGATCGACTTCACTCCCAAACTGCTTTTGGGCAGGAAAGAAGTACCTTCAGGTAGCTGACATCGCGGTTCAGTGTTCTCTTCTGCGGTAAATCGATACTTGCACATCGACCTGAATGTCTACATCCCCTCGGTCCTTCTCATCAGCGGCGTTGTTTTCGTATGGCGCTACTTCATCGACTACTTCTGGGACCTGGTTAGATCCCATCTCATGTCGTACGTCAAATACGGACCCCGTTGCCCAGCCTGGCTGTCTGAGATGCCCAACTCGTCTGGACTGCGGGCTAACATTGTTGCAGCGTCGTGGATTTGAGATCTGATGATGAGCTGTGGAACTTCGTCATGTCTTGGGTGGCCAGCCAGAGCTTCTCCCAGCGCTCTCGCCGTTTTGTGGCGAATACAAACGTCAATAGTGTATGTTTCCCCCTTTTCTCTGCAGGATTACCTCAAAACGTTCAACACGGCTGACACCGTAGGTAGCGTTCCTGGTACCTGTAAGTGACAGTCCAGGCTGTTTGCCTCTTGCTGTAGCCGTCATCGGCTCTCTCCACAGGACGAATAGTACGTCAAAGAATGCATGTGGCTGACATTTACAGCAGTTGGAGAAGTTTTGAAGACGACGATGAGGGTGAAGACAGCGAAGAGAGCGGGTCGATAGGTCTTAAGAAGAGAAAGGCCCTCGCCTACACCCCGACGTTTGGCAGCCACTGGTTCTTTTACAAAGGCCGCATTCTCATCTTCCGCCGGACCCAGAACCAGCAGCAGTCGGGGTTCATGACGGCCAGCGAACGTGAGGAGATTTCCATTTCGTGCTTCGGGCGGAACCCCTGGATTCTGAAGGAGTTGCTGCACGAGGCGAGGGAGCAGTTCCTCAAGAAAGACGAGGCCAAGACCCTTATCTACAGAGGCACCACGAAGGCGGGCAGTTCCGAGCCTCAGTGGCAGCGATGCATGGCGCGGACGTCACGGCCCTTCTCAACCGTCATCCTTAGCGAGAAGGTCAAGAAGGAGCTGATCGACGACGTGACTGACTACCTCAATCCGGCCACTCGGCGGTGGTACGCCAACCGCGGCATTCCATATCGCCGTGGGTACTTGCTCTACGGGCCTCCGGGCACCGGAAAGTCCTCGCTCAGTCTGGCGCTGGCCGGATTCTTCAAGATGCGCATCTACATTGTCAGCCTCAGCTCCGTCACGGCAAACGAAGAGAACCTAGCCACGCTCTTCGCCGAGCTCCCGCGCCGCTGCGTCGTCCTGCTCGAGGACATCGACACCGCCGGCCTGACACACACCCGTGAAGACGGCAGTCAAGCCACCGCGGCGGACCACACGACTGACGAGACAGCCGCCAACAGCCGCGCTCCCCGCGTTCCCGGAGCGCCCGCCCCGCCCAACCCCAACCCCCCCGGTCGCCTCTCCCTCTCCGGCCTACTCAACATCCTCGACGGCGTCGCCTCGCAGGAAGGCCGCGTGCTGATCATGACCACCAACCACCTAGAAAAGCTCGATAAGGCCCTCATCCGCCCAGGCCGCGTCGACATGATCGTCAAGTTCGACCGCGCCGACCAATCCATGACCTCCCAGATCTTCAAGGCCATCTACGCGCCCCTCGAAGGCGACGATGGCGCCCTCTCCTCCACCGCCACCATAACGCCCGGGGAGGAACAGAAGCGCGCAGCGGCCGCTTCGCGCAAGAGGGAGGAGACGACGGCACGCGTGGACGAGCTGGCGGAGCAGTTCGCGGTCGCGATCCCGGCGCACGAGTTCTCGCCGGCCGAGATCCAAGGCTACCTGCTCAAGAACAAGCGGGACCCGGAGCGGGCCGTGGCGGGTGCCGAACAGTGGGTGATTGATGCGAGGAAGGAGAGGAAGGAGAAGGAACTGAAGGAGGCGGAGGAGAGGAGGAAGCAGGAGGAGGAGGAGAGGAAGGAGAGGGAGAAGAAGGAGAAGGAGGAGGAGGAGGAGAGGAGGAAGAAGGAGAAGAAACAAAAGAGGAAGGGGAAGAAAGCTGGTAGGAGGAAGAGTGCTAAGAAGGAGGGTGGGAGTGGGAGTGAGGATGGGTCGGAAAGGTCTGAAGCGGAGAGCGACGAGTCGTCGTCGTCTGAATCGGAGAAAGAGGAGAAGAAGGGCAACAACAAGAAGAGGAAGAACAAGAGTAAGGGTGCCGCTTCTCCTGCTGCGGTTCCCGCTTCGGCCCCTGACGCCGTTGCCGCCGCCCCTGTCCAGCTGAAAGAGGGCGACGCGTCCGAGGCCAAGGCGGAGGCTGCGGTCGCCTCGGCCATCACGGTTGATACCGTCAAGGCGAAGGAGGCTGCGGAGCTGCCTCAGCGGACCCCAGGCGCCGACTCGGGCTATGGCACCCCGGCATGAGGGGCACAGCCTTCTGGTGCCCCTGGTAATCGGATCATGGGTGCGTCATCATCCAGTTGATAGTTGGGACCGGAGGGTGTCTGGCTTCCGTCGGATCGGCGGCGATGAAGCATGGATCTGGAAATCATTGCATCAACGGGCGTTCGGGATCAGCAGGTTGGTATGTGGTGATAGATTCTGATGATGAATAACAGCCCCATTAGAAAGTTTATTGGCCACGTCACGTATTGAACTGCCTTGCTCACTTGTAGTGTAAAACACTGTGCGTCAATGTCAATGTCCACGTCTCGAATGGAAAGGATCATGACACGCTGAGCAGGATTGGCGATATATTCATGTGTCTCAGCTCAACCTGCCAACCTGTCACTGAGTCCGAGTGTCGCCCCTGGTGATGATCTTGGCTTGGTTGTTGTACTTGCTGATCCATGATGCCTGATTGGGATGCGCTGATGCTAAGTTGGCGATCATCCAGGCCGAAAGTAAAAGTCCGGTTCGTTGAAAATGCTCAGCCACCGTAGGCGGCGTCACCTTGAAGAAAGGAGGGGAGGAGCCGTGCGGTTCCTGCAGGCTCAGGACGGCCGGCGAAGGGCGGGGTGGGGCAAGTCTGAACCCATCTGAAAACCTCGCAAAGCCGAAGTCGACGAAGGTTGTCTCGCGCGGCTACCTAGGTCACTTACATTATTGACTCTTTTTGATTCGTAAAGTCGAGTCTGAGATTTGTATTCGGGCACCTCGTGTGAACGGCTAACTGCCCAAGTCAGCAGGAGGCCAGATACCTGTGCGCTTTTTTTAAAAGTAGACTCTGCGTACATTGTAGTGGACTGAACTGAGAGATGTGTTACTCCAAGTTCGAGTCAATGTCTTAAAGCTATCCCGACTAAGATGGGTGGACAAATGAATCCAGGCTGCAAAGACACCACGAAACCACAAGAGGTACACAGCCATGGCGACCCTGTCATCTCGGACGGCTACCGCGTACCTACTACAGCAACACGGCGGGCTGTTACTGTGTACTTTCACCATCCCGAACCATCATTTTTGTTGCTGTGGAGTGGGTGGTTATCAATCTTGCATGAAGAACTCCACCTAAGAGATTAGATTCCCGAAGACTATTGCTCACAACGAATCCTGCAGCGGGCGGGGACAGACTCGAACAAAGATGATCCAATTGAATCGAGCGTTGTGGGCGGCCGAAGTCCCTGAATGCTCTGGGCAGGCAACTTTATCCACCCAGATCTTTGAAACCTTTGCCTCCGACATCGTCCATCTTTCGGGTTATAACCTATCTTGACCCTGAGCCGTGGCCGCGACGGTTAGGTTGGTATTGTCTTGCCCGTCTAGTCTATTGTTCCTTGTCAGGTGCGTGGTTCCTGGAGCTTTCCTTACTATTTAAACCTCACTTCGCCCCTTCTTCTCCTTTCCTTGCCGGCCTCTGCATTGTCTTCCCTCTACGAGCTCCTCCGGTCCATGAACAAAGCCACCGCATGTGCCCACCACTGTGCGTACTACACAACCCCTTGAAAACTCGACTCACATAGCCGATGAGTAACTCTCTCCTCATTGACACCACAAGAACTTCATCACTCGTGCCAACACCGCATGTTTAAGAAAACTGGGGCTTTCGGTGTCGAATCCACAACCCATGTGGAAACAGCGGTGAATGGCTGTGTTGAAATGGGATAGACATGGGACGATGCGCCGCTAACTTATCTGCCCCTCCAGGAGCCAGACCCTTCTCTCCTTTTCCTCAACCGTTTCTTCCATTGACGCCGCTTCGCCCTCAGTCAAACTTGCAAAACCCAATTGCTTGCCCGCCATGTCTTCCCGTCCTCAGAACATCGGCATCAAGGCCATCGAAATCTACTTCCCAAGCCAGGTGCGTGTGTACGCGTTGCCTCTTGGCACCTGCGCGAGCCACAACCCTTTTCCCGCCGCCTTCGCTAACAGCGCGCAACCGCAGTACGTCGAGCAAGCTGAACTCGAAAAGTTCGATGGCGTCAGCGCTGGAAAATACACAATTGGCCTTGGCCAGACAAAGATGAGCTTCTGCGATGATCGCGAGGGTCAGTTTTCGCTCTTCTGCCTTTTGTGCTTTTTCAAACTCTCAGAGCTGCAAACGTCTGCCACTGGTGCCCCTGGTCGGGTGGCCGTTTGCGGGTCCATAGCAACCAGTCGTGTGCTCAGGGGCTGATTTGGACGCTGGGTTCACCCCGCCATTTTAGACATCTACTCAATGAGCTTGACCGTGCTTTCCCAGCTCCTCAAGAACTATAATGTTGACACGAATTCGATCGGCCGCCTCGAGGTTGGAACCGAGACCATCCTCGACAAGTCCAAGTCGGTCAAGTCCGTTTTGATGCAGCTGTTCGGCAACAACACCAACATCGAGGGCGTCGACACGGTCAACGCCTGCTACGGCGGCACCAACGCCGTTTTCAACACAATCAACTGGATCGAGTCCTCGGCTTGGGACGGCCGTGATGGACTTGTCGTTACTGGCGATATCGCCCTCTATGCCAAGGGCAATGCCCGACCTACGGGCGGCGCTGGCGCCGTGGCGTTGCTGATCGGCCCCGATGCGCCTATCGTCTTCGAGCCCGGTCTTCGCGGCAGCTACATGCAGCATGCCTACGACTTCTACAAGCCCGACCTGACGAGCGAGTACCCCTACGTTGACGGCCACTTCTCGCTCACATGCTACACGAGGGCTCTCGATGAGTCCTACCGTGCCTACTGCAAGCGTGAGGCGCAGATTGTCAACGGCACCAACGGCCATGCGAACGGCAACGGCGTCGCCGAGCCTGCGGTTCCCAAGACACCTCTGGACCGCTTCGACTACATGGCCTTCCACTCCCCCACCTGCAAGCTCGTGACCAAGTCGTACGGCCGTCTCCTGTACCACGACTACATCGCCGACCCGGAGAACAAGGCCTTCGCCGATGTGCCCCCGGAGATTCGCGACATGGACTACGAGAAGTCTCTCACCGACAAGGTGGTTGAGAAGACTTTCATGACACTTACCAAGAAGCGCTTCCAAGAGCGCGTCAGCCCCAGCATCCAGGTGGCAACCAATGTTGGCAACATGTACTGCGCTAGCGTCTGGGGCGGCTTGGCCGGCCTGATCGCCTACGTGGACGATGCTACCCTGCAAGGAAAGAGGATAGCCTTGTTCAGCTACGGCTCCGGCCTGGCTGCCAGCTTCTTCTCGCTCCGTGTCAAGGGGAGCACCGAGAAGATTTCGCAGGTGCTCGATATTCCCAACCGCCTGGCTTCCCGGCGGCATGTTTCTCCGGAGACGTACGATGCTGTGAGTTACGAAGGACGGCAAAGCTTTTGGAAAGTGAACACTGACGAATCATTCCAGATGTGCGACCTTCGGAAGAAGGCTCACCTACAGAAGGACTACGCTCCTCAGGGTGAAGTTTCCACTATCGCCCCTGGCACCTACTACCTCACCAAGGTCGACGACATGTTCAAGCGGATATACGAGGTCAAGGCATAGAGAGAGTGATCCGAAAAACGAGTTCAGCAGATCACCCCACCGGGTTTGACTCGACCATACACTCGGGTTTCCTTGGTTTTGAGTTCAGCGAAACTCAGACATGCATCTTCGGCACCTGCAAAACGACCACCGCTCTGACCGGCGCAAACGATATCCGCATGCGGTGGAGTTGCATGGATTTTGGCCTGCTTTTGGAAGAAGTACTACTCTGGCATTCTGACGGTGGGAAGTCGCAAAAGAAGAAAAGGTTTCTTCAACTAGAGAACGGGATGGTAATGTTTTTAGTTGGTCCGGCTAGCTCCCAGCTATAATGCCTATAATTCACGTGCATAGGTGCTGGTGTGCGGCGACTCGAACTGCCCCATTGTTGAGGGTGTGGTCCCGCCATGGTGGCTGCTATTTGGGCATAGAATATACCAGTACAAGCCCGATTCATTGATTTTTCAAGGTCAATTGCATTTGTGAGGTCGTGTGTTCTTTGAGTGAAATCCGAGTTGACGCTGATTTGGTAAATACTTGCCTTCTAGACGAGTTCCGGCTCCGAGTCCAAGTCGTCGACATTGATGGCACCTTACCTTACGGAGCCCACCAGCTCTCCCACCTCCCACAGCTAAGAGTACTTATCAATTCTCGGTCCCTCAACTGCTGCATGTCTTGTGTGGATTTATCTAACTAGTTGAGACGCCACGGCTTAATCCTTAGCGACCACCTGGTGTTTATCTTTCAAGCTCTTCCATAACTACCCTGTGTCACCATGTTGCCCCTCCCTGTTCCCTTGGTTGCTCTCTCACCGCTGTCGGTCATACCATAATCCAGCGGACTCCTTACACGTTTCAGGAATGCACAGAATCTATTGACTCCGCCTGTTGCTGTCCTGGCAAGTCCACCGAGTCGACCCACCATTCTACCTCAATGCGCAAGAATATTTCGTAGATTTAACAAATCATCACGTCATCCTATTGGTCGAATGGTGTAGTTGGTTATCACGTCAGTCTAACACACTGAAGGTCTCCAGTTCAAACCTGGATTCGATCATCAATAAGATCTAATTAGTTAACGTGATTCACCATTGACTCGGACACCCCATTGAGTCGGACACATTTTCCGGACTATGCCACTACAAACTGCCAAAAGTCCACCAGAATCTGATGCAATCAATTGAAACTACTCAGAATCGCTTAAGCTATCTATTTCTCCAGCCTCCGAGCATGTCCTTGCATTATGGCCAGTCTTGCGGCAGATGCCACAGAGCCGTAAACCCGTCCGACGCCTCTTTGATGGTCCTTCAATTTCCTCCTCAACGCGCTTTTCCTCGTCCACCATACCTTTCTCTGCCATTTTTTCCCTAGCTTGGCTTCCATTAATAGCCCCGCCATCTTGGAGACGCGTCCGTTTGGCTCTGCGGCGCTTGGAGAGTGCTTCGTTGGCCTCCTGAAGTGTCCGTACCTCGGCCTCCAAAAGGGTGACCCGATGGGAAACTGCTTGCATTCCCTTCGAAAGCTGGTCAACAGCAGCTAAAATCGGAGTCGGAGAGCTTCCCTGGTGTCTCGCAATCTGATCTTTGATAAGGGCAGACTGCGAAAGGGCTTCGTTGGTAGTTTGGGGCGTCTTGGAGACCCATGGTGTTCGCGATCCATCAGGGGTCCCAGGAGGTGTTGGTGTTCGCAACTTAACATCCAGCTTCGAAAGCACGGCCTGCGGGTTGTAGGGGATAAGACCAGATCCTCGAAAACCCCCAAGAGCGTTTTCTTGGGTAAAAGTCCGGTAGAAGGCAGCTTTGAATGCAAGGAAGAACTCGGGCTTGGTGATGTGCGTAATCCGCGCCTTGATGAAGAGCTCGATTTCAGCACCGTACATCTTCTTTAAGACGCTAAAACAACCAACATCGAGAGGCTGAGTAAGGTGCGACGAATGGGGAGGAAGACAGAGTGTTATAATGTTGTTCTCCTTGCAGTAGTCGTTAAATTCGGCGCTGATATGGCTCTCGTGGGCGTCAAGTACTAGCATCCGATATACACCTTTCCGACGGTGTTTAGTGTGCTCATCAAAATGCTGTAGCCATTCCAGAGCAGTCTTGTTATCCGTCCATCCATTGGTTGTTGTTGCGACGGCCCAGTCGTCGGGAATCTGGTGCTCAGAGTACCAGCTGGCGAGGTGGAAACGGCCCTTCACCACCAAGAAAGGCGGCACCACATAGCCGTCGCCAGCGATACTGCAAATCGCTGTTGCCCATTCTCGATTGCCTGGCTGAATGGCCTTTGGTTTGCCGACCCGATCGGAGCGTGTAACCACCATCCCAGGCCGTATCATGCCCATCATAAAGCCGGTCTCGTCGAAGTTGTAGAAGTCGCAATCGAGGATGCCGTATTTCGCTCGCATGTTGGCAACCAGTCGGATCCATGGCTCGATAATTGCAGGGTCTTCGCAGAGGCCTCTCTGATAGTCATAGACGCGATTGAAACGCGTCTTTAGCTCTGGACGTCGTGCAACGAAGCGGTCTGGCCAGTTCTTTCCGACGTGTCGCGCACCGCGTTTCCGAAGCAGAAGATTGGCGATATCACCCACGTCGACAATCCGGGGCGAAAACCCTCGCGAATCTCGGTCGAGTATGTATTGAACAATCGCCTCCTCTTCGATCTTCGTCAAATTCGAACGGCCGTGATAGCTGTCGGACTTCGCGATCTTTCCCTTCATTCTATCTGCAATTGTCGACTTGGGGACATTGTATATCTCTGCGGCGCGTCGGATACTCAAGCGCGGTGTTGATCGAATCGCATTGATCGCGAGAAGAACTCGGTTTTCTGGGAAGCTGTCGGACATTGTTGTGGTAGAGAAAACGCGTGTTGAAGTTGGGTGGTTATGGTGGGGGAAAATGTGTCCGAGTCAATGGGGTGTCCGAGTCAATGGTGGATCACGTTATGTGATCTTCAAAGATCAAAGATCAGATGGAATATTCCCTACTTTTACTCTTGATTTTTACCCTTGATTAGGGGGTTTGCCTTCCAAAGGCAAACACTATCAGGCTCTGGCCCACCCTGTTCCCTCTTGCTTTTTTCCTTGAGGGAGGGGGTTTATGAGCAGGCTGCAGTTGACCGCAACTACCTGAGTGTGCCACAAGGCAGAACAGTTGAATGTGTTTCCTCCGAAACACAGAGAAATTCTGATATGTCCTGCCCTCTTGATTCGCCTAGTACTTTCACTTTTGGGCTCTACCTAACGCTGGAGACTCGGAACTCTAATGGAACACGTGAAGAGAATATGAAATTTGGTGAGCCAAAATCGCCATGGCCCCACACCCAAGACCAGGGTTAAATGGTTGGGTCATGTGAGACGCGGCTGTCTCGCGTCGAATGCCTGTTCCCCACAACCGCTTTGAGGGCGCGTCTCAGAGCACAAACACTTGCTCGCACCTGCCACCACTTCGGCCTCTTTCTGCAGTCTTGAACTTTATACATCCATACCCTATCTTGCGTCCGTCCATGTTGTTTTCAGCACCCTCATCTCAGCTGCCAACAACGCCTTTCCAATTTCATATGAACTTTCTGCCCTTGGATTGCTTTTCCTTGATGTAAAACGCGTGTATAGGGGACGCGTCGCATTTCTCTCCGTTCTCGAAATGGCCGACGAAAACGAAAGACCGGGTCTCCTCGAGTCCTGCCTGATTGCCTTCGTTCAGAGCAAGTCATTGTCTAGTACATTGATTGCACAGGTACGCGTCCCGTCATGCAACTGATCCCTACATGTCGCTTACGAAAGCAGCTCTCCCAGGTCGTTAAGGATCATGGCGCCGAGGTCCTGGAGCCGGACCGCAAAGGCAAGATCCGAATCCCGCAGGCCACCCACATCATCTCCAACACCATCGACTTCGATCAGTATGCCGAGGCCCAGGCCATGATGATTCCCGTCGTCAGGTCCGACTGGATCAAGGCAACCATCGCCCGCAACAAGGTCGCTCAGGTCCGCCCGTTCTCGCCCGATCCCCGGATGATCTTCTCCAGCGTCATCTTGACCTGCGCCGACATCCCTAATACGGACAAGGAGGCCATTGCCGGCGCGATCATGGCCCTCGGCGGGATGGAGTCCAAAGATCTCTCGAAGCAGACGACGCACATCTGCGCACTGTCGCTGGACCACCCCAAATGCATCGAGGCCAAGAAGAAGAACCTAAAGTGCAAAATTGTCCTGCCTCATTGGTATGTGCTGCTACAAAAGTATGCCACTCGGCTTGGAGCTCACCTCCGCTAGGTTCGATGATTGCTTCCGGCTAGGGAAGAGGATCGATGAAGGCCCCTATCTGTTACCCAATCCTGAAATTCTCCTCAAGGCGCCGGAAGACTCGGTCAAAGTTCCGGCGAGCCAGCAACTGGAGGGCGCCGTGTCAACCATTCCGACAGGACCGTATGAGCCCAGTGGGAGCGAGAAGCTTGTGGTGTTTGCGCAGAAAAAGGTCATGCTATCCTGGGATCTTCCCATCAACGCCATGCTACGCAAGACGATTACGGACAAAATCATCAAGAGCGACGGGGAGGTTGTCGACTCGGTTGAGGACTGTGACATGTTCATCTGCCAGTACCGTGAAGGCGAGCAATACATCCGAGCATCACAACAAGGAAAGGATGTGGGCAACCTGGCCTGGTTATACCACATGATGGTGTTCAATGAGTGGACGTCACCGTTCCGGCGATTACTCCACTACCCCGTACCGAGAAACGGCATTCCCGGGTTTCAGGATATGCGGATTACGCTCTCAAACTATGGAGGCGAAGCCCGGATCTACCTCGAGAATCTCATTACTGCAGCAGGCGCCACATACACGCGGACGATGAAGGCCGAGAACACACATCTCATCACAGCTCGCATGCACAGCGAGAAGTGCGAGGCGGCAAAGGACTGGAACATCGAGATCGTCAACCACTTGTGGATCGAGGAGAGTTACGCTGCCTGTCAAGCCCTGCCGCTCAACAACTCACGATACCGGCACTTCCCACCACGGACGAATTTGGGCGAGGTTATTGGCCAGACGTTCCTGGATGAACCGATACTCCGGGAAAGGTACTACCCCGGCGGAGAGGAGTACATGGACGACGCGGCCAAGAAGAAGAGGAAGATCAACGAGCGCGCTCAAAAGAACGCCCTCAACGTGGGCCTGGACCGTGATTTTAGTGTGATGCAGGATTCGAGCCCGGCAACGGCAAGGTCGGTAAGGAAACCGGGCGCCACTCCAGCCTTGGGCAATTTCGCCACTCCGGCAAAGACGCGCCACGTTCGCTCTGGCAAGGAGAACGACACCCCGTCCGTCATGTCCAGCGCGAGCCGCAGCGCCAAGGCACAGGCGCTCTCAAAGCTACAAGACCTGGCGCCGGACATTGCGCTGTACGAGAAAGAGAAAAAGCGCACGGCCAAGGATGGGCACGGCGTCTGGGGCGGCAAGCGCGCGGCAGAACAGATCGACAAGGAGCGGGCCGACAGGAGTTCAAGTCCAGCCAGCAGAGCGGCTGATGACGTTGAGGACGAGCGAGAAAGCAGAAGGCCGGCCAAGAGAGCAAAGATGACACTGCCCGATGTGGATATGCGTATCTGTTTGACAGGGTACAAGCGATGGGTGGAGAACAAGCCGCTCGAGGAAGCTGACCGGGTAAGTCGTCCAGTATTTGGTTGGCCATCTTGTCCCTTCAATGGCTGATACTCTGCGACAAGAAAAAACTCCGCTCGTTCGGCATCCAGATTGTGCAAGACAACGCCCCGTGTAACTACCTCGCGGCTCCCGGCATGGTACGGACAATGAAATTCCTTCGGTGCCTCGCCAAGGGGCCCGACGTGATTAACTCGTCCTTTATCACGGCATGCATCGAGACGGGCAAGCGGCCCAACATTAAGGACCACCCGCTGAACGACAAGGCTAACGAGGCGCGGTTCGGCGTTACCATCGACAAGGCGGTCAGCCGGGCGCGCGCCAACCGCGGCCGGCTGCTCTGGGGTGTGCCAATATACTGCACGGCCGAGATTCCCAACGGCGTCGACGCCTACAAGAGCATTGCAGAGGCCAATGGCGCCATCTTCAAGGTGTACCGCGCCCGGAGCGGCACCACTATCAAGCCAACAACTGAGGAGGAGGACGGTGGCGCGGCGCCAGATCCGGTGTACCTCCTGACGGGGGTGTCGACGGCCGAACGGCAGCTGTGGCCCCGGTTCGAGGAGATGGCGCGCAACGGCCACATGGAGCCGCGGATCGTCATGGCGGACTGGCTATTGGATGTTGCGATGCGGCAGGAGCTGGTGTTTGATCCCAAGTATCTGATGAGCAACCGGGTGACGGATGGTGGAAAGTGAGGAAGGCGGTTCAGCCTGGCGTTGGAGGAGGGGTTTACTCTCGGCGTTGGTCCATTGTCGCTTGTCTGCTTGAGTCTTGTGTAATCGCACCATGATGTGCAGCCGTCCTGTAGGTTGTTGCGGAGAAGCAGTAGAATCTCAAAAGAACTTGACACCTAACGAATCCTCCTGTCCAAACACCTGGGCCTTGCCCCGCTTGACCAGCACGTTCAGCGCTTTGAGTAACAATTCCTGGTCCAGACCGTGAAACTCTGTTTCTTGTCAGCCTCAAAGCGGGCCCCCAAACCCCTAGCAGTAACAATAACATATGAACGAAGAAACCAAGTGGATGATGAACTTACCAGTCCCCCTTGTCCCATCCCCCTCAACCAACTCGTACACGGTTAACACGCTGCCCCTCTGGCCCGTGGCATCCACCCAGCTCTCCACCAGCGCCGCCCACTCCTCGGGCGTGCGCCAGTAGATCCAGACGATGTCGCCCCCTCCTCCTCCTCCTGCTGCTGCTGGCGTGCCATCCATCCCTGTGGCGGAGGTGTTGGTGGAGGAGAAGGAGGAAGAAGAGGTGACGTACTCTGCGCGATTGTCTTTGCGGAGAAAGTCGATGACTTCCCGGATGTCGGGGAGGGAGAGGCGGCGGTTGATCTTACGGTTGAAGAAGAGTTCGGTGGTGTCGCGTTCGCTGGTGGTGGTGGTGCCGTTGCCCGAGAGGGAGAGCTTGAAGATGCGGTGGTAGCGGCAGTAGGACAGAACCAGGGAGGCCCATTTTATTAGTTGGGCGTGGTGTGTCGTGAGGTTGGTTTGGCGGGTGAAGAAGGGGGGGAAGGAGTATTCTGGCGGGAAGGAGAAGGGGGTGGGGGAGGAGGAGGGTTGGTTGATTGGTGGAGGTGGGGTGGACATGGCGTGAGAGAGGAAAGACGGGTGAACAAAATTTGAAGTGAACAATGGAGAGATGTCTTAGTATATCATGCTAAGAGTGTGGATCAGCGGTGAGGAACCGGTCAGTGTTCAAGCTGCTGTGGCGTGTACGTGTATTGGGAATGAAAGTGAGTTCAGGGAGTGGGACGTGGACAGTGTACGAAGTATTGAGTACGGAGTTGCTTGACCCACTTCACCTTTTAGCATACATACAAGGAACCTTCAGCTCAAAGGGAATCTGGAAGAGTGAACAGGGCACCATGTGGAGACGCCCATGCCCTGGGAATTCATATGATTATGGTTACGACACAGGAAAATGGAACGTTGGGAAAAAATAAAAAAGGCACATGAGAAGCTGAATCACCTCGATGCCTCCAGCTGACCTCTGGAGAAGCAGAGGGTTAGGGTTACTGGTTCACGATGGCACTGCATGTGAAATCATCAGTGAGGTAACTAACGGACAGCTCCACTCTCGGTAGACCATCATCCCAGCAACAACAACAGCGGGCATCGAAACATGCGGCCACAACAGCCGCCCGCTGCCAGCCCCAGACTATGGCCCTTCAGGGGAGAGACATAGCACTTGCGGGCGTTGCGTGCTTTATCGCCTGGGGTTACGCTGTAGATTGGTTTCCCGCGCTCCGTTGGGCCGGCTATGCATTTGTCGGCGGTGTGCTCCTGACCGCAGCTGCCCTGCTCGCTCTCGTACTCCTCACCTCGCGCGGCCCCAGATACCGCGAACTCCGGAAAACAGCCCGTCCACATGCCGCCGCGCTTCTAGCTCCGGATGCATGGAAGACCGAGCTTGCCGCACTGCGACAGCGCCAGACCTATACCAAGACATCTCTCTGCCCCGAGTCCCCGAAGGTTTCGGCCGCCCTCGACGAGGTACTCGAATACATTATCCGCGATTTCATACGATCATGGTACTCCCACATCAGCACGAACCCGGTGTTCACGGATGAGGTAGACAAGGCAATACGATGTGCGCTCTTTCGAGTTCACGACCGGCTGCAGCGGTTGGACCTCGCCGAAGTCCTGACTACGCGACTTGTTCCCATCCTGACAGCCCACTTTCGGGATTTCTACGACGCTGAGCGGGCTGTTAGGGGACGCAAGCTGAATCGCTCCGTCACCGAGACGGAGGAGCTGGACTTGGCGGTTGCGTCAAAGTACAAGGAGGGCAAGCTGCATCCGGCAGCGAGCCTCTCCTTCTCAGACACCAAGACGGCCCAGCAGGACTACCTGCGCCAAACAATGTCCAGAATCCTCCCCACCGTCTTGCCCGAGAAATGGCTTGCTTCCAGGGCAGTGTCGATACTTGTCCGGGAGATTACGGCGTGTGCAGTCATGTTCCCTGTGATGCAGATGTTGTCCGACCCGGATACCTGGAACCAGCTAATGGAGAACTACGGACGAACCATGCTCCAGGATCGCTCCACGGTCAGAAGACTCCGAGCCGCCCTAGATCAACACGCCTCACCCACCCCAAAGACCAGGAAACCAGTAGCTTTTCCCCGTCTGACGCCTGCGGACAGCGAGAGGCGATTCGAGAAGTTCATCAGGGCCATTAGGAAGGTCAACAACCTCTCAGACGCCAGACGCTTCCGCAGCGAAGTCGCCAGCCAACTCATGAGGGACTCGCAACAGGACAACGTGGATCAGGTCTACCTGCGCCGGTTGGAGATGGGCAAACGGCTGCTGGATCAAAGAGTCCAGCACTTGGCTGCTGGAGGAAGTCGGCGGGCTCCCCCACAGAGCACAGAAGTTACTCTACCGAGCGAATCTCGCCTGGAGAATGCCTCGCTCGCCGACCTGCTTCGGGATCCATCAACACTCTCTTACTTCATGGAGTACATGGACCGGCAGCGGCTCATGCCCATGGTTCAGTTCTGGCTTGTTGTGGATGGCTTCCGCAACCCCCTCGAGGACGATGGGCCGGAGGGTGAACAACTGCCGCTGCAGCTACCACCATGGACCGAGTCCGACAGACTGGATCTTGCCCAGATTGATGCCGCGTACCTTAGCAGACCCGAGCTAAAGGTTCCTGCCTCTTCGAAGCGCATCATCCAAGAATTTCTCAAAGAAGGGAAACGAGCGACACCCGAGCAGTACTACAGAGCGCGAAGGGAGATCTTACGAGCACAGAGCGCAGTACTGGAAGAAATGCGCGAGAAGTATCTGCCCAACTTCAAGAAGTCAGACTTGTACTTCAAGGCGCTCGCCGCCGAGGAGGCATCCAAACGCACCGCGTTGTCTACTGCTGGCCCCAGATCCGGGTCACCGCTCCCTCGAGCCGCCTCATACAACGCCTCAAAGCCGACGCCCGTGGCACGCCTCGGGCCAAGGCTGCAGGCAGGCTTTGGTCATCGACGCGCCGGATCGGCGTCGGATCTTAGAAGCCTTAATCCTAATGCGAACAATGAATCTGACCTCCGACGATCCATCGACGAGCCTCACTCGCCCCCTCCTTTATTCGATGACGAAGAGGCAGGAGATGACATGCTCGGTGATTCTGTGGCCAGTCTCGACCAGGATATGAGCGCTGCGCCTCCAGTGCCCGACAAAAACGTCGTTCAGGCGATGGAAAAGGCGTTGAATAATATTCTTGAGGAAAGCCGCCCGCCAACAGCGGAGGATCTAAGAGCATCACTGTTTGGTGACGATGAAACTGGAAGTGGCATCTTTGCTCCACCCAACGGCGGCCTGAGGAAAGGAGGCTCGCCAGCGGCAACGCCAAGGTCGGGGAGGGGTTCGGTGGATCTGACAAGACCAAGCGGGAACTCTCTCGAGGCGCCCAAGCCTGCCGAACCGCCTAAGTCAAACAGGGGATCCTTCGATGTCAGCCGGCCTGGCGATCTCCCTCGCTCCAATAGAGGTTCGCTGGAGGTTGACCGGTCAGCGAAAGGGCAAGAAAAGCCCAGTTTGGCATCCCTAGGGTTGGTGAGCGCCGCCTCGCGCATCGGCGTGTTTGTTGACGACGACCTCTTTGGCGACGAGGGCAGGTTCCTTTCCGACGAACTCTCTGATCTGGATGATGACAGAGACGATGACGACGCAGATGCTGTTCATCAGGCCGCTCCCGGTGATCTTGGTCTAGCAGAAGCGATCACGGCTCTGACTAACGACATTGACAAGCTGGTCGCGCAAGAGGCAGTGGTGGATTCGTTGCTGAAGAAGGCAGAGCTTACCAACAACACGGCCGAGCTGAGGATCCTACGCAAGTCAAAAGCGAGTCTGCAGAGGGAAATACGGCGGAAGGAATTGCAGCGGCAGCAGTACGTCATCCAGGAAAGCGACAACAGTCTTTACGGCCGCTCTACCATCAAGATCAAGTCCATCCACGTCGGCCGCGAGGAGGACGGCAAGGAGTTCGCCCTCTACGCCATCGAGGTCTCCCGAAACGCAGGCGAAAGGATGCCCGCCGCCACATGGATTGTCACGCGCCGCTACAGCGAGTTCCTTGAGTTGCATCAGAACCTCCGTTCGCGCTACCCCTCGGTGCGCAACCTCGACTTCCCCCGCCGGCGCGTCGTCATGAAGCTGCAGACCGAGTTCCTCCAGAAACGGCGCGTGGCCCTTGAGAAATACCTCAGCGAACTCCTCCTCCTTCCGGACGTCTGCCGCAGCCGCGACCTGCGTGCCTTCCTCTCGCAACGCGTCATCAACCCGCAGGGGATGACCTCAAACGGCGGCGCCGGCCCAACGGACCGCGACGACGCAACCAACGGCTACAAGAGGGACATGATCACCCGCCTGTACGACTCGGTCGCCGACGGCATGGAGGATATATTCGGCAGCATCCCCGTGCTGGATCAGCTTTCGCTGGCAGGCCAGAACCTGATCGCCGCCGCGGCGAACCAACTCGGCCCCGCCGTCCCTTCGCTCGAGGATGCTGCTGCTGCATCGGCCGACGCGGCGGGCCTGATGAGCGCCGCCGAGGCCGAGGCCGAGCTGAATGCCTTTGAGAACAAGGAGGTCGAGCCGTTTGTCAAGCCCATCTGCGATATTTTTCTCGAAGTTTTTGAGCTCAACCGCGGGAATAATTGGCTGCGCGGCCGGGCTGTAGTGGTAGTGCTGCACCAGCTACTAGGCGGCGCGATTGAGCGGAAGCTGAGGGAGAATGTGAAGGCGCTGGTGCAGGAGGAGGCGCTGCTGAGGTATATCGGGCTGCTGAAGCTCGGGCTGTGGCCCGGGGGTGAGTTGCCTAAGAGCAAGGTGTCGAGAACCCAGGCGGAGAAGGCCAGGACAAGGACTGAGGCTGGCTTGATGATGGCTACGCTGGTGCCGGATCTTGTGGGCAGCGTGGTGGGACGGGTGAATGCGCAGGCTGCGAGCCGGCGGGTGTTTGCTGCGTTTAATAATGCGAGGTTGAAGTGAGTCTTTCTTTCTTTTCCTCCTTACCTCTCCCTCCTGCTTGGTTGTTGAACGCCGTTGAGGTTGTGGTTACTGATATGTGGATTTGTGTTGGCTAGTGCACACCTAGCGTTTACGCTGTTGGATGAGGTCGTCGCTATCTTGTTTGAGGATTAGGATTCAAAGGGCGAGGAGGAGGAGTAGGCTACTTTGGCGGCAGGTTGATGGCAAGGGGATTTGGCCTGGGACTGCATTGCAAAGGCGTTCTTTTCGACATGAGACCACATAAGGATGGTCGTGTGTAAGTATGTCTTGGTGCTGGTGTTGTGCGCTCTGGGCTTGCATGGCGGGCGTTCATCAAAGGCGGTCTGTGGTGTGGTTAGGCTGTTCTCCGTTTTCTCATGTCGAATCCGCAACCGAGGCGCAACTTTGGTGTTTGGAGATTTGACTTCAATCTTTTTCCTCCAAGGATTGGCGGCGGTACATAATTGGGTGCTTCTGAACATCTGGAGGCTTGCTGAAGGCACCCGTCCTAAGGTTGAAGGCACACACATGATGCGAGCACCTGATGCAGCACGCAAGGCGGCTTACTGGGCGTCAGGGTGTTGTGCAGTGGTCTGGAGCAGGCGAACTCGACGCTGCGTGCCCCCACATCGGCTGGCAGACCCGTTCTTGGCGCAAACTGAGGGAGGCAGACTCCAGTTATTGTACCATAGTAACATACAGACGTACCCGTAGTGTAATATGTGTAATATATACCAAAGACGAACCAATATGGGGCAGAAGCCAGTGAAGGAGTAAACAAATGCAACGAGAATCAGAACCATTTAAATCACTGGCATCCGACTGGTAAAAGGTAAAAAGACATGAAGAGGAAGCTGAAGGAACGAGCCGCATCAATGGCTCGCCAGGGTTGCTCTTCCCGCTTGTTGCATCGCCCCACATGCAAGCGAGGCTTGGCGCTTTAGCCCTTGCTCTCTGTCGTCCCACGCGCCAATTTTCCTCGCCTCTACCATTTCCCATCTTCCCCATCACCAAGCCCAGCGGCATCGTTAGCAGAGCGCTATCGTTTGCCCTCTCCATCATCCCATCTCAACAGACATCTCCGCACATCTACTGCCTGGCTCTCTGGCAGACCTGCATTGACCCTTGAGGGTAGTTGTCTCGACTTGCCGTCGCCCGCTCACAAGCCTCGCGGACCTGGATTCCTGGAACTGGCCCAAGCTTTATCAGTTTCAACCCCACCCAAACAACAAACGGACGACCAGTCTCCACGTCTTCCCGATCATCGAAACCATCCATCGATCCAACCCATCGCACGCTGCGGATCCAGAGCAAGATGACTGAGGTGTCGTCTACCCGCCTTTACCTGGGCAACCTGCCCCGGAATGGTATGTTTTGCGATGCACACGCGCCAGCGACAAGGCTACGGCCGCAACCCGACAAATGCACTGCTGTTGAGACTGACGCCCGCCGCCAGCTACCAAGGCAGATGTCGAGGCTCACTTCGCGACCCATGGCACCGGTGAAATAACCGAGATCAAGCTCATGAATGGCTTCGGCTTCATCGAGTACAAGGATGCCATGGACGCCCGGGATGTCGTGCCAGGTTGGTCTTGATGCCACCCATCATTCTACATCAGCCATGATCGTTCGCTAACCAGGCTTGTTCCCCTCTAGCTTTCCGTATGTCGAGGCCCCAACTTACTTTGAATTTCGATACCCTGGCTCTGGATTCGCTAGCTAACGAGGTGCTTAAGATGGATCCGACTTCATGGGCGAACGCCTCACAGTCCAATTTGCTCGAGGCTCCCGTCACCGTGAGCAAGGCGGCGGATACAGCCATGAGCGCAGCAGTGCTCCTCGCCCGCGTCGCACACCGCATCGCATGCAAATCACTGGACTCCCCAATGATACCAGCTGGCAGGTCTGTTAAGCTCTCCTCCCGCTTCGTTTTCCACGGACACAGCATGGATACACGCGCTCGCGCTCTTGAGTTTTGGAACCGGCCATGCCATTGGCCCGCATGGACTAACCCTGCCCTCCTTCCTGGTCGCACTGGACTTGAGATCCCTCTTCCCACAATGGTCAGCTCCTGGTCGGCATCCTTCGCCCAGGCCTGTGATTTCTCCGTTGTTGTTCGGCTGCCGCCACTCCCCATGTGCACATCACTTCCTAGGGCTCTGTTGGCGGAACGAAGGGCTTGCGGAGGGCTTTCAAGCCAAAGACTCTTCCCGCCGTCTTCCCCAATCCTTTGGCATTCTTGGCTTCACTGGACTTAACTGGTTCTTCTCGAGGGATACCGCCAACCTCGGCTCCGGCATTTCAACTTACATGGAATCTGGCTCTAGGATCTGAAAGACTTCGCCCGGCAATCCGGACTTGATGTCGTCTATTCCGAGACCAACCGCAACGGCAGCAACGAGGGGTGCGTGAGACCTTGATTCAGCGAATGCTTCTGAAAGCACAGGCGCTAACCGCTGGTTCAGCTTTGTTGAGTTTGAAAGTGCTGCCGACCTCAGACTTGCGGTCGAGAAACTCGACGGCCGCGAGTTCAAGAACGCTCGCGTGACTTGCGTCGCCAACGTATGGCTGCCCGCTCAATTTAGTTCTTGTCTGCCAGCTAATCCACTAACAGACCCAACCCGACATCCCCCGGGGCGACCGAGCTCGTTCGCGTTCCCCGCGTCGTCCTTACGCGCCTCCCATTGATGACTACGACCGGCGTGTCCCGCCGCGTGGGTACAGCCCGCGCAGGGATGGTTATCGGGATGGGTACCGTGAGCGCACCCCGCCCCCTCGTCGGGACTATTATGATGACAGGAGGGGAGGCTATCGTTCGCCTCCGCGTCGCGGACCGCCGCCCATTGACGACTACCCGCCCCCGCGCCGCTATGATGATCCTTACCGCGGTGGCCCTCGGGACTACCCTCCCCCGGATCCCTACATGAACGGCCGCGCCTACGATCGTCGTCCTCCGCCGCCGGACTTCCCTCCTCGAGACCCGTATGTGAGGGAGCCCTACCCTCCTCGTGACTATGAGCGGCGTTACTAGGCTTTACGAGCGGATCATCACCCAGGCTGTGACGACCTGCTGAAGAGTTATGGTCCGAATGGCTGTCTCCCTCTTTTTTTTGTGTTGTCTCATTCGCTACTTTTTCGGCTATTGTTTTGGGGAATGGCAGGAGCTCCGGTCTCTGGGTGGTTCCCTGCTGGGAAATGTCAAGTCTTATGATACTGGTGGTCTCTGTTTCCGTTTTCCTGCTTCATCACGTGTCAAGATAACTCGCTGGTATAGCAATTCTGCCCCAATCTTTGCCAGCGCCGGGTTAAGAGGATGGAGTTGGGAAGTCGATGTATGATGCAACAATGAGACGGATGAGGGCGGTGTGCTTTTATGTTGTGTACGACGATTCATTTGATGATTTGGTCAGCATGTCGCCAATGCAGTCCTGACTGTGCAACTATGTTTGCGTTGTTTGATATGCACTGCTCACGCTGTTATGCCGGAGACCACAGGTGCGGCAAAGATCACGAGGCTGGGATGAAAAGGTGGGATGTGGACGGAGGATAAGAAGTGAAATGAATAGGTACTGATACGGGGTTTCGCGTGTGTAAACGGTACGCGTTATGCCTGCAGGCCGACCAACACTCTCTCTGGCCTACAACACGATCGTATGTATCCTCATCCCTGGAACAAACACCGTACGAACTGGGGGTTGCCAGGGTCATTGACTCCGCAAATTCTGCAGCGGCCATCCCATCCCGCTTCATGGTCAATTTCTCAGTACAGATGCACGGACAAGGCTGCTATATTGTTGGTTCGAAATCTAACCTGTATAGCTAGATAGCCAATCTACGATCAGACGGACCCAGAGCAAACGGAGGACTCCGAGCTGGACGCTTTCTTTGATGGCCAATCCCTTCAGAACAGTTCCCATACTGATATGAGACTACCGAAGACCCGATGGTTTAAGAGCGTCCGGTGGGCAGGGGCGAAGTTATTTCATATGGTCAAGGTCATCGTCTGGCATTGTGGATAGGGGTATGTCATTGCGAGAATCCTCAGTGAGGTGCCAGTGATACGAGGGCACCACGATGTTACTAACAGGGACGTTCTCTCTCTCGTACTATGGCAATGGGTTTGCTCCCACGCTTCCAAACCCAGAGACCTGCGGCGTTGGTCCTATGACCGAGTTGGCAAGGTAGTATTCCTGCTTGATGAGATTCCTTGCATCCTCTCCACCGTCGGCTTTCCCGAGCTGGATGTTGCTTGCGGCATCTCTAAACCACCGTGATGCGAGGTGCGAAGGCAGATGCGTCTCTACGGTCAGGAAGGGGGGAGTGATTGGCCTCAGCTACAACTGGAAGGCACACGACATGAACTCGCGCTCGACAACCCGCATCCTATTGGTGCTGTGTGAGAGTCAAGCTGCAGGCAAGCCAACACATTGACTGGCACTCAGCCTTGTCCTTTGCGAAAAGCGCAGTTCTACACTTATTAAACGTGCGCTCCTTGTAGTTGGCTCTCCCAAGCCTGGAACTCGCAAGTTCTTTCCCAGGGTCTCCCATCCCCGGCAATTCTTGAGGAGCCTTGACTGGCGTTGCCGTCTTCCCATGGCTTCACGAGCTCCTCCATCGGGCTCGACCACCAGAGGATCCTCGGGAATGTACTCATTCAACCCTTGTGGAAAGTCTTTTGGGTTGCCTCCAAGCCCAACCATCCGGAATCCCAGGACCAGCACCCTTGCCACCCACCCCTCGGCAGCACAAAGCGAGTGCGTTCGCCGTAGTAGGCCTTTTTATTCATCAATTTACAAGACTGAGAGCCGTCGTCAACGAAAACGATGCCCTCATCCTGGAACTTAAAGACACTATCATCCAGGCAAAAAGGACAGCTACCCAAGACATTAACGCCGCCACTGAGGATAGAGACACTGCTATCCAAGAGAAGAACGCCGCCATCCATGATCGAGACGTTGCCCTCGAGGCTGAAGCTATTGCCACTGAAGAAAGCCGACGTTATCGACAGGAGAAGGAGGAAACCCAGCTAAGTTATGCATGGCTTTTGACCGACCATGACCGACGGGGAGCCGAAATCAAGCGTATTCTGGACAACCAAGATAAGCTTGATTGCGATCGCAGAGCCGAAAATGAGGAGCTGCTGAGACGAATCTCCGAATTGAAGAACGAGCTGGACTCCCAGGACAATCGGATCTCCGAACTTGAACAACTTTACCAGCGTGCTCAAGCGCAGCTCACAAAAAGCAGTGCCGAGGTAACTAAGATTAGGCGCGAACTGGGGCAGGCCAGGGGGCAAAGCAGCACACTGGGAGTAGAGAATTCCGGTCTAAGGGAGGAGCTTTCCAGTCTGAGGGACGAGAACGCCAGTCGGACGGAGAAGTGCAGTTTGCAGGAGAAGACCTCCAGTCTGAGGGGTGAAAGTACCAGTATCCGGGAGGAGAATTCCAGACTTTGAGAAGAGACCTCCAGCCTGATGGACGGAAACTCCAAGCTGAGACACAAGAACCCCACATTGACAAAAGACAACACACTTCTCATGGAGAACCTCGCGGGTCTCGCAGGGGAGGTTGAGCTAGAGGAGCAAAGAGGAGTTGAGGCACAGCAAACCGCTCTCGTTGCCTCAATGCTTAATCTGAGGTTCTTCTTGGTGGAGGGGCAAGTTCTCCTGGGCCTGGCGCCCGTTGTTTGCACCATTGCCCATCATAGACCCAGGCTCTTGATAGGACGCTCGCCCGACGCACCTCCCAAATGGAGCAGCATCGGCAGGAGAGAACCGAGCCGAGATGGAGGCTATCGAACTATACGGCCAGCTTGACGACGTGCAGAAGGAATTCAAGAACTGTGTCTCCGGTGACTTAAGGCGCACAAAAAATGAGAGGGAGGACTGTGAAGCACTGCTAAACTCGGTGCTGGATAGGCAGGGAGCCGGGCCCAACAATAGCAGCTAAGAGCAAGCGATGGTCTTCAGCCGGACCCAGCCGTTCAAGTCTGAGGGAACCACAATCCGTTCCCGTGCGTCGCGCAGCTCGCGACCGATAAGTCAGGAGCATCCAGGCGGAGGCTCTACCGGACAGCTTATTCTATGGCGGAAAACGAACGCGCGGCACAAGGTGTAAGTGGAGTTTGTTTTGTTTGTTCATCACACGTCTTGCGCCACATTTACCGTAAGTGAATCGTGATGTTGGTGCGAAGCAGGTATGCGGATTGGAAGTTGAAGAGCGACGCCTGAGAGGATGTTTGGGTGTCTGGCTCCAGCGTCGAATACGGCCGTGTGGTTTTGATTCCCTGTCCGGTTTCAGATAAACGTTCCGACATGGTTCATTGTTTAAGTCTGTTCAAGGGTTCTCTCCTGCTTCAAGCCCGCCGACTCCAACGGATGGCACTGTTCCCAATGCATTTCGTCAATCCCAGCTCTCCCTCACACAGACTCAAAAGCTCACCCGAATCAGGAGCCCAATCTTCTGAGACGAAAGTCCTTGTGTATTTCCAATCATTTCTCCGCTGCGGGGCGGCCGGGGTTCCGTACGCGAAATTGTTTGGGAATCGTGAATACGGAGTGTATATGTGATTACTCAGGATCCCGAGACAGCTGTTTAGCTGCACTGCATCAAGAAGCTCAGAAGTCGGGAATCAAGGCCAATCAGGCAGCTGTAGGGACAGACATGTTGCTCATGGTGCGACCTCGTCCAGTTGCGGGGCTTGGTATTAAAAGAAGCAGCCAGTTCCTGCGATCCGCTTTCATCGACATTCAATTCCGTTGCTCTCAGATTCGTCGTGACGTCAATACTTGGGATTCCGGTTCATCGCGTCTTCAACTTGTCAAACCAAGCAAGTTGCGAAGAGTCTCCTCCTCTTCCTCTTCCTCCCCCTCGACCACCATCGCAGGTCTCCAAGTAAGACCAGACAACATGGCCGAGCCCATTGGCCTCATCGCCAAATCCGGCATTGAACTCCTGACGTATGGTCGGTAACACCCGGCTCACTACGAACTACTCTGTCCAAACTACTCACCCTGCAACCCAGGCACCCCCAACGGCGTCAAAGTCTCCGTCTTCCTCGAGGAGCTCAAAGAAGCCTACGGCAAGCCCTACACGGTTCAGGCCATCAACATCAGCAAGAACACGCAGAAGCAGCCCTGGTACACGGCCCTCAACCCCAACGGTCGCATCCCGACCATCGTCGACCATGACCGCAGCGGGTTCGCCGTCTTTGAGGGCATCGCCATCCTGAACTACTTAGCGAGGCACTACGACCCCGAGAACAAGTTCAGCTTCCCCGTCGACTCGGACGACTATTCCGTGGCGGAGCAGTGGATTGCCTGGCAGCATGGCGGATTGGGGCCGATGTGGGTTCTCTTGTCTCCCTTTTTCCGCTCCAGAAAGCGCGTGCTGATGGATATGTACAAAACTCAAGGCAAGGCCAAGCCAACCACTTCCTCCGGTTCGCGAAGGAGAAGATTCCCTACGCTATTCAACGCTATGTAGGCGAATCGGAGCGCCTGTACGGCATCCTCGACGCCCGCCTCGCCGACCGCGACTATGTTGCAGGCCCAGGACGGGGCAAGTACAGCATCGCGGATATTAGCCTGGTAGGGTGGGTGAACATGGCGCAGTACTCTGGGGTTGATCTGCCGGCGCTGTTCCCCAATGTCAAGGCCTGGCTGGACAGGCTGCTTGCCAGGCCTGCGGTGCAGAGGGGGTTGGCTGTTCCGAGCGGCAAGCCGAGCGGACTCTCGAATCGGGCGATTATGGAGAGCGAGGAGGGGAAGAAAACGATTGAGGAGGGAAGGAGGTTGGTGGATCGGGCGAAAGAGCAATTTGAGTACAAGTATGCTTCGCCGTAGTGGAAAGGCCGCGGCAGCCTGCTGCTGAGTGAGTAGGGGATGGGGGGGAACTTATGAATATTCGTGCAAATCTCGACAGATCGAGTTAGAATACAACTAACACGCTGCTAAGGATCGCTTTGAAACACCTGTCGAGTCTCGATGGCAATGTCCTTGAATTGATTGTTTTACTGGACTCCATGACTGCCGAATTTATCATGAAGAATGGGGGAATGAGAGACGCATTGAGCATGCAGATTGCAAATAAGCTCGTGGAGAAGGCGGGGCTCGCAAGCTTCTGCCCCACTAGAGCCATGTGGGGCGCTTATCTTATCTTCTGGTGAGCAGCCGCAATTTTTTGGTAGTCCAACACCCTCTTGTTGGAGCAGAGAGAGAGTTCGGCGCCAGTCAACAACCACAAGTGAACGAACACCTTTGCCCGCGCACGACACCAACATGAAACGCAAATTGGACAAGCGCGACGAGTCTACCGTGGCCCAGCCGGAACTTGAAACAAAGTCCAGCCAAGCCGAAAAGCAGCCAGCTGCCGCCAAATCGGAACCTGAGCTTACCTTCGCCGACCTTGGCCTCGACCCGCGCCTGGTGCAGGCCGTCGCACAGCAGAGCTTTGAGAAGCCCACACTCGTTCAGCGAAAGGCCATTCCGCTGGCACTACAAGGCCAAGATGTGCTCTGCAAAGCCAAGACGGGGTCCGGCAAGACGGCTGCCTACGTCCTCCCTGTGCTGTCCAGCATCCTGAAGCGCAAGATTGTATGGATAGCCTCCCGCACCGCCTTACCCGTCCATTGGCGGTCCGATACTAACCTACTGCAGACCGATCCAACACCCTTCACCGCCGGCCTCATCCTGGTTCCGACCCGCGAGCTCGCCGACCAAGTCTTCAAAGCCATCGAGCACTTCTCGGCTTTTTGCGCAAAGGACATGCACGCCGCCAAGCTGACCGAAAACGTCTCCGACGCCGTTCAGCGCTCCCTGCTCGCCAACGTTCCAGACATTGTCGTCTCGACTCCCGCCCGCGCCTGGCACAGCGTCAACTCGGCGGCGCTCTCGCTCGCCAAGTTGCAGTACCTGATCCTGGACGAGGCCGACCTGGTGCTGTCTTACGGCTACGACGAGGACATGGAGAACATTTCGCGGTCGCTGCCCAAGGGCGTGCAGACCATCATGATGAGCGCAACGCTGTCGGCCGAGCTGGATGCGCTGAAGGGTATCTTCTGCCGGAATCCAACGGTGCTGGATCTGCAAGAGGAGTTCGGGGCGGAGGACGAGAAGCTCACCCAGTTTTACGTCAAGTGTGCCGAGGACGACAAGTGGCTGATCTCGTACCTTATCTTCAAACTACAACTGATCAAGGGGCCGTGTCTGATTTTTGTCGCCGACATTGATCGGTCATACCGATTGAAAGTGGGCATGGATAGTTTCTTTGGCTGGCAGAGCGTTTGCTGACAGACTGCAGCTTTTCTTTGAACAGTTCAGCATCAGGAGTTGCGTCCTGAACTCTGAGCTGCCCATCAACACCCGGATCAAGATCATCGAGGAATTCAACCGCGTACGTTGATATGAGTCGGACCAGGCCTGGGCAAGCAGGAGCTAATGCGCTAGCAGGGTATTTATGACATCATCATAGCGTCGGACGAGAAGCCCGAGTTTGTTGGAGACGAAGCTGCGGAAGCAGAAGGCGACAAGAAGGAGGCCAAGAAGCCCAAGAGCAAAGATGGGGAGGAGGGAACAGAGCAGCCCAAGAAGAAGCGGAGACACAGGAAGGATGAGGAATATGGGGTATCACGAGGTATGCGAACAGACCAACGTCCCAAAGCGCGAACTGACCCCCAAGCTAGGTATCGACTTCAAGAACGTTGCCGCAGTGATCAACTTTGACATGCCTACATCTGCTTCGTCATATACCCACAGGATAGGGCGGACTGCCCGGGCTGGCCGTGCCGGCATTGCGCTTTCCTTTGTCATCCCGAAGGAGCACTACGGGAAGCACAAGGCGACCACTGTCAAGAGCACCGAGAAGGACGAAAGGGTGCTGGCAAAGGTCATGAGACAACAGGCGAAACTGAACAGGACGTTGGAGCCATATAATTTCAACAAGTCGCAGATGGAGGCGTTCAGATACCGCATGAACGACGGTATGTCTCTGCAAAAGGATCACAGATGCTTTCAGCTGACTAACTTGTCGGAAGCACTGCGTGCCGTCACCAAGGTGGCCATCCGGGAGGCCAGGACGAGAGAATTACGACAGGAGTTGCTGAGGAGCGAGACTCTCAAACGGTGAGTGTCCTTGCGTGCGCCTGGACCAGATTACGCGGCATCTGACTTTTTGCTGCACAGATACTTTGAAGAGAACCCCGCCGAACTCTCCCATCTCAGACACGACGGTGAGCTGGGCCGGGTGACGAGACAGCAACCCCATCTCAAGCACGTGCCCGATTACCTGCTTCCCAAGGACGGGAAACAGGCATTGACGTCGCAACAGGTCGGCTTCGTGCCGTTCAAGAAGGAGGGCGGCAAGGATAGGAAACACAGGAAGGGCAAGTCAAAGGGGCGGTCGTTCAAGGTGGGCGGGAGGAAAGACCCGCTCAAGACGTTCAAGGTTCGACGGAAGGCCAAGTGAGCAGAGCTTCACAACGAGGTGTGTGTGTGCATATCTCTGCTCTAGCGTTGACCAAAGCGCGTAGTCCATACCGTGTGCGTCTTCTGATGATCCGACCAGTGCTATCTCGGGCCACCATTTCTCATGTATCTCTCCCATAGCACAGGCCGAGCGTGGTGCTGCCGTTTGACATGTGAGAAAATACGCATTGGCAACGAATATACACAACCACTTCACCCTTTCACCCGAGCAGCATATATACCGCTGTCCATCCCCCTCAGCTTCTGGCCAGTTTCTTCCCGACATCCCTAACGCAAGCAACACAGACACACCCATTCTCCCTTTTCCCTTTTCCCATCCGCTCTACAAATACCAGACACGACCACCAAGATGCGCTCGTACCTCAAAACAACGCAACGCAGGAGAACCCGCGCCGGTTGGTGGCACTGCCGGTGGCGGGTCGACACGACGCCGATCGCCATCGCGAAGGGTCCATGGATCCCCGACGAGCTTCTGCCGGCCGCCGAGGGTCCGCCCCCTGCCGCGAGCTTATCCCCGGCCGCCAATCCTGCCAAAATCGCGGTGCGCTCCGAGGAGGAGCTGCAGTCCGACCTGGCCGCGCTGGGTCAAACAGAGAAGGGCGTGCGCGCCAGCCTGGGCCGGGGCCTTGTCCGGTTGGCGGCGAGGAAGAGAAGGGATGGTTTTGCAGCTGCTCTTTTTCCTCCTCCTGCTCCGGCGAGAGGAGAGGAGGGCGAGGGCAAGGAGGAGAGCGAGCGGGAGAAGAAGCAGGCGGCGGATGAGTTTAGAGAGTTTTTTAATCGGGCGTTTGAGGTGATGAAGGGTGGGTCGAAGGCGCAGGACGGAGAGCACAGGGTTACGGGTATGTTGGTGCGGGATTGGGAGCGCGTGACGGCGGGGCGGAAGGTGCTGACCACACGTAAGGTGGAGGAAAGGGAGGGTGGTTTGCTGGATGATGAGGTGGAGTGGCTGGTACGTAATGCGTTGAATGGGTTGGATCGGAGGGAGTGTGTGCGGTCTTTGGGCTTCACTTTGCGAGTGCTTGAGCACCTGGACGACGCTCCAGACTACGAGGATGCTGAAACCCAGGGGATCGGGTCTGAAGATCCCATTCCTGGGGAGCAACCAGGCAATCCGCCGGCTCATGAATCTCCCAATCAATCTACGGATCCGCCGGTCGAGTTGGGTCAAAACTCGGGGGTGGACTCGGCTCCCAAGCACCCTCATCACTCGGATGATTCGACGCCGGACAACGGACTTCCGACCCCTGAACCAACGCCGGATCCTCCGCAACCACCGGCACGGTCGCCAATTCCGAAAGACGACGGGACGAACGAGGCTCCCGAAGGCCAGGAGATTGATCATGTTGACAGGCGCGCAACAAGAAGACCGCGCAGCTGGGCGGGAGAGGATTTGTCGCGTGTTACATGGAGGGGACCTCTAGCTTAGGAAGAGCAGAGATGAAATAGAGATGATTTGGCCATGATGGCGATGGAGGTGTTGATGCCCCTGAAGTTGAACATGAAACAACAAAGTGAACCGAGGCCTCCACTCCAGGTCGTTGTGGAGAAACAAGATGGAAGGAGCCATAGGTAGGTAAAATAGGTCAGGTGCGCGCGGCCTTGCCACTGATGCCGCCACCGCCAAGGGTCAGTATGCATATACAAACCATGCACTCGAACCATCACCTCCAACGACACACCCTAACCGACAGCTCTCAAGATTTCCTGAACCAGCAATTGTTTTCTCAACTGCTTCACAATGCCCGACCAAACGCCAATCGTTCCGGCCAACACACAGCCTAAGCAGCATCCCGAGACAGCAAGCACCGCGGCTTCACGCCCAACGGGTGCCGGGGTCAACACGGGTGCCGGCACGACAAGACCCAAGACAGAGGCCGAAATTGAGGCCGACAGGCGCTACGAGGAGGCCATGGAGGACGAGTATGCCAAGCGGGAGGGCGGTGCGTGAGGCCGGATGGCCTGGGTCTCTCTAACATGACGATGGGTTTTCATGTCATTGTACATTGACGATTGACGATGCTTATGTCGGGGAAGAGCGTATTATGAATTTCAACTCATGTTGATGTTCATATTTTGGATGGCGTGTGGAGGAGAAGATACATCAAGTGTGGAAACGAAGCATCACGTCCATTAGCACTATCCAAATAAAATTTACACACTCCGGCTCCGCAAACCATCTACCTGCTCACCGTCTCCCCTGCCCGCGGCGCCGCGACCCGTATCGGATGCGCCTCAGTATTATACACAAACTCATTTGTATGATCAGCCTTGACCTGCCACGGGGCATCCTGTGCATCACCATCCGTCAGTAACTTCTACCCCGTCTCCACTCCCAGCGGTGGACTCGGTTTTCAATGGAATGCACTCACCTCGGCATGAATCAAATAACTGTACTTCAAGACCTCGGCAAACCAAAAGCTCTCCTGAAAATCATGATACCCGCCGCCTCCAGGCCGGTTCACGTCCCTTATGCTCGAGAAGCCGCTCCCGACGCGGCACGTCTCGCGCACCCGCTCAAACGCCTCCCACGCCCAGTCCTGGTACTTTGGGTCGCCCGTCGCGCGGTAGGCATAGTAATAGCTTTCGATGACTTCGGGCCGGAGGACGTAGTTGCCGTTGGTGATCCAGAAGCCCGAGCTGCTGTAGAAGGCGGCTTGGTTCGCCGGCGCTGGCGGGTTGTTGGTCGCGTTGAGCGGGTGTGCCGCGTCCTGCCAGGCAAAGATTTCGGGCCCGATTCCCGTTGCTGTCGAGGTGTACGTCTCGTGGCAGCCGTCGACGAGCTTAAGACCGAATTCCGTGTAGGCCGGCTCGTTGAGCGTCAGCCCGCCGAGGATGAAGTTGCCGCCGTTGAAGCACGCCACTGGTTAAGAGTACTTGCGTGAGCATGGGATCTTGGAGAACAGGAGAAGAAGGGTGTAGAGAATAAGGGAGGTGTAGGGCATACAGTGCTCGGAAACAAAACGCAGCTCCTTGCCCCGCCACATGGCGAGGAAGGTCAGCTCCGGCCGTGTCGTCGGATGCGAGACGAGGTGCTCGATGGACGAGTCGGCGGCCAAGACCCACCGGTCCCGGTATTCGGCGAAGCGCTCCCGGTCGTACAGGTACATCTTGATGAGATACTCGTAGAAGCTATCGGTACCGCCACCCCAGCCGCCGTTGCTGTCGACAAAGTGCCCGTCCGAGAGCCGCACATTGGTCCCCAGAAGCCCCGGGAACGGCTCCCCTGACTTTGGCTGGGGGTGGAGGAGGTAGGACTCGCCCTTCTGCGCCAGGTTCGCGTACTCGGTGTCGTTGGAGAGATCGCTTAGGCGCGTCCACTCGAGCACCAGCGTGCCAATGGTGGCAATGCCGTTTGTTGTTGAGCCTCCCTTGCGCGGGGGATTGAAGAAAAGATTATTGTCGGGCACGCCGCTGGGGGTGTCGAAGGCCACCTTGAGATTGTCGGCCAGCCGTTTTGCCTGGCTGAGGATTGCTTCCACATCCGAGATCTGCTTGATGTGGTCGTTTAGCGGGCCGGTGAGGAGGTCGTAGGCTGGTGCATACGTCAGCTCCAACTGCCGTGGGTGAATTGCAGCATCATTTTACCAGACACAAGGCCCCCAAGATAGCGAATGGTGGTCTCGAACAGGGACACCTCAGTCGTGGTGGTGTCAAAGTCGATTTCGGGGATGTACGCTAGAATCCGGTCGACAACATCCCACTTCTCCATGACCAGTGCCGTGCTGAAGGCGTCAACGGCGCTTGCCCCCCAACCGTTTCTGATATTATCAGCCGTCAGCCAACCTTATAGACGCCCTTGACAGAATGCATGGGGATATACCTGTCATCCGCGAACCCGTTGGTCACAGGCCGCAGGGAGTCATGCCGAAAGGCATATCGGTGATACCCATCCCAGGACACCTGGAATGCCTCCTTGACGGCGTCGGCTCGATCCTTGTTGACAGCGTACCTCGTCGTCCGGGTCCTGTGAGGCACGGCAGCCGCCAGGCTAAGTAGTAGGAGAGTAACGCTCCCTGTAGCGGAGAGGGAACGCATAGCGGCGGACGGCCTGGCCTAGACCAGAAAGAGATAAAGTGAACAAGCGCCAATGCCAGAGAGCAAGTTATGGAATACCGGTTTGCACAGACACGCAGAAGGGAACAAGCGCATATAAACAAATAGATGAGAAGCCGAGCATGGAACCGTCAGACACTAAGGTACCTTATGCGCTGGCATACCATACCAAACAAGCCCGGAGCATGGCTCCTTCATTGAGGCAACGAAAACAGCTGTGCTAAGACAGCCACAACAGACTGGTGAGAAGGTGGTATCCATGGCTGTGACGTGCCATGTTTTGCAGCAGGAAGGGGACACAGACCCGAGACACAGACCAGGCGCGCGGGGAATCTCCTTCCCCAACAACAACAACAACAACAACAACAACAACAACAACAACTGAATGAACGCTGCTGTGTGAGGAGGCCCGACCTGCTGAGCGCTGATCTGCTGTCAATCTGCGCAGAAGACACGACATGATTGGCCCGCTGCTGCGATACCTGCCTAAAGTTGGTAGGCAGGCAGGCGCTGTGGAATGCTCGTTGGAGGTTTGACGGGACAAGCTGGGCCAGCAGTCCCAGTGTTTCCATGCCGTCTTTCTTGCCTAGGAAAGGAATGGACTCTTTCAGATGCTGTCCAGCATTGTTTCTGAGGAGCATGCTGTCATGTCTTGGAGAACGAGATAATAAAGTAACCAACGGGCAACAGCCACATTGGAAATGCCTGCCCCAGAGTTGAGAAGGTCTCAATACCCGGTACCGCCTGGTTCATGCGGAGCCTGCAATATATTTTGGCCTGCGCAACCAGGAGAACCTGCACGAGACCCAAGACCAATCCAGCTCCGGGATAAGTAATTGGACTTGGATCTCAGTCCAAGCAGTTGCATCTGACTATATTGACTGGTCCATCGCTAATAGTTACTGGACCGAGTCTGGCAGGAAGGCGGTTTGTGTTCCTAGGGAAGAAACCACGCCGGGCACGCCTTTGGCTGCAGAAACGGTCAGACAAGAGAGCAGCATGCTCCCTTCTCAGAATAGGCCGCGAGCCGCTTGGCTGGTAACCCAACACCGCGGATGCGTAAGGCACACAGACAACCAGCGTGAATTTCGCCTTCTTTCGAGAGTGTGCCACCTCGAGGTCGGATGACGGGCAGGCCGGGGAAAAAATTGGACAATTGTGCAACCCCTCATCAACCCCCCGGTCAACACTGTTGTGCTTGCTTCTCCCGCATGGTACATTCCCATGACGGATCACAGGGCTCAGACCATGTGCACCGACCGCAGGCCACCCCCGTGCGCCTCTCCCGTCAATACCACAGCTGACAGATGCAAAGACTGACTCCCTTGTACCTGGCAATGGGTCCGTCAACTGGGAGCCGCCGACGAGGAAGAGGATGTTTGGAGCACAACTGGGATGTCTCGATTGTCCTCGTCCTTCCGCGTCTGCACCCATCCGAATGAATTGTATAACCCGTGGGACCGGGCAACACACCCCGTGCCTCCTGCGTCTTTTGCGCTGCCAAACTTTCCTCTGAAAAATGCTGCGAACCGTTGCTCCGGTCAGCCACCGACACGAGGGCGACCTGCAGTTGAACAAACCGGCACGGGTCGCGTTTATGCCTATGTTGGGCAACCTTGCCCGCACTAGCGGCATGCGGTGTTTGTGTCGTGCGGCGAGGACTGAAAACGTGGCCGAGCTTCCCAATCGGCACGTTCGTGGACATGTTACCCTTTGTCTCGTAGCCTTGCCAGCGCGGCAGCGATACCCTCGCTCAGCTGATCATCCTTGCGCGCCGCATCTGCAGCCGCGGGTGTACCCGAACTCGTCCGGGCCGCGGCCGGAACGGGTTGCTTCTCTGGCCGACCCGTCTCCGCTTCGGCCGCGGCAACCAATGCTTCGGCATCCTCCTCCTCCTCCACCTCCACGCCCGCCTGCTGCTCCTCTCTCCCCTTGACCACCTTCCTTATCCCAGCAGTATTACTCACCCCTCTCTTCCCGGCCTTGCCAACCCGAAACGGCTCCTCCACAGCCCTGCACCAAGCCCTAACTTTCTTCTCCCCCCACCCGCCCACAACCCCAACCTGCTCGGGCGTGGCATTCACCGCGTTCCTCAGACTCCCAAACGAGCTCACCAGCGCGACGGCGTCGGCCTTGTTGATGTTCCGCGGCACAGTGACAAACTCGACGAGCCGCTCGGCATAGCCCGTGGCTTGCTGCCCGCGGATGGCCGAGAAGCCGGCGTGCTCGTACGACTTGTACAGCTCCAGGTACCGGGCGGCCTCGGCGGCCGACCAGGCGAGAATGATGGTCACGTTGTTGACGAGCGACGTCTTGGACAGCTCGCGCAGGGCGTCCTCATGGTTGGGAATGTCGACGAGGGTGAGCAGGATGCGCAGGTTGTACTTGCCCTGGAGGTTGCGGATCCGCGTGTAGATGTATTCTGGGTGGAGGCGGTGGTATTTGAGGCTATTGAAACCCGAGGACAATTGTCAGAGATAGAAGGGAGATGATAGAGAGAAGGAGGGAAGGGAAAACGCACCTGAGGAACAACGCGCAAGTTGTCAGTCCCAGGCCATAGTCGGCGGGGATGTCGCTGTACTCCCAGGGGATGGACTTGAGGCAGGCCAGCACGGGATTGCCTTTCTGCCTGGGGGAGACGAGGATGGCGGATCCGGAGCCGCGGGCCGGAAGGGCCTGGGGAGTAGGCTGCACAACCTTGGGCGGTCCTGACCCGGACATGTTCGACGGCGGTGCTCGATCGAGGCGCTGAGGTGTCGGCTGCTGGATCTTCGGCGCCGGTCGTGGCGCGGCTGGCCTAGAGAGACCGGGCTGCGCGGCTGCGAGAGCGGCGAGAACGTCGTCGGCGTCGCCGTATTCGTCGTCGTCCATTTTTACGCTTCTCTGTCGATGATGATCTGTTTGCCGTGTTGCCCCGACCAAACCGCACGTGTATTCTGCGCAAATGGAACCTGGTTGAATGTGAGGTACATACAACCACAGTACTCCGTACGGGCACCTGCATGCGATCACCGTATGTCTTGGCGATTGCCGATCATTGAGCCACGGTATGTGGGGCTCTCAGCATCGCGGAGAAAATGTCAGTTTCCCGACTGACCTCGATGGCGTCCGTTCCAGCGGTGACTTAGGGACATAATGCGTCGGTCCACAAATAGTACATCACGGAGCGATCTATTTTGCAGAAACAATCAGAGTTCAGGTTTGGAAGGCCTAGATACTCTATATAGCCACCATTTCACCCGTCACAAACCAGATCAAACGCCGTCCTACGCCCATCCATATCTTGGTATCATAAAATCCCACCCCCTACCTAGTCCAACGCCTCCGTCCCAAGTTCTGCGCCACAGTCCTTGCCACCAACGCCCCTCATCGAGTCGTGTATCGAGTAGAGCGCCCTCAGCCACATGTCAAACATCCTCTCCATCTCCCGCGCCTGCCGGTTGCCCCGGCTGAGCTCCGCCATCTGGTCGCGCAATCCCTCGTACGCTTCGATCATGACCCAAACCTGCAGCGCCGACGAGCCCATGGACGACGCGCGGGACGGGCGAGCCGCCATGGCCGACGAGAGCTCGCGCGTGAGCAGGTCCAGGCATATCTGCAGGCTGACGTTCTCGTCGGCGTCGGCGTCGGCGTCGGCGGCCGCCGCCGTGGTCTGCCTGCTTAACGGCACGGTGGGGGGTTCCGGCTTGGCGAAGGAAGGCGCCTCAGGCTTGGAGGTGGGGAAGGAAACGGGCTTGAAGTAGACTGTTTCTTCCTGGAACGAGACCAGCGTGCCGTCGTCTGATGACATAGGCGAAGGTTTCGGGAACGCGGCGGTTCGCGACGGGTGGCTGAGACAACTTTCATCTCCTCCGGGGCAGCATGAACTGCGATGCTGTCTGAGCGTTACTGGCTGCTCAGTATCGCTGTCTGCGGGTGACAGCTCAAGCTCAGAAGAGTCGTCCCAGCACAGCGAGCGAGGACGAGACTCAAGGACCGCCTTGTACTGTTCCGCGATGCGGTCGACGCTTGAGGTCCTGCCGAGGACGTGGGTAGGTGGTTGGGGGAAGTCCTCCAACTTCCTAATCGAGCAGAAGGGCGTCTTCGCACGACGTCCCATTCTCGGAGTTGAGTGTTTGGTAGCTTCTGAGCTGGATAACGATCGTAGGTGCTGCTTGGCCCGAATGAGGTGTGAAACCCCGGGGACAATGTGACGCGAATACCTCCCTAGCGACTCTCGAAACAGATGCTGTTCGTGTTGTCCTCGTTCGCTTTGCGGAGACGCGCCCTCCTTCTTCTTTGGGGGTACTGGGGGCGGGCGAGGCTGAGTCCAAACTGTTGATAGGCTGAAGTCCGTAGATGCTTCTGGCAGACTCGATGCGGTTGAATTAAAGCGGCACGCAGTGTTGATCTGCGGCTTCCTAAAGCTTTTTTGTTTTTGTAGCTTCTTCCGTGGCCTGGCGTCTGTTGTGCCAAATAAGCACTGTTTTGTTGGTTCCATTGTTTATTGAATGATGCCTATTCAGGCGGCGAAGATGGTAGCGACAGGGTCGAGCAATAGGTGAGGCATGAGGGCATTCAGTCAAGCGGATGAAAGGAGAACATATAAATAAGCCATGGCCTTTAAATCGAGGAGTAGCTGGCTCGAATATAATGTTGTTTCGACACATGCTTTGGGGCCCACATCCATCCGAAGCGTTGCAGTCGAGGTAATGGCGACCTTCGAACTCCCTGATTATTTCCGTTTGCCATTTTCACAGCAACTGGTCGTGGATGGTGGCGAGCAAGCAGTGAGTGCTCAGAGAGTTGACGTGAATCATGAAGAAGGCGGGGTGATTGCGAGCAAGGAATATGCCGTCAACTGGAGCATCGAGTTCGCCAAAGAATCGCGTCAGTTCGCCTTCCACGAGGCCTGAGCCATCGGATTAACTTCTAGAAAGCTCGCCTCTGCTGCCTTTGACTGCAAACGACGGGCTCATGCCGGGACAACCATGAACCCTTTCTGATCGGATGTTCCTCGAGGATGGGTTCGGATCATCCTGAATCACGTCGCGGAGGTTGAAGGTGCACATGGTGGCCACGCAGTGCTGTATCAGAGAGATTAAACGGCGAAAGAAGACTCTAGAGCTTGGAAAGGAGGGAGAATAAATCTGGCTGAGGCTGGGAATGGATTGATTGGCATCATTGCGATGTAGGCGCAGGGCTAAGTGAGGCAGTACCTATCGGGGCTTCGAAAGCGCCGATCCGACCAGCTGCCAAGGGGGCTAGCCCCTATTATCGGTAATGATCGAGAGGGGCAACTGCTGGACCATTTGATGAAGTGTAAAGTGGGGAGGACGGCTTGGCGCTCTGCACGACTTGAGCAGTCGACCTCAACGGCGCGATTCTTCCGGGCAAGCTGTGACAACTGGACCGTTGTCAACCGTCGACAACCAAACCACTGAGAACTGGGTCCGAGCTGCGTTCTCTGGTTCTCCGAGGATACCTTATTACTGCCTGAGAAGTCTCGCCCATTAATGTCGACGGCAAAGAATCACGGCCAGTTCCGCGAGTCGATGGCCCACTCTCATCGCGACGGTGAATTTCGGTCCGCGCAGACTTGGAAGCCCGAACGGAACCTGCAATAATTCGGCCCTAGCCCCCCTTACAATTCAAATACTGTGACAGTTCCGCCTTTCTGTTCATTTCTGTTTGCACGGTGGCAGGCTGCTGGCCAAGACTCGTCTCCAGCCCGTCGGAGTCCCGGTCACTTGGATTGGCACTCCAGGACGGCAGCTCATGTCTTGGACTCTTGGCTTTCTGGACAGCAGTGACGTCGGAGTCGATCCTCGAGTGACTTTGACCCGACAGCGACGCTAGCAGCGGAAGCCTCCACGGAAACATGCATGCTGCCGCCACATGGGGGAACCTACTCAGCGCAGCCCCATATCTCCATGATTTATCCATCAATCACAGGACGCGCAGTCTGCCTCTGAGAGCCGACATTGACTTTAACCCCACCATGCCCCTCATCCCGGTCTCGGGCCCACGCTTCATCATGGAAGTGTTTTGGCTCAAGTCATGCCCTCGACCTGCCATGATGGTGCTTGGACTGGCCTGGACTCACACCCGTGAGAGAATTACTTGAGCAGCAGGAACCCCTTCACCAACGTTCCCTCGCTCGCATCATTCCTCACCCCTCTTCACATCCCAAGACGGTACGCAGCACACCACAGCAGCCATGGCCGAAATCACCATCACCGGCTGGACCACCCGCGATGTCCGGTTTCCCACCTCGCTGGACAAGACCGGCTCGGACGCCATGAACGCGGCCGGCGACTACTCGTCCGCATACTGCATCCTCGAAACCGACTCGTCCTACACTGGCCACGGCATGGTACGGAGACCCCGTGTGTCGGCCTCGTAACTCAGCAGAGCACTAACACACCACAGACATTCACCATCGGCCGCGGCAACGACATTGTGTGCGCCGCCATCAACCACGTCGCCGAGCGCATCAAGGGCCGGACGCTCTCCAGCCTCGTCGCCCACTGGGGCCAGACCTGGCGCCATCTCGTCAACGACAGCCAGCTCCGCTGGATCGGCCCGGAAAAGGGCGTCATCCACCTCGCCCTCGGCGCCGTGGTCAACGCCATCTGGGATCTCTGGGCCAAGACGCTCAACAAGCCCGTGTGGCGCGTCGTGGCCGAGATGACGCCCGAACAGTTTGTCGACTGCATCGACTTCCGCTACATCACCGACGCCGTGACCCCCGTGGAGGCCATCGCCATGCTGAAGGAGACTGAAGCCGGCAAGGCCGACCGCATCCGCGACGCCGAGAACAGCCGCGCCGTGCCCGCCTACACCACCTCGGCCGGCTGGCTCGGCTACGGCGAGGACAAGATGCGCGCCCTCCTGCAGGACACCCTCTCCAAGGGGTACCGCCACTTCAAGCTCAAGGTCGGTGGCAACGTCGAGCAGGACAAGCGGCGGCTCACCATCGCCCGCGAGGTGATTGGCTACGACAACGGCAACATCCTCATGGTCGATGCCAACCAGGTGTGGTCCGTGCCGGAAGCCATCGAGTACATGAAGGAACTCGCGCCCTTCAAGCCGTGGTTCATCGAGGAGCCGACGTCGCCCGACGACATCCTGGGCCACAAGGCGGTGCGGGACGCGCTGCGGCCATACGGCATCGGCGTGGCCACGGGCGAGATGTGCCAGAACCGCGTCATCTTCAAGCAGCTGCTCATGTCGGGCGCCATCGACGTGTGCCAGATCGACGCGTGCCGTATGGGCGGCGTCAACGAGGTGCTGGCGGTGCTGCTGATGGCGAAAAAGTACGGCGTCCCCATCGTGCCGCACTCGGGCGGCGTCGGCCTGCCCGAGTACACGCAGCACCTCAGCACCATCGACTACGTCGTCGTCAGCGGCAAGCAGTCGGTGCTCGAGTACGTCGACCACCTGCACGAGCACTTCTTGCACCCGTCCGTCATCAAGAACGGCTTCTACCAGACCCCGACCGAGCCCGGTTACAGCGTCGAGATGAAGCCCGAGAGCATGGATCGGTTCGAGTTTCCGGGGGGGGAGGGCAGCTGGTGGAGGAGCGAGGAGGCGAGGCCGATATTGGAAGGCGTCAAGATATAGGGTGTCGGATGCGGTAGTTGATTATGAATTCATGCTAGAAAGCTGTAGTTAATCACACAAAGTTTAAGAGGTCACATTGGCTTGGGCAGCTTCAGTGCCTTTGTCTGCTTAGGGAGGCTTCTGAGGGTTGTTCCTGTTCTCCCTGCCCCCGAGTGGTGTTCCAGTCAACACTCGCCTTATCCAAGGAGGAAGAGAAAGGAGGACAAAGGGTCGAGTCTCGCACAACCAGCAAATTAACCAGCTGATCCTTGTTCCGATCGAGAGACCTCTAGGTTATGGAGGCGGGCGCGCTTTTGAAGTGAGGGCAAAAAGCAGGAGTCAATTTCAATGATTCTCAACACCAAAAGGATCTTTTTTGATTAGCTCAGACTGGTTTCGATCCAGTGACCTCCGGGTTATGAGCCCGGCGCTATTCCCCTTAGCTACTGAGCTGTTGTTGATGTTAATTTCCCGGGCGCGTGGTTTTAAGTGTACGCTCCCAAACATCTCCAATACACTTGACATGCCGCTATGCAAACCAGCTGTGTATTTGTTTGGTGGGAGGTGGTTGTTGGAATAGGCCTCCTCCTTAGGGCGTAAAATACGGACATCAAACCCCATGATTCCTCATACAACGGGCTCCTAACCTCTCTGTCCGCCGATGGCTTCATGGGGAGAACAGTGACTCGCCCTAGCACTCCACTTTCGTCGTGATTTTTCCGAAGTTCTGAGACTCAGGCCTCTCCCTACCCCACGCTCCGATCCACTTCCCAGACCAAAGAAGTGGTATAACGTCTCCCATGATCCCAGATCTCTGGCCGACCTCTGCCCAATCTCACTCGAGCGGCCCCGTTTGTAACCCCAGTCGCCCCAGGCCTCCCCTGGTCGGTTGAAATTTAAACCGTGTAACTGCTGCAGGGCTGAGTGGTCAAAGATAATGGACGAGCTCAAGCGCCCGAACTTCCAGTCACCATGGTCGTCTCCCCCCAGCGTTCTTCGAGCTGCCTGGGAGGAGGGGGTTATGCTCGACGGAATAAAGCCAAAGTCTCATTGTCATCTGGAGCAAACGCGCCTAGAGAGGGCGGACCAGTTTTGACACCTTCCTCTCTCTCTAGACGTACAATCCGAACCTGGTTTGAGTGTTGGTGCACCACCACAAAGCGGGTACTCGCAACGAAGCAGGAAAGAAAGAGATCATGGATGACATGGTGAGAGAGACTTAGGGTAATGAATGAGGAAAAGGAAAGTAGAGCGAAATCGAACTCCTGCTCTGCAAAACACAGAGTGCTCTGCATACTTACTTCACTCAAGACACTCCTAAACATAGCAGGCGAACCAGAGGAGGGTTATATGGCTCCAACGCAAGCAACAGCCCGCCAGGATGACAACAGGCCCGGGCAACACAAGACTCTCAACTCTTGACATGACCAGCCGTAGCAACCTCGAGGATCTCCTTCTCGAGCCCCTCAACCCGAACCACGGTAATGCCCGCATTCTCCAGGCTCCGCCTGCCCGTGTTCTCGGCCACAAACGTCTCAGGCTCCATGACGCCCACATAGACGGACCTGATGAGATTCGCCAGGCGGAGGACCCTCTCGACACAGGGCAGGTTGCCGCTCAGCCTTTTGGAGCAGGGCTCGACCGTGGTGTAGAGAGCCAGGGCCAAGTCTGAGGGGAGCACATCTCTGAGGCGCTCCTCGGGCACGCCGTGCTGTTCTGCGAGCTTCATGAAGCAGCACTGTTCTGCGTGCGCGTTTCCGGGAAGCTCGAGGGTGTAGCCCGTCGCGAGGATCTGGTTGGTGGTGGTGTCGACCAGCACAGCGCCCACGCGGTAGTTGGTCGGTTTGGGCGGGGACTTGCGCGCCTGCTCGAGGGCGAGGCGCATGTAGCCTTGGTGGTCGCCCGGTGGGATGGCGGCCATTGTATGGATGAATCAAATTGGAACTTGGCTCTCTCTTACATTGGCAACTGGAAGGGGATGGTTCCTGCGACTCGAGCTCAGCGTAGTAAACAATTCTTCAAAACGGACAGAGTTTACGGAGTACCCAGTTATTATTGACCGTAATGCCCCACTTTTGTTCGCGCACGCTCACTGACGCGACGCGGCAGCAAATTCGATCAAACAATCGATTTTAACTAACTACTCCGTACTAGCGTTGCCCCCCGTCACCACTACCACCAGACACCAAAACACCAATTCGCAATGTCCTCCCCCGACGACCTGACCGAAGGGGAGCCGCCCGCCATTGACCCGTACGAGGTCCTCGGGCTGGAGCGGACCGCCTCGCCCGACGAGATCAAATCCGCCTACCGCAAAGCGGCGCTCAAAACCCACCCGGACAAGGCGCCCCAAGACGAGAAAGACGAAGCCAAAGAGCGCTTCCAGCAGGTTGCTTTTGCCTACGCTGTGCTCTCCGACCCAGCCCGACGCAAGCGCTACGACGAGACGGGCTCGACCTCGGAAGCGGTCGTCGACGCCGACGGCTTCAGCTGGTCCGATTTCTACCGCGAGCAGTTCCGCGACGCCGTTTCAGAGGACGCGATCGCGCAGTTTGCGGCGCAGTACAAAAGCTCTGACGAGGAGCGCGCCGACGTGCTGGCCGCGTACGAGGAGTTTGAGGGCAACATGGACGCCGTCTACGAGCATGTCATGCTGAGCAGCGTGCTTGAGGACGACGCACGGTTCCGGGCCATCATTGACGCCGCCGTCGAGGCAGGCGAGGTGTCGCGGTTTGACGCGTACGCAAAGGAGACGAAGAAATCTAAACAGGCGCGCGTCAAGGCGGCGAAGAAGGAGGCGCAGGAGGCGGACGAGTTGGCCAAGGAGCTCGGGGTCTACGAGAAACTGCGCGGCAGCGGCGGGAGGAAGAAGAAGAGCGCCAAGGACGCAGAGGCTGATCTGGCGGCACTCATTCAACGGAATCAGGCGTCGAGGGCGAGCGCGCTGGATAAGCTGGCTGAGAAGTACGGGGCTGTCCCGCCCAAGGGTGGCAAAGGGAAGAAGAGGAACGCTAAGGAGCTGGAGCCGGACATTTCGGAGGAGCAGTTTCAGGCTATACAGGCGGACATGATGAAGAAGACGAAGCGGAAGTGAGGAGCTGCTGCGCACGACTGGGCTTGGAGTATGGGTTCGACATTACGGAGGTCTGGTATTCGGCGTTTCGGGCGAGGCATCTAGGACCGGCATGGCGTCAAGGTACATGGTATTGGCGGGGGGACCTAAGGCTTTTATCACAGTGCATTTGAACTTTCCGCCAGGTTACGGATAGAAATCAGAGAAATGCTCCACTGATGTGTTGACAAAAGATACGGCGAAAGGCGGCTCAGGGCGGCTAGGGGTGTGCGGGGCGCAAGAAACTCCACATCAGGCACGGATACGGGGCTCCAATAGGGTCCAAGAAGGCTTGACCTGTGCTTCAAAAGGTTAGCCCCAGGTACGTGTACTGTACCTTGTTGGCTTGGCGCCAAGATGTGCTGATCCTCGACAAATGCTGTTCGGGGTGGTTCGTTGGTTGAAATGATTCTCGTTATTAGCGTCAACACGGGGCTGAAATGCACTGCTTTTACCGCTCATTTCTTCCCGAATCTCTCCTGCCCACGCGTCTTCTGCAATGAGGTTGGGGTTAATCGACAAGTCTGGCTCAGACTTCTGTGTTCGACTGCTGCCATCTTCAACCCTTACCTACCTTCCCTTCCCTTCCCATCCGAAGTACACTCGGCTCTTCGCCAGCCGACCCGGAACGCAGGGAGCATGAATTCGCACAATGGGTTCGGAAACTATCTGGATCAGTCATTCTTCGACAGCTTTCGCTGGCTGGACGAGGAAGAGAACCTGGATCTGCGCCTCTTCCTCGACGACTACCATGCTCACCTGCGCGAAGGTGCGCCGCCGACGAAACAGCGGCCCTCGTTTCGTCGGCGTATGTCGATAACCAAGATGCCCTTCGGCCGTCGAAGCTCAGTTTCGGGGGGACAGCCAGGAACCAGGGATGCCACCACTCGGACGCCGCCAATCCGCAGCCCAACAGGCAGGGTCTCGAACGGTTTGACTCACACAAGGCGCAAGTCGCGCGCTCTGTCTCTGATCACGCCAAACTCGAGGCACGCGCCTCAACCGTCCATCACGGCCTTCGACCCCGCCGCGGCCCACTACCAGGACCCCGAGGCACGTCTGAAGCTCCGCGTGTACCTGGCGTCGCCGCAGAAGTTTGACGAAGCCGTCGAGTTTGGATTCCCGTCTGCCGACTCCGACGTTTCCCGGACCCAGTCCCGGCAGAAACCGGCCGATGCCTCCGCCGACATGCGCACCTTCTGGGCCGACGACGACGACGAGGATCAAAGCCTCGACATCCTGTCCCTCAGCAGCGACCAGCCCTCATCGCCCGAACTGGATTCGCCCCAGACGCCAGAGCCAATCGAGCAGCACAGAGGGCCTCGCGGGCCTCGCCACGCGCGGCTGGCCTCTCCAGGCGCTTTCAAAGGGAGAGAGTGCGGGATCAAGACGCCCGACGGAGCCGCAGCGTCGTCGCGCGAGATGACGCTCCGCATGACGCTCACCCGGCCGGATCTGCGTGCTCACGAGGACGAGATTTACGGCTGGCAGCAGAGGCCCGTCTACCAGCAACACAGCCGGCGGCCGACCGCCATAGCGTCCCTGGGGACAGAGAGCAGGGGTCCATCACTTGGGGGCTGGTCTCACAAGAGTAGCATGGAGAAGTTTCCCGAGATTGACCATTGGAATGGATCGACGGCTGAGAGGGGCGTCATGAGGCGGATCTGGGACCGCGTTCGGAGGGGTTGAAAGAGCCACACAGAACACGCTTTCGAGCCGGTCCATGTCATCTCGATACAACGCACTGCCATCTACTTCTACCGCAAGGCACCTTTTCCCCCTTGACCTTTGCAGCCACCGCTCGCTCGAGTCCTGTCACTTGATCACCACCAACACTCTTCACATGTCCTTGCCCACAAGGGTAGAAACCGGATTCGAACACGTATCTCCTCGACTTTATTGCTTGTATATCGCAGCTTGGCAAGGCGCTGGGGGGTCCTTTCTTCTTTCACTTTGTTCTTTTTCGTTCCATGTTACATGGCATTCAGGCTAAGCATCTCAGGTTGGACTTGCTGGCATTCATCTTCTCCTTACAGCGTAGCAGATCAAAGAGCATGCAGATTCTGGTTCTAACCTAACTCCCAACCGTTTCTGGTCTTCCCCTTCCCGACGCACATGGCCTGGCCGCTCATTCATGTAGCCGCGGTATCCGCACCGATTTCGAACCGAGTCGACGCCCACATTGGGCGCCTGAGAGCAGACTCGTCCGTTTCGGAAACGATCAGGTAGTGTGCAGGACACACAGAATAATACCTGTACGGAGTACAACGGACATGTTTGCATGTTGGTTGCTTTCGCCCGCTATCAGATCCGATTGGTATGGTTCGGAACACAGCACTCCTACGGGTATGTACCCCCGCAAGCGAAGCGCGGTTAAAAGCCCTGTCGTGCGCATACATGGAGACACAAATACACCGCTCCGGCGTCGTTGGAGGCTTGGCGAGGGAAAAACATGCACGACGCGCGACCCCTTGCTTCCGCCGTTCTCCCGGCTGTGTCGCCGCCTCGCCGCTTGGCCCACCGCTCAGGTCCGGTTCCCACAAAGGTAGGGAACGCTTCGCCAACCCCTGCAAACGGCTGGCTGCAGGGCAGGGGAACAGGAATGGAGTCGATGGAACCCTGTGGGAGGGGCAGAGGTGTGGGGGTCACGGTTTTTCGTCAAGAAAAGCTGCTCACATGTGGAGAATACACGTACCACTCGCGATTTCAACACCAGGGTTCATGATTCTTTCCATTCCTCTCTCATCATCAATCTTGTGGTGAAGAAGTCAATTGGAGTTGAGCATTGGTTGCCGTTTAGCAAGCTTTGCTTCCCAGCCCCTGCAAAGACCCTCCGAGACAGAGTGCCGACTGCCCCAGTACGGAGGACTGTGAACCATACCATGTTATGCGTCGTTTGCTTTCTCTGTCCGGAGTAACTACCTAATGAGCTATCACAGTTTCCCCGCAAGAAAAGGCTGCCAGCCAACTGCGGCGTCTGGTTGACGTGACAAGACGTGACTGTGATGAGCCTGCGTCAGTTGCAGAAACCTGAAGAAGAGGGGGAAAAAATGCAATGCTGTGCTGCAGGTTGCTCTGCTGCTGATGAATGGTACGGTTATAGAGATGGTTGGACGAGTCGGAAAACATTAGCAAGCCTCCGGCGCGTCGAGACTCTCCAATCCCGTGAGAGAGTTGAGGCGACGGCTGCAGTGTGACAAAAAACACGAACATTCTGTTTTATATGCACATTCTCCGCTCGACGATCCAGTAGCTGTGCGTGCCGAACCGTGTGATCTGTGCCCTTCCTTCTGCGTCAAGGTGTGGTTACTAGTGAAGAGAAAAACTGGGAATAGAGCCGACAGGATTGCCACCAAAATTGCAAGTCACTGACTGAATCCATATTCCTCCTAAAGGTAGAGAGTATGAATGGTGGGGTGGGGGGGAATGTTTTGGCGTTTCGAAATGCCCCAGATATGTGCCTGCTTGGCTTACACAGATCCCATCTTATTAGCCACTCTTTGAACGCTTTACAGTGCCTGTAAGGGACACAACATGGAGTGAGAGCAACCCATGCAATATCCAGAACCCGAGATCAATATACACGATACACTTTTTCACCACACGCCCCTCGTAGAAGGCAAACCACAACCTCTACTGATGTCCCATCCATCTATATTCCAAGACCGTATACAAGAAAGGCACAACAGCCAACTTCGATACAAGCCCAAACGCCCTTTTCAAACCTCCTCATCACTATCCTCCCCAAGCAATTCCCCCTCATCATCATCCACAATCGCATAATCCCCACTGCCCCGAGCAAAGCTATCCCTTGTGGTAAACCTCCTCGTCGCTCCTCCCCCACCCCCTCCAAGACGACTCCACCTCCCTCTGCCTCCCTCCCCGCCACCACCCAACCCAACCCTCTCCCCGAGCGCCCTCACACTCCTCCACACAGCCGCGGCAACAACCGGTAGCGCCCCAATCACCGCCACCACAGCGCTAAGCACAATGACAGGGTACTTGACCCACGGCCGGTCCGCCTCAAAGACGGAACCCCCCTGGTCGCCGAGCCGGATCTGGCCGAACTTGCCGTTCCAATTCCGCCAGACGTACCAACCCACGGCGCCTGCCAGGGCAAACGGCACGACGACGGCAAAGAAGAGCACGACACCCGAGGGGGCGTGCTTGCGCCCGTACTCGTCCTCATGACCCGGGCACGCGTGCGACGGCGACTCCTTGTCGAGCGCGTGGCCGTCGTCGAAGCACGTCGTGAGCGGGATGCGCCGGTAGCCCGTCGGCTCGTGGTACTCGATAGCGTCCGGGTGTTCGCGGCACCACGCCATCGGGTCGGGCCGCGCGAGGCCCGGCACCAGGGAGCACTGGCCGAAGTCGTCCAGTTGGTAGTTGTAGTCGCTGTGAAAACGGTGTCAGTTATGAGCATGGGTGGGTGGGCAAGCAGGAGGAAAGCGGAGAAAAGAGCTCACCATTCAAAGTCGGCGCGGGTGCAGGTGCAGTTCTGCTTGCCGTAGAGGGCCTGCAACGTAAAGTCGTTATAGCACTTGCGGTCCGCCTTCTTGCGCAGGTACTGCGAGACGTGGCCGAACAGGCAGCCGTTGTCCTGCAGGGGGTGGCTGGGCGACCAGATGTAGTAGTCCGATTTGTCAGGGTCGTCGTCGTGCTTGCAGACACGCTCGCTGAAGCCGGAAAAGTCCAAATTCAGCGTGAAGGTGCCCTTGCCATCCTTGCCCCAGAGCAAAAAGTTCCGCGAGCCGCCGGATCGCAAGGTCGTCACATCCCAGACTTCGACTTCCTCGGACGAAAACTCATGCTCCTGCCACGTCTTGCCTTGGTCGAGCGAGTAGAACAGAGACTTGGTCTTCTTCCGCCCCGCCGCGGTGGTCTGGACGAGGACGATAATGCCGCCCTGGTCACCAATCGCCCAGGTCCACTGCCCTTGCTTGACCCGCTTCCAGGTTATGCCAGCATCGGTGGTCATGAACGTATCCGCATCTTTCCGCGGCCCCAGTGCGTCGCCGACATTACCCCATCCAAACATGATGCCGACAGCGCTTCGAGACGAGTACGTCTTGCCGTGGTCCTTGCGCTCTGTGTAACCGTGGATGTGCAGCGCACACTTCTCATCGCCGCGCGACGGCTGGCAAGGGAACTTGCCAAACTCGTCGTCGGAAGGAGGGGCTAGATATGCCCACTGAGCGCCATCATTGTGAGTAATCTTGGTCTGCAGCTTCTTGGGGGCGCTGCCCTTCTCATCGGGATTGGCGACCACGTTCACCAGTGCGACGCCTTCCAGCCCGAGCATCTTCTCAAAGTCGACATAAAAGTCGTCGTCACAGTTGACGTTCCGCACGCTTACCACGTACGACGTGCCGTTGGAGTTGCTCTTGAGAATGGTGCCGTGCGTGCGCCCTTCGGCAAGCTCGGTGGCGACGAACAGGTTGACAGCATGCGTAGAACTGTCCAAAACTGTGTATGCATGTTGGTGTGGAACCACGAAGCCGTGCGGGAACTGGGCGTCGGCAAAGGTGGTCCCGTCCAAACTCGCGCTGGCTTGCAGTGTCTTCTCGGACGTATTTTCCGTCGCGACCACGATAAACTCGGCCTTGGTCGCAAATCCCTTGACGTCCTTCCTGTGAATCTCTTCATTATCGAACCAGTCGTTGGTCGAGATCAAGACCAGGGGGTTCTCCTTGCCTTTGTTTTCCTTCTCGTGTTTGAGGCAGAGTATCTGATCCTCCTTGCGGTTCGGATACTTGTAAGCGGCCGACCCGGTAAACTCGCAGCGCCGCGCATATCGGCTGGCCGTGCTCCAATTGTCACCACCGTCCTTGGACCACGAGACGACTCCGTAGCAATCATCATCGCTATCACACCTCCTGCCCATCCAAAGCAGCCAATGCTTCTTGTCCGGATGGAAAGCAAGGGGAAATACGTCCCTAGAAGGCTCGTCAGGCGCCTTGAAGTGGTGGAAGGAACGCCCACGGTCGGTGGTGTAGATGACCTTTTTCCCAGTAGTGATAAAGAAAACCATATCCTTGAAGTAGAAATGTGGGATGATATGCACGATTTTCTCGTCATCGAGCTCCTTCGGAACGCGCCACTTCTTGCCATGGTCGTCGGTGATATGGATGGGTCCGGCCTTGTGCATTCCCCGTCCACGCATGATGATGGTCTCCGCATCGCTAGAGCTCGAATCACCCCGTTCGAGATAATGCTTGTCCCACGCTTCCCAGTCGTCCTCGAACGACTTCTGAGTCTGCTCAATCCTGTCCGTCGCAGGCGCCGAAGGCTTGCCGCCGATCTCGGAGCACTTCCTTTCAACGTCCCCGTACTTTTTGTCCATCTCCTCGGTCGGCTTGCAAGTGTTTCCAGCAATCTTGCGGTATCCCGACGTGCCCTTGAAGGTGTCATCCGGCTTAGCATCGCGGCAGACGCCGTCTGGCGGGATGATAGGCCCCCTGCGGACGCACTTGCCGTCATCGTCCCTCTCAAAGTTGAAGTCGCATTCGTAGTCCTTGTCAGTGCAGTCACAATCCTCCGTTTTCGCCATGGCGTGTTTGAACTCTTGCTTCAGGAAGCACTCGGACTTCTTCTTGCGGCGGAGGAAGCTCTGGGTGTGGCCCATCAGGCAGGTCGGCTTCCCATCTTTGTCGACACGGGCAAACCATTGTTCCATGTCGTCTTCCGTGCAGGCAGCCTCGTGGAGGCCGTCAAAATTGATCGAGATGACTTGCCAGTGGGGTGACTTCTGCGTCCCCCCGATGAGGAGGAACTTGAGGCTGGCCGACTCCTGGGTCGTCGTGAGGATATAGGGCTTGATCTTGAGGCCATCGGGCAGAGACTCTTTGGTCCAGGTGAGTCCGTGGTCGAGTGAGTAGTTGATCTCGCTGATATCGGCGTCCTCCGAGTCGCGCACTGCGACGAGGATGGACCCTTGGTCTCCGAATTCGTACTTGTGCGGCCCGTCCAACGCTTTTCTCCATGTTCTACCCGCATCATCTGAGACGTAGAGATTGCCGTCCTTGTAATCCTTGAGGTAGTCGCCCGTGTTGCCCACAGCCATGACCAGGCCAGGCGCAGGGCTGGAGAAAACACGCCCGACGTTGTTCAGCTGCGTGACCGAGTGGAGGTGGATCCTCTTGCCGTCAGCCGTCACGGACTCGAAGGTACGGCCATCGTCAAAAGTGATCTCAGTCACGACCTTCTTCTTGGTGTTCGGCTTCTTTTCCACGTCTTCCCAGTTATCAACCTTATTTACCAGGAATATACCCTGGATACCGGTAATCTTCTCGAAGTCGACGTAGCCGTGCTCGTCGCGGTTGGTGTGCTCGATGTTTTCGGTGAAGTACGTGCCGTTCGAGTTGCTCGTGAACAAGATACCCATGGGGTTTGACGGTCGAGTCGTCATGACGTCTATCTGAATGCTGTAATTGGTGCTCTCGAGCACTGTGTACGCTTCCTGCAAAACGCGGTGGTCGTGGCTCTCGTGAGGTGCTGGGAAGACGGCGCGGTGCCACTTTTTGGTGTCGTCCGTGACGAAGAGGGCCATCTCGTCCGTGTTGACGGAGCTCGACGCCACAAGCAGGTACTTCTTTACCACGGCCACGTTGACCACCCCCTGCACAGGCTTGTTCATGTCGAGATCCGGCTCAAACTCTTGAACGTCCTTGCTGCCCTCGGTAGGTTTGAAGAAGTTGTCCGAGACCAAGAGACGCTGGTCCTGCTTGAAGGGCGAGAAGCTGTCCCTGACGATGCACAGGACGCGGTTCTTGTCTAAATCCTCGGATCCCGTCGTGAACAAGTCCGAAGACTTGGCCCACCAACAGCCATCGGTATTCCTGCGCAGCTCTTTTGCGGGCGTCTTGAAGCCGTCGGTCGTGTACATAGCCACTTCCTGGCAGAAAATGCCCTCGCAAATCATGCCGTTGAAAAGGATGCGATCAGGGTCGGCGGCGTGGAATTGCAAGATGTCGCCACGGAACATGCTCATCTCGGCGCCGGAATCGAACTTTTCCCATGTCTTGCCGCGGTCGCTGGTCCGGAAATGAGTGGTGCCCTCGGTGAAGATGTATGCGCGGCTCGAGTCAAACTGATGCATGTACAGCAGCCAGGCCTTGCCCTTGGGCACGGCGTCGACGCGCTCCCACTCGACGCCGTGATCGGCAGAGCGGTAGACATTGTTGTCATCCTTGTCTTGAAAGAGGACAACGTCTGAGTCGGGGAAGTAGTTGAGCTTCGTGGGTAGGTTGTCGAAAGCCTTCACGTGGAAAGTCGGGTGGTCGTTCTTCGCGGTGAGGGGTGTCGCCCAGAGGGCTGTCGCCAGCAAGGCTGCCGCCTGCAAAGCTCCCCTGACCCTCATGGTGCGTGATTAACAACACAGGCGCTCATCAATGATGGAGGAAGAATCGAACGTAGGTGAAGCAGGTTCTTGGGCAAGGGGCCGGGTTGGCGCAGGCTCTTTTAAGAGTCAAGTTGCTGAGAAAGGTGCTCTTGTGCAAGTCCAGTCTTAGCTGAGCTTGACGTCAAAGGAATGATGCGTCGGAGAGATTGCCCGCTGCCAAGACCCTCGTTTATGTGTGTTCAAGACAGCCAACTTAACTCTGGCCGTGTTGAAATGCCGATGACCGTCGACGGAGGTGCAATTGTGGAAATTATTGGAGAGGCAAGGCTGGCCGGGTATTGTTCAAGCTGTCTTGAGTTGGGCGGCGTTGCGTCGCAAGCTGAGACGCAGCTCGCCAATCGCAAGCAGGCAGCGGCCTGATAGTGGATGGGGCCCGTTAAACAGCATGCGCCACAGTTGGCCTGAGAGGCCAACCGCTGCCGTTTTTGAATGGAGAACCTCCACTGAGCGGACAAATCGACATGACAATGTCTCTGTTTCAACATTTTGCGAAACACAGAGTTCCCAGATTCAAGATGGGCACACGTCGCGGCACTGCGCAAGTAGGTGTGCGATCACATGTCAGAAGGAATTGGTGCAATTTCTGGACTCCGAGTACGCCAGATAAGGAATGTAAGAACCCTAAGAACATGCAAGGAACGCATCTGATGGGGCCCTGCAAACGGCCCCCTAGAAAGAAGCAGCTCGGTCGAGACTGAGCCCGTCCCCAATGAAATGCGAGCCGCGAGTCCGAGCCTGAAGGAAGTGGTATATATAACAAACCGCCAACCAAAGTCTCCATGTCAAATTGCGATTATAGACATTCAAACATTAAATGCGACTCTAAATCCATTGCTCTCCATGGCCGTCACATTGTCCAACTCGAGAGAGATTTGATGCCTCGAGCTCTGCACAAGCCGTCGCCATGAGCCCGCAGCGATGTCGGAGGAATGAAGAAAACACCACGAAAGTCATCGGTCGTCATGTTCAAGAGCTGTGCTTGAAGACGATGGTAGCCTTGCCGCCCGCCCTCATGCCAACCTGTTTTACCATTAGCATCGAAGACACAAAACCAATCACTCAAATCGAAACATACCGTGCAACCGTTGTTGCCCGAGTACACGCCCTTCTTTAGAGAGCATGTCCCCGAGATATCGCCGGTGATCTCGATATCAAAGTTAAGGACAGCAGTGCTAGTGGGCGCGTTGGGAAAGATGGAGATGTAAGTGATGCCATCCTTGCTCTTGCCAACGCCGATGTTTGTGGGCGCCCAGTTGCCGGCAGAGTCGGGGAACTGGGCGCTGTTCCACACGCAGGCCTGGTCGACCGCAACGCCGGCATTGTTGACATAGTACTGGGCAGTCGTGGGCTTGCCCTGCCACACGTAGTAGTCCGAGGAGTCCGGGTTCGTCAGGGTGTACTCATTGCCGGGATACGTGTCGAGGGGAATGACCATGGCCTCGTTGCCAGGGTAGTCGGTACGGCAGACGGCAGCGTTAGTCGAGAGCTCGTTTCGGATATAGACACCGCCCACACCCGGCTCGCATATTTTGGTGTGCGAGGGCCGCGTGAGCTCGAGCTTGCCGTCCTCGTTGCACCAGAGACCGCCAACGGATTGGCCGGTAGCGCCCTGCTCTTCGGGCCATTGCGTCTTCTGGTAGCCCGCGGGGCACGCATACGAGCACATCATCCCGGGCTGGCAAGTTCCCGAGATAGGCGACTCGATGTTGTCAATCGCAACACCCTTGATCCACTTGCCGAACTTGGCAAGCGTCGTCCAACCGTTGGTGCCAACCCACGGGATCTCAATGGCACCATACTCGGTCGGCACCTTGTCGCACGGGACCTTGCCGCTCGGGAAATCAGCATCCAGCCCGGTAGGGTACTGCGTCTCCTGAGGAGGCGCGGCGGTGGAAGTTGCCGGCGGGGTTGACGAAGTAGTAGTTGGCGCGACCGAACTAGACTTCTCGTAAAACTGGGCACCGTACTCGGGGCCAGACGAAGAGGTCGAAGCCGCAGGAGGAGGTGCGCTGAAACTCGGCGTCGAAGAGCCCATCACGATAAAGAGGCCCTTGGAGATGCCCTCCTCTGCCTCGTCGGCATCAACATCCTCCCCTTTCTCGTTCACATACTTGACAACAGTAGGGCCCTCGACGACTTCGGTAATGACCACGGTGTCTCGCTTTGCTGGAGAGTGCTCGTGGCTCTTGCCATGGAGATGACGGTGGCCGTGGCCGTGGATGTGCGGCTGGGCAGCAACGCCGGCGAAGACGGCTGCCGCAACCGCGGTCTTGATGATCCCTTTCATCCTGGTTTATTCGTTGGTTTGTTCCAAAGGAATGTGGGAGAGAGCTAAAGACTCTCTGTTGGATGGAATCGCCGTCGCAAAAGAGTGTGCGGGCTTCGAAAGCGGGAAACGAGTGATGAGACCAAACAGTTCAAGAGAGGGATGAACCGAAGGAGGAGAGTTGGGTCATGAATGAGCGGCAGGGCGAGCGATGGGGTAGAGTGGAAATGGAAAAGGAGCGAAATGAGCGCCGACCAGGATGTTTAGCCCAGAGCATGCCAAGGCCAGGGCAGTGGTCAGGGAGACCGCTGCTTGGCGAGATTGCGTTCCTCAAAGAGTCAAGGCTCAGGTTGGGGAAGGCGGCTGCTGCAGGACGGTGGCCAGTCATGAGACGACAGGGATGGTCATCGCAAAGCGTGTTTCGGATCGAAAAAGCTGTCGTCGACAGTCCACGCAATCGATCCACAGTTCGGAAAGACATCACGGCTTTCAGGAAAGCAATCCAACAACCTGTGCTGTTTCTTCGTCTTTCATCTTCCAACTCTCAGAGTCTCGCGACGCTGCTAGCCTTGATCCGGTATGTCTTCAAAAGCCAAGAGTGCCAAACCAACGCCAAGCCGACCACGATCAAGGAGAGGCCCAGAACCTGTCTGCCCCCTTTTCAAGTTCATCGACAAGTCGGCTGCTGATCATCATGAAAACCCCAATTGGAGTTCCAAGCTGTTGAAACTGATGATGTCTTCGAGCGACGATGAATTCCTACCGACAGCCGCTGCACGTGGACCCGCCCGGTGAAGGAACGACGCGAGCAGACAGAAACCAAATTTGCAGCATCCGATGTTTATCAGACGGGATGGATATTCATGCCTGCATCATTCCGCAGGTACCTGACTAGGCGCCTTGGGGCTACCTTAGCATGATACGACACAACAATGAACCGCTGGCCAGGCCTCGCTGGAATGCTGCGATGGATTGAAAACACGCTTTTCTCTACTGACTCGAAGGTGATTATTACGCAACGGACACAATGAGCCATCTCAAAACTCAATAGGTTGCTGATATGAATCATGTTCTCGTGGGATGGTGACGCAGCGACGACCTGATCGTTGTGTCGTGCGGATTCGACGGAACTCGGCTCGAATGCGCTGTGCCCCGAGATGCCAACCTTGTTTTCTTGATTCGCCCCGCCTGTGCATGTGTCACCAGTTGATTGCCGGACGATCCCCAGCAGCACAAGAACATCGGTGACCGGTTCATGCCGTTGATCTGCTCTCTGCTGCCAAGCTCTTTCTGTGGCCCTAATTTTGGCCTTGTTTCCCACGTCGGAAAATTCAACAGAGCACTCTGCCTGAAGTGTAGATGATTTGCGCGCAACTCTCCAGACTATAAGGTAAGGTCTCTACGATAGCGAGCAGTGGTTTGTCAAGGTCTCCTGAGACGAAGCAGCGTTCATACGATGGCATAGCCACACCAGCCCATACCATATGGTCGCTCTTCTGGGGAGGGCTTCGCAAGCAGATGGCGTCCTCTCGAGATGAGATGATATCCCTAACGTTACCTCATCAAGAGACTGCTGTTGTGAGAAGGGATGTGTGGCCCAGGTTGGGATGACGGTGGTTCGCTTCATATCGTTGCTGTACCTCACACTTTCTTCATCGCCTAGAATCAGGGCTCATGGTCCCAGAAACACAGCATCTCCACTGACAATGGCTTGAGAATACCTGCCTCGTAAGTTGTCAACATGGATCAGGTTGGACGGGAGCGGACGGCCCGGGGCCCAACGGGCCAGGCACATCAAACACAGATACCATGGAGTATAGAAGGCTATTAGACGTTGTGACCCAGTGGCTGTGTGAGCGCCGCCTCGAATGTATCAGTGTTCCATCATGTGACAGTCATGATGGTTCCCATTGATCTCAGAAGTTCAGCGAAAACTCCTTCGGCCCTATACCTGCGGTTCTCATATGTTGGCGAAGTGCTGTACTTCCGTCCGTAGGTCGTTTCGCTTGAGTGAGAACTCACAAGGCACAAGGGAGCAATATGATCAGCCTTCTCTGCCTTGCTGCTCGTCTAGGTAGCTTTTTTTCAGAGTCCATAGTTATGCTGTATGTGCCTTATCTCCCGTTTCTTGAGCCCTTGCTGGCCACCTTCAAGGCTCTAACTACGGCTAAGTCTGCTATGAAGGGGGCCCGCAGTGCCTTCCATGTCAAATCGACACCCGTACAGTGTGCCGGGTCCTAAATTCCTTTCATCTTCTCTGCCAACGGAGCTCCCCATCGCCGAGACTCGAGCACTAGAAAGACAACGGGCTGACTTGAGCTCATAGTTCAGCCTTCAACTCCTAACAACATGTGGCCTGTAGAGGGGCAGCGCAACACCTTACTCACTCGCACAAGACTTTGAAAAGGCGTCACTCGGACAGTACTCTGCGGGACACCCTTTCCCGTACCCCCATCTGAGGGAACATAACCGTGGATTTCGTGTGGCACCGAGCTGTGGCATGATTCTGGGCCGTCTCTCGAGCTGCACCGCCTCAGAACTGGGGGATAGGGTTTCAAGTAGAAAGAGTTTGGGATCCTCTCTTCGCAGGGGCCATGTACCGTAGTAAGCCAACTTCGCCTCTGGTTCCAATTGCTTGCGGTGACGTCCATACGTTGTGTGTTTGCCTCTCAACAGCTGGAAGCAGACAACTGTGGTGAAGCCATTTGATATTCGCCCTCGTAGAAAGGCTGCTGGGAGGCACGGCGTTTCCCATGGCGTTCATGCGTGCAAATCAGTGTGTCGGGACGGCGTGCCTTCCAGCATCAGGTCGGAGCTCAGGACCGCAGTTGGCGTCCACCCTGAAATACGAATTCCACTGGAGATATCTCCTTGCCCCCGACTGCCGGATCTCTGGTGCAACTACCAGCCCCACTGATACATATCTCAATTGCATCAATTTAAGAAACGAAATTTATTTTCGAATTCTTAATGAACGTGGCGCTGGCATGGCAACGCACATCTCGATCAAGGAATATGATGTGCCGCAAAGGGCCGAGGGTGTTGAAGTGCAGTTGTGTGAGGTGGCTCGTGTGTGTGTGTGGATTGCGCCACTTCCCTTCGTGCTAAGAAGAACCCCTGCCACACTCCAAGCGGCCTGGCACGTCTCTGCCAACAGCATGCCTCCGTCTCGACAACGCAGTCCAAGCCACGTGCATGGGGTTCTCCGCAAATGATGCTTCATTTTGAGGGAGCTGAGCGAGCCCGAGTAATAAGCAGTAACCACGAAAGGAAAGCGACGCGGTGGCTTGACAGCCAGAGAGGTTAGCATGGGGAGGCTGCACCTCAGCACATCGAACCTGCCCAAGTACCGCTTAACAGGTGCGTCCGAGTGCCTTGGCGTCCGCCGTCGGCGATCATGTGTGGGGCCTGGGAGGCTTGCCAGCTGCTGCGCCCAATTTTCTTGCGGTGTTCGCATCGCCTCGCTCCAGCCTTCTTCCCTCCACTCTGAGGCTTGCATCCGCGCCCTCACCACAACACATCTCGCCGGATGCTGACTGCAAGCCAGATTGTTGGCAATTAGAAGGAAACCCCCAGCTTCCTAAGAATTGAGATTCAAAGGTTCGATTAGTTGTTTTCCGCCGTGGCCGATCCGACAATTCTGCGTCTGGTTGAGCTGTCATTTGCCGGCGACGCACTCTTGAAGCTCTCGCCACGATCTCCAGCCACACCATAAAAGGCGCGGACCGCCGTTATCGATCCAGCGATGGTCGTGAGCCGCCCGTGACGCAGTCGCATCGCGCAGCATTCAACTCGGAAGGCCTGGGATTATCTTAGACTTCCTCGGCTTTCACATTCCCGGTCAGCTCAGGTCTCGCTCCCGTCTTCGTTAGACGTCGCCATGGTTTCGGACCGGGGCTCCACCGCGACGGAGGTTCTGCATGCGCTGTCGAACTCAACCGTGCCGCAGACCACAGCTGCCCTTGGGCCCGCCGCCGACTTAGGGCGGTCGAAGTCGCTCAAGCGGTTGCGTGAGACAACACCAGCCTCGGACGAGTCGTTGGCGACTGGTGGCGACATCTCGCCATCCAAGATTGCCCGTTTGGTGGGGTTCGCAAGACAGTCAGGCGAGGCTGCCGAGGGAGAGGTGGCGGAAGATGACGAGCGTAGGCAGCAGGAAGACGAGCGCCTACAGCTTGCCCAGCTAGAAAACAGCGAGCACCAATCCCCGGCTGGCGACGTCATGTCGGGCGTTGCAACAGACATGGGTGGACCCCATGGCGCGTCAACAGACTCGACACGATCGGAGATTGAGGCTGCTGCCGCCGCGGCAGCCGCGAGGGCACTCAGTTCTGTTAATATCCCCACGGGCCATGATGTCAGTCCGCCGAGCGGCACAAGCGGGGCGAGTCTAGATGAGGGAGACGGGCACGTCGTCGACAGCCCGGGGGCGATGGACGTCGACTCTCATAACGACGAGAGTATGTACGGCCCGCAACCCGAGGCGCAGATGGAAGACAAAACGGGAGCATCCCATTCGTATCCGGGAGCCATGCCGGCACCAAGCGACCCTCAAAGAGGGATGAGCATGCCGCTAGGCGCGTCGCAAACACCCTCTCTCGACCTGACTCCCCGTTCGCCAAACTCAAACAAAAAGCACAAGTGCCCCTACTGCGAGACAGAGTTCACCCGCCACCATAATCTGAAGAGCCATCTGCTCACACACAGCCAGGAGAAGCCATACCCGTGTCAGTCATGCAATATGCGATTCCGCCGGCTCCACGATCTGAAGCGTCACAGCAAGCTGCACACGGGTGAGAAGCCGCACATCTGCCCGAGTTGTGATAGAAAGTTTGCGCGCGGCGACGCGTTGGCTCGGCATAGCAAAGGAGCGGGTGGGTGTGCGGGCAGAAGACAGACGATGGGCTCGTTCGGCCTCAAGGACCTGGCGCCATCCGATGGCGGGGAAATGTACGAGGGTAGCGGAGCTGAGCTTTCGGAAGACGAGCGGCGCCGTCTGAGCATGCCGAGCATCAAGACGCCGCACGTGGCTGGTACGGAAGGCTACGGCGGAGGTCATTCGAATACATACCCCCCGGCCGGACAGCGACCTGGGGCTGCCTCTGGGTTGTATCCGCCCAACGTTGACGGAGGTTCTTCCAGCTCAAACACGGCCAACAGTCATACGCCACAAACCAGCATATCGTCGTCGATACCGTTGAGCGCGGGCAGCTCCGGCATGTACTCGCAGACCGGCATGACCGAGAGTCCCAAGCCGCTGAGCCCGGGAGCTCAAGCGAACGCAGCAGGCCAGCCGCGGGCGGGCAACGGGGCACAGCAGCTGTCGCTGCCTTCGCATGGTATGTCACCAGCGGCCAAGCAAGCCTGGCTCTCTCAGTACCCCCCCGCTGACCGAGACGCAACACAAGGCAACGCAGCGGCACCCAACCAGCGTGGGCGCGGCCGCGCGGCGGCGAGCGGCGCCGCTCCTCCACAAGGCACCGTCAACAGCAGCAATGGGGTTGTCGCGCCGGATTGGGGCTCGTACACCTACTTCCAGCACCTGGAAGCAATGGTTCAGCGGCTCACTAGCCAGGTGGAGGCAGAGGCGAGAAGCAAGGCCCAGCTATTGGAGAAGCTCAATGCGCACGACCAACATATCGCGGCGCTGACGGCCGAGATTGCGACGTTGCGGCAGCAGCTTGCCCCGCCTCCACCGCCGGCGCAAGAAGAGCAGCCTTCTCCAGCCGAGTCTCCCGCCGCCGCCGCTCAACAGTAGGGCTGGGAGCGTGTGGTTAAGCTCGAGACGTACGGGAGACAGCGAGCCTGGAATGGCATAGCATATCCAGCACCTTTAGGTGCTTGTACTTTTTAGATCTTTCTTGGGTTCTGGCTCGGGATTGGTATCCGGTGTTTGTACGGCGCAAGGAAGATATTGGGGCCAAAAGGAATGGATCCAGCGTTACTTGTGACGGTGTTTTAAAGAGATTTCGGTTCCAAAAGCCAGCTAGCTTAGCTCGAAGTTAGCTAGGAGGAATTCAAGCAGTTCATCAAACTGGTATCTGGCCATGTTGACTTTCAGCTTCGAGTTAGCGGCTCAAGCTGCCCTCACTGAGTTGCGTTAGTTAGCTGATAGATTCTTGGTACGGGCAATGAACTATACACAACTCACCCACGGGTATCGTACTTTTAAGCAGGCAGGTTTCTTACAGTTAATGTATAAGGGGCAGTTCCACCTGTTAAGCGCTACACTCGCAACACTTCATGATAACTCCGTACCCACCACAGTCTAGCTCGGAGCACTTCCAAGGTTGGCTTGGCGTTTCCCACATGACAAAACGGTGCTGCCGGCAGCTGAGACGGCCGCCCCACCTCGAACGTCATTAGGCACGTCGACGCTGGAATGGGCCACCGATTGCGCTAACCCCGCTGAGTCTCCCTTTGCGGCGTACAGTAACCGACCCGGGAACCAACGGCGTGGCAGGGGCGAAAACAATGGACTTTCATATGGTGTGCTGTCGGATATAGTTCTCTTCTGGCGATAACAAACAAGCAAGCACCGTAACGTCCTCACCTTAGAAATCACGATCGACCGATCGAGCTGAGCTCACAGCTTGCTCTTCCCGTCCAAACCCCAGGTGCCGCCGCAAGCAGGCGTCGTGCCTCTTGATACTATCGAATCCGGGTTCACCCTGGACGCCAAACCGCTGCTTCCGTTCGCATTCCCCCACTAGCACCAGCTACATCGCCAGCCCTTCCTGCTCCCCATTTTGGTTGGTTGCGCATGATCGATCTTGCCCCCTCTATCGGGGCCCGTTGAACCATGTCTGTCCCGGATATCGTTGCAGGTGAGCCACCACCAGATACTAAAGCCCAAGACCCCCAAGATCCGCCATAGCTCGCCACGCAAAGTCAGTTATCATGGGCAGGAGCAAAGGTGCAAAAAAAAAGACGGCGTCGCCCAAGAAGACGGCGCAGAAGGGGCCTCTGCAAGGGGAAACAGCCCAGCCGGTTGACGCGATGACAGCCCATCAAGATGCAGGCCCTGTTGCTCCCGTGGCAGATGGCAGCATTACGCCGAGCCAAGAGAAGACCGAGACGGTGAGCGACGCCACGCTGAAACAGTCCAAGATCTCAACGGACCGTGAGAGCTAACAGCTTGGCTGAAGGAACCCGACGGCAGCCTGACACCGAACTCTGTCCAAGACGAAAGAGGGGCTCTCTTCCAGAGCGTTGACATTGCGGCCTCCACGGGGGACATTGCTGAGAAAGACGCCGACGACGTTACTTTGGGTGGTTATGAGACCCCTCAACAGAAGGGAAGCCCGCGGAACTCGGTGCTGGCTTCCATCAAGCGCAAGACCAGCGCCACCGAGTACCCGCCCCTCACCGACGAGGCCGGCAAGGAGGCGGCAGCCCGGGAGCGGGACCGGGCGAACGCCCATAGAGCAGGCGGAATCCGGTTCGCCCCCTGGAACATACCCTACCGGCGCCGGGTGCAGACGATGGCTGTTGTGGCGCACTGCATGAGCATCGTCATGACCGTCTCCTTCTTCTTCTTCCTCTGCGCCATCCCGCTCACCTGGCCGCTCCTCATCCCCTACCTCCTGCACATGCTCCTCTCCAAGTCGGCCAGCGACGGCCGCCTGCGAGCCCGCTCGGAGCGCTTCCGCCGCCTCCCCGTCTGGAGGTTCTTCGCCGACTACTTCCCCGCCCGGCTGCACAAGACGCACCACCTGCCGCCGACGCGCAAGTACATCTTTGGCTACCACCCGCACGGCATCATCTCGCACGGTGCCTTCGCCGCCTTTGGCACCGAGGCCCTCGGCTTTGCCGACCAGTTCCCCGGCATCACAAACAGCCTGCTGACGCTCGACTCCAACTTCCGCATCCCGCTCTACCGCGACTACATTCTCGCGCTCGGCATCCAGTCCGTGTCCAAGGAGTCAATCCAGGCGATCCTGACGACGGGCGGGCTCAACGGCGAGGGGATGGGCCGGGCCGTGACCATCGTCGTGGGCGGCGCGCGTGAGTCGCTCGAGGCGTACCCGGGCACGCTACACCTGGTGCTGGCGCAGCGTAAAGGGTTCGTCAAGATGGCGCTGCGCACGGGCGCCGACCTGGTCCCCGTCTTGGCCTTCGGCGAGAACGACTTGTACGACCAGGTCAGCCCGCAGCGGCACCCGCTGCTCCACGCGCTGCAGAGGTGGCTGCTGCGGACGCTCAAGTTTACGCTGCCGTTCTTGCACGGCAGGGGCATCTTTAATTATGATGTGGGTTTGATGCCGTATCGGAGGCCCTTGAATGTTGTCGTCGGCAGGCCCATCGCCGTCCGGCAGGTCAGGGAGGGAAACGGGGTGGATCCGCGCGAGGTGGACAGGTTACATGCTGAGTATGTCGGCGAGCTGGAAAGGATGTGGGAGGTGTACAAGGATGTGTTCGCGCCGGGACGGAAGGAGGAGATGAGGATTCTGAGGTGATGCCTGTATCTTTCGTTTCTCGTCTCTTCTAATCTTTTCCTTGCTGAAGTTAACTTGCTGTTTGTACACTTGCGTGTGTGATTTGAGGGTTGGGATCAAGGGGTTTAACGTGTTGTTGTTTTTACTACACTCCTCATGGTTCTTATATGGGCGAGCTGGATTGGATGTTATAGATGCGTATGCATGACGATGGCTACGGTATTGCTATACTACTCAGGCGCCCCTTTTTTTTTTCTTTTTTTTTGGGGGTTTGATAACATCAAGAATATCCACTGCTGTTTCTTGTGTTGCAGCTATACAAAAGTACACGGATCATACGCTGTTTTATTTAGCCTTCAATCTAGCTGTCATTCAGTTGCCTTGGGTGGGGTGTCTTGTTTTGCCATCCACTTTTGAGTTAACCACCTCTCCCGGCTGACCGGTCTGGAATGTGATGACTCCGGAGCCGGGCCTGGCGGTTGGTGGGGATGTTTGCGGCTTAGATTTGCTCACTTACGAGAGTCTCGAACCTTTCCAGTGGAACTTGTATGCCTACACCAACACTGCGGATTTGTAGAGCAACGTAACTACTACAGTACACACAGTACGCTTTACCTGGCTTGATTGCTGTCTTTTGTGACGTTGCCTTGTTATTCTTGCCCACTCTGCATTCTGATTTCCTTTAGTCTTCCTGCCCCGAGAGAGTGGTGCTGAGTCCCGAGTCTGGTATGGTGAAACCTTCCTTCTCCAGACATCTCTCGCTCATGAGTCCAGGTCTGCAGTAGGAAGGAGCAGCGCACACCCTTTGCAGGCCGTATGCTGCCCGTGGCATGCTCGCAGTTACCGCGCTATTCAGACTGTTAGTGCGACCCAAAATAATGTATGTAAAAAACCATCCTCTCGACTACCTACCCCTTGTAACAGATATGTCAATCGAGGTACATCGGTCGGAGCAGCACCGAGCAGACTGGCAGTTGCCCGGACTATCTACCTTAAACTCGAGCGGAACCCAGTCAGGCTCCAGATTCAAATGTTGGAACACTCTACGAACCCCTGTCTTTCTTTTCTTTGCCGCTTTTTGACAATATTATAGCATAAAGAGATGTTGAGGTCTGGTATTGGGATGATGTCGATGGTGATGATCAATGCTGACCGAAACAACAGTGGCAGCGGTATAAGTGTCTGGTGTGACATGGTGTGCATGTCGTTCAGCTCCTGGTTGGCATGGTTCAGCAGCTGGATCGCTGGCAGAGGTTGAGTGGTGATGGTGATGGTGGCGAGCAGGATGATGGCAGGGCGAGGACTGACGACTATCTCCTCTCCGGGAATGGCTATGGTAGTATTGAGATTCCCGTCGGCAACAGCAGAGGGAAAAAGGGGGAGCGGGTACCGCCGGTGTCTCATTGGATTACGGCTGGGCTCGTATTGTTAACTGTCTTGGTGTTGGCGGTTCAGCCATATCTCTGGGGCTTGGTGTTTAGGTCGGACGGCCGTGTGAACAGGGTAGGTTCCTGTTTTCTGTCCTGTTGTGATTTCCCTTTGCCTTGGTGGGCTTCATGCATCAACCAAGTCCGAGTTACCGTAGTGGTGACGACGAGCTTCCATCCGAACGCGTACTCCTTACCGCACTAGTGAGCATCTTGCGGCAGCACCACTATCAACAACTTCCCACGCACAATTCTCCAACAGCCCACCACTGAGCTGGCAGGTCGTATGGTGCCTTACCTTTGGGGGAGGCACCATGTTCGACTTGGAGTAAAACCGCCCCGGGGAACGTTCCCGGGGGTTTTTGCAGCCGACCACCTCCCCTGCCGCTGACGACTGGCTGGGGAGGTGGGAGGTGCGCCTTTTGGTGAAATGTTTTGCTCGACACCAACCGACTGCCATGCGGCTGCCGCTTCGACCGTTTTTGGTTGTAACCCCTGGCGGTGTTGCCTTTCGCTCCTTCTCGAGAGCATGCCGTCTTGTCACACAATGCAAGTCTTTACTTTGTTATACCACGCCGTCACACATTTCACCGTCATGGTCTCTTCCCCCTCGCCACGTTCAGTATCCCGCGCTGCTTGAAAAGATAATATACAATGGTTTGTCTCGCGAGACTGCTGACGTGCCATTTGCAGCCAATCGTCATCGGCACGGCCACTGTCAAGACCTACGAGGGCCTGCAATTGTCCAACGGGGTGAGTGCCTTCTTGGGCATGCGCTATGCCGCCCCGCCCCTGGGGAATCTGAGATGGAGGGCTCCAGCTGAGCCGGTAAGGTCCGACCCTGGGACGGTTGAGAAAGCCACGACGGTAGGTGGACGAAACCCGATCATCTCCCCTCAGTCACCACTAATGGACATGTAGTATCCTCCAATATGCCTCGGCATCGGCGTGCCTTATCCCGCCGAAGGACAGAGCGAAGACTGCCTGTTCGTGAATGTCTGGGCACCGACGAACGCTACGGTCACGTCCAAGCTGCCGGTGTGGGTGTTTATTCAGGGCGGCGGTAAGTCATCCAGAGGCACACACTGTCACATACAGCACCGGTTGACTGACGGAATAAGGATATGTTGCCAACACAAACGCCAACTGGAACGGCGCTGAGGCGGTAGAAAGAAGTGGCCACAATATCATCATGGTTAATTTCAACTACCGTGTTGGGCTCTGGGGCTTCCTTGCGAGCGAGCGCGTGAGGGAGGACGGGGCTTTAAACGCTGGCTTGCTGGACCAGCGGATGCTGTTGAAGTGGGTGAAAGAGCACATTGCTGCGGTGCGTCTTTACGAGACTGCTCTCCTAATGTTGACCACTCGGCTGACCGTCCCAGTTTGGCGGAGATCCTAACCACGTCGTCATCCACGGCGCCTCAGCCGGAGCAGGCTCGGTCGCCATGCAACTTCTGACTTACGGCGGTCGCAACGATCGTCTATTTGTTGGGGCCATGGCTGAGGCCATTTTCTTTCCGGCCCAGCCCCTGGTTTCGGAACTGGAGTACCAGTTCAACCGGATAGTGAACCAGACGGGCTGCGGCAGCGTGTCCTCGGCTCGGCAGATGGAGTGTCTCCGGAGCAGGGACACTGCCGTGCTGCAGGCTGCCAACTACGCTCAACCTTTCCCCGGCCGCTCAGAGCCCCCAATGCCCCTTTTCTATTTTACTCCCTGTGTTGACGGCGACTTCCTGCGAGATCTTCCGTACAAGTTGTTTGAGAACGGACAGTTCATCCGCGTGCCGATGGTCCTCGGCACGTCCACAGACGGTGTGTCTCTCCACACTCCTGTCTTCTCTCCCATCTTGTCCTAACCAATCCAACCGGCCACAGAAGGCTCCCTCTTCGCCCCCAACGCTGCGACCCAGTCCGACATGGCCATCTTCCTCCAGAACAACTACCCCCTCCTTACCGAAAACGACACAACTGCCATCCTGTCGCACTATCCCCAGTTGCCCCCCTTGCCAGCCCACAACCCCTGGTTCCCAACAGCCAGCAAGGCTTACGGTGAGGCAACCTTCATTTGCCCGCAGCACAACGTGCAAACCTACCTCGACATTACCGCCAACTCCAGAAACGCCACGAACAGGCTATACACCTATCGATACAATGTCCTCGACAGCGAAAACCTCGCCGCCGGTCTCGGCGTTCCGCGTACGTCGAACTCTTTCACCTGAATTCCCCCAAGCCACCCAGCTAACGTGAAACAGACCTCTTCGACGCCGCCGCAATCTTCGGCCCAGACGCGCTCCCCGCCGCCAGGGCAAGCTACAAGACGTACAACGCCGGCGTGGTGCCGCTGCTGATGGGCTACTGGCTGAGCTTTGTACGTACGCTAGACCCAAACAGGCATCGCATGCCCGGGTCTCCGGTATGGGAGGCATGGGATCATCGGAGCACGAAGAGGCTTGTCATTGAGACGGTTGGGGCAAGGATGGACGGTGGGGATGACGGGGAGAAAGAGAGGTGCCGGTTCTGGCTTGGGTTGGGACGGGGGAGGATGAGGCAGAGGAGGAGTGTGTAAAGACAGTAAGTAGGAGTGGTGGTTTGAGGATGAGATGAATTATAGCCGTCAGGACATGCATGACTTACGTATGGCTCGATACGCAGCCTAGAGGGCTTCTGCAGGTAATAGAAGCGAGCTTTCCCTCGTCATGGTGCTGCTGGGCTCTCATAAGGAACAATCAGCCGAGTCATGCTAAGTTTTTTTTTTTAGGCAACCCTCAGGAGAGATACGAGTCCACTGGATTTCCGAACTCCTACAGAACCCCGGACAGCAGTGGCAGCAATTACAGCGGGCCTTTCTCTCGTTCCTCCCATCCCACCACTGGCCGAGCCACAGCCCGAGCCCTGAGGTCAGACGTCAGGCAGGCTAATGGACCCCAAGTTAGAGAGAGATAAGAGACAACCCCCCCAGACGAGCGAGTGTGCGTATCGAGCTGGAGAGAGGTGAGACGGAAGGCGGAATTCCAACTAATGCTTCGCAACTGCCAGGCTAGAGCAAGACTGTTCACATCAACCTTCGAATGCCTTCGTATCCTTATGCCGTGGTAGTGTACAATACATTGTCGAGGATTGGCCATCGCCGCCTGTCAAGAGAAGCTGGGAGGGCTCTCCATAGAACCGTCGTTTCTCCCGTCAAGACCTGTTAAACCGGAGACCGGCACAGGCGCGGCTCGACAGCACACAGCGGTACAAAACGGAGGATTCAAAACCGGCTTCCATGTCACGCTCGGCTCTGTTGAATGTGAGCCCGGCGCTGCTACCATCCACTCCGTCTCTTCCGGGCTGTAGCTGCTGCGGTGACTCGGGTGCTGTTGCTGACGGAGACCTGGGTAGAGCGCTGGAAGGACAGGGCAGGGGCTGCTTGGGATATCGAGGATCATAGGGGTTAGACAGACGAAGAGGAAGCGGCGCTGGAAGGAGGATGGGTGTCGGTGGATAGGGGTTGTGCTACGCCAACAACCCAAAGGCCGCCTTCTCGCCTCAGGGACGGAATGAGAGGCCTGCGTGAAACTCGGCTAAGGTAAGGTAGGGGAGACGGACAAGCTTGCTCAGCTGGAGTTCCGCCGACAACGCCGGTGCGTCTGATGGATCTTGTGTGCTGGACCTAGGAACCAGTGGTAGGTACCGCGAGATGGAGTGCCGCTGGCGGTGACTCCGCAGTGGCCGTGGCAGTGCGGCTGGTTACTGCATCGGAGCAAACTTGAGAAAGGCTGCACGGCGTCACCGACGACACCGAGCCCTCTTTTCATTACACGTATACACTACTGTCACATGCAATGCCAGACCCATCGAACGGCAAGGCAGACATCCCGCATCAACCATAGCCAATTTCGAGTCAACAACTACAGGAGATTCCAGGTCTCCCAACCAGGCCTCCGAACCAGGCCTCCGAACCAGGCCTCCGAACCAGGCCTCCCAACCAACCGTTTGGCCCCCCGGCCGGTTCTTGGGCCGGCCTCTTCGGGCGGCCCGCCAATGTGCATGTGCCAGGACTGCGGCCGCCTGCCGCGAGGCCATGCCGCGGGCGGCCGATCAAAGGACATAGGGGTCACCCGGCGGATGGGATGGAGTGAGTGAGATTCGGTCCGCAAGGCACGGCATCGCGGTTGTTGGCCAGTCATAGAAGCTTCGCCCCTGAACTTTCCCACCACAGGTTGCAAGCGGCACGGCTGCGTAGGCGATGAAGTGCCTTGAAATGGCTGTAGGGTAGATCGATACTTACCGCCTCGGCGTTCAGTCTGGTCACTCCATAACTCCGGTCACTCCTGTCCCCCCAAACCCAACCTGACGTGATAAGACAGGTTTAGTATTCGCGGGGCACACGGCACGAACGGGCTCTTGGCCCAGCCTTGGGTCGCCGTGGGTACGGCGCTGGCTGAAAGCATGTTCCATAGAGAGATCGATAGGTAGCAACATCCCACACAGCTTCCAAAGGCCTGGTGCCACCATCCTTAACCGGCACTTTGTTGCTGGGCTTGAATGGCATCTTGACACTGTTGGTGCCAACTTTAGCAATTCTGACGAGCCCGGCACTGTCTCGACTATCCTGATGATTCGAAGGCGACCTGCCGCGGTAGACTCCCGGCGTCTGTTTGCGGCACAGAACGACCAATGGACGGAGGAGACGAACGACGCTGGGAGTGGTGGCCGCCGAGTTTCGGCTCAGGTCAGCACATACCTTTCACGGAGAGGCTTGACGCGTGGTCTCGGCTTGCGCATGGACCGCGTCGAACTTCGTCCAGTGGTTCCTACGAGACAGAAACCCGGGATGCGGAGGGCAGGCGGGGGATGAGTCAAAGGACCAATAAACGGGGCCGGGGTCGGGGCTCATCTGCCGTGCTGCAGCATGTCTGTGGCAAAGGCCCTCCGTCTCAATGCAAGAGTTGCAGGATTTTCATCCGATCCCCAGAGGCACAGGGTTGAAGTTGCATGTCGAAGTCTCGGATACAGTCAGTCGACTGGACAAGAAGGACGCTCAGGTGCGTGTTGGGATGAAGCTGACACCAACATCTGAGACGGAACATGACTTAGTGACATTGCATTTCCGACTGGACGAAAACTTGCGGGTCTGTAAACGTCGTCTCGCTGTCGAGACCTACCGATAAGCGCGTGTCGATGCCTGTTTTCCTCCTCAGCCCTGACGAGCCCTATGGACGCATGGTGTGGTATCACAAGCAAGCTGAGCAACGTTTTTCTTGTCATAAGCTGTGTGCCGGGCCGAGAATAGAATGGCGACGAGGAAATGCGGATTGCACAGTCCAAACTCTTGTGTCGTCCCCACGGACCTTGAGTTGGAGGTCTCGCAAAGATAACGTCCTTAGACAGCGATGGGTTGCGGTATCGACAATCTGAATCACCTTGACAAGGCAATCATATCCACCAGCCCGTGGAGTTGAGAAATCCGTGGAGTGGCTTCTAACGGCAAGAGCCTTATCGTCGCAGGCCCAACCCCACGGAACACCTTATCCCGTATCAGCACCTGCATTTTGTGTATCTGTCTTGCTGTCAACGAGGGTTCACCGCGCGAGGCCATGGCATGGCCTGCGGCCCAGGCTGTGAATCCTCGCCAGCCCGTCCCGTCGATATCGAAGGTTGGCTCCCGCCCGCCACAGTTCCCGTTCGAGATCGTCCAGACTCTGGGAGATGCCGGAGCTGAGGTGCACGGTAGTTATCAAGATGGGGTCCGTCCACGACGCTAGTGACGACGGCGTCCCAAGTTCAGGGTCTAGCTACTAGCGGAATCGATACCTTACGTAAATGGACTGTCGATCCTCAAATGCAAAGAAAAGCCATCCGTGAGGAACGTGCTGACATTCGGACGGCGAGTGTGATGCATTTGCTTGTTACTCGTCAGTTCCTGATGGATCAATAACCGAGTTATTTCCACGATCCACTCACAGTCAGGCCTTCACTACGGTAAAGCAATTCTTTGATATAGCAACTTAGAAGGTACACGAAATGCTTGGTGATTTGTCTCATACGAGTCGGCCTGGAGGCCGACTTCTGCGGCAACTGACAAACTCTCCCACTTGCCTGTCTCAGCATGGATGGGAGGGTCGAGACCGAAATCAACATGTCGCCCACCTGCGTTCTTTTGAGGTGGCGTTCCCCGGCTGCAGGGATGGACCTAAAACCTTCGAGAAGACCTCCCGACATGGAACGGCTGATGCCCATTGGAGTGATCAACCCTCTGTTCCTGCTTTTGTGGTCCATGGTGGGGGGCAGAACTTGACAGTGGGAGACGTGCGGGAAATAGCAGGGCTTTGTGATTTGTTGGAATATTGGTCGTCATGCGCATCGCTGAGATGGGAAATCACGCGTTGCGGATACACCAACGCTGCAGACCACTATTGTAACACTCCATTGCGCCATCATCAGCCGTCAGTGACTAGGTCAAAAAGATTGCTCCCAGTTGCTTTGTCTTCATGGCGTCGATCACCGAGCATACAGGGTCGAGAGGACCCTGAGTTTCTGAGCAAGAGCGCTATGCAAAATTCATCACCACACACTGCCGGAGGGAAGCACGTGCGTGGAACCGTGGATGGCGAGATTCGCTACTCTGTCTAAGTATCCCGCGCATCGAGCACCGAAAAGCCATCCTCGTGCCAAATTTCCCAAACATGGGAATGTTACCCGTGCCATGTCCCCGGTGAGCCGTCATTAGCCCGGCGACCCGAGAAAATGAAACGCAAGGTGTTGACAGCGATAGTTTGCATGTGGATAGGAAATGGCGGTGGAAACATCGAAGTTGCCAAGCGAGCACAGGCGAAGTTCGCATCACCACATTCGGTTTAATGCTGTAGCCTACCTGATCCAACAAGCGCGACAAGGCCGACTGCCCGATCATTTCCTGCAAAATCCGGGGAGGGTCAGTGACACGGCACAACCCTCCCTTTTGGGGATTAGAGTCCGCCCACGCTATTAGAATCCTTGGGTCTACCACGGGTCCCCTCCGCGGCCCGTTCGTCAACGGTCCGTACCAGGTTTCGAGAGAGCGCCCTTGTCGTCTGGAGCGGGAAACCTACCTCGGCCGACCGACCGCCACATTCACCTGATTGACACACCGAAGTGTGGGATTGATGAGGACGTCGTTGCAAAATCCACGTGCTGGAGCGAGTTATAAAGAGTTTGTGCTGCCTCGGACACGTGCGTTGAGCATCAGCCTCATTGGCGCTTGGTTTCAAGTTGAAGGCTTGACATCAACGATCCACGTTTCCTTCTTTTTTTCCCACCTGTTTTTCTTCAGCAAGACTCTTCGACATGGGATCAGCGCAGACACGTGCAAAAGGGTGGATGCCCTGTTGCTGCGCCCTCTGCTTCTGGTTAGGAGAACAGTTCCAAAGCCCAGCAGTCCCAATAGCAGTCTGGACACGACCCAGGCACACAGTGGCGAAATATCGCCAAGTCTTCGATTCGGGCCTTGCATGGTTTCAGAGCTACCAGAGGCGAGCAGAGGAAGGGGAAGGGGACCTCACCACAGACCGGAAGCAGGATGCCGTCGTGTTCGAGACCGGGAGACCCACCAACACTTTGACAAGCTCCAGCTCTGGGGCCGGCTCTGCCCATCCGAGACAGGAAACGAGCCCTGGACCCTTGGCAACTCACGTCCAAGACCCTCTGCCCACTGTCCACGGTCCACATTTAGCATGCTACCTACACAGTGTACACTGCGCGCGGTGTCGGATTCTCCAGCGAGAGACGCCAGGGGGCGGAAGCAGTGATAAAAACCGACCAGCTGAGAGGATATGTGTATCAGCAAGATGGTGGACAATCTTTCAACGGCCTCAGCCCGAAAGGCTGCGAACTGCCTCATCAGGACTAGAGTCCGGACCGATGCCAAAATCTACCTCCGTCTGGCTCGTGTGGAGAGCGTCCGGCGAACCACGGTCTTCATGGATATCAACAAACCACCTTCAGCACAGTGGATCGTCTGCCTGTGGGGGAAGATGGCCCGAGTCAGCAGCACAACTTTGAAATGCGCCATTGCAGGGACTGAATCCGCCAAGAGGAAGCGGGGTCAGAGGTAAACTACCTTAACTGAGAGCTAGGTACCGGTACAACCCTAGGCAGTGAACTTCCCACTTGCAGAATGGCTTCAGAGATCGCGGGATCCTGTCGAAAGAAAGACAGTGGCCAGGTAAGAAGACACAGGACACTGAAGTTCTGACCAGGTTTCAGACCCCGGCGGCATTCCCACGGGATGGACTCCTTCACACTCGATTTCGGCGGTTGTATCACACAGCTGCTACCGGTATCTATTGTACGTAACAAACTCGGACCGAACTGCGGTTGGAAGATGCAAGGTTTTCAGAGTCGTGCTGGTTTGCTATCCTCGGCAGGATAACTAACGATTCCTTGTGCCCGAATATTCTTACTAGTGCACTGCTGGCGTGACTTATCGCAGATCTTAAGCCTTCAAAGGTGCAATACCCGGTGAGCCGGTGAGGATCGGCCATTGAAGAAATTATCTCATGTGGCGCCGACCGTCCAAGTCGAAGCGGGTGTGTTTCTCGGCAAGCACCAACCAGGAAGCCATCGTCTGGCCTTAACTGGACTGACTTGAAGGAACAAGACAATGAAGTGGAACACACAGAGCAGTGTTGTCGTTCAAAAGACGCGCGGATCACCGAAGGCGCATCGCCTGGGCTGCCTGGGCCGGCTTGCACACAGGCTCTTGGTGGTCCCGTCTCGTCACTGGTCGGGCGCACTTTAAGTGGTTGCATCTCGAAGTGTGATGGAGGGGCTGTGACGCGCTTCGCACCTTCCGAGTGGACAAGAGGACTTTGGACCCATGCCATGCGCGGGCAGATTTTTCCTGCCCTCTTGCAGTTTCTGAATGGCCATCTCTCGTTGATCGACGCGTTGCTTGTGAGCAACAGCCTCTCGGCTGTTTCATGTTTCTCGCCATGCACAACCGCTGTGAGCGACCTGCATTCTGCAACGCCCATCGGGAGGCCACTGTTGGGGTGACTGGATGACACGACGAAGATTCTCTCGGATACTGTTGGCTACCGACCATGCGGGATCATCTGGTCTCGTGCCTTTGCTTCATCATTGCGGTGCTGTCTCCTGTGGTATTCATGAGATCCCTGATATCTGTACTCGTCGTCGCCGTCGACGCCTTTCGATTGCATGATATCAACAATAAATGGCACCGTCTCTTGCCTACCTTAGTAGCACATAACCCATCCAACTCATCTTCCCGCTTCCAATTTGTCTGCTGACGGATTTGGAATCATATCCAAATAGCTATTCAAGGGGGTACGTCGACATCGGACACATCGATAAATAATGAAGCCGAGTATTTCCTAGAAACAGCATTGAACTAGTTGGAGGATTACCTGGACACTAGCTTCAATGCTATTCTCGACTCTTGACGGCCATGATTCGCTGCGAGTTTCCGCTCGCCCACGAATATCTGATCGAGAACTGTCACGGCGTTTTCGCGCGAACAAAAAAGCATAATGCAGCCGCGGCAGCGCATTCTATTCGCATCTCGGTACCCGACGATCAATGACAACGCCTTCTTTTCTGTCGCTCGAGGCAACCAAGATGGCTGTGGCCGCCTCTCGTCGCCGCTTGATTGTTGTTGGGCCATGACCTCGCCATTCACGATTCGCACAACTGCTAGTAGCGCAAAGCCGTCCATTTCTTGCACCTGTGACGCAGGTCGCCTCTCGGGGTTTGCGTGCCGCGCTGCTGCCGCTGTTACTGGCCGTCGAGCAGGAGCGAGCAGATGTGACCAGACATATTGCAGCGAATGGGTGTGGCCGGCATGCTCTTCAAGACCGCACTCGGTCAGCTCCTCTTGGTGCCAGTTCGTGTGGAGGCGGCCTTGGTGGATCCCCCAGCCTATCAGGGCCTGGGAGGCCATCACGGTCGGACGTTCTGCATCTTGCCCCCATCCCCGTTGGGCAGCAGGCGGCATGCACCGCGCCCACTGTGAACGGCAAAAAGCCCAGTTGGGCGCGCGACCCCCAGATCACGGCTTTCTCAACTTGATTGGACCCTTTACAATACATCGACTCGCGGTTACGAAGAGCCAGAGCGTGCAGGCAACGGCTAGTTCAGCCTCTAGTTCATGTGTGCGAGTTGTAGCCTGGGAACAGGCGCAACACGACGGATGAGAGATACCTGAGTTCCGCTCCCTTGAAGTGACCTGTTTCCCACTCTCTTCCGTCAAGGACCACATGAATGGGGAGGACAGTGGGGGTTGGCCGTCTTCAACCGCAATCTTTTGAGCGACGGGACGGACCCAAGATCCAAACCGGCTCGACGGATCTATGCAGGCACCGCCCACCAGCAAGCGTGGCCTGTTGGTGGGTCAAAGTACCAACAGCTCAATGGTACGGAGTACCTCCGAGGGCATGGCCGAACCAGTCCCGATTTAGAATTTTGGCAATCCGCTGCGCCATCCAGAAATCCACCCACTTGAGGTTGCCTCTCCACCTTGCCCCAGACATGCAGACAAGGGTCGCAATGACCAGTCAGGTCCGGCGTGGGTCTCTGGCCTGGAACCTTGTCAGTCCAAAGAGAAGCGAGACGGCGCGGGCATGGGACTCTCGGCAGGCCAGTCGAGCACCACCACCGGCCGCTGCCGCCTTCTCCCACCATTGATAGATACATAGGGACCGTCTTGAACAAGTCCGCCGCCAGGGCTTCCCTTCTTTGACCTCACCTCCTCTCCACATGGGCAGATCTGTCGACCCCGGCGCGTGATCCCCTCTTTCTTCTTCATTTACCTATCGGTTCTTGTTTCTTTCCGGTCTCAGGCCTTTTGGAATATATTTCCTGCCCTTCTTTTGCAGCAACTCGGTCCAAGCCAGGCTGATCCTCACCACCATCCCCATCCTAGTCCCAACTTCCATGCAACGATAGCGAAGATTCACCAACATAACGGACGTAGAACCCGTGTGTGAGGGGAAGACACAAACTGTCCTCGGACGAGTCTATGTACAATACAACAGCCATCCTCGAGACTCATAACCGGCCGGTTGTTTGATCCCAAGATCACAACTGCCATCCGTTCCTTAGCAACAGAACCGAACCGCACCATCATTAGGCCACTGCCGACCCACGACGCTCGCGACGACATCTGTATAACTACGCCCGATACACACATACTTAGTAATACTTAAAGCTAGCAGTTGAGCGACACTCAGCTGACGAGAAGTCTGTGGCTATTTGAACTGGTTGGTGGAATCGCATCCCAGAAGAACGCTCAGAAGGCTGACGAGCAATGAGCAGCACCGTCAAAATGGAGACCATGGTGGCACAGCAGACGAACGGCCCGGCCTTCTTCTATTACAGCCCCGAAGGCCAACAACACGGCCATTTCATCCCGCAGCAGCACCCAGCCTTACAGCAGATGACCATGCTCCCGGTCGTGCCCCCTCTGCCGTCGACACCCGTCTACTCTCGGCCTAGTTCTTCATGCTCGCAGCCGCCGCTCCTTCCCAAGGGCTTCACCGGCGTCCCGATCCTGCCGTCGACAATGACGCCCGTGGCATCGCCGATGCCCATCGCCCTTAAGCCAACTATCGTGCTGGACACGGAGCTGGGCGAAGCCGAGGGGCTGTGCTCGCCCTCGACCCCTCCGCTCTCGTCGTCGGGCAGTGTCATCAGCAGCCCCGGCAGCTGTGACATGCTTCAGACGCCGCTGAACCCCATGTTCTCTGGGCTCGACGGCAAGGAAATTCCGGACATGGACGGGGAGCTCGAGGCGTTCCCTGCTCTCGACTGGTCCGCATGCGCATCTCCCCCGGTTACGCCTGGTATGTTCGATTTTGCTTCCTTTCTGCCTTGTCAATTCATCTGTTGAATAATCGGTTCTATTCTGTGCTTCAATCCGGGCATCAATTGTGTGTTTGGCTCCCTGCAACTTGATCGATGAAATGTCGAGGTTTGATGAAATGCGGGATGGCTTGGTGCCAGGGAAACGAATCGGGGGGGTTGGTCCCTGCGTAACAGTTAGCGGGCGCTCGTTACAGTTTTGGGACCTTCATTTACTGACCCTGGGTACGACAACAGTGTACCTGCCGTCTTTGCAAGCACAGGCCGCCAAAGTTGCTCCGCTCAACACGCAGGCTTGCGACCTCCTTTCGCCTGCATCCTCTTGCCCCTCGCTGTCCCCTTCGCCCTCTCCGTACGCGCGATCTATCTCGTCCGACGATTTCTGTTTCGATCCGAGAAATCTGACGGTGGGCACTGTCAATTCAACTCTTGCGCCCGAGTTCTCTGCGCTGCCCACCCTTTGTGCGGGCGAGGACGAGGATCAAAAGTTCGTTCTCAGGGGCGCGGCTCGGTCAATTTCACCCGATTCCAACTTAGAGTTTCAGTCGCAGCTCTGCGACACCCTGCCTTCCTTTGACGCCCTCTCGGATCTTGACTCGGAAGACGATTTTGTCAACGGTCTTGTGAATCTTGGTAACTGCGCGGCCACTCAAGTCAATCGGTCACGTGCCAGCTCCGACGCGCTCTCGCTCAGCCCGTCAACTTACCTCTGCGGCGACGATTCGGAGGATCTTGACGGCTGCAATTCGTTTGGCGCCGACAGTCTTCTCAGCCCGCCAGAGTCGTCCGAAGAGGCCGACTCACACAGGGACAAGCGCCAAAAGAAGTCCAAGGACACCAGTAAGCCCATCATGAGCACCGCCGCCGACTCTCAATCGGGCAGCAACCAAAGCCAGTCCCCGCCCAGCAATCAGGAGACATCGAGCGAAAACGCTACCGAGACCAAGAATGGTTCCGAGTCCAACTCGGGCTCCGAGAATGCCGGGTCGACTCCTGCCCCGGCCCCCACCAGCCGTCGGGGCCGTAAGCAGTCTTTGACCGAGGACCCGTCCAAGACGTTTGTCTGCGACCTGTGTAACCGCCGTTTCCGGCGTCAGGAGCACCTCAAGCGCCACTACCGGTCACTGCACACGCAGGAGAAGCCCTTCGAGTGCACCGATTGCGGCAAGAAGTTCTCTCGCTCTGACAACCTTGCCCAGCACGCCCGCACCCACGGCGCTGGCGCCATCGTCATGAACCTGATTGACGACCCGGAAGCCATGGCCGCCGCCGCTGCTGCGGGCATGCCTGGTGGCTATGCCCACACGGCCATGATGGGTGCTGCCGGCTTGGTTGGCGCAGACGAGTACCACTCCCTCGGCAAGGTCCTCTTCCAGGTTGCAGCTGAGATCCCAGGCAGCGGCAGCGAGCTGTCTTCGGACGAGGGCAGCAGCAATCATGGCAAGAAGAAGCGCAAGAGGACAGAGTGAGGCCAGTCAAGCCTTTGGGTCCCAACCACAGCCCCATGGGACCCAAAAACCCTTCGCTTCTCCACACACTCTTCACAATGCCGATGGTTCACGCACTTGGAACGTGCCGTCGCCATTGATGCCTGATTTACGACCATGATGACTTCTGCCTTGGCATGGGAAGCACACATTCACAACCGGAAAGGAGTCATCAGCATGCAAAAGGGAGGGGGATCACTCCATTGAGACGCCGACATGACCAGGGGAAAATTGAGTTTTCATTCAAACGGCGCTCTAACTGCCCAGGGCTGGAGGAATTACTACAGGGCAAGGAAAGGGTGGACACGGAGGTGTATTTTTGTCCGGCCTTCACATCTGCATAGCCCGAATGTACCACCACCATTTCCAAGCCCATCGTGCTTTGGCGTTCTCCCCACCCTGCTTTTTTCTGAACGGCGTTATGACTGGGCAAAAGGCTCTGCAAGACTTTGGGAGGCTGGGGGGTTTAACATAGGTGGTCGGCAGCGAGAGCTAGAGGGAGCATGTCTCTAGGATCGGAGGAGAGGACAAACGGTATTTTTCTCAATTTTTCTTTCCGCTGCACACAACCACCCATTTTGGCGACACCTTTCGCAATATTTCTATTTCGTTGTAATTGTATAGCACAGGCGGTGCGGCAGGCTCAACCGTCTTGGCTTTGGAATGAAAATTCCACCTCTTCACATAGGGTCTCCCCGAGAGAGGGTTGTGCATGTTTGTATACTTAGTCGTTTCCTGGGGCGGATTTGCTCTTCACATTGATTACCGGTTCTACATCCTCTCGTTTCCAGCAGAAGGATCTCGTGGGGGGGCCAGCTATCAAGGTGTATTTATTCTGTATCGATGAGACACATTATGTGTGGCTCACAGACTTAGTGGGAGAGTGCTCGAGTTGCTGAACATGACTAGATCGCCATCCATATTCATCTTCTATGCCGAGGATGCCGCGAGTTGCTGCTGGTGAAATGTGATGGACTGCGAGAACTTGTCTTGACGAGCGAGAATCCTTGCCCTCTCTGCTGTTGTTTATGCGTTATCAGTTGTAATCACCAAGGGGCTGAAACTACCAGGTATCAGACAGCTGCTATCCCAAACGTTCAACATACTGTGTACGGAGTGATGTGCGCATGGACCATGATCAACCTGAGACACGATGAACGGTGATCTGTATTGTAACTGAACGTTGTCTGCATTGTGCAGGAACTCAGCCCATTCAGCAGTGTATTGCTTCTTCTGCGTCCCGGCACCACGTTGCTGGTCTAGATGGAGCGAGGCGTCTTTCCTCGTTCTGATCTGAGAGAGAACTTTGGCGAATCCCTCTCATTTGCCATCCGGATCGACAACAACAACAAATATTCCACATCCCTTCCGTCTCATTCCCGCCAACCCCGTACCGCAGTAGTCACATCCAAGCTCCTTGTAGTGACTCGCGGCTTCCTGAGAGGAAATTGATTTCGGCCGAACCTGGACCGTGATATTCAGAACCACCTGGCCGGGGCCGGCCCCACCTGTCATCGAATGCTAGCGGCATGCCAAGTCCCATGGATCCGATTCTGGTTTGCACTCCTCAACACCGAAAAATTTAGCGTCATCGATGGTTTGCTCTCAGTTGATCTTGGCCGATCCAGACTGTTAAACTCCAACGAGTTAAACTACAAGGCAAGAGTTTTCCACCGGCGTTGCAGGAACGAAAATGATGAGTCGCCAATTTGCCAGAGCCACTTGATTTTGCCACTGCCGGCGGTTGTTGGAAGCCCGTCGTCGAGCTACAAAGCCGGTGAAGAATCGCCGTGGAGCTCATACGAAACCCCCAGCCATTTGTCGAGACGCACTGCTCGTATCCATGCGCGGGACGATCCGGTGGCCTGAGCCAGGTTCCGTTTTATGTTTTAACTTCTAGTAAAGTGCACTGACGGACAGCGCACTGCCCACCGCGCAGTAACTGTCCGTAACGAAACGTTGACTTGGTGTCTGGCAAACATGTCAAACACACCTCCCGGTGGGCTCAACGTGATTGCCCTGGTCTCGGGGGGCAAAGACAGCTTCTTCTCGCTTCTCCATTGCCGAGCCAACGGGCACCGCATCGTCGCCCTCGCCAATTTGCATCCGGCCCTTCCAGGGAAGCCTGGACCCCCGAATGACACCTCAGCTTCCCCCGCCGTCACCATTCCCGCCGTCACCATTCCCGCCGTCGCGGCTAGTGCCGCCGTCTCGGCCCCGGCCCTGAAGTCGACCCCTGCCAGTTGGAGACCGCGCCAGAGCTCCGACCAGGATGGCCCGTATGCAGCCATTCTGCCGGATCATGACGGTGGAGCGCCGGGAAATGAGGTCGTGTCCGGCACAGATGAGGATGAGCACGACCTCAACAGCTTCATGTACCAGACTGTGGGCCACCAGGTGATCCCTCTCTATGCCGAGGCAACTGGTATCCCGCTGTACCGCCGGGCGATCACCGGCGGTGCTACCCAAAGCGGGAAGGAGTACTCTCACTACCGGCCCTCCGCCACTCCAGAGCCCGGGCTGGATTCCGGCTCCGATGAACACCGGGGAAGATGGACGCACGAGCTCATGCGATTCAAGTCTCGCGGAGAAGGCGAGGGCCGTCCCGGCTCGGACCATCATGGCCAGGAATCCGAGAATCATGTCACGACGACTGCCCGTAGTGCAAGTGCCGGGCAGGAGGATACTGGCGTAGCTGCTGATGAGGATAACACCGACGAGACCGAGTCCATGGTCCCGCTCCTCCAGGCCATAATGAAGGCACACCCGGAAGCCAACGCCATCTGTGCGGGCGCCATCCTCAGCACATATCAACGCACGCGCGTCGAGTCAGTGGCAACCCGCCTCGGGTTGACGCCGCTCGCGTACCTGTGGAAGTTCCCCGTGCTCCCGGCCCCGAGCAGCTCCTCCTCCTCGTCAGATCCCACGGTGGGGTCGTTGGGATCCGACGCCCAGCTGCTGGATGACCTGGCTGCTGCGGGCGTGGAAGCCCGCATCATCAAGGTTGCCAGCGGCGGGTTGGATGACTCGTTCCTGTGGGCCGACGTCGCGGCTCCCGGGACCAAGGGCAGTCTCGCCCGGGCCATGCGGCGGTTCGGCGCGGCCGAGACGGGCGCCGTCGTTGGTGAAGGCGGCGAGTTTGAGACGCTTGTGCTGGACGGGCCGTCGACGCTGTTCAGGAAGCGGATCGTGGTCGATGAGTTGGACCGTCGGGTTGTCAGGGAGGGCGGCGGGAGTGCCTGGCTTAGTCTGAGAAACGCGAGGCTGGAGGAGAAAGGGCTGGAGGCTGGTGAGGAAGGGATTGACAAAGAGAGTGTCAGGATTCCGGATTTGCTGGATCCGAGGTTTGTTGGTGTGTTGAATACGCTGTCTTCCCCCGAAGCCGATGGCTTCTCGCTGTTCGTCCAGTCCGGACTGGGTGAGATGCCTCGGCTCGGGAATCTGCGAGTCTCTACTAGTGAGAAGGCACAGCAATGGTGCTTCGTCGGCAGCAAGTCAGGCTCCATCGAGGTTGATACCCGTACCGTTGTCGAGCAAATACGCCGGCGACTACGCCAGCATTCCCTCCCACCGTCAGCCATCATCACCGCCACGGTCGTCCTCCGCCGCATGGCCGACTTCCCTGCAGTGAACAGCATCTACTGCACGCTCTTTGACGCACCAAACCCGCCTTCCAGGGTCACCATCTCGTGCGGCGACGCACTGTCTACTGTTCTGGCAGACGCAGACATGGCGGTTTACCTGACCGTCCACACGGCTCTCCAACCCGGGCAGCGCCACGGCCTGCACGTGCAGTCCCGTTCCTACTGGGCCCCAGCCAACATCGGCCCGTACAGCCAAGCCATGTCCATCCCGGTGTCAAGCCTCGGACCACCACCGAACGACTCTGATACTCCTACCTCCTCCTCCACCATTGCACCAAGACTGGTCAGTATCGCGGGCCAGATCCCGCTCGTCCCGGCCACTATGGCCTTGCCGCCGCCCGGTAGCAGCAGCAGTCATGAGGACACTTTGGCGCTGCAGCTCGTCCTCTCCCTCCAGCACTTGTGGAGAATAGGCATCGAGATGGGCGTGCAGTGGTGGACTAGCGCCGTGGCCTTCTTTCCGGTGGCGGCATGCGACAGAGATGGTGGTCAGCAGCAGGTGGCGATGGAGGTGAAGGCTAGGATGGCCGCCAGAGCGTGGAGGGCTGCGCACGCGTCTGGGTCCACCTCCGCCGCCGCTGATGATGGCGAGGAGGATGAGGACGAGGAAGAAGAAGGCGGCCCAGACCTCTGGGATAAGAGATATAACCCGGCGTATATGACTTTTTCCTCTTCTTCGAGTGGTGGCGCCGGGGATAACAAGAACGCTGGCCCGTCTCTGCCGGATAGATCTGTTCTGTCTGTCTTCTCTTCTCCTTCTTCGTTGTCCCGGCCGACGGCGGGGTTCTCATGTAAGTCAATGGTGCCGCCGGTGTTTGTCGCCGAGGTGGAGGAACTGCCGCGCGGCGCTGGCGTGGAGTGGCATGCTCTCTGGGGCGTTGCGCACGCGGCTGAGGGGAGTGTGGTGCTTGGGGAAGTGTGCTTGCCTCGAGAGGGTGATGGACAAAGCGAGAAGATCATGGTCTCGCAGGTTGTGGTTCGGTCTGGGGAAGAAAGGGGGGTGGGTTTTGTGCAGACGGTTGTGGCGGAGGGGTTCGGTGGTGACGGTTGGAAGGGGGTTGATGGTAGTGGTAAGGCGGCGAAGGCGGCTTTGGAGCGGTTGAGTGATGGCGAGTCTGTGGGGGAGCCAGATGTGGCTGTAAGATATGTGGATGCTGAGGTGTTAAGAGCCGCTGGATGGGTAGGCGCCGAGGCCCTGGGGCCAGTAGTGCCGTGCAGGTCACTTTGGAACGGTCAGGGGGGGAGGTTAGTTGCTGTGACAGTGTATCAGAGCGTATCCGAAGAGCGAAGTAGATGACGGGTAATAGATGGATAGTCAGTTGGTGATGGGTGCTTGTCTCGTTTAAAAGGCTTGAGGAGCAACAAACACGACAATACTTACCTAAGATGGTTACCAAAGTCTGCTATGTCTCTGACATGTCCCCCACTAGATGCCAAATGTTCCCAGAACACCATACCTTCATTGTCAATCACCATACCGAAACCATAGCCTTGAAAGTTCGTGATTGTTAGCCGGTTTCTACCCTGTGTACCTTACAGTTATTATATCCCCGACGGACAGTCTCTTATAAATTATCGCCGTTTATGATCTTGACTGAGATCTTCTCCGATTCGAGAACTACCAGGGGCGTCAACTTCTCCTTTCAACTTCTGCCTGTATGTGCACATCACACCAGAGAGTATGCGGAATTTGAACAGTATCCCTATACAGTGTTAGCTTAGTATCACATTAGCCGCACAGTTCTGTCAATTAGAGGTGACAAAGCTTGTGTAGTTCCAGGAACATCGAGTCCTCGAGTTGATGAGAATGCGAAGTCTCGACGACCAACCCTAACCCCGCAAGCTGCTTGGTTCACGACTCTGGGGCCGTTCATGAAACTAGGATGCTTCACAACTTCATCGGAATACAAAAAGAAACACGACATCTCCAACATTAAATCTCGCATATCCGATACGACGATTGACATCGCATTATCCGGCATCCAGTTTCCTTCATCTTCACCCTACCTCAACAACCAACCAACCTCCCGCTCACCCACCATGAGCTCCCTCAAGCACCACAACTCGCTTCCTGCCCAAAACCATGCACCATCACTATTCGAGAAAAAAGAAAAAAAAAAAGAAGAAGAAGAAGAAGAAGAAGATTACATGACAATGACCTTTACAGACGACGCCCCACCCACCACCACCACCAGCAGCAGCGGTACCAAAAGAGGCTTTGAGACCTCGCTCCAGCGCCATCAGCGCCTCAAGCGCGAGGCCGAGGCCCGCGCCCGCCCAAAGTCCAAAGCCGAGTTGGCCGCCGAGGCCGACGCCCGCCGCGAGGCCGCGCTCTCCCAGTCGCTCTTCACGACCCAGCCCAAGAGCAAAGGGCTGGCCATGATGGCGCGGATGGGGTTCACGGGCGGAGCGCTGGGTAAGAAAAAATCAACAGAGTCGGAGCCATCATCATTATCATCATCATCTACGCCTGCCGCTCCGCCCACCGAGGGGGGCCCGGCTAATAACGATGGCGGTACTACCTCTGAGACGGGCGGGGGCGCGACGGGGGCGCGGCCCAGGACCGAGCCGATCCGGATTGAGATCAAGGACGGGCGGGAGGGCATCGGGCTCGAGAGCGAGCGCAAGCGGAAACTGCGGGAGGCGGCCGAGGCGGCCGGGGAGCGGGCCAAGCGGGCCAGGGCGGAGGAGGGCGAGTATCGGGAGCGGATGAGGAGGGAGCGGGAGGAGGCGCGGTTGGAGAAGTTGGTGGTTGCGGGGCAGAAAGTCGCCGAGAAAATGGCTGGGGATCGAGAAGGGGAGGATGCGGTGGTGGTTGCGGTGGCGGCGCGGCCGCTGAAGGGGATACCGGTTGTCTTCCGGGGTTTTGTCAAGGCGCGCGAGGAGGCCGAGAGGGATAGGAGGATGAGGTATGATTTGGAGCAGGGGCTGGCGCGGCTGCCGACGTATGAGGATGCGGAGGAGGACGAGGATGATAAGAAGGCCTTGGGCAAGGCTAGCACGACCTATGTCACGGCAGAGGATCTGGATGAGGAGGACCCGGAGTTGGATGAGTTCAACGCGTTGCCGCCGGACGAGAGGCTGCGGAGGGTGGTGCAGCACCTGCGCGACGAGTACCACTACTGCTTCTGGTGCAAGTTTACGTACCCCGACGAGAAAATGGACGGGTGTCCTGGGTTGACCGAGGAGGACCATGATTAGGAAGCCGGTGGTTCAGCCATAGTCTTAAAGAAAACCCCCAGCGGACATGGTCTTGAGTGGCCAGTATTACAAGCTATTGTACAAGATCTGATATCTATACAGGCCCCGTCATCTGCTTGCCAAGCTTCCTGTGCTTCGCGATCAGGCCGATATTCTTCTTGACAACAACATCATACACGCCCATCTCCCTCGCAACCTCCTCCAGCAGCTGCTCAACCTCGTCCCTGCCCACGCTCTGCGCACCAGCCTTGAGCAGCATAAGCTTTTCCAGCACATCGTGGAGCTCGTTGACCTTCTCCTCCTCCGTCATCTTGACCCCGGGGTGCCCGCTCTTGATGAGCTCCATCCTGTGCTTCTTCATCAGCATCTCAATGGTCCTCCTCCCACTCACCAGTCGATCCATATTCCGCTTGGTCTTGACCTGCAGAGAACCCGCGCCGGTAGCTAGCTCAATCAGCAGCGCCTCGGGCGGATGGAAGGCAAAGAGCTCCCTCATGGCCCGTGCGGCGACAATCGTGCCCCTGTAGTCCTTGGCTTTGAGAAGGCTGAAGAGGATGGTTCGCGGCAGCTGGGCAAAAATATCGGGCGAGTCAAACGCCCAGTCGGCCTCGACCATGTCGCGGAAGAACTGCCTGGCGGCGATGATGTCCTTCCTCGACAAGTCAGGATCCCGCTGGAAGAGCCGGTTCACGGAAAGGCTATTGAACAGGGTGAGGAACGTGTGCCCATCGGGGCGAATGTTTTGCTCTTTGGTCATGGTGTGGTAAAGGTTGGCCGCCTCGTCAGCCTCGCCGTTTTGCGAGTATGACCGGATCAGCTGGTTCATGAGAAAACTCGTCGGGCCGATCTCGGCTTGCCTGAGTACCTCAAATAGCTTCTGTAACCGGCTGTGTAGCCTACGGGAGCAGTAGTTCTCGGCAAGCAGCGAGAATGTTTCGGCAGTCGCCCGCGTCTGGCAGATGAACTTAGGCTCACTATCGCTGCCTTCGGTCACAGAGAGGCTATAAGGGTCGTAAAACTTGACGGTTTCATGTCGTTGTTTGACGTAATCCAGGCGAGCGCGAATCATGCTCCATGCCAGATTCTCGGCCCTTTCCATGTTCTCGGCGGCTCCAGACCTCAGCCAGGCCCCGATAAGGCCGTTGAGTTGAATGGGTGACGGCGTTATCCCCTTGCTTTGAACATACATCACCACCTTGTAGGCGCCGCCCAAGTCACCCACTCCGATGAGCCTTTTCAGCCATTTGCCAATGAAGAAGTGGTTGCCCACCGTGAGTGGCAATCTCGTCTTGCCGCGGATGTCGATGGTGCGGGAGAACATCATATCCACAAAGGCCTGCAGGGCGTACTCAACGGAGTCGGACGTGAGGAACACGGCGATGACCTCATCATAGTCCTCAATCGTGATGCTCTCTCCAAGGAGGGTTCGCATGTGCTGGTATGATTCCCAAGCCTGGTCGACTGTCGCCTTCTTGGCCGCCAGAGCCCGGATAACGGGAAGGAGGATTCGCGCATTGGGCGGCTGCGAGGATCTGAGAAGTGTCTCGGCCGCTCTATGAGCCCGTTCCGTGTCTCCATGCAGAGCGCACATGCGAACACCGAGCTCCCAGTAATCGGTAAAGGTTTCAGGCTTCGACCCGAGCGTGACTACACCCTTCTTCCAAGCCTCAATGGCCTCGTCCTCCCAGCCCTCAATGAACATGGCCTCAATAGCGAGAAGCTGCTGCGATTCCCGCAGTGGCACGCCGGCGGCCTGCATGTCCTTGGCGAGGATGTAGATGTGTTGCATGCGGTTGGGGTTCTCGACGCCTTCCCCTTCCCAGGACAGGACCATCCAAAGGAAATTCCAGACCTCCTGGGGGACGTTCTGCCAAGCCGTCGACAGGGTTTTCCTTGCAGCCGAGTAATACTTCCAGCACTCGGCCACGTCTTTAGCCCTGGGGATACCGCCTTTGACAACGCTGTCCCGAGCCAGGAACGTGTTCAGGTTGGCTACAGTCCTTTGTCGCGGCCCACTGAAGCCCGAGATGCGCAGCAGCCCATACTCCTCAGCCTCGGGGCCCGTCTTGCCCTTGTATTGCAGGCGCAACGTCTTCTTGAACTGCTTCCGCAGCTCGTCTGCCTTGTCCTGTCCGCCCTGCTTCTCCATCCGCCGCAGCATCTTGGCCGTGTTGATCATCTGCTTCTCCAGGTCGTTGATGGCCGTTTCAATCTCTGCGTCCAGTCCCCCGCTGACTTCGCCAAACTCATCGTTGTCGCGCAACCGCCGCAGCCGCCCGGGGGCTTCTTGGTTGAAGAAGTTGACATCGAGGCCTCCCGGGGACGACGTGGGTTCGGGGCTGCGTTCAAGCTCTTCGGCGAGCATCCTTTGAAGCTCGGCAGGGTCCGGCACCGCCTCTAGTTTTCGCGGATTGGACGGTGACGGCTGCGCTCTCCGAGCGGCATTGGAAGACGGCCGTGCGAGCCATGGGCGTGCAGTCGCAGGTCGGAGACTGTCGAGGCACGACTTGCAAATATAGCTGCTGCACCGCCCGAGATCGAGAGCCAATTTCCTTGGCGGCATTGTAGAAGAAGAAATCTAAGGTAGTGACATTAAGTATCGTGGGAGGAAGCCTTGCTATGTACAACAAGCGACAAAGTGATGATGTTCTATCCAAAAACTCAAGATTAGGCTCGGTGTTTCCGTCCCTTGCCCCTGTCCTGCCATCTTTTTTTGGATGGGGCGCTCCACATACCCTTTATCAAGGCAAGCGATAAGAGGCTCCAGTGGGTCCAGCTTCTGACTGCCCGGCAGAACAAGCAGGACCCTCCAAAATTTCTGGGACTCAAATCGCTGCACGTCGATTCTCTTGGCTGAACACGTCCATCAGCGATCGATTGATCGCCTACAATACAACCAGATTACCCACCATGTCCGGCACGAGGTCCGAGTTCCTGCGCTTCACCGGCCACCGGGCCTTCACCCAGCGCCTAGTGCTCGCCACGCTCACGGGCCGACCGGTGCACATCTCCAAGATTCGCTCGTCCTCGCCGACCAACCCCGGCCTCGCCCCGCACGAGGTCTCCTTCCTGCGCCTGCTCGAGGCCGTCACCAACGGCAGCGTCATCGACGTATCCTACAGCGGCACAACAATCACCTACCAGCCGGGCCTGATCACAGGCACTGTCCCGGGCGTGGGCGCGTCCCTCGCCAGCGACGCCATCGAGCACGTCCTCCCGGCCGCCTGCACCCGCGGCATCACCTACTTCCTCATTCCCCTAGCCCTTCTAGCGCCATTCTCGAAGGCCCACATGAACGTGCGCTTCTCCGGCCCGGGCGCCATCACGTCGGCAACGCACGGCACGGGCGACCTGTCGATCGACACATTCCGCACGGCGGTGCTGCCGCTGTACGGACTGTTCGGGATCCCGCCCGCGCGCATCGAGCTGCGCGTGCTGGCGCGGTCGTGCGCGGGGCCCGGCGGGAAGGGCGGCGGCGGCGTCGTCGAGATGCGCTTCGCCAGCCAGGTGCGCCTGCCCAAGACGCTACACCTGAACCGCCGGCCGGGCAGGATACGGCGGATCCGTGGCGTGGCGTACTGCACGGGAGTGTCGGCGAGCCACAACAATCGGATGATTACCGCCGCGAGGGGGGTGTTGAATCAGCTCGTGTCGGATGTCCACGTGGCGGCGCAGTATGATCCGGCGCCGTTGGTCGGGGAGAAGGGGAGTGCGCAGAAGAAAAAGATTGGCATTGGGTTCGGGTTGAGCTTGGTGGCTGAATCGAGTGCGGAGGGAGTCATCTATGCGGCCGACGAGGTGGCGCCGCCGGAGGGAGGCGTGGTGCCCGAAGATATTGGCACGAGATGTGCTTACCAGCTGCTCGAGGTCATCGCGCAGGGCGGATGTGTAACCGGCGCGGCGGCGCCAACGGTGCTCACCCTGATGGCTATGGGGTCGGAAGATGTTGGGAGGCTAAGGCTAGGGAGGGGAGTAATGGCTCGAGAAGAGATAATAGGGTTGGCGAGGGATCTGAAGCAGTTCGGGGCGAGCAGTTGGGGCATACGGGATGCCGGCGATGACGACGGGGCAGGTGATCTGATAATTTCGGTAAAGGGGACAGGAGTGGGCAACGTTGGCAGGAAGGTAGCATGATCAATCCAAGCTGGCCTGAGTACGGCTGCTGAACCACCCACTCTCTTTGATCATGATATTATGAACGAAAGTGTGCCAGGCACTACCTCTGCTGCGTGCTAATAACAAGCCTGCTCCTCTGCTGCGCGGCTAGAGCGGCAAGTGTAGTGCCGTAACCTGCGGTTTGCAGCATGTAAGCCGCCGTACTCTGTGCGCCGCTTCCCACCGTCCGAACAGCATGGATGACATGGAAATTGGCCAGTACAGCGTCGCCCGACCTGATAATGTCCAGCATGTCCGCGCTGGCAGATACCGACGAATAGGTGTCCCCATTTTGCTCATCCTCGCCGGCACTCCGACGCTCGCGGTTGTTACCGCCTCCTGATAACGACTGGAGTTCCAGTCCTCCCCCATCGCCGAGGTACGTTTCATCGTCCCTCAACACGCCGCGCTCCTCGGCATCGTGGTCCTGCGTCGTCTCCGGCGCCGGCGCCTGTCCAGTCTGATCGCCGATGGGCCTGACCCTCGGCAACACGGCCTTCTTCAGCTTCTCCTGCTCCTGAAGCACGGCCAGCATGAGAGACTGCACGCCTAAAATCACCAAGTCGAATAGCAGAAAAGCAAGACTCGACCTTGGCGGTTTCTGCCCGATAAAGTCTATGATGACACCGCCGTGGAGGTAGCCGCGCGTCGCTTCGCCGGCCTCGGGCAGGGCAAATGACATGTGCGCCAGCATGCAGAGGAGGTTCGGCGCCAGGATGAGGTAGATGGGGGGATGTCCGCCGGGTAGGAGCACGTCGTCTTTTACGGCCAGGAAAGAGTAGTGCGGAAAGAGGCGGATGAGGAATCGGAAGAGGGAGCATCTGGAAGAAGGGAGGTTGGTAAGTGTTTCATGACTGAACGGGAAAGTCCCTAAGACACTTACTCCATATAGTACAGGGTGCAAATGTAGGCGACGACGGTCATGTCGAGCGTCTTTCGGAGGTGGGTGACCAGCTCCAGCTTCTTGAGCAAGCCATCCCGCCGTTTCTCCTTTTTCTGTGACGTAGCGTCCTCATCCGGGTGCATGTCACCGTGGCCCCCGTCAGCGGCCGCACGGCGCTCCTCGGCGTCGTACTCATTGTCGTCGTACTCAGCGTCGTCGGACCGTGGCGGGAGCGGCTGCCGGGCCGCGAAGCTCGGGCCCGGATCATTGTTCATAGCTCGCCGCAGTTGGGTAGAACGGATTGAAGATAGAATTGTCGTGGCGTCATCACATGGTGTGTGCTGCAGCGTCCTGCAATGCTCTCGCCAGGATATGGAGCAGGAGTCGTGTTGGATTTGGCACACGGCCCGCGCAGGCAACTGTCACTGGCGTATGAATAGCGTGGCGCATGTTCAACAGCCTTGTTGGGCCAAGCCTCTTAACGTCTTATGGCTGCCTTTGGATAGAACGGGAACCAAGGGGTTAGGGTTAACCAGAAGCCGGGAACCTTGATGTCCCATCATCACAGGTGCTTCCACGCATCACGAGCCCCATATGAGATTTCACCAGCAGCCGGACGCTCAATTTTGGGTGCCTATTTTGAACCTATCTGGTTCGGGTGGCAAGCTTCGGCTCTATCTCCGTAAATATGAAGATTGTGTTGCTTCTGGAATGATAATATCTGAGTTTTCTTCATGGGATTGAGTCAACCAAGGTGGTGCACCTCCAACAGCTGCTGACCATGCTCAAAGAGTATGCTGTTTGACAATTGAGTGCGTTCGGTCTCATCTTCAAATTCCTCTGACCTTCCGTAGTAACGGTAGAGAGTTCTAGTATAATTGTACTTACTCGGCAGCCTCTCCTCCCCATCAATCATTGTCTTGTTGCTTGAGCATCCCCTCCAACAAACGGACAGCCTTCTCTGAAGTTCCAAGTTCACACGCCAAGCAATGAATTGCCCAATCAGAAGCTTGACAGTCCGACTTTAGGCGGGATGGAACGCTGCGGGGCACACACCGCAAATCTGTACTTCCCGTCCCAGCTTCGTCCCACAGAGCGGGTGAGAGTTTCAGGAACCAGGGCCAACGGGCTGAGAACATCAGGGCGATGCCCCTGAGGATTGATGGTCTCCAAGAAGCTTTCCTGAATGGATACTGTTATTGTTTAGTGGAAGGTTGGGAGAAACAGCGAGCATGGGGGCAAACGTGGAGTCACAAAAGCGTGCTGTGCTCCCAGCCTGGAAACTCGCCTGCGTTTCCAATGCCAAATTGCCAGGCCTGGATGGGATTGTGCCGTTGTCCTCCGGCGTCGGAAGCATCTTTTGCGTTAGCAGCATGCAAATTTTGCGCTCGCACTGGGGTCTGATCTGCAAAGCCGCCGAGAGTTGGGAGAAAGAGTCACATCCTATCGGCTTATCGCTCCCCACACTGGCCGATCTACGCTTAATTATTTCTGGGCCCGGGAATCGCGATCCCGACTTTATGTCAGAAATCCCATCTTTGCTTGTTCACGCTGCAAAGACTCCCAAAGGGGCCTGGGACGATTTGCGACTCTGTCAATTGACGACCACGAGGGACTGGAGTGTTGCCTAAGACATTGAAGCGGGTTCCTTGACTGAACAAGCGTCCTCTGTTTCGGCAATCGCTTCGCTCCGCATAATGCTGTCGGCCGTGTACAAGGCAGGCCGCGCTCCGGCCGTCCTCCGTCATGGTCGCCGCGTCCCAGTATCGCCCTCCCAGCTGAGGCCACTCACCTCTGTGCCCCAGAATGGCCTCTTCCGCACACAGACCGAGTCCCCCAGCGCCAGGATGAGCCAAAAACGGCTCTTCTCTGCCTCCACCGCCATGGCGAGCGCCAATGCGCAAAATGCCCCCGATCCGAAGGCCTACCTCTCGAGCGGAGTGGTAAAACCCAAAGAGAACGTTGATGTCAAGAAGGTCCTCGTCATTGGCAGTGGCGGTCTTGCCATTGGCCAGGCGGGAGAGTTCGACTACTCCGGTATGTTGTCACGCGAGCACTGCGCAAGACCCTCCTCCGGGGTGATGAGGGATGAGTCACACGAGGACATGCCAACGAACACATGGGGCTGACTGCAACTCAATCATACCAATACAGGATCGCAAGCCCTCAAGGCCCTCAAGGAGGCCGGCGTGGCTTCTGTGCTCATCAATCCCAACATCGCTACCATCCAGACAAATCACTCCCTGGCCGATGAGGTCTACTACCTCCCCGTCACCCCTGAGTACGTCGAGTATGTCATTCAAAAGGAAAAGCCCGATGGCATCTTTCTCTCCTTTGGTGGCCAGACGGCCCTCAACCTCGGTGTCCAGATGCAGAAGCTGGGTCTGTTTGAGAAATACGGTGTCAGAGTCCTCGGCACCAGCGTGAGGACACTTGAGCTCAGCGAGGACAGAGACCTCTTCGCAAAGGCCCTTGAGGAGATCAACATCCCTATTGCCAAATCCATCGCCGTCAACACGGTCGACGAGGCTCTGGATGCTGCTAAGAAGATTGGCTACCCCATCATCGTTCGCGCTGCGTATGCCCTGGGCGGTCTGGGTTCCGGCTTCGCCAACAACGAGGAGGAGCTGCGCAACATGGCCGCCCGCTCACTCACCCTCTCGCCCCAGATTTTGGTCGAGAAGTCGCTCAAGGGCTGGAAGGAGGTTGAGTACGAAGTTGTCCGTGATGCGAATAACAACTGCATCACGGTGTGCAACATGGAGAACTTCGACCCCCTGGGTATCCACACCGGTGACTCCATCGTCGTCGCGCCGAGCCAGACCCTGAGCGACGAGGAGTACCACATGCTGCGGTCTGCCGCTATCAAGATCGTCAGGCATTTGGGCGTCGTTGGCGAGTGCAACGTCCAGTATGCGCTTCAGGCCGACGGTCTGGACTACAGGGTCATTGAGGTCAACGCCCGTCTTTCCCGCTCGTCTGCCCTCGCCTCCAAGGCTACCGGCTACCCCTTGGCCTACACCGCGGCCAAGATCGGCCTGGGCCACAGCCTACCCGAGCTGCCCAACGCGGTGACGAAGACGACGACCGCCAACTTCGAGCCGTCACTCGATTACATCGTTACCAAGATTCCCAGGTGGGACCTGTCTAAGTTCCAACACGTCAAGCGGGACATTGGTAGCGCCATGAAGTCTGTTGGTGAGGTCATGGCTATTGGTCGTACCTTCGAGGAGTCATTCCAGAAGGCCATCAGGCAGGTCGACCCCAGGTTCGTGGGCTTCCAGGGTGACAAGTTCGAGAACCTCGACTACGAGCTCCAGAACCCCACCGACCGCCGCTGGCTGGCCGTCGGCCAGGCTATGCTCCACGAGAACTACTCTGTCGACCGTGTCCATGACCTGACCAAGATCGACAAGTGGTTCCTGCACAAGCTGCAGAACATTGTAGACTGCACCAAGGAGCTCCAACAGATTGGCAGCCTCGCCGGCCTCAAGAAGGAGCACATTTTCAAGGCCAAGAAGATGGGTTTCTCTGACAAGCAGATTGCCATGGCAGTTGGCAGCACCGAGGACGAGGTCCGCGCCCGCAGGTTGGGGTTTGGCATCCGCCCCTGGGTCAAGAGGATCGATACCCTCGCGGCCGAGTTCCCCGCGGATACCAACTACCTGTACACCACCTACAACGCCTCTTCCCACGATGTCACCTTCAAAGACAAGGGTACCGTCATTCTGGGCAGCGGTGTCTATCGCATCGGTAGCTCTGTCGAGTTCGACTGGTGTGCCGTCAGCGCCACTCAGGCTCTGAGGGCCATGGGCGAGAAGACCATCATGATCAACGTAAGTTTAAAAGTCCCACCCCCGGGCGACGACAAAAGAAAGAAGGGAAAGAGGAGGGAAGAAGGGAAAGGAAAAGGAAAGGAATGGAAAGATGAAAACAAGGAAAGGAAGAAAAAATAAAAAGAACGGAGAGGGGAAAAAGAAAGAAAAAAAAAGAAAGCAAGAAAAATGCCCGCTTCCCTTTCGTCTGGCTCCTATCACATGGCAAGCATGCTAACATCCCTATCGTATAATCCCGAGACCTATTCCACAGACTTCGACACGGCCGACAGGCTCTACTTCGAGGAGCTGAGCTACGAGCGTGTCATGGATATCTACGAGCTGGAGAACGCGGGCGGTGTTGTGGTTTCAGTTGGCGGCCAGCTGCCCCAGAACATCGCCCTCCGTCTCCAGGAGACGGGCGGTGCCAAGGTTCTCGGAACGGATCCTCGCGACATTGACAAGGCCGAGGACAGGCAGAAGTTCTCGGAAATTCTGGACAGCATTGGTGTTGACCAGCCGGCATGGAAGGAGCTTACCTCGGTGGAGGCTGCTGAGCAGTTTGCTGGGCAAGTCGGCTACCCTGTCCTTGTCCGCCCTAGCTACGTCTTGTCTGGCGCTGCCATGACAGTCATTCGCAGCAAGGAGGACCTGAAGGATAAGCTGGAGGCTGCTGCCAACGTCTCGCCCGACCACCCCGTCGTTATCAGCAAGTTCATTGAGGGTGCTATGGAAATCGACGTGGATGGTGTCGCTTCCGAGGGCAAGCTGATTCTTCACGCCGTCAGCGAGCACGTCGAGCAGGCTGGTGTCCACTCTGGCGATGCTACTCTGGTTCTCCCGCCCGTTAGTCTGGACGGGACCACCATGGAGCGTGTGAAGGGGATTGCCCAGAAGATTGCCCAGGCCCTGAAGATTACTGGCCCCTTCAACATGCAGATCATCAAGGCCGACGACCCCGAGGGCGGCCAGCCGCAGCTCAAAGTCATCGAATGCAACCTGCGTGCCTCCCGGTCATTCCCTTTCGTCAGCAAGGTTCTCGGCACCAACTTCATTGACGTCGCCACCAAGGCGCTCGTCGGCAAGCAGGTCCCTGACCCAACCGACCTGATGGCTGTCAAGCGCGACTACCTCGCCACCAAGGTCCCGCAGTTCTCGTGGACCCGTCTGGCCGGTGCCGATCCTTTCCTCGGCGTCGAGATGGCATCGACGGGCGAGATGGCCTGCTTCGGCAAGGACCTAGTCGAGGCCTACTGGACCTCGCTGCAGTCGGCCATGAACTTCCGCGTGCCCGAGCCCGGCGAGGGTCTCCTCTTTGGCGGCGAGCTGAGCAAGAGCTGGCTCACCACCGTGGTCGACCACCTCGCCCCCCTCGGCTACAAGCTGTACGCTGCCGACGCGGAGGTCAAGCAGCACCTGGAGTCGACGAGCAAGCACAAGATCAACGTCGAGGTCATTGAGTTCCCCAAGGAGGACAAGCGCGCCCTGCGCGAGGTGTTCAAGAAGTACGACATTCGCGGCGTCTTCAACCTGGCCCAGGCCCGCGGCAAGACGGTCATGGACGTCGACTACGTCATGCGCCGCAATGCCGTCGATTTTGGCGTCCCGCTGTTCATGGAGCCTCAGGTTCGTTTTCCATTTCCCATATCCATCCCCCTTATCCATCCCCCTTATCCATCCCCCTTATCCATCCCCC